TAACTAAAAGATTATTCTTATTTACTAGTTAGAGATAAAATATAAAGTATAGGTATACTTTTTCTAGGGCTATTATTATAGATAACAGGCTAGTATCCTTAAAGAGGGCTATTATTAATATAATTTTAAAGACTAGGAGAACCCCCCTAATAACTAGGATTAAGATTTTCTCTAGTATATTTATATACTAGTCTAGGCAAGTATTAACCTCTATATTCTAGATATATTATCCTAGCTTTATATAACCTCTATACTATACTTTTATATTATAGAATATACTAGATAAGATATAAGTAATAACTATTTTCTATAGTAAAATTATTAATAAGCTATAAACTATTCTTACTAGATCCTATATATATTATACTATTATTCTTATTTTAGCTATTTTTTTTATTATATATTTCTTCTAGGAGAGCTACTTATTAAAATAGATTTCTAGTTATTTAAATACTAGCTACTTCTACTCTAGTACTTTTATAATTAGCTATATTATTAAGTAATTATTAATTTTTAGGCTAAATACCTTATTATATCTTTTTTTTATAATATAGATTATTTCTAGCTTTTTAGATATAAAAGCTACTTTATTCTAGTTACTTTAAGCTAGTACTTTCTAGATATCTACTTTTAATTACTTATAATTATCCTCTAGTATCTAGATAGTATAACTTAGGTAGAGATTATTTATATATCTAAAATAGAGGGTTATATCTTATAGGAGTAGTTCTACTATATAAAGTAAGAAGAGAACTAGAGATAAAGATAAGTCTTATAATATTTTATAAAGTATTAAGTCTACTTTAATTAATATTATCTTTAGCTAGACCCTGGCAAGCCTGCTAGTTAGAAAGCTATTAATAAAAGTAACTAGAGCCCTAGGCTACTCTTACTCTATTATTTATTTTAATAGCTTATATTATAGAAGAGTATTAAAGGCCCTTAATATATTTATTATAATTATAATTATTTCTTTATTCTAAATAAGGACTATTTTAATATTATATATATAAGCTATAACTAGATCTATAATTAAGTATTTAAGAAATATATTATACTATTATAGACTTAAGATCTTATATATAAGTACTATATATATAATTTTTTAAATAACTATTTTTTCTAAATCTTTACTAATTATTAATAATAGGGTAATTAATCTTTAGAATCTAGAGAATATTCTATCTTACTTATTTATTTTAAGAAATATAACTACTTCTATAATCTTTTATAATTTAAGAAAATAACTTAATTATAAATATTTATTATATAATTTATATATTACTTTACCTATAAATTTCTAGCAGACTTTAAAAATTTATACTATAATTATATTTATATTAGAGAAAGTATTACTTATTCTAATTATATTTTTTTCTATCTTTTTCTTTAATATTCTCCCTCCCTAGGGAAGGTACTTATTACTAGTCTAGTAGGCCTTTATTATAAGATTAAACTCTAGATTATTTACTAAGTTAAATTATCTAAAAATAGCTTGCTAGAGAACTTTAACTTTCTTTTAAATATTCTTAATTATATAGTTATCTATCTAAAGAAATAGTACCTTTATTCTTAGTTCTAGCTTATACTAGATTATAATTTAATAAAATTTCTTATTATTACTAATCTTATTAATAATACCTGCCTAATACTAGTATTTAGCCTTCTAGACTATATTCTAGAAGTATTTTTTTCTTTCTAAACTTAGCTCTACTAGCTATCTACTATAGGAGTCTATATATTCTATTATTTATTAGGGGGTAGCCCTCCAGCCTAAGTTAGAGAGTTTTCTAACTATCTTAATAGCTTCTTAAAGTACCTCCTCTAGGTCCTCTATATACTAATCTAGTACTAGGCTATCTAGCAGGCTTTCTAGATCTAGGAGACCTATTATTCTATTCTATACTAGTCCTACTAGTTATCTTAGGTCTTTATCTAGAATTCTAAGTTATTATCTCTTTAGGGATGTTAGTATATACCCCAGGACTATAGTAATCTATATCTAGTAGTCTAAATTATAGTATAGGTCTAGGTAGACCTCTATACATGTAAAGGCTATATTAGAGAAGATTAAGTCTAGAATATATTTTATTATATAAATAGCTATTTCTAGCTCCCTTATATATTTTATTTTACTATTAATTATCTATTATATAAGCTCTTTTTTTTTATATAAGTTTTATATTTCTAGCTTAAAAATATTATATATAATATTAAAGTTACCCTCTATAATATAATTAAGAGTAAAGATTAATATTATTATATAATCTATTATCTTATATATAGTAGGTTCTTAATATATATTTAATATCTAGATACTATTTACTATTATTTAGAGTAAGTTCTAGCTCTTGATTAATTTATATTATTATATTTTTAAGCCTGGATTCTAGTATATATATATAAGTATTCTAGATCTCTTTTTTATTTATTCTTTCTAATCCCCCTAGCTATTAACTAGGAAGTAATATTTAAATATTAAATAATTCTATATTTTAGTCCCTAGACCTATCTATAGCTCTTATATATAGGCTATAGTATAGCCTTACTTATAAGCTAATTATAAAATAATAATATAATTTAATATTAATCTACTAATATTAATCTAGTAGATTATAAGATCTTATTAGTACTAGACTTATCTTATATAATTCTTACTATATTTTATTTTAAGTCTCCCTAATATTAGATATTAAATAATCTATTAATATTAGTCTCTACTCTTAGAGTCTGTGTACTTACTGCCTATTTAAGGCTTGGAGAAATATAAAGACTCTAGGTAGAGAACTTCTTTAGATTTATATTATTTATATATATAATAGCCTAGGCTAAGTACTATTTTATAACCTAGAAGCCCTTTATATCTATATCTAGCTATAGGAGTACTTCTACTATATACTTATAGAGATTTAAAAGTTAGGCCTTATCTATCTTTATATATAATTATACTATTATTATTATTTAATTATAAATATTCTAAAAGATATATATCTTATAGTACCTAATTTATACTAGATTTTATTTAATTAATTTAATAAAAGAGTTATTAATCTTATATAAGGCTATAGGGCAGCTCTTATATCCTATCTTAAATAGTTTAAAATAATTAATATAGTAGGAAGGATTACTATAATTTAGTCCTATAGGCCTAGTATAGTTCTTAATTAATATATTATACTAGGTATAGTAGGGCTATCTTATATATTTTAGGGAGTAATAATATTTTTAATAACTTAGATTATATTACTTTATAAGGGCCTACTTTTTAATAAATTAAGATTACTAGTTATTATTAAATAAAGTAAAGTTCTTAATAAATATTAAGAAAAAGATTATTTAGATTATATACTTTATTTATATATCTAGCCTATATTTTAATAAATAATAATTAACTAGCTTTATACTTATTTATACTAGTACTTTATCTATTATTAATATATCTATCTCTAGATATATATTATTATAGAATATTATTATATTAAGTACTTTAGATATTATATAATTATATTATTTCTATAAAATATAAATATTAATTATATTTAATATCTTTTTTATAGTACTTATTATCTCTTCTATTACTAAAAGGTTCTAAATAATAAGATTACTTAGGATAACTATCTATCTAGTTCTAGTTAGATTAATTCTAGGTATTATATTAAGAGTTATAAGCTCTAGAATATACTTTATTAAGGCTTAATATATTATATAAGTCTTAGAGTATATAAGAAGGAGCCTTCCTAATAAAATAATTAAAATTTTATAATTATTTCTAGTATTTATTAATATAATTAACCTACTTTAGACTAACTTTATTATAGTAATAAGAATAGTCTTATTTAAATTAAATATAAGTTACTTAAAATTATATATTCTAGCTAGTATAAGTCCTTTTTTTAAATTTTTTAAGATTTATATAGCTCCTTAAATTATAAATTTATTAAAAATTTTACTTAAAATTATTAATATTATTATAATTATAAACTAATTATATATATATATAAGTATATAATTATTTATAATAATATATTTTTTAATAATAATAAATTAAATAAATTTATTATAAATTATTATTATATAAGCCCTTTTATTCTAACTTTTTTAAATATTAATAAGCTTATTTATTATAATAACTAGCTTAATTAATACTTTATAATATATCTTAGCCTAGTATTCTTTCTTATTAAAATAGCCCTAAAAAGTCCTTGTGATAGAGTTTAGGTTAGAAATTAAGGTACTAGTACTTTTATAAACTAGAAAAAATATATAAAAGATACTTTTTTCTTACTATCTTTTTATAATATATAGGTTAGAGGGGGATAAGGATTCTTATAACTATATAAAATTAGCTATATCTATACCTCTAGGCAGGTAATTAGGAGTTAGTACCTCTATCTTAGCTTACCACATATTAAAACATAGTTAGAGGAGGGGGAGAGAGGCAGAATATATAGTGGTTAGTTAGAGATATATATATTAGCTAGTTTTTATAGTAATTTGGGCCCTTATTCAAAGGTACCCCTGGGTTGCTGAGTGTTGTAAAGGTGTAAGAAGCATCATGGAAGCCATGAAAGTTATATAAGCTGGGAGGCAGTGCATTAAATATCCCTATACTTAACGCCACTGCCAACGCCTGTTGAAAGATAAAGGACTATGTAATCAAGGACTTGTGCCTCATTTCCTGTGTTTTAAGAGAAAATTTGATCCATCTTCATGACTGCCTAGCATATATTCATCAAATCAAATCCTAATTTCACCCTCAGGGACCCGATTGTACAAAAGAGAAACTTGACAAAGCCTATATATTTTACTGCGCTTGATAATTTGCTTGCCTGTAGTTATAAATAGCTGGTTTCTAAGACTCGGGACCTTCTATATTTTGAGTCTAGCTAGTTATAAGTAGTGCCAGGTATATCATCATGGGTCCCCAAAGCCTCATTTCCGAGCAACACTCTGTTGTAACCCGTACAAAGAGATAGTTACATGGATGGAGAGTATCTTATTCAACCCTTCCGCGCCCAGGCAAGGTGATAGTAGTATACATTTCCCACGGTGCGCAGTTCGGTCTCAAGATCCCTCTTAAGCTCATCAAATTCCTTCTTTGTAGGGTGTCCAGGTTTATCTGGAGGCAGAATCCAGGTCATTAGCATGTCCATCGACTCTGAGAAATAGAGTCAAGCAGGGGGTCACTTACCACCAAGCATCATCTTCATTCCATCTAAAAGGTGAAGTAACACTTGCACTGCTCGCTCACCCTGTTCTTTATCCTCCGATGCAGCACCAACTCGAATGGTCTGAATGTCCTCTTGGATATCGACCGCCCCAGCCTCTTTTAACCAAGTCACTAGGTAAGACCCTGGACTCGGCTGATTGCCAATTGCCGCCCACGCATTTACCATGATATCTCGGAAGGTGGTGAATGCAGCATGTTCAGGTCCCTCTTGGATAGATAGCATATTTCCCTCATGTAACTCAATCCACCCACCGGGCTTGACACACGCAAAGAGCTTCCGAACAGCGTCCGGGCCTGTTTCGTTTGAAGCTACCGTTAACACGAATCGCTGATGCACTACATCAAAGCTCCCCTGGAGCTCGACTGGCCAGGTATCCAAGATAGAGTGAGTCAGGAGCTGAACGTTGGAGGGGCGCCCTAGTTCGGCTGCAAAATGTTGAGGCGCAATGTCGGTGCCGATTAGCGTCGCTGAGGAAGGGACCGATTGTGCGAGATCGATCAACCATGTACCCTCTGCTGTGGCGGAGTCTAGAATACGGATATTTGGCTGATTGAGATCCACAGGGCAGTAAAGGAGTTTGCCATTCATCGATGTCTTGACGAGCGCATGCTGTGTTCGAAGGCGATCATATTCGCCTGCGTGCCTGGGGCCGCGGTAGGTGTCTTGCACTTTTATCATTGTAGATGTCATTTTGGACTTCTTCTTCTTCTTCTTTGCTGTTTGATGATAAAGGTATCTATCACTTACGATGAATCAATTACCCCTTGGTTACTTTATGTACTACCAATTTTTATGTTGCTCAAGTTAACCTCTCGGCGACTATAAATGTTGTAGACGCCCTGGTGCTTGGTTCCGGGCATACTCGCCGTGCTAAATATATTACATCTAGGCTGAATTCTACCGAGGAAGGAAATGGAATTGAACCACAATTATTTGCCTGAAGCAATTCACAATGGCCTCTACTGGGGAAGACCTTTCCATCCGCCCCGCGGTCCCTGAAGATAAGCTGGTCCTTTATGTCAAGAAGGGTGAGACCACTTTCCCACTCCCCGGAGGCTACATAGCGTATTCATTACGGTCCAATGCTAACAGGTTAAGCAGCCAGCCCAACCTCAACCGCCAACTCAGTCAAGCCACTGATGCTCATCGAGGCCTTGGAGATCCCCCACGCCATCCACATCATCAACTCAACTAGCAAGGAGACATGGTTCCACGCTGTGAATCCGTACAAAATGGTTCCTGCCATGGAGGACTTTGAAATCTACGAACGCAACGGCAAGCCTCGGCGGCTGAATGTATTCGACAGCTCTGCATGCTTGACCTACCTCGCAGAGAGATATGACAAAGATGGCCTCTATGGGGGCAAGGATCTTTGTGAGCGAACCATCATCATGAACTGGTTGATGTCTTATACCGCTGGATTGGGAGCAACAGGAAAGATCTGGCTCCTTATGAAGATGCCAAAGCCCGTGGATATTGGTGAATCACTGTCGGTACTCGTTCGGTATATTCGGACGGAATATTCCTTTCTGGAAGCTCGACTGAACGAACCCGACCAGCAATATATAGCCTTGCCTGACCGACCAACAATTGCAGATTTTGCAATATTACCCCTGGCAAATGAAACGGTTGCTGCATCGGCTGATATTGACTTTAATGAGTGGCCGAAACTGAAGGAATGGAGTGAGAGGGTTAGTGTGTTTCCTCCGGTTGCAAGGGCGCTGCATAGAATTGCTCGATTTGGATTATCAGAAGACGAGATTGCCGGACTAGATTCGAGTAATTAAATATATATATTCGTTTTTATTCAGGGCTCTTGGAATCAAATAATACTATAAAAATATAGTTGCGTGCCCTAGAAAGTTCAGAATAGCAACCTCTATTACAAAGGTCTCAGGTTAACCTCAACATCAGCAATAGGGACCCAGGCGTCCTTGCTGGTTTTATAGTCCCCATCTTTCTGCTTTTCGGTCCGTGGTAGTCCAATCTGATAGCGACTAAGAAGCTGGCAAATGAATAGCTTCATCATTGCCTCTGCAAAATGCTGTCCCAGGCATTTCCGCGTGCCAAATCCAAAACTGAATAAATTGTAACGAAGCTGAATGTAGTTGTCAGAAATCCTCACAGCATTTGCATCTAAGCTACATTTCAGGGACTTCTTACTTGTGTTGGAGACAGGTTCTTGAAGCGATATGGGTTGAAATCGGCACTTTTGTGGCCCCAAAATTCGGGATTATAGTTGATAGCCAGCGTGTCCACAACAACACTCGTCTGGTACTTGGATTAGGTTCCTCACGAGAGATAAAAGGTTGGAACACTCACATTCGCAGGTATTAAATATCCCCCAAGAACTTTTTTCTCTGGCGAACTCTCTGGGATCGTAAACACTGCAGTGAAGGAGTCAACCTATGTCCTTTACCTGTGGTTTATACCTCGAGAAAGTGACATACCAGTAAAGGGTCGAAGCCTAAGAGACTCCAGAAAGCAGTGATGCAACAAGGAGTCTTTGCGGTTGCACAATTCCTGAAGGGTCGACGTTTGGTTCTTGATCTCGGCTCGTAATTGGGCTTGTATCTGGACATCTTGAGCGAGAAAGATGACCAGCCAACCAAGGACATTGGTTGATACGTCTAGGTTCGCAAATAGCATTTCACTCATTGTCTGAACCATCTAATATTGGTGTAAAATAAAAAATAAGTGGCTGAAAAATAAGAGGTACTTTTTCTGCAACTCGCTTACCTCTTTTTTCGTTATCCTACCTTCAACAACCTCTTTCCAGGAAGTTACAATCGGGAGCGAAGGATCATAGGCCTGTCTGGTGGTGTATATTCGTTTGTTAAATCCGATCCAGTGCTCCTCAAACTGTAACAATTCGCGATGTGTATCTGGTTTCAGCCAGTGGTAGAGCCTGAATCGATATACTGAGCCAGATAACACGTAGCCCATCAACCGGAGGCTTCGCTGCCCGAGGGACCAGACCTCCTCCTTTTCTGCATCAGTTAATGGCCCATATAGATACTCTGCTGTGGCCATAAAGGGAAATCGGGAGAAGGAATTTGCAACGTGCAACGTGGTGGGATCTACCCCATCTATGCTAGCCAGGGTCGCTTCCACATTCTGTAGAATAGGACCAGAGTGGGCCATAGCCACACGATGAACAAAGTAAGGATCATATTGGGCCCTTATTCTTTTCCATCGTCCCCCATTTATTAGCCCCATACAGTCCCCAAGAATCTGGTGAAACATCCAGCCTCCATTGCTGGAGGTAGACTTGCTGTGACTCGCCGAGTCCGTATGAAACGCTCTGATATCTTCTGGTCTTGTAATGACACTATCCGGATCCATTAGAACCACATATTTTCTTGCTTTGTTCACCAGTGTAGATAGCTCATTGGGGACACATACATCTCCGGAGTGAACCCCGACCAAATTCGATAAACCGGTCCGTACTGCTGCCAAATCTGGCGAACTTCTCGACCACGAATAAACTTATCGAGACATTGTCCATCGACCCATTTCCATGCCGGGCCTGAAATTGACCTCCCACGCTGGTTTCGAGTCGGGTACACTGATAAGAGCTGCGTCATTTGGATCCTGTTAGCCGAAGAATAGAGGTAGATGTAAAACGTTGACTGACTATATTTCGGAGTACCCACTCCCTCAGTCTCCACACGAGAAGTATTCCGAGGAAGACAAACAAAGGCAGATGCCATTCCGTAGTGATATTCATTTTCAAATACACACATCAAGAACCGTGGGCTTAGACTTGATGTGGGACACCTAATACTTCTCCTATGTATATTTCTACCAGCTCTACTATCTAGCTTACGGCAAACTATAAGGCCGGCTCTAGACGATACAATCCGAGAGTCCCCCACCCTACTACAAACCGAAGGAATAGCTGATTTATACGCACTCCAGTAGGAGTACTTAGTAGATCTAGATATTGTGGGTCCGCTAGGGCCATATCCTACAAGGTACATTTCAGCTTCCTACGGAGTACAGACCGGATATTCCCCGATTGTGCATATACCGGAGAATAAACAGCACAACCAGCTTCTACAACAGGGCAGTCATCTGAGCATTGTTATTACACTAGTCTCTATATGATGCATTTCATCTGATGTATTGTATCCTAGTAGAAAAAAAATCAAACAGATCAATCTTGAGATTTTGATCGACAGGCATGATTGATCTCGGGGTTAAAGTAGGCAGTTACATTCCAGTTGTTCTTTGCCGAAGCCCAAGTAATGTACGTATGAAACCCTAAGCCGCTTCCAAGATCCCTATGACGGCTATCGCGGGTGATCTAGATTAGCACGCCATGGAAATAGCTAATGAAAAATGGTAGTGGAAATTAATTGCATACCATAGTCTCTTCACTCCATCATAGTAAGACCCAGTCATTAATCTCTTGCCTCGTTTCTCGAGGAATGTGGTTAGGCCTCGGGCGATTTGATCGTCATTTTGGCTGTAATGTCGCACAGGGAGGTATACTTTGGACTTGGGAGCGGATACCCCCATCTTTAACTCATAGTAATAGAGGAGACCTGCCGTTCGGTGGTCTTTGTCTGGGAGATCATCGCTGTCCTTGTGCTCGGTTGCGTCCAGCCCGAAGACAAGATACCAAAGCTCTCTGAGAGATTGTTCCTCCTCTTGAGATATAGATGTCTTCCCTCCTAACGTCAACATCTCTATCACACCTTGTAGCGTGGTCTCTCGAGATCGCACATATATTTTAAGTCGGGATTGAGGAGGATCTAGACAGTCAATAGCCATTATTTCCACCGCAGGTCGTGACTCTACAGGGAACGATTGAAGGAAGTTGGCGATGACATCCAAAGACGCTCCAAGAGAATTAGCCGGCTCTGGTAGACGTTGAATTGCCCGTGCAATAATTTCCGCATTTGAAATGCCCTCGGCTAATGCGCGACGGGTGGGGAGGTAATACTGCTTAACGACCATTGTGCTTTCCAAAAGGTCAAATGCCATGAAGCTCTGCGACTGAGGAACGTCCAAGGTGCCGTCTTCTAGTGTGTCTGACCTAGGGAGATTTTGAGACATAAACATCTGCTGAAAGTGTCGGTGCAAATAAAGATCAACCTCCGGGGAGAGCGGCAGCGTGTTCCCAAGCAAGCGTATGCTAGCGGCCGTGTTAAGAGGATCGGAACTGAGACCAGCAAATTTCCCAATAGGCTCGACAGAATACCGTGCCGTCGGTATCTCTGACTTCGCAGACCAGCACCAGCTAAGCTCAACTGGGCTATGGTCGTCTGTCATGAAGCTCTTCCAGGTTGTGGGTGGCCCACCTCCGCGGGGGTGTTGACCCAGTAATGGCGCAACTGATTCTCTGAAGAACTCCATGTGTAGGAGCTTTGAGTTGGAAGGATATCCGGCCATGGTCATAATCTCGAGGAGCATTTCTCCAACTTCCTGGTTCCATAATGATACGTCTGTTTTTGGCTGGTCTTCCTGAGATCCATGGTGGTCACTGTGTTCTGAGATTAAGGAAGGCTAGGAAACAATCAATATATAGAATATCCCTACAAAAGGACGGATGTATGTATCACTCATACCTTATCTCCCCCAAAGAATCGGCTCTCTCTCAGGGATTGTGTTCTGCCAGTGAGGATGAGCCCTTGGTCAATGATCCGTCAATAAGAACAACAGGTATACCCACAAGAAATTGAAAAGGGAGATGGCCATTCTGTCACTTTTCTCGGGCAGATGATGGTTCCAGAAACTTTGAGTTGTAAATTCAAACTTCAACGCGATGTCTACGCAGGTTTTAAGTCACATCATATTCAGACTTCTTACGTCTGTCTCACCTCTCCCGAGTCTAGTATAGGCACAGTGGGTGCACCCCCGGGGCTGGGATATGGATAGAAAGCCACTCGGCGATTAAAGAGAAAGACATCGATTTCATTCCTCGAGGCCTCGTCAGAGGTGGTGAACGGCTGTGATTCTCGCCACGTGTCGGACCATAAGCCATTTAAGGTCCACTACCGCCGTACAAGCGAGTCATTTCCATCATGCTTCCAGCACTTGGTGAAAATGCTCTCCAGTCGGTGTAAGCAGAGAAACACGACAATTATTCCAAGCCTTCTCAACCAACATGATGCTGTTCTCATGGGAAACGTCACGACTATTGATCTTAGTACAGCAGAAAACTGGCTAGTCAAGGGCATATTGCTCGACGGCCTAGAGCAAGCCGTGGGGGGATTATCGAAGGAGGTATGAAGGATTCCGATAATACGAACTACCTGACTAGTGAGACATACCGTATCCCTCTAACATATTTCACATCCTTCACTCGCAGGCACTTGCTTACTCGTCTGGCATTGGTGGATGTCCAAAAACCCGGCAGTGGATGGCTAACCTACTCAACTGCCGTTTCCACCCTGCAAAAACGGTAGATCCGTCGCACATTGTCCTTGCTGCCGGGGGAAGCTTTGCCCTCACTGCTCTTGTGGAGCAGATCTGTGATCCTGGAGATGGGATCCTGATTGCCACACCCTACTGGGCTGGGCTCGATATCTCGATTAGTGTGCATTACAATGCCACTATTATTCCCGTGCATGTGCCTCTCTCTGAATTCTTTCGTCCTGAAAGTGTCCAGTACTACGAGATGGCCATAGAGAATGCCTCTGTGCCCGTCAAAGCCGTGCTCCTCTGCAACCCACACAATCCACTAGGGCAATGCTATCCACGGGAGGCGCTCCAGGGAATGCTTGAGTTCTGTCAGAGAAGGAATTTGCATTATATCTCTGATGAAGTATATGCTCTATCTGCTCATTCACCAGTGCCAGTGACTTGTACTTCTTTCATATCAGCTCTCCAGCTGAGTACTTCAGAGATATGGGAACGAATCCATGTGATCTATAGCCTCAGCAAAGACTTTGGATGCAGTGGTATTCGAGTAGTAAGTTATTCTTCTACGCGGTCTTCCATCTGCGGGATGATTATTAACACAAATATACGAACCCAAGGGCGCACTGATAACACAAAACAACGATGCCATTCGCCTCAGCTGTGCTTTGAGCGTTCACAGCCAGGTCTCTTCTGTGTCGACTACTCTAGCAGCCCAGGCAATACTCTATCCAGAAATGGTACAGAAAATCTGCGGGCAAGGAGGGAAGCGACTGCAGGAAGCATATCAACTCATTTCGTCCTTTCTTGACGGACATGGCATTGATTATGTCCCAGTGGCGTATGGAATGTTTGTTTTTGCAAAACTAGGAATGGGTAATATGGTAGATGTTCAAGAGCGAAATCTGTTGTCTCATCTGAAGGCAGTGGGAGTTTCAGTATCAACAGGGACGAGCTATCATTTCAAGGAGCTTGGATGGTTTCGAATCTGCTACGGTGTGCCTCCCGGCCAGTTACGTGAAGGTCTCAGACGAATACAGCTCGGGCTGGAGAATTTTGCCAAAGACGAGAGCGAGCACAACTAGGCGAAACAATCAATGAGAAGGTTCAGAGAAGCTTAAGTATTCCATTGTATAACCTAGCGAAAGATTCTTGTTCATGCTGAAATCGAGTTCAAAAGTATCAACTCACCTCACCGCAGAAGAGGGTAAATGCTCTCCAGCTGCTGGCGAATGGTTCCAATTGTAGCCGTAGACACGAGATGCTCCATATACTCTAACTCGCAAATTGTGCCCCTCTCAGTCTCTGTAAATTCGATTAGAAGCGGAAATTTGGCGCCGCTGGCTCTTAGAGCCACATCTTCTGCGAGAATTCCCGGGAGCGAGAAGCTATTTGCAACAGAGTCATCTTTTCCGTTGTACACTATCATCACCTGGAACACCGTTCCTTCACCGGCCAGGCGACGGATAGCCTTGAAAGGAATCGAGTAGGCCAGTGCATCCCGAATAGAGTTCCGGACGATGCTTATGAGATCCATTGGCCTTGCCAATGCCATGTCAATGTTCCTGATGCGTACTGGCAATCGGTCCAGGAAAACGCCCAGTAGATCCTCAGTACCTGGCTCCATACGGTCGATGTAAGGGATTCCAACCACAAGATCCTTATTTCCCGTTGCTTTTGCCAGAGCCAATGCAGACAGTGTTACGTATAGCTCCATTGACCCTGACAATATCCTATCGGAGCCTAATATAAAGGAATCGGACGCCCCTATACTGTCATGCATATGCTTGCCCACGAGAGGAAATAAGGGAGCCGGAAGCCCCGACATATGGTCATTCCAGTAGGCAATATGGGGCTCTGGCGCGGATTCAATTTGACTGGCTTTCCACTTTGCCCATATTCTATAATCTGCTGCAACCTGGGAATTCCTGTTCTCAAACCCGGGTCCGATGCCTTCTTGAAGAGCCATCCGGTAGAGTTCCTGCACCTTGGAGAAGAAAATTTTGATTGCAACTTTATCCGTGATAGAGTGATGTTGGACGATGATGATACTGACCCCATCAGGATGTTGATCGGTCATGATCCTAGTTAGCGGACCCAGGAAAAGGTCAAACTCTTGATTCACAAAGTCAGTGATTGTGATCTTGGAGGTTTGAGCCTTTGATACTTTGCAATTTTTCTGAGACTGGCACCTTGAGACCCGGTTTTCCGTGATTTCGAAACAGACTTGGAAAATCTTCTCCCTGTTCAGAACTACTGCAATGGCCTTCTCCAATACCTCCACGTTCACATCTCCTGTTAAGCGCACCTTGTAGGCCACGTTAAACGCTTGAGGGGAGGAAGACGAGAGAGAAAGTTTCACAAACTCCTCCTCTAGGTGAGAAACTTCGGTATATGGAGGCTCTATAGACCTCCAGGCTGCGGTAAACGACATATTGCTAGCTGGTTTCTTATTTTGCATGGCCAGATACTCCTCGATTTCTGCACTCAACGTCAACAAGGTTGTATTCCGTATAAAGATGGTCAGTGGCAGCTTTTCGTTCAAGATTCCGCAGATCTTCTGCGCAACTTTTATCTGTGAAAGGGAATTCCCTCCAAGGACCAGGAAATCATCATCTGGTTCGATAACCATCTCATCTGGTAGGCCAATTGCCTCCCGCCATATTTTTGCTAGCGAAGATTGGAGTTTTGTCAATGATACTTGGCTCCTCTTTCCGGTAAGGACGGGGTAAGACTGCAGAGTCTTGCGATCCAGTTTCTGGTTAGGGGTAGTCGGTAGAGCAGGAAGAGCCACAATACTGGAAGGGCAAGCATAACTTGGTAATTTGGATTGAAGGGCTTCGTGGATAGCCTGGATGGGCACAGTTTCCGGCTCGACAAACGCGACGATATTGTTTCCACTCACGATAGCCGCTGCCCGACGGACTTCGGGGGTGACAACGCGGATGGCACTTTCAATTTCCTCCAGTTCAATACGAAAGCCCCTGACTTTGACTTGATTGTCAACCCGGCCCAGAAATCGAGGTTCCATATCTTCCGTCCACACCGCGCGATCCCCAGTGCGGTACATCCGTTGGCCCTGGACGAAAGGATCCGCTAGAAACCGGGTCTTCGAGAGCTCTCCCATTCCTGCGCCTAGATAACCAGTAGATACCTGGATACCGCTGAGGCAGATCTCCCCCGGAACTCCAATTGGGACCGGCCGACTATGGGAGTCAAGGAGATAAACCCCGACGCGAGGAATAGTGCGGCCTAGAGTAACTTCTCTTCCAGGTTGCAAAGGTTGAAATAAGCAGCCGATGGTGCATTCACAAGGACCGTAGGAATTATACACTGTGCGATTTCCAGACCAACGGTCGGCTAAAATCTGCGGCACTGCTTCTCCCGCGAAAAGAATTGTGTCTAGGTCTGGAAATTCATTCGGATCACACACGGACAAAAAGGACGGCGTTATCATGGTTGCATGTACCCGGGATAGGTGCGCGAACGGGTCTGTTGGATCGGCTAGAACTAAAGTTGCGCCGTGGCAGAGTGTGCCAAATATCTCTGCCATATTGACATCAAACCCAGGAGAGAACATTTGGGCATGACGTCTCCCCGGCCGAGCATCCATCCGGGCCGGTCCATACGACAAGTATGAAACGACAGACTGATGCTCAATGGCAACGCCTTTGGGGACTCCAGTAGAACCAGATGTAAAAATAATGTATGCAATATCTTTTGGTTTTGTCACCGTCTCGAGTCTGATGGACGACTGTTTGGTGCATGGCGTACTCAAGACCTCATGAAGGAGAAGGGTCTCTTCAGAGGCTGCTTCTGAAAATCGGCGATAGCAGTCTTCGTTGGGGAAAATACAAATCTTTGCCCCGGCAGACTTAGAGATCGATCGCATTCGTTCGATCGGCAGTTTGGTATCCAAGGGGACGTATAATGTCCCTGCCTTGATTGTTGCAAAGACTGATATCACCCACTCTAAACTCCGGTCACTTAAGATAGTGATAGGATCTCCAGGACGAACACAGTCTGCAATTGCTCTTGCGGCGTGATTTGCCCACAAGTCCAGTTCTCTGTAAGTGACTGACTGCGTTAATGACTCAATAGCTATCTCATCAGGCCATTGATCTACTCCTCTCTCGAAACAATCTTTAAGATTCGATGGCCCGATATAAGGGTTAAGAAGGGTAGGTGAATTGTGAGTCAAGCGGAGGAACTCTGCCGAATTCAACATTCTATCGCAGACCTCTGAGCTTTTCGTGCATTTTGGATCAAGTAAGGCGAGTAATATGTTTCGAAAGTGCTGCATCATCCGTTCGATCACGGGCCGAGTATACATCGTCTGGTCGAATAAGGCAGAGAGGCTGAGGTTTTCACCATCTCGCCGAATCAGAATAGTCAATCCAAACTCTGGCACATCTTGCCGACCACATTTCCACCCACTGCCACTAAATGACGGCAAATCATACTCTAGAAACAGCATGGTTTGAAAGATACCAGAATGGCTTCCTAGTTTGATCTTCTGCAACGACTCCGCAGCTGACCATTGGTGCACACCAACTTGAAGTACAGTATCTCCAATGTATGTCAAAAGATCTGCTTTAGAAGCAAGACCTGCCAAGCTCACTGGAAGCGGACAGGTGTTGAGGATTGGACCGACCATTTGGTCAATTCCGGGGAAATTCAAGTTTCGTCCGGAATAGACAGTGCCAAAGACCAACTGGTCATGGCCAGTGTAAGACTTCAGCAGAAGTGCCCAGGCAGCATAGATCATGACTGCAGATGTGACCCCTTCCATGTGGCATATTTGTTCCAGCTGTGGCAATGGAAGGTCGACGCTCACTCGAGTCTCGCCAAAGCGGCTCTCGCTGTTAGGGGTCACAGGCTTTGGGAGATTCAAGGAGCCCGCATCAGACACTGTTTTCATGGCCTCTTTCCAGAACTGATTTCCTTCGTTCTGGATATCATTGATATGACGTGGAATTTTCTGCGCTAATTGCCAGAATTGAGGAGGTTCTTGGAGTGCCTTTCCTTGAAGAATAGCTTGGACCTCTTCCATAATGAGTCCCATGGACCAGCCATCAACACGGCTATGGTGTACTAGCCAAAGCAATACCGCTTCAGTAGTGCTTGAGGAGGTCAACAAGCGAAAGGCATTTAGTGGGCGAAAAACGTCACTCTTCTCCTGCTTCTGGGTCAACTGTAACAATTCAGATGACTGAGACTCAATAGCGAGTGAGAAATCACAATCAGCAACACAGTGTTCTTCCCACTCTAAGGGGAAATCCCCTTCAACTCTTTGAACCCCGTTTAATGGGTCAAATACTGTTCGAAACATGCTATGCCTTCTCATGACCTCTTGCCACGCGTTTCTAATTCGCTCCTTGTAGCCCATATCCAGGCTCCAGGGAAAAGTGATGGACACCAGCATATAGCTCGCCGCAGAATGTTGTAGAGAGGATCTTATCATACCAGTCTGTGTCATCGTCATCGGGGCAATAATCCCTCGCTTCGAGCGAGCTGCGTTTTCGACTTCCAGTAATAATTCTGCGTCGGGTTTTTGCTGCTCGTTGATCCCCGACACCTGCTCCAGACGCTCAGAGAGAACCGCCAATGATACAGGTCCAAAAAGATCTTGAAAATGCATTGTAAATCCTTTGTGGCGCAAATTCGACATTAATTTAATTGCCCGAAGAGAATTACCTCCGAGCTCCCAGAAACTGCCGTGTGTCGAGACTAGGTTAATGTGTAGCCCCAGTGCATCCGCAACCGCATCCCTTAAGACAGATAAACGTTCTTGATTCTCGACTCCCGGGTCTGCTGCTACTCCAGTCTTTGCCATGAAGGAGTTTTGCAAACAGGCTAGATCAATCTTTCCATTTGATGTTTTGGGCAGTTCTTTGTGCGCCACGATGTGATCAGGAACGACGAACGAATCGTGGGACTGAGTTAGCTCGCGTCGCATTTCTGTCACATCGATCAGTTCTGGCATAATACACCCGATCAACTTGCCTTCCATCATGAATGCTACTGCTGCAGTCACTCCAGGATACCGAAGCAAAACAGGCACAACATCCATCTCAAGATTAATAAGGTATCCGCGGTTTTTGGCCTGGCTATCTCCTCGGCCACAGAATACAAGTCCCTCTGGAGATCTGCGAGCATGATCTCCGGTCCTGTATATTCTCTTCCCTTGCCATTCGATGAATCTTAGGGTGGTCAATTGTTCATTTTTGTAATATCCAGCAGCTAGACCAGGTCCACTGATGCAGATCTCCCCTTCGCTTGATTCCTCTAATTGATCGTTCAGGAGCAGTAATTGCGTTTGGGCCATCGGTTTGCCCAAAGTAATCGGCACTCCTGGTCGTAATTCCGCCATGCTTGTACAGATAGTGGTCTCTGTAGGACCATAGCAATTGAAGATGCGTCGTTCAGGGGTCCACCAACCCTGCACGAGTCCAGGGCTAGGAGATTCCCCTCCCAGGAAGATAGATTTAATATTCTTATAACTTTCAGGGTCCTTGATTGTAGCCAGGAGAGATGGTGTGGCGGGAAGAATACTACAGGTTTCCACATCCTGCAGCAGTCTCTCGGGGGCGGAGAGAATGAGATGTCCTCCGTGGCAAAGGGTGCTGAAAAAGACTCCCCACGCGGCTGTTATTATCTCGAGTTTAGCAAAAAAGAAAATTACCGATTCCGTTGCGCAGTATTCACTCACCATCGAATGCAAGAGAGAACAGTAGTAGTACTTTATCACCACAGCCAACTCCTAAATTAAACGGCATGCCCTTGTCCGTACCCTGCTGGACATAGTTTTTCACGCAGCGACGGGGAATTACAACTCCTTTAGGTGTCCCTGTGGTGCCAGAGGTGAAAATCATGTATACAGGTTCGTCCTTACTGCGATCAACGTCAATCAACCCGGTAAGTGAACCCTCGTCTAGCTCACTTCCCGAACCCTCGAGAGCTGCTCGTATATCTTCTGCCGAGATCTCCTGAATATTACCTGTTTTAAGGGAGGTGTTTCGGGCAGTCACTACCAACTCCGGTTCGATTGCTTGCAACACTGCATCAACCCTACTCTGACTCCAGGCTTCCGCGTCCATAGGTACATAGCATACCCCCAGTCGTAGTAAGGCGAGAACAGACGCCACAGTCTCAAGACATCTAGAAACAAATATCGGGATTGTATCGCCAGCCTTGATGCCACGCGCAACGAAAAGTCCAGCCAGTCGCCTAGTAGCTGCGGCAAGCTCTTGGTAGGATACTGACTTCTCACCTTGTGAGACAGCCAGCGAGCGATGCGGTAGGTTTGCGTTTCTTTCGATTAAACCCCATATCGATTGATCGCCACGCTCTTGTGTGGAGCAGGGATCACGTCCGTGTGAGTTGGTAGCTGAGGCCATGGTGTTGTGGTCGAGCGACTATCGCGATGAGTGAAGGGATGATGATACTAGGGTGGATTTGCTCGAGACCCATTGAACCAGGCCTCTGGTTCTTAAGTCTAGGGAATCTGATATCCTCTCATACCAAGGGACTAAGATAGCAAAACGGCGATTAAATATCGGTGGATATATATTCGGGATGTTCCAGTGGAGATTGTTGGGCCAGAATGAGAAGTCTCTCCCGTTCCATTGATAGCAACTAATAGTCGACTCTCTAGCAGGGCGTAGATCGAACAAACTAGCATGAATATTCACTCAACATCAGATCTTGATAACTAAATTGAACCCAACTTTAGAAAGCACAGTACTCTCCTCGGAATCAAAATTCACCTCCGAGAATAATCATTCTTATTACACGAAATGGTGTCGCTTAACTAGACAACTCTCAACCAAACAACGGTTTCTGTCCCAGAGCCTCCGCCATAATCTGAGAAGCAACACCCATGCCAGCTAAAGAACCTGAGAAAATCGCATGTGGCACATTCTTCATCATCCCGCAATTATCCCCCGCCGCAAAAACTCCCTTAATGTTTGTTTCATAGAAAGGAGGGCCGGCTTTTATATCACCACTAGGAGCCAGTGCCAGTCCCATTTGTTCTGCGAATGGTCCTCGAACCTTGGTCCCTGGGGTGTGGGCGAGGAATGCCTCAACTGTACTGCTCCCATCTTCAAACTCGATAGATACTCCAGCCCGGTCAGAATATTTCGAGATGCACTTGATTTTCCGTGTATCAATCTTCATTGCTGTCGCTGTTCCAAACCCGGCCTCGATATCCCTTCCTACTTCCTCTGAACCATTTGTGTAGAATGTGACGCTATCGCTCAGAGCTGATACTTGTCGAGCGACGTGAAGGGCGACGGGTGCCTTTGAGAGTCCACCAATCGCGAGAACACCAGCAGAGGGTCCACCTCTTTCTTCATAACCTTTGCAGAACAAACAGTGGAAGCTAGTGAACGTTAATACCACTCTAGAGAGTTTATTGATGATAGAGATTGGAAGAGTAACATACATTCCCTTTCCCCAACATTCACCATAGCCGTCAATATCGGGGTAGATATCCTCTACGCCATTCGCCAGCACCAACTTTTTACCTTTCCACGTCTTTCCGGTCTTGTCTGTAAGGCTAAAACTATTTGTGCTGGCGTCCTTTTCAACACTTGAAACCACTGCTTTTTCCAAGGAGATATGGCCGTAGTTAGAAAGAATATTCTGTCTTGCAGCAGCCCTAAATTCGGATGGATGGACATGGTCGAAACCGGGAATCAGGTGCATATAATCTGCCGCATCATTTCGGTATGTTCCTGCGTCGAAAACAATCGAAGTCTGTTGTTGACGAGCCAAGGTGAGTGCAGCTGTGAGTCCAGCCGGACCCGCACCAACAATAAGGGCATCTACTGAGTGCGGTTTGGACCTTGCAGCCATGGTTGCTTCTGTGAAGAAGGTTGAAACTTTGGCAAAGGTTTTCTGGATTTCGAGAATTTCCCAGATAAGTTTGCAGCTGTAACTGCGAGAGAAACAATAGCTCAGGACTGGAGAAGCTAGAGGGGCAACAACCCTGGAAAGTGCTTCTCTTTATTCACCGAGATATTGGCCGTCGGCGAGTAAGCTATCCCACAACTGCCAGGGTAGTTTATGCGCCTTTTCTGAGCAACAAAGAAAGCAATTCGTATCAATTTCATTAAGCCCCCTGCTCCGAGCCAATACCCGGTATGCCTCTTTGTCCTTAACATCGACATGAGTACCTTGGCAACGCCACACATCCTTCTCCACAGTGAGACTCTCGTAGTATTACATCTATATTCTTATCCTCGGCGACTAGTAGTTTCCAAGGCCCATGATCATGATCGCTCATCGGCGCCTTTGGTTGGATATGATAAAGATGTACTTTCTACAATTCATTATTCAGTCTCTCAATCCTTTCCCTGCCAACATTAGGTAGCAATACGCAGTGACAATCCTTAGAACCATGGCAACTCCCGAGCTCCAAGTCCCTGTCTCTGAGAAGATAGTCCAAGATGTTGACCAAAGGTACTTCCTACCACGGAATGTGGAAGAAGCAGAGCGCATGAGAAACCAGCATGAATGGGTAAAGGCATGCGCTGGCGGGCTCGTTCTGGCTCCTATTGACTTGAATCGCCGCGGCCTCCGTGTGCTCGATGCTGCGACTGCAGATGGTAAGTCGTCAGGTTCTAGACTAGGGTACATAAAACTAACGAGGATCAAGGATACTGGATGCAAGACGCGAAATCTGTCTTTCCATTGGATACAGACTTCCTTGGATTCGACAGCGCGTAAGTTAGCTTAACCCGCAATAAAAATAACAATTCTTATGTCTTTTCCCACTCAGTCACATAACTAACTATTCATCATGACTATAACATTACTACTACAGTCCAGAAAGCTATCCCCCTCTCCCAAGCACAAACCCTACCACCCCAGCAACGCCACTAACAATCACCAAACAAAACCTCATCGAAGACTTCCCCTCGTCATGGACCAACACTTTTGACTTCGTCCACCAACGCTTTGTCATTCCCCTATTTAAGGACGTTGAAGTGCCTCGCGTCCTGCACAACCTTACCAGCTGCCTTAAACCGGACGGATGGATCCAGCTCGTGGAAATGGACTTCACCACATTCGTCTCGCAGCCACAAGACCAGTGCAATTCATTCCGGATGATCCATGAATTAACGTCGAAGGTGGTTTCTGATCCGCTGGCCGCGACAAAGCTTGCGGATCGGTTAAGAGAGGAAGGCCTTGTGAATGTTGGGTTTCGGGCCGTTGACATGGTTGCAGGGGCTGCTCATGAGGATCCCGTAGTTGGGGAGAGGGGAGTGAGAAATATGTTATCGATCTTGGAGTTTTTTAGGTCTGTGACTAGGTAAGTGGTTCTATTATTCCTACCCTGCTCTGTTCTATTAAGTACTGTAAAGCTAACCAACGGTTATCTATTGATTGGCATTATATAGCCCCGATATGTTTGGGATGTCTGCCGATGAATGGGACCAGTTACCGAAGAATTTTGCTCAGGATATGAGAGATTATCGGACCGCTCTACGGGTTTACTTTGTTTGGGGTCAAAAGCCTAGTTCTTCATAAATCTCGGGCCGAATTGTATAGGGTTTTTTGGTTCACTCGGAAATTTACAATGCCCAAAATTATCCAATAAAGAGTTAAGTAGTCTCATCCAATTATGGTGAAGTCATAAAACCGTCCCTTCTTTTACTTGGGTTGAAAAGATGGCTGTCACTGGACGCGTGCCTCATATTAAATCTCCCTTCTTTTTTCCAGAGTGAATTAGGTAGCTCATTTCAATAAATCAACCGTCCCTACTCTGTGCGGAAATGGCTGATTCATACTTATTGATAACCCCATTCAAGAGATCGGATACGCTCCTTGACCAACTCTGCATCAACAATAGTTTGCTCTGACTTGATTCTGACGCGTCTGGAACTCTTTATAAAGCCCATCACCCCACGCATTACTAGAGAGCTTAAGCAAAGCATCTCTTGCAGGAGTTTCTATAAAAGCAGATTAAGTATCCTCTCTGACTTGAACATTGTATGCAAATGTGCAATTTTCTTGTGGCTCATGACCATATTCTGTGAATGCTTGTCAAGATGTCAAATGGATTGTTGTACATATTGGCTAAGCCTAATGAAAGCGGCGACTGCAGAGGATTCATTCAAACACCACACTTGTGACAAGCATACAGAGTTACTCCTGCTATAAAGTACTCCATAATCAACTATTACTACTTCCACTGCTTATAAAACCACGAAAAGGAGTAGTTAATTAACAATTGCAGCACCTTCAGTAAATAGATCTAAGACAAGTATCCGTACGGAAACCAAATACCATACACCCAATGAACAATACGACTCAAGCCGCCCGGGATGGGGCTATGTAGCAGAAGGCAGCCGCATTCCGCGCAGCGATACTCAAATTTAAGATGAGCTACACGAGGCACTTTTCCTCCGTACTGCTAAATTTATCGCGGATGGGGCTTAGGACTGGCCTTGGGATGCTGAAGTTTGGTATAGGACAGAAATCAGGGGCAGGTACCGTGTATTTTACTAGGGCTCCATAAAGGGCGGTGCTTGCAAGGATGTCAGACGCTGGTGCACAACTGAGCCTCGTTAGGTGGACATACTTTACTCTGTAGGCAAACTAATCATTTTAACAATTTTAATTAGCCAGGGGCAATTAAATGAGTCTTCCTCGTCTCCTCCGTCTCCTACTAGGGTGAGAGACCTTACTGTCGTTGCGACCGCTGGCTGGTCGTATCCGTTTCAGCGAGGGTTGAGACTTGAGAGAATGTGCAGATGTCAGCACTGTTCGAGATTGGGCTGGAACTTTGGAAGCCTGTATGACCGGAATGTACGCAAGTTCTGCTTAATTAAGGGGCTACATTCCTTTCGTGTGGTGTTGCCATTATGCTGAATGTTCAATGATTCTTCTGCCAAGTTTCTGAAAGTGATAATAATGTGATGTTGGTCGTGCACGCTACATTCTTGGTAATTTCCGCTTGGGCTTGATCGAGTTTTGCTTGCGGGTGGCGCTCGTTAGGGTTGAATTTACTTCCATGAGAGAGAAGTGAGGTTGTTGCCTTGACTGGTCTCTAAAACAAAGCCTCGGCGATAATCTGCCCCGAGAAATCTGCATAATATCGGCCTAGGATATTGCGTTTAAGGTCAAATATGGTACCGATGGGATCAGACGAGATCAGACAACTGATCTCGTATGCGGGATGATCTCATCGCTCGTTCTTGGGCCCGGTTAAGCGGTTTGTTATTCGACGACGGCACGAGTAAAGCGTTCAGCTGATAACCAGTCTCATGCAGCCCATCTTGCCAGAGAATAATGAGCGAAAGTTGTCTGAAGCTGAATTTAAAGTGTGATCTTCCAGTTGGAGAGAAAAGAGGCTCATGTGAGGATTTTCAGACTTGGCGGTTGGTGGTGGTTTGATTTGATCCGGGGAGAATTCTTGTGGCCCAAGCTCTCCTGTTGTTATTCCATTTAGGTTGAATAACTTTCAGGTTGGTGAGACGAATACGAGTACGGATACTCTTTCTATCAAATAATACCCAGCCGATACCAAGTAATTTGGGAAGCGAGGAGGCTGTGGTTTGGGCTCATCCTTTAATCAAACTGTCAACTTAGTTGCCTATCACCCGTACGGAGTAGCTTCTGCTGAAACATATTAATTCCCTGAGCATGTATGAACCTGTACAAGTCATTCAGGAATATCAATTCAGTACGGAGTAGATACATGAGGATCGGTGCGGCTTGCCGTAATCTCTACGGAGTAGGTACTCCTAATTTGCCTGGAGTACTCCGTATGTCATGTACCGTGTTGGGTATGATCTTGTCTGCGGTAATTTTATCGATACCCTTCCCTTGTTGGGGGGCAGTCCTGACTCCTGCGTACCAATAGTATAAAATAGTGTAAAATAGTGTAAATAATAGTGTATAAACATCGTTCAACAGTTCAACTTGCCAAGTACTCCAGAAGTCTTCATTGTAAACCATTGACGAAATATGGGGTGCAGCCTCCAACTCGTTCACTCGGATGTTTTCTGTGGGTAAAGGGTCATGCATCTTTTATCTGGCCGTTGGGGGACGGGGCGAGGAGGAAGTTGGACAGCGCACATGCCGGAAGATTAGTTTTGGTTTGGCCTTTGGTTCGGTGTCAGACCATCTGGTGAAGGACTAAGCTATGTATTGGAACGAATAGGATGGCAGAGGAAGCGCTATAGTATTCGACAATAATGGGATGGCGGGATGAGGGTTTTCTCAGTCCGGATGACGCCGGAATTATCAACTCTTGGAGAAAATTGAAGGAGGTGATATCTTTGAGGATTGTGCAGCTTCTGCACAGCTTTCCTGTGCATTATGTGGGTTTGGGTCAGTGTACTGGACTCTTGGTCTGCACTCTTGAACCGTCGAGGTAGCTTACAGAATTATGCGATGGGGTATTTATCAATTTTCCAGCAAATTAAATGTCGTAGTCCTCTATGATGCGACTACTCCATACTCCGTAATGTAGGTGATAATGATGAGATCCAGCCCAACATCCTCTTTTTGGACATCAGGGACAGCGGATCGGATCTTGGCCTCTAGTTACAGTCTGTGATTGCTGACTGTACCACCTTTATAGGTCAAGCGAAATTTTGTTGTGGAGATCCACGGCTTCCAGTTGGGCTACTGGCAAATTAGTAGTACGGAGTGCTCCGCCTAGTATCCAGGGGAACTGGATTCTGAAAATATGAATATGAAGCTGGGCCATGGACAGAGGAACAAAGATCTTTGAAATTTTGAACTTTTACGATCACAGCGCTTGTCATTTCCGTCACCACCAAAGTTCCGCTCTCTCCGCAATAACACTTCAGATATGGGCGCTTACACTTTGACTTGATTAAATATAATGTATAAGTTCTTTCAGTCTAATGAGTTAGGTACTTCCTATCATAAATATCTAATCGGAGTACGGAGTAATAATGAAAGAAATCTTAAGTCCATAGTTTGGTCATAATCAAAAAAAAAAAAAATTCTTTCTTTCTTTTTTTTAAAGGGTCCACTCAGGATCCTCAAAGGTTTTGGTTCGTTCAGGCTGCCAGGCACCTTTCGGAACTGGTATGCTGACACGCCGAGGTCTTACGGACTAACCACATCCGGATTAGTCTTTACTCTAAAGGGTATAGTCCCCCTAATTAAGGACTCCATAATGACGACACGATAATCAGAACAACGGTAATACCAATACACAATACCGTCAACCTCGTGTAATGGTACCGTACCCGTACCCGTCGCCGTCCGTCGCCCCATCGCTCCTCACGCTGGGCCTGGCGCTTCGCTGCTCGGCACCTGCAAAAATCCTCAATCTCATCTTTTATGGTCCCGCCGTCCACTCTTCTTCTCTTCTTTCTCCCTAACTTTTCTTTTTCCCTTTTCTCTCCCCTCTCTCTCTCCTCTATCCTCTTGTCTTCCTTACCTTGTAGCCTCATCTCCGACTCCGTGGCCCTCTGCATCCCTCGCGACCTCCGGGTTTCTCTTTCAATCTTGCTCGCCCTTGCTCTCCGCCGCCTTGCGTCAGAGAAACCCCCTACAACGTGACGGCTCAGAACAACCTCGTTTGGCCACTGGAGACCGGAGCCTCTGCTACTAATTTCATCGCTACCGTTCCAATTTTAATTTCTCCGCTTAACGAGGCGCCTGTCTGTCAACAATCAAGACGTTGGTGCTCAGTCCCTAGCGAGATCGTCACGTTGACGCCGAGTGACCCCTTTCCGTCATCTCCGGGTAGCGACTTACATACTGTCCACCCCCCCCCCCCATCTTCTCCGGATTCCCTGCGATATTCTGGAAACTCTTCGTTCACAGCCGGAAAAAGAAAAAGAGAGAGAGAGAGAATACAAAAAAATCAAAAGGGAAAGAACCGGAGATAATAATACACAGCCCCGCCTTCGGAGCTTGCTGCAGACATGAATACTACCCTTCCTACGTGGAAGGATCGCACACAGAACCAGTTTGGCAAGCTTCAAATCCAGGTTCCATGGCGTTCTATCCAGCTCCTGGTTCCGCATCGCATGCGACGCAAGATCAGGTCCAAGTTGCGCAGCAGAGTGTCTCCTACCTCCTCAATATCGACCCTCCAAACATCGTTATCGCCAGGCGACACCCTGAGGTCGCTACAAAGTCATCGCTGGACCATCTATGATTTTCAGTATTTGCTACTGTTGATTGTGGGGATTTTCTCTCTCAGCGTCATTGAATCACCCGGGCCTTTGGCCAAAACTGCCATCTTCACTCTGCTTATCTTCTCGCTCTTGGTTCCTATGACCCGCCAGTTCTTTCTGCCGTTTCTGCCAATTGCCGCATGGCTAATCTTTTTCTACGCCTGCCAGTAAGTCGCTTGGTCCATCTTCGGATGGCTATTTACAAAGTACCTTATTCTATTTTTTGGGTTGCTGACCAGACATAGATTCATCCCCAGTGACTGGCGCCCCGCAATCTGGGTCCGCGTACTTCCGGCATTGGAGAACATCCTCTACGGCGCTAATATCAGCAATATTCTATCTGCTCACCAGAATGTTGTGCTTGACGTGCTGGCCTGGCTACCTTACGGAATCTGCCATTACGGTGCTCCGTTTGTGTGCTCCCTAATCATGTTCGTCTTTGGACCCCCCGGCACTGTCCCCCTATTCGCACGGACCTTTGGCTATATCAGCATGGCTGCAGTTACTATTCAGCTGGTATTCCCTTGCTCGCCTCCATGGTATGAGAATCGCTATGGTCTCGCCCCCGCCGATTACTCCATTCAAGGTGACCCTGCTGGTCTTGCTCGTATCGACAAGTTATTTGGCATCGACTTATACACTTCCGGCTTCAAACAATCCCCAGTTGTGTTTGGCGCGTTCCCATCGCTGCATGCTGCCGACTCAACTCTGGCGGCCCTCTTCATGAGCCACGTCTTCCCCCGCATGAAGCCTGTTTTTGTCACCTACACCTTGTGGATGTGGTGGGCAACCATGTACCTTTCACATCACTATGCGGTGGATCTGGTTGGTGGTGGTCTGCTCGCGACTGTTGCCTTTTACTTTGCCAAGACTCGATTCCTCCCTCGCATGCAAAGCGACAAGATGTTCCGCTGGGACTACGACTACGTGGAATTTGGCGACTCTGCCCCTGGATATGGATACGATTTGGCTACCTATGATGGGGACTTCAATCTCGACAGCGATGAATGGACCGTTGGTTCCTCATCATCCGTCTCCTCTGGATCTCTGAGCCCGGTTGATGACCATTACTCGTGGGAGACTGAAGGTTTGACGTCTCCCAACGTCGATGTTGAGTCAGGGAGACATGGGTTCAGTCCCTAATTTTGCCCTGACCAACTCTGATCTGCATATAGCGAACCCACTTTTCTTCACTGCATCTATTTTACGAGACGGCGTTATAATTTAACGACATTCTGGTTTTTTTTTTTTTTTTTTTTGCATCGAGCAGATTTCGACACATACATTTTTAATACTTATCCTTTCAGCAGTCTTGGCCTAATGGTTTTCAGCCTTAATGTCTTCAGACTGAATTCGCCTGGATACTGATTTTTTTGACGCTCTGCTTTTAACTTGACATTGTACATGCATAAATTATCGCGAACCCGGTTGGGCTCTATTGTGGCTTGGGTTATTACTCATTACCACATCGTTGCTCCGTCTTAATACTAATACCGAAGTGCTTAATGGGACCCAATGGGACTAGACATTACCTCGGTGTTTGGTTCATGAAAGACTTTCCGACGCCCCTTGTTGGTGGCACTCGCTTGTACACAATTCGTGTGGGCCTTTTTTTTTTCACACGTACCTTCTCGAAACCTACTTCAGACGTTCGTTATTTTTTTTCCTGGTCGAACCCATCCTTTTTTTTCCTTCGTTTCGACCAGCCACATACTATTTTTACGTTCGTGTCAATCGCTCAACCTTGCTGGCGCTCAGGATTGGAAGCATTACATTGGGGGGGAAATTAAAGGGCGCCTTTTCATTGCACCTCACTCGCTGTGCATAGATGGTTTTTTTTTTTGTTTGTTTTACGAACTTTGCATTGGCATATAGAAAGAGGGAATCGGATGTACCTTTTTTCTTGCGCGCAGGTTTTCACAATCGCTCATCCTGAAACATATTGCTCAGACCTAGGTACTTGTGGTGGAGGTTTGGCGAAGATGTTATTTTTACAGGAGCATCTTAACTACGCCTTCCCCGTGCTGGAGCCCTACTGGCCAGCCATTCTCTTTGCTGTTGAGGCACCGGATATGTCTTCTCTCACCATCCCACCTAGATTTTTAATACGCTTCCTGATTCGTCTTTTTCGATTGAATCATGACAGGAAATGCTATCATGGCGGAGAACCCAGTTGTATCTTTATGTAAATATATATCTTACGAATGTGTTATATTATTATTACGCTCTATTTCTAAGCAACTACGATAACTGTCTAAGGAACTTTGCGATAATGTACCCGATGTCGATATCTTCGTCTTGGTACCGATCAGGTAGAGTCTCGGCCAACTACCTTTCGAAATTTACAAATGCGAATAGAGAATAGCACATATAAGTTCTAATTTCCTTGATCTTCACAAATATAGTTCATATTTGTACTAGGAATGGCTTCCCAGAAACAGGCCGCTCCTTGAATGACGAGCTAAGAATCTATTTGTATCATAGAAGGCAAAGTCATCTTGGCTCCTTCGATCTTAGATTGACATCTGGGGTACTTCTGTCGTTTTATCTCATGGTTCCCTCTAGTTGCACCGCAAGTTGAATAATAATAATACAACCTCCTCTCTCGCTGATTCAGTTGTAGTGCTATGCTACGTTACTAACATTAATGCAAGAGTCCTTAGTGACTCCTGTAAGGGACCTCCATCTAACACCACTAAACTTCCCCACTACTGTAACGTTCTGTCACTCTACCACTTAGAGCTCAATGCTAGGTACTTACCGACACTACCATAAATATACAGCGACTCGACTTACCTCAGAGGAAATAGACACGAAGTCAAACACATTGCGAGGTTTTCTGAAGCTAACAGGTAGACGTTACAATGGGTTATGTTTAACCCAACTGGACACCCGAATAGATATCTACTATCGAGGCGGACGGTATAAAAATGTAAATAGATTGAAATCAATTCAATGATATGCTAAAGTTCGCTTCAAAATATGGCACCTATACAAGTGGCATATCAGAAAGCCGGCTCGGCGAGCTGATGGTGGTAGGAACAGCACTATGGGACCCCCGAAGACTTAGGGTTAGAGTTTATAATCGACAAAGCAAGAAAGCACAAAATAAGAAAACATAAGAAAAACATATATCAACAAACCCATTTGCTTTAACTATTTCCATTCAGGACTCCTCACGGAGATTCGTGAGGTCGAGACCCATTTTGAAGAAGCAGTTGGACATATCTGTACTCCGTACACTATTCAGGAATCAACAAGATTGCTATAACCTGTGGATATGTGTACCATCGGACCACAGCGCACAGGACGGCACAGAAGACAAAAGAGGCGGTGTTGGAGAAGGACAGGATACCCTGAAGACGACAGGGTAGACCCCACCAGGAAAGGATCTAATTCTCTTCGCCAGAGAGCATGTTTATAGCGAGGCAAGATAGGAGACAGGCCCCTTGGCGATTCGTTGTTGCCGTTATAGGTATTGCCTGGAGCGGGCCCCAAATTTTGTTCCATAATGAGGAAAGACCGTGCTGCTTGTCTGTCTATACTCTGGGTTCGGCGCCGGAATACATAGCTTGGATATTATTGATCGGATGAATCGTATGATCAGCATATTGCCTTTTTCACCTTGTGGGATCTGGAATCGGAAACCATTGGAGAGAGCGCCTGCATCAGAGAATAATTGATGTTAAGCCCAAGCAGTTTCATCATTTCATTGAATTAAAGAATAAGTGTCTCAGTGAGTCAAAGAAGTACTACTACTTCGATCGTCGTTTGAGAGGGCCCTCTGTGGTTCTTTCTGGCCAATCATGCCTCCTGGACGAAGCGTTGTGTTAGGTACTTTTGAAGCTAGGATACCTACCCCAACCCGATGAGAGCGAAAACCAAGAGCTCTGATTTTTGGTATATTTCATGTGCCGTTGCTGATACGTTGATCACCAATGGGATCTTCAATAGGTGGGTAGAGTACGGAGTAGATATGCGTATTAGATATGGGTGTTGTAGGAGAGAAACGTCTGTTTTCACCGGTTGAATGAAATTCTATCGGAAAGCCATGTACCATAGATGCACTACCCTGTGCCACCATCATCCTGGGTGAGGGCTGCTGCCTAAAGTAGGGCCTTATGAGAGATACAGGCAGCCATGTGGATAAAAAGCCTGTAGTTTCCGTTCCCAACCTTGTGGATGCTTATCACCACCCCCGAACCCATTAATCTTCTCGAGATGCAAAATCACCGCGAATCACTACTGGGCTCCGTACCAAGCGCCACTGGGCCCGTCCGCCAGCTATATCACCATCCTGGGGATCGAGAGTCCGTGCGGGAAGGGGCCGCCCAGGGACAGTTTGATGAGCTCCGGTCACTGGCCTATAATCGAACCTGGTACATCACCGACAGATATTGCGGCATTGGAGATGGAGTGGATTCAATTGACGACAAATTACATGACTTGTGGCATATATACTTTGAGATGAGTAGACATATACCGCACGAAAGTTCTGACCAGGATCGATTGGTGCTGGGGATCCTCCGCATCCAGGGACGAGGGCCGCTGTCAAGACGGTCACCAGGGCTGTATGGCATTGATATTGCAAGGACAACAGACGGAACGCTATGGAATGACCTGCCCTTTTTGGTCACGGATATGACCGACTACTGCATCAACAACTTCGCGCAGATGGGGGGAACCCAGCGTCTCAACTTTGCATACTTCCTTGCAAAGCTGGCATCAACACGAATAAGCAAGGACAGGCTTTGCCAAATCGCCCTATTCATATTCCGCAATACATTTGAGGAAGGGCAATGCCTCAGCACCCCGGATGATCCCGACGATGAAAAGCCAACGCGGAGTATCACTGCACTTTCCATTGCAAGCTTGCTACCAGCCGCCTGTGCGTGGATCGAGGAGGCGGCGACTAATCTCATCCTGCTCTCTGAAGTTTCATGGAATGATTGCCCTAGCACTATTGGTTGGGGTGGCCCGCTTTTCATTCAGTCAGAGCTAGGGCAACGATCACCGACTGGATTCACACCTTGGAGATGGATGTACTGGCTCAAGCGATTGCATGAAATCCAGGAGGACGCAGCCCAGGCTGGCGAGAAACGCATTGAAGATGATGCCGCAAAAGCTATTAGGATCATGGTATACCTTGTGGAGGAACGGGGCTCTGAAATTCTGAGAGCATATGAAGCCGGGGGGGCTGGATTGCATCAGGATAAACATCTATTATGCCTAAAGACTGTGTTGGAGAGCCCCAGCCTGCGGCAACATAGAAATAGGGATTAAATCAAGTATCTACTTTCTTGGTTCTAATTCTCCTAGTTTCAACCACTCGCAATTGGATGCTCGCTCCTAGATGAGCAGTTTTTGGATAAATCGCAGATAATTGATTGAAGCAAATACTGAATGTATAACTCCAACCCATTTTCCCCATACCTCGCTCGCAATCAGCGTGGAGATAGGCAAATACCCTATTATTAGGGACATTCTAATTATTTACACTTAACCTCTCTAGTCATACTATCCCATTCGCAGTCTTGCTCGTCGCGGGTACACTGAAGAGATTAGCAGGGTACAGCGGATCAGCTGACTGGAGATCAGTTACCCTTCTATTAGCAAACTCAGGGCATTTGACCAACGCAAACAGGCCACTTTGCGTTTCATATCTACATTCATTCTTGTCTTTGGTACATTTCTGCGGGGTGAATCCAAAGAGTGAGCAGAAATTCCCCAGCGGGTCTGGGGTTTACTTACCCCAGGATAGCTAAGGAGACTGTTATCACCGTCTCTTGCACCTAGCTCAAATGATCCGGGAGAATCGGCCTGAATAGGGCTGGCTATGGCTCCAAGTGCAGCAAAGAGGAAAAGCCCAACCGATGCGAGTAAATTGATCTGCATGTTGAGTAACTTAGGTTGCTGATCTTGTGAAAAATACACGAAGGTTGGAGTGGCAGGAAAGATAGATGGAAGTGTCTAGGAAGAGTTGTTGGGATTAATATTGAGAAGAGTGTAGCGTTTGGAGGACATCTTATAGAGAACGCATTGTAGGTAATCCAAATTCCAACACATCCATATTGAGGGCAAGTTCATGGGTTAGATGAATCACCCAATGGCAATATTGCCTCGACATATGCGACAGTAGTCTGCATAGATAGCATATACTTGTGTATGGTGTGTGCCTTTCCTTGCATGGACCTCTGGTGCTGTTACATGGTAGAACACTCTGGTAAAGATTGTAGATAGATTATTAGATTGGATCTATCTAAGCTAGAGTCGCGTACAGGGAGCAGACCCAATTATCTTATAAAATATCAGCCCAGTCAGGTAAAATTTAATATAGTAAAACATGTCCACCCCCTTCCAGCTACGCCTCGCAGGTAGGATAATGCAAAAGAGTTCAAAGTAGGACTAGAGCCAACGAACAAGTTCTACCTGCTCTTTGTTGATTGGGGCAATTTGAGCGGCACGGCAGTAATCAGCACTGGTGGGCCTAAATAAAAGAGAAAACAATAGAATCTACCTTTTACTAGCTAGTAAGCATCCATTATAGATGGGCATTGGTCCAATAATCAATAAGGGCAATAATTAAAACCACCTACTACCATGAGCTTGTGCCAGGTTAATCTCAACAACAATTTAATAAAGAGCATTGGCATATAAAACTTATGATAAGCGCGGGCTCTATCTGATACGTTACCTTGTCCTGACTCCTCCTTGATGTGAATGTCCACTATTTGTAACTATTCCTGGATCTTCCTTGCGTATTTGTTCAAAGTTCTTTGTCCTTGGTAAAAATGAGGATATCGTTAATGTACTATATACTCTGTGCCAGGCTGTGTAAACCTTGTGTTCACTCCATTAACTTTATTTGGAAATGATCTCTGATCCTCCCCTTATTGTGAATGGACAACTGTTGGACACTTGACGCCGGATCACCAGTCAGCTGCATCCGCTCGTCTCTGTTGAAACTAGACAAATTAAAACTAGCGGAGTACCAACAAGTCAGTACTGTTACCGCCAATGCCGAACCTATGAGACCCTACCTCGTGGAGAACTTGCAGGGGGTGATATTAGGAAAGGAACATATGGAATCATTACCCTGTCGAACATACTCCGTACTGGCAATACGAACTACTAGCCCCATACCTGAATCTGGGAGATCCCGGATTCTCTCCGCTAAAGAGCAGAAGGCCAAAGACGGATGGTTCGACAAAAACCTCGAAAGGGGATACGAATCAGTACAACCCAGCCAAGCACTTAATCGCCAACCTGTTCTTTGTTCTAGACGAAAAGCAAGCTTCGGGCATGCCCCAACTGATATCCACTTCCACTTCTCATAGCGTTATTGGGAAAAGCAACGGGGTCACACTGGTACACGATCATCAACATCGAGAACGCCTTCTTCCACGTCTTGTTATAAGATGGCAGCAAACACAAAACCACATTCAAAATGCAGAAATGGGGTTTACAAATTCCCATAAAGTGGGCCAGTAGGTGTGTTTGTATATCCTTATATTAAATGCCAAGATGAGTGTTTGGAGTGTAGAGTGCTTGTTGTATTGTGTGTATTGCTAACTATCATGCTAGAATAGGGGCTATTGTAGTAGTAAAAGATAGCCTGGTTGCTTGTTTTGCACAATTGTTTCTCCGGTCCGGCAGACACGTGACTCGTAGACCCTAATTCAGCAATTCCTTACCTTGGAGGACTCCTGCTAACTATCATAATGTTCAAGGCTACAGAAACACACGGCGACGGATATGCCCGACAAAAACCCCTCTCACAGAGGATTTCTCTCTCATTCAATTAAATTTTCCACCGGGGTCTGATACCAATCCAGGTATTGATATGCAAAAGTGTCACTTATTCCAAAATCATGGGCATGTATTCCTGGGACATCCCCGACGCGGCAACTCCATGCTACCATCAGTCCTCAGTTGAGATAACTCGGGCTAAGGGGCATTAACCACATCAGTCTGCTTCTGCGTCATTTCTACGCCAACATTCGAGCTGTTGTAGCGATATCAGCAGCTAGAGAAACCCCATCACCAACATGAACACCCTAGGCAGCTATCTAATTGGAACTTCTCCGTCTCATAGTTCTGTGTACGCTGGGTATTGGCGCTAACGTGGCAGTCTGCCAGGGTGATGTCGCACTTCGCTGGTCTTCCAACTATATAGAACTTAATTCTTGGCGATATGTTTGGAAAGAGGTCTTCGGGATCAGTCGGGTACACAATCAGCGTCAGACGTAACTCGATTCTTCGAAGCAAGAATGACATAAAAGGGGCGATACTCGCTGCCTTGAGAAAACTTCTCTGCCATCAACACACTCAGGAACTCTCTGATTACAAGCCAAGTCACAAACTTTCTTTCTGTCCAAGAAGCCTCTTATCCAATCCCATTACAATGAAACTTACCAACACTGCCATCTATGCCATCACCGCCATGGCCACTATTGTGACAGCAGTCCCTAGCCTGGTTGTTGGGGGTGAGAATTTCTTCCTCTTCAATGGCGAGGAATCTGTCATGGTTGAAACAGACTCCTTCGCTGCAAATACTACCAATATCCTGCAAGTTTTAGCAGAAGGTGACGTCGACTGCAAGGGCTCTGCCTTTTGTGAAAGACTTGGCTCTAGCTGTGATGATGCCTACCGCAAAGTTATTCCCAGCAACACCTACACTACCAACTATGAGTATGTCTACGCTGAAATGACAACGGATTGGGTTTACCCTTGAGCTAACTTAATAAAGTGCTGCCAATACTGGAACTTGCAGTGGAACCTGTGGTCTGTTTGTCAGCGGATCACACTGTACTGTCATAGGGCAGGATCTGATGGATGCCTACAACGACATTCGCAATAGGGGCCATTGCTCTCATTGCGGGCGAAAGCATATTGCAGACGGCTGTATGATTAAGATTGACCGGGTGACGGGTTGCTAAATGGAGCCCCAACTTGCCGTATAGACAGGAGGTGTGTATGGATGTATTTAGGGCTGCAGCCACCAAATGGACTGTATCGTTATTTGTCGGTTTCCAGACTCTAATTGGTTTATTCCTTCGAAGGATTAAGTGGCACAGCTAGCTGCTTAAGCGTGTAACTTAGCTACCGAATTAACCCCACAGAGAAGTTAAACATGTCAATCAGTGTTGGTGCCCTAATTTCTTTTAAACTGTAAACCAATTAAACCTGTTCGAAAATATTTCTCTGTAATAATTGCTGTAGGGAACGCAGCTCTGAATGAATACTACCCTTTTCTTTCGGGCGAACGGCCCTTAGTTCCACCCATCTGGATCTGGTGGGGAGAGCAACGAGGTTCTTGCGATGACTTGCCTTGTGTCCTCTCTCTTGACCCCTTTTCTACCTACTATGGGGTTTGGTTTCCTCTCCCCCCCGGCCCCCCTGTTTTTTTTTTTTTCTCTCTTTACCTCTCCAAGGTATCCTATCGAGCTGTCATTCTCGTCATGATCCGACCACGGAGCAACTGGTACTTCCTTCGATGGGTGTTATTCGCAGGCGCCGGGGGGGCTTGCGGGGTTTTCATCTACTTGATGTGGTTTGGGATGAACTCGGACCATGATAATGTTCCCGCGCTTCTCACACAACTCATCCCAGCAGGCCACTGCACCTGCCAGTCATCCACTACATTTCAATGCGCTGACTGCCTGTCCTGTCTTGTCTTACCGTCGCCGTCGCCGCCGCCACCACAACCATCTGCACTTGAACCGGAACGCCCCTCAACTTGGAGTTTCCTGTACGAGCGAGATGACCAGGATCGAGGTCTTAGTCAGAGTCAGTGTCAGGCATCATTTCCCGGTCTCTTCCAGGACGTCCGGCGAGGAGTCGAATATTGGAAGTCGAGAGAGGGCGGCATATCGATTGACGATATGAATGCCACCCCATTTGAAGACGGTATGGCCCGCGCGATCATTTCCAATGGGGAACTATACGTCGTGGCCACGAAAGCAAAAGGGGAGGACCACCGGCGCAAGATCCTTGCTACTCTGGGATCTATCTACCGAGTTCTATCCGCGTCATCGACTCGGAGGTGGTCTCTCCCCACGATTGAGTTTATCTTCTCTATCGAAGATCGTGTGGATGACATTGACGCCTTTGGTCATCCGGTCTGGGTATTATCAAGGAAAGTATCGGAAGAGTCGGTCTTCCTGATGCCCGATTTCGGGTACTGGGCCTGGGCAAAGAGTAACATCGGCCCATACGGACAGGTAGTAGAGCGGATCACAAATGCTGAATCCAGGGTGAAATTCACGGATAAAGAACCGAAGCTGGTTTGGCGGGGGAAGTTGAGTTTTGCACCAAAGCTGCGTCGGGCACTCTTAGACGTTGCACGGGGTAAACCTTGGAGTGATGTGAAGGAGTTAGATTGGACTAAGAAGGCCAATTTCTTAACAATGGAAGATCATTGCCAATACATGTTTATTGGGCATGTTGAAGGTACTCTTTCTCTTTCTCCTCTTTCTTATGTTCCGAAGGCTAATAAGACATATATCCAGGTCGCGCGTACTCCGCATCCCTGAAGTACCGTCAAGCCTGCCGGTCTGTAGTCGTTGCACACAAGCTGCAGTATATACAACATCATCACTATCTCCTGGTATCCTCCGGTCCCAACCAGAACTATGTGGAAGTTGAGAGAGACTTCTCTGATCTCCCAAAGCAAATAGACGATCTCTTAAAGAACGTCGAGAAGGCAGAGCGCATAGCAGAGAACAGTGTCAAAACGTTCCGAGAACGATACCTAACCCAAGCGGCGGAGGCATGTTATTGGCGAGCTCTGTGGGATGGATGGGCTGAAGTCTCGTCGAATGTCACACGCAACGTGAAACGACCAGCAGTTGAAAGGGGGCTACGATATGAATCATTTGTGTTGCTTGAGAGCCATGATATGTTAAAGTTTTCGTTTGGGTCGGAGTCCAAGAGGTAAATACTAGAATAAACTATATTTATACATCTCCAGCCAGTAATAGTACATATGGGGTGAAGCCAAAATAAAGTTATTTTCCGTTCTGACATCCGTGCATCCGCACCCCAGATAAGATAAGATAAGCTAGGAAAATTGGCGTCAGTGGCTTAGTCATATTTTGTATGCAAAATAACTAACTAGTTACACAATCTCTATATGAGGAAACTTGGGTTTAAAATACTATTAATACCTGAAAGTGCTTTCGGGAGACGAGATATATTTGAAATACAGGATTTACTATCCCATTGAATACCTATCAGGTTGCAGTGGCTTGCTGCATGGACACGGGCTTGTAGCATAGTATTTATTTATCTTATTTCATACTCGAAACATCAAGCAAGAAAAGCATTGATAAATTCTCAATTAAGGCCTATAAGATATACAATAAAGTTACAAAATGACTACAGGTGAATAAATCACTCTGCTCAAGCAGCGCCATCCAAGTATCTACCTCCTAAGACTTCTGCCTGGAATACCTTGTCTGCGCAGGTAAAATAAAATTAAAACAAGAAAAAGAATGAAATATAAATGCCAAAAAGACAGACAAAACAGGTTTAATAGGTCTAATTTTATCTGAAACTCCCCTTCCTAATAAGCAGAACAACCGGAACGTAAACAGGCGAGTAAATCATCAAATGAAGCATGAAACACCCATCAGGGTGTGTGTTTATTTATACATTACCTCTAGGTATTATTTATACCAAGAGGAGAGGAAAAAAAGACGGGAAAGAAAGAAAGAAAGAAAACTGTGTCACTCTTCGTGAATCTTGACTTTATCTGCGTACTCCCGGATCCGCGAGACAAAGGTCTCCTCGATTTCGTCGCCCCGGCCGCCGGCGACGCGGAGAATCATTTCGTTAAGTGAGGCTCGACCTAGGATATCGACATGATCGCCTGGTTATGGTTGTTCATTAGTAAATACAGCAATGCCTGAATGACAGCAGAAAGGGAGAGTTGGGGTACCTGTATTAGGACCACCTCGGGGAGAAAACCTGTCAGGCTCGTGAGGCATTTCAAAGACCTTGATTTTCACACCGGCGGGATTGTATCGTTTGATGTGCCAGCCCTTGGCGCACATGTATCCCGTACTAATAAGGTTGACGGTGCCGTCTCCCTCGCCCATGAGGACGCCGTGGTCGGCGCCGTCATTAATGGTTACGGTTGTGTCGATACTGACATTTAGGTTTACGAGTGGGTCAGGCTCTTCGTGGTAGAAGTAGCTGCGTTCGGTGGGTTTGCCGACGCCATAGAAGCAGTAGATTTTCATGTCTGGGGCGAGAGGCAGTCGTGCTTCTAGGGGGTTCAGCCAGGTGCGAGGGTCCTTCTCATTTGCTTCAACTTCGGCTGCGGTGGGTGCAACACCGTGGGAGTAGCTGCTGAGGACTTGATCACGATACCAGTCTTCACTTTGGTTGAGTAAGTATTCTAGGCTCTGGGAGACGGTCAAGTTGCGGCGTGTCCAGGAGGAGTTGGTCTCGCGGAAGTTCAAGAGGTTGCCAAAGGTCATTGATTGTCCAGGCTGGTCATCAGGAGCCCAGGTCGAGTTACCCCAGACGGCCTCTCCGCCCTTGGGGAGCATACTGGAAATACCTGGCATAGCTCGGAATATCTCTGCGCGTTCTTCCTTAGACAGGAACTTCTCCAACCCGTACACAGCAAAGGCATTTAGTTGTGCTGTATCCCGCATTTCACCCGAGAGCACGGCTGTAAGACCCTTAACGGCGCCTAGCATGCACCCACTGATGTTAATCCACGACGCAATATGACGATTGACCCAGTCAGAGCCTCCCTTGCCGTACTCCGGGTTCTCAACCCACTTGAAGAAGAAAAGCACAACCTGCGAGCCCATACTGTGGGAGGTTAGGGTTACCTTCTCCCCGCTCACCAGCACAGCGGTTTCAATGTAGGACTTAAGTCGGCTGAAATAATGGTCGCGAGTTTCCAAATTTAAATAGGAAAGTCGCCAATCGTACGCGGCCGTGAACGCATTGGTCGGGTCATACCCAATACTCGCGAGATTCTCAAGAATCTTGTTCCAAATCCAGTACCCTGTTATAAAGAAATCCGTAGCATCGAACCCTTGCGCCGCACGCAGCTTGATGCCCGGCGGATCCAACCCAGTCGTTTTATCTAACATAATGTGATTTTTCCACTCCGCTTTGTCGAGAACCAGGGCGCGCATCATACTCCAACTACCCCAGAGCCGGCGCCGGAAGTAAAGCCGCGATACCGTCCCTGTTCCCCAGCTCTCCAGGCCCGTTGAAATCACCCCGGGGATCATAACCACCGGATGCTTCGCTTCAATTCCCTGTGCCTGGAGCTGCAGACCAATGGAGAACGGATCGTAGCTGGCAGCATCGCGTTCATGTTGCTACTCCAGTTAACCACTGTCCATTCAAACCCACGGTTAATTAACCAAACGGCCCTCTCTATTCTGCACATACCGACAACTCCCGCACATCCCTCATTATACTCTGCGGAATTACATCCATTAGGGTATCCAGATTCAGATCCATCAGCGACTCCAGACTAATAACATCCTGGTGGTTGGCGAAAAAGACCGCGCACAAAATCCCGAACACGCCGCCCAGCAAGAAAATAAGTCCATTGCGACGTTTACTCTTCGGTTTCGTGACAAAGGCAAATTTTGATTCGCGCTTTTCTATGATGATATCTGGCGAGGAAGAGTTATTCGGGGGTGGTAAGTCTGCGGAGTCTTTTTGTGGTGGCTGCCGCTGGTGGCCATCGTCATTGTTGTCATCCTTGGCCGGACGACGGCGGATCATATGGACGAGGGAGGGGCGGAGGGAGGGAAAGATCGCGAAGGGAACGAGAGAAGGGCACGGACGGAGGGGTTAATTAGGAAATACCCGGGTGTTCCAGAGCAGCTAAAAAAAAATCAAGCACAAAAAAAAACAGAAAAAGAAAAAGAGAAGAAGAAGAAGAAGAAGAAGCTTTGGTTGATGGGCCGATAATAAAGTTCCTTGTTATCAAAATCACATGGAAGACGCACTGAAATTCCGTGCGCTCCGTCTCTGCCAATGATCGAATCCAACTCTTCTGCATCTCCACAATTGCTTCACCAACATCATCAACCTCTGCTTCTTTCCCTCTCTTTGATTTCTCTCTACTTAACTCTCCTTTAACCCTCTTAATTACCTCATGAGTCCACAGTACTGCTTGTCATGAGCCAAAATGTTGTTCCCCCCGCAACCACCCCCCTCCGCTACGTCCGCTACGACCCAGTCCATGAAGACGAATATGTCGCCGCAATGAGACAGTTGATCTCCAAGGACCTCTCTGAGCCCTACAGTATCTACGTCTACCGTTACTTCCTCTACCAATGGGGGGATCTCTGCTTCATGGCGATGGATGACAGCCCCGACGGAAAGGAGGACATGGTCGGAGTCGTGGTTTCCAAGCTGGAGACGCACCGTGGCGGTCCATTACGCGGGTACATTGCTATGCTTGCTGTGCGGGAGGAATACAGGGGTCGAGGGATTGCGACCAAGTTAGTCAGGATGGCGATTGATGCGATGATAGAGAGGGATGCAGATGAGGTGCGTTGGGGGGGGGGGGTTTCTTCCTTACTCTTTCTTCCCCAATAAAGTGCAACTCAGTCCATTGGAGAAGAAACAAATACTAACTGGCTACTTGTTTTTCGTGTACAGATTGCCCTCGAAACCGAAATTACCAATACAGCAGCGATAAAGTTATACGAGCGGCTGGGCTTTCTCCGCAGCAAGCGATTGCATCGGTACTACTTGAACGGCAGCTCGGCCTACAGGCTTGTGCTATATCTAAAGGAAGGCGCAGGATCTATCAGGACAACATTCGATCCCTACGCTCCTCCGCCAGATCAGTCGGCCGGTATTCCCGCTCCCGCGCCTCCTCCACTGCCGTTGCTGCATGAAAATGGGAGCTAGGTGCTTGGTTGATTCTTTCAACTGAATCGGTATAATTAATGACATGACTTGCCCATGATTACGACCCATGCGTTGCGCGGTTTCAGAAGGAAGGAATCTCACCTTTCTTATCGAGGTCACAAGCTTTATGTTTATGTTGATGTTTCGTTGTTTTTTCTAATAGATTAGCATTCTATCTTGGTGATGTCTCTCTCTATATACAGAGGCAGGAGTCATCCCTGAGGGGCGCAATATACATTTGATTGTAAGGTACACGGCGAGGTTTATACAGTCCAGATAAAAAAGCGAGAAAGGGTATGAGACAAGAGAGGGAGTAGTAATACAGGATAAGCATAGCGTATGCACAAGCAGATGAACTCAAATATTTGAGTAAGAGAACAGCGGCTCGTTTATATAGACAACACCACGGGAACACGAATAGCATTCTGCATAAGCCATTTCGTATGGCGCGGGACCCCTTCCCATTCCCGGTCCATCTCCGCAGCAGCCTCGAGCATGATCATTAATGGGTATTTAGGAGAATACCACGAGCCAACCTCGATATCACGCTGGATCAACATGCGAGCCGCACGGCGCTGTTTCTCACGTTCTTCCCCCTCCAATTTCGATCCCGCGACGAGATACGAGACCGGATGCTGGTGAAACTCCCGGGGGAAATTCTCCGTGATCAAGGTCTGAAGTGGGTAATCGCGAAAACGGAGGTCGAAGCCCACAATGACTTTGCCTGCGCTGGTGCGCCAGAGGGTCTCCTGCTCTGGGAGGTCCTTTCGTCCAATGTTCTGGGTTAGGGAGAACAGCACCGCATCCTTCATCTGGAAGGTGACCGTTCCGTTGATACAGGCGTAGGTCCAGAGGACACGACAGATGTTGTAATGTTTGGCTTTGAAAGCGATTAGGAAGAGTCGTTCACATGCTTGCTTGCTGAGTTTGAACTTCGCGTCTGGCGAAAGTAGGAAAAGATAGTTGAGGATTGAGTAGAAATCCCGGCGGAATAGGAGTGCGATCTGGCTGATTGTCGGGGAGATTGGAACGTCCATGTTACACTCCTTGCAAATCTCCACCATGCGATCCAAGGCAGCAAGGTTCTTCTGATGGACAATGGCATTGAACATCTGATGAACCAGAGACGGGGAGAACCAGTTCAACCAGGCGGTCTTGATTGTCTTATTGAAGAACTCGTCCACGGTTCCCCCGCTTGCTAGATGTCTAGTAAGAGTATCGTGAATTGTCAATTGAAGCGCAGAGCGCAAGGCACGTGGCTCCTGCAGAAGCCCCTTCCGCTCCATTGACTTGATAAATCGTGCTTTGGAACCCGGTGAAATAAGAGAGTTAAGATAGGCGAGCCAGGTCATAGAGTTCGGGCGGATACCCATGCGTGTCATGGCTGGTAGAGCACTCAGGAAGAAGGGGAGGCTCTGCCTCTCCGCAGCAGATTTCAGGAGGATGTTAAAAGTATCTACGGTCACGACAGCCTGACCGATTAGAAACAATTCCTTAGCTAGAGTTATGAGCTCGTGCTCAAGAAGAAACTCCAGGGCTGAATTCAGCGCGGCCGTAGAAATCAGAAACTGGTTCTTTTCATTCTTGAACAGCGCCATCAAAACCGCCGCCACCTGCTCGCTGTGGGGAAGTGGCTGGTTACCCTTCCCCCTGATAGCGTGCTTGGACGGTAGAGATATCGTGAGTTCTTCCACATGCTCTGCGAACTCCCTAACCGTTGACACCCGCTCAGAACGATCGAGAATCAAATCTAGTAAGACACCCTGCGGACCCGAACGAGTATCCCAGACACCCCTGATACGCGGCTCATCCGGTTTCCTCCTTGACAGTCGAGCAGAGGGAAACACGGGAATCACCGGCTTTCGAATATCAACCAAGGGATCTCCCCGCTCCTGGAGATCTTGGACGTGCTTGATGCGATTGACCACCTCACTAACGGCCGCCGCAGACCCCGAGAGAACAGCCTTTCGATCAATTCCCTTGCTCTCGGATGGGGGCAGCACATGCACTCGACACCCATGACGCAGCGGAACGTACCAAATGTTCTCTCCCATCGACGCATCCGACACGCCAGCCAACAGGGCCAGCGTGTGTTCGGGAATCAAGATCGTCTTCCGCTTTTCCCCCTGCGCATCTCCCCGAGAACTGTCCTTCTTATCAGGATCCGACAATCTCTCGAGCAGAGTTCTGATCTTCGCGTCCCACTGCTTGGTTCTCGGGTGCGGCTGTAAACCCTCCAGGCCTTCCACGTAGTACGCGCGATTCCGCAGCTTCCGTTGGTCTCTCGTCGACAATTTCGGAACAATAGCCGCCGCTGGCCTCTCCGTTTTCGTTTGCCTGTCCCGCGAATTTTTCTGCGTCCGCTCTAGCTCAAAATCACGAAACATGTCGCTAAGACGTCGTCGGCTACGCGACATCATGTGGAGCACCTTCAGTTCGCCCCCGCTCTCGGGCCCAGCAAAGGGATTAAAGCCCCCATGATCATCGCGCATATTAGCCGTCAGTTCATCCTGTGCTTGCCCAACCGCTGATGCAGACTTGGACTCGATATCCTTCTCTCCATGGTACTCAGGCTTCTCTTCCTGCTGCCTTCTTTGCAACAGGGAATCACCAATACCCTCCGTCCCGACCCTGGTCCCAGTTCCACTTACAATTCCAGTCTCCGACTTCGACTCCGTAGCCAACGACCCCCCCGAGATCCACCTTCTCGAGGATGCCCCAAATGACTGCTTTCGATGCGGCACTGGCCTCCGAGTATCACGCCTAAGAGTCCTCCCCGAGGAATTCACGTGTACGGACGAGGAGGAGGAGGAGATTGGACGCCGTTGCTGCTGTTGGTGTCTCCGCCGGAACCAGTGAGGGTAAAGAAACAACAACAGTGGTTCATCTGCTACCGTGCGGGTCGCGGCATGGTCGAATGTTGTTGTAGGTGCAGACAAGCCGCATCTTTTCAGACACTGGCGGCCACGCGGGAACATGGAGGAGGGAGACGAGGGTGGAGAGTGTACGACATGCAGGGGGGGGGGGGGGGGGGGTTTGGGTGGTTGGTTGTGTCGTATCGTATTGTATTATATAAATGGTGCCGCAGGTCGGGATTTGTTATAGTAAAGGTGAGTATGTAGTGCTATGTTGGTCAACTAATCGGTTGGGTTGGATTGCTTCGTGGAACTTTTTTTGATTCAGCGGAGGTGAGGAAGCTGAGGCGGTGGAAATTGGTGTCGAGAACTAGTACATAGGCGGTCAGGTCGGGAGCTTGACCAAGAACACTACTTAACTCAACGCTAACTTAGTTACTTTTATTCTGATTTATAAATTCTAAAGCAAGTAGGATAAATGCATTGCGGGCTTTATGCTATTTACAGGGACAAGTGTTTAAGTGGTAGGGTATATGATGATAGTAGTGGCGAGGAAATCCAAACCCTGCGGATGTTCGGGGAAAGCTCGCCAGTGCACCATCAGGTCATGGATCAATAAATGTGAACCTCATGGCCAATCTCCGCTTCTTTGGGGATACCCTTGATTGCTCCTCCATTGTTCATCGGTTTAAATGAAAATTTGCCCGAGTATCGTGATAAAAGACTGGTTCTCTTCGTTCTCGGGGTTAGATCTAGCAAATCTGTCGTGGAGTCCTGCTCCTGAGTCGGTGCAGGCTCGTGGAAGACTTCGGGATTGGTGAGATGATGTCGGCCTGCCTCGACTGCTTTCAAGAGATATTCCTGTTTGCGTCGAATGTCTTCAGCTTCTCGTCCCGTTGTGCTTGTCTGGGCTGTTTCCTGGGAGAGCTCGTGAACGGTATCCTTGAAGTAAGTGAGGAGCTGCCATCGAGACGCTTGATAGACGAATCGCGACATGACTTCAGGAATCTAAAGCACATCAGTATTTGCAGGTCGTTTTGACGCTGAGGCATATGAGGTAGCCATACCTTTCCATCCAGATAATAAAGCTCATCGCCACCCTCCTCAACAAACTTCCTCACAACATCAAGCTTCTCTCGATCCACAATCGCAGCCTTCAACGCCAACATCAGCGTAGGAATATTCCTAATTTCCTCCAAATTACCCTCCTCGTCTGCCCTCGTAGCAGCCCGACTTAAATTAAGCGAAGTCACTCTAGAAGCCCACTCCGCGCTTGAAGCCCGTTTACTCTTCCCCCTCGAGTGAATCGTGAAATAATCCTCATTAAGCATATGCGCCATCTCCAACCCCGTCTGCCCTCGATCAGTACCCCGATCGGACGCGCGCTTAACTCTCAGCCGTACCCACCGCCGTCGCCGCACAAACGAGTGACAGAACGGATGAGTCCCATGCCACGTCGGCGAGCCGAATGAGAAGGCATACTGCCAGCCCTGCTCATCAACATCGCCAGACATATCCACGTACCAGGCCCTCCAAACCCACTCCCAGCTTGGATCCGGTAGCTGAGCATTCGTGATATCGACGATACTATTTCGCCCGTCGGCGGTAATCCACGGACTAGGATCGAGATTCAGCAACGAGCTGTGCGAGTAAAGCGGGATCCCGAAGAAAAACCAGCCACGTTGGTTCTCATAGAGAATGTCCAGCTCATTACCCGGTTTCAGGCCACATATTTTCGGATGGTTCTTGGACTGGTGCGCTGTTCCGCCGTCTTGGGTCCCAGGCGATTCCTCCTGAGGAGCATGTTCTTCGACAGTGTTTGCGTTGGCAATGGTATTACTATGGGCGGTCACATTAGTATAGGTGTTTGTATTGGTCTCCGTAAGTGATAACTGTCTCTCATCCGATGGTGAAGGCCGATCACTCGCGCTATCATCGTTGGCGACTCCCAGGCGACCAGGCTGCCATTTTGCGAACTTGCGTTTCGCCAGCTCCCCACGAAGAGACGGTCGACTCCACAGTCTAGAGCCATTCCTGAACAAGCTCGCACCGCTGGTCGCGGTTGTTGTCCGGGAGAAGACCGCGTCGTCTGTTGGTCGCTCAGTAGGAACTGTATTATCAACTAGTTGGATGCTGGGAGTCTCCATCACGGATCGCCAAGTAGTATATTTAAATGCGGATGTCTTAATCTAAGACACATCACCAACAACTTCCAGTCTAAAAGAAAAAAAAGCAAAAAAATGATTGCAGTTCAGACATTTTTTTTTTATAACTGCCTCGACTTAACAGATGGAAAATTAATTAGCGATAGGTAGGAAGCAAAAGAAAATAGCACCACCTCCTAGCAAGACGAAGAATGAAACATCGAAAACAGGAACTCCTGATTGATGACATCGTTGTGGGGCAGATCCGCACTTTGAGTGGCTGCCTGAGGCAGTAACATGGTGCCTCCATTTCTCTCTGATTCCTTAGGCAACAAGGCACGGTCCGTTCCCCTCGACGCGTCCAACAACACACTGACACCTCTACCAACACTACCCAAGGAGGCAAATAAAAAAAGGAGAGGGGGGAATAAAAAAAAAGGGAAAGAAAATGGAATCATCCCACTACCGCAAAATCGAACTCCAATCCCCCGCGGATTTCTCCTACCTACACACCAACGCAGTCACGCTCTCGCGCCAAAAGCTCGACCTGCATCTCCCCCCCTCCACGAACCCCAATGACGGTCCTGATCCAATGCGAGAGCGAGTCCGCGAGTTAGTAGACGAGGTATGTATGCGCTCTGCTCCCATCCAACCCCCGCGACCTAGATCCCAGTCCCTAATCCCGGGCCCCCAGCGAAACAGCTAACAAGAATTTTCGCAAGTTCATAACCCGCACCTTCGCATCCGCCTCCTCCTCCGTGAGCATCAACGGTCTAGATTCATCGTCGCCCGAGTTCCCCTTCCCAGCATCCTTCACCGAGCCTGCCGAAACCGTCGAGTACGAGGCGTACGACACGGATCTGGCGGCGCGCGTGACGTCGCTGTATGCGCAGTTGGAATCGTTGACAACCACAGTTGCGCAGTTGAGACGGGATGCACCGGGGAAGGCGGCAAAATTGTACGCGGAGGAATTGAAGAAGAGTATTGAGAAGGAAGATGAAGATGAAGATGAAGATGAAGAAGAGGAGGAGGAGGAGGAGGAGGAGGAGGATCTTAATCGTAAAGACAGTGAGCAAGGAGAACATAAAGGAAAGGATGTGGATATGCTAGACGCAGACGCGGACGCAGACGCAGACGCTCAATCCAAACCTTCTTCCTCAGAACCCGACTCGAAACGGCACCGAAAACATCTACGAAAACAGAGGAACGCGGCGAAATGGAATCTGGATATCCCTCTAGGCACGGAGAAAGAAGCTGAGCGGTGGCGGAACGGAGAAGTTGCAGAGGTCTACGAGGATGCGTTACGGACGTTACTTCGGCTCCAGGGTGAGGGTGTGTCTAATAATGGTGCGGTCTGCAAATCTGACGGGATGGATGGTAATGCGCTTGCATCGACAGTGGGTAAGGCGGAGCGTGCTAGGCGGGCAGTGGAATTCGTAGAGACAGCATGACGTGCTTTCTCTATAGCTGTGGCGTTTGCGTTGCTTTCAATTTCTCGGGTTCGTGAACGATTCCTCTGTTTTGGTACTGGGCTGGCGTTTGGTCCCGAGATGATACCAAGTCTGATTGACGAATTTATTTCCCTGTTGCATACGTTGATTAACTATATAGTATATGCTTACGAAAGAATATCTACGACTTTGAAGGAAGAACACCATCGTAAATAGCAGAGTATATGTATCTTAACCAGTACGATTTCAAAGCGATTCGTATTTTCTGTGCAGTAAAGCTCACCCGCTCCGATCTATTAGGTACCTCACGCCGCTCATGTAAAGTTTTAACAACGAATTTCAAAAAAGACTGTCAAAGGAAAAAACCACGATCCGACAAAGGGGTAGAAACATAGTGTCTAGCAAATATGCTCCGTCCACGGGCAGATTTCGGTTAGGGCTAAGTTGAGAGATGGCAAGGGGGCAGTCGATAAGAATGATATGGTAGGGGGAATGTAGCCGATTCCAAGGAACATCGCTATGGGAATTAAAGGAAAGAGGGGCAGATGGGCAAAATAGAGCCGGAAGCTTTTACCATATTGATCCAAAATTTCAGGAAAGAGAGTAAAAAGAAGGAGATGATAAGATGCAAAGGAAAGGTGTATAAAACCAGGTAAATCAGAATTTAGACAAGGTCTTGACTCTATGCAGTGGGCTGAGATGCCTCTTGTGTGTCAATCTTCTCGGGACCCGAGGCCTCGTTCTTTATCACATCCTTTTCGTGCTCAGGGATCTTCCAGTTGGGGGGCTTGGCCCACTCTGACTCCTGCCATGGGCCCATGTCGCTGAGCTCGCAACCTCCCGCGCACTCACAGGTACCTCCAAATTCCTTGGGAAGGTTTTCAGCAGGAACCTGCTTGAGGAGCTCGGACTGGTAATTGGAGCCAAGAATGTGGATCTTCTCGACAGTCACGGGGTCGAGGAAGCTCTTGACCATGCTAAACGCACCACTGAATCCCCAAGGAGCGTTAATCAGGTACAACTTGCCCAGTCGCTCGGGATAGTAGTTCTGGGAGATGGCAGAAGCCTGGCTAACATAGGTGTAAACGGAAGACACCTTGGTGATTCCAACACCCTTGAGGTCCATGATAGTACAGCAGGTCTCCAGGAGCTTACCAGCCTTTCGAGAGCAAGCAGGCAGACGGGGGTCCGCGAGTTTCTCGTACTCGGTCACAAGGTTCTTCAGCATGCGATCACTGGTAGTGATCTTGTACATGGCGTTCAGGTCAATTCCACCCAGCTTCTCAATGTAAACAGGTCTACCGTCCTATTACGCCCATAGTTATCAGCACATCAACTTGTATAGACAAAGCAATTCGTCGAAGCCTCCCACGCACCTTGTCTGTTTTGTGATAGTACTGGGGATAGTACTTAAAAACCTGGGGCTTCTCATCATACTTGAAAGAAGCAGCAAGGTAGTCTGTGCCGAACTCTTTCCTCCACTTCTCGGATTCGACAAACCTGCGGGCAAAAACGCAGGGTCAGTAACAGTCCAGATAGCCGATAGGTGACAAATAAGACTCGAGTGACTAGAAATTTTGGGCAGCGGGTGTGTCCACCACGGATAACATTTTTTCAAAAAAAAAAAAAAAAAAAAAAAAAGAAGAAAGCAGGAAAGAAAGTAAGGGGGTAAGGTAAGTCCATAACATACATGGTCTTGGATGCAGCAACATCGAACTTGCGGGCTCTCAAAAAGCGCAGCAGAGTCAGAGTATCCAGCCTCTCGGTGTAACCCAGCTGCTCAAGTTCACTGCGGAGCTGCACTACCTTCGCATCCTGCTCCGGGGTTGTATGGCCAGGGTGACCTGGGTGAGCCTGCGGGGCGGTGGTAGGGAAGTCATAGTTGTCGTACTTAGACGCGGGGGTGGATTGGTTACCGACAGCAGCAGCCATTGTGATAGTTAGATAGACGTGTGGTTGGATAGAAGGCACTCTGCTAGGGAAGTTGATAGTAGTTCATCCGTTGGCTGGATGGCTTAGTTGGGGGAGAGAAGGAGGTAGTGGAGAGGAACAATTAAATAGGAGGAGGTGGATCAACGGAATATTTATAGCCGCCAAAGGATAAATGATTTCCTTTAGAACGGAACTGTGTGATGAGAACGCAAAGGAGATGAAAGTTGAAAAGGTAGTGAAAGGGGAGAAAGAGAGATCGAGGGAAAAAAATAACAAGAGGAGGCAAAAGAGCGAGACGAACAGACGGTCAGATCGAGACAGCTGGACGGAAACAGCAACAGAAGCGGACTAGTCAACTCCAGGAGGGGTCAAAAATCAAGTAAGGCGGTCAGTCGCTATCAAATATCGATTCCATCCACTCCAGCAGGATTCCTACAGAGTATCACAAAAAACCCTGTACAAATCCTAGGCCAAAAATGAAGAAGAAGAAGAAGAAGAAGAAGAAGAAGGAAATATCCAATAAACCCCCGGTTTACTCCAACCCAACCCCCCCTCTTTACAGATGACGTTGATGAAACAACACACTGTGGCTTCTTCCCCTCTTTATCTGGCTACCATCGCTGCAGGTTCTGGAGGTAGAAATCCTTGGTATTGTAAGTGGTATCTTGTTTCATAGTGATTATCACAGGGGAATGGCTCTGGAATCATATCATGCTCAATAAAATGATGGCTGTTGGAGACTCGATACGGAGCCTCCTCATTATAGCCAAGGCATCCAAAAAAAAGGAAAAGAAGAAAAGAAGAAAAGAAGAAAAAGAAGAAAAAAACCGCTAATTGCAATACATATATAGGTACATACAAACAGGACGGACATTACACGCAATCAAAAGCAACCTAGCCACATTAAAAAGGGGAAAGAGAGGAGGTGGAACAGAAGACAAGAACCAACGAGATCATTAAAAAAAAAAATCAGTTACCAGAAAACACAGGCAAATCGTTCAGCGGGGTATAACCGAATCAAGAAAAAACAAACAAGAGGATAATCATCTTCACTTCAAATCCAGGTGGTAAACGACTTGCTCCCGAACCAGCGAGAACAAAGCCCTCCGCCGCCTCGGAATCGAAAAGACTGCCGCGCCAACAAAATTACCACCCCGAAAGACTCCGAGGGTTGAGAGAAATAGGGAAAATCATACTAGATCTTGTAGTATACTCAATCCGCTCACTGTAAGTATAATAGAGTGGGTCGGGTGAAAGCACATAAAGGGATATATAAAGGCTAGCCAGAGCAGTTGCGCACAAGGGGACGAACATGAACAGCCCCGCTTGGCAACCACATCGATGGCGATGATGGATCATATTAGACTTCCCATAACAAAGAGGGAAAGCCTTGTGGCTGGGGAACCAGGTAATCTTCGTCTTCAAGATGAATGCGAGCTTATCAGCTCTATTTCGTATACGTCGTAACAAGGGGCGGTAGCAACCCCTGCGGAAAGGGTGCCATTTACCATCCCTTCTTTCGTGCGAATCGTTTATTCAAGAGCGTCAGAACCTTGGACACGTTGAATTGGACGTACTCCAGATCGAGATCTTCAAGGTTGTCCTTTTGCATCTCAAGTAAATCGTCCAGCTTGAGATCCAACTCCAAAAGGCCTCGAGCTCGACCTGTACACCATTAGGTCAGAAAGGTAATTCAAGATATGCTAATGGAATGCCATACCTTTGTAATGCAAGCTGATAACAAAGGTACCAGGCAATGGGCTCTTAAACATAAAGTAAATATTTGCTCGTCGATTCTCTGGAACATTACTCTTGCGAATCACACCCTCCTTCTCAAGCTGCTGGTGGGTGAACTTGTAGGGTCCGAGCTCTTGGTGTTTTTGTTGCTTCCTCTGCTTACCTTCGGCCTGGCTGCGCACATTATGGAGGTAAGATTTGTAGGTCTCTAATTGACCCACCAGATAGGCATTGTGGTCGCGGATAGTTGCGTAAACGGATTCCAGCTGCTTAGTCTCTTCAAGAACCTTTTCTTTCAAAGATCCCAGGTGTACCAGCTCTTGTTCAACCTCATCACGGAGCAGACTAAATTCGTCTGAGCGATCAATGACTCCCATCTCCTGTAATTGGCTGAGAAGCTCCATCGTTCGAATACCTTTACGCACCATGACCCCATCGTTCTTCAGGGTGGCTGCGGCTTCAGCGATACGATCAAGGCGTAGAGGGCGACGAGCGACGACCGAGTTGGGAGGCAGAGTCCGAAGAATCTGAACAAAGGTCGACTTGGCTTCCATGAAGAAGACCTCCTCCTGTGTGATATCTAGGGCCGAAGTCAGGTCATCCAATGCGGCCTCCCACTTGCTGAACAACGGAACCGTAATGGTCCTGTTTTCTTTCCGTGGAACCTGGGGAGGGGCGGGGCCGAGCTCCTGCAAAATTTCCTGGAGATGGGAGTGCTGATCCTGGGCGAGGACGATATTGTGCTTCTCCAGCAAGGCATGAGTGGCGTACATCTCATTAAGAGTAATTTGGAGATCTAAGTCTCGCTTGGAGAGGGCCACGTAGTTATCCATCTCCAAACTCTCGTAGAAGTCTTGCACTTCGCACAAATCAAGCATGAACTTGTTTACCCGCTCTTTGTTTTGTTGGATAAAGGGCTGGAGTTTGGCCATATACGGTTCCTTTGCATAGGAAGGCTTGTTTGCAAGGTTCTGAAGCATTTTAGCAACCAGAGTCAGGGTGCGACGGGGTTTCTCAGTTGGCGTTGACTCGATAAGCATATATGATCGAGGAGTGACGATCGCAGGGTTAATGAAGCGCAGGAAGAAGAACCCTCCGATGAGAGTACAGATCGTCTGGTCGTGGGCGTCAGGGTATTTACGACGCGACAGGCTTCGGATCTGCTTGCAGATCCATCGGATACCGTAAGGGGCATCGTTGACAGAATTAATTATTGTCGTCAGGAATCCATTAGCAATCTCCGATAACGTGTTTAAGCGCGGTGCGATGATGGCCTGCACCTGTTCGTTTTCCGCGGCTACTTCCGCAGTGACGGAGCGAGGGAGGTAGTCTGGCAGCGAGCCGGTTTCTTCCTCTATCTGCGTCACCATGGTTTCGTAGACTTTCAAAGGGTTGATTTCCAAGTCGACGTCGCGCAGCTCGATCAGAGAGTTAATCTGATCTGCCAAAACCTGTTTCAGGTAACTCTGGCCGGGACCACGGCGAGTGTAGGTAGTCATCATACGTGAAACAGGAGTGTTTTGGCGTAGGAGGGAAGAGTATTCAGGAGTGTTGTCGAATTGGTAGGTAAGAACGGATTGAAACATGGTGAGAAGTAGATGTTCCTCGCGGCTCTCGTACTGGTTTCCGTAAATGGTGAACATGACGGTCTGCAGCAATGAGTCGATTTCAGACATAGAAACCAGTCGACAGAGATGAGCGATGTGGCGGGGCTCTGATTGCAACAAAAAGAGAAGGTTGCCATATTTTTGGGTCTTATCATCGTTGGGGAAGAATCCTTCTTGCGGGTCGACAGCGTCATCGAGACGATTCGCAACCTCATTTTGCTAAAAAAAAAAATACAAGGTCTCGTGAGTCTCGGGAGGATGAATTTATTAAATGGGTAATTGGAGGGATAGGGTCTTACCTCTTCCAGCGCCATACGGTTCTGAATCAGCAAGGCTATTCGTGAGTCCAGATAGCGTACATCTTTCTCCAGCACGAAATTCTTCTTCGACTGAGAGGAAATCTTCGCTTTTAATTCTCGCAGGAACTTTTGAGCTATTTTGCAGATTGTTAGCAAAAACGAGCGCTACATTCTTTACCAGGCCAAACTAACCCTTGGCCAGATCATCTGAGATTTCTAGGTCTCTGTCCTTTGCGGACATGGACAGGTAAAACGCGGTAACGGATAACCGCTTCGATTGACGAAGCGACCGAGTATCGTGGGAAGACATTGTATTCTGACGCGTAACCGGTTGGAAAGAAGAGGATGAGGAGGTAGAGGCTCTTGAGGCAGGCTGTAGCATGGTCGCAACCGACATTATGAGAGTAGGGTGGGATACTGAAATGGAAGTGTGCGAGGGGCACACAAAGCGAGAGTCAGGGTAGAATATAAAGTGACGGGCAGCCAGCCACCACTAGGTTTGAAAAACCCTCCAATGTGTCGAATTCTCAATTTTTTCACGGAGATGAGGGTTGGCGCAGTTTAATTAGCGATCATTTGGGAGAGTCGTAGGCGCAGGTCGATGTGATCGGTAGATGTACCCCCTTATCGACGCGTTGAAAACCCGTGGTTGGGAGCGGAGGGCGAAAGCGCAAAAAAAAAAAAAAAAAAAAAAAAAAAAAAGGGAGGGCTGTGAGCACTGTCAGGTTGATGGGGAATTATCAAGTGAACAGAGTATAAACTGCAAGTCCTCGGGGTTAATTTGAGAGGAAAAATGAAAGAGGACGATGGTGCACAGAAAGAATAAAAAAAGAAGAAGAATAATATGAAGTGAGGGATCAACAGGAGAGGGCGATGAGAATACTCTCCCGCAGGGTATCAAGGAAGATTGCGACCAGGAAGAACGAGGAACCAAAATTGCAATATTTCCGAGTCGCAGGAAGAAGGCAAGAAGAAAGAGAAAATATATAAAGGGGAAACGGAGGGATGATAGAGACAAAATTCAGAAAAAAGAGCGGACAGAATAGTTGGAATGAGAATGGAGGAGAGAGTGAGAGTTGAGCGTGGTAGAAGGAAGGGAGCGCGCAAGGCAGCTAAAATGGGGGACAATTAATGGAAGATGAGACGGGTGCAGGCGAGACAAAAGTACAATAGTACCTAGTCTCTAGTAATAGGAACAGTAATAGTAAAACTGTGTGCAACGGCAGATTCAAGAGAATTATTATGGTGAGAAGAAAAAAGCCGGTAAATAATAGAGTACCTCTATATACTTACCTAGGTAATTCCCCGGGACCAGGGGAAAAAAAGAGAGAAAAAAGAAAAAGGGGAGAGAAAATCAAATTAAAGCTGTAAGTATGATTCTTTTTATGTTAGCCCTGCTCCGGTAGGGGTGGAGATGTTTTGCATGCGAGACTTGCAGCAGAACAGGAACAACTTTCAGGGACACTGCAGGTATAATTATATACATCGGACCTGGTATCATTAATATCTAAAATAACTAGATGAAGCTGATAATAATACCCATCCAAATCCCCTCCGATGTTTTGTCTATTCTCTGTACTTTGACCTGTACAGATCCACCTCCACATCGTAGATTCTGTACCTGAATGAGCCCGAGTCCACCATGGCTCGGCACTCCACCAAGACCATCGAACCATCCATGTTTCCATCTAACCACAAATCCACCCGAGGAAAAATTATCCTCTACCTAAATTATCATAATTAAAGTAATACAAATACTCTCCAGCTAAGTAGATTAATTAATATAATATAATTTTAGTATTTGAATAAATGGCCTTCCTGGTCTTTGATCGTCACAATCAGGCTCAAGTGTTGCAAATATACCTACTCCGTTCAGAAATCAATGGAGCTGCCTCTTCGCATTTCCTTGATTGGGGTTAGATAGCATCCTCTCACGCCTTCAATAGGATACCCTGGTAGTAGGTATCTAGATAGCTTAATACATCAACAACGAAGGTACTACTATACGGATGACCGTCTTCCGCCCTTTTTTTTTTTTTTTCTTCCCTCAGATGTCGTCAGGCTGGGATAGATAGTCGAAACCGCGATGACGATGCAGGGTGCAAGGGGAATTTCCCCATCCGCCGGTGCCACCCAAAGGTGGTTGCACGTACCTCATCGGATCATAGTTTCCGTCCTAGACCAGAGGAACTCCTACTCATAGTAGTAGTAGTTAACTACCCTAGGGTAGTTAGTTAAGTTGTGAAAGGATGAAGACCTTGAGTTTTGGTGACTGAGTTTTGGCTCTCGAGTCATGTTTTCCGCATCCATGCAGCTTAGTGCCAGTTACCCCTGGCCCAGTGTGTGCACTTGCTCTGCCAGCCGGATCAAACTTGGGATTATTTACTAGGTACCTAATTTAAAATAGCGGTTGTACTGCAGACGCACCTTGGGAATTAGTGTGACAGGCTTATGCAGAGTGGGATATGTGAGATGGTGGACACGGACAGGCATGGTTGGCGGTTATCAGGCCAACGGCGCGAGCTGCATCTCAACGATCCCGAGGGGGGGGGATTTCGTACTACACGCAAGCAGGGAGTCGGGTAACGGGAAAGGATGAGCCGTTTTTTTTTTGTGGTCTCACGGACCACCTGGGTTAATAGTTAATGATTACTCCGTACTATCTCTGCATAATCATCATCTTCTTCATCATGGAAAAAGAGTTTGAGTTTTCGGTATCTGTCAGTAGGTATCCGGCATTCTCTTGTCATCTGCACCTGGCATCCTTCAGCCTCAGCCTCCATATAGTACCGACATTTGAGCTTTTCGTCATTCAGGTATGTTAGAATGTGGGTTGAATTATTGGTAGTTAATATTTTAGATGATAACTAATGCTGGCCCACCGTTCCTTGAAGTTCCACTTGCTGCCCTGCACTTGTTGAGAACCTGTGCTCAAGAGGGCCGGATTATTGTTTCCCCTGAGTTTCAGGTTTCCTCCACGAAGAATTACCGAGGACAAGAAATATTAAGGAATCAACTTGATTATTTTATAATAATAATAATAATAATAATAATAATAATAATTACAATAGATAAAGTGTTCATCCAGTGTGAAATACACATAATCCAGGTGCCCTGATCAGGGGCCGGTACCTGCGTTAAAATTAATTACCCGCAGCATAGTTAACTAGCAGCCAGATTTAGGTAAGTCGCTTCCAAGTTCCAAGTTGGAGAAGATGCAAGACACCTATCTAAGTAATATCTAAGTAACATCTAAGTATGGCGTATGTCTATTATTGGGTAATTGTTCCAGCAGGAGCCAGGATTCTGAGGTCTTCTCTTGAAATTAAATTCAAGTTCAACTTGCAACCCAGATGTTTCAGGAATCAGGAGTCACCAGGTCATCTGTTGTAATATTATGATTCTACTAGCCTTAAATCCTCGCTACGCTCGGCGGCTTGTTGGGGCATATGGCAAACTAATAGTATAGTCTTAATTATAGTATGATAGCCACTATATTAATGTAAGTATGGAAGTTAGAATTAAAATAGGCATTAAAGTAGATATTAAAGGAGGTATTAGCAGGCATCGAAGCAGGCATTAAAGGATGTATGAGCAGGCATTCAAGTAGGTATTAAAGCAGGTATTAAAGCAGGCATTCAAGCAGGTATTAAAGCAAGTATTATGTAAAGCAGGTATTAGCAGGCATTAAAGCAGGCATCAAAGCAGGCATCAAAGCAGGCATTAAAGAAGGTATTAAAGCAGGTATTAAAGCAGGTATTAGCAGGTATTGAAGCAGGCACTAAAGTAGGTATTAAAGTAAGTATTAGCAGGCATTAAAGCAGGCATTCAAGTAGTCATTCAAGTAGGCATTCAAGTAGGTATTAGCAGGTATTAAAGCAGGCACTAAAGTAGGTATTAAAGTAAGTATTAGCAGGCATTCAAGTAGGCATTCAAGTAGGCATTCAAGTAGGCATTCAAGTAGGCATTCAAGTAGGCATTCAAGTAGGCATTCAAGTAGGCATTCAAGTAGGCATTCAAGTAGGTATTAGCAGGTATTAAAGCAGGCACTAAAGTAGGTATTAAAGTAAGTATTAGCAGGCATTCAAGTAGGCATTCAAGTAGGCATTCAAGTAGGCATTCAAGTAGGCATTCAAGTAGGCATTCAAGTAGGCATTCAAGTAGGCATTCAAGTAGGCATTCAAGTAGGCATTCAAGTAGGCATTCAAGTAGGCATTCAAGTAGGCATTAAAGCAGGCATTCAAGTAGGTATTAGCATGGTAATAGCTTATAAAAGTAGATAATATAGGAATCTCCATAGCTAACAGGTTAACCAACATCTCCAGGTTCTACAGCACGGAAAAGATGGCCCTGCGGGCCATAGTTCTTCCGAACCGCCAGCGCGCGTAGACCTCAGCACGGTGTACGGGTCATACCACGGGTGTTTGAGGGGGACTTTCATATATTATTTAATATTCTATATTTACCTTTCACCTTTTATATTTTTATATTTTTTTATAATTTATAATCTTTTAATAATAATGGACCATAATCTGACCCAATTACTGGTAATTATTATCAATTTGAATTTAATATTCCACATAATTTATAAGGTGTTCAATAAATTCCTTGATCATTCAGAAATATTGAATGATCCTCTAATTTACATAGCATAATAAACAAGCACGATGAATGTACATGGGTAGATTTGCACGGAACCATGGATGAGTCCTTGCAAAATGAAGATTAACATTCATATCTTCAGAGCGGGTCAATAGGTTCATTCAGGTTGATCCTTTTCTTCGCACGTCTCCTCGAGGACATCGACCCCACCATTATGTCTGTGTTGATTCAGGAGACGAGACGGGAGAGGGAGAGGAGAGGACAAGGAAGAATATCTCTTTCTCCATGGAGTTAAGAAGCTCCGGGAGGGTTTCGCTTGATGACTCCGAGAGATATACATCATAATACATGTGCTCTAGTCACCTAACAGTTAACTAGTTAGTTAGTTATGGAAAGTCATCCTCAAGCACTGACCAAAAGAAAAGGTTCAACACAAACTCAATTCACCCCTATACCTCACCTATCGATGTTTCTTACCTCTAATTTCTTTCATCATGCCGTCCAACCAACCTCGCTCACCCCAACTTTCTGCTAGTAGAGCCTATTTGCTACTCTACAACATCACCAGTGCTATCCTTTGGCTCCGCATTCTTCTCATCGTTGTGACATCCCCCTCCAACCCTTCAGTCTACACACTCGTCGAGCCATGGACTAGATGGACCCAATCTTTAGCCGTGGTGGACATTCTTCATGCTGCTATGGGCAAGTTTAATTGGGCCCCTCCCCTTTTAACCAAAAAAAGGTGCTAGCTAACTGTTATAGGCATTACTCGAGCTCCGATCTTCACCACATCCACACAGATCTTCGCTCGCACCGTCCAGGGTTGGGCTATCAATTGTGGCTTTCCAGGTGTGACAGCAGCATCACCTGCCTATCCAGCCATGCTCGTTGCATGGTCCACAGCAGACACAGTACGGTATGTGTACTTTGTCGTGCTGTTGGTAGGGGTGCCAGTCCCAAGTATTTTGAAGTGGCTGAGGTGGGTGGAACGCTATATCCCGTCACTCGGCCTGAAACCATTGTTAACACAGTTTAACAATCAGATCCTCTCTCTTCATAATCCTCTACCCTATTGGGATTGGAAGCGAATGGTGGCTGATGTATAAAGCTACCTACGTAACAACCAGCCCTGTCGTAACAGGCATATTCTACTTCTTTCTAGCTCTTTACGCCCCAGGTACGTGCTCATCATAATTACGGACCATGATCATCGCACACTAACAAACCAGGTATACCCATGATGTATTCGCACATGCTTAAACAGCGGCGCAAGACATTGTCAAATTGAAGCATACTCGTTTTCATTCGCAGATATATGCCACTTCCAAAGAAAAAGCTTCAAGGATCCCTCGCAGAAAGCATCCCCACGTACCACAGTCCCAACAACACCGTCACCTCTGGCATTTCTGGTGTACCACCTCGACACCACGGCACTTCCTCCGAAATCAGTAACTCCCCCGCATCTTTCCCCCGCTGCACAGCGACCAGCCCTTCATCGGTAAGAATCCAACCAAATGAAGCCCCGTGCTGTCTCATGTACCAATTCACTCTTGCCAATCCCTCCAGATACGCCTCGCGGTCAGGCTTCCGCATCGCCATCCCCGTCCTCCATCGCCACGATGGCAGCAACACCCCAGGAGCACGGTTGGATGCTGAGCTAGCCACCATATCTACATCCAGAAAACTGATTTCGGGCCAATGCACAGCCTCATCATACATGTCATGTGCTTCACGTTCCATAGTCACGGCCGTCATATCATCCATCTGTTCCGTAGCCGCGAGATACGCGAACCCCGCCCGCAAACTGCACTGGATCCTTGGCTTCACTATTTCCCCAAACTCCATCGAGAGACTATCTGTCCCGATAATGCTTCGTGGCGGCGAAGCTGGGAGGGGATCCGCACGGAGCTGTACCTGATTCAAAAGACTCGCATACTGCGCTAGAATAGCATCGACGTTGAACTCCGTCCATGTAGAGATAGTATGAATATCTGACGCTTGGTACGGCGGGTTGTCGACCTCGTTCACGTCCGTAGGCCCCATCGAGTGCTCAGGGAGTGCTAATTGGAGGTACTCGAGCAGTGACACTTGAATGTCCTCCGGCCCGGGATCTCCGTCGCCTTCGACCTCGCCTTCAAAGCCTTCTGTTTTACGGACGTGCGGTATAGGGATCTCCATGGCTTGTGTGCGTCCAAGGAACAATTATTTCCTCTCTACTTGGGCCTGTGGCGACATCGTCCTTTCCACTGTCTCACCGATCTATGGTTCATGCAAGGAGCCCCCGTTTCCAAACGAGTCATGTGATCGTCGATGGCTCTAACACGAGGAAAGACACGGGCTTTGAAGAAATGCATGTCATTTATTCATCTTGGATAAAAGTTTTATTTCATCTGCTTCTACAGACCGGGTATCGCTATGCGTTTAAATCATGTTTTATCCAAGCCCATCAATACCACCCATAGACCTATACATTGATCGGGTGGGATGGGTAATAAAACGCCCCTGTATCATGCAGTCAACCAACCATCTTGAGTTTGTTACATTGAGGATCCGAAAAGAAAACATCGCAAACAGGTATCGAACGGCATCATCTGAAGGTAAAGCTCTTTCCAGGCACTTCCCGCTTCTGCTTCCGGACTCCAGACGGCGCTTCGAGTGCCTTTGCGTACGGGTTGAAAGGTCGCTTTTTAGGCAGCCCCGAGGTCTGGGCTGGGCTGGCATTGAGAACAGAGTCCGCTGCATCATAGTTGAACGGTGTTGTTGTGTCCTGTTCAGCTTTAGCAGTTTGCTGGGCAGCCTTGTCCTTGTTTTTCTTATCCTTTCTGCGCTGTTTCTTGGAGGGGATTGTTGAATCATCGACGTATTCAATGGGGACTTCGTCAAGCTCCGGTGAGGGGGATTGCGCTTCGAGTTCCTTTGCTGCTGCTGCTGCTTCTTCTTCTTCTTCTTGTTTCTGTGTGGCTTTTCTCTTGCGGGGGCCACCAAGCTCCTTCACGGTGAAGATCTTCTTGCCTTCCTCTTCTGGTGCTGGTGTAGGCGTGGGTGTTGGTTTTGGTGGCTGCTGCTGCACAGCCAGCTTCTCGCGGGCCTCGGAAACTGTCTTGGGCAGAGGTGGCAAGGGTAGGGAGAGTCGAAGGGCCTCTGCGGATGCCACTATGGAGTATTCAGGGTGGGAAAGCTCTTCCGGGGAATCGAGCACGGCACCCCAGAATTGGGATACCTCGCAACGGGCGGCAATAGGGAAATTTGCCTCTCTTGTCGTGGGAGGGGGCGTCAGAAGTCCCTGTGCAGTTTCGGCAACTGAGTGTGCGTTTGTCCTTATTGGCTTCACGTATACATCGCGCCATTCGGGTCCGGTAGCACCCTCGGCTTTGGCCTTCTTGATGATTTCCAGCAGGTCTGGGGCGCGATCTTTGGTGATTGGTGTCACTGGGGAGAGCGTTCTAAACAAGACGCCTAAATCCATAGGCATAGCCTGAGAAACGCGGAAAAGGACGTGCTTCGGGAACACACATTGCACGCCTTCATCCTCCTCTCTGGCCACCCGGTCACGCCATTGGTGCACTGCCTTAAGAACGGCAAACTGCTCCTTGCTGAAGACGGCAGGATTGCGCGTCATCAAATCGTACCAGCCATTTGCGCCTTGTCCAGTTGGGGCATCGTAAACGGGGCGCTCATAGTACTGTAGCGCTTCCCTCTTGGATTTCTCCAGAACGTAGTCGATAAGGTCGTTTTTGGGAGTGGAGTGTTCAAGAAGCTCATTGCGCAGGTTATCATAGATGTAGAGAAGATAGTGTGTATCGGAACGGGCATAGTCGAACATGCCCGATGGAAGAGGTCGAATTCGCCAATCGGCCATCTGGTACCTTTTATCGGCCTCAAAGTTGACAAACTTCTGTAGGAGGAATTTGAGGCTACGTCTGGGATAACCCAAAGCACAAGCGGCATGGTAGGTATCAAACATGCCGACCACGTAGAGTCCCAAGTCGCGCTGCAGCCAGATGATATCCATGGTTGATCCATGGAAGAGTTTGATAATGCTGGGATCGACAAAAACTTCATTGAGCATCTGAAGCTCCTCTCTCCACGGCTTGAGCGTGTCCACCACCCAGTCTTTGCTTCGGGTGCTGATTTGCATTAGCGACACAAGGCCATAGTACGAGTGTACATCATGGTGTTCCAAATCGACGGCAATCTCTTTCGCGGACTTCAGCTCCGCCAGCATCTCCTTCACTCCCTCTAAAGTGTCCACGAATGTCGCGGTTGTTGATTCAAAGGGCAGGTAGTCGATCGCAGGCGACGCAGCATATGTAGAGGCCGGGAACTTGGCAGCCTTGATCTCCGTCTCGTAGGGGTTTCTATAGCACAGCGTAGGGCCAACTACCGCCAGAGACTTCTCCAAGGGCTCAATAGCATGCGGTTTTGTCTTCAACAACGGCTTAAATGGCTCAGAACTCAAGTTATCCACAGCGCGCTCGAACTGCAGTTGCGGTTTCGGAATCTTCGACGGACCGTAGTCGTAGATGGTCGGGAAATTTGACGACGACGCTTTCTTGACGGCTTTCTCTTCAGCTTGCTCCTGCTGTGACGGACTCAATTTCTTGATCACCCCGGTAAACTCATCCAGGCATGCATCCGCCTTCTCCAACAGCGCATCGATCACATCAACAATGCTCCGCCAATTATCCTCGACAGAATCTTCATCCGATAACACCGGCGCAGAAACATCCGTCCCGGCAGTGGCGGCTTTCAAAATCGACGAAGTCAACGATAGCAGCCTATCACTCTGCTCATCTAGCGACTCTGTCACTTCTGAGCTCGATGTCCGATGGAAATTGAGGTCCTCCGCCGATAACTGTCCAACGGTGCGGGTTACCTGCACGAGCGACGACGTCAACCGTTGCTGAAACGGCGGGAAATCAGCAGCTGAATCCATCGCGAACAGATGAATTAGAACCGACACCAGACTAGAATAGTTCTTTTTTTTTTTTCTATCTGTTTCTTTCTTCTTCTTCTTTTTCTGCTTGCCGCTGCTGTTTCTGCTTTCTCTCGCGCACGCGCGAATCTGCAAGACACGGCAAAGAAAAAAAAAGGATAAATTTAAGTAGAAAAATAAAACCCGGCGGGAAAGTGGAGAAATCATCGGGCCGGAGATGAATTAGGTCGAAACCAAAACTTAGCCGACCGCCTTCCATAAGAAGAGAATCTCCAAATCCGCCTCCGATTTTCTGCTGCATTTACTTTCTGTATCTCCAACAGTTGCCTCGTCTCTCTCTCTACCTCTATTTCTCATATCACATCCTATCCATCATGGCAGCGTCTATAGCCCCTGAATGCAACGATATCAAAGAGTAAATCCCCTCCCCTTCCCCCTCTTCCTTCCTACCAATATCTCCAAATTACAAAACCAATCAAATGATACTAAGAATTGATCTCCCCCCCCCCCCAAAAAAGGAAATACGATACCTGCTTTCTCAAATGGTACAGCGAAAGTAAGCCAGTCACCTTCTCTCATACTACAACAATTCCCGAACGCGAACTAATCTGAAAACTGAAATAAAAGAATACCTACGCGGAAACACCTCATCCAATGAATGTGAAGAGCTCTTCACAAAGTACAAGTCCTGTCTGACTGTAGGTGTTTTTCGCCACTTGCCAATTCCCCTGCGCTGCACTATATTTTCGGTTGGACATTTGCATTGCTAGAATCTCAAGCTAACACTATCTCACAATATATAGAAGACACTCAAAGAACGAGGAATCGATGCGATGCTCGACGACGCCAGGAAGAGTAACCCGGAAACCGATTCTGAGCATAACCGATGACCGTGAACCTGAACCTGAACCTGAACCTGAACATGGATCTTTGATTAATAAGGTGCAATGACTAGTTAACTAGTTAGAAAGCTCCTGTCTCTGCTCTAGAGACCGCTCTTTCCTTTTCCGATCGTTCTTCTTCCGGGGAAACACGACAGTCAGCAGCGCCAGCTTGTTTCAAAACTATACAGCAACCCTCTCTCTCTCTCTCCTCTGCCCTCTGCCCTGTGTGTATGGTTGACTTCGCTCGGAATACAGATGAACTCCCTGCTTCTGTATGTGTGTACATACATATTTTATTGTATACTATGCGATGTCCGTGTACGATTATATTTGCGTTTTTGAAAGGCGTTTTTTGGTTTATACCGTTTATTTAGCTCTATCATATACTAATATATATATATTTCAAGGAAGAAAGAAATAAAAAATTAAATATATTACTATACTATTTGCAATGCGATGCAATACAATCCAAAACGAGGAAAAATTAAAAGTAAAAGAGAAAGAGAAAGAGAAAGAAAAAAAAACATAAGACTCGTTCAGCATGATTACCGGTGCCCTCGTCTTCTCTGATCCCCCTGTCCGAACCCCCCAGGAACCTTGATGAGTCCGGTTGCCCCGGGACTAATCCCCGACGTTGAACCACTGCTCCCACCGCCCGTTTTTCGGGGCTGCGTTAACTCAGACCACACCTGTACCAGTCCCGGACGGACATCGGGGAGCATGCTATACTGCATGCTGTAGAGATTGCGGCGGTGGATCGGGGGCACAAAGCGGCCTGTGAAGAGACAAAAGATCACCCGTGGGGAGAGGTAGTGTTTTCGGAGGCGGTGACCGAGTTGGAAGTACTGGTCAAACATGGCCCTTAGCGTGAGAGGAATAGACTAGTCCCGTTAGTTGCTGCCTTGAATAGAATAATTATACAGTGATGGGAGAAAAGACGATTCATACCTCGAGATGGATATAATGCACCACGGAGTCGGTGTCATCGCCGGAGGGTGAATTGTGAGGTTCCTCACGGAGCTCGAATCGTATACCACCTAAAGATCAACTAGTTAGACAATTGAAATCTTAATGGTCTGGAAATAAACGAACCTGGTAGCCTTCGGGAGTCCTTGACCCGCAACATCAACGCAAAGAGAGGGAAATGGTTCAAAAAAGCCAGACAGGTATCGAGGGCCGCCTTGAGCGAGATGATCAACATCCGCGCGGAAGTGAAGGCTAGGTAAAAGACAATGACGGTCGGGAGAAGGAAAAAAAGAACGGTGAATAGAATGGTTCCAAGGAGCAGTTGGTCGAGGTCATAGTCGCAGGAGTCTATACGATTGCGAAGCACGTTTCGCTTTTTGCCACGAAACAAATGGAAGAGTGAGATGATGATGGTCAGCTGCCAGTTGAATATACGGGCGGACGCAATGTAGAACGAGTATATATGAACAGTGAGAATAGACACAAGGTCTGAAAATAGAGCTATTGGCATGCTAGCTCCGGCGAAGCTAGAGCATCCGATAACGTAGATAACATGGGGGAGATAGGGCTGGAGGTTGGCAATGCAAGCTGTACGGGTTAGTAAAGGGGTTGAACCAAGAGAAAAAAAAAAAAAAAAAAAAAAAAAAACATAGAGAAGACATACCTGCCCAGTTCTCAATCACCCATAAGAAAAGGTCGCCTAGGAATGCAGCAAGTTCATTGTTCAGCTTTAAGCCAGCCGGCCAGTCCATCAGCCAAGAAATAGTTCGTTGCAAGCCCTCGACAGTCCAGCCACTAAGAATAAAGTTGATCTGATATGCCACCCAGTTGGCATTATCCATGATATACGACCCCAGCGCGATGCCGATAATGACATCGTTGGCGACAAGCCACAAACTGTTATAAAACCGAATGTAGTGCGCGTGGTAGGTAGTCACACTTTCCCAGTCATCTTTTCTTTGCCGTAACTTGACATATTGAGTGGGCCAGTAACAAAACTGCTGGAGCCGAATATCCACCTGCTGAGCCGTCGCAGATATATCCTTTAACGCCGCCGCATCAGGCCGGGCACGCCACTCCAGGATCTGTAAGACGATGTCGGCGATGGAACGATGGAACACCAATCCTACCACGAATATGCGGGTGACAACAGGCCAAATCCACTGCCAAAATACATAAGACACGCCGAGAACAAAAAAATCCCACAGAGTAGTCGCAGACTCGACCACACGCTCAGAAACACTCATGCTCCTCTTCACGCGGATTCCGATGAGACTGCTATTCTTCTCGATTAGCTTCCCCATTTCATATGCACAATTGACCTGGTTAACGATGAACGGAAGCGCCTGCTCCTTCTGCGACGCAACGTGCTTGACGACGGTGTGGAGCTTAAGTTTCTCAACCAATTTCTGGGTTCGGGCTTTCTCTGTTTCTTCCTCCGTATCTATCTTGCTAGAGACCACATCCAGTCTATTCGCATTATGCACTTTGTCCTCCAGTGCAAGGGAAATAGGGTTAAGCGACATGTACTCCATTCTCGTTGGGTCTGGGCGATTGAACATAATAACCTGAACCGATAGATTTGTCCCTGGAGGACAGTAGATTCGCGGGACCTTGCTGGAGGGATGAGTTGTTACAACCAGATGCGACGGAGTGAACGCTGTGGGTGGATCTCGCGGATTGGTCGAGCCTAGAACATGCATTGAGGACCGTCCACAAAGCCCAAAAATCCGTGGGACAGGGTGAGGGCTATTGCGGAAGAGAATTCCCGCTCGGAGCGCATTGTCAACATTTCGAGGCTACATCAACATGTCCAGAATAGAGAGTCAGTCAATCCATATGCCCCGTACATTGTTAAAAGAAAAATCACACGCCAAACAAGCACTTACCTCGACATCTTCCAACACGGCCAGCACAAACAGATCCAGCTCCGAGTTTCGCCAGCCGACAATCACACCCGGCGACGACGACCTCGGGAGATCATATGGCCAGAATACCCGTAGTAATCCATCACTCATCTGCATGTTGTCATCCTTCACTCGAGTTTAAAACGAGCCTCGGCGGCGCAATTGTTCCCGGGCAGAGACGCCGAGATGCACGTATCGGGGGTGCTAGTTAAACATAATCCATCAGCACCCAATTTATTCCGAAGCCTTTTTTTTTGGGGGGGGGGGTCTGTGGCATGCGGAACATGGCATCTTGCGCGCAATCAAGATGTCGATGTGGCTGGCGTACCTGGATACCCTCTCTAGTGGCTAGATAATTTATAGGAATGACGAGCAGGAAAAAGAAAACGGAGAGCAGTAGGAAGCCTTTCGCGGTTCTGGTCTGCAAGATAATATGATATTAATTCTTTGTTAGCGGTGTTGAAATAGATCGCGCGACTCGTTTTAAGATAGCTGGACCTCTGGGGGGGGCGGGGGTAGGAGTCAGCAAGAAAGACGCACCACAACGCCGTGGTCCCAGGCAAAAATCGCCAGTTCGTACAGCCGTGTAACAAGATCCCACCTCGCGGTGATGTAGCCCGCTACGAAAATACCGAGGGTGAGGATGGAAAAGGGGTGCATGAATTAAGCGGTTGGCAGGAACGGACCAGCTGCGGTCAATTCGAGGACATAGCGCGGGATGAGAAAGTAGAGTCAATTATCGCATGAGAGGTTCAAATGAGAGAAAGGAGAGACGAGAATTAAAACGAAGCTGCAAGGGAGAACATAGCTCTGGATAGTAGAAAGACAAGTATGGATGCAATGTTGTTCAACTGATTTTATTTACTCTGAAAGCGTCTGGACCGTCGCACGTGATTCAGATATCAATCTACTATGTACAGAGTAGTAGAAGTACCAATTGGATATAGGAATATCAACATATCTCAGCAACAGGTCTATCTGTAGAGTTCAATTCCCTGTTCATCCCAAACGCCTCCCAACCGCTACAACCCCGAAATGAAAAGAAACAACCAAATTCCCACTCTATTTTAACCCGACCTCCTCTTACAAAGCTTGGATACCCTGGAAAACGCGGTTTTCCTGTAATTTTGGGTCGCTGTTCACCAGATCACGCATGATCTGGCGCTTCTCCTCCACGGTAAGATTCTTGCCGGGAGCCTCGATGGCGTCCTTCCATCTGATCAACATGGCTTTCAACAAAGCGCTGCCTTCGTCCACTTCCTCTTGGGAGTATTTATCAATCGCCATCGCTGAAGAGTTCTCCGACGGATGCGCAGAAGTGAAATCCTCAAGCTCCTCGGCCTTCTGCCGAGCCATGTTGACCACCTTCTCTGGGAACCGAACCAGCTCGGCCACGTGAATACCAAAGGATTGGTCGCAAATGCCGGGCTCAACGCGGTAAAGAAGGGTGACCTTCTGCTGAGCCTTCTTCTTGGACTCTTCTTCCGCTTCGGCGCCAGTGGTGCCGTCCCCGATAAACGCAACAACGTGCAAGTTCTTGACAGACTTCGGGTATCGGTCTGCGAGGGCTGTCAATTCATGGAAGTGGGTCGCGAAGAGACCAAAACAACGAATCTCAGTCACAATGTGCTCTGAGATAGCCCAGGCAAGACCGAACCCATCGTAAGTGCTAGTACCGCGGCCCAGCTCGTCGACGATAATAAGGGACTCCGAAGTGGCGGATTTGAGGATATTAGATGTTTCCAGCATCTCCGCCATGAAGGTCGAGACGCCCTTGAGTTGCGAGTCGCTAGCCCCCACACGGGCAAGGATGCAGTCAAAGATAGTCAATTCTGCTTCGGAGCAAGGCACAAAGCAGCCGGTTTGGGCCATGAGAGCAATAACCCCGATTTGACGGATATACGTCGATTTACCTCCCATATTAGGACCGGTGATAATCAGGAAGGATGATTCATCTCGAACCAGGGATACATCGTTCGTGATAAAGGAGATATCGTCCTGCATTTCCATGCACGGGTGTCTTGCCTCCTTCAGAACGGTATTCCCTGTGCCTCGAGGGTGGATCTTGGGCCGGACATAGGCTGTCGGAGCGTGCACGGACGCGTGTGCGAAGCTCACAATCACATCGAGATGTGCCAGCACGCCAGCCAATTGCTCCAGGACGGGGCAATAAGAAGCCGCCACGTTGACAACTTCGGAAACCAGCCCCGTCTGGGTACGGTTATAGTTGGAAGAGAGTTGGTCGTGCTCCCGCCGAAGAGCCTGCATGGTCGATGTGGTGAAATAGACTCCGTTCTTCTGTGTCGAGCATTCTTGGTACTGCTTCTTATTACGAATGCAACCGGCTTCGTTGCGCGTTAGTCGGAAGCACCAGCCGTGCACTCGGTGGTTCTCGAGGAACAGCTTCTTGTCCATTTCCTGGTCGAGGTCTCGGGCCACGGACCGGTGCTCCAGATACATGTCGTGGCGCAGCTTGTCCAGCTTCTTGCGGATGATCCGTAGACTGTCGTCGAATTCGGGTTTGATGATGAATTCGTGATTCTCGAGGGCCTCCAGATCCACGGTCGTTTCCACCATTTCTTCCAGCTTCGCCAGACTATCCGAGTGGCTCCGCAGTGTGGTGGTATACTCGCGGTCAAGCGGGGTCTGATACTGCTCATCGATGACGTTCTCCAGCGAGCTGATAAACCCAGGCAAACGGATGGCAACCTGGTAGACCCGCACCACATCCTCCAGAGTTGCCTGCTTCCGCTGAAAGCGCTTTGCCAATCGATAAAGATCCGGGATGGAACGCAGGTGCTCCTCCTGCATCGTCTGGCGCAGCTCAGTATTCACAACAAACGCCTCGACAAGCTGCTGCCGCTTCTCGATCTCCGCCAGATCCATCAACGGCTGCTTCAACCACTGCGCCAGCAACCTACTCCCAACGGGCGTCTTGCAGTGATTCAACAAGCCAAATAAACTCATCGACTTGGCTCCGTCCCGCGGACCAGGCATGAGATTCAGCGCGCGCAGTGCCGCCGCATCAAGCTTCATAAACTGCGACAAATCATGCTGGTACAGCTGGTACTGGCCGAAATTCGTCGGATCCGACATCACCCCCAGGTACCGAATCAAGGCGGACGCAGCACCCATGGCCAGCTTCAGCTCCGTCTGCGGCAGCGTGCCCGCGGAGCGATCATCCCTCAACAGCCTCGTCAAATCCTGCTCGATATCCCGGACGCCAAAATCCACGGCGGGCCGCTCCGAAACGGCAATGCCACAGTTATCCGCAATGGCGCGGACCTTGGCCAGCTCGGCATCCTTCCTGTTCGCATCCATTTGCACCAAACACTCCTTCACCCCTAACTGGATCACCAACGACTCAAGGTTCGAGTAAACATCATTGTCCAGGAACTCGCTCACGCCCAGCTCGCGCACGCTCGCATCGGCAAAACAAACCCCGACATTCCTGGCCTCCCCGGCCCTTGCGGAGATCTTCACGGCCAGAATAATCGGCGCGGAATCCATCTGATTCAATCCGCCCCCGACACTACCCAGCTCCTCTTCCACATCTTGTAGATTACCGGGACTCGCCTGCTTCACCCGCTTCCAGTGGCCCTTGCCCGTGCCGACAGAGCCCCAAATCTCAACCCGCTTGTTGAGTCGGAAGAGCGCCTCGCGTAGGAAATTGCGGAATACCGTCACGCTCATGGTCACAGAGGGGAGACCGCCCGTTTCGCTCCGCCCAAGGTTTCGCAGGACAGAGGTGGTCTTGTACACTGTGCGCGCGATGAACTCGGCCTCAGCCCCGTGGGCCGAGTACCAATCGCCGCGGTCAAATACGCGGATCGTGTCATTGCTGTTATCTTCGGCGGCAAGGGATCGGTAGAATCGAATGAATCCGACTTCGTCGTCGACCTGTTTGTACTTGAGTTAGAGACGGCGAATCCGGCGGACCGGGGTGATTGCTGGTTGTCTGCTTCTGCTTACTCTGAGATCTGGCCGGGAAGACATGATATGATACCAGCAAGTCTCTCCTATGATTCAAGGGATGACTTGGTCTGCTGGCTTGCGTCTGATGCTGTCTGTTATGTCCTGTAGTGGTGATGTCGAGCTCTTGATGCTTGTTCCCCGGTCTATGTATTTCGTTCTTGGCGCTCGCGAGAACGCGACACGCTCACGTGATCTCGCGTTGGACCGCGTCCCTACAAAGTGGTTTTGGACCAATCACAATCTTATAATACATACCTAATAGTCAAAAGAGATGCAGCTCAAGACGGATTCATTAATTACCTAGTAACATATATTGTCATACAGAGATAGAGATGCAACGCTAATGCCACCATACAATTCAATCACTGGAACGCTGAGGATACATGCGCCAACCCGCCAGACGGGGTATCAAATCAAACAAGCGAAGACATCCAGGAGCCGTAAGAAAGAGAATAGAAATATGCGACGAGACCCGAGTAAAACCAAAACATTATTTGGAAGCAGATTCTTCCCATCCAATCTTCAACTGGGACACCTTGGCCCCAATCTCTTTCGGTTGCACGTCGCGACAGGATTTCAAAACGACGGACTTGAGCTGGTTGACATTAACGATGCCGACCCAGTGCCCAGCAATGTCCTCGCGAGAGAGTATCTCGATACAGGCTTCCACCTCTTTATCAGAAATAGGGTTGCGTGTGGAATCCTGCACGTTCTGGACAATGGTCTCCAGACAGAATGGAGTCCGTTGCACGGCCATGCGAGCCAGAGGCCCACTGCCAACGTATCCGGATGGCCTCAGCAGGGCCAGCACACCGGTAACCTCTTCAATACGCTCGGCCGCAGCACGACGAAGCAGCATCTCCTTGGACGGCGGGGGCGGCAACTTCGCCTGGCGGAGCTGCTTATTCTTAATGCGATCCAAAAGTCCCAGCCGACGAGAAGCAGGCTCATCCCGGGCTTTCGTCGCAGGCGCTGCAGAATCACCATCCACGGCCTCCGCCCGAAGCTGATCCATCTTCAGCTTAATAACCCCGCCCTTCAGATCTTGCAAGCGCTGCTGACCCTTCCGGAACTCCGTCAAGGGCGTCAATGACTCATGGATCGAAGCAAGTCCGAGCGTCGCCAAAAAATCGACACCGCTCTCCTCACCACCAGCCGAAGCCAACGCCCTCGCCCAGAGCAGATCGACTGTCTTCTCGAACTGCGTCTGCAGTTCCACCTCGTCAACCGGCTCCGTTCGTCCTCCAATCCGTTCCAAACACACGCGGCCCAGTCCATGATTCGCAAGTCGGAACCCAGACGACGCAGTCGCACACCCCTTTCCCCAGACCCAGATCAGACGCTGAAGGTCCTTACCCACCACCTTCCGCTTCTTCCATAGCCGCTCGACACTGTGTAGAAACTCTCGCAAGTCTGCCGGGGCTGCGGCACCACGGTGCGCAGCGTGAATCGTCAACGCTTTTAAAAATGCCAGGTGTAAATCGAGCAATTCCTCCACACAAGCTGGGCGTGTAACAGAGACGGGGGCGGCGAGAGTCTGGGACTTTTGCGAGGAAATCCGTGGTGTCGTCTTGGCTGTAGCACGTTTTGAGGGAGAAACAGGGCTGTCATCATTATCATCATCATTTTCTTCTTCTTCTTCTTCTTCTTCTTCTTCTGCACCCTCCTCCTCTTCCTCGTTCCTCACGGAGCGCACAGAAGTCGACGCATAGTGCCCACTCCGCGGTGTCGACACAGACAAAGTACTAAACCGCAGCGACTTCGAGGGCGTCAAGCTGCCCTGATCTCGATCCTGAACGCCACCGCAGTCGACATTTTGCAGCTCGTGCAGTTTCCGTTTCTTGGCCGGCGAAACAGGGAGACTGCCTTTTGTTGGTAATGTTGTCGTTGTTGCAGGGCCCTTCTTTCCATCGACTAGAGACTGCCGGGTCAACACACCGGGTTTGATCGCTCTTGCAAAACTCTGGATGCCGGGTTGCTGCTGCTGTGCTGCTCGAGCGAGGCAGGATTGTCTAGTGGAGGTGCGTCCTGGCATCGTTGTTTCCCCCTCTCGATAAAATTAAAATTAAAGTATGCTTGATGATTTAACAGGAAGGTAATATATTGTGAAAAACGTAAAAAAATGGGGAAGGAAACAAGCACTTGTAACGTTGTCTCTTTTTTTTTTCTTGAGAATCCAGGATGATTTGATGGGCGGGTAAATTTCACAAGGGGGATTTTTCTGCGGTGGAGCGCGTCGCGAGCATACATAACGCGTTTTGGCGTTTTGGCGTCCGAGTCTTAATTGAGTTGAGTTATATTATTACGCTCATCACGAAATAGTACGGTAGGATTTAGGTATTGAACAATTTGGAAGAATAGCAGGACTAATTAAGAGATTACAAGTCGGATGAAACTGACTCCAAAACTAAAAGAAAAGAAAAGAAGAGATACAATGAATATTCCATCACTCTGGTGATCCATCTCTACTGATACTCGGAATGCAGCATACCACGGATCCACAGATTAACTATGTAACTATTTATGCATAGCTCGAAGTTGTACATGTAGTGTACTAGGTAGGAGACTTCACATCAAAAAAAAAAAGAAAAAAGAAAAAAGAACTAAAAACCCCTCTTATTTCTTCCCACCAAACCATCCAGACAAGCTACTTTTCGCCTCGTCCGCTCTCTCTTCAACCTCACTCCGCACCTGGGACATCTTCTCCTCTCCCTCCTGACGCAACTCATCCAGTTTCTTCTTCCCCTCCGCGGTGATATCGTCAGCTTTGGCGCGGATGTTATTTCCCTAACGGATAGTTAGTGAGTAGGAAGTTGATAACTGCGCAGCATTTTTGTCCCGTTCAATCCATCATATCACGTACAACCACCACCACCACCACCACCACCCCAATAAAAGACCAGGAAAAGAAAAAAAAAGAATAAAAGGGGTACCATACAGCCTCCTCGAGATTCAATTTCGTCTCCACACGAGCCCTTTCGGCGTCTTCAGCCCCGGGGACCTTGTTGCGCGCCTTATTGGCATCATCTGATATCATCTCACATGTTAGCATCATCCACTGACAGATCTCTCATTACACCCCAAAAAAATTTTAAAAAAAAAAAAACAAAAAATGAAGAAGAAGAGAAAAAAAAAATAAGCGATGTGTTACTAAGGAAAAGACTCTTACGTTTCATAGCATCCTTGGCAGCTTTGGGATCTCCGCCTGCACGGTAGAGATAATAGGCCCCGGCCCCGGCGACTGCCACTCCCAGATACAGACCGGTGCGGTTCCCAGACATATTTATTTCGCTTGTGTGGAATTGAGGGATTGAATGGATGGAGTGATTGCTCTTATTATTATCTTTTTTTTTATTGCCAGGTCATTGAATAGTAAGTAGTTAGGGATGTAAAATGCTTGACTTGACGTTTCCTTGCATATATAAGATAAGGTTACTTCTTTGATGACCTCCTGACGTCACTGGACTCGTTCCATGGCGATCGAGGCTGAGAGGTCTTCGTGATTGGACCCCGTGAAACCTCTGGCTGGGACCCGTGAGATCATCAGAAGGTCTACTACTACTACCTCATGCCTGATCCTTAGCATCTTACGCAACTACGAGCCCAGACTTCCCCGAGCGATTAAAAGATTCAGTCATCGACCGAAAGGACATATAAGAGATGTATAATTATCAACAGAACCCGAGCAATTAACCGAAGCCACACGGGTAGGGAAACTCCGTCCAAAACCTCGTAGCTGAACCCGAGATTGAGGCCGGGGGTATCTTCATGCACTATAAACAAACGACCGCAAGAAACGCCAGAACATGCAGCACACGAACACTCGAAAAGGAAACACCCGAACAGAACTGATTTGATATTGAAGAAACCCCCGTGGAAATCCAGTTCACACATGCGTTATTCATCAGTCATGACAAGTCATCAATATCTTCCGCAACCCAGCGGTATATGTAGTCAAGTAACGACAGACCCAGGATCTAGAACTCCCATGTTACATCCAGAGGAGAGTTGTGATCGACAAAAAAAAAAAAAAAAAAAAAACCGAGGGAGAGACACATATAGAGCTTGGGAGGGGGGGGGGAAACAATAAAAAAGAAGTAAGTTGAAGGAGCCAAGTGGTTCGTATAATACAACCCTGGCTTCGATACAAGGAAAATAGAGACAAGGAAAGAATCGACATAGATGGCCTCGAATGGGCTTCTGTTCAAATTTCAAGAAGCCGGCAAGACCGAAGCCCGAGTCTTGAGAGCCGGATATAACCTATTATACTTCGTAAAATTCAATGGCCCTGTTTACACGAGAAGCTTTGTGGCATTCTTATTTTCACTCGTGGCAACCGCGACAAGAGCCTCGAGTCTGCCCATTCCGGCCTCTCGAGACGAGTTGTTCAAGAGGTCAGAACGGTGATCATGTTTAGTGTGGTACGCGTCAGTGGGGGGTGGTAGAGGAGGGCAAGGCTATATATAACTTTCCATCAGTAATCCGACGCAACAAATTATCTGGGTTATAAGGACGTACTGTTTGTGACGTATCGGATGAAAAGGGGGGGTGATGGGGTTCGGGGTAACCATTGTTCTGAACAATGGCAGGATGGTATTCAAGAGACGCTGTTGAAGGGGTATGAACACCCTCGCTGCTGCTTGAATCTTCGGGGCTTGTTCGTGTAGCTTGCGAGCTCGAGGTCCCAGTGCTATATGTGGAACCATGACTGTGATGACCACGGTACTCGTGAACCCGTTGCTGGTATGAGGATGACGGACGAGAGCCAATGCTGTGGAGTTCTGAGATGGTTTGCTGGCTCCAATGTGACGCATCACGTTGAGGAATGGGTTTATCTCGAATGTTCAGGCCGGTCAGATTAGTATGCAGTGACATATCCCAAGAGACATGGCCTCGTCGGTGGCCTGGTCCAGAAATAGGGGGAGCTGGTCGACTTGAGGGCTGCGAATAGTTGAATCCACCGCCGAAATTGTAACCTGGAGGTGGTGGAGGCTTTGCTTGAGTGTCAATCTGCATTGGACTTGGTCCTCGCAGCGGCGGGGTCAGAGGCCGTTGAGCAACCACTTTGTCAAAGCTCTCGATTCCAGGCAGTCGCGGCGGCTGATCCGTCGAACCATTGGGCCCGAATGCCATTGGGAAGCCTTCTGGGCCATGATAGTGACCAAGACCACTAGTAGCCGGTCGGGCAACGTTCGACCAAGTTGATGGATGCCATGTTCTTCGCCGCAGCTCGGCGTCAGTCACAGTACGACCTGTTTCATCCCGAGATATCGAGTAGTTGGTATTGACAGGGCTGGCATAAACTGCTCCTGGAGTTGTGTAGCCTGTTGAAGGGTACCCTCCTGGGGTGTAAGGAGCAGCTTGATGCGAAGCAAATGGATTTGCCCCCGAGGGAACAGACAGGCGGCGGGCAGCCGTTTTTCCATCCCAAAACCCTGAAGCATGAGATGCTGCAGACATGGGGGAATGAATATGAGGACTGCCGTTAGGTCCGGCTGCGAACATGTGGGATGGTGTGTACGGAGATCCCACTGGCGGTACCGGGTGTGCTCGAACTTGACCGGGAGGTGTGGAAGGCGTATCCATCATTGGGTCAAGGGCCAGCCTGGATCTTCCACTCGCATCATTTGCCATAATCAATGGTGGTGGTCTCCGGCGAAGCTCTGGAGGCTGGCTAAAGGTTGAGGCGGTTGAGGCGATACTTGAGGTGGACAAGTTCCTGCTATGTCCCCTACTGTGGGCACCCTGACTACCACCCGTGCCGGCCCTGGCTCGGCCCTGGGGGCGCACTCGGTCGGTCCGGATTTGACGCTGGAACCTGGTTCCAGTAGCTGCGAGAGAATCGCCCGGGATTTCCTCGTTCACATGTACAGTCTGTGCGTGTTGTCGCAGATTATCAAGCCGGGAAAATCGACGGGAGCAATGGCACTGAAACGGGCGTTCTCCAGTGTGCTTTCGGATATGGCGAGCGAGGTGTTCGCTCCGGGTGAAGCTAAGGTTACATGGCGGGAAGTCGGTGCAGTAGAATCGTTGTCCCTTTTTCTTCTTCGACGGTGGAGCATTCTCTGTGTGATCCGCATCATGATCTGAACCTTCTCGATCTCCATCCGAATCCGCCTGGATGGTCTCATCCGACTGAACACTTCCTTGCGACCCGTCGAGATTATTTACATTCAGCGACATTTTCTCATCCTTGATGACGCTCGAGGTCTTTACAGGGTCTTGTGCGGCGGATGTGGGATTCGGGCGCGGGCGGGGAGTTGTGGGAGTTGTCGCATCCTCCATGACGCGATCCGCGGGCGAAGAAATATTATTGACAGGTAGAAATGAAGACATATTGACAGCGAGGGAACCCTCGGTATCCACCCTAGGTCTATGTACTAATTTGTGACGGGGGATGCTCCCTCGGCACACAATCCCGACTTATGTTTCAGAGGACGGCGGTTGGGGTTTCAAGAGAGAGAAACGGAGGACGGTCGCAGAATGCGGACTACTAGAGAGGTTTGCGCAAGCGATGTAAGCAAATGGACCATAATATTTCCTCGGGCTGTGACGTCTAGCAAGGGATAAGAGATATGGGCAATAGAAGGAGACGTCTGATCGGAGTGGGTTTTTTTTTCCCCGTCTATAACACTTACAAGATAGGGCAAAGGAGTCTAGACCTCCCCCCAAAAAAAAAAGAAAAGAAAAGAAAAAAAGAAAAAAAGAGAGCTTCGAGCGAAGGGATAGAAAGTGAGGAATGTTGGAAGAGTGTGAGGATGACGATTCAGATGAATGCCTGACGAGGATGGCGAAGCAAGGGTAGGTAGGTGGTACACGATAAGTGGAAGAGAACAACCATTAGTACCGAGGACGCATCTCACAGATCCAAGTTTAGGAGAAAAGAGTCATCCGAATGAGGGGATAAAGCGAGTAGGAAGGAGGAAAAGGAGTAAAGGATGAGAAGAAGAATGTGTGTGAGAGAGAGAGAGAGAGAGAGGAGAGAGAGAGAGGAAAGTTGGTGGACTCGATCGAGGGTTCCAGTGGATATCGAGTCCTAGTTGTGGGTATGACAGAGAGTAATTAAGACACCGGACCAGCCAAGACCGCAACCAAATCTAATACTGGACGACGGAAGAGCAATGATGTGAGATGAAGCATCCAAAGAGAAAGGTGTCCAGTGCCTGAAAATGATGGATCGACGAAGGAGGAAGGAAGGGGGCAAATAAAAATAACAGTGAAATCAGATCAGTCCAAACGGATGGTTATTAATAGCCAGGTGATGTACAGGCACCAAGGCCACGATGTTGATAGGGCCGTACGGCAGCCAATGTCAAGAAATAAAAGAGACGGAGGGAGAATCTGAATGATCAGGCGGGAGACTGAAGAGAGTATTAGAAAAAAAAAAAAAAAGAAAAAAAGAAAAAAAAAGGACAAAGAAGAGAGATGAAGAGAGGTTCTGAGGGGGGGGGGTGTGTGTATGGTCAATCGATCTCGGATATGGTGTTGATGGATAAGGTAACTATGTGTGGGAGGGGATAAGAAGAAGAAGAAGAAGAAAAAAAAAAAAAAAAAAAAAAAAGAGGCCAAAACCGGGGGGACAAAGTAAGGATATGGACAGGGCTCGATGGAAAGGAAAGAAAAGGAACTAAAGGTAAGTATGGGAAGAGGAGGAGAAAAGATGAAATGTAAGAGAGAAAGAGACGAAAGTAATGACGGCAACGCAGCCGCCGCGAGAGTTGAGTACGACAAGTTGTATGTGGATAGGCGGACGGAAGGAGGAGGTGATGACGATACGGCCAGGAGAGCCGAATACTAAATCGTCCCGTTCCCAAGGACCCGAGGAGAGTCAAAAATGGTAAGGAGAGGGGGGGAGATGGGAAGCTGGTAACTCCCTCCCTCCTCAACAACGGTTTGGCGGGCGGCGAAACGAGGGGCAGAAGGAGGGGAAGAATAATTACCTGATTATATATAGTATATCATTAGTAGTGACTATACAAGTTCATCTAGTTACCTAGTACCTAGATTGATTTCTTTAATTGTATATATTCTATAATATATGGTAAGTAAACCTTCTTTAGTTCCAGGTACTGACAAGTGGTCCGGACCGACCGACACGGATCATAGACTGACAAGAATCAATTCTCCGTACACATAATTATAGTTAACTAGTCACATAATTAGATAGCTAATTAGAACTTACAGAAATCATAGAGAATACTCCGTACAAAGAATTCCTTTCTTACCATACAAGCGTTCGTATGAAACCCGTATCAGGAACCCAGCGCTTAGCCTTAGCCCTCGTCCATCGAGATGATCCCAAGTACATGCCTGGATGCACTTGTTTTGAGGGTCAAAATGAATCCACCTTTCAAAGGTAGTAGTACTCCTTTCAGAACCATTTGGCTGGCTGACGGCAAGAGTCGTGAGAGTCTCGACCGCTTCTCTTCACCCAGGATCCATGGTTTCATCCTTCCAGGGTCCTTAGTGGCACGCCGCATTTTCTTAAAACCCTTTTTTTTTTAGCCCTCCGGAGTGCTACTGAATAGTTGAGGCACCAGGCACTGAGGGGGATCGAGTACTGGTGGGACCCAGATCGGATAGCATTTCCTTGTCAATTATGGGACGCTGTTTTTCTTTCTGGTATCCATTCAGAAGCCCCACGATTCTGGTTTGATGAAAAGTCTCCCCAGTCCGTCTTTCCCATCTCCCTTCCGGAAAGAATCAGTGGTCCCAAAGATGGGCGTTCAGCCGACGGGGCGCGGTGACGTGAACCACTTGGGCTCGGGCGTGGCGGAAGCAGGGCCCTTTGTTCATGAACCTCTGGTAACTTTTGACTCGACATCAAATAACATCCAGCTTCCCTGTGCAAGAATCACAATAGCCTGGTGATCAAGATCGATCTCGATCGAAACTGCGAGCTGGAACGGTCAGGGTGCTGAAGTTGGATGCGGGAGAGCACTGACTCGGAGGAGAGTTACATAAACCAAGGCCGGCATTCCGGTATGGATTTCCAACCCGTCCAGAACTTGTCCAGACACCAAGAGAAATACGAAGACCAGGTCGCAAAAGGCCGGGGCACTTCCGGGACTTCCATCCTCTCCATGATAGGTGGTGAAAATTCCCGTTTTCCCCTACCCATGCAGTAACTATATGCAGGAGTACCTTACATTCGGAGCTCGTACAGCCCACACATCTTCTCCTTTTGTTATTCCTGCTCTGTTGGCCTCAAATTTACGAATAAAAAAAGTCCTGGGAGAGCTGATGCCAGTTCTTTCCCGCAAGACGACGGAAAAGCTTGTTCCTGGTGCTATCCACGGGCCCGAGAGGCTGGAACGAGATACCACTGCCGCATTCAGGACATCTCGAGATGAGCTCCACCAGGACCATATGAAGCTCAGTCAAGAGGGAAAACATGAGCATGGATCCGGTAGCAACTGAACTTTACAAGGAAATCTAAACAATACCTTTGATTCTCTCTGCGTACGGGCCCGGAAATCGGTGGAAGCTTCATTGCATCTATGACACTACTCAAACATGAAGAGTGGATTCGATACCACATTCTAGGAAGATGATGTGATTCACTACTCCAGAGGTTGCAGTCGCTTTACCTTGGTCTGAGTCGATAATATTCATGATGAATGATGCTTTGTAATTACAAGAGCATACAGACGGAGGACATAATCGAGGTTTACTTTTTACCTGAGGAACCTTGCATAAAGATCCAAATCTTATTCCACTGCGTATATGTGAATATTCAATATAGACTTTCACCCAGGCTGTATGTCCACCCTTACATACAAACTCAGTATATGCGTATCAACTAGATATGAGCTTATGATAGCGTCATCTTGAATCTCCGACGTCTAGCGATACCCTGATCAATTCTCTCCACGAATTGGCCCCCTTACACGCAATCCATACCTCATGATATACGTACAAACCACCCTCCCTCCAACTCAAAGAAGTCTCGTCAAATCTCCATATTTAAAATACTCCTCTGTAAGTCATCATCCATCACCGGTCGGCCCATGATACTTAATATCTAACCATGGAGCGCTTGCAGATTTGCAGGTAAAAGGTACGTACGTACGGCTTGGGGAAAATTGCCATCTGCAGTGACCCAAGACCAATGTGGATATCCAGTCAGCACGACAAAACATTTGGATGGAGAAAAGGGCCGAGATTGGAGAAGCAAGCAAAAACAAGAAAATTTCGGGCGGGAACCAACCATGCCACCAGAATGATAGTTAAATTATTTCGCCTCTCATTCTTGCGCGCGGTCTCCTGGGTGGCGATACCTCTCACATCATCGATACCGAGGAAGGGAGTTTATCCAGCGGTTGTCTACTCTCTTTTTCTGTGGCGGGGGTCAGTCAGCGATTTGGAATCTTGAAATGAGCTAAAAAAGAAAGAAAGAAAAAAAAAAAAAAAAAAAAAAAGGCACAAGGAACATGCCACCGGCTTCTCTTCTTTGGAGTACCTCCTAGGTAGACACTAGGTACTTACTCACTTCCACCTCGGCGAAATTTGTTTCAAAAAAAGAAGCAGGGATACATTATGATGGCGGCATGGCCACGGTTACGGTACCTGCAGTCAGTACCTTGCTTGCAGGTCCCGGGATTGTGTCTTGATTAGCATTTCAAGGTGACTGGTTGTATACATGCATTGCTAACCAATTTGTACCTTGACAGGAATGATTTGGACATACCTAGGTATGTATACATATACAGTAATCTGTTTCAGTGACCTTACCTATGTAACTATCATAATCACCTACAACAAAGGTGTGTATATATTCTTAACACTATTATCCAAAGACAGGGATGAGATCAGATATAGAAATAGAGGTTATGATAGTGACAGTGATGCATAATTAGTTTTAATGGGGCTTATGTAGACACTATACAAACACACATACACACATACACACACACACACATATATATATATATATATATACAGCACCACCAAGTCAAATTCACCTTTTTATGAACTCTGCAAGGAGCTGTACGATGCTACCGCTCTAGCACACTCATCATGGAACTGACCATGACCGCTGCCTCGCGTTCCCAGTTCCCCTGCGTTTCGGCCCCCGACCGCTTCTCAAGGCCGACGGTCGACGCCGGCAATTGCGATCCCCGGAGCACGCAGTCGCGGATCTCTCTCTTAAGTCGGTCTCGGTTGGACCGGAGAGTGCGTGCGGACACGCCGCCGCGAATCATGATTTCCTGGACGCGTCCGGAAAGAGAAGATGCCAGGGACCGCCAGAAGTACGAAGGTAGAGAGGCCGTGTCCAGTGCGTTAAGAAGCGGTTGCAGAAGGTTGCTCTTGTTGCCTGCAGGGCGAGATTGTGGCTGGTCATCTGAGGAGGCAGTGGTCGGAGGGAAAAGGGGATGAGAAGGGGGTCGGATGTGACTCAAGATAGCTTCCAGAGCAAAAATATCCTGGCATCGTGCGGAGAGGTCGTAGAGGGTGCGTTCGAGAGTTGGGAGCATAGACAGCGCGCGAGACAGGTTATTTAGCGATGATACAATCGCCGTCTGCATGTACCCTTGTAATGTTGATAGTAGCAGCTCTGGCTGGAACTCTGCCGCCGCACAGCCCTTCGCCGGAACCGGAGAGAGTAGATACAGGACATTGACCGCGGATACGAGTCGAGCTCTTGCATCGCGTGCCTGTTTGTAACCCGACTGGGAGGATGCTGCACTGCCTGTCGGCGTAGTCGACATGGAAAACCGATTGATCGCTTGCTGCGCTCTGGTCTTGACCAGATTCTCCGCCGGAATCACGAGCTCGGACCTCAAGGTGCGAATAACCTGGACCCGGTCCAACCCATGACCTTCCTCACCCACACCCGTATCAGAAAGCAACCGACGCAGGCTCACGATGGTGGATGCGGCGCGCTCGAGCGCGCGCGAGTCATCCCGACCAGAAGAAGGCGTTGAAGATGCTGTTCCGTCTATTCCAGGACCACCAGTCGAGGGAACCCCCGCAAAGCCACCACTGCTACGGCCGATGACTTCGGCCATCTGGCCCTCGAGCTGCCGGCCGAGGGCAAGACAGCGTCCAACCGCACGTGTGAGACGCACGGTGGCCAGGGAATTTTCGGCGGCCACCCTAGCTTCGTCGGCCGCCTCCCATTTGTGTAGGACTTCGCGCTCGAGTCTCTCGTACCCTTGAGAGACAGAAGAAATCTGGTCTTCGGCCTCCTTGAGTATCTTGCTTGCTGCTGCGGTTTGGTCCCGCGTGTGCGTCAGCAAGGGGAGGGCTGATTTGGTGGTCAGCGTGTGAATGTGGGTGTCGATCTCTTGGAGGTCGAACAGGACCCGTGAAAGCGGGGTTGACAGGTCCAGCGGTGTGTCTGTCGCATTGTTGGTAGCCACCACCAGCGAGTTGGCAAATGAGGCTGGCGAAAAATCCGGATCCAGGAAAGCCTCATAATCTATGTAAGATGGTTCACCTGCAGCCATGACTCGGTTCCTAGGAGGGCCCAGTTCCAATGCTAGAATCAACAAGGGGTGCGTTCCAGTGGTGGTAAGAAAGGGGGGTTGGTCGTGATCCGGAGTAATTTACCCAGCAAGCTTCATTCGGGTCAATACCAGACGGAAAGATGCTGTCGCTTGGTTTTTGTAGCCGTCTCGTCAACGACGAAGGATGAATACGGCGATAATCCCATGTGAAAAATCCAATGGATATGGGACAAGGTTCGCGGCCATCATCGACCCCAGCTGCTCGTGAAAGGTTGCTGCGCGATGAGGTGTTGCTGTGGTGGTGATGGATGGTTTTGATGCCATGTGTCGGAGTCGCTTAGCGGATTAGTCATCGGGTATTATCAACTTGACGCTGTGATATATAACTATATACTGTTATATATACTTGAGTCGCTGTTTGGATCTGCTACCGTATCTTCGGGTATATTAATTGGCTCCAATTGGATTCGTCCTATCTAAATGGCCATGGACGGGAGTTAACACTGATGTATTGCGACCCAACTTGACGTCAGTTGGTGCTCAAGATAGAGAAGTATATATTCCACTAAGTGACACTAAGAACCCGTCTCCATCTAGATCGTATCACATTTCATAAAACTGACAATATATGGACACTGGCATCTACAGACTTTGGCACTATGAATCTACCATAAGACGTACAAGATGGTAATAATTGGGGATGAGAAACTACATGCGTGTTATTTATAATCATTTAAAGTCAACCAGACATCAACCATCCGATATGGTGTAATGGTTAACATCGCCGTCTCTCACACGGCAGCTCGGGGTTCGATTCCCCGTATCGGAATCATTTCTTTTTTTCTTCCCTTTCCTTCTATTTTTTTCAGTTCATACTTTTAACACTTTAAAAGTGCGGCTACCCTTAGCCATACGTGTTGGGAAAAAGGCAGGTTAATATTTTTAGTATTTATATATAACCATGGAAATAAAGAAAGGTAGACAGACGTCTACTGTAAAACCTCTCCTTTGCTTTCCTCCACAATCTGCTCGAAGTAGGGCTGGAACTCCGTGTAAAAGTTGTGCTGCGATAGTAGTTAGGATATTAGCCTCAAGAGACGCAGAGCTAGCGAGGAGGAGCAGGGACCTACAGGATTCTGAACCGCATCTGCGGTATACTGTGCAACCTCGTGGGTGATATACTGCTTCGGGATACCGTTTGCAGCGGCCGCTTCAGCCATCAACTGCGAGTGGCAGGCATGGTCTAAGCTGGCGAAGAGGAAGGCTGCTTCGTCGACGGTTCGGCCCACGGTGAGGAGACTAGACATGCACGTTAGACAGGAAGGAAAATCCCAAGACTGGAAAGGAAAGCAAGGAAAAAAGCCTACCCATGGTTTTTAAGAATACAGGCAATGTTATCCCTGCCCAGTGCCTTGGCGATCCGCTGACCCTCCTCCTGTGCTAAGGCGATACCGCCATGGTCACTGTAGACACTGAGCTTTCCGTAGAAATTGCAAGCGTCTATGTATGCTTCGTTGTTAGTATGGGGATCGAGGACAAGCACGATAGAAACAGCGGAGAACGGAAGTCCCGCACCCTGAGTGAGCATCTCAATTGGCCTGCCAAATGCACTCCATGTCTTCCCGTACACGCCGTGAGTGTGTGCCGCAGCGATCACATCCGGACGAGCCTTGTGGATTTCAGAATGGATCATGAACCCGGCCTCGTTGATGGGTAACTGGGCACCGCCTTCGGTGACGTAGCCCTCGTCATCGACGAGGACAAGGTCAGAGGCCTTGATGGTGCAGAAGTGTTTGGCGAAGGGGTTCATCCAGAAGTGGTCTTTCAGGACGGGATCTGGAAGCGGTTACATCAGGACCCTCTGAGCATGTCCAAGTAGTATCCCTATGTATATTGGTCCGAAAGTGAAAAGCGCGCAGTGAAGCATGGAATTGGGCTATTTTCTAACCTCTAATAGAAATATGGCCAGAAACACCCTCGGCGTAGCCCTCCTTTCCAAAGAAGCGGAATGCAGCGGCCATATGCTCTTTCATCCACCGGCGCTGCCTGTAAGGATCGGTGAACGTGGGGATCCCCTTCAGCTTGATATTCCCTGCACGGTCTCCACGGGCAACAGCCTGGAAGACAGCGTCTTCTTCGGCGGGGGCAAGGGCCGTTGGTACATCGGCTGCAACGACCACCTGCTTGGGGGTGGTCTCGGTGAGGGTTGTGGTGGTGGACATACTGCCGATACTTTCGAATATGTGGGACGATGCCCAATGAAAGCAAGAGAAAGAGGAAACAGAAGATGAGATTGAGATATCGATCTATGCAAAGGGGAGGAGGACTGTCTACCTTTTGTCTTGCTGTTATCAGACGGATTACTCCGACCCCACTTATGCGACAAGGCGCATATTTCTCTCCAAATCAGTATCTCCCAGTAACTCAGATGCAGAGAACTTCATTGGCTATGTGCAATATCCCAAAGGACCCAGTACTACCTACCTAGGTACCTATGTTGTAATGTCTGCCTTCTCCAAATCACAGTACACATGCGCCTGCACATTGCTTCATACCGAAGAGCTGAACCCATCTGTACTACAGAGATTCTATTCCAATAAAATGAGGGATGACGCCCGAATCCAAGAACGCCATCTATACAGGTGCCCATGCTAGATAGGGTATACACAAATAGGGTAAAAAGAAGTCAAAAGACTCCACGAACCACTCGGGGACCACCCGAGTCGTGGATGGAGGATGGTAGAATATATCAAAAAACGACAAAAAAAAAAGAAATAAATGAAAGGAATGGCGGGGAAACCAGCTATACAGCTTGGTCTCCCTTTATGTCGGTCATTTCATACTCGCCACCGTCGACGTTGCGTCCCCGGCCACGACTCCGACCAGAAAGGAACGGCTCGCTGTGTTCCTCAACCCGAGACGGAAATACGGCATTCGAAGTTTGTGTCGCGTTACCACTAACTGTAAGGCTGCCAAAGCTAATAGGTCGAAGCTCCCGCCATTGGCAAGCCCAGACACCGAGGAAGGTCATTAGAGCGGCGCTGCCGCACTGTAAACCCCACCAGAGCCAATTGGAGGGAATTGAGCGGGTATATAAAGAGGTCGTGAGGAGATGGAGGAAGTGAATCGTAAGGGCGAAGTCGGGAATGAGCTTCGAGCGGGAGACAAGGAGGAGAAGGAACATGACACTAACAGGTAGAGCGAGGGCTTTGTTAGCTGGGGGATTTGACGACGCAAAGTAGACCAAATAGTAAAGTAGAACCCACCATAAAAGACTATTCAGCATCCACACCAAGCCCAGCATCCACCCTAACGTCGTATCTCCTCTGATTGCATCCCAGCCGAGGACTAGGTCCAACGAAAACGCCGTACCGTAGACCAGGGTGGTGAACAGGATCAAGGCCGCCGCGGAAACATAATAGGCAGCCTGGAGAACAAAGATCTTGCGGACGATTTTCAGCGGCGGAAGGTCGGTTCGGGCCCCCGCCGGAGGAGGTCTACGGCGCGGGGGCATGAACTATGAGTTAGTTCAAAGATGAGGTCGAAAATGGATATGTTTTGGCAGTTTTCCTGGGTGGAAATGGTAACGGAGAGAGGGTTTACGCGGCTTCGTAGCGGAGAAAGAGGAGCATCCGCCACACCAGCAAAGCAGAAATTCAGTCGCAAGCAGATGTCTGCAGATAGAGATTCGTCCTTGACAATTGACTTGAACCGAAAATCGGCCCATAAAACTCACGATAATGCTGGTAGTTGACGGAACTGTGGAAGACGAAGCTGGAGATGAAGAAGTCGACCGTGTTGGCTTAGCGCCACATGACCGCAAGTCATGCGGAGGGAATCTCGGTTGCTCCGACAAGCTACAGACTCTGAAAGCTCTCCGTCTACACAGCTACACCCGGTCTACAGCTTATCATCGAGTTCATACCCAGATATACATACTATATTTACCGATAGTAAATATGGGCTGGTTTTCTTCCTCCTCCTCCGACTCTAGCCAGGCCTCCGATGGCGGCCGCATAGCCCCCGACCGAACCTCTCGACAAAAGTGCTGGGAAGGCCGTGATCTCTTCTTCACGTGCTTAGACAATAATGACATTGTTGACGCACTTAAGAATGACAAGGAAGCGCGAAAGAAGTGCGCGAAGGAGATTGCAGAATTCGAATCAGCTTGCTCCAGCACCTGGGTACGCGGTCTCTGTTGAGCGTGAAGATTCGATGGATGGCTTTCTTTACTCGAACCCTTACTGACGGCATCGTGGATAGGTCAAATACTTCAAAGAAAAAAGAGTGATGGAGTACAATCGAGACAAGACGATCGAGCGGATTAAGAAGGAGGATGCGGCGGCGGTTGAGAACCTCAAGTCACAGGGATGGACACCAAGGTGAGGGGAGGGCTAGTGGGATGAATGGATAAGGCATTGGAAAGGAAAGTACAGAACCAAAGAAGGGGGGGGTGTATGATCTGGGAGATCTCATAGTTGTATTATATTTACGCATAATGACAGTTGAAGCGCTATCTGTATCGAATATTTAGAAACCATTGATACGCTCTGCTCTTTCAAAACTTTTTATGCCCCTAAGAGAGAATAGAGATTTAGTTGTGATAATCCCTTGTGCCAGGAAGGAAGTCACTGACCTGGACGGTACTCCTAGTGGAGTTGATATATTTGGACATGGGTGGATGATCTACTAGTAGAGATACTTTCAAATTACAATGCTCGTTTTCGCATTAATATTAGCTAAATACATAGTCGCATTCATAGCAATCAACGGAGATACCGGGAGAGGGAAGGTAGAATAACAATCGATCTCCGTAAGACCACCGTCTGAAGACACCAGGAACAATCAAATGGAGGACTATCTTTACGTTGGCCGAGTAAATTAGATGAAGGAAAATATTGAATAATCATCATAAACATCACAGAAGGAGAATATCAGTTTCCTTTTCAGGGACTCAAATAGAAGAAAATTCAACGCCCAACTCCTTGATATGAAAATTTGTATGCCACGAATGATGATGGAGATGCAAGGAAAAAAGGTTGAAGAAAGTCGTAAAATCATTGCTTCCATTTGCCCAATTGGCTCATGATATTTTGGACGTGAGGAGGCACTCCGGCTTGATTTTGCGGCTGCTGCGCTCCCAAACCTTTAGCCAGGAGGGATAGTAAATTCGGATCTGAGACTGCAGGGACATTTGGTGCTTGGAGTGGAAAAGGCTGTGATGAGAACGATTGCTGTGGGTTGGTTAGGATAGGCTGTCGGGTGGCAGAGCTTAGAAGACTGGCAAGATCTGGAGCCGCATGGGGATGGTTGGTGGCAGGGAACGGATGCTGAGCGACTTGCACAGGCGGCCGCTGTTGTAGGGCGGAGAGTAGAGATTGCAGGGTAGGCGCATCGAGAGTTGAAATGAGATTGGCAAGGTTTGGCTGGCTTGCAAGCGGAGGAGGAGCTTGAGTGTGAGGCATCGTCGCAGATGGAAGAGCTGGAACTCCGTAGGCCGTGGGGGGGAAAGAGGTGTGCAGGCCATTGCGTTGCAATGAGTATGCCTGAAAGACGATTTCGGCAGCAATATTGGGATCAAGTTCAGGATACTCTTTTTGTGGTATTAGCGAGTGAGCATTGATTTGGGTCTCAGCAGGTAGCGAAGAGTTTGGAGAGCTTACCGTTAGAGCGCACATTATCTACGGCAGCGCTGCGGTCGAATACTTGTAGAGGTATTTTTCTGGAGAGCTGGCTTGGCCGTGAGAGTCTCACTACTGCAAGAACGCCCTCAGATATTTGACGCTGGACGGCGGCATCAAGAGGAATTCTAGGTCCTAGTGCTAGGACATCTACACGCAATCCTCGATTACGGAAGCTTGTCTCCACATGATATATGAAGTTCCTGAGGAGAATTTGGAATTAGCAACAGACAGCTGCAAATTGAGAAAGTTTCATGTCTCTTACCGGTCCAGCTCCTCTAAGACAAGTATTTGCACGTCCGGTACATCTCTCGCAGCTCGTCTGGGGACAGGCATATCTGCATCGCTATCGTACACTCCACGTCCCCTGGGGCTTGGCGTACGGTACCTTCTCTCTCTTCCATCCCTTGTGTCTCTCCTATAAGGTGAACGAGATCGTTGTCTCTCGCGTCTATCAAACCGTTCTGGAGTCCTGTCTCGCGACCGATAACCCTCTCTTGGCCGGTAACCGCGCGGAGAAGGCGATCTTAGGGGAGGCCGATAATCATCCCTTCTGCGATGAGCAGGTTCGCCCCTAAAGTCGCTGAATGGCACCCTTCCCTGCTCGTAGGGTCGTTCGTATCGATCTCCCGAGGCTCTCGCGTTGCGGCCGCTTGGAGGCCCACCCCTACTATATTCGGGGGACCTTGACCGACGTGGTGGTGGGGCCCTTGAAGATTCTGAAGTAGCCGGCGCAGGTCTGGTGTTTCTTTGCGGTTTCGAAATTTCTAGGTCTAATTAAAAAGGGTTAGTGTCTAGAAGTCTAGTTCCTGTAGTATATTGTAATACTCACGAACTTTGCGCCCCCTCACCACTGCCCCTTGCTCTGAGTCGAGCGCTTTCTTGCAGGCTGAGGCGTCAAGAAATTGGATGAAACCGTATGCTTGCTTGATTGATATCTGCGCCAGTTTCCCATAGTTGTGAAAGATATGAAACAGGTCTCGCTTAGTTACCCTTTCTGTTGGGAGATTGCCTGTTGACGATACTATATTAGATCCCTTTCAAAAATGGGGGGTGGGCATGCTGACCAACAAATAACCTCGACCCATAGGGGAAGCGATCCCAAAGTCCTTCTGTCACGTATACTCTCTCATCGTGTAAAAATTCATCATACTTCTTTTGTACTTCTGGACCCCAAGGAGCATCCTCGTCGGGGACTCCAGGTTTTGCTATGCGGGGCGGTCTCTCAACACGCCCAGCTTTCTGCGCTACCGATGGTGCAGCTTCTTGAGATTCCGCAGCGGCCGATGGAGGTTGTTGGAAGCTAGCAATGGGAGGAGGAGGTAAAGCACTGGTACCGGAGGAGGTCCCCGGAGCACCGGCTGCAGCTAGTGGCGGTAGCGCCGCGTTGGACTGGTAACTACTCTGCTGGGTTGTATAGGGATTGGATGCGTCGGGGGTAGTATGGGCAGGGAGCTGATGATAAGAGCGGATATCATCACTGGGATTGTAGTTGGGATGGATGGAAGGCTTCTCTTGGGGAGGGGGGCGAGGAGGTAACCCTGCCTGAGGAGTGGCCGAAGGGTCCTCCGTAGACAAATGGGCGGTTCCCGAGACCGTGGGGGCAGAAGGAGCAGTTGAAGGAGGGAGATTATCAAGGAGGTTCTGGAAATCGACGTCACCCTCAGCACTGTTATCATCGGGTTTGGCCTCAGGATCTAATCGGCTCTGCGGCGCGGCCTGGTGGTCTACCTCATGGGCAAAGGGAATGTCGTGAGGACGATGGGAAAAAGAGGAAGGAGGAAGGCCTGGTACAGGGTGGGCTAGCAGGGAGATAGGATCTGATGTAGGAGAAGCGGTTAGAGAAGAGTCTGGTGTTGCTTTCTGGGTATAGGGCTCTGTGGTCTGGGAAGGTGGAGATGGGTTGGATGGAGCGGGAAATGGGGCAGTTATAGTCGCAGTCAGAGGGGTAGTGATATTCGGGTCCATCCTTCCATCACCATTGACTAGGAGACGGCCGGGATGGAAGCTACCTTGGATATGTGAATGATGCTGCGATGGAGGCTGCAGTTCTGAGCCTTGTATAGAGCCCGCATTTCCCCCCGCCCCGCCCGATCCCGTATACGGCCCGTGGGAGGACAACAGGCCATTATGGTGGACATGATAGATGTCTTCAGAGATCCGAACTGACTTTTCATAGGTGGAGGTATCGTTGAAAACGGGGTCCATTTGATTCTGAAGCACAGGGATGTTGGCGGGTTCCGCAATATGCAGCGGGCGAGGGCTTTCGGGGGTCAAGGTCTTGCCTCGAAAATGAAGAGCTTCATCTGGGGAGTCGGGCGTCATGTAGACCACGGAGGAAAAATTGATTCATCTACAAATAGACAACGAAGGATCCCAAGGAATTAGGGAGGGAATTTTTAGGAGAAGGAGGAGGGGGAATATCAAGAATGAACGAAGCTAGGGTGGGGCTGCTGTCCTGAGAAAAAAGAAGCCAGGCCCGTTCATTCAAGTATTGCAGGGCGGTAAGGAGGAGAGGATAGATTGGGAGATGGAAAAGATGGGATCTGACTGGGATAGAATGATGTAGAGATTTAAATGATAGGAAAGGGAGAGTGAGAGAGAGAGAGAAGAAGAGGAGGAGGAGGTGGTGATGATGGATGGATGGGTGGTGGGAGTGTGGGAAAAAGTTGGTGTAGGCAGAGGAAGAAGAAAAAGTAGAAGAAAAAGAAGAAGAAAGGGATTATTTCATCAACACTAACACGACGACTAACTAGTTCAAGTTTCTTCACCCAGAGAAGAGATAATAATATGTAATAATAACAAGCAAAAAAAAAAAAATTGATAATAACAATGGAGTTCCGGAGCCCTCTAGGACTAGCTAGTATAATCATATAATAACTTATGGAGAGAGAATTATTAGAATAGGAATGGGAATAGGACGGAGCACTCGGGATAGTTAGTAGTATATTTCACGGAGAATATCCGTAGACTAAGAATAGCGCCAGAGCAGCTAGTGATATTAAGGTAGGTGGATAGAAGACCCAAGGAAGGGCCAGAGAACGTTTTTGAGGGAAGTTGAGGAAGAGAATGAAGAGGAGGATCACAGATCACAGGTGTTAGAGAAGGGATGAATGGCTGTTGATGGTGGGTCTTATTGAAGAACACTCTGGCCCAGAACCATCCATGAGGGGCTTCAACTGTCCATGTGACCAGCCAAATCATCTTTCCATTTGGAACTCCTGATAATTCCTTGCGCTTGTTTATGCATTCGATCTGGTCCTTTGTGTATATGCAAGCTATAAATTAAAAGTAAGAAAATGGCGGCCCTTCGATACAGTACTCGATTCTTTCCCCATGCGCCCTCTCTCCTCTGCAATCCTACGGTTACAACCATCGGGAGATCCTTTGCTTCCCGACCAGCAGCAGTTTCTACTACTGGTAAAGACCCCGAATATTCTAGCGACGACTTAGCTGTGGCCCGAGAATGGCTGGCCCGATTCAATTCCAATCCCATCCCACGCCAGATTGGAGAAATTTCCTTCAGTCGTTCAGGGGGACCTGGAGGCCAAAACGTGAATAAGTGTGTCCCCGCATTCGACCCCCCCTGATGCCAGACAGTAGTAGTACCACCCCGTCACTAATCCTGCGCCTTTTTACTCCGATTTCGCTCGACCAGGGTCAATACAAAAGCTACACTGAAGATGCCCCTCGATTCTTTGCTACCCCTTGTGCCTCGCGTTCTGCATTCCCCGCTCCGTGCATCCCGCTACTTTGCCGCCCGATCACAGAGTCTGGTCATACAGTCGGAAGAGTCGCGGAAGCAGGCGACCAATGTAGATGCATGCTACGAGAAGCTCCACCAGTTGCTGAAAACTACCGCAAAGGAGGTAATTCCTGGTGAAACGTCGCCAGAGCAAAGAGACCGTGTGCATAAATTGTAAGCCCCCCCCCGCTTTTCATTATCTCTCGACAACTAGTGATATGATGGTACGGGTTACTCAAATTATAGGGACTAACGATGGTCACTGAATGCATAGGAAAAAAGCCGAGAATGAGGCGAGGATTAGGGCTAAAAAACTGCACAGCAGCAAAAAGAGCCGTCGACGGAGTGGTAATGACGACTAATCCCATTATCATGGCTAAACTTTTCATTACGCCCAACATGAAAATTCCGACAAAATGCTGCCATTTCTGATGCAAAATGGAAGGAGCTTGGGAGAAATCATTCCTAGTAACGCCTGAAAATGACTAAAAAGGGACCTTAGGCGCTCTGAAGGACGAGATCCGCTTTCTGGATCGTGGCGGCGATCGCCTTCTGTAAGGACGGATCCAGATCCGCTGTCTTTCCGAGCGGTTGCAGCCAGGAGATTGTTTCTTTTGCAACATCGGGCTTGTGCCGATGGTCTTGTAGGCGCGAGAGGGCCACACCCAGTGCGCGGGGGAAGTTGGCGGACGTCACCTGGATTCCAGCGGTAGGGAGCTTGGCGTAACAAATGACTGTGTGGTGACTGGCAGGCTTAAACTCATGCATCGCATCAACGATATGCGACAGGATCTTTTCCAAGCAAGGAATGTCCGCGAATTCGAAGACCATGTCGAAGAACTCATGGGCGAACTGGTCATCATTATGAAAGCTTTTGATTGCGGAATCGAAAATAGCAATGGGGATTGCACCACCGAGTGCAGGAGTTGAGTTCAGAGCTTGTAGTGATCCCTGGTTGGTTCCGTCTGTGCCCCCGGTGCTTGGGTTAATATCTTCCTCCGTAATTTGTGGCATTGCAATCATGTCGGCATCATGGTCATCGAAAGAGGTCGCTTCCGGCTGCTTAGGGGCCTCAATCTTCTGGTCAAGCCCTAGTACGCGCTGTCGACCCACGAGCTTGCTGATGTAGATCAACTCCAACTTCGCAAAATGAATCCATAACTTCTTTGAGCTTTTGCAAAATCTCAATCCTCGCTGCATATAGGTCCTGGCTTGGGTCATATCGGCGTGATCATCGATGGAATACTGGGCCGCGTAAATCCACAAGTCTGCGTTGGTGGGATGGAAACGCAAAGCGTCCATCAAAATCGACGAGAGCTTCTTGAAGGCTTTTTGTCGTCGCGCGTAATCGATGTACTGGATCCATAGCCCGATATCGCCATGAAATTTGCGAGTAGCGCGATCAAGTACGAAGAAAATCCGCCGCTGTCCACTGTATCCAGCCGACTTGATGCCCAGCCGATTTACCCTCTTGCGCCGCAATGTGTCGAGGTTCATCTCATACTCCGCATATCGTACAAAATCGGACGGTTGGGCGCCGCGGGCGTTGATCTTGTGTTCAAAATCAGATCTCTTCTTGACAATCGACGAGATTTCATCCTTTCATAAAACTTGAGTAAGTTCTGGAGCCATATCAGAGTGAGCTTAGGGAGAGAAGTTTACCTTGGTGAAGATCTTTTTCCTCTCGAACTCCCTGAGTTCTGGCACCGACTTTTCCAGGAAGAACCGCGCTTTATCAGCGGTTGCGGACATGGCTGGCTCTGCAACAACTGGATAAGGTCAAAGATACGTGGAATGTGTGTTTGAGCAAGCAAAATATCGAGAGGAAGACAATCGGGGGAAAAAGTTGTTCGCATCCCGCACTTTTTTTTTTTTTGGCCCTAAACTTCAAAGGTTGGATGCAGTTCCTGGCCGCTTACCTAAAAACGACTAGTGTTCTGTTTTTCCCATGGCGTCCGTCAACAGCCGAACCTCTGGCTAGTTATTCAATTCTAATCCATCCATCCATCCATCTCGCCTTGCTGGCCTCAGGGGTTCTTTTCGACTTTCCCCTCTGTCGCTTGCTTCCTTCTTTTCTCTCTTTTCTTTTCACTCCCTCTTCTTTTTTCATTTCTCGACTCTCTCTTGTTCTCCTTTTTTATAATAGTCTTTTTTGGGGGGTCCTTCTTGGAGACCGGAGTCTCACCCCTGCGCGACAATGGCGCCGAGGTTCAAAGATGGGGACGCGGTTGCGGTGGTTAGTCTTGATTTTGGAGTCTTCAGACGGTCTTCGGACTTTCACTAAAACAATTGACAGGTGAATGGGAAATGGGTGGCCTGGGCCCACACGGCAGTCGCATATACTGCATTCTTTAGTGCCCTGCTGGTGGGGATGAGCCTGCATTTTCACAAGATTGTCCAGAACGAACACTACGGCTATCCTGACGAATGGTTTCCTTCTGTGTCAGCAACTATCGGTGATCGATATCCGGAACGCTCATTTTTCCAAGTCTTCATTGCCATTACATCCGGTCCTCGATTCGCTTTGGTCTTCCTTTGGTACCTGCTCACCGCGCGCCCCAATTCGACTCTTCCCAAGTTTATTGCCGGCGTTGGACTCTTCCGGACGTTTACCTGCGGAGGCTGGACATATGTGACATCGACGGATGACCACGATTGGCACGATATTTTCATGATCTCGTACTTGGTTGCCACGTTGCCTTGGACTCTGGGCTGTCTGGCCCTTAGCCCTAACAACCGCCGCGCGGTGAAGTACCGTAAGCTCTTTGCGGGGCTGTTTTTCGGCACTCTGGTGCCGTTGATTTACTATTTTATCCAGCACAAAGTGCACAAGGTGCCCGGAGGTGAGTATAATTCACTGGCTATCTTTGATCACGTGCATGTACTGACATATATCCTTTGCTCAGCCTATACCAAGTACGCGTTCTTTGAATGGTCTCTGATACTGTTTGATGTGGGTTTCGATGCTGTTACTGCACTCGACTTTGAGGCATTCGAGATTGTGGTGAGAGATGTCAAAGGAATCAGTCGAGGGTATGTACCGTGGCTTCCAAAATAAACCAGAACCAGAAAATGTATAGTTGCCAAAATTCGATCGTGGGAACTTCAGAGAAAAAAAAAAGCATGGTCTAAGATTATTTTTCTTTCCAGACAGTTGAAGACAACTGCGGACTCTGTCCTCGAGAAAGAGTGTGTATCATCATCCTTCAAAAAATTGAACATCGCATGTTAACTCGTAGGCAGGAAGGGCAAATCTGTTGGAAACACGTTTGGTGAAGGCTTCTTCTGGGCCGAGGTCATCGATGCCGCAGCAGACGCTTACAACGGGGTACACGCTATGTCCAGCCTCTTCTCTTAGTGCCTTACTGACAGCACGTAGTTCGTTTACTGGTCTATTTGGACCGCTCTCGGTGTTCTTGTTTGGTATTTCCCTCTTTGGTACATGGGCATCTCTGGGTATGAGGTCGCTATTCTTAGTTTCATTTCGCCGGTGCTCCTCGCCATCCCTGCCTTCAAATCTCTGGCCGTCAAGAGCCCGCGTCTTTTCCATTTCCTGTCTCTGTCTGGACTGCTTGCATATAAAGTGCAGGATCCCGCCAACCGACTTTTCGTTGTCATGTTTGCTACTTCCTCTAGCTGCATCGCATTTGCCGCTACCCTGTACGCGGAAAGGGCGCAGAGCGCCAGACTTGAATCCCGAATCTTCGCATGGGGCATTGGATTGATCATGTCGAGCGTTGCCAAATTCGCCTGCGCAACTAATAACCCTGTCTGGCCCATTGTGCACGCCAGCAATGGTGGATGGAACAAGATTGGACTGCTTCTTGCGGTCCTGGCTGGGCTTAGGTCCTTCAGAAGACCTGCCACTAGCGGTGGAGACTACTTCCCGTCCGGTGGCAAAAAGGGTTCTGCTTTGCTCGCTGGACTAGGAGTGGGAGGCTTGATCTTCGCGATGCATTCCCTCCTGTCCGATTCTAGCACAATGATCTCCTGGGTCTGGGAAGGCTACCCAGTTCGCGGCCCCATTGCTGTTCCCCATGGTGCGGTCACGATTTTCGCTATGGGTGCTGGACTGGTCTATGGACTTTTCTACCCTGATGTTGCTGGCAGCTGGACCTTCTTCGGAATTGGCTCCCTGGGCGCTGCTTTTCTTACCTGCTACAGCCACTGGACCGGATTCTATGGTGCTCTCACCCTTACATTCTACCTCTTGGCTGTCACTCCGGTCCTCCTTTCCTCTGCCGTTCGCCATTCTCCCGCTGCAGCCTTTGGCTTTGGCTTCTTCGTGTATATCTTCATGCTGCTCTTCCATGTCTGGGTTGTTGCGTACGCCTTTGTTCCCGGTGGTCCCCTCGTCCGAGAGCATACGGATTGGATCATGATTACCACTATGCTGTGCATCGGTGCCGGTGTTTTCTCTGCGGCTGTCTCCAAGACAAGCAGCCCTAAGACCAGGGCCGCCAGCCCGAACGGCCGAAGACAGCGCTCATACTACGTTTACGTGCTTGTCGCATTGCAGCTTCTTTCTGTTTCGATTGCCTACCTTCGGTTCCCTACCAACGATTACAAACCGTATCACAAGGAGGATAAGGTTGCCACCCTTGGCATCTGGACGGTGCATTTCGGCCTTGACAACGATATGTGGGCTTCAGAGCGACGCATGCGCGATGTAATCAAGGAGCTCGAGATTGACGTTATTGGCCTTCTGGAGTCGGATAACCAGCGTATCATTATGGGCAATCGCGATATTACTCAGTTCTTGGCGGAGGACCTCGGCATGTACGCTGACTATGGCCCCGGCCCTAACAAGCACACTTGGGGTGCTGCTCTCCTGTCCAAGTTCCCGATCGTTAACTCTACTCATCATCTTCTTCCGTCTCCTGTTGGTGAACTGGCTCCTGCCATCCACGCCACCTTGGATATGTACGGCGAGCTGGTCGACGTTGTCGTCTTCCATTCGGGCCAGGAGGAAGACCCCGAGGACCGTCGCCTGCAAACAGAATATTTATCTAAACTAATGGGCTCTTCCTCGCGTCCCATGGTTTTGCTGAGCTATCTGGTCACCAAGCCGCTCGAAGGCAACTACAATACCTATGTTAGTGACGTCAGTGGCATGAAGGATATTGACCCGACGGACTGGGATCGTTGGTGCGAGTACATCCTGTATAAGAACATCAAGAGAACTGGCTACGCCAGAATCAGCCGTGACTCTATCACGGACACCGAAATTCAGGTATGTTTGACGGGTCTTGTGTCTCCATTCTGAATTCAAGGCAGGTTACTAATTTGATGGTCTCTAGGTCGGCAAATTCGTCATCGGAGAACCTGAACCGGAGAATGAAATGAGGATTCCGGAAGAAATGGTCCCTCAGAGCCTTCGATTCCCAGCCTTGTTCCGCGGCCAGGGAGTCCGCGGTCACCGTTACCATGTGTTTGACGAACCCCGATACTGGCAATAAGCGATTCGTCAGCCCTATTCGCCCCTCATTCATGCTTCTAGGTAATATCATTTATTGCATATTGTGTTCAGGATTGTATTTATCAGCCAAGCATACCAGTAACTTCGTGGCTGACCGCCGACGATGGTTGCTAGGACTGTTTATTGTGACATTATTCAAATCCAAGATTTCTACTCTCTTCCCGCTGTGATAATACCCATCGTTGTTGTTTTTTGCTCTTTGTACAATATGACATTTGAAGGCGCCGCTCCCAGAAAATGACGGGGTTTGCATGCTGCTGGATTCAGGTGGCCAGCGGACGTTGTACCTGATCGTTTTGCTCTTGCTGGGTATTTCGTCCGGAGTGTATCCTGTAGGAATGCGAACATCTTGCCTCAAGCCAGCGAACTGATAGAATTTGGAGCCTGCCCGAGTCCTTGTTATGACCTCATCCATAATAGTTAATCCTCCCTCCCTCTTCTCCTTGATTGCGACGAACGGAGCTCATTTCTCAAAACTGAAACACCACTAGGTCAAATTCCAGTGGCTTCTCCTACCATTACATTATACTCATGGCCAATCCATTCTCCTCGAGCGACTCCTCTAGAGTCTGTCTACCCAACTCGTATCCACGGTAGATAGCAGCTCGATAGCCATGCAGAGCTGACTGCCCACGTCTTGCACAGGAATGAGAAGACGAAGCTCGCTCATAGTCGTCCTGCAAGAAATGCATCATCATCGAACTGCACAAGGAATTTCCCCAGGAATGTTCCCATCTTTCCTGTGTTGATCTACTTACTCTTCTTGATAGGGCGTCTGCTATTTCCGACCACGCTCCCTTTGGCAGGGCATGAAAGAAGGCGTAGTAGTTTCTTTCTTTTCTTTCTTTTTTTTTCTTTCCGTTGGGTGAAACCTTGATGTTCGATATTGTATAGGTACCCTTCCTTGTCTTTGGTAAGTATTCAGCTTGTGAATCTGATTAGAACAAAAAAAAAGATTCAATATACTAATTTTGGATATTAGGTCCGGGGGACCTGTAATAAAGATCCTATTTATATATATATATATATATATACACGTATATTTATCGAAGTGGTAGCTGTGTGAGTATCCTCACTGTTTGCTGCTACAAAGAAACCATCCAACAAAGAACTCGAACGACGAAGAATCCTTTGAAGGTCCTCCTCGCTTTGTTGCCAGACAAGTTCCTGGAGGTGTTTCATTGTTCCAACTTGATATTCGGGTATGGCAGACTGACGCCCATGACACAGTCCGGAATCATTCTACTAACGGGTTGCTTCAAGAGACAAAGTTCATATTAACTTCCAAATCGTCACGTCACATTCAGTACCTTTTGCTTCTACAACCCCTACTAGGAGTAGCTGCTTCTATCCTCATCGACGTATGTCCTGATCCCCTCAATTCAGCTCCGTCATGTACAATTGCTAACTGGTAAGAGGAGTTAGGGTTCTGAGTATTACCTTGTTGATGCCCAGACGGCGCGCCCGAAAAAGAAAGCAGACTAAATTTGTACAAGTTTTCAGTCCCGGCAGACATTGTCAGAGTCCCAAGAGATTCCTCCGACGAGTAACCATGCCGACGGAATTGGGCCACCCGAATCTGAGTCCGACTGTTCCACCCAAGCTCGCGCATCTGGCCGAACCCCCCAGGTTTTCACCCATTTCGAAAGGTCCGAATATAGGGATAGGCGATGCTTCACCGGCACCACGTTGGTTAATAAGGCCAGCCCCTCCAGCATTAGAACCAGGAGAGCTGGACGGCGGTCCTGAAGAGAAAAGACCTAAGCTTCCGCCGCTAGGGATACTGCGCTGGGTATTTGACGCTGGTGCAGCTATCGAGCGCGAGCTGGATGAGTCCGTTTTGTACGAGTATGCGTACAAGTACCTTCAAAATGCGATCTGTGATCCAGTGGTACGAGATCAGATGCGGGAAAGTATTCTGAGTGGGCCACATGCGGAACACGTCGCCTATGTGGAAGACCCTCTGCCCATACTCCCTCCTCCTCCGAAGTTTAAACAAGTCAAAAACCTCGAATATCTGGACATTGGAGCTCCTGAGTCATTCGCCGCTCCGGTAAACTACCTTTATATGTACCCTAGCTATGAGCGTCCCTCACTCGCAGCTCGAGCATGTACGACTTACTCCCATTTCAACCCCCCCAAAATATCCTGATCCAAGCGCTGATTATATACTGTTCTAGGCGGCCGTCAAGTGCATATGATCGAGAAAGTAGATAGCAGCAGCAGTAGCGAGTACAGCCCCATCAGTGCAACTAGTTCCAAGACACCTTTCGGAAATTCAAGCAGCCGGGAGGAAGCTGACGAGGATGGCCAATATATCCGCCCTGGTGAGTGCAAATGGATTTGGGTTCTGGTTACCATCCTAGTTCTGAGCATGTTCCTGTGTCTATTCCTGTATGCGTTTGGAATCCTTCAATGATGTAACTAGACATGTGCCAAGTTTTTTCTTCCGTTTTGGAGCATGATGCCGTGGGGAATAATTGGACCCTTGACACCGAGACACGGGGGGGGGGGGGGAAGAGAGAGGCCTTAGAGCACATTCTTCACGCGCTCCCTTGCATTCTGCATTCTGCATTCCTCACCAGAAACCCCAAAACTTTGTGGGTTGAAGCTGGAGGCTAACTTGCACCTATCAGAGGAAACACCGAAACCGCAATTTCCGTTGGAAAAGCCAACGATCTCGAAGCCACCAAAGAGAGGGAAAGGTAGAGTTTCTTGGATTTCACATTGACCCCTTTTGCAATCTTGTAACCTAATGGGGAATGCATACAGTATGGCGTGGCAGACGGCTTGATGAAGTCTACAGCACCCTCCCAACCACCACCTTTAACGACGGGAACGTGAATGTGCTTCTTAAACCAGAGTTGCGTGACATTGTGTACATTCACGCGGGGGGGAATGAAAGGCATTCACCACAAAAGGAGCGACGTGGGCAGAGACAAGATCGCACGATAGAGGAGTGGAAGCCGTCTTACGATGTCTCATCGTCTAGCGAAGACGAGGAATTACTACCAAGCCCAACTAGTCCACCGCCTCGTGTGAAGAGACAAGCCAAAAAGGCTCAACCCAAAAAGGCTCAACCCAAAAAGGCTCAACCCAAAAAGGCTCAACCCAAAAACAAGGCTAAGAAGGTGCAGAAGAAGGTTCAGAAGAAGGTTCAGAAGAAGAGGGGAAAGAAGAAGGAGAAGAGTTGTAAATAGTTGTACCTTTTTTCCGCTATGAAATTTGTTCCGTTATAATTCCCCCCCCCCTGGGTGGTTTGGTGGTTTGATCATTATGTCTGCCTTGAGACATTTCACCGCCATATGTATAGCCACGAGGTAAATATCCCTCGCGTGGTCAGGATCATAACCTGGAACTCGGAGAATCGCGTGCAGAATGGATGCAGAAAGAGATGCCGGAGGGAGGAGGTACCTAGGTAGTACTCTGGACTGCAACCACCCGATACTTCCCCGATCTGCAAATATAAGCTTGGGGTACCGGAGACTGGAGAGAAGATGAGATCAATCCCCACAAATCACTTATGAGACATTAAATTAGCGCAAGTAATATGGATAATTTCGCCGAACCAACGCCAGGTGGCTGTGTTAAAGCCATCGTAGAACCAGACATCTCAGCATCTTACTAGTAGCACCTACCCCGCTGAGATCAATACACACAGAGCCTGCTTGGGGCTCCTCTCCAAAGTCACCTGGTTCTAAGATGCACGGACAAACAGACATCCACCACTGAGATTCATCTGGAAATCGAGGAATCCGGGGAAATGTCGGCGATATTGGGGTAAATAATCCCAGAGAAAAGTGGAGGATAGAGAGAGAGAGAGAGACATCATGGTCAAAGCGGTGTCCAAGAGTTATAATGGGGCTGGAATTCCCTCTCCACTCCCTTGATTCACATTCAGATTCGAAAACAGAACAAGAAAAAGATCACCCTGCGCAAAGAATACTAGAGTCCTGATGAGTGTTCGTGGCCTTTGCAAAGCCCTTGTGTCGGGATCTCTTGTATCCCGGGCTTGGGCATCTGCCAGTCTATATGAGGAACGTGGGGCAAAGACATACACAGAGCCTTTCCGTCCTCAGTATCATTTCTCTCCAGCTCAAAATTGGATGAATGACCCCAATGGCCTTGTTTATGTGAATGGCACATATCATCTGTTCTACCAGTATAACCCTGGGGGGATAGTATGGGGTGCAATGTCGTGGGGTCACGCTACGAGCGACGACCTGACTCACTGGGAGCATCAACCTCTTGCTTTCCTGGCTCGTGGATTTCCCGATAATATGACTGAAATGTTCTTCTCGGGGAGTGCTGTGGTTGATGAGCAGAATACCAGTGGATTTGGTAACGGCGATGCGGCTCCCTTAGTGGCGATGTATACCTCCAACGTAAGTCTCTCTGGTGGAGATTTCCAACCCAAGAAGGATGATTCTAATGATGGCTACAGTATCTTACCGACCAAACGCTCCCCAGTGGAAAACAAGTGCGTGAATCCCAACAATCCCAATCCATCGCCTACAGCACCGACCAGGGTAAAACATGGACCACCTACGACGAAGCCAACCCTGTGATTCTGGAACCCCCAGCTCCCTACAAAGACCAATATCAACAATTCCGCGACCCAAATGTCTTCTGGCACCACGAAACAAACCAGTGGGTGCTTCTGGTTTCGCTCGCATCCCTTCATAAACTCCTCATCTACACCTCGAAGGATCTCAAGAGCTGGTCTCTTGTTAGTGAATTCGGCCCATTTAACGCCATAGGCGGCGTGTGGGAGTGCCCTAGCCTTTTCCCCCTCCCCCTCGATAACGACGAGTCAAAGGTCAAATGGGTTGCCCTGGTCGGGCTAAACCCAGGTGGACCCCCGGGGACGGTAGGCTCCGGAAACCAGTATTTCATCGGCGACTTCAACGGGACAACATTCACGCCAGATTCCGCTAGTGTTTATCCAGGCAACGAGGAGGCGAACTGGCTGGACCACGGCCCTGACTTTTATGCTGCGATCGGGTATAATGGACTCCCCGAGTATGAAAGGACCTTGATCGCCTGGATGAATAACTGGCAGTATGGACAGAAGATACCCACTTCCCCGTGGCGGAGTGCGATGAGTATCCCGCGACAGCTTTCGCTTAAGACGATCAATGGGAAGGCGATGGTTGTTCAGAACCCCAAGGAAGACTGGGATAGTATCATGGCCAAGTCGGGATCTGGATCGCATGGTTCATCGTACCGATCTGTGGCTCAGGGAGTTCAGAAGTTGGGTTCTTTGGGCAAGGCATTTGCGGTTGAGTTGACGTTTTCGGATCGAGATGTGAATCCTTCCTCTACTGGAACCTCAGAGTTCGGAATCGCTCTTCGCGCAACGAAGAATTTTACCGAGCAGACCCGCATTGGGTACGACTTTGCCGAGAAGCGGGTCTTTGTCGACCGGGCGAAGTCTGGGGACGTTTCCTTTGACGAGACATTCGCCAGTAGCTACTCTGCGCCGTTGGCCCCGGCGGCGGATGGAACGGTGTCCCTGCGCATTTTCGTGGATTGGTCTAGTGTGGAGGTTTTCGGAGGGCAGGGGGAAACCACCATTACAGCTCAGATCTTCCCCAGTGAAGATGCTACATATGCGCAGCTTTTCTCAGAGGGAGGGAGTGCTAAGAATGTCCGGCTTAGGACCAGGAAGATTCATTCGACGTGGAGAAAGTAAGGAAGGCGCCAGCTAGTTCGTTTACGCTGGATAACTTTGAGCAATCCGTGGACGGTAGTTGAAATGGCTCCTGTAAATATGCAGAATATGCATTACATACCTGTGACTAGGAACATTTATGTACCAGAGCAAATCTTACTACTGCTTTTGAGCCCCAACTTTGGCTTCTTTGTGCTGTATTGTCTTCGACATGTGGATGGGGTTTAGTGCTTTATTAGGATTGATGGCAAGTTGACTAACGTTCCCCTATATTATATAGCCCTGGAAACCTCTAGATCATCTAGGACCCCAATAAGAAGTAATCTCCGTAGAAGTATGAATTTCCGTTCATGTCGTGAATTTATATACTTCGTCGTCGGGATGCAAACAAGACAAACAGTCCCTTTCGAGCTCCGAGATTCATGCTTGAATTGTCTCCCGGCTCAGTGTCTGTCCCATCATCCATCATTTCGTCTTCTCCTTCCAATTCTCGCATCCATTGTCCCTTTCAATAGGGCGTATTTGAATAGGATGCAGTAGGGACATTTTTGCGACCGATTATCGTCTGACTTTTGTTCCCCTCCCCGAACCGATGACTTGATTGCTCGAGAGCCGAGCCTGTCGCCCGTGTCGTTTAAGCCCTTCTGGGGCTGACTGGTTATACAAACATGTTTACATTCACTCCTCTCCTTGGTGCCCAATCCTCCTTCTCCAAGGCCTCTCAGTCCATCTTGGAACTGGATGGCGGAGTTAAAATCCTTGTGGATGTGGGCTGGGACGATGCCTTTGACCCCCTCGACCTGCTAGAGCTAGAGAAGTATGCGAATTCTTTCCTTCTCTTTGACTGGGCTTCGCCAGGACTGTAAAGAGTGTGCTGACGTTTTCCTTTTTTTTTTTTTTTCCCGGAAAAGACATATTCCTACTCTGTCGTTCATTCTTCTGACTCACGCGACCCCTTCGCATATCGGTGCCTTTGCGCATTGCTGCAAAACTTTCCCTCTTTTCACTCAGATACCCGTTTACGCCACAGGCCCTGTTATTGCACTCGGTCGCACCCTTCTCCAAGACTTATACGCGTCTGCACCGCTTGCAGCGACATTCCTGCCTAAAGCCTCGCTGTCGGAACCTGGTACCTCCACACCGGCCGCGTCTGCCGTATCTGTCCCAGAGACTGATGGAAGCGCCGACCCGAGTCATCCTGGGCGTATCTTATTACAACCTCCGACTGCCGAGGAGATCGCCAGATATTTCTCCTTGGTTCACCCATTGAAGTATTCACAGCCCCACCAACCTCTCCCATCTCCCTTCTCCCCACCACTAAACGGTCTCACACTCACTGCCTACAATGCTGGTCATACTGTGGGTGGAACAATATGGCATATTCAGCATGGTATGGAGTCGATAGTTTACGCTGTCGACTGGAATCAAGCTAGGGAAAGTGTTGTCGCAGGTGCGGCATGGTTCGGAGGGTCTGGTGCAAGTGGAACCGAAGTTATTGAGCAGCTGCGCAAACCTACAGCCCTGGTTTGTAGTACGCGTGGTGGTGATAAATTTGCCCTTCCGGGAGGAAGGAAGAAGCGCGATGACATGCTCCTAGACATGATCCGTAGCACTCTCGCTAAGGGGGGTACCGTTCTGATCCCGACAGATACAAGCGCCCGGGTTCTGGAACTAGCTTATGCGCTGGAGCATGCATGGCGTGATGCTGCTCGGGATGCTCAGGGTGATGATGTGCTGAAGAAAGGTGGTCTATACCTGGCTGGCCGAAAAGCTCACACAACTATGAGACTCGCTCGCAGCATGTTGGAATGGATGGACGAGAATATCGTGCGGGAGTTTGAAGCGGCTGAGGGTACAGACGCCACCGCTGGCCAGTCTCAATCCAATAATGAGGGACAGCGCCCTGCTCAGGGTAAAGCAGATGGTAAAGGAGTTGGACCTTTTACATTCAAGCACCTGAAGATCGTCGAGCGAAGGAATAAATTGGAAAAACTCCTTACAGACCCCACGCCCAAGGTTATTCTCGCCTCTGATTCGTCTTTAGACTGGGGGTTTGCAAAGGAATCCCTACGTCTGGTGGCGGATGGCCCGAACAACCTCCTCTTACTTACCGAACCACTTCACTACGAAAAACTCACTGAAAATCGCGAAGAACCTCTACGAAAGAGTCTCGGTAGTATGCTTTGGCAATGGTATGAAGAAAGGAAGGATGGTGTCGCTCTAGAGAAAGGATCAGATGGCGAAATGCTTGAACAAATCCACAGCGGTGGAAGAGAGCTGTCATGGACCGATGTGCAACGTGCGCCGCTCGAACCGGGCGAACAATTCCTCTATCAGCAATACCTTGCCACAAAGCGTCAGCTCCAGGATACTTCCCAAGCGAGAGGCCAAGAGAACCTCGATACTGCCGCCGACGCCCTCGACGACCGCTCCAGCTCTACGTCTGAAGATTCGGAGACTGAGCAACAAGGGCGAGTGTTGAATTTCTCTACCTCTTTAGCGCATTCAAATCGGAACAAGCTTGGGCTCAGTGACGAGGACCTTGGCGTTAACATTCTTCTACGGCGCAAAGGTGTGTATGATTACGATGTTCGCGGCAAAAAGGGCCGTGAGCGGATGTTCCCATATGTGGCACCAAGAAAGAAAGGTGACGAATACGGTGAATTCATTCGACCTGAAGAATACCTGCGAGCGGAGGAGCGAGAGGAGATCGACATGCAGCAGCGTAGATCAGAGTCCCAGACGAAGCTAGGTCAGAAACGGAGATGGGACGAGGCTGGTCCACATGGACGTCATCTCACTGGTGGCCCAACAAAACGACAACCCGGCCTGGACGGAGCAGATAGAAAAGACACCGACATGGTGGATGATATCAGTTTGGCCGACGATGGCGATGGCGCCGAAGCTGCGGCTTCATCGGCCGACGAGATGGAGGAGCAACCCTTTGAAGGTCCCGCGAAAGCAATTTATGAGAAGGCCGCGCTTACCATTAATGCTCGCCTCGCATTTGTGGACTTTACGGGATTACATGACAAGAGGAGTCTTGAGATGCTGATACCTCTTATCCAGCCAAGGAAATTGATTCTTGTAGGTGGGATGAAGGAGGAAACCACGGCATTGGCAGCAGAATGCCAGAAGCTTCTCGCTGCCAAGGCAGGTGTTGATGTCTCTGCTGCCACGGCATCCGTCATCTTCACTCCAGCCAACCGGGAGCTTATTGACGCGAGTGTCGACACGAATGCCTGGATGGTTAAGCTCAGCAACAACCTCGTACGACGTCTGAAATGGCAGCACGTCCGGACTCTCGGTGTAGTTACGCTGACGGGCCAATTGAAGGGGCCAGAACTGACCCTCCCGGAGGAAGCGACAACGGACCTGCCCAACAAGAAGCAAAAGGTAGCCGATGAAACCAGTGGTGAGCCTGAGGCCGAGTCCCAGGCCCCCGTTGAAACAAAACCAACCGTCGAGAAAGCTGATGCTTATCCCATTCTCGACATTCTCCCAGCTAACATGGCTTCTGGAACACGGTCTATGACCCGACCTCTCCACGTGGGTGATCTCCGCCTCGCGGATCTGCGCAAGCTTATGCAAGCTGCCGGCCATAAAGCCGAATTCCGTGGTGAAGGAACCCTCCTGATCGATGGCATGGTGGCTGTGCGCAAGTCTGGCACGGGAAGAATCGAGATCGAAGCTGCTGCTTACTCCGCCGTTCCCAATGCTGCGTTGGGCCATGGCGCAGGAAGTTTCCTTGCCGTGAAACGGAAAATCTATGAAGGTCTTGCTGTTGTAGCGGAGAATTAGCTACTTCGAACATCATCTCTTTTTTTTTTTTTTTTTCCCCCAATGAATGTCATATATAGGAACTACGAGGCAACTACGAGGCACCGCTGTATAGTGTATTTTTGTAACTGTTTACTACTATTGTCACGAGAGCTTTTGGCAAAAAAAACCAATCAATCAATCAATCAAATAACGATCCGACTTGATTCTAAACTCTATCTATCTGTCTATCTATCTATCCAAGCAGGTAAAAGATAGTTCGAGCATGAATAAACAATATAATACCGCAACCTCTTATTTATGGTCGCGCTCTTTGCTCGTGTGAATTGATGGTACCGTAATCTTGTGCAAATTGGTTGGTTGGAATCTCATGCAAGTGCTCATTTGTCCTTGGGCCCGTATATATGCTAGCATGCAACTGGATCAGTACTTCTCGCTCCGTATAGGGTAGGTAAGTATGTAACGTACCCTCGAGCCGCAACCCACCACCACACCAAGGCAAAGACGGCAATAAAGACACCGACGCAGATGGCGTAATTCCTGAACGAAAAACAAAAAAAAAAAAAAAAAAAAAAAAAAATTAGAATCCACAAAGACACAGACAGAAACCAGGGGGGTTGCGAGAAAAGAACCAAAAAAAAAAAAGGGGGGGGGGAAAGTAAGAGATACTGACATATTCGAAGCAGTTACGGGGAGCTGGGGAGGGAAGAACAGCACCGTGCTAATGAAGAGCACCCAGGTAATGGAGATCCAGTTGATCCAGGTGCCCCATTTCCCTAACGTAAAGGGACCCTCGACGAAGTCGACTTGATGCCTGTAGAGCTGGTGGGCTAGAATCACGGCGATGTAGGAGAGGTCCAGAGCGGGAGCGGTGATGCTGAAGATTGCGGTGGCAGTTTCGGTGGATCCGATTGCGATGCAGTTGAGACAGATGCTGAAGAAGACGACGAACCAGACTGCATTCACGGGGGTTTGAGTGTACGGGTTGATTTTGGAAAGGGAGCTGTGAGTGATGGGGTTAGCTCTCTTCGTTGTTTCTCTCTCTTTTGCGGTCCAGGAAGGCGTGGGTTATAGGGGGCCTGTACGAGGAGAATGGAAGTGCTTCGTCCCGGGAGAATGCGTATGCCATCCGTGTATCGGCTAGCATGGCGGAGCAGCCGGTGAAGAGCTGGACGAGGACTGCGAACCCCCACATCACCATCCCTCCCGTTTTCCCTCCAGCGTTCAGGAAGATCTGTGCTGCCGGGAGGCCGGTGGGAGTGTTCAGGATGTCTTCGAAGTCGGTAAGGCAGAAGCACATTGAGACTGTCAGGAGCCAGCCGAGTGCTCCAGAAACAACAACGGCGGTTTGGATCGCCCGCGGGCCCAACGTTGCAGCGTCGTGGGTTTCCTCTGACATGCTGATTGGGGTGGTGGTGAGCGCGTTTGAACTCAGACTTGGAAGAGAGGGCGTTGTTGCAAACTTACTGTGTCGTTCCGTCGTAGTCTGTCATTGTCCATGCCACCGAGATAAACCCAAGAAGGAATGAAAAGAGCTTGGAACCCCATCTGGACCCATCCGTGACATGAGTAAACACCCAGCTGGCGGGTTGCTTGTCAGGAGTGTTATACAAGAGGATGACACAGATGCAGATCGTCGCAGTGACTGGAAATGGTAAGACAGATTCTCAAGATAGTTAATAATCTGGGTTTAACAACATACTGTTGATGGGAGCAAACCAAATAATGATACGGTGTAGCGACTTTGTTGTCATTGAGCATATGATGCCAAAGAAAATTAGCAACCCGATTGACAGCACTACCGTATCCCACGCGGTTCTAGCGGAGCCCTGTTAGCAGGACACAAGCCGAAACACCTATACATATACATTGAGATAACTTACGGAGAATACGAATATCTCCCATTTGTCAGTTGGGAATTCATACTAGCCCCAGCAAGCAGCATCTGGCTGACAGTGTAGGCAACACTGGATACTCCAGCAGTCTGCCCGAGGAGATTACACCAGCCCTGGATCCAGGAGAAGATCGGGACCTGGTCCTCAGGAACAACGTACTTGGTGACAAAATACATCCCTCCCGCCGTGGGGTAGGCAGAGACCAGCTCGGCCACAGAACTGCCGATACAAAGGGCCATGATCGAACCCAGGAACCAGCACCAGACCGCAGTCGCGGGTCCTCCTGCAGCCAAGGGAGCTCCAAAGGTCGCGGGGACGGAACCCAGTACCCCCAGAATAGATATCGCGTACGATATAGTAGACCATTTAGAGAACTCTCGTCTTAGTTCCTGCACCATGTTAAGAGCGCTGTATACACACTACTCGGGTAGGCGGGAGAACTGTGTACCTGTCTATAGCCGATGCGGGCTAGAAGAAGCTCATCGTCATTGGGTATAGTAGTCATGGTGGTTTTCCGAGTCAATAAATATGGTGACAATCGGTACTTGCTCAACCAAGAGTGTCTGTCTTATCTAGGTACTACTGTGGGTGGGCACACGGGAGGTGTATATGTATCCGCTCGTGTTTTCAATTTGGACCACTTCACAAAGCAGCAAAAAAAAAAAAAAAGACATTTGTCCCTCGACAGACACCACAGGAGGCAAGCATTGTGAAAAAGGAGTCAGGAGAAGAAGAGATTGCAAGAACCATGCAGCTCGCTAAAAAGAAAAGGAGTCTTGCTGGGATACCTGGACGAAAGGGACCGGAGATATGTAAATCCGGGGATTTGTTGTGTAGTTGCGGGTGAGGTGGTCAGTTAGAGAGAAAGCAGTCAAGTCGAATCAACTCGTGCTTCGACGTTGATTCTTGCTTTCTATCTAGTAATGGCCCGGCTGTGACTCATTAATTTCCCCGTCGTGATTGATTTTCCCCTCCTTTTTTCTTCTCTTCAGTACCTATGAAGCAGCAGCAGCAGCAGCATGGCGGACCAGACCCTCTACAGATCCCCCGCCCAGGGACCCGTCCCTGGTGAAGACCCTTCAAATCCCAATCGAATGCACCCCCAGGCTCCTTATACAGCTCCCTCTGTTCCTGATTATCCTCCTGGTCCTTCCCCCCCTCAGCCCGGGGCCGCCTTCTACGGTACGCCCGCCGCCGCCTATGGATCTCCTCCCCCCGCACCACAGCAGCCTCTACAGGCACCGGCACAATTCGCATACAATACCAGCCCACAATCTGGAATGGGTGCCCCTGTTGACCCAATGATGGCGGGATTGACGTCCCAGATGAGTGGACTGGGGATAATGGGAGGAGATGGAGGCGCGCGGACATCGAAGAAAAAGCACCGCCATGCGCACCACGATATTGGTGGAGCTACCGCGGCCCCCCCGCAACAGTTTCCTGGTGGCCTTTCGGATCCCATGCAGCAACAATCGTCGCAGTTTCTGAATACTGGGTTGAATCAAGCTCCTCGCCCTCTTTCACCCGGGGTGGGGGCTCCAGGCATGGTGCCACAACCAAGCGCTCCTGGGGCTCCTGTAGAACCAGGTCATGGTACAGTTCCTACGCAAGGCAGAATTGATCCGGAGCAAATCCCCAGTATCCCAAGATCCCGCGATATACCAGCACAGTACTATTTCAACCATGTCTATCCCACAATGGAACGTCACCTAGCGCCCCCCGCGGCTGTTCCTTTCGTGGCTCACGATCAGGGCAATTCATCCCCGAAATATGCTCGGCTCACGCTGAACAACATTCCTTCCAATTCCGACTTCCTTACCTCCACTGGCCTTCCCCTGGGAATGATCCTACAACCATTAGCCCGTCTTGACCCTGGAGAGCAACCGATCCCCGTCCTCGATTTTGGAGATGCAGGGCCTCCTCGTTGCCGCCGATGCCGGACGTATATCAATCCTTTCATGACATTCCGATCGGGCGGGAATAAGTTTGTTTGCAACATGTGCACATTTCCCAACGATGTGCCCCCCGAGTACTTCTCCCCCCTCGATCCTTCGGGGTCACGGATCGACCGCATGCAGCGCCCAGAGCTCATGATGGGAACCGTCGAGTTCTTGGTTCCGAAGGATTATTGGAATAAAGAGCCAGTTGGTCTCCGATGGCTGTTTCTGATCGACGTCACCCAAGAATCAATTCATAGAGGGTTTTTGAAGGGAGTGTGTAAAGGCATTATGCAGGCTCTCTACGAGACTGAGCCGTCCGATGGCGAAAAGGAGACAACACCGGCTCGGCGCATACCTGAAGGATCGAAGATTGGCATTGTCACCTATGATCGAGAGATCCAGTTTTATAACCTCAGCGTGCGTACCCTCTTTAACTCTTGCTACCTCGGTATGGTAGGGTACAGTTCTGACGGGTCTTTAGGCACAACTCGAGCGAGCCCAGATGATGGTGATGACTGATTTACAAGAGCCATTTGTTCCCCTCAGTGATGGCTTATTTGTTGACCCCTATGAGTCTAAGTATGGAATCCTTTAGTCTGCCCTTTTTGTTCAGGGGTTGAACTCAGCTTGCTAACGCAGCTTTGAAGGGATGTGATCACCTCTCTCCTGGACCAGATCCCCTCGATATTCTCTCGGGTCAAGACTCCTGAACCCGCTCTTCTGCCCGCTTTGAATGCAGCCTTGTCCGCCTTGCAGCCTACCGGCGGTAAAGTCATTGGCGCAATTTCTTCCCTACCAAATTGGGGTCCTGGGGCACTCTCCCTAAGGGATGACCCCAAAGCTCATGGAACAGATGCGGAGAGGAAACTCTTTACCACCGAGAATACTGCATGGAGAGAAACGGCGGGCAAGTTGGCTGAGGCTGGCATTGGTGTTGATATGTTCATTGCGGCCCCGAGCGGAACTTATATGGATGTTGCTACCATCGGTGAGTCGCTCGTTCTTCTTTGCTATCCGAGCATTTTCCTCTTTTAACACACGTCGCAGGCCATGTTGCCGAAGTCACTGGTGGCGAAACCTTCTTCTACCCGAATTTCCATGCTCCAAGGGACATCCGAAAGCTTTCAGAGGAACTAGCGCATGCAGTCACCCGCGAAACAGGTTACCAAGCCTTGATGAAGGTCCGTTGCTCGAACGGATTGCAAGTATCCGCATACCACGGAAACTTTGTGCAACACGCATTCGGAGCAGACCTTGAAATCGGCGCAATTGATGCTGACAAAGCACTTGGGGTCATTTTCAGCTATGATGGCAAGCTTGACACCAAGCTGGATGCCCATTTCCAAGCCGCGTTGTTGTATACTTCAGCCAACGGGCAGCGTCGGGTTCGCTGCATCAACACGGTCGCAGCCGTCAATGAGGGTGGTTTAGAGACTATGAAATTCATCGACCAGGATGCGGTTGTGAGTATAATTGCTAAAGAAGGTATGCTCTGGGCGCGCGGTTTTTCTTTGGGAGGGAAATCTACTAACAATACGGTTTATTATTAGCGGCTGCGAAAACTGTCGATAAAAACCTCAAAGATATTCGAGCTCATATCACCGAAAAGACTGTGGATATCTTTAGTGGATATCGTAAGATCTTCTCCGGGTCGCACCCGCCAGGCCAACTTGTCCTACCTGAGAATCTCAAGGAGTTCTCCATGTTTATGCTGGGCATGATCAAATCACGAGCATTCAAAGGTATAGATAGTCCCACGACAACCTTGGTTGACTTGCCACTAATTGACCTTTGCTTTGTAGGTGGCCAGGAAGCATCGGACCGACGGATCCATGACATGAGGATGCTCCGATCCATCGGTTGCACAGAGTTATCCCTCTATTTGTATCCTCGCATCGTTCCTATTCACAATATGCAGCCAGAGGACGGGTTTCCCAATGAACAAGGCCAGTTACAAGTTCCTCCCTCGCTTCGTGCCAGCTTCTCCAAGATTGAGGAGGGTGGGGTATACCTGGTAGACGATGGGCAGCAATGTCTCTTGTGGCTGCATGCGCAGGTATCTCCTAATCTGTTAGAGGACCTGTTTGGCCCCGGACATGCGTCACTACAAGGGTTGAGCCCTCAAACTTCATCCATCCCTGTATTAGAGACGCATCTGAACGCGCAAGTGCGTAATTTGCTTCAGTACTTCTCTACAATTCGAGGGTCGAAGGCGGTCACCATTCAGTTGGCTCGACAGGGACTTGACGGTGCGGAGTATGAATTCGCACGCTTACTGGTCGAAGACCGCAACAACGAGGCGCAGAGTTATGTGGACTGGCTCGTCCACCTCCACCGTCAGATCAATATGGAGTTAGCGGGCCGTCGTAAACGTGAGGATGCTTCTGTGGAGGGGACATTATCGAGCTTGTCTGGGCTACGGGCACCTTATTGGTAACGGAGAGATTTCTTTTCAGCAATATTTTACTTTTCATCTCTTTCTTTCTGTCTTTCCTTTTTTTTTTCTTTTTTCTTTTTTCTTTTTTTTTTTTTGCCTCTCACTTACAGTGTATTTTGGGATCTCTTTGATCAGAGAATTATTCAATATACCACACACTTGTTTTGAGTTTCACAACCTGCTTTGTTAAGATCGATAAAGAGTCCCAACAAAGCACCAAGACACATTTTTCTCACCTCTTCGGTCTAGAACCCATCACAGAACCAGGCACCAGAATAGAGTACACACTAGCCCTGGGGGATCGTCGATGGCGCCCCTTCCATGACCCATCTTCTCCAAGACCAGAAACAGTGGCCGAACATACCCCATTTGGATAGGGGACGAGCAACAAACTGAACAGGTTCCAGGGGAAAAAGTTTGATTTCGGCTTTTTTCAGTGGGGACCTCCGCTCTGGAGTCTGGACAAAGATTTCTTTTAATAAAAATCTGCATAGGTTCGAGATTTCTCCAAGTGACATCACATCTCCACCGGGGCATCTCCACCGGGGGAGAGAATCTTGCCCGGCAAAGTCGTTTGTCGCCGCCCGACAAGGGAACGGTACTTGTGGATTTGGCTGAGAAACATCCTCCCCCGCGAATCAGTGGGTTCGGGGGTTCGGGTGGGCTTCGGAATTTTCGAGTTCTTTTTGTACGCTGGTGCCGGAGAATCGTAAACCATGGAACATGTCGACATTTTGCCTTTGTCGGAACCAGATATTGGGGGGACGGAGTGGTCAGATTGCCACGCATGTGTGCAGAGTGTGGCAGTTATTGCCACGCGAATTCAGGGGTACTCCCGCATTGTTCCACCACAAATCTCTCTTACTGACACGGCAGGGGAATGACTGACAAGACAGCAAAACACAATGAATCTGAAAGCGGAGGTATGTGCCAAAGGCTAGACCAAGAGGCTGTCAGTACACCGTGCTGGCCTTGTTTTGTGGCCAATGGTGCGTGAAGTGGTTGATAGCTTTCACCAACCGCCCCTTTGACTACAGCGAGTTCGATGGCCAAGTGCCTTTTGCTCCCAAGCCTCTAGATTACTCCATGGACCCTGTGCCTGTTTGATCTTGCACATATCCCAATAGTTGGGGAGCGTTGAGTGTCAGGCACACACCTCTGCAACTAGGTTCCGCCAGGGGCCCTTGAACCCACCCAAGTTTATCTTCTTTTTGGTTTCTGGATACCATGTGGGGTGCCATATTGATTCTTGGTTCGGAATCCTTTTTTGCCATCGCAAAGCCTCTTTTTCAGCCGAAGATAGTTTCCGACCCAGCCGTCAGACCAGGGATCTCAGATATATAAACCCCCTCGACTCCTGTCCTGTCATCGGTTTCTTTCCTCTTCTCTATCAATCACATTCTCTTGATCAAAAGACATTCTTTCAGTCATTCTTTTGACTTGTCAATCTTTTTTCAGTCCTCGGACTAGTCTTTCTTTCTTTTCATTTTTTTTTTTTACACACACTCACTTCAAAAGACTTTCATTCTTTTGAAACAGTCTTTTTTTGTCGATTTTACGCAGTCTTTTTTCAATCAAAGAACACTTTCATTTCAATCCCTTGTCTGTCAAAATGATGTTCTCCAAGGCTTTCGTTGCTGCTACCCTGGCTACTCTTGCCACCGCACTCCCCCAGCCTGCCTTCGTCCGCCGCGACAACAACACCAGCTCCGGCACCGGCAGTGTCACCATCGTCAACAGCATGGATATCCCCGTCTACGCGTGGTCTGTCACTGATAGAGTCAGTGAAATGCAGACCCTTTCTGCGGGCGGTGGATCCTACACTGAGTCCTGGCAACACAACTCTAACGGCGGCGGCGTTTCCATCAAGCTGTCCACCACCGAGGACCAGTCCGATGTTCTCCAGTTCGAGTACACCGAGTCTGGTGAAACTATCTACTGGGATATGTCCTGTATCGATATGAACCGCGTTGACTCCACCTTCACCAAGTACGGATTCAGCGTGGCTCCCTCCGCGACTGGCGCCAACTGCCCCTCTGTCTCTTGCGGTGCTGGAGACTCTGCCTGCGCTGAGGCCTACCTCCAGCCCAAGGATGACCATGCCACCCACGGCTGCCCTGTTGACACGACCTTCACTCTCAACCTGGGCGCCTAAATCATCCTTCCATGATAGCAACGTTTTTCTTTTCTCTCTCGCGTCTCTTTTTACCACGTCTTTTTTTCTTTTTTCCTTTTTTTTTTTTTACGACTCATGCTATGGAAATTGGAGTTACGGCCTAGAAAATTAAGGGGCATTATTAGACTTGAGGCAGATCTTTTTCTGTCATGGATTGCATCTACGCTTTTTTTTTTTTATCTGGACGGGATTGATTTTGTTTTTGATTGAATATGGCTGTTTACTCCTGGTTTGAGTACCACCAGTCCAATCTTTATATATATATATATATATACTGAGATCATGTATCTAGTGATGTAATCACACAGAACACGAATCAAGGTTGTGATCTAGCAAGACAACTTCTTACCTTCCTCTTGTAATTCGCCAAGTCAAGTCCCCCTTCCTCCCTGTACGGAGGCTTACAACTAACTAACATCTCACGTCAAGAGACGGCCGCATTCAGAACGTGACCCAGAACCACCCGAACCAAGTTTGCTTTTGCTCTGTTCATCGTCGAGTCCAGACCCGTATCCCCCCCCCCCCCGCAACACCAACCAACAGCCACAGTGGATTCCCCCCGGGCCCCCCGCGCAACCATCATTGATGCATTCGGAAATCGGAATGAACGAAGGGGGGGATGGCCGATGGCATGGCAGTGGGGAGTGTCTACAAGCCCAGAGCAGAGCAGAGCAGAGCAGAGCAGAGCAGAGAAAACCAGTGAACACCAACGTAGAGATCTTACCTAATGTACGAGTATACTCCGTAGTCTGCTCTGCAATCGGTAGTTAGTTATACAGGGTTGACCTTTTGATTTGTGGACTGGCACGTCATCATGCGCGTAGACTCAGCTAGTTAGTTATCATACCCTAGGTAGGACCTAGGTTAGGGTTGGATGGATGTTTCTTGTTTGCCATGGTTCCGAAATTGTCTTCGTTCTAGACTCGACTCGACTCGACTCGACATCGATTCTTAATCCTGTGACTGGAACTAGTTAACTAACTAAACTATTCACTCTGTATTCTTAGTGCAGATTGTTTTGCACTACATATCTCTAGAAAGGGTTCCATAGTCCATACGATATCGGATAACGCAGGTCGCAGGATAGTACTGTACTAGTACTAGTAGTACTAACATTCTTTAGGGTTAGGGCTCTGGTTAGGGTTAGGCGGAAACAAAGTTACATAACGCTTCCGCAGCATCCGAAATCCATATCAGACTAACTATCAGTTTAGGTAGAAATAGAATTAATATTAATGGGCTTGTCTCGGGCTATTTCCGGATCATTCGCTTCACCTTCCCCTCGTGCCCTATCCTATCCTGTCCTATAGGTATCTAGGTATCTACTATCTACCCTAGGTATATTCATGGCAGACGTGGATCACTACTATTGGCTGATTTCCTCACGTCCTGACACAAATTATAACTCCCTACTACTAACGAACAAGTTACCTAGTAGGAGAGTCTACATACAGCATACTAGTCAAAATGTCAAGTATATTTTAGTGTAGACAGATATCAAAACAGACGGATAAACCTCATCACAGATCGTCAACGCGTATACTCCATGGAGTCCATAAATATAAATACAAGCTAATAATGAAATATAGATCTGCGCGAAGACAGCCAGCCATTCCCTTTTTGTGTGTGTGGTATACGGTACTCCGTGTGCTATATACCCCTATATTCATGCCACGCTAGTTTCCATGTAGAGATTGCTCTCTTTCATTGGATGCAGGATAACCAACCAGATCATGCCTCCAATATCTCCAGAGCACACAAGAACCAGACAAGGCTCTCTCGAAACACGATAAAGACAGCAGAATGATAGATCATATAAGAAAGAAAGGTAGAGACGCGAAATAAAATGGACCTCAGGTGATGAGGAAATCCATGTTCATCTCCTGAATGATCTTCTCCCAGTCCCAGCTCTCCTCCGTCTTCGTGTCCATAACCTCCCATACGCGCTCGACCACCTTGAAGGCCGGTTCGATATTGCGGAGATTGGAGTAGGCCTTGAGGGCCTCGAATCCCTTGTGGATCCGCTCCCGCTGCCGGGGCAAGAATGCAGAGCACCCGAGCAGGAACAACGGCATCAGAACAATACTGAAGGCGCCCGAGTCTTGTGGTAGTTGATCCAGGTACTCCAATCCATCGTCCACCACTTGAGCGATCTTGTCACTTGGTCGCGACGGTCGGATGGTGCGGTAGAGGTAAACCCAGGTCGACTGTCGGTACAACTGCGCGAGGGACCAGTTCGGGGTGTTGGGAGGGTGAGAGGTTTCCCACGTCCGAATGGCCGAGTCGATCGAAACCGCATCGCTGAGGATCTGGTAGTCGACCGCGGGCTCGTACCCCTCGTCGAATCGTTGTCGGATGCGATCCCGCAGCCGAGTCACATCCGAAATATAGTTAAACAACCCGTCAAACACGCCCAAGAACATGCCCGCCTGCGCGTGCGGCACGAAATCCGGCAGCCGTAATTCTCCATGGAGCAGCGCCGGTCGCCGATCCAGCGACGTGATCGAGTTTGAAACATCGTGGTACTGGAAGAACTCCACGATGAACTGGCGGAACTTTTCGTTGCGCGGTTTCTGGGTCACGAGCAGATATCTTGCGGCGTCCATGTGCGGTCGGTACTCGCCCTTGGTTTCTCCTTCGCAGATCGTATTCAAACTGAGAGCAATCGTGGACGCGATGATCGGGTCCTCCACCAACAGCTCGGGCTCTTCCCCTGGTTGGCTACTCGACGAGGCAGTGATATTGTCCTTTAGATCTCGGATCGCTCGGTGGAAGTGGTAGTATTTTCGCTCCTTCACCCTTGGCTCCGGATCTAATACTGACAAGTGGGAACCCGACAGACACATCAGCGAATGCATCAAACCTCGGTGCTGAGTAGCCATGGGCAGAAGGATTTCTTTGAAGGGATTGGAGTCATCGTTGATGAGGGTCAAGACCCGACTGAAGCCGTAGACGAAATGGTCGAGTAACCGTCGGTCGATATCCGTTTCGATGCCATCGATTAACAGGGGCAGAGAACGGGTGATGATGGATTGGCTTCTTGCTGCTGGAGGGAAATGAACATGTTAGTGTGAGAAGCGGGAGGGGAAAAAAAAAAAAAAAAAAAAAAAAAAAAAAAAAAAAAAAAGATTATATATATATACATACCATCTTCAAGTTTCTGCTTCCCACTCCGCCAAATTTCCTTGGGAGGATATCCTTCACAGACAACAGCGTTCTTCTGGCAATTCAAACATCTAGGGGCTAGACGTTAGTTTTTTTTCTTTTTTTTGCGCGCGACCGTAGTAGCGGATGGCCATAGAACCCCCGGGAAATCCACCACTTACGAAGGCTTGGTTTCGTCACATTTCTTCTTGCGCCGCCTACAGGTGATACAGCCGGTTTTTGAGCGACCCTTGGTGATCTTGACCTGTCCTCCTGGTATGGGCAGCGGATGTTTGCGTGGACGACCACGTTTCCGTGGGACATTGACGGGAGTTGCCGTGGAATCCGCAGTATTAGTCGAGGTCGTCGCATGGGTCCCAGTCTCCACTCCCACCGGTTTGATACTCTGGAGATCGTCGGTGTCGTCCAGTTCCTCTACTTTGGGCGCTACATCAACCATGGACGCATCGGGCTCTGGCGAAGCGATCACGTTGAATCGGTAAGTTTTGGACGAACCGATCGTGGGATTTGGGAAGGGTTGGGAAGCGTCATGGATTCTAACGCCCACCTCGCCTGGAGGTGAACTGTCGGAGGGGCCATCCGCATCCCAGGATCCGGGGGAGTCGTTAGAAGCATCGTCGGTACTCTCACTGGCCCGGTGGGAAAGGGAGTCGTCCATCAACGGGCAGTCGGAAAAGGCTGAGAGTGAAGATGGTCGACGGTCGGCAGGCTGTGAATGCGACAAGTAGCCATGGGGATGATTCCTGTCGAGGTCTGAAGAGGGGGGTAATTTTTGCATGGACAACATTTAGACCCTCTCTGGGGTCAAGATAGCTTAGCCTGGGAGGGAGAGAAAGAAAACGAGGAAGAGGAGAGGAGAAGAGAGGAGAAGAGAGGAGAAGAGAGGAGAAGAGAGGAGAAGAGAGGAAGAGAGGAAGAGAGGAAGAGAGGAAGAGAGGAAGAGAGGAAGAGGGGCTAAAAGATGGAGCAAGGATTGAGGGGAAGAGCGAGAAATCGAGACATGATGATGATGTTCCTGAGTGGGGGACTTTGGTTGTATTAGAGGGGAAAGTGGCGGAAGTGGAGTATCAAGCAAGATATTCAGACGAGAAGAATGAAAATGAATAATCCCAATCCTTTTTTCGATAAGTTATTGACCCTCAGCAGGGTATATAGTTACTCTAGATGCATGCGTGATGACGGATGATCCTCGTTGTCTTGGGTATAACCGCTGGGGAATTTCCCCCAGACCGTCCAGAATGAAATCTGAAATCCATTATTATACCTATACTCTATTCAAAAGGTTCTAACCAGTTGAAAAAAAATTGAGATTCTCCACCCCAGTCTACCCCAGAACATAAACACCATTTCATGACAGTCTTATGTATTACATGCATATTAGGATGACACGGCTCACGCTCAGCTGGACTACCTACTACCCCCACGCTACTTTACCAACTACCTACATACCTGTAACGACTCCATACTCCGTCCTATTCTTGTATTCCAACTCCACTGCCTGCACAGTAGTAACCCTAATTTGGATTGTGTATTGATGTCCGAGCGGGTTACCAAGTGGGGAAAGCCGCAGATGTGCAGGCGAATTCAACAAACAGAGAAGTTAGAACACACTCAGTTGGACAACCTAATTAATTAGGGAGTAGCTCCCTGTTAGTCCGCGTACTTGGAGGGCAATGATGATACTACCGAAGAAGGTTCTTTTATGTGAATGACATGTAGATCCTGAGGATGTTCCCGTCCAAGGTATCCCCAGTCGAACCCTATCCATTCAAGGAAATTCGTTCACCTGCTTATTGTTAAGTGCAATGCGGAGTTGACAGGGTATTTCCTCTTGACCACCGACCTCGTGTTGGTCGGTCTTACAGTGATGGTGTGATGCAGCTGAGACAGCGAATGGGCCATACATAGCGGGAAAACTCTTCAGTGAGTTAGTGGAGGATCGGTCTCTCAGTGGCTTCACTACACCATCTGATTTGTCTCTCTCTGCCTTTTATTTTCCACCCGGTATTTTAAAATGTATTCTACTACTACTACTACCAACTTGCAGGATTGTAACTTTGACCCTCTGGAATCCACTTGTTGCCCGACTCGAGTGATTTCCTGCATGGGCTGATCGTATTCTGGTTCTCCACTGGGAGCTAGGATAGTGTCGCAACTTTCGGGCGACGATGCGAGGAAAATCGCTAAGGATAGCTTTACTTGGCTCTGCTTCTATTGTCCCTTCCCCGGTTGAGTCCCAACGCCGTATACATACGTTCGTTAGGTAGCTAGGTACCCAAGTACTCCATATAGTTACTGTGTATGCAAGACTAACAGTTGGACTGCTCTGTTCGACCCACTCACCTTAGCTGACCAGTGATGAGGTCTCCGGTTACAGGCAGTCGTGGCTTCGAGCTCTCCCTTGAAAATTGCATGTCACCAACGCACTACCACCCTACCTAGGTGCTTTCCAATAAGGTTGTCTGGTCTCGCCTGGCTAACGGCACCTCTCCTATTAGTCGGGGAAAAAAAAAAAAAAAAAAAAAAGACCCATCACGAAGCCAGGTCCGTCCCCGGGTTTCGACGGGTTGGGGAATTCGAAACGTGCTGCGTCGCCATTCCCCCCCCCCCATGCTTTCCTTCCAGTGCAGAGTCCTTCGAGGACGTAAGGAGCGAGGATGGTTGAAGCAATGTTACTCCTGACAGCCCAGAGTCCGGGGTAGGAATCCGACGACCAGAATGGCAGAAAACAAGGAGGCCGTCTTGACACTGCAGAGTGCACACCGTAGAACTAACTGCACGGAAACCCCAAAGGTGATTCATTCACACCTTGGTACCCTCCAAGAAAGGCAGGATTTGCAGATGACCTCCGGCAAAAACAGAACATGATTATTGCCGCCTCGCAAAGATTCACGTCAGACCGTAGATTCCGGTGCTCTGCCATACACTCTAGCCAGCTAGTGGTTGGCCTTCCAATCAAAAGGCCTTGGTAGTGCGAGCTATGTTGCTTTGCCTTGCAGCTGTTTATCCAAATCATAAGAAATTATGACATAACTATGCTTACAAATATCCGAGGCCAGACTGCATAACACAGATGAGACAGAGGGCCTACCCCCTGTCAGGGCATGGCATGGACAGAGAGTAATGAGAGCGAGCCATCGTAGAGTGAAAGAACCCCGGATCCATCTAGATACAGCCTCATCCGTCATCATGGTCCGGTGGTTTCCCTATAAATGGCGCATCTCGCCTACAAGGTCAGATGTCTCCGAGCCGGGGACGGATCCGGGTACGGGGCGGCGGGATCTACGCGCGCGCGTGCTTCTCCTCCCTGCCGTGGTCAACATCTAGGGTCATTGCGATGTGAACGAGGATGATGCGTTTGCTTGTCGTGCTGAGGAGGCGACCACGTCTGCGGATCATGATCGTGATCGTGATAGTGAGACTGAGATACTTAGGGTTCTGGGGACTTGAACAATGGCGATTGCTTTGATGCTCGTGAGATGTACTGGGAGGGGGGTGTTAGGTCGAGGGGCGAGAAAGAGGAGGGGGAGAAAGGTAGGGTAGGGTAGGCGTGAGGGGTGATTAGGGTTGTTGGTCATCTCTCTCTCTTTCTTTCTTTCTTTCTTTATGAAGATAATTATAGTAGATAAGAAGAAGATAATAGTTCAGCAATGAAGATAATAGTTCAGCAATGCCTTCATTCACTACCTATACTAGATCATATCGAATAACCACCAATGCATACATACCGAAGGGAAAAGTACAAGTACTCGGAAACAGACCCACCCATACGTACAGCAATGCTCCTCTTGTAAACGCCAAACCTGTCCAATCAGATCAAATCAGATAGTACGAAAGAAGGAAGAGAAGTAGAAGGAAGGGAAGTACAAGTCGTGAGGTGAGGCACGGACACCATTCTGAGCCACAAAGAAAAAGAAAAAAGAAAAGAAAACAAAAAAGAAAAAAAAAAGAAAAAAAAAAGAAAAAAAAAAAAAAAAAAAAGGCTAAAGTCAGATGCATGAATGAGAAAGTCTGAAGAAGACTATGCGGTAAACACCCGATCTAATTGACGAAGTGCACGCAGGTCCTCGCCGCCACATCCGATCTTGTCGTTGGGAATATCCCGGGGTCCTTCAGCAGCACGACCTGCGCCCGGGCCAGCCGGTGCAGAGATCGAGGGCAGGGCGCCTATGGGCGGACCACTCATCAGCGACGTGATACCGGGCACAATACTGGCCGCGTTGGTGTCGAGGGAGGGCTTGGAGGCCGCGTTGGGAGGCGGGATTTGCATAGACCCCGGCGGAGGGGCTTGGTTGAGAACCCGCGGACTGCGCGAGACCGAGGGGAGTCCATTGGGATGGGGACTGGGATGCGGTTGGGTGCGCGGAGACGTGCGGCGCAGGTCCCCAATGGCAGTTGTGTATTCCGGAGGGCTTCGGAGGAGAAGTTCCTGGTCTGCGACCCCGCGCGGGGACCGACCGGCAAGCAATGCCAGCGGAGGCTGTTGTAAGGCGACTGCTGGGTGGGAGGGAGGAATGGCGCTCTCGACCGGGTGCACGGGTCGTTCATAGGCCGCGGTTAATCCCGGTGGTTGTTGTGGGGGCGGTGGCAGGGCGTGATGTGGTGGGGGCGGGGGTGGGGGTGGTGGTGGTGGCGGAGGAGGAGGATGATGATGATGATGATGAGGAGCATACGCGAGTTGGGCGTTGGCGGGAGCAACGTAGGCCGGATAGTGAATCGACACAGTAGGCGGGGTCCCCAGAGGGGTGGGCGGCCACGGATAGGAAGCTGCATAGGAGTGTGGGTGAGTTGCACCAGAGCGCGCGTAGGGGGCCATGGGATGAGGGGGCGGCGGCGGCGGCGGCGGCGGCGGAATCGCGTACGGTGCGCCGGCCATGGGACCGCGCGTAACCACCGGCAGGTTCTGCTGGTCGTTGACCGTGGATTCGGGATAGAGACCCTTTTGAGGCCGTACATGACGCAACGCGGGATCGGTGGATGGCTGTTGCAGGTTGGCGGCGGCGGGATGGGAGCGGGAGTAATAGCTAATCAAGTGGAGGTGTTGGCCCGTGGAGGTGGTGATGCTAAAGGACTGCTTCATCAGGCCGTCCGGCTTATATCGATAGCCGTCGGGGCCTTCATCAGGGCCATCGGGTCGGTCATCGTCACTCCCTCGTCCACTCTCTGGGGTTTTCCCGGCTCGGGCCATGGAGGCGGATTGCGACACGCTGGTACCCCCTCGTTTGCCCTCCATTTCGCGATAAGTCAGGAAACTCCCCGAGACCCGACTGGCGCTCCAAGATTTGCCATCCGTCCATCGTCGCATGCCGGCTTCTCGTTCATCCCAGACGAACACGGACCCGGATTGAATGAGTTGGCGTTCTTTTTCGGAGAGTCGTCGCTGGACGCGAGGCAGGAGACCGATGCGACATGCTTCAAAGAGGATGATAGCGTCCGCGGGGGTGCGGACGTGACCGTGATACGTCTCCATCCACCGTCGGTGATCTTGGTATGATCCCGAAATGACTGAAGGTTTGAGAGCCACGACCGGCGATTTGGGGGAACGAAAAGATTAAAAGTGTTTAAATTTGGGGTTTTTAGGGGGGAATTTTTTGGGGGGTTAAAAACAGGGTGAGTGGGGAGTTTATTTATTGGAATTTTCCTGCCGGTGGACAGAGAGAGGAATGATCCTTGGTCGTAGAGAGGAGATTGCCTAAAAGAGGGAATTTCGGATCAGGACGGCAGAGAGCCGAAGCTGAGTCAGGAGAAGTCCGTGTTGTGTAAGGGTGGAATAAGGAGGAAGTTGGAGTACAGAGAAGAAGAGAGGAAAAAAGAAGAGAGAGAGAGAGAGAGAGAGAGGAAGGAGAGAGAGAGAAAGAAGAGAGAGAGAGAGAGAGAGAGAGGGGGAGGGGAAGATAGGAGACAATCAGGTGAGGAGTAAGGGGACAGAGCTGCAGGGAGAAGTGGATAGGAGAATTAAGAATGCAGACCTTGGAATAAAGTTTGAATTGGGAAGTAGAAGAGGAGGAAAGAAAAGTAAAAAAAAGACAGCGTAAGAAAAGAGTAAGAAAGCAAAGAAAGCAAAGAAAGAAAAGAAAGAGAGTTACCAAGAGTTGCCAAGTTTGGGGAGAGCGAAACAAAGTCAGCGCCATTAAAGTCCGACCCCACTAATTGGATATTTATTTACTGTTTTATATTTAAGTCGATTTATTTATTTAGAAATAGAAAGGAAATCAAATCGAGAAATCAAGAGAAGAAATAGAAGAAATCAAATCAAAGAAATCGAACAGAAAGAATAGACAGAATAGACAGAAGAGAAAGAAGAGAAAGAAGAGAAAGAATAGAAAGAAAATAGACAAATCTTGAATATAAATACCAACCTAAAATGGATTAGTCGTCACTTTCTGAAGCTTAAGCTTAATCCAACACGAGGAACCTTAAGCTCGCTTAGAAACTCATCTCCACCTCTTTTTTATGCAAAGGATACCTGGATAAGCCACTGTGGCAAACTCGTATTCAACCTTGGGAGAAATATTAAACGACTGGTCTTTTTCTTGAGAATCATATAGGTCAGAATCCATATAATATTATATTATATTATAATTATTATATTATATGATTCTCATCATGATTCTCATCCTGATGAGATATAACCCATATTTAATATTCCAGAGTAAGTATATAGGTCAAAGCGTAACTTACACGTAAAGACCCCGAGCTAAAGCCAAGGCTTAGCTTTAATCTAAATGAATCCATTGCTTTGTATTACCGTATCGGTACGGTAATCTGGATTCGAAGAATAGGCTTAACACCAGTAAGGTTGATTGACTGACCTAGAATAATAATAATAATAATACCTACTCCGTACCTAGGTATAATAAAACAGCTGCAGTAAGACACTATTAACCTCCACCAGTTCTCTAGACTCTTCGTCTAACTATTTCTTTCTCTGGATGTAAATTACCTCTTAGAAATTGGTCGGAGCAATCCCCTCGATTATGCCCCGAGACTTGCGCCTTTTTTGTTTTTTGTTTTTTTTTTTTTTATTTTTTTTTATTATCGGATCCACTGTGGAGATTCCCCTAGGGCCTACTCACTAGGCTACTTACGTACCAAGTACAGAGTGTACAAGAGAATAACCTCGGCAGACTTTACTAGGCCATCTCGATCGAAATAACCCAATTTAGGGAACCGAGATTTTCTAGTCGATAACAGGAGATAATATAATTAACAATCTGCTCGTCCAAAATACCGCGGAAACGCAACAATATCCCGCACACTCGACACCCCCGTCAAGTAGCCCAGGAACCGATCAAACCCCAGGCCAAACCCCCCGTGCGGCGCCGTCCCCCAGCGTCGGAGATCCACATACCACTGTAAATGCGCCAGATCTTCCCCGGGAAGAAGATGAGGATATACCACCCCGTTTGGCGAAACGGACTCCCGCTTGATGAGCCCGTGCTCGCGCATGTTCTGGATCAGATTCGGGAGACGGTGCTCGCGCAGCGACCCGCCCGCCACTTCGCTGACTTCGGGGAGGAGAAGATCGAAACACGCGACCGTTTCGCCGACCGACCGGCGGTTCTCGGCGGAAGGAGCCATGTAGAACGGTTTCAGAGCGGTCGGGTAGTCCGTGACGAAGACCGGCTGGCCGTCGTTGATCACGTCCACAATGTACCGCTCATGCTCGAGTTGCAGCCCGCCCGACCAGCTCGGAGCGTATTCAAACGATGTCTTGTCTTGCGCAACGGCCTCTTGGAGGAGAGTGATCGCCTCGGTATACGTGAGGCGCCGCCATCGGGGCCCGTTCATGAGATCTAGCCAGCGCTGCCGGAGGTCGAGGTCGGGCGGCGTTTCCTGTGTAGCAGTGGATGGTGATGACTCCGGATTGCTTTCGCGTTGGATGGAGAAGAGTTCTTGCGCTGCTGCGGTGTCGTAGAGTCGGCGCGTGACGTCTCGGAGGAGGTACTCAACAAGACCCGTGAGGCCGTCCAAGTCAGAGAGGAAATTGACCTCAGCCTCCAGCATATAAAATTCGCTCAGATGCCGAGGAGTGTCGCTCTTCTCGGCCCGGAACATAGGGGAGAGAGTCCAAACATTGCCGAGCTCCGCGGCGTAAGCCTCGAGATGGAGTTGCGAAGATACGGTTAGGTACTTGGGAGCCTTAAAGAAGTGGTCGTCCTCGTCTGCTTTCGGTTCCGTCGCGAGGGCTTCACGCGGAACAACGGCAAATGTCTCCCCGGCCCCCTCACAGTCTGACGATGTAATCAGCGGCGGCTGGACCTGTACGAATCCTCCGCTTGGGACGCTGCGAAAGGTATTTCCAAGTTGGTACAGACATTCGGAGCGGAAGCGCGCGAGGAGGGCATTAAACGGCGTGCGAAACCGTAGGTGAGGAATCTGGCGGAGGAATTCGGGAGTTTGATATTTTTTCTGAATGGGATATGTCTGCGTTAACAATGAGTTAGTTAGTACATACACTCTTTCCTATATAATAAATACCCCCCCCCCCCCCCCCCGGGAAAAAAAAAAAATTGACCTCGGCGTCGCTTTCACCCAAGACATTCACAGCCGTCGTCTGCAGCTCATGGGTCTGCTCCTTTCCAGCTGGACAGGCCTTCCAGATCCCCGATATCTCTACCGCCGTTCCGGTGGACAAACTATATAGCAACATTGATTAGAACGAGCCCGCGGACACGGCCTACACGACGTACTCGGCTGCCTGCGCAGGGCTCAAAATCGCCTGCACAGATTGAACGGTGGATCCATCGGAAATCTCAGCAAAAGCGAAGCGTTTCTGCTTTCTGACCGAACGAACAAACCCGCGTAGTTGAATTTCCTGCTCTTCCAGACTGCAAGGCTTCTGTTGGCTCCTCTGGAGGATTTGCGCGCACAGGAGAGTGGTGGGAGTGGAGGTCGATGTCGCTGCGGGCTTATGGTTCAGTCTGGCGAAGGACGTGGCGAAGGTTCGCCGCCATGTCTGCATTTCTTAATCGAAGAACTGCGGACTCAGCCCAAAAATCGAGGAGTTGCTGGACGCACTATGAAAGTTGCGATTTGATGATGATGGGGAAAAAAAACAAACAATTCACGGCCGATCGGACGGATGATTCAGCGTCTCATCCCGACCCACTTATACTTACTTACAGTGAGTCTGTCATCTCTACAGATGTTCTCGAAAATGAGTAGCTTAGAGATATATAATTGAATTGACCAACTACAGTACATAACATTAATCAAAAGAGGATCGTGCCAATTTTAATCCTTCCAAAGAAAAAGGAGGAGAGTGTGTCACGTCAGATGAAAATAGACGAACAAATTACCCAGATCGTTGTTGGTACACCTTGCGTTCTTCCTCAATCATTTCAATCGCATCTACAAGTTCCCCGTTCGCAGCTGCAGCGTACACAGCCATCCGATGGATCCCGCCGTCTTGTTCGCTTCCGTATCCGAGCTGAGTTAATGATGAGATGCATTCATCAATCGCTTGTTGGCTTGCCGACGTCGACGATTCCGCAGGAATCTGTCTGGAGCGCTCTGCTTCTTCCTCATGCGGGCCCGCACTTGGATATTGCGGGGCTAGATCAGACAGCTGATGGAACGAGGATCGGTGGCGGGGACCGAATGAGCCCATTTGTGAACCATTTCGGAGAGATTGTCGTTCAGTAGCCCGTCTTCTTAGAGGCGGTATTTCAGGCATAGAAGGATCGACATTTCTTCGGGATGGATGCCCTGATCTCACAGTTGCCGCACGACGACCATTAAAACGGTGATGAGGATGAGGATGAGGATGAGGGTGAGGGTGAGGGTGAGGATGACGGTGAGGGTGAGGGTGGGGAATGTAAGGAGGGGGAGAGGGCCGGTGTGCGCCAGCTTCAATCTGGGCTCCTCTTGACGGGTTTGAAAGGCGCTCCAAGGGTTCATCATGATTATCTTGAGGAAAGGACCCAGGGAGGTTTTGAGATGAAACATTGTTCCCCGAAACAGTGCCATCTGGTCTTTCTCCCGTGGCTGCCGCGACTGGGAGGGTTGGGATTATAGTAGCTGGCCCTGTAGTAGACGGTCCAGCAAGCATCTGGGCATCCTGTTGAGAGACAGGTGGGAACCGTCTCTCTGTTTGGGCCAGATCCGGAAGGAGGTCAGATACAGCGCTGCTCCTCTTCGGCTGCCGTGCCTCCTGCGGTACCAGTGAAGGGTAAAGCATATTGAACCTTTCTGTGTCACTCGACGAAGTTGCTTCGGCTGCGATATTAACTGGCGATGGCCCGCTGTTCACATAGACAGGGTATTGGCTGTTTTGCGTTTGCTGAGTTGCTCCCAAACGAGCATCAGATCTTTCGACACGGTTGTCGTTTACTAATGTTGCGACGGGGGTATGATCAACGTATTCAAGATTGATCGAATGTCCATCTATAAGCATTCCCTGCAATTCATTCAATGCTGCTGTCGCCATTTGAGTTGATGGGAAGCTGACGTAACCAAACCCAGCATGCTGGCCAGACCTGGAGTCTAGAGGTAGGTGGACCTGCGCCGTGTAGCCTTTCAAGGCGAAAACATCCCGAATCACTTCATCAGTCACCCCAAATCCAACATTCCCGATGAATAATGAGTTTGGCAATGGGCCAGAAGCTTGATCGGTGCTCAACGGCGCGGTGGGCGAACTGGCCGTAGATGAAACGGGAACAGCGACAGAATCAGTAGTGCTTCCAAAACGAGGGATATGAGGCCAAGAATGTCTCGGCGGGCCATGTAAATTATGGCCGGGATGGTTCCAGAAGTTCGGGGGAGGGGGGTGCATTGGGTGCCTGGGTCGGTGGTGTGGAGGAGCTGGATGAGAGCCCCAAGCGGGAAGGGCCCGCGGAGGAGGGAAAAACGGTTGTCGTGGTGGAAAAGTGGGAGGATGAGAAAAGAAATCGAAGTCAACGGGCGTGGAGTATTGAAATCGCCGACGTGCGTTCGGCTCCTGGGGGGCTCGAGGCTGTTGGTATTCGGTAGCCTCCACGGTTTCGCCCTGAGACGGAGCTGGGGGTGGAATGGGCCACGAACCGCCAACTTCATTTTGGAACGATGAGCGTCCTTGGGGCGGAGCCTGGGGGTGGGTGTACGTTTCACTGCGAGATTCTGTGGGAACAGGGCTCACGGGTTGGGTTTCATAGTCTCCGGTTGCAGTCGAGGAAGCCCCTTGTGGATTGTTAGACACATCTGTTGGAAAATATCCTGTATAAGACAAATTTGAAGGGAATGCCTTACTCTGGCCTCCAAGCAGACCATTCTGGAGTCCATCTTCAAACGCTGTAAGCAATGCGTGTCCCATGTCGCCAAGTTGCGCACCCATCGTTTGCAGCCCACGAACGGCCATAGAGGGATCCGGGTGGTCCTCCTCTCGTCTCCAGCTTGGCAGGGAAACAAGAGAGTCCGAGATAGCTTTAACGTGGCCTTCAACAAGCGCGAAAGCACTCCCCACGGAAGATGTAATATTGGCAGGAAGAGCTGCCTGGGCATTCTGCAAGTGCCTGTCAAGCTCTGGGATTCTAGATTTTACCCCGGAGCCGATCAGCTCCGCTGCTTTGATCAAATTCCGCATGGCAGAAGTGAAAGCCTCGTTGGCTTGTTGATACTGATCAGCAGTGGCCTCTGCTCGTGCTGTCGTGGAGGACGCTGTGCTCTCTGCGGTGGTGTTCTCCGGTGAATGTTGCGAATGTTCGATCATCTTGGCCATCTCTTCTTCAAATGCTGATAGAAAAGACTCGGATGACTCATTATTTGCGGTCTGGTCCTGCTCATTCTCAAGAGTTGGCTCCTCTTTGACGTCGACGTAGGAGCTTCGCTTGGTGGTAGACCCCGTCGTTTCTACATCCGCGGCTGGTGCATTCTCAACGGAAATGCGATTCTCTGTCTGCTGGCACTCATACTGCTGCCACAGAGAGATGACAGATTTTGATCTGGAGATATCAAACAAGTGTACAGGGGTAGGAAAGTTGGGGTCGGCGGAAACCGTCGGAGGCTCTTGTAGACGTTGAGAAAGCTCGAGAGACGACCCGACCTGGTATTCGCCATCAGTTTAACCACGATACAAAAAGAGTTCGAGATAAATGGGCAAATACAGTTATGATATCACCATCATCCTCATCTAGATAACTCAGGCGCGCCCGGGGGTGCACCCGCGCCATGCTGTCGTAATCAGCAGCAGATAACTGTACGAGGCCATTTCGCCGATGGGGGTTCGGTCCCATAGAATGAAGAGCATCATAGACGTAAGAGTCCGAGAGTCCCTCTGGAATGAGCTGTGAGGGAGGATCTCCGTGAAGATCTTTGATCAGAAACGGCTTGAGCATTGTTGACGATATAATGGCGGGTCCACCAGTGCACTTGCTGAAGCTAGTAGCTAGAGGAAGAGCTCAACCAGGAACCAAAAAAGGAGTCGTCACAACACAAACAGAGATGATGTTGATGAAAAATGATGTTGGAAGAGTAAAATAGGCAAAGAGAGATGATTCACAAGCAAGAAATAAGGAGAGGAGCAGGGTGGCGGACAGAGACGGAGGCAGGGTGCGATGGCTGCTGCCTACATATACGAGACCGTACAGAGAAGTATCGGGATCTCCTCCCTGGTTTGTCAGAAGAGCTCAGACTCCAACCACAGAAGGAGGCAAATTCCAGTCGGACAGAGTTGCAAAGGATCCGGTGGTGGTGGAACAGAAATGCGATCGGGAGGGATCCAGGCAACATAATAATGCGGGCGGCCCTCTATATCTGTTTAAAGCTTCAATAGTACTGGACCCCGCGTCTGCTCGAAGGACAATTGGCTGAATAGAGGATCAACTGACCATGGACCATTCTTGATCCTTTGAGATTATTTCGAGCACCTACTGCAGATTATCATCTCATGGAGCAAGAGATATATATCTACGTTGAGGATTAAGGTGTCTCTTGCGATACATATACTACCGGTTTCGTTGAGTAGATTAATTTGCGACGCAACACTTTAACCCTAAGAGATATATAGCACAAGGTCTCTCCTCTCTAACTATAACTTCTATAATGCACCCCCCTGTTTATAAAATATCCTTTGAAACTACTGAGTACTTGAATAATGAAGCCTGTTGTCCAGAACTCCCGGCAAGGAATGGTTCACGTGACCAGCGATAAAAGCGGCGAGACCCCTGCATAATTAACGATCCCGCCAGCACGTCTGAGACTCGTTCAAAAAGGCATGCGCGGCAAGGAGGCCCAGGAGATTGTCTGATATTCAAGCAATGACACTCGGGATCCAAGGAACTTGACCTAAGAAGCTCGCGTGGACACTGTGGTGCGCTGCAAATCATCACTGCGACTGCACTATCATTGCCAATGGCCTCACTCTCTCTTCCAACCCAATGCCAATGCCATCCTGAAAATTCTCCCCTCCTGTGTCTCTCTCCTCTTGACTTGCTGAGAGTCGCTCAATCCAATGGCCTCTGACGACCCTTCCTCCCTTCCGAAATTGTCCTCCGACCGCAACGTCAAGCATGTCGTACTGGGGAACCTGCTGTTCCAGACCTGGTATCAATCCATCTACCCCGAAGACCTAGTCAGCAAGGACACAGATCGCCTCTACGTCTGTCGCTGGTGTTTCCGCTACTCGTGTGACGTCGATGCCCATGCGAAACACACCAAGGGTTGCGAGCGCCAGACAACACCGCCGGGGACAAAGGTTTACGATCACGGTGGCTATTCCGTTTGGGAGGTCGACGGCGCAGACCACAAACTATACGCCCAGAACCTTTCCCTCTTCGCGAAGCTGTTCCTCGACCATAAATCCGTGTTTTTTGATGTTGCCTCCTTCCTGTATTACCTCCTCGCCTTCAGGGATCCTAAGGACCCGAATCACTACCATATCCTCGGATTCTTCTCCAAGGAAAAGCTCTCCTGGGACGCGAATAATCTCGCCTGCATTCTGATCTTCCCGCCGTATCAACATAAGCAGCTAGGCAAACTTTTAATGGGGGTCAGCTACAAGCTCAGCGGCTGGGAGCGTGATGGCGGCTTTATCGGGGGTCCGGAACGCCCACTCAGCGAAATGGGCCGGAGGAGCTACAGTCGCTTCTGGGAGGAGCGAATTGCCCGCTACCTCGCGCAGCAGCAGGCTCCCACCATCCCCCCCGAAGAACCGGAAGATACCACTGGCACCCACAAGCAGAAACCCTCGAATAAAGGCACCTCTCGAAAGAAACACACCTATGAAGTAATGACAGTGCAGGACATTGGTCTGGCCACAGGAATGTTACCAGAGGATGTTATCAGTGCCCTCCGTGGCCTGGGGGTTGTTGAGCCTACCACTCCTTCCAAGACACGCAAGGTAACCCAATCGGAGGGAGAAACCGTCGTCATACGGAAATCAAAGATTTTGGAATGGGCCAAGACCCGCAACATTAGTTTACGCGATCCTGTTCGGGATGAGGGCTTTTGCCTGGATAAATGGATGACTGGTGATGACCAAAAGCGGGAATCTCCAGGCAGTGATAATAACGACTGATTTTTTTTTTATTCCCCCCCCCCCCTTCCCTCATACCTTTTACTTCTGCCTGTACTTTTAGCTCTTGAATTTCGGCTCATGTTAGCCGAAAGGTCTTAGATACCACAACTGACTTATATATATATATATATATCTGTATGACTAGAAATGATTATGAAAGAGAACCCTTACCAACTTTTGTATATATTGCATTGACCTTATTGTCTGCCTAATTACTACTTCATTACGGTTTAGCACATGGGACATCTTCTGTCGCAAATATATCTTCGGTAACTTCTACTCCATTCATATCAGTTCCACGGACTCGAGGCACCACTATCACGGTGATGGTGGTGACGTGTAGGTTTCTATCATGGCTGCGTCAAGAAATTCGAATTCACATATGTTTCTTCAAGTTTATTAGTATGACTTCTTTGATTTTATTCGGTACATTTTAGGCATAAGCTGTTCTCTAATAACCGTGACTTCCAAAGACAGCTCCCCCCTGCTGTTGATGATATGGTCTTTTCTTGTATATCGCGTAACAATCACATTACTCATCCATGCCGCCAGGTCCACCTTGTCTACTCATCTGCCTGGCCTTCAGGAGCTCGTCACAGAGAAGTAGGTTGGAGGCAATACCCGTGCTTGAAGCGATGCAGTTACGGAGGACACGGTACGAGTCAAACACACCCTCCTGCACGGGGTCCATCGGGTCACCGGTAGTCAGATCCAAGCCAACCGTGTTGCTGCCTTGAGACCGCTCATCCTGCATAGCGGCCAAGGAATCTTGGATATCGTGTCCAGAGTTGGCCGCTAAGGTCTTAGGAATGATCAGGAGGGCATCGGCAAAGGCGTTAACACCCCACTTGGCCTTTCCTTTGACCGTTTTGCGGAAGTCGTCGGAAGACAGGTGCTCTGCGCAGGCGACCTGGAAGGCACCAGCGCCGGGGATAACGCAACCATCCACGATAGTGTTGTACACGGAACGCAGACCGTCCCGAACAGCATCCTTAACCTGTGCAATGGTGTGCTGATTGGGTCCCTTGATAAGGATAGTAACGGACTTGGGGTCCTTGACCTCCTCGACGAATGTATACTTCTCTTCTCCGAGCTGATGCTCATAGACCAGACCAGCCCATCCGAGAACATCAGGCGTCATGTCTTCCACGCTGTTCTGTGCAATACCCCCGCAAACAAGCTGAAGACGCTCCATGTTCCTCCGCTTTGCTCTGCGGAGAGCGAAAATTCCATTCTTCACAAGGACATCCAGACTCAGGGGATCAATGCCCTTTTGGTTGATGACAACAAATCCTTTCTTAGGATCATTACCGCAGACCTGCTTCTTGAGGTCCACAATCTTTTGTAGCTTAGCATCCACGAACTTGCGCTCGCTTTCCACGAGCTTATCCCTCTGCTCTGCGGATGAGTAGTAAAAGCCTGAGTTGATCTCTGACTTCTCATACTCTAGACTGACGTTTAGAGTAAGAATAAAAGCGTTCTCGACCCGCTTAGGCATATCAGGGTGTCTAGCACCGTGGTCGAGAGCGAGACCACGGATAAGCTGCGTGTCGGAAGACGAGCGGTGTTGCATGGTCATAATTTCAATCATGTGCAGATCAGGCTTCTCGGGGGCTCGGTGGATAGCAAGTACAGCATCAACAATGTCGGGAGTTAGTTTCTCTGCAAGGGCATTATTCAACTTGGTGCTAAGCGACGTCCGCGCGACGGAGAGGAGAAGTTCGCGATCGATTGTACGTTCAATCTTGTATTGGTCAAGGAACTGGAAATCAATTTTCTTTAGCACCAAATCTATTCACCATTGTGGCGTACCCAACTAACCTTGAGAGTCTCGTTCTTCGCAATTTCATAGCCGTCCGTAATAACCCTAGGGTGTAGACCTTCGGAGATATAACGATCCGCCTGCTTCAGAAGTTCTCCTACCAACAAAACCACAGAGGTTGTTCCATCACCAGTGATATCGTCTTGCGCAGTCGCAGCCCGAGCAATCATAACCTTTGTCACGTTAATACGAGGAATCGTTTCCGAAGGATAAAAGGAAACGCATGGCTTACGGCAGTGGGGTTTTGGATTTGCTGCAATAGTTAGCAATTTGGTCAAAAGTTATGTAGCTTCAATGCGGAGTAGAGTAATTTACCATCTCACGGAGAAGAACGTTTCCATCCTTCGTCAGTTTGATCTATTTTAACACCGTTAGACACCAAACCCAGAGCTCAATGCAGACGAATATTCCATACACCACCCGCACCATCCACCAGCCTACTCGTCGTTAGCTTTAAATGTGTGTTGAGCAAAACTAGATAGCGAAACTTACATCTTCAGGGTGCCCGAAGGACCCAAGTTGGACTTAAGAACATCCTGGAGACCCTCACCAGCACTGATGTTCACCTTCAAGGCTTCCGCCCTCCGCTGCGCAGTGTTAGTCTCTGCAACATGACTGAGGGGCATTTCTCGCATACCCTCGACTCCGCCTTGGGGTTGAGCAACTGCGTTGCAGACATCTCTGCAGCACTGAAGAATGATAAGCAACAAAAGCCCGAGAAAATAAAAGGGACAGGATTAGAAAGGGAAACAAAGAAAAAAGAAAGTCGGCTTGTTGTTGCAAGAGATCCTCCCCAACAGTGTAGCCGCAAACCTGGTGGTGGTGTTTGCCGTCGAATGCGGTGAGCTCAGGTAGTTTTGGCAAAAAGCCCACATTCGGGGGTTCTCACTAGCGCCGGCTGTGAAAAAAAAAGAGCTGCGACACTTCGACTGCAAAATCACCCTCCAGGCAATTTTTTCTTTTCATTTCCCACGACGGCCGCCACGGGTCAACAGCCTCGATAATTCCCGCGAATCTGGGATCTGGACTCAAAGAATCTCATTTATTAGACCAATTTTTTTTTGAGCAATTCTTGGGGGACTTGACACTCGTTCGCTATGGCTGACTACCTGCTCTTTGAGGGCCCTATGGGCTACTCAATTTTCAAGGTCGCTCACCAGGGAGACTCTGTGGGAAATAGCTTGAAGGAGGTTCAGGAGGGCGTGAATGACCTTGCCACGTTTGGGAAGATGGTGCAACTCGCCAGTTTCTTGCCCTTTGAGTATGTTCCTCCGCGACTTCCTTGTGTGCGATCGGGGACTGACAAAACCTAGAAACAACAAGCAGGCGCTGAGTGAGATTAACGATGTTTCGGAAGGTGTTGCTTCAGACACTCTTATTTCCTTCCTCGAGATGAATCTTCCCAAGCCGAACAAGAAGAAGAAGATTGTGTTGGGTCTTGCTGATAAGACCCTGGCTGCGAGCATTAAATCCACCTTTGACTTTATCAATTGCGAAACCGGCGATACTAGCGAGGTTGTTCAGGATATGCTCCGTGGAATTAGGCTGCATGCTACCAAGTTGCTGAAGCAGCTTCGAGAGGGCGATATGGATACTGCCCAACTTGGTCTTGGTCACGCCTACTCCCGTGCCAAGGTCAAGTTCTCCGTTCAACGTGACGACAACCACATTATCCAGGCCATTGCTATTCTGGATCAGCTCGATAAGGCCATTAACACCTTCTCCATGAGAGTCAGGGAGTGGTACTCCTGGCACTTCCCTGAACTTATCAAGATTGTGTCCGATAACCAGCGTTACGCTCAGGTTGCTCTGCTCGTCAAGGACAAGAAGAGTTTGACTGACGAGAGCCTGCATGATCTTGCTGCGCTCGTGGAAGATGATGAGGGCGTTGCCCAGAACATTATCGATGCTGCTAAGCACAGTATGGGTCAGGAAATCTCCGAGTCTGATATGGAGAATGTGATCTCCTTCGCGCAACGTGTCGTCAGCCTCTCCAAGTACCGCAAGTCTCTGCACTCCTACCTGGTTGCCAAGATGAGTGTTGTTGCACCTAACCTTGCTGCCCTGATCGGAGAAATCGTCGGTGCTCGTCTCATTTCGCACGCTGGAAGCTTGACCAACCTGTCCAAGTATCCCGCATCCACCGTCCAGATCTTGGGTGCGGAGAAGGCTCTTTTCAGGGCCCTCAAGACCAAGGGAAACACTCCCAAGTACGGATTGTTGTATCACTCCTCTTTCATCGGCAGAGCTGGACCTAAGAACAAGGGCCGTATCTCTCGCTTCTTGGCCAACAAGTGTTCTATCGCTTCTAGGATTGACAACTTCTCTGAGGAGCCTACCACCAAGTTTGGTGATGCTCTGAAGAAGCAGGTTGAGGAGCGTCTGGAGTTCTACGCTTCTGGTGCTGCCCCTACCAAGAACGAGGTTGCAATGGTATGACTTCTTGCATTGTTTCTTCCCTAATCGGTTATTTACTTAAATTTACTAACTTGCGCTAGAAAAATGCCATGGACGCTGTCCTCGCTGACATCGACATCGACGGTGACGAGAGCGACGAGGAGATGAAGGATGCTGTCGCTGAGAAGAAGGAGAAGAAGGAAAAGAAGGACAAGAAGGAAAAGAAGGAGAAGAAGGAGAAGGGAGACAAGGATGAGAAGAAGAAGAAGCGCAAGTCGGATGTTGGCGAGTCAGAGAAGAAGAAGCGCAAGCACGACAGCGACGCAGAGCCATCCAAAAAGAAGAAGAAGGTCTAGATGCACCATTTCTGGGACAAAAGGGCGTCTTTGTCGCGGCGTTGTAGGGTTGATTATTTCTGTTCGTTCATTTGTCTCTCATTGTCAACTGTGTTCAGTTTGCTCCTTCATGACTTGATGGGCTGGGTATTTGTAAATTATTTCATTGAGGCCTGTGCTATCTAAAACCTTGGATAGTATGCTGTTTTAAAAATGTCACCTTGATCTTCTTTATGCCTTACTATGTATAGTTCCAGGCAAGTTCCTCATTGTAAGCTCGCTCGCTTTGTTCTTACAGGAATGACGGGCGGGAAAGCGGATCTGTGAAAGTTCCTCCCGTCCCCGTTACCCCCCCCCCTCTCTTCTTCCCAAGGGAGATCCAGCCCTCGTCAATACTATAATATGAGCTCCTTCTGCCCCTTCTACCTCTCTTACGTTACTATGGGTTTAGTCAAGATCACCGAAACTCGCCCATAAGAGGTGATACCATTTGATTATCTGAGCCAGGAGATTTATCACTGGGATGCCCCCAAGCCTGGATTCAATTAAAGCCCCGCGATATTACGAACGGGGTTTCCAACGATGTCATTCACTTCTCCAAGAAGCAAACGGGGATCATCGGATGATTCAAATGGCTACAGTCCACCTGCCTCTCCGGCATCCACTCCGTCTATCGTTAGCCTCCGAGAGCGGGAAGATCTGGGGAGGTATAGTCCTCGTGCGGTAGTCGCTGGTCGCCTAGGGGAACTGGCGATACGGGGAGACTACCCAACAACCCACTCAATTTCTAGTTGCAGCTTCGAACAGACCTCGGCCCCCCTGTCTGCGCAGACAATTTCCCCTCCTAGTTTTTCATCTGATCGCGATGGCTTTTATGACATGCCCGACTTGCAACCTTCAACCGCAATAGAAAGCCAGTTTAACACGACAGAGGGCGAAGCGCTTCCTGGCCCTGTCACTGGCATTTCCCCACGACATCGAAACATAAAATCACCCTCAAAATCTCCGAAGAAACCGTCTTCGAGTCCTCGCAAGAAACGAATCGCACCGGTTCCCATAAAAATGCGCAGTGCAAGGAGATCGCCGCCTCCCCCCCGGATCGAAGCTGAGAACCCATTTACCTGGAATGACTCCGAGATAACCGGCCATAACCCGACGGATCCAACAGATGATGGGTATGGCATCAATGGGATTGGGTTTAAGCCAACTGCGGCCATTGCTTGGGCTAGGTCCCAGAAGAGGCAAAAACAGGTCGCTGAATGGAAAAATCGCGAGGCAAGAGAGGCGCGAGAACGACGCAGAGAACGACGAGATGGTAATCATGAATTTGATAAGATACGAACTATCCAGCAAGGCGCCATTCATAAGAGGGTCAAATTTGACGTCTAAAGATGCGGGTCATATATCCGGAAGCTTGGTTACTGGCGTTAACATTGCATTTTTGCGAGGAGGGTTTTTTGGACATGGACTTTGGAGAACAGCAATAGCGGCGTTAATTGGAGGTATCGATCGATTTAGGTGCAGAATTCTAGATAATGACTTGGACAAGCCTGGCGTTTCATCAACCCCAGGAATCTGTACTTTACATTCCACTTTGGCATAATATACAATTGAAACCAACAAACTCCACGACTCCAGTCAATGTACAATAGTTCTACCAGAACTTATAGTTTGCGAGATTCGTCCAACTTTTTCGTTTCCTTTCTTCCTCCTCCAGTCGTGCAGCCTCCGCAGCTCTGTCATCCTTCTCTCGTTGGCGCTTGAGCTTCAATTCCTTCATCATCTCCACTGCTTGCTTCATTCCGTCTAATTCCTGCACTCGGCGGCGCTGGCAGAATTCGTGTGCTGCAAGGGACGTAATGGCAAATGCACCGACTGCCCAGTTACAGGCAGTCCAGATCGAGCGAAATCCTAATTGCACAGTGACATGTTAGACTCGCCAAATTTGTCTTTGAATAGATACGGGTAATCCAGTTGGCAAATTACCTCCTACAACACCCCTCACCCCGCCGACGCCGAATCCGGCGCCAATTCCCAGCAGCAACGAGTCGCGGGCACAAGGAGCTTTGTAAAACGAAGTCGCATCTTTCATGGACATTGATTTCATAGCCTCTGTCACCGTGATGTCCTTATTCTTCTTCGCAGCGGCTGCCCCGGGAAGCATATTCACCGGGTCTTCAGGATTCCCAAAAGCTTCCCATAGTTTCCCGACCTGGGATTTGGGAAGCTCGTACTTTGTCTTTGGTTTGGACTCAAGGTCCGGGGTGCTGTTTGGCTGGTCTCCAGCATTCTGGATGGAGGTCGACATCGTTGACTCCCGTGTATCGTCCGCCATGATCTATAATAACCTGTCGTTGAAGTGCACGCTATTCATACATCCGATCTGGCCAAGCAAGTCTTTTGCAGGAAACAATCATATGTTCGGGATAATAGATTCTCCGGGTAACATTTAAACTTCCTAAAATGGATATATATTCCGGCGGTCGCGGCCCTGGTACTAGACACACGCGTATAGTAGAAAAAAAACGCGAACGCGTCGGAGTTTGATAGCCAATTCCGCTTGCTCTGAATGGACTAAATCCAGGCCATTGAGTATCCAACCTGTGAGAACAGTCCTCATTGAGAGTTTATATTTGCCTTTATCTAGGCTGGACTATGCACAATTTTGCTCTCCCTTAATAATAATTACCTTGTTACCGTATTCCATGTTCTTCCCCCGTTCTTGCGCCCAACTACAGTGATCCCTCAGCCCAGCTGGGCGTGTCGCAATGCCTTCAAGAAAACCGAGTAAATACGGGTCCAAGTTCCGATCGAGTGCCGCATCATTCAACCCGAAGCGAACCAAGACAGTCGAGTTCTCTTCCCTCCGATCCACCGAAGCAACATCCCAAGATGAGAAGTTCGAGTCGATCCGGTTGGCTAACAGCATCGACGAAGCGCTGGGCTTCCCCCGCTTCGAATCTGGCGAGAAGAGAGCTGGATGGCTTATTAACATGCACAGTACGACAATAGAGGACCCGAATATTCCAGGAGGACGCGCTGGCGTAGATTACTACTTTCTGGAGGACGATGGAGGAAGCTTCAAGGCGACTGTGGAATACGACCCTTATTTCCTCCTCGCAGTCAAAAAGGGCCGTGAAGCAGAGGTTGAGGACTGGTGTCGAAGGACATACGACGGTCTGGTGAAGAAGATCAGGAGAGTAGAGAAAGAAGATCTCCAGTTGCCGAATCATTTACTCGGGCTCCGCCGGACCTTTCTCCAGCTGAATTTCGCGAATGTCAGCCATTTGCTGGAGGTTCGCAAGAGCCTTCTTCCACTGGCGGAGAAAAACAAGAAGAATGTTAATATGATGGATACTTACGTGGAGATCTCGAGGTTTGCTCCCACAGCATTGATTTCTAACTTTGAGCTAATCGCTTTCTCAGCGCAAACGCCGGATTCGATCTCTTTGATGACGAACTAACTAATGAGGCACGAACTAATGGCAATATGAATGCAAGCGATTTTATAATTGATATTCGAGAATACGATGTTCCTTACCATGTTAGAGTGGCAATTGATAAGGGTATGTAAAAGCCGGGTTTAAGATGAAAGAGACGACTAACAAGTGCGTTCAGATATACGCATTGGAAAGTGGTATATGGTGGAGGCAAAACACGGCGTTATTTCCTTGAAATGCTTAGAAGAACGACTCCAACGTGCGGATCCAGTTATTCTGGCGTTTGATATCGAAACCACAAAGCTACCTCTCAAGTTTCCCGACTCTGTAATCGACCAGATCATGATGATTTCGTACATGATCGACGGCCAGGGATTTCTGATTACCAATCGAGAAATTGTGTCAGAAGACATCAATGACTTTGAATATACACCGAAACCGGAATATAACGGACCCTTCATGATCTTTAATGAACCGAATGAAAGGGCCCTTCTAGAGCGCTTCTTCGAACATATTAAAGAGGCCAAACCAACCGTGATTGCCACATACAACGGTGACTTTTTCGATTGGCCTTTCGTGGAGGCTAGGGCAAGCGTTCTGGGAATCGACATGTACAAGGAGATCGGATTCCGCAAAAACAGCGAAGATATCTACCAAAGTGATCATTGCGTACATATGGACTGTTTTGCTTGGGTCAATCGTGACAGTTATCTTCCTCAGGGAAGTCGTGGTCTAAAAGCAGTGACAGTCGCAAAGCTCGGTTACGACCCTGATGAACTAGATCCTGAGCTCATGACTCCTTATGCGAGTGAACGACCGCAAACTCTTGCCGAATACTCCGTTTCTGATGCCGTCGCCACATATTATCTGTACATGAAATACGTCCATCCCTTCATCTTCTCTCTTTGTACAATTATTCCCCTAAATCCAGACGACACGCTACGCAAGGGAACTGGAACCCTCTGTGAGATGCTTCTGATGGTCCAAGCATATAAGGGCGAAATCGTCCTACCAAACAAGCACAAAGATCCTCCGGAGTCCTTTTATGAAGGACATCTACTTGAGTCCGAGACTTACGTTGGTGGACACGTCGAAAGTATTGAAGCTGGAGTGTTTCGAAGTGACATTCCTGTCACTTTCAGTATCGATCCTACTGCAGTTGATGAACTAATCCGAGACTTGGATGCGGCCCTGAAGTTTAGTATCGAAGTTGAAGAAAAAAAGTCGATGGATGATGTTGTCAATTACGATGAGGTCCGGAGCCAGATTGTGAAACTTTTGACTAACTTGAAAGAAAATTCACAACGAAACGAAGTCCCTTTCATTTATCACCTGGATGTTGCCTCCATGTACCCGAACATCATGATCACCAATCGACTTCAACCGGATTCCATGATTCAGGAGTCGAACTGTGCTGCTTGCGACTTCAACCGTCCTGGAAAGGTCTGCGACAGACGCTTACCGTGGGCTTGGAGAGGAGAATTCCTTCCTTCTAAACGCGACGAGTATAACATGATCCGGCAGGCCGTCCAAAATGAACGCTTCCCTGGGAAAACGAAGAAGAGTCCGATGAGGGCATTTAGTGAGATGAGCGCAGAAGAACAGGCCGGAATCGTTAAGAAGCGTCTCCAGGATTACAGCAAAAAGATTTATCACAAGATCCATGACAGCAAGACCATGGTGCGAGAAGCCATCATTTGTCAACGAGAAAACCCATTCTACGTCGATACCGTCCGTAGCTTCCGTGACCGAAGATATGATTTCAAGGGCCAACAGAAGGTTTGGAAGGGAAAAACTGAGGCCCTAAAGTCTGCAGGCGCGTCAGCTGCGGAGGTTGAAGAGGCAAAGAAGATGATTATCTTGTATGACTCTCTCCAACTAGCTCACAAGGTTATTCTGAATAGTTTCTATGGTTACGTCATGAGAAAAGGCTCTCGATGGTACTCTATGGAAATGGCTGGTGTCACCTGTTTAACCGGCGCCCATATCATCCAGATGGCTAGAGAACTCGTCGAACGAATTGGGCGACCACTGGAACTTGATACTGACGGTATTTGGTGTATGCTTCCGGGAACTTTCCCGGAAAATTTCTCATTCACTTTGAAGAACGGCAAGAAAGTCGGGATCTCCTATCCTTGTGTGATGTTGAACCATCTCGTCCACGGGAGGTATACAAATCACCAGTACCAAGAGCTTGTTGACCCAGCGGCTTTCAAATATGAGACACACAGCGAAAATTCCATTTTCTTCGAAGTTGATGGCCCGTATAGAGCGATGATTTTGCCGACTTCGAAGGAGGAGGACAAGAACCTGAAGAAGCGTTACGCAGTTTTTAACCACGATGGATCACTAGCAGAGCTGAAGGGGTTCGAAGTCAAGCGACGAGGAGAGCTGAAATTAATCAAAATCTTCCAAACTCAGATTTTCCGATTCTTCCTTGAGGGGTCGACATTGACAGAAACCTACGCTGCGGTTGCTAAAGTCGCGGATAGATGGCTGGACGTCCTTTATGAACATGGCTCTACACTCGCCGATGAAGAGCTTATCGAGCTTATTTCTGAGAACAGAAGCATGACGAAAACCCTCGAAGAATACGGCAACCAAAAATCAACATCAATCACGACTGCGCGACGCTTGGCGGAATTCTTAGGAGAGCAGATGGTCAAGGACAAGGGCCTGAACTGCAAGTACATTATCTCCGCGAGGCCAAGGAATACCCCCGTCACTGAGCGGGCTATTCCAGTGACTATCTTCTCGGCTGAAGACAGTGTTAAACGGTTTTTCCTGCGGAAGTGGCTGAAAGATGACCCAGGTGATATGGATCCCCGAACCGTGATCGACTGGGATTACTATCTAGAGCGTTTGGGATCTGTGGTGCAGAAGCTTATCACCATTCCGGCTGCGCTACAGAAGATCCGTAACCCGGTTCCCAGAGTCGCTCATCCAGACTGGCTACAGCGAAGGATCAATATAAAGGATGACAAGTTCAAGCAGGCGAAGATGACGGACATGTTTGGAAAGTCTGAGAAGAATCCATTATCTGCTCTATCGACGAACATCCTGGACCATCGCGTGCAACATTCGGACAATCTGGACGACGTAATGGCAAGCTCAATGGAGAAGCTAAAATCATCGTCCCCAAACAAGACCTCACAGAAGAGAAAACATCCTGAAGGTCTACCCAAAACATCCTTAGATCCTTTCGCCAGCCTTCCCGCGAACATGCCCTCAATATCAGAAGATTATGAGGGATTCTTGAGATACCAGAAGCAGAAATGGAAAATCCAGAAACAAGCTCGAGTGCGTCGACGGCAGCTCTTTGGTGAAAGGGCAAATACTGGTGGAGACTCTCTGAGCTATCTCTTTAGAAATCAAGCCGAGCTACTGTACATTAGTACCTGGCAGGTTCTACAGCTCGCCGAAACTAGCAGACCCGGAATTGTGCGAGCCTTTGTCCTGATCGACCGAAAGATTCACTCCCTTACAGTCAAGGTTCCCCGATACATTTACGTCAATTTGAAGCAAGATTCGCTCCCTGACGTTGATGTTCCAGAATGCGAAGTCGAAAAAGTCAATCACACATTACCAAATGGACATCCATCCGTTCACCTGTTCAAGCTAACGCTCTCCGAAGAGACATTCTTGCGGGAGGCTGACAAGATTGATGCCCTCCTGCAGCATCCCAGTGTCGAGGGCGTTTATGAGAAGAACCTTCCCTTGAACCTACGTGCAATGATGAAACTCGGAAGTATATGTACCTTCGACGAAGAGCAGCGGGGTGTTCTTGGGGAAGGATTAGATCGCGGGTTTGACCTTTCGACTTTGTGTCGTACAACTTCAGACCAGATGTATCTCCAAGATTCTCCCCTTGCCTATCATTACCTTTATCACGTCTCTTCCGGGGACAGGCAGATCTTTGCCATCTTCTCCAGCACGAAGAATGAAGCGAATGTCGTCATTCTCAATAGGGCAAGGGACGTCCAGGGTCTTCCGAATATTGATAAGATATATTCAGAGCTCTATTCGCGCAAGATGCAAGACATGTCAGGCGATCAGCCCCAGGGTGCATTCCAGTATCAGGAGAAGATCCACTTCAGGACCACACAAATCACGACCAGAAGGAAAGCCTATTTAGAGGTTGGTGACCTGATCAAAAAGCTCAGAAACGACGAGACCCATCCCGCTGTTATGATCGTACAATCGCAACAGAAAAGCCGTCTTTGCCATGACATCCCAATACTAAAGGAATACCCCGTCCTGCCCGTGAAACCAGAAGTCTCCGACATGAACCTCCCCCCCTTAGGCTGGCAAACATTTATTGCTAGAAGGCTGGTCACACATTATCTTTATCTCTCTTCTTGGGTCCAGCATCTTACTTTGCTGGCTCGATATGGCGACGTTCCTCTCTGCAACCTCGAGAATGACGACCCTCGGTTCCTCATTGACATCGCATACGCTCGGCGGCTTCAGCAAAACAACGTGGTTCTATGGTGGTCATCAAACCCAAGGCCCGATCATGCAGGGTATGAAAAGGATGACATTACTGGACCACTTGAAAGAGTTACCATGCCATCGGTTAATGTCCCAAACGCATATACCACCGTATGTATTGAATTAGAAGTCCGGAACCTGGCGATCAACACCATTTTGACTTCCTCGATCATCAACGAAACGGAAGGAGCCAATTCGCTCTTGGCTCCATCTGAACCATCTGCTGAGGGTACGGGCTCCGGTGTTCTTTATTCGGAAAAAGCCTTCGCGTCTGCCGGGGCCCTTGTGCTGCGTGAAATGGTCAAGAGCTGGTGGTCAGAGGCCTGTCAGGGAAACAACATGGCCGATATTATGGTGCAGCATCTGATCCGATGGGTAGAGAGTCCAGTGTCATGCCTTTACGATCGTTCACTCCACCACTATGTACGGATGTTGTCGAAGAAGTCATTTCAACAGCTCATGGCGGAGTTCAGACGAGTCGGATCAAACGTCGTTTTCGCCAGTCCCACGCGGCTCTTACTTCAAACAACCAAAACGGAGGTAGGAAATGCGTATGCTTACAGTCAATACGTTTTGAAATCTATCCGAGCAAATCCGTCATTCCACTTCATCGATCTCGAAATTAAAGAGTACTGGGACTACCTGGTCTGGTACGACGAATACAACTTTGGAGGTAAAGGATGTCAAGAAGTTGTGGAAGCTGAAGAGCAGCCGCTTGAAACAGTCATGCATTGGCAACTCAGTCGTTTCCTACCGGCACCTATGCAGAGTATCTTCCACGATTGGGTGGTGGAGTATATCGAACTGATGCACGGTTTTAAGCGACCCGACCCCGAAATTTCATCTACCCCGCGAATGACCCAAATTCCCATCGGACAGCCAAATGGTGAAGACAATGAGGAGCTTTCTGCTGTTCTTGCAGAGAAATTCTCGAAGCCGCTCAAGAAGCAAATATCCGGCCTCATACGCCGTCAGCGGGAAGAACTTCTACACCCGGAGCTTGCGTCTGACTACGCCTTCCCGGTTCTTCCTGGTGTTTTATCAGACCCTAGCGATGATAAGCGCAACCCTGTGCTTGAGCTTGTCAAACTCTTGATGCAGGTTCTGAGTCTGTCCAAAATAACAACCCTCGAGACACGACTTTTACGCCGCGAGCTACTCGCTTTGTTTGAAGTTCGGGAATTCAGCAAAGAAGGTCGATTTGAGAACCCAGGTGCCAGCCTCAAACTTCCAGAGCTAACGTGCAGTGCCTGCTGCCTAATCCGCGATCTCGACTTGTGTCGTGATGAGGATGTGCTTCCGGATCCGGGGTCTGAACCAAACACTGCTGCGTCGAAACCCTGGCGCTGCCCCTTCTGTCAAACAGAATACGATCGACTCGCTCAGGAAGAGATGCTCATCGGTCACGTGTACGGCATGATAGTCGGATGGCAAACCCAAGATCTCAAATGTTCGAAATGTGGATGTCTCAAAGTTAATGAGTTCATGGAGCATTGTTCGTGCAGTGGTTCCTGGACGGAGACGGTGGACAAGGCGGATATTAGAAAGAAGCTACGTGTGCTTGGTAGTGTTGCCAAATTCCACGACCTTAAACTATTAGAGAACGTGGTTGAGGACGTTCTCAGTCAAGTTTGAGGATTATTTTAATATTTTATTTTATTCACTTTGTTCTAGCATAGTTGGGTGCGATTGGATGATGGGTGTTCAGGTTTGTCATTGTATACCGTTGGACTTTTGTATATGGTTGAGTATTATGATAATGATGATGTTCTATAAGACTTTCTCTGATCTTGACTATATATGTACTCAGTCCCTATTCATCTGGGTTGTTTAGATGTATAGTAACTTGATAGAGATCTATACTTATCTTCCTAATCCTATATATTTATACAGAGGATATATACTTATTTACTTAAGTAATAGTTTAGTACAGAGTAATGTATGAAATGGTATGAAACAGTGTGAAACAGTGTGAAGAATGTACAGCTCGCCAGGTCGCCAGGTCGCCAGGTGGCTACCAAATTTGACGAGTTGGGACCAGGTAGGACTGGTAATGACCAAATTCTATTACCATACATGACAATACTAGTGGTAAGTTAGTAATATATTCTATAAAGCTGCGGGATTCAAAATCACCTATCTGGTAGTACTAGTTGTGACTGGTCAGGACCAATTCAAGTGGTAAAATACCACCTGGCGAGACAAGATTTGGTATGGTATACTTTTCATGGTATATTACAGTAGAATATATATCTAGTTATTACTAGTAATATCTAGTAATTATTAGAATCTCTAGTTACTACTATCTAGATAAAAGATATAGATTATTAGAAAAGATTAGTATATATTTATTTTTATTAATTATAATTAGAAGTTCTAGTACTACTAGTAATTACTAGTAAAATTAGAAATTCTAGTTATTACTAGTAATATCTAGAAGTTCTAGTACTACTAGCCCTACTAGTAATAACTAGAACTTCTAATTTTACTAGTAATTACTAGTAGTACTAGAACTTCTAGATATTACTAGTAATAACTAGATATATATTCTACTGTAATATACCATGAAAAGTATACCATACCAAATCTTGTCTCGCCAGGTAGTATTTTACTACTTGAATTGGGCATGACTGGTCATAACCAGTACTACCAGATAGATGATTTTGAATCCTGCAGCTTTACAGAATATATTACTGACTTACCACTAGTATTGTCACATATGGTAATGAAATTTGGTTATTACTGGTCCCAACTAGTCAAATTTGGTAGCCACCTGGCGACCTGGCGACCTGGCGAGCCGCAACCTCCAGTGTGAAACAGTGTGAAACAGTACAGTACAGTACAGTACAGTACAGTATGGTAAGAACTCTTGAAACCCCCCCTCTAAATAACTGCAACTTCTACCACATCTTGGCTTCTTCGCCTTCTATTGTTCTTGAGACACCCTTGATTGGCTTTGCCTATAAATTAATTACCCTCGATATCCAGTTCTTCTCCTTGCGCCTTTTATCACCTATCTTCTCCCATGATCTGCGCCTAGTCGAGAGGTGTTGATCCAGCTTTCCTGCGCTACACCGGAACCCCGCAGTCCGTAAGTATTTGAGAAGAAGAACAGCAGAGAGAACACTGCAAGATATCGCATTCTTTCTCTCTGCCCCAGTTGTCCCTTGGTCAGTCTTCATAGTCTTCTCAATTCTAGGCCGTATAGCTGCCTTGGATTCTACCCCACGCTTCCTTTGTTCGAGTCTGTTCCGCTCTGACTGTACCGCCTCAGGGTAGACATCGTGTTATCTGTCGCCTCGAGTCTCGCCAAGGCCAAATCGAATTGTATACCTCGCACCCCGAGTCACTGACGTCCGTTTATTTCTGCGGCAATGGCATCCCAAGCTCAAGCTGGCCAGCGGCCAAAGGTTCAGCCCTGTCGATATAAAACTGGAAAAACCCTAGGAGCAGGCTCCTACTCGGTGGTCAAGGAATGTGTACATATCGATACGGGTCGATATTATGCAGCGAAAGTGATCAATAAGCGGCTGATGCAGGGGCGTGAACACATGGTAATTGCTGAGTTCCCACCACCCGCGTCTGTGGAGTAGGATGGTTCCTAGACGACGAGGTTTCTCTCCAACAGCGAGGGACTATCGGCTGAGGTATAATCACAGGTTCGGAATGAGATCGCAATTTTGAAGAAGGTGTCGATGGGTCACCAAAACATCTTAACTCTCGTGGATTACTTCGAGACAATGAATAACTGTACCGTATCCCTATTCTGTCGTGTTAGATGGTTGCCTGCCGATGAAGACTGATTCTCTTTCCTCTTGATAGTGTACCTGGTTACGGACCTCGCGCTTGGCGGAGAGCTTTTCGACCGCATCTGCCGTAAAGGAAGTTACTATGAGTCCGATGCCGCCGACCTTATTCGTGCCATCCTCTCTGCGGTGGCCTATCTCCATGACCATGGAATCGTCCATCGCGATTTGAAACCAGAGAACCTCCTATTCCGCACGCCCGAAGACAATGCAGACTTGCTTATTGCGGATTTTGGTCTGTCTAGAATTATGGACGAGGAGCAGTTCCATGTCCTCACGACGACTTGTGGTACTCCGGGATACATGGCCCCTGAGATCTTCAAGAAGAGCGGCCACGGAAAACCTGTGTATGGTTTTTTCCCCCCCCCTTTACGGATTTCTCGCCATTTCTGCGACTATAGAGAATTGAAATAGCTGACTAGAAAACAGTGATATCTGGGCCATCGGTGTGATTACGTACTTCTTACTATGTGGATATACCCCCTTTGATCGTGACTCCAACCTGGAAGAGATGCAGGCCATCCTTGCAGCAGACTACTCATTTACCCCTCTCGAATACTGGCGAGGGGTCTCGCAAACGGCAAGAGGCTTCATCAAAGCCTGTCTCACCGTCGACCCCGACGCCCGCATGACCGCTCACAAAGCCCTCCAGCACCCTTGGGTCAACCCTCCTTACGACACCACCAGCGACGCCCTCGGTTCTGGCGAGGATCTCCTCCCAACGGTGAAGAAGAACTTCAACGCCCGCCGCACTCTGCACAAAGCCATCGATACGGTTCGTGCGATCAACAAGCTCCGCGAAAGCGGTGGCCTCATGATGGACGGCATGATGAGCGTCGACCCCAAGCCCGAACATGTCAACGGGAACGAAATCGTTCCTGACCATGGACATCCGAACAGCGCCCGCCATGATCCCATGGAAATTGATAGTCGCGGGAATGCCCGTGGGCAGACGGAGGCGCAAATCCGAGAACAGGAGCGAAGGGTCAAGGAAGCAGTGGCTGGGCTGTGGAGCAGAACTGTAAAAAGGACTGAATGATTAATGAACCCCCCTTTTTTTTTTTTTTAATAGAAAACAACCATACCAATCCTTGATATTGATGCTAATACCCCCTTCCTCTGAATCAACAGTTGCTCCTTTTATTATTTGTCGTGTTTGTCCTTTGGTACATGGGCCCTTTAATTTTTTTTTTTTCCTACGTAACTGTATTGTTCTTGTCATGTCAGTAATAAATATGGGCAGTTATTGTTTATTTGCTTGCATGTATGTCTGCTTTAGCTGTGTAGTAAATATTTATATTTCTTATAGCATTATTATTTATTTATGTATATTTTCCTGGAAAGGACTGAATCCTCCAGAGTTATTAATATATTATATTATTATCAGCTTTCTCTCATCATGTTACATGCCTCCATTTACGATGAGCATTCTCCATGTTGCCTACAAGATTGCACTGCACCTGAATGAGTGCTCCATTGAGATACTAGGAAGGATTTAAGCCAGTTCATTAAGTGTAATCCCATTATAGCATGTTAGGTTTAAAGCCCGAAACCCTGTTAGTATTAACCAAAAATTAAAACAGACGCCCAACCGTCTCATAGCTGCCGTTCACACTATTATCGCCATTATGAATGGCTCTTATCAAATGCATAACTACTCGGAGACAGAAGATAAGGTCGCCTTTATATACCCTCCCCTTCTCGCATTGGAACCTCGCAAGATATTATTCCATTCCCGCAACTGGGGACAACAGGTTCTCACTCCCATCTCCAAGGGACATCACCCACTGCCGCCATTCCTGCCACTCCGAGTAGCTAGCAGAAGATTTGAGCCCTTGGTACTTGACTGCTTTGAAGTCTGAGACCTGGTCCCACGGTGCTGTTGAGCTAGGGTTGCTGCTAGGGCTACTGCCACCTCGAAGGAATCTCCTTGCGGTACTTTCGGATGCGCCGTCCCAGCCGGCTTTGCGCATCAAACTCTTCACGGTTTCCTCTTTGGTCCAGCCTTGTTCGACAGGGACGTCAGGTAGATAGGTCGCACCGTAGCGTCTCCCGCGGTGGATGAAGGATATACGTATGCCATGAATGCCGAGGGTCCAATCCAATGCATTAGTACAAGGTTTAAAACTGCCTAGTAGAGTTAAAGAGCACGACAGTGAAGGAAGGAGAGATGCTGGAATTGGGGAAAACCGAGTATCATCAAAGGCACTGCAGTTTTATTTTATTAGCTCTTGAAGATACCCGGCAAGTAGTTGATCTGTGCGGGGTTGGAAGGCACTATTACGTACGACGTGAGAGCGTAGGACTTGAGACCAAAGGCGAGTTCTTGCGGCTCAAACGTGCCAATACATCCCCGCAAGGATTTATGGCCACTCCTCGACAAGGTCTCCCACGTCACGAACAGTGGGTATTTCTGGTCGCTTAGCTTCTGCTGTTTCAAGCCCGACACATCAGACCGCGTGGACACCGAGCTTGGCGTGGGAACGCTAGAGAAGAGGGAGTTGGAGGAGTTGTTGTTAGATGCTGTAGACGGCGTGGTGGATACACTAGACTTTGATGACGCCTGGGGTTGCAGACCGTCGGTACTCGGAATTTTCATGGTTTGAGGGCGAGACGTTGCAGACGCCCGTTGGTCTATGTCCTCACCGTCGTTTACAATATGTCGGCCAGGGACATCGCTCTCCCCCAAGGAAGCCGATTCACTGCTGTCCTGAAGCGCAGCAAATTTTCGGAACCGCTCATATCTTTCCCATAGCTCTTCAACAGCAGTGAGAGTGATGGGGTCATCCCCATTGTACGAGGCAGCAAGGCTCTCAAAGCAATAGTAACAGTGAGCTGGAGTTGCCATCTTCAACACCGAACCAAGCGGAACTAGACACCAGCTAATAACAAGAATGCTATACGTGGTCTTTTTGGGTCCGAGATGGCTAAAGTGGTTGCGGCAATTCTAAATTAAGTACCAGTGCTGGCAAGTATATCACTGGACAGCACCAAGTAATTCTACCACCACCACGGCTTACTTAACCCGGATCAGATACACGGAGAAAATCAAACGCTGCGTGGGAGGCTTTCAAGTGGGCTTGAGCTGGATTGGCCTCATAGGAAACAGCAAAGGGAGCAGCGTGTTGCACAGACTGAGGGGGGTTGAGACCGTGGTGGGGTTGTGGAAGGGAGAAAGGAAGGAAGGAAGGAAAGAGGAGACAAAGAGGGGAATTGCTGACTCTCTACAGATAACAGCCGGCGATAAGATAAACAGACACGTGATCTGATGGTTTATCTTATCTCTCGTGATATCATCTGCTTTCCCTTTTAGGAAATCACGCAATGCTTCATGGTTCCAAATCGAATAGGTACGAGGCTACAGGGCTACCACAGCAGAAGACAAGGTATTCATATATGATTTAATTTTTGGGGATCCCGATCGCGGAACCGTTATTGGTGCCGATCGTCCTTGGGGACTGGCAGGTTCAGCATCGAAAGCATATTCCCCGCCGGACCTGCCGAGCCAGCCTGGCCTTGAAGACTCTCCAACAGGTTCTTTACTAGATTAATATTGATGTCCTCCTCACCAACTTCGGGTTCATGACTCTCTTCTGTCTCTAACCCCCCTTGAGATACGGCTCGTGTCCCTTTGGGATTGTCCCCGGGGCGGTTCAGGTCGAGAACTCCGGTTCCTCGTAATTCGGCCTCCATCTCTTTGGATAACTGCTGTATCTGCTCCGTATCGTCCTCGGATTCGGTATCTAGCTCCTTCACTCGGTCGAGTTGTGATGGCCCACTGAGACCGGGCATTGATGGTAGGCCCATCATTTCTTTCATCATCCTAGAAAACTCTTCCTCGTCGAAAGACGCTTCTTTATCCTCTCCATCGCTGTCAATTTCGTCCTCGTCATCGTCGACATCGGAATCTGTGTCGTAATCGTCAAAGAAGTCGGCACCGTTAAAGTCAGCTGAATCATCATTCAGGAATTTCTCGAACTGGGCAACAATTCGCTGGAGATTTTCCTGGGCATTTGAGTCGCCAAATGTGCCAGCAGCTTGTTCCCCCCCACTTGTATCCTTCCTCTTCCCCTTCAACTCTTTGTCTAAGTCTTCAAAGCTGATATCTAACCACTTCTCATCATCTTCACGCTTATCCCATGTCTCCATCTCTTCATTTGTGGGCAGCTCCTCATCTCCAGTGTCTAGATCCTCCAGGATTAACTTCATCTCCCGTACAGACGACTTGTCCTGGTTGTGGGGGTCGCTGAGGAGCATTTCAAAACCACATGTAACTTTCATGCCGGTCTCAGCGCGATCATACAATAGTCGGTCGTCGGCCGTGGGTAATTTTCCGACCCAAGATTTTGGGGCTGGGAAGTCTTGACTCTTGACCTGTGCATAGCCAACTCGGGTGAAGCGGGTGCTCACTGTAACGAAATCCTCGGGCTTGAAGACAAGACTGTCTGTATCCTTGGCGCGAAGAGGCCTTAATGCGATGGGGTCTCTGAGATAGAAGGCTTCAACAGCCGCCGAAATGTAGGCGGGTTTTTGATGTAAAAGAAATGCAACTTTGCGGGGGATGGTTACTAGAGCTGAGTGGAGGTTCTCGCTGATTTGCTTGGGATAGTTGCGCAGGCGGTAGAAGGCTTCTTCCTGGACCATAGCTGAGCGCATAAGTCGACCGGGCTCCCCCATTAGTATTTGCCTTGATTCCGACAATGATAGTCTCTCTGTCACCCTATTATTCTCTTTTTTCGGCTTGATTATGACGAGTTCTCCTTGGTTGATCCACACCTATTGACTAGTCAGTCTTACCCTAAACAAGAACGCGGGATTGGCAAAACGAACCCTATTATCGGCTATATCGGGTTCCAGCCATGAAGGCAGAGCTCCGGCGGCCTCTACTAGGAGAAATTGACCATCACTGTCTGTTACTCTAGCCCAGATATCCTTATGTTTCTTTGTCAATTCGCGGAGGAGATACACTATCACCCATTCATCTTCAATCGAGTCTCCGAAATTCGATCGCCCGCTCAGTGAGGTTACACCTGTGCGTTCCTTAGTTAAAAATATGTTGGATGCACCTAGAAAACAGGAAGCTAGAGCGTACCCTCGTCTTTCGTAATCTCGAGCCGAAACCCCTCCCTTTGCCAGATATAGTCTTTTAGGAGATCCTTTACCAGTTCCGCTGCAGTCCTTTGTACTTCCGTCAATCGCGCTCGCGTCTCTGCAACCTCATCGATCGTGGCGGGGGCGGGGTTTGGAGGGATATAGTATAGTGAGTATTCGACGCAATCATCTGGCAGTTCAGGCTTGGGAATTGGGCGGAAAGTGGACTTGAACCACTCAATATCCTCCTGCGACATAGGCGCCATGACTTCAGCCCTTTCAACAAGCACGCCAAGTTGAACAGAGGCAGTCTGTTTCTTTCCCCCTGTGTCTCCAGAAATTGGCCGCTAAAATTACGGATGGTATGACTTCATACCAAACGAGACGCGGAAAATCCCGCGGCCCGAAACCTGCCGCCATTCTACGCTAAGCCGTTTTGAATTAGATGTCAACAAGACGGAAGATTATCCTCACCGCCCAAAACACGTCTATCTCATACTGCATCCTGCTTCTTCTATTGTCGTTCAAGTTCCTCTACTGTGTTGTTGGGGATGGTTGCGCGCTGGATGGCACAGGATTATTATATTTTTTTTTTTTCGCAACGACTGAATTTAGACATTTCTCGCGCGTTTGGCCTTGAAGATGGCATACCCGTATATCGACACCCCGCGCACCGAAGTGGACGCAAACGCGACTTACCTGACCAACGGCTATCGCAGCGTGGGACGACACAATTTATCGGCGTTGGATTCGGTAGAAAATTCGTTTCAGACGCCATCGAAGGATGATGATGTGCTCAAAGTCATGGGTGATGGACGAAGACGCAGCACTGGAGGCTCGAAGCTCAACACACCGCGTGCGACGACCGCAACCAAGCCCACCAGAAGCGCGTTGAACAGCCGACAACAACTTCCATCAACGGCGGTCCCAAAGGGCGAGTTCACTCCGATGTTGCGAAGCGCCGTTAAGAATAATTACATGAAAAATATTGCTACGACTCGAGGAGTAGGTGGACCGAAAACTCCGGCTTACCTGCGAGCAAGCTATCGCAGCAATGTGAACACACCGGGCCTACCGGCTATGGATATGACGGGAATCGATGAGGAGGACGCGACTGTTGATGACTCTACACCACTCCCACAAGTCGCCAGCAGTAGCGTCCAGAGCACACCGCTCGCTGGACTTGCTAGTAGGAACGGAGGCGGAGTGCTAAATGACGGAAGCAATATGACGCTGAAGGAGCAAGAAAAGGTGAGGAAGCAGGACAGCTCGCGGTAATTGAACTTATGCTGAGTGCTAACTTGCGCAGATCATCGATAAACTCGACAAGGACAACTTCGGCTTGAAATTAAAGATTCATTTCCTGCAGGAACAACTAGAGAAAGCTGGCCCGGCTTACAACCAAGCCGCACTGGTGGAAAACACAGAACTCAAGGTCTCGAAACTCACGATGCAACGCGATATTTCACGATACAAGAAGAGTCTTCAACAAGCCGAACGCGACCTAGAAGCCTATCGTCAACAATTTCAAGAACTCAGGGAGAAAATGCGCAGAAGACAGACTGATGAGACGATACAGAGAGATATGGACTTGATGAGAGAGGAAATCGAAAGCCGGGATCAACGGGTGAGGGATCTTCAGGAACAGCTAAGAGACGTGAAGGACTCCCAATCTCAGGAGTTCGATAAGCTTCGAGATGATATTGAAGACCTGGAGGCTTCTCTGAGGGAGAAGGATCGCCTCATCGAAGAGCGAGAAGAGGAAATCGAAGAATTGAAGGATAAGGGCAGCCAAGAAAATGACGCACTCTCTGAGCTAGAATCAGAGCTCCGACGTGCGAGGGAGCAGCTAGAGGAACTGCAAGAGTCCCTTGAAGAGGCAAAATATGAGGCTAGGCAAGCCAGGAACGCCCAAGAACAGGCTGAAGAGGAAAAAAAACAAGCAGATGAGAATCTCCAAGAGCTCCACGATGAGATGGCGAATAAGTCCATTAGCACCAACGGCCTAACTCGACAATTGGAGGAAAAATCTGGGAAGCTCGAGGAAGAAATCAGTCAACTCCGTCAAGAGAACACTGCGCTCAAAGAGGGACTCGAATCTCGGACTCGAAAAGAGATTAGCCTCGAAGAGCAGACCCAGAAGGCTCAACAAAGTCTGGACGAGGCAAAACAGAAATTACTTGAAGACCTTGCTCAAGTCAGACGAGAGCGGGAGCTGGCTTATCAGGAACGCGACAGGTTATCTGCTCAACTCCAAGCCGCGCAGGATGATATCCAACGCAAACAAGAGGAGAGGGACCTACTTCATACTCGCCATCATGCACTCACGGATGAATCGGGCAATCTGCAAGGTGAACTAGCCAGATCGCAGTCTGAGATTCTCGAACTCCGCCAAACGCTGGATGCTGAGAAAGAACGCTCAGCGGAAAATATGGAGAATGTACGTTCCCAATATCTCGAAGACATTGAGCGATTGCAAGAAGAGATCGAGGGCCTACACCATGAGATTGAAGACAAAGAAGGCCGGTTTGCACTTGAGGAAGACCGATGGGAAAGCACAAAGCGCAGCCTACAACTTCAGAAGGACAGGGCGGAAGACCAAGCGGCTGGTTTCAAGCGAACCATCGAAAAGCTCGAGCAGGTTGAGTATACTTTAACAGGAAAAGAAGCCAAGCTTCAAGACGTTATTGATAGTGAAAAAGAGCGGCACTTTAATGCGGAGGCTGTTCTCAGCCGCCAGGTGAAGGAATTGAACGATGATTTGTCCTCGAAGCGGGAGGCTATCGATCAGTTGCGAAGCGAAGCTCTCTCCGTCAAGGAAGAGCTTCGTCTTGCGAGACGTGCAGAGTCGAACCTTAAAGAAAAAATACAAGCCTTGGAGGACGAGGTCGTGGTGTTGCAGTCAAGCCTGGAGGAAGAACAACAATACGCCAAGGGCCGGGTACAGAAAGGATCAGCCGAGCAGGAGGGCCAGTTGCAGAAGATTGTGGGCGAAAAGCAAAAGCTTCGCGACCAATTGGCTAATGCACACGTTGAGTTGCATGATTTGAAGGCGATCAAGACCGAGATCGAGGCCGAGCGCGATGAGCTTCAGGTGCAACTCCAACAAGTTCAGAGCCAAGTTGAGGACACGACAAAATTCGATAAAGAAAAGGTTGAGCTCCGGAAGTCCAGCCTCCGAGTAGAGAGTGAGCTCAAACGACTTAAAGATGACAAATTAACGCTCTTGGAAACTAAGGAGTCACTTGAGCAGCAGCTCAGTTCTGAAATTGAGCGAGCTGCCTTGGAGGAAAATCGTCTTTCGGCTGAAATCGAACAGCTCCAGGACAAACTGCACACTACCTCCGGTGGCAGAGATCGAGAGCTCGCTTTGGCGAAGAGTAAACTCAGCCGCTTCGAAAGGCGCATCCACGAGCTGGAGGAGCTCCTCGAGCAACCGCCACCGGTTGATGCTGAGCAGCCAGGTGCTGCAGCGGACCTGTCAGCCCTTCGTCATAATTTGGACGAGGTTCGAAAACGAGAGAAGGCGCTCCTTCAGCGTGAAGCTGACCAGAAGTCCTCTATCCGTACTTACAAGTCTCGGGTCGTCGAGCTCGAAAGAGAGCTACATGACGCCCTGATCAAGAAGTACGAGATCCAATCGCCTTCGTCATCCCCGTCCAATAAGTTCCATGAAGAGGTCCGTAATCTACGAAAGCAGTTGTCTGACGCGCACCGATCTCTGAGGGAATTGAAATCGAAGAACCATGGCCTTGAACGAGCAGCCATGCGCGAAGAAGACCAGCGCGATCTCCACGAATTGCTCAAGCAATCTACCCTCGAAGCCGAGACTTTGGCACTCCAGGTATCTGAAAGAGAAGCTCAACTCAGCTCAACTCAAGCCCAAATGCGGAGGATCCGCGACGAGCGTGCATCCTGTGCGCGCAAGGCCGAGTCAGCGGCCAAGGAGCTCGAGCTGCTTCACGATCGCTACAAACAAGCCATGGAGAAGGCAGGTGCTAAGGGAGGGGATCTCAAGACCAGGCACGAGAAGGAGATTTTGGGGCTGGGCAAGGAAATTCTCTGGCTTCGTGCTCGCCTGAAGCGCGAAGAAAAATTCCGTCGCGATCTCGCCTGGAGCAAGGGTCTGATGGAACTTGGGGAGCGTGTTCGGGTTGCCTGGTTCGTCTATCCCATCGTTGAATCTCACTCGGAACTAACTAATCTTTCTTTCTTTCTTTTACAGTAACGAAGCGGACCTCAGAATGATTTCAGAGATGGGAGTCAAACCCCGTGACCGTAGCCAAATCCGCAGTCCTCACGCAAAGCTCAAGACTGCCGTTTCCATGGTCAAGGCTATTGTCCGCATGCAAAGAATGGGACGCGAGTGGAAGAAAGCCAAAAAGATCGGCGAGGGCTTGAAACGAGCAAAACACGAAGTGATCAAGCGGAGAGAGACTTCAGCCAAGTAAGTACATGCATGGGACATGGGAGATGCAGTGGGTGTTTCCTATAACGATGGCTCTATTTTCTTCTCTTTGTCTCTGTCTCTGTCTTTTTCTCTTTTTTTTTATTCATTTTTTTTTTGTTTCATGTGTCAGCCTACAATTCCCTGTTTATATTTCCTACATTATGATTCCCCCCCCCCCCCTCTTTTCGCCAGCGACGCCTGTATTAGATTATCCTGCTTGGCTTGGTTTTGCTGTTATTCTTGTTCCCTTGAGGGCGTCTGGGATTGCATGATTTGTGCCCTTGTACGGGTAGCACGAATACAATACGTAAGGAAGGAAGGAAGGAAGGAAGGAAGTTTTGTTTTTTTTTTTTTGTTTTTTATATTCAAGTTGGATGATGTGCATATTTTACAATGAGAGATGTCAATTTGCCTTTCCCCCCCCTCTCCTCCCGTCTCTTCTCTTGTCTTCTATAGTCTTCTATAGTCAAGAGTTTTAGTTTCTGATGATGACAGGCCTGTCGCTGGGCTCTATTCTATACCTTTATTCTCTCATTGTGCTATATGAAACAGGGCTAGCTACATGATATGACATATTGTTAGTTTATATATATACCCAGAATAGAGGAATAACAACAAATACGCGTATCGTCGAGGTACGTTGCCCATTGTATTGTCTTTATTTTTTTTTAAAAAAAAAATTGATTGATGGGGGTTTTTTTTTTGCTCTTGGGAGTAGAACTAAATCCGGCCTCGAATCAACTCATGGTTATATCTCTTGGAGAAGATACAATGGGGGTTGATGAAGGCTTTGAAAAAAAGGCCAAAGAAAGAAAGAAAAGAAAAGAAAAGAATACAAATTCAACGCCTCGCCTGGCCTAGCCTTGCCCGACAACGATAACGCTTCTAACACCAGATATGTAAGGCAAAATAGCACAAAACCAGATACAACGATGATATGCGAAAGAACATGGAGCGATGAGACGAGTAGACAAAAGGGTGGGTGCAAAGGATATGTGATGGGGTGTATAGGGGAGGAAATGTCGTTTCTTTCGTGGAGTATAATAAGAGCAAAAAGGGGGAGGGAAAAGATTCGAGCGGAAAAGCAGACATAGCCAACAAATAGGGTAGGTGAACGTAGACGTAAAACATAATTTATGAAGACACACAAGTCTATCAGATTCATTACCAGAGAGATGATGAACAAAAAATGATCAGCTGAGTCCTCATAGAGGAGATATGTGTGTGTGTGTGTGTGTGTGTGTGTGTGGATTAAGCCCCCTCGCTGCCAAACTCCTGGGTCCATTCCGAGTTTCGTTTCAGATCTTCTTGGCTGACAGTTGGTCGGGAGTTGCGGACGGCTTTGACAAAGTCTTTGAGGATAAGAGGCGGCTCTAGGAGCTGTTCTGCTTCGACGTCCTCCCACCTCATTTCGACTGCGCCGCTGTCACCGGGTGAGCATGGGGTTAATTTCTCTGCACCTTCGTGCATCACCTGCAGCCTGAGTTAGCAATTGATGGGACAAATGTCCATCTGGGGAGTGGCATTGCATTTACCTTCTTATAGTGGGTTGCTGTCTGAATCTTACGGATAGGTTGCATCAGGGCATCCTGGACGGCAATACTGATATCGCTGCCGGAGTAGCCTTCGCTCATCTCTGCCAGGGTTCGGTAGTCCGCCTGTGTCATCTGACATGGGGTCTGCCCGACGGCGAGCATGAACATCTTCATGCGCGCATTCATGTCAGGAAGGCTGATGTGAACTCTCCGTTGGAATCTGCGGCGAATGGCAGCATCGAGCTGCCAGGGGATATTGGTGGCTCCAAGAATCAAGACGCCTCTCGAATCTTTACCCACTCCGTCCATCTGGACCAGAAGTTCGGTCTTAATACGGCGGGAAGCCTCGGATTCTCCCTCACCGCGAGGTCCACAAAGAGCGTCAACCTCATCGATAAAGATAATAGCCGGCTTGTTTTCTCGAGCCATGTTGAAAAGTTGCTTCACCAGCCTGCAATGAGAGGATTAGAAAAGTTCGCGAACCAGGCACACCCCATTAAAGATAACCAGCCATACCTTTCACTCTCACCCATCCATTTCGACACCAGGTCACTACTGCTAACACTGAAGAATGTGCTGTTGGCTTCTGTCGCAACGGCCTTGGCGAGATGCGACTTTCCAGTGCCGGGAGGACCATAGAGCAAAATGCCCTTCCATGGTTGCCGTTTTCCTGTAAACAGATGTGGAAATTTGATCGGAAGAATGACAGCCTCCTTCAGAGCCTCCTTCGCACTCTCCAAACCCGCAACATCCTCCCATTTCACGTTTGGCTTGTCGGAGAGAATAGCACCGGCAAGGGCAGAGCGCAACTTCTTGGAATCTGCATCTTCATCATCATCGTCTTTCCTAAACATCCACCAACCCCGCAAAAAGGAAAGGTCAGCAAAAACCCAAAACAAACAACCAAACCAACAGGTGTCACTCTCCAAGTAACAGGATGAACAAGACCACATACCCACTACCCTTCCCACTCCCATGCGCCACTTTCCCTCCATTAGCGCCTATCGCGCTGGGCTTCTTTCGATTATCTGCTTGGGCTAAGTGATTCTTGAGTTTCTCCGCGCGATCCATATACTCGCCCGTCTTGGCACGAATCATCTCCTTTGACTTGGGATTCTTCTCCCATTTTAGGGCCAGCATAAATAGCTCCAGTGCGGAGTAATAGAGCTGATAGGCCTTCTCGTATTCGCCTTCATTATCGCTCTCGATAGCCTTTTTGACCGTGTCAATCGCCCGTCCAAGGAAATCGGTATTGCTCATTCTGGCTGACGGGGAGGAGGAAACGAGGGTCGTTGATATGGTTGGATATCCTAATGTTGCCTGGTTGGCTAGGAAGATGGGAACGAGACAAAACGAGGGAACTTTGAAGTGGAAGTCCGCAAAGAATAAGGAACTAAAAGCGAAAGCACCGGTAGACAAATAGATAGATAGATAGACAGCCAAGGGAAGAGGAAGAATGCAATAGCAAAAATGTTGTTGTACTTCTTTCTTGGAGAGAGAACTCCAGTCGCTGGGAAAGGCGGCGTTGGTTTACCGGCTGCTTTTCTGCCGCCTCTACATATATGTATTCTGTCGCTTTCCCCTCTCTCGTTACAGTGTACTACTTACTTCCTTACTCTCTGACGACCATTATTCTTTTTCTTCTTGTTCCCGATATATCATGGCTGATCCACAGAAGCAGCTCCAAGCTCTTTCGGATGAATTCCAAGCTCTCCAGACCGGTATGTTTGTTATTGCGCCCGCACAAGAGGAGAGAACTTCTCGTTCCCAACCCCTCCTCATTATTCGTCCTTCCGAGACTAATAGTCAATCCTCAATTACAGAACTAGACGGTCTGGTCGAAGCGCGCCAGAAGCTGGAATCACAACAGCAGGAGAACAAGAGCGTCCAAAAAGAGTTCACCTCGTTAGACGATGACGCAAATATCTACAAGCTGGTCGGGCCTGTGCTGCTGAAGCAGGATAAGAGCGAGGCTATGATGTCCGTCAATGGACGTCTAGAGTTTATTGAGAAGGAAGTGTATGTTTTTATGGCTAGATCGGGGGGGGGGGGGGCGCAGGGTGGTGTGGTTCCTGCGCCAGGAGTGGCTTCGCTAACTGAGATGTTTAGCCAACGGATTGAAGGCCAGATCCAGGAGAACCAGGACAAGAGTGACAAGAAACGGACGGAGGTATGTTTTTTCTTGGTGACTCAACGCTCTCTATTTTGGATTGAATTCTTATTGTTTGTTTTAGATTGTGCAATTCCAGAGCCAGGTTCAACAGGCGGCTGCGGCATCTGCTTGAACTCAGCTGGAAGTTGAACTGGAGTGATTTTTTTTTTTCGATAAGACACTTGGCTTCGTGCGATATATCACGCCCAAGTTGATCTCGAGCAAAAGGCTAGAATGAAGGAAATACACGCCGTGAAATCCGTGGGGAAGAATGAGAGTTTCCGCCCCGACTCCTGACGAATATACGGAATACGGAATTCCCCAAGGTGGAACATAAAACGAATGCAATGGGTCGGTAGGAATTTATGAGGATAGTTACCCTTTTTTGGCTGAAAGAATGGGGGTCTCAACTTCTGAATCTCATAGGTGGTGCTGGAATAGGGGATGAATGGCAAAGGACAAGCACATATACCCACTTGATAAATCTGAGATGCAAGCTTTTATGAAATGTATTAATTCACGCTTCACAAAAAGAGAAAGAAAGAAAGAAAGAAAGAAAGAAACTTGAATCAATATAAACATTATATAATAATGTATCGGCTTTATTTTCTTTTCCGCTATAATCAACCTTGTATGACAAGCAAAACTCCATTACTATTCATTTCCTCATAAACAAGTGTTGTATCTAGTGAACACATAAAAAAAATAGATATCGCTATATATGTACTATAAATCTAGGCCTTGACCAGCAGGTTCTCTCCAGTCATCTCCTCGGGTTGCTCAATACCCATAGCAGCGAGCACAGTGGGTGCCACATCTCCCAGCACTCCACCCTCCTTCTTCAGGCTCCAACCCGCCGGAGCGTTGGCCATAACGAAAGGAACCTTGTTGGTGGTGTGAGAGGTCTTGGGGGTGCCCTCCTTGGTGAGCATCTCCTCGGCGTTTCTTATCAAGATGCGTTAGCGACCGGAGGTTCAGTTGACACCGAAGAAGAAATGGAAATCACCAAACTTACCCATGATCAGCGGTAATAAACAACACATAGCCGTGCTTCTTGCAGGCCTCGTAGATAACACCGATGGCCTTGTCAGTGGCAGTAACACCCTGGATGGCGGCTTCATAGACACCAGTGTGGCCAACCATGTCAGGAGGAGCAAAGTTGTTCATGACGAACTCGAATTTGCCCTCAGCAATACGCTCCTCCATCTTCTTACCGACACCCTCCGCGCTCATCTTGGGGTCAAGGTCGTAGGTAGCGACCCTAGGGGAGGGAATCATATCGCGGACCTCGCCGGGGAACTGCTTCTCAACACCACCGTTGAAGAAGAAAGTAACATGAGCGTACTTCTCGGTTTCAGCAACGTGGCACTGCTGCACATCCTTCTTGCCGAGCCACTCAGCCAACACGTTGCCCATGCGCTGGGGAGGGAAGGCGACAGGGAAGGTATAGTCGGTCTTGTACTGAGTCATGGTAGTAATGTGAATGTTCTTGGGGTAAGGGAACTCGGGCTTGGGGGAGCGGTCGCAGTCACCCAAGAGCTGGGTGATCTCGCGGACTCGGTCAGAACGGTAGTTGAAGAAGAAGAGGGTATCGTCATCTAGAAGTGGTCAGCGATTGGGATTGCCCTGATTTTCAAGGGAAAGCAAGAGAGACATACCCTGCACACGCCTTTCCTTGCCTCCGACGATGATGGGCTTCAGGAACTCATCCGTCTCGCCGTTTCCGTAGCGTTCCTCGATGGTCTTGACTGGATCAGAGCTCTCTTCACCTTCTCCGGAAACAATACCCTTCATGGCGATTTCGACACGGTCCCAGCGCTTGTCACGATCCATGGCGTAGTAGCGTCCGACAACGGTGGCAATCTCACCAATGCCGATTTCCTTGGTGGCATCCAGCAGTTGCTGCATGTACTTATTGGAGCTCTTGGGATCGGTGTCACGTCCATCACCAAAGAAGTGGATGTAGACCTGGGGGATCTCCATCTCCTTAGCGACCTTCAGCAGTCCGATGAGGTGAGTGATGTTGGAGTGGACACCACCATCAGAGATGAGACCCAGCAGGTGAAGACGGCCATTTCCATCCTTAGCACGCTTGAAGGATGCAACCACGTTATCGATTTTGTTCAACTCTCCCTTCTTCAGGGTCTGGTCAATGCGGACACTGTCCTGCCATACGACACGACCGGCTCCAATGTTCAAGTGGCCGACCTCACTATTTCCCATGAGATCCTCAGGCAATCCGACGGCGAGCGACGAGGCCTCTAGCTGGGTGTAACCTTGGGCAGTCTTAGAATCGGCCTCAGCGAAACCAGACATGTAGGGAGTCTCAGCGGCTGCGATCGCATCGCCCTTCTTGGGGGAGTTGGGCCCAGCAATACCCCAACCATCGATGACGACTGGATTGTCTTGTTAACGAGTTTCCGGAAAGAGGACTTCGAGAGGGGGACGGGGACGGGGGGGATAATCACATACTCAGAACGACTTTCTGATCAACCTTAGCCATGATTAAGAAGTACTTCTGGAGGTAAAACACCTATGATCGAGTCAATTGAGGGTGTTTATTTTTGCTCCCTCTGTTCGTGGTTGCGAGTAAAGAGGGACTGGAAGAGAGAGAAATAGAAAAAGAGGAAACTTACAGAAAGTAACTCGAATAAATGGAAGAAAGAGGGTCAAATTATGGAGCAGGATGAAACAAGAATCCCAAGAAAGGAAAGAGAAGAAGAAGAGAAAAGATGAAGCTATTTCGGTGAGCAACAATTCCACTGGATGTGAGGGGGAGGGGCACCAACTGGAACAAGACTCTCGGTGACGGTTTGGCTCTTCCCGACGTCACTCCATCCATTTTCATCTCCTTCCGGCTCTTCCCTAAACAATTACCCAGCCCTGTCGTACCAATAATATAATACTTAATATATATTTTTCGTCTCCCCCCCCCCCAGTCCCTCTATACCACGCCATGTCGTCCACCGCCGTCACTCCGTTGCCAAAATCGTCTGCGCCCGACACCCCTGTGTTCAAAGAAGCTCCCTCCACGCCCCAACCTGTCGCTTTCCCCCCCCCACAGACATTCGATATTATCCCGCCTTTGCATGGCCTGATACTTCGTCTGCTCTCAACGCCAACAAACGCTGCAGGTGTTGCCAATGGCACCACGACGGGAGATGACGGTTCTGGGGTAGCTCCCCCATCTTCAGGAGCTCCGGGTCAGGGCCAAAATCAGCAGCAACAGCCTTCATCAGCCATGGGAAACGACAGTCACAACAATGCGGGCTTGTTAGCAGCTGTCCCGTCTTCGGGATCTGGTGCTGCCTCCGCTGCCGCTGCCGCTGAGATCGCTGCGTTGGGCTCAAACCTCCCTCCGCCGTTGGACATTAAAAACCTCCCAACCGAGGTCAGCTCGATCAAGATTCGAATCCAGAAAGCCCACGCGGTGGTGGAGAACTTGCCCGATATCCACCGAACGGTCGCGGAGCAGGAAAGTGAAATCCATGAGCTGGAGGACAGAATCGGGAGGCTCAAAGCAGTCATTTCCGACTTTGGGAAAAGGGCGAATAACACCCGTAGCCAGAAAACGAACACATATGGCCCGTGAGAGCTAGACAAAGCTGGAGAATAAGAACGTCGTCGGAAACATAGCGCGCGCTAGCTACCTCTGTGCAGGGAGCAACAGCGATAAACGACTGTCATGCTGCTGGGGACACTGGGATTCTTGCGGTAGCTTCGGGGCTCCAACGAAAGCCGCTGGGGCACCTAACTAAACCGGCGTGGAATTGAGAACCACTCAAAATTGTACACTCGGAGCCGACACGTCCCTGGGCTGCATACCTGAATCTGCGTTGAATCATTGATGGCTAGAGTGACATAATTAGGAAAACTCCGGTCATGTCATGGAAACAATAACCGGATTCAGAAACGCAACCATAGCATAGGGTTTCGAAAGGCAGGACTACGGATTGATAGCTAGGGAAGAGAGAGTTCGTGAGAGTATTGAATCTTCTGACCCCTCCAAGCCACCGCGGTCCTCATTCTGAGAGTGGTGTCATCATCGCATTCAACGACCTACGGAGTAGTAGGTATCTGGGTATTTGAGAAGAGCCCGTCGAGGCATGACTATATTACCACCGGTGACAATGGATTTCTTTTCCCAAATTATTACTGGACCAGAAGCATTGATCTTAGTGCATTGTAGGTAGTATGAGAGTCCCTAGTAATTTGGCTTATTCTGTATACGGAGTACGGAGTAGAGCGCCCAGTAACCTGCAACGAACTCCCGAGACTCAAAACTCCGCTGGGACAGACTTTCTCCGAGAAAAGCACAAGACTAGTTAGTTAGTTATATGCCTCATCATTTATCTTCTTGCACTGTAACCTAAGTCTGGTTTAACATTGTTATGAATGGTATGAACTCACGCGATAATAGTACGGCGCCTACTGGGTTAAGATAAGTGAATAATACTGAAGGACAAGTCCAATTCTATTTTAGAGCAATAATACTACACTACTCGAGATAGTGATGGCCATTTAGCAACGGTCAGGAGAGGGATAGCCTCGCTGATATAGATAGAGGGGATGTCGCCTTTGATTGCTGGTATCACACGCTAAGTTCCCCGCTCATGTTAGCCATGCCCAGAGCAGGAATAATGTAATAATATTAAATGTGGAACTTACAACTTTGTCCCCCCGCCTCTGTGGCCTTGAATCCTTCAGTTCCCAGTATTCAAGCTCGACAGTCAGTGGTCCCACCCAATCGTTGCAATCCAATTTGCCTTTAACTGCCGTGTAAAGTTCGGCGTCGGATTCACTATCGTCGAAAGTACTCTGCTCTTCGGTTCCCGCTGGCCTTCCCGTTGTAGCTGACAGCCAATGGAGAATATCAGAGTGGTCATCCTTTCCCTTTTCGCTTCCGCACTCTTGCAGGAGCGAAGCGATGCGGTCCTTGGCATCATTATGGCTTTTGTTCTTTTCAAGGGACTTTCGGTCTTCCTGAATATTGACGATAATAACAAGTTGTAGGTCATCGTCACTTCTCAGCAGCCACTGTCTCATATCTGATAGAAGGTCTTCATAATTCTCGGAGAAACCTGCCTCGAATACAACACCAATAATTTCGTCATTAGATTCTGGGTCTGTAAAGGTAAAGGCGGCATCCGAAACCTTCTCCCATGCTGGCTTCTTTTTCCAAGACTCGATAAATTTGCGAGGAAGCTTCGTTTTGACGGGATATGCTTCGACCCAAAGGGTTAAGTCCGGAGGGAATCTTTCTTTCCACTTAGACAAACACGCTCTACACCTAGCAATCAAAAAAATCACGAACTTTATCAAGTCATAATTCCAGGTCTTCCTCATGAAGGCCGTTCATAAAGTTCGTGATTTTTTTGATTGCTAGGTGTAGAGCGTGTTTGTCTATGTCCGGCAAGCTATGAGATTCAATGCCCTTGTTAGTGCTCAAAGCAACCAGACGAGCTGAAGATGAGCTAGAAACTGAAGTAACTGTAGACATTTCCGGAGATGATGACATTGTGAAAGAGAGAAAGGAATCGGGGCAAGGAGAACGAGTAGAATAGAGGAAATGTGATGCCGGAGATAGAAAGAGCAGGCGAATATTTGAGAAGGAGCGTTCGGCGGCTTTTTGTTGACAACGGACGGCATCAAGGCATGAGTCATAATAATAAACGCGGAATCAACAGCATCCAATAGAAACCTGTGTGAAAAGCTTGAATGTACCTAGGTAAGGTCGAATAGTAAGGTACGTCATAATGACCGCGGAATCAACAACATTGGGGAGTAAGGTGCAAGATAAACGCAAAGGAAAGAAGCAGGAATAAATCGAATCTTCGTAACAGTAGTAAAACGAAACAAGGCCGTGACAGTGGTCCAACAGCTGAGTATTTCAAGTAGTTATGCACCACCAGCAATCTACCTGTCCTGTGTTGGTGTTGCTCGCCACTTCATCCCAAACTCCGTCGTTTCCGTGCGGTGCCATCCCATCTACAGTTGCCGCATTCCATGTCGATTCGGCGTAGTTGTCCTGCTCGAGGTCGTTGACGGGAGAAACAGAAGCCTCGGTGTTTTCGTATATGTAATGCAAGGAGGGGAAGGAAGGCTGGTGGGATCTAACTAACTAGTTATTGTAGAGTAAGAGATTATTAACCCCCCGAATGTAGGCCTAAAGGATAAACTCACCAGGAACCATAGGGCCAGCACCATCTTTTTTTCCCCTGCTGCCCATTTGACAAACTGGCACAGGATTCTTGACTGGAAAATCTCTCCAAAGGAATCTTGCCGTTCCATAATGTTTGTTGCGAGAGTGCCAGACCCGATTTTTATGGGAAGTACATTGATCATAACTTCCACCATGCGAGGGTGTGCAACGTTGCATCGGTGATCATCGTTTACCTAGGTACGAACCTGAGATCCCCAGGTGTATCGGCTTGAGAAACAGTCCATCTTCGCTAGGCGACCCTGCATGGAGTCGACCGTCTCAATTGAGGGAGGATTGAAGGAAGAGGCTCATTATCTCAACCAGCACATGAGTTCCTTTAGTGCTGATTTCTTGAAAATTAATATGCATAAAATTAGTTACTGGGCTATTGGCGCCCACCAACCAGGGATTACGTTCCCCGAGTAAATCATGGAAGGTATATAGACGTACGGAGTAGTTACTCCGTGAGTCCGTCCATAATAGTTATTTATATAGGAAAAACTGGCAGACCAACTCCGATATCGTTCCGGGACCAAGTTACGCCGCCCATATGAACTAAGGACCCAGATCTACCCCACCATCGAACTCTCCTAAATTTTTCCCTTTTACTCCCCTCCTCTTCCTCCTTCTTCTCTCTTCTCTTCTTCTCTTTCTTCCTCTCATCCATCTTTTTATTGATCTATCTATCCTCTTTTCCCTTTATCTCCATCCTAATCCATCCCATACCCCCCGTCACAATGGCTACCTACGCTCTGTCCCAGTCCCACCGGGCTGTAAGTTCTCCATCAGCTCTACTATTCTGCTCAGAACCACCGCTGACTCCTCAATGAAGCAAATGGAGGACCATCTGGTCTCTTCTGACCCTGAGGTCGCTAAGATCATGGTATGTTGCCACTCTCTCCCTTTTAAACAGCGTCTTTCATTTCATGCCTCAGTTGCTTGTCACATGCTGACTGGTTTGACTTTAATCAGGAAAATGAGATCCAACGTCAGCGTGAATCCGTTGTCCTGATTGCTTCCGAGAACTTCACTTCTCGTGCTGTCTTCGATGCCCTTGGTTCTCCCATGTGCAACAAGTACTCTGAGGGATACCCCGGTGCTCGTTACTATGGTGGAAACCAGCACATCGATGCCATTGAGCTTCTTTGCCAGTCTCGTGCCCTCAAGGCCTTCAACCTGGACCCTGCCAAGTGGGGTGTCAACGTCCAGTGCCTCAGTGGTAGCCCTGCCAACCTGCAGGTCTACCAGGCTCTGATGCGCCCTCACGATCGCCTCATGGGCCTTGATCTCCCCCACGGTGGCCATCTGAGCCACGGTTACCAGACCCCCGCCCGCAAGTGAGTCACTGCCCAAGATCAGGAGCAGTGATCCAATCACTAACATGAGCTTGCTTAGGATTTCCGCTGTCTCCACCTATTTCGAGACTTTCCCCTACCGTGTCAACCTGGAGACCGGAATCATCGACTACGACACTCTGGAGGCCAATGCTGAGCTCTACCGCCCCAAGTGCCTGGTCGCCGGTACCTCCGCCTACTGCCGTCTGATCGATTATGCCCGCATGCGCAAGATCGCTGACAAGGTTGGCGCCTACCTCATTGTGGATATGGCTCACATTTCCGGTCTGATCGCCGCCGGTGTCATCCCCTCCCCCTTCGAATACGCTGATGTCGTCACTACCACTACCCACAAGTCTCTCCGTGGTCCCCGTGGTGCCATGATCTTCTTCCGCAAGGGTGTCCGCAGCACTGACCCTAAGACTGGTAAGGACATCATGTATGACCTTGAGGGCCCCATCAATTTCTCCGTCTTCCCTGGCCACCAGGGTGGTCCCCACAACCACACTATCACTGCTCTTACTGTTGCCCTCAAGTACGCTGCTACTCCCGAGTTCAAGCAGTACCAGGAGCAGGTGATCAAGAACGCCAAGGCTCTGGAGAATGAGTTCAAGGTTCTGGGCCACAAGCTCGTCTCTGACGGCACTGACAGCCACATGGTCCTCCTGGATCTCCGCCCCAAGGCCCTGGATGGTGCTCGTGTTGAGGCTGTCCTGGAGCAGATCAACATTGCTTGCAACAAGAACTCCATCCCTGGAGACAAGTCCGCTCTCACCCCCTGCGGTATCCGTATCGGTGCTCCCGCCATGACTAGCCGTGGTATGGGCGAGGAAGACTTCAAGAAGATCGCTCACTACATTGATGACTCCATCAACATCTGCAAGAAGGTTCAGAGCGAGCTCCCCAAGGATGCCAACAAGCTCAAGGATTTCAAGGCCAAGGTCGCTTCTGAGACTGTTCCTGAGATCCTCAACCTCCGCAAGGAGATTGCTCAGTGGGCCAGCTCCTTCCCTCTCCCCGTTTAAATGGCTTAACCCATGGGGAATAAACGCTTCTTTGGATATGATACCAATTTCTCTTCTTTTTCTTCTTCCTCTTCTTTTGTCCTTTTTTTTTTTCCCTTTGTTTCCATTACTTTTGTACGAGTTCAACATCATTACGCATAAAAATAAGGATTGCTGGGAGTGCGTTATTAGGGGTTTATACGGGTCTGCTTTTTCAACCTCACGCGGGACACGGGAAATGGATATGCATGAGTATGTAAATAAATCATAGCACTGGGATGGCTTCTTCAACACCTTCTTCAACAGGAAAAGTTCGCCGTGATTCTAAGGCTTTGGCCTTATTGGGGCTTGATAATGCTAACTGGTTTTGATTCATATATGACAAACTAGAAATTAATGATTTAATGAATCTTTTCAATTTCTATTCTATAGCAAGTACACTCAACTGGCATGTAGGTGTTCATGTTATCTTTTGCCCTAATGCTATACCACTATTTGGGTCCAATACTGCTAGCACGCAATATATGTGCTTGCCACTTTCAGATACAGATATTTTAGTAATATTATGTTACTACGAGTTTCCTATACTAGTTAGATCGCGTTGGCTTATTTACAGTATTTAAACCGCCTACATTGCTAGATAGTTAAGAAGAATTAGACCTTTATTTGTCGTCATTCTCCCGCGGCTGCCATTTTTAGTGCGATTTGCCTGGCAAAGCGGGGGTCATGTCATCCTTCTACCCTGACCTGAGACTAGGCCTGGGGTTGGTCATGACGGTCATGACCATGACCGTCGAAATTTTGGTCATGACCGTCATGACGGTTTCCAGGTTGTCAGATCGTCATTTTGCCTGCCTGATCGGGTTAGCGTTTGCTGGCTAGTCCTAATTAGGAATAGTAGTATTTATAGTAGTTATATGTTAGTTATTGATTACCTAATCTTATTACTAAGACTTTAGAAGCTCGCCATTGGCTACTAACAGACCCACCCTAATCACGTGCGGTCAGGTCATGACCGTCTGAAAACACCCGGTCATGACCATGACTGACCATGACCGTAATTTTCTGTCATGACCACCAGGGCTACCTGAGACTGACCCGTTGCTATTTTGGGAACGGGATCTGAACGAAGATATCTCGATGCCCACAAGGGTTCGGTCGGACGATGCGTCTCGTTCTACGACAGGAAAGTTCAATCATGATGGGAATCAAAAAATGGCCTCTGAGCATTAGAAGCAGAGGCTCGCAGCTGAGAGCCGACTCAACAAGGATAGACACCTGATATCCCTTGGTCTCTCGGGTCTTGGATCGAGCAGATATCGAGCCGAAAGTCTCTCAGCACACGGCACTGTTCTGTGTCGCTTGGGAGAACGCAAGAGCGGTAGTTATATTAGATGAGGCTGCCTAAATCCCCACCAACGTCAAGCACAGGCCAATTCATAATCTCACCGACCTTTCTGGTTTCACGTTCACTACATGACTTGGACATGGCTTGGTACATATATCGCCTTACTCTCGTGCATGTCGTGGTGGCGTACCGTCCAGAGCGTAAACATAACAAAAAGAAATACAAAAAAAAAAAAAACCAAGCTTAGAGCTCCAGCCTCTGATCTACTATAGGAGCATCATCATCAAGGCCTCGAATCTCCCCATCTTCATCTTCCCAGGAGCGGAAGATCAAAGCCGCCACATTCTTCCCCATAAGCGCGCTGGTCTCCATTGTGGAGATGAACCCTTCGATTCCACCTGTGTACCAAATGTTTGGGGCCAGAATGGGTTCTTCGAATGTTACGCGGGGATAGAGGAAGGGGTACGGGTGCCAGATTTTTTCGTAACACCAGCTGATATCCTCGGTTGGAAGGTCACATATCGTAGTTAAGTTTTGGGTGTTTGTGTCATTGGGGTGCTCGAGGCCGAGGATATTTCTCAGGAATTCAGCGGTGGGTTGCTCTGGAGAAAAGATTTTGTAGACATAGTGTGTTTCTGGGGGTTGCTCTGTAGACTTAGAGGGGACCCTTACGGTGCGGAGGGTGCTGATACTCCAAAATCCAGATGGGCCAACGCCCTTCTCGTTGCTTCCGAGGTCGGTTCCGAGGGGAAGGGTTGTAAGGATAGTCTCGGGAGGGCGGTCGTTTGGATTTTTGAGGTTGAAGAATTTCGCAGATAGTTTATGAGGGGATGAAAATAGGGTTACATAGAGGGTATGGAAAGGAATGGGATCTGGGGTGTAGTCGAGGGGTGCGGTGATCTTGATCCCAGAGTATTGAAATGGGCCTGCAAGGACAACCTCATCGAAGATGAGTTTATGTTTCGAATCATTCGCCTCGAAGCCGACTGTTAGGGTGTTGTCTGAGTTCCGGTCGATCGACTGCACGGTATGGTTCAGTCGAATATCCACTGCAGCCGACTTGAGCATTCCATCGAAGATTTGCCAGTTTCCACCCTCGATGGCCATGGCCCCATCAGTAGCCATGCAGACCATTGATTCAAGACCGTGGATCAGGGCGAGATTCTGGCCATAATTGACCCGCGTGCTTGCCTGTATAATCTCCTGCGCAAACTGGGGCGATACGTTGTTGCTATCCAAAAAAGTAGCTCCTGGAGTCGAGGTAGCGTCCAGTAATCCCACCGCGGCAGCAGCGCCGGTCAGTGACTGGAATGGAAACAATGGTTCTTTATAGAGCTCTAGGAACTTCTTGACCGTGTTCTTCATCAGGGTTTGGGTTCGTACGGGGGCCAACCCATATCGCCAGATGAGTTTCGCGATATTCCACCAACTGCTGGAGTCCTCCATGACAAATACGAACTGCTCTCCATCCCAGACACCAAGAATATCCTCGGTTTCTCTAGGTCGCTCATCGCTGGCACTTTGAGCATTAAGCCCAAGCTCTTTTGACGCATTAACTAGTATGTGGTTGACATTGACAAATATGGACGCGCCCAACTCAACCGGGTTTGCTGGGTCGTCGAAAACATTAACTGTTGTGGACCGGCCTCCAACATAGGATGCCCTCTCGAATACGGTTATATTGATGGGAATTCCTGAGGATTCCGCATTTTTACGCAGAGAATACGCCGTAGAAGCACCCGCAGCCCCAGCACCTATGGAATGGGTTAATTCGAGGAGGGATATGTATATCTATGATGTTCTTTGGACGACCTTACCAATGATGGCGACCTGCTTGGGTGTGACAGCGGAGCCAAGGGGTGATTGTACATTGAGATTGCGGAGGGGAACAAAACACAGTACTGTAGTAGAATAGAGGAACAATATATATAAACAGCACTCTAAAGCGCTACTTCTCCAGAGAGAAGGCATTGTGAGGAGAATGGACGGAGCTGGATGATGGAAAAACGGACCAGATGCTAAGAACGAACCCCGATCTTCAAACCTCTCCCAAGTTTGCAATTCAATAAAATAGATTCACCCGGTGTCTCATAGCTCAAGAATAAAATAGAGAAGCCCGGAATGAGAGAGAGAGTGATGATAACAGCAGCGATGATGAGGTTGAGGTTGTCAAGGGAGTGACGATGTATTGTTACAAAACACAGCGATACAACGCTAGTCTCTAAGGGGAATAGTACAGCACCCCTCCATATCACTTATCAATCTTTTCTTAATTTTTTTTTCTATAAAATCTCACGACAACATCCACGCCCTGCAGTCAGCTCCTACAACAGTATTTTGAATAGCCGTCATTGGGATTGAATTATATCATATTTGCCTCATTCATTCTTGACTGGTGGTTACTGCAAGAATGGATCCGTATGATAGCGACTCTTCTGGCTTTGAAGATGAGGGGGACTTCACTGAAACTGGGGTGCTTTTGGGATACGCCTCTGAGGAGGTGGTCGACGATGCTATTACTCATCTTGGAGGCTGGCCGGTATGGACAACCTTATGAACCATATTTACTTTGTCCAAATTCCCTGCTAAATACCTGAAATCTAGACATGGCTTGATGATGCTACCCCGCCTCCCGGAGACTTTGCCAAATGCAAAGTCTGCAACAACCTGATGGCCCTTCTCCTTGAATTGCACGGCGATCTACCTGATCATTTCCCTGATAACGAAAGACGGCTGTACATATTTTCTTGTTCTCGAAAAGCATGCAACCGAAAGCCAGGCAGTATCAGGGTGTTGCGCTCCACACGACGGCTCAAGGTCCAACAGCCACCAGTAAAAAAGAGCACAAAACAAGAGCCGGAAAAGAAAGTCGAGGAAAAGCTTCAGGCCCCTAAGCCGGATCTTGGTGCCAGTCTGTTTGGAAGCAATTCCCTAACCGGCAGTGTTTCTACGAACTCGAATCCTTTCTCCTCGAACCCATCATCGTCATCAGCCGCGGCAAGCAACCCGTTTGCTGCTCCTGTTGCCAGTCCCGTGCCAGCGCCAGCCAGCATTGAGAAACCTACAATTGCCAATTCCCTTGCTGAAACCTTCGCCGACAAAGTCCGCGTCTCCTCTCCCCCGCCATCCACCACAGCCCCCGAAGCAGCTGGACCACTGGTCCCGTGGCCCGCGCAGTCCGAATTCCCAGAGCCCTATCCACGATTCTACATGGATGCAGAGTATGAAACTCTCTCCCGACCACCCACGCCCAAAATCCCCGAAAACGTTACTATCGATACCACCGAAGATGATGCCAACGGCGGCGCCTCCATGGACGTGAAAGACGCCTTTGAATCAGACCTGGACAAGGCCTTCATTAAATTTTCCACGCGTCTTGCCCACAACCCAGAACAGGTGCTACGATATGAGTTCCGCGGCACACCTCTCCTCTATTCTCACACCGACATTGTCGGAAAGCGTCTTCACGACCCCCGAAATGGCCACTTGGGGGCCCGCGTTACCCTGGCCTCCAATGGTGGAAGCCACCACATGCCACGATGCGAGTCTTGCGGTAGCGAGCGTGTGTTTGAGCTGCAGCTGGTGCCTCATACAATCAGTGTTCTTGAGGATGGCCGTGATAGTATCGGTCTTGGAAAGGACGATGGAGGTATGGAATGGGGCAACATCATCTTGGGTGTATGTAGCCAGGATTGTGGGCCGGAGAAAGTTGGCGCAGTCGGGTGGCGTGAGGAATGGGCCGGCGTGCAATGGGAAGAGACAAAATAAGAAAGAAAAAAAAAAAAAAAAATAGATTGGGATGAAATACTACTCATGTGTTTTACGTTTAATGTTGATGACTGTATATATAGACATTCTCATGGCAGTCCACATTGTTACTCTAGCATCGCGGCCTATCGTAATTTCATACGTTGACAAGCCATAGTTCAGCGGGCTTACTCTCATGTTCGCTGTGTTATTCTGACAGGATTATCTCTCGGGGATCTAGATACAGTTGTGTGTGTCAACAATAGAATAATATGACGATGACGACGACGACGACGACGATAAATCGAAGCGATGCGAAGCAAACTCAAAACGCCAAATGCGCCAGGGCCAGACTTCCCAATCCTCCCCATGCTGGTCTATCCCCCTTCATCGTCATCATCGTTTGTTGGGCTTCAAGCTCATCTCCGCATCTCTGAAATTGGACGTGGTTCCAATTTCCCTTTCCCCCCATCTTGATAGACAGATAGGTGTAAAAGATCTATATGAGATCTTTTAGGGCAAAAATAGGAAAATATTAGCAAGAATAGAAAAAAAAAAATAAAATAAAAAAAATAAAAGAAAAAGAAAAAGACGTTATTGCATAAGTCGACCCTTTTCTTTAAAAAAAAAAAAAAACTCTCTCTCTCTCTCTTTCTTTTTTTTTTTTTTTTTTTGTTTGTGAATTCCTTCTAACTCATGCTGCCTGCTCGAATCCCCGTCTGATCACACGGCCAAACATCTCAACACCCACGCGCTCGCTCTTGACTTCACTGCGAGCCTCGTTCTCCTTGTTGGTGGGCACCTTGACGACGGTGCCGTTGGGGCCAGACTTGTCGACCTCCCAGCTGCAGACCTCAACAACGAACTTCTCAAGAGCCTCACGGTTCCTCATGTCCAGCCATTGCTCTAGGACTTCAGCGTTGATCTCACGGAATGTCTTGCCAACCTCAACGGCAATACGGATGCGGACGAGCTCCTCAAAACCAGCGACATCAGCCACCAGGTCGGCATACAGGTCATCAGAGTTCAAGGTAGCCCAGAACTGATCATACTGGGCGGACTCAAGGAGCGAGGACAGGTGAGCGAGCTTCTGGACGGATTCGACAAAGTCGGAGGCCTGGGCCGACTGTGTCTCAGCGTCGGATGAGGGGAAGGGCTGGGTGTATGCGGGGAGCAGAGCAAGGCAGAGGGAGAAAGCAGGCGAGGGGAAAACGGTGAGCGCCTTGACCAGGATGTTGGCGGCAGTCTCAGGCTGGAGGAGGTGGGGGTTGAATTGGTACCTAAGGAGCAAGCAAGGGAGGATTGGAGATTAGCAAACGGCACAGCCATATTACATTAATGGTGGAAATTTGGGACTTTCGAAGGCTTTTCAGAAGAAAATGACATCTCAACATCCCCGGAGGGGGGTAATCAGGTAATAGGAAACGTGATAATAATGAGAATTCTGCATCATTCAAATTCAAACCCACGTAGCTAGCTCCCTTCAGAGGGGGGAGTGTGTGTGTGTGTGTGTGTGTGTGTGTGTGTGGTCTCAACGTGACGGGTGGATATAAAAGTTCAACAGGGGCAAGCGCATGCACTCACAGCTTCAGCAGAGCCAGGTTAGCATAGCAATCGAATGTTCGGTCTTCGCATTGTTGAACAACGTAGTCCTGGAATACTGTGGTGGTCTCGGGGTTATATCGGTCAAGGCCGTTGAGAATGGCATCGATATTAGCCGGTCGTGTTTCGCACTTGTCGAACGCAACACCCATTTTGGCGGATCAAATGTGATGATAAAGGATAGAAAGGAAAGAGGCGACCGTACAAAAGGCGAGAGAAAGGGATGAATCTGGAACTTGACCGGTCGGATTCGATTCGGTTGGTTCGTTGTGGTCAAAGGCGGGATAAAATTGCGGTGGGATTATTTTTCGATTGTGTCGCTGTGCGGCGGTTCCGGTCATCGGAAAAACACCACCGAAAAGGAAAGTTCCTCCGATTGGCATGTCCTCTGCATGAATACCTGGAGGAAGGGGGAAGGTGTTCCTATCTTCATCAACCATCAATCTCTCTCTCTCTCTCTCTCTCAGAATATACTCAATCAAAGAAAAAAAAAAAACCCTCACTAACCAACCCAAGAAACGAACCCGACTTCGCCACCCCCTATCTCTACAACTACATCAACAAACAAGCCAAAGAGCGTGCAGCAATCTCGAAATCTCGGCTATCAGTAGTACGTCTCGCTTTCTGTTCTAAAAAAAAAACCCCCCCGTTTCTAAGTCCCTTTGTCTATTCTTAAAAAAAGAAACAAAGAAAAGGTTCTAATTATATCCATCCTAGCTTCAAAGATGCTCCCTACGGTGTACCCGGGAACAGTGACGCCGGGGCAATGAACAGCTGGCTGGTCTGGCAGATGCTCGGCATCTATCTACCCTGTCGTCACGCAGCCCGTGTATCTGATTGCGTCGCCGTGGTTCTCTGATCTGAATATGACGATCAATGGGAACCAGACGTTGCGGATCCGCGCGGCCGGGTTGGACGAGGGGTACTTTGTGCAAAGCGTGCGAATCAACGGGGAGCCCTGGGAGAAGAATTGGTTTGAGCATGAGGATTTGATGGCCCATGGGGGGACGCTGGAGTTTGCCTTGGGGGCGGAGATGAAGACGTGGGAGACGGGGGCTGTGCCGCCATCGCCGGGCCATGTGCGGTTGTAGATCGTGTAGGCTAGTTACGTGATGCGGTGTCCTTCGATATATGATTATATGATTACATCGTTTCATTATGAGACGGCGCCGTTGAACAGGTAGAATCAAGCATATTCAATCGGATATCCTAAGACGCCACCAAATATAAACGCGACCCGATCCTATAACGACAGTATGATCTAGAGTGAGATGGTACAAAATATGCACGGAGGAGGGGATCCTTGGCATACCATCTCCCTGCATGGGAAATGATTAGGATGTGCTGGGAGAGTACATCAGGAGAAAGACGAAATGGCAGTAGGAAAACGAGCTAACGATTCGGCCGGGGGAAATCCAAACAAAGATTGGTATATACACAGAATCCAAGGGCAAAAAAAAAAAAAAAAAAAAAAAAAAAAAAAAAAAAAAAGAACAATGAATAAAAATTGCAGTCGTGAACCACAAAACAGGAGAGAGTATATGGTATAATATAAAAATGGCCCAAGGAGACCAAGGCAAGAAGATTGCGACGCTAGGGGAAACGAGAATCATAAATCCGAGGGAATCAACTGCGCCGGCGATCAACGAAATCATTTTAGCTTGAGAATCAGGTGGCGCGCAACCTTGACCAGCAAAGACGCGCAAGGCTGATTTGCTTCTCTGCATAAATGTAATGCGGGATGACGGTGAGGAGGAGAGCGCCCCCCTTGCGGATGGAGGGAACGAGACCGACTTTGGAAGAGCGAACAAAATGTTTTTTTTTATTACATCGTAGAGTGTAGGAATCATATTTTGGTAATGGGATGCAGGCAGGGTTTCTGCTAGTTGACAGGTTGGTAGCCCTTGTGATTCCATTCACTTTGTTTCCAATCAGTTTGGAAGTTGTTCATCTCGGTTCGTTCGGTGGTCCATTTGGCGTCATCTAGGGCATGTTCAAGACGGCCCTTCTTGCGCTGATTGATGAAGAAAAGGATAAAGCCGACGATGAGCAATATTCCGGCGGCAGCAGCACCGCAAGAGACTCCCACTTTGGCTCCCGTGGGTAGTTCGGCCCACTTCTCGGCCAATGACTTTGGCGGCGGTTTGTTAATCTCAGTAACGGCGGAGGAGTTCCCTCTGATAGGGGGTGTCAGTTAGTCTCAGCTATAGTTTTACAAGGTACCGTACCACCCAAGGATATACTTACGAGACCACATTGATACTCTCCCAGGACCCGGAATGGTCCCCATATTCATACTCCTTTCCAGTGTGGAAATCGTGGGCCCGGACGCTTTGGACGGTCATGGTGTATGGGCCGGCATCGTAATCGATTTCTCCTCCAGCCCATTCAATCGTGCCCTTCGCATTGTGAGGGTCTCCGGCAGGCCAGATGCCGATGCGGATATTACAGGGAGTTTGCGGGAAGCGAGTGCCATTGCTCGCTTCGTCGTAAGCCAGGCTCCGAAGCAGTTTGCCGTCCACCCACCATTCGAGGACATCTTGGGTCCAGTAGGTGGTGTAGTTGTGAAATTCGGTGTCGGCATTGTCCACGTAGTAGAACTTGCCATTGGTGTATTCGGTCACCCCCTTGCCGTAGTAGTTGGTTTGAATTTCGGTCGTGTTGTAGCCCACCCACTCCCAATCGATCTCGTCCAAATCATCGGACTGGAGGACGACACTGCTCACCACGCCGGCGCCTTTGGCCATCTTCACATGGGTTTCGACAATGCCGAAGAAAAGATAGAACTTGGATTGAATGGTGGGGGATTGGAGGGTGGTAGCGATGGTGAATTCGGCGCCATCATCGGTGTAGACAAGGTCCCCCGAAGTGGTATTCCAGATCACTTCATCGAGGGTGCTATTGAGGTACCAGGTGTGGTTGGTACCGAGAGCCGGGTTTGCGGGACAGGTGTGATTAAGGGGATTACAGCTGGTCCAGGTCTGAGCGACGACGGCAGTGGCAGTGGCCGTTAAGAGGACGACCAGACGGAGCAATGACATGGCCGAATAGGGTTATTTACGTGGTGGGAGATGGAGGGGGAGCGATTCTGCCGCGATAAGACAATAAAGGGGGTCTTCAGTTGGGTTAAATGGTGGGAGTTGACAGGCCCGGAAGGAGTGACAGTGACAGTTCGGGGGGAGGGGGGGAGGAGAAGAAAGGAATGGACGTGCGAACACGGCGCACGAGGATCAGAAGAAGCCCACTCGAGGATAGAAAGAACGACGGAGAGGAGAGAGGGGGAGGTGAAGAGGAAGAGGAAGAGGAAGAGGAAGAGGAAGAAAGAGAGAGAAGAGGAGGAGGAGAAAAGATAGAAAGGATCATGTAACTATGGGCTGCAGCAAGTTCAGATCAATTCATCCAGGGTCCGTTAATTATTCTTCAGTTGTTCCCCTGGAATTAGGTACCTGGTATCTACCTGGTACCTGGTACCTCAGTATCTACTCCGTACCCTGTAGACTCGTAGACTCTAGAGTACTTAGGTAACAAAAAGGGTGTTTGCTAGGGTGGACCCCAGAGTCAAAACGGACTAGTGCCAGTGTCTCCTTTCAGGGGCTGTCCCAATCAGGAAAGACCAAGCCCTGGAATGTGTCACCCCTTCCCTTTTTTTTGGATTCTCCCTTCGCCTCTTAGCCAATCAAAACTCCCCCAGGAAACGGGGATCGCCACCGTATGATAAGTGTGTTTATCAGGGTGATATTATTAGATAGATTATGATTATTATTAGGTATTATCAGAAAGCAAGGTAGTATTTATTACCTAGGGATTATACCATGCGTTGAGTTTCCATCTTTTGATTGGCCTGATAAGAACAATATCTAATCTTCCAAGTTCTTCTGTAGGTCTCTGGCCGTTACAACCGAAAATTATAAGGTAATCTTCAAAAGGTTGAGTGGCGGTCCAAGTGGGTCCTAGATCCCTCCTAATTAATCTCACACCGCACGCACTCCTGGATCGAGTCGCAAATATAGTATTCTACCAATAATCGGGAGAAATTCATAAACTGCCCTCTGAATTTCCAGATCTATACAGAGAGGTATGATATGATATTCAGGAATTCATACAGTTCTTGCGCATATCAGGATTGGTCTTTAAAAGTACCTAAAAGCTAATGAATGGTCTGGCTTAATAGCCAACTTCTGCAAACTACCTAGGTCTGACCCGCAGTATCCTATCCCACGCGTATTATCGTACCTTTTTTCTTCCGCGTCTTCATCCTCGTCGAGTACCTTACCTTACCCCTGGAAGGGAAAGATACCAGTAGGCGTAGGGATTGCACCACTTCCAGAGCCCTCAGTGGTGGGGGAACCAGAACCAGAACCAGAGAAGAGGTCACCCAAGTCAGGCAGGCCAGAGGGGAAGAGGTCGCTGAGATCGCGCTGCTGCTTCTCGTTCTCGTTGCGAGTAGCAGATGGGCTGCCACTAGGTTCAGGGGAGCCTGAGCCTGAGCCTGAGAAGAGGCCACCCAAGCCAGAACCTGAGCCAGAGCCAGAGCCAGAACCAGAACCAGAACCAGAGCCAAAGAGGTCACCCAGGTCAGGGAAACCAGATGGGAAGAGGTCGCTTAGATCGCGCTGCTGCTTCTCGTTGCGAGTAGGAGATGGACCGCCACTAGGCTCAGGGGAGCCAGAGCCAGAGCCTGAGAAGAGGTCACCCAAACCAGAGCCTGAGCTAGAGCCAGAGCCAGAACCAGAACCAGAACCAGAACCAGAACCAGAGCCAGAGAAGAGGTCACCCAGGTCAGGGAAACCAGATGGGAAGAGGTCGCTTAGATCGCGCTGCTGCTTCTCGTTGCGAGTAGGAGATGGGCTGCCACTAGGCTCAGGGGAGCCAGAGCCTGAGCCTGAGAAGAGGTCACCCAAACCAGAGCCTGAGCTAGAGCCAGAGCCAGAACCAGAACCAGAACCAGAGAAGAGGTCACCCAGGTCAGGGAAACCAGATGGGAAGAGGTCGCTTAGATCGCGCTGCTGCTTCTCGTTGCGAGTAGGAGATGGGCCGCCACTAGGCTCAGGGGAGCCAGAGCCTGAGCCAGAGCCAGAGAAGAGGCCACCCAAGCCTGAGCCTGAGCCTGAGCCTGAGCCCGAGCCCGAGCCCGAGCCCGAGCTAGATCCAGAGCCAGAGAAGAGGTCACCCAATCCAGGCAGGCCGGAGGGAAAGAGATCTCCGAGGTCAGGGAAACCAGAGGGGAAGAGGTCGCTGAGATCACGCCTTCGCTGCTTTCCGTGCCGAGCGGTAGGAGATGGGGCATCGCCGCCTGGGACTGGGAATCCCGATGGGAGCGCGAAACCACCGCTGGGCTCAGGGAAGCCAGAAGGGACCCCCGAAGGACCAGGGAAGGCAATGCCCGAACCCGTTGGGATAGGGTATGGCAGGCCCTGACTTGGAGTTGGGAAAGCAAATCCTCCCTGCTCGTTGCCGAGGTGGGCACCGTGAGGGTGGCCGCGGGGCGCGGGGAGAGCAAGGGCACAGCCCAGCAGACCGAGCGAAGCAACGCCGTAGGACTTCATTTTTATGGTGAGGTGGTGGACAAGAAAGAAAGAATAATAATTAAAAAGATTGAATTGAATTGAAAAAGACCAGGAATACCAGATTCGGTCAGGTTGAGTAGGGACAGTTGTGAGTTGGTTGGAGTACTGAATTCTTCAAGGAATCGAGGAGGATTCTGCGCTTGCTTTATAGTACCACAAGTACCTCCAGATGGGCCGGAGTAGATGGATCATGTCCAAAACAACTTGGCACCGCAGGAACCAGGCCCAGGAAGATGGAAGCTGGGCTAGAATTCGACAAAACCGGGGTGGTTAGGGCTCTGATGTTGGAAAAGGGCCCATGAAACAGCCAATTTAGTTCCGACGGCAGTTCATGTATAGAGCTGCTCTGGGCCTTATCCTCTATCCACACCATTGCAAGTGTCGAAGTGCTTGCTCAAACCAAAACATGGCATGTTCCAAGTTCCTGATCATCTGGCTATAGCGATTGCGCATAGCATTGAGGGTTTGACTAACTATAGCACGTCTACTTGATAACGGAAGTTGTGCGCTAGTTAATGGGCTCGGATTGACCAAGACTGACTATAGGGCATGAATAACACAAACAATCCTCCGACTCATCAGCTCAAGCAAGAAGATCAATCTCTCCAAGCCTCTCCGTCAATAGAGCGCCGACTAAGACAAACAGTTCCAAGTTCTGTGGGGGATGAGCCAGACAACCCGATGCAGCGTCCGTGATAAGCGATTTCAAGTGATCTGATTCTGAAACTGAAACTGACGGGTCTGATATGTGATATCCTGACTCGCGGATGAAACACACGAGTGTCTCGAATGCGGACTCGTGGACTTCGCAGGGAGAGCGAGACCGGTCAAGCCATCCGTTTTCTTGGAATGGTTACGCGTCAAGCTTTATTTTGAATTTACTGGATGAAGACTCACAGGTTCGAAGTATAGTACGGAGTCCCTACAATCTGTATAATGGAGTAAGTAGTTACTATAAGTACGGCACTTGTATAACTATATATCACTATATTGTGTCCTAACCCTAAACAATCTAGTATTCGTTCTTAAAGCCTAAATATCCGGTTATTCAGCCTTTAAAGAGACTGCATTTCCTGGTATCTTCTTTCTCGGTATCTTCCGTTCTGAGTACTTCGAGAGAAGATAGATGCTAATTAGAGGATAGAACGAAGTTCTCACTTCTGATGGGTTATTTAGACCCTTTTCATATTATATCTCTATATACATATAATATATATGTGTATGTATGTATGTATGTATTACAAATTATACTATGCCACCAATATCAACATGACAGGTAAAAACACAAGAGACAGAATAAGTCTCAACTGCGCCGAATCAAAATTATACCCGGCATTCCTGCGAAAGAAAGACTGCCGACAGCGATACGCAGAGGAATGCAAAAAAGGTCGTCGCGACGGCCCCGCTGGGTTGGAGGGCCGAACTCAAGTTTTCAGCATCGTCGGAGGAATTGGACGCATGCGAGGCATTGGATGGAGTGATGGACGTATTGAACGGAGTGAGCGCATGGGAGGCATTGGAGGCATTGGAGGCATTGGAGGCATTGGAGGCATTGGATGTATTGGATGTATTGGGCACGTTAAACGCAGTCAACGCATTGATCGATCTCCTGCCTCGAGTTAGTCGGGTTCCTGGCTCTGAGAGCTTGATTGATCATGCATGGATTGGGTGAATCACCTCGCGAACGGCCATCCGTCTACGTACTCGAGGTAGCTCCATCCCAGGCGCGTTTGCTAGAACCGTCAGCGAAGTCCAAAAAGCATCCGGATGCAGTGTCATCAGAATACACTCTCACCTTATCCTCGAACCCAATGCTACTATTGACTAGAACCATGCCATGTCAGTAGTGTCGTCCTCCAGAAGGGTACTACTAACGTACTACCTAGGGAGCGTAGCGAGGAGATACATACGATAATGATAGTACAGCACATCAGATTCCCCCCCGGAGCCCGTCAGGACCCCGACGCCGCCCGGCGCGTAGACCACGCCGTGATTTGATCCGTATACAACAGTGCCGCCGCCACCGAGCAGGTCTGTGCCTTGCTTATCGGTGAACGGGCCATGCACGCTGGTCGACCTGCCCACCCGAATGCTATACCTGTTGCACGCCGCCGGAGTTAGTCTAGATACCGGAGTAGCACTCGCGCGCAAAGCGAAACGAAAACGACTTTGAAAGGGGGGGGGGTTCTTGAATCATCCTACATACTCGGCACCCATGGGCGGGAAGCCACGCGAAAACTGGCAGCATTTCCCGTGGCTGAACCACAGGTAGTAATAGGGGGCTTTGTAGCTCATAAAGGAGCCTTCCTCGGGCTTGCGCGGTTCGGGGACGTAGATGAGGTGGGTTGAATCGGGGTGCGCCGGGTGGTCGATGGTGAGGGTGGTGGGATCCAGGCGGAGCTGGAAGATGCCGTCCCAGAAGCTGCCGTACTGGAGGTAGGGGGTCCCCGTGAGCGGGTCGGCGAAGAAGGCCGGATCGATCGCGTTGCTGACGTTGTACGGGTAGATGTGTGCGAGATCGCCCTCGCCGGTATTGATCAGGACGCCGTGGTCCGTCCAGGTCCCTGCGATGGAATCGGACGTGGCAACGCCAATGGCACTGTCGCGACGCCCGGTGTCGCTGATGCAGTAGAAGCAGTAGAACCGGTTGTTCCATTCAATCGTCATGGGAGCCCAGGGGCGCGTGCGGTTGACCTTGTCGATCTCGCTGGGTCCGGCGAGGACAGTGCCAATGTACTCCCATGGCCCGTCGAGGTTGGCGGCTTTGTGGACGGGGATGTGGACGCCCCCCATGAAAAGATAGTAGTATCCATTGACCTGGATGATGCTCGGATCATGCGTGATGATGTTGCCTTGATTGGGGAGCGGATATGCCTCTGTATCCGAGACGATATTGGAGTCAACCGAGGTGGTCAACGGGACTAGACACAGCAGGAGGGCCAGCCCCAGCCATGTGAAAGGTACCATGGGGTTTCAAGGACCAGAGTACAAGCGAGACGATAAAGATGAGAGAGCGAATTGCATTCGTTGTTGAGAAGGGGGGAGGGGAGGGGGGACTGCGGGAATATAATAACTATAGAGAAAGGCCGCATTCATGCCCGAACAGTGCGCAATCAGAATAGATCCAATTTTTAAGCCAGTCCACATATAATACGGAGATCCCCAAGTTGGGCTTGGACGGGTTGCGGCCCACTGCACTGCAACGCCCCAGCCGGACTGAACGAGAGAGACATTCTTATTAGGGTATCCTGGCAGGATATCAAAAAAAAAGAGAGGCAAAAAGGGTCAAGAATGCCTCATCCCGATCGGGACAACCCTAAAAGACCCAGTGAACTCTAGAGGAAATTACATCGAGTATATCCAAATATCCCTGAGTCGATCTTCGTCGCTCTCTAATCTTAAAAAGGCTTGACGGCAAGAGTCCAGACTCAAGAAAGCCTGCGGTAAAGCGAGCTAAACTAGACGTGAAACCAGCGATTGAACTCGATAGCATAACAGTATGTACCTCGCCAGTGACAATTTAGGAGCTTGGTTTGTTCTGAGGAAATCCCAGGGTTCTTCAAGTTCGAACTTCTCCTACCTTTATAGACTTATATATATATCGGAACGTTAGTGTATGGAGGACGGACAGTAAAATGGTACAGTATATACCCCAAGCAGAGAATCATCAGTGATGTATTCTGGATGGATGGATGTACAAGAATGAGCTATCCTACTCAAATATAAGGCTCGTCAACTCCCCCCAATCAAAGGCATCCAAGAAAGGATCCAATTCTCCAGAGGCCTATCATGAATTAGAACACCTTCCTAAACGGAGACGAAGGCTTACCATCAGTCCAAGATCCTCCGGCAGTGGAACACTAAATTCAGGGACCAAGGGCTGCTGCGTTGCTCCATGCCCGGTATTCAAGTTCGGGACCTTCCATAATAGCCTCCGTTAGCAATCCCTCTAAACAACACTAGAACAGACTAAACGGGGACGAACTTGATTTGTTTTGAAACTCCCCATCCCCCATTCCCCAAGATGCGCACAGCTGGAGTGTCGTGTAAAAAGTGTCTGCGCGAACGAAATCACTCGCTCCACCACTTCCTGCTTGTAAACCGCTGCCTGGTTGGGCCATAGTTTGCTCTTAACGAGAGCCAGGATCGTGGACATGAAAAAGTACTCTTTGGCGCCCTTGATGACGAGAAGTTGCCGTGCTTCAAAACAGGTGAGAGCAACTTCCACCAAAGATATCAAGGACTCGGGGAGTCCTGGAAGGGTGTGAATGAGAGACGTCGAATAAGCCCCTGCTCGTATTATTAAAGTATTAGCCTCCTATCCTCCCCGGTTGAGAATCTGCTAATTTGAATATCTGGAACATACCCCGACTGACCGTCTCTTCGTGAAGTAGCTGGCAAATGGAACAGTAAGCTTGCACAGTCCAATCCCCAAGATTGTAGAGCGATAGCGATCGCGATCTCTCATGAAGTCGTCGTTGCGTCGACAGCATCATCGTGACCACCTCCAGACGACTCCGCGCAGACGGGGCAAAAAGGGTGTCCCGGGCGGCCTCGATTGCAAATGGGGTGTGGATCGACAAAAGGCTCAGCCCTATTTTGTTCTCTAGCATAGCTTTCATTAAAGCCACTTTGTCCCCAATCGACGCATCGCCGTGTTCAGCGATCGGCCACGGCGGTATCCTCGCGAGACGCCGGTTGAGCTCCCAATCCAGGCGCATGATCTCTTCGTACCGACATCGGATCCGTGGAGAATGCATCAAAGCACAGGCTTTGAGTCGTAGCGGAAGGGACTGGGAGAGAACCGCCTGGAACGAACTATCGGTGATTTCACCATCCAGTGGTCGCGCGGGAGGAAGCGCCTCGCTGTTGGGCTGGAGCTCATTGTCATTAATATTCGAAGGCGGCGCCGTGTCATAGTCTGACTCTTGCAAAGACGGTGGCATCCCCCGCTCAAAGGACACCTGAAGATCCAACTCCACAATGGTGGCCCATACGCGCCGCCGCATCTCCTTGTTGAACGGAGAGATCTTGGTGTACACGTTCGGGTCTCGGTGGTACCCAGCCAACATGGCTTGTTTCACCAGCGTTGACGTAGAGATCCAGGCCTTGCTGCGTTTCATCCCAAAGCTATTTTGCGCGATGATTAAAAGAACGTGTAAGCGGAGAACCGTAATATCCGACCGTTTTATGCTCGCGTTCTCGATCCACTTTTCTGCACACAAGATCCATTCTATCGCGGTGAAGCATTTGAGCATAGACCCGTTCTTGCGTTCGAGGACACTGGGATCCGCCAAATTCCAAGCACATGCAAGAATCAGAAGTAGCTGGACTACAAATGTCGGGCCAACAAGGTCCAAGCTGGACTTCTGGGCCCAGAACTCATCCAATTCCCTCCGGAAGGAAGGCACGTGAAGAATCCGATGGGTGGACTCAACATGCGTGAGAAATAAAGCCACCAATTCATCCACAACCGGTCGACAAGGGAGTAAGGCGAGCAATACAGCTGTATCCGGGTCAGGGACCGGCGCACTCAGAGGGTGATTTTTCCAAAGGCCCCGAGTCACCCTCGTTAGATCAGGACGGAGTGCAGAGAGATGGGGGTTAGAAACCTGAACTTCCTCTGCGAATGATCTAAGGTCCGGAAACTAGACTTCTGGTCAGTCGCGCGGCCACGGGGAGAAAGCATTCGGCACCCAAAATCTACCTGTGCAATAAGATTTGCGAAGACCCCGGAGCCATTATACCGGGTCTTGGTTTCTCGACCTCTCATCATAATCCTAGGGGTAAGGGCTAGTGGCTGCGACGGAGACACTGGACTATATTCCTCATCATCACCATCTAGCGAGTTGGGACGCGAGTCCGGATTATGAACTGAATGGTGCCTGTGGCGACGCAACAGCTCCGTGCTATTTAGACAATCCTGATTGACGGCGGCTTTGGGGGGCCCTAGGACGGTTTCCAAGAAGCGATCCCGCTTTTCCTCGAGTGGGCGTGCATCCGCGCACTTCAACCCTTGAGGCCGAGCCGATGCCCTGCTTATCCCCGAGTCTGGGGTCGGGTGCGCAACCGGGCGATCAACCTGGTGCGTCGGTGCAGTTCCGGTCGGCGCTGGTTCGGGGACAGCAGAGGAAGCCACCGTACTTGGTTGCTGCCATAGAAAGCCATCTTCGTAGCAACATTTGGTGGGCGTCTTGCTCTTCAGACACCGCCCACAGGTTGGATACTCCCGATCGCAACGCAGTTTCCTGCTCCGGCACTGGGAACATGCGATGGTGCGTCTCCGCCTCTTCCGGATGCGATGCTGATGTAGTTGCTGCGAGGACTGAACGTCTGCCATCGTCAGTGCCCCTTCACCGCAGAACATGAAGGAATCTCTATCCTTCTTGCTGTTTCTCATTCATAATTCTGCGATTTTCTCCCTGGGCGGCTGAGCACGCTAATTATTCGGTCCGGAGTCCCTGGGGAGCCTAAATAGTCTCAAATGCTTACGTGTATCCGAAACGGCCGGCCGTGTTAACTGTAAAGGGGAATCCCGGCCGCACTTTTGCTCGAAACTTCGGGCTAGTTATCAGATACGAAGTTACGAAGTACATCAGTATGCTCCGTAGTATGGCTTCAGGTGCTATTAATGTGCGGGTTCAATCGAGAGATCCGGCAAAGCACTTGGTGTTGACCAACGCATTTATCCTGTGCTTCACATGTGAAATACCCCGAAGATTGGCAATATGTAATGTGACACATACCTAGTCGCTGTTGTGCTGTGGATTCCATAATCCTTCTATTTTCCGTTGCGTTCCGTACGACAGCGGAGACGACATAATCCACGCTGGATCTATTCAGACCAGTAACTGATCCGACCCTTATCACGGAAATAAATATAGAAGTCCACTCTCAATTTCCGGTACTGTGTGGGAGTTAAAAGGCAAAGCAATTTGTCCGAATAAAACCCTTCATCAGTGCCTGCGTTAACAAGCCTAGCCGGCTCCAGGGTTCGCTTAGCAAAAAGACCTGTTGTTTTGAGGGAAAAGGTCCAGGTTCCGGGGGTCTATTTCATCAGAAGTCATGAAAGAATTTTCTCTGGGGTGTTGGCAGCGCTCTTCCGATTATCCACCAGCAGGTCTTGTCGATTCTGCGAGATCGCATGGCCCACTCATTCATCCAATCTACGCTGGGATTAGTTTCTGCAAATACACCTCTGACTCCTGAGGGATATATTCCTGACTATATTTTACGGAGATCCACATCCGAAAGAATAGTATTGGCCAATCTCGATCCATATGCCGGGCTACTGTCACTCACAGCGTGGAGAACACCATAGCGTTCTCCATAGAGACCAACGTTCTTGGGAATGGCTGGCAGATGTAAATAGTCGTATTGCACAGGCGTCTTCATCCATGGAGTTCAATGGTTGCCACTGCTCCCGCAAAGGTCGACACCCGTGGGAGTATGACAACAGCTTTGAATAAAATGACTCTTCTCGGGGCGTTCCTGGCAGCATTTCGGACGGCAGGAAAGTCAACAGAGGCAGACCCGGAATCAGAATATCGGTAGGTTTGGGCCGCCAGTCCCACCAGCCGACAAAGTGTCTCATAGTTTTCCCAGGCACGCGTGCCCACGTAGGATACGGCGGAGCTTGAGAGGGCCGCTAGATGGTTTTCTCTGGTTCCAAATATAGATCGTACCGAAGTGATCTTCCATGAAATGGTAGCCGGCTTATTTTCATGACCGGGGAGCCAGGCAGACTTGACCTTTCCGGAGGAGATCACCTCACTGTCCGTATCAATATGAGGTGTGCTGCATATTTTAAGAACCCTCGATTGTAGTCAACTCGTACTAGGACGAATTACTTTATGAGTATCAAACACAGCACTGACAATACTAGACAAAGCCAACTCATATCGTGGCTGGGATTCTGTTTCTGAAGGATCAATTTCGCCTATTAAAAAATCATGAGCTACCAATCCATACCACCATAGTTAGGGAATCCAAGATATCATCATACCCTCTTTAGCCAATTCATGGCAATTCCTTGTTCAATTCGATAGATGCCCACTCCCGAGCCAACTCTGTGTCTGCATCGGCCGCTTTGTCAAAATGAATATGGGATCCAGGGGGGCTGGTTGTACGTTTCGAACATGTGATGATTTGCTGGATATATTCTTGATAGAGGGAAACCAGTATTCAATCAACTCTTGAGTGAGGGTAGTGTGGTTGGACTCAAGCCCGTCTAGAAGTCAACTTTTCAGTTCTGATAAACTTGTATCGTCGTAGATGAGTTTCTTTACCGGAGCTTTTTCTTTTCTTTTCCCTTAGGGTGAGCGAGGTAGAATTTATGACGAGAAAAGGGATGGCTGTTATTTAAATTCAATATCAATGATGATATTTGTTATCGGGAGAGAGAGAGAGAGAGAGAGAGAGAGAGAGAGAGTTGTGATATGCACTACCGGATATTGACCATTTGGAATCGATCAATATCTTCAACAACAATCTCTTGCGCCAAATCGCTAACAAACTGCTACAACTTACGCTAGTCATCTAGTTAACTATATATCAGTCTATACATATATATATCCTCCGACTCTCTTCAAAATCACTTCATTTGCACCCATTCAAGTAAGCGACCAGTATCTCCGAAGTATATACGGACGGAGATGCCGGTTCGGTTCTAGTACTCTAACCTGGCATTAGGCAGACTGATTCCAGGAAACCGCTTAGACTTTGACCGCACTGACATCCGGGTCAAATTGAGGGTTTCCTTATACTCATTGGTGTATCCAAGGTGTGAAATGGTACACCTAGATAGGTACTACTGACAGTACCTGATACCTCGGGGATTTTTCTCCGACTCGGGGTTGTCTCTGAATCTCCGAGCTTTTTTTTTGTTGAGAACAATATACGCTGCCTAATACCATATTAGCCCCCTTCGAATATTTATAAGAAGCCGTTGGAATGAGAATTTTACTTTATTATATTTTCTTCTATTTTTCCACTTGATATCCCCCAAGTTGTGACACCGTACCTCCAAAACCACAATGCTCCGATCACTTCTCGCCCTCAGCGGCCTCCAACGCGAAAACTACATCTTCCCCACTGTCGACGCTGAAAAGGATGGCCCAGATTGCAAGAAAGATTGCGCCGACTGTACAGTGCAGTTCCCCTCCAAAGTGAAGATTGAATCGTCGCTACCACTGTACGGACATATCAAGGAGTTTCACACCCATGTCTTGGTGGCGACAGGGAAATCAGACTGGAAGGAGCACGTTGAAAACGAGAAGGGAAGCTTGATGGAAGCCTTTCATGACAATTCCTCCAAATCTAAGCATGGGGTAGGGAGAAAAAGAAAGAAAGAAAGGAAAAAAAGACCAAAACTAACTCGAGTGGACACAGCGCATGATGATCTCCGCGTCGAATCTCAACCCCCCCCCCCAAGAGAGCGACGACAACGACAACAACAACACCCAGGGAACAACGATCCTACTTCTCCCATCCTTTAAATTTGTCGACTCCATTCAACCCACTGACGTTCCCACGGTGATCGACCATTTCATTGATGCGCCTCTCTCGCGCGGCTCCCAGAAGAAAACCAACCAGTTACCAAACTCCCAGGTGACAAGTCGACCCTGTGAATATGACTACGTGGTGCTTCTTTGCTCGCATAAACGGCGCGACGCTCGGTGCGGCCTCACAGCTCCCCTGATCAAGCGCGAGCTCGAACGGCATCTTCGGCCGTTAGGGCTGTACCGGGACGCGGACGACGAGCGGCCCGGCGGAGCAGGCATTTTCTTTGTCTCGCATGTCGGCGGGCATAAATTTTCAGCGAATGTGTTGATTTATCGGAAGAAGGAGCAGCAGATGATCTGGTTGGCGAGAGTGCGGCCCGAACATTGCGCAGGGATCGTTACCTATACGCTTTTGCAAGGGAAAGTGGTGCATCCCGACTTTCAGTTGAGAGGGGGGTTTGATCGACTGAAAGGGTTGACTAGTTGGTGATATGATATCATTTACTATTAAATACCTATTAGATACTATAATAAATTTGATTAATATGAAGAACTGAAATCTGGAGTAACTAGTTAACTATAGAGTACCTAGGTAGTAAGCGACACGTGCTACGTCACTCGCGCTTTTGACCGCGTTAATTAATGGATTTTCGCGCACGCGTTGGAACTGGATAGAGACTTACCACTACTTCATCATCATCTTCTCTTCTATTATCTCTCCCCATTTATTACCCGACCTGTGGCCTTCCATCTCTCCAGAATGCGAGAATGGCTACCGTGACTGTCTTAGAGATCGCGACCCAGGCCACCAACCTCCGTGCGGAATTGAAAGAGTGGGAAAGGGCTTTTGCAGCAGCCAATGGAGGAAAAAAGGCTGGTCGAAATGATATAAAAAGGGAGCCTGAAATAGGTACATTTCTATCTCTCTCGCTCTCTCTGTGTGTGTGTATGTCTGTGCTAATCGGTCTCTGTTCAGCCGCTAAATACAAGGAGTACTCGCGACTAAAATCTCTCGAGGCATCATCAAGAAGAAAAGAGAAGCAATCTCGGCAGAAACCAGGGGAATCAGAGGAACTACCCAAGAAACGCAAACATTCATCGCCTAATGGACCAGATAATACGCTGCCGACGGCGACGACGCCGCGAAAATCTGCAAAGGGTGCATTTGAAACACCCTCGAAACCACGCTCAGCATCTCACCCAGCAGACGTCGATCCCTATGATTCTCCATCTGTGCTGCGACGACTCTTCAGCCCCTCCACACATATGCAGTCCTCGTCCCCGCTGAAAGCAGCCATCGGGCCAACACCACAACGAGACGGAAAGGCACTGGGTTTATTCGATCTGCTCTCCGAGTCTGGTGGTAGTACTGCAACGCCATCTGCAACCCGAATCGCAAGTCTCAAAGGTATGCCTGCTGCGCAAACCCCATCGAAACGCAGAACCATGGATACCATCATCGAAGAGGAGGAAGGAGAAGGAGGAGGAGGAGAGGAGGAGGAGGAGGAGGAGGAGGAGGAGGAGGAAAACGGGGAAGCAGAAACCACTCTCCGAGCGGAACGGACACCCTTATCATCAGGCAAGAAATACATGCTATCGGCACTTTTCGCGACCCCAACAACCCTCCGGTACTCTGCCATGGTGGAGGACGAAACGAGACAGGTAGTTGCAAATGTGGAAGCAAGCGCAAGTCCCCAGGGCACTAACAAGGATTCCGCGGGTTTCGAGACCCCATCTTTTCTTCGTCGGTCCACGTCAGGGACGTACGGAGCCTCCAATTACGCCGCGACCGGAACCGGCGGGCTGAGTCCCATAGCTGTTCGAAAGCCGCCGCAGTTTGTGGGGAAGGGGCTTTCCGCCCTGGTACAGGGGCTCCGCGATATGGAGGAAGAGCGACTCGAGGATGACCTGGACGTGCTACGAGAGATAGAAGCGGAACAGGCCTCCCTGAACGCCGAAGTACCAGATAGCCAGACCCTTACCGGCGACATGGGCCGGACATTCAAAAAGAAAGGCCAGAAACGGACAACTCGCATGGTGCGCATGAAGCCGGTGATATCGAAATCGAGATCCGAACCCAGCTGCGTGCTTCCTGGCGAGAACAGCGGGGATGCAGACAGCGATCATGAACTGGTAGCGATTGCCGAGACCCAGGTGCCTGGTGCTCCTCCTAACGACGAAAATATCCCCGTTGATTTTGAGGACAACGACTCGCTGCACACGATGTCCGACCCAGAGTTAGATTCGGACCTGGACCTGGACCTAGACTATCCAGCAGACTCGCAGCCGCTTGCGAGGAGCAAGAGCTTTTCGGAGAAGATGAAGGAGGCTATTGGGGTTGTCAACCCGCAACCCAAACACCAGCAGGACACGGCCAAAAAGTCGTCCCAAGCAAAGGAGAAAGAAAAGGAACCGGAGACTAAAAAGCCGTCAACACGGAAGATAAATCCCCAGGCACACGCCAACTACCGCTCGTTGAAGATCCGGAACAGAGGCAGTCAAGGCCGATACGGAAGGCGTTTTGGCCGTCGGTGAAGCGCGATGTCGACTGGTGTTGATTACTTATGAGCAACGACTAACTAACTATTGGTGCATTATTACTTATCATTGTTATTATCATTTGAGATACCATATGTTAGCGACAGATCATTACTCTACATATCATTCAATCGTGTTGCATTTACATAATCTCGTGAATCCTCTGAGGGTTTGAGCTCATCCCCGCGTTTAATCGGGTACATACCGGTCGCGGGCATACTGGACTCTTCTAGCTGTCATCTCGGGATCTCGAGCCCTTCCTTGGTTACGTGGTCCTCGAGAATAGCGCGGCTTAGCAACTCGTCCGCGAAAGGTAGGCCCACTATTCCTGTAAACCGGAGTTGATGTACGATCGGATGCCTCGAACTCATGGCGAGGCCGTTGAGTGGGAGTGTCATCATATTGAACGTGGCGGTCCCAGTCTTCCAAAGACATATAGGGACTTCGGAGCCAAGCCTGGAGTTCGTGTAGGAATAAAGTGGCGTTATCCCTACCAAGGAAGTCTCGTAGCAATTCTTCCGCCTGTCCTGCGCTACCCTTTATGTCAACGGTTCGAAGAATGGCGATGATATACTCCAGTAGAAATTCAGCGTTGTTCCCCCGGCGGCTTTGAAGCCTTTGCTGGCCCGCACGAGCCATCTGACTTTGGTTTGTGTCGGCCGCGCTATCAGGGTTGAGGAACTCGAAAACCTGGAGCTCACGTCGGATCCATTTGCGCGCGCGAGAAACAAGTTCCTCGTCATGGTTGAACATCTCTGGCGTAAGTTCGCGGTACTGCGAGATGCGATTGGAGCCAACACGAAGGGAATAGAGCTGGTTTCGATAGACATGTTGCCGCCTTCGAAGTGGATCGTCCGGTGACTGGGCTGGGGGGCTGCGCGGGCTGCGCGGGCGTCGCGGTCGACGAGAACTCCTGTGGAAAGGGGCCTCTAGGCGATAAGGAGATGTCCCGGCGGTTGCACCGGTAGATGACGGAGGGATGGCAGGTAGATGGTAGATTTTAGGGCCATGGGGGTTTTCGAGGTTGTACTTGACGGAGGAAATGTCACTCTTGCCTAAAGTCGCGAGTTAGCTCTAGCTTAATGCGGAGTAATGTACAAAGATCCCATACAGAGTGGACAATTCCGGCGCTGTTCCAGCCAGCTTACCAGACAAAGGAAGTCAAAGTTGGCATGATCGCACGGAACTGCTACCGCAGGCTCGGTGATAGCGTCGAGACAGATGACACAAAGGTCAACCACATCCTTCTCTTCCTGCTGTTCCTGTGCTACCTCCTGAAGTGTTCTCCGCAGAATCTGCTGCTGAAGATCGGCATCATCAGACATCAGTCGAGTGACGAACTCAGCCCAAAAGAATGTTGCCCTGCTGAGTTGGTTGAGAAATGGAGAAGAGCTTCTTCCATCATGGAGCCACGGCAGGCGCTATCGAAGGCGGTCACGTTATCGACGGCCTGCCACTTTTTTTTCTGGAAGGGTGTGGACGGCGCCTACGGTTGCCAACATTTGTTTGCTAAAGGACCAATGTACTAACTGAGACGACATTTGTATGACACACTGGTGCTCATGTTGACGGGAATATGAATAGAAGATCTGCAAAATCAGTCATCTCTGAGAAGTACGCGCGCTTCACCTCCGCAGCAGCTATGGCGCGCGGACCAGTCAACGGGTCGTTCCTCCCAGAATATCAACGATCCCCTTCGCGGACTATTACAGGTTTAAGACGCTGGTCCGTCGTCAATAATGAGCTTCCAGGTGAGCGTGGTCCTCGATTTCTTGACTCTTTTCTGTGTGAGGGGACGAACTTGTATGACTGACACTGTACTGTGTTCTATCGCTGTAGGGGCACCGCAGGTAAAAGCGATTCACGTGTATGACTTCGACAACACATGTAAGGCCAATTTCATGACTTGCATGTGTCTTTGCCCAGACTGATTGTTTTACTCAGTGTTCTCGAGCCCTCTCCCGAACCCACAGCTCTGGAACGGTCCAACCATCGGATTTCTACAGGCCTACGAGAGCTTTGCGAATGGCGGATGGTGGCACGATCCTAAGCTGCTGGCAGCTACAGGAGATGGAATAGAAAAGGAAGAACTTCGTGCTTGGGAAGGATGGTGGAATGAGCAGATTGTGCGATTTACGTGAGCTCCACATGTGTTGACGAGATGACTGATTGCCTCTAGGTGCAATTGGTTCAACTGAGCATCAAACAAAAAGATGCCCTGACAGTGCTCCTGACGGGTCGAAGTGAAGCTGGCTTTTCAGAGATACTCAAGCGCATCGTGGCTAGTAAGAAACTAGAGTTTGACCTTGTATGCTTGAAGCCCGAAGTTGGGCCTAATAGCGAGCGCTTCTCGACAACCATGGTGTTCAAACAGACTTTTCTTGAAGACCTCATTCTCACCTATGAGCAGGCCGATGAGATCAGGGTCTACGAAGATCGTGTGAAGCAGTGAGTCGGAGACCAGCCAATGAATGCCCACTAGCGTTAACCTATTTCCAGTGTGAAAGGCTTTCGGGAATTCTTTGAGAAGATGAACCGAAGGTTCCAGTCTGAGAAGGCCCCCGATTCAAGGAAGCCAATCACTGCAGAGGTGATTCAGGTAGCAGAAGGGTCTATGTACCTCTCCCCTGTAATTGAAGCAGCTGAAGTGCAGCGTATGATCAACTCCCATAACCTTTCGGTCCACAACCCGGCACTCAATGGGACCAAATCGCCATATGGTCGGCTACACATCAAGCGTACTATATTTTACACTGGCTACCTGCTATCCAATGCAGATTCTGACCGTTTAATCAGCCAAATATTGAACCCATTGCTCCCCCCCGGGCTCACTGACTCAAATGACTTGAAGTTTATGGCTAATAGTATTTTAATCTCACCTCGACCAGCGTCCCGCTCCCTTCTGGACAAGGTCGGTGGCCTCGGCAAGAAAGTGAAATGGATGGTTGATGGGACTGGCGTCTTTGAGAATAAAGTCTGGGCCGCTCGGCTTAAGCCTGTGCCAGCGACAGAGAAATACTACACAGAGAACCCAAATCCTTTCGTGGTCCTAGCGGTACGCAGAGGCGCGCGTCCCATTGATGCTTCAAAAATCCAGAATTGGCACCCCGTCCCCAAGGATAAAGCTTTGACCCTCGACAGTGTGGTAGCCGAGAAAGTTGTCCTACGCGTCGAAGAGGAGAGCCCGGGCGATGGCGACTGGGAGTACTCATTCATGAACAAAAGTAGCAAGAGGCGTCATCAGCAAGAACGCGACGAGGAGATTCTGTACCCAAACCACAGCAGTGCTGGAGGCCCATCGCACGGAAGACCGCATCACTCTAGCTCCCGCCATGCTGGTAACTCGCGTGCTCCACATGATGATGGGCCCCGTCGTGGCGGATCATATCGCGGCCGTGGTCGTGGTTCTGGTTCTCGAGCCAGAGGCCACCAAAGTCGGGGAGGAGTTCGTGGCAGAGGCCGTGGGCGTGATGCTGGCCCCCCTGGAGGCTACAAGTCCCTCGATGATTACGGCGGGTATGAAGGAAGCGGCGGCGGAAGCTATGATGAGAAGCCAGGGCCGAACGGTGGAGCAGGCCCGGTGATGAATTACTAGCATGTCCTCAATTTCCACACATACCTTATACATCACAATAATATCCAAATGAACAATGCCACCGCATGAAGAATTGAAGTACTCCGTAACTGCAGGAATCTTGCAAGGTGAGAGACAGCCAAATGCGGAAGGTGGCGTGACAAGATCCACATCGCGTACTTTGTATAGCCTCAATATATTTTTAAAATTTCTGATTTCCTTCGCCCTTATCCGCCGCCTCCTTCTTCCCTCCCCCCGCCCAGTTCTGATCGGTGACCACCAGAGGAAGATTTTTCGGCATCTTGCTGAGTCAAGGTCAGTCCAACTGAGACATACTTGCCCCACAAGGGCCCTGATACTCTGCTGGTAGTCTCTGATTTAATTTAGCTTCATTAGAGCGGATCTGTGCCATTGGTTCGCCCGGTCCCTGGTGCTGGGCAACATGATCAATTTTGAATTTCAGGCCGGGCCCAACTATTTCTCTGATACCGACCGGCGACTGGACTGAAAGGGTCTTAGGGGTCTTCGGCTCGCGGCTCGCCTGGCATCCTCCCAGTTGAGGGCGATCTGCCAATTGGTCTTCACGCGAACACAGGATACTCCAAGTTTCTAGGCGCAGTGAAAGCCCCAATACGATTGATTCTTGGCATCAGCCATTCTTCACCCATCCCATCGGACCCATCCTATCGTTGGCAGAGTTGCGAGTCCGAGGAAGCCAGAGATGAGCCCGGCTCTGACCTCCGGGATTTCGAAATCCACCAAATTTCTACCTAGCATTTGGCAGACATGTCTTCCCCCGCTTTCCTAAATTGCAATGTCACTTTGGTAGTGGATACGGCTTTGCTCGTGTCTTGACAAGTTGAGACACCAACACAGGCCTAAATACAAGGTGCTGCCCTCCGCGAGGTGGCTTGTGGAGAAATGCTGTATGACCGCTGCCGGTAGACACATACACCCTCTCCCAGCCTCAAAATCTTTGGGTGCCTTAGAAGGATGGTGAGCCAGTATTCGCTCGATATACGACTATCGCGATGAATTATCTCCTTCTGGTTGCCATTTATGCCGTTGATTCACTTGCGCTTGGGTTGAGGCCGGCAAAAGGCTTCTCCCCTGCTTATGCATCGTTGGCTGGTGAAAAGACATCTCAGGCTCTACTTCACCAAAGCTCGTATGACCTGTCATCGTCAGGTTACTTACCTCTAGCCAACGAGAGAACCTCCCTTACTCTGCTGTATCAAAACAACCTAAATATATCCGACCATGAGAACCATGTTGGGACAATTGTTTTGGACCCTATGGGGCAGCAGGATATTCGCGATGCATGCGAAGAGCTCGGAGAATCAATGATTTCCTTTTCCACCATCATAGACCACAAGGACGACTTTCGCTGGATGTTTTCATATCTCTTCTACTCGAATGGGCAAAGAGGGCAGGAAGAACACGCGCATTTCTATATTCAGGATGGTGTGCTGTCGGTCACCAAGGGCGTCGAGAATTTTAGCCACTACACTTTCCCTTCTCACAATCTTGAACTTCCAGTCTTATGTACCCAGACAAGCACTGGTAGCACGGCCGATCGTGGGAAGAATGCGAACCGGAAGCTGGTTCGAGTGAGGTCGGAAGGAAATACATACGTCGGATTTCGAGATCAGAAGTCGTTCCGGTTTTTGGGTATGCCATATGCTGATCCTCCAGCGCGATTTACTTATCCGGTGTTGTATTCGCCAAAGTCTCAATTTATTCGCGCGACAGAATACGGACCAAGGTGTACCCAAGTCGATGGTGGAGGTGAAGACTGCCTGTACCTGAATATCCAAACCCCTTACATTCCGAAGGCCAATTCTAAAGAGAAGCTGAAAGCGGTGCTGTTTTGGATACATGGCGGTGGATTCACTGGCGGATCGAGTGCAGATCCTTTGACGGATGGAGGGAATCTGGCGTCCCGCGAAGATATCGTTGTTGTTTCGATCAACTACCGACTCTCAACACTGGGTTTCCTAGCCGTTCCGGGGACGGATCTCCGTGGAAACTATGGAATCGCAGACCAAGTGCTTGCTCTTGAGGTAACTCTGCGGGACTCATATACCCTCCACAATGCTAACAAGTACAGTGGACAATAAAAAATATTGCACAGTTTGGAGGCGACCCGCAACGAATCACAATTGTCGGCGAATCAGCTGGTGCTGGATCCGTAAGAGTGTTACTGGGCTCTCCGCCTGCCCTAGACAAGTTTCAACGTGCGATTGCCATGTCAAATCTGGGCGGTGGCCTTGGACTTGGGCTCGAGAGCAGTTATGCAACAACCTACAGTAGCTATCTATCTATTTCTGAGTCCTACAAGACCGCCGGTCAGGACATATTCTCTGGAGCTGGGTGTAACAAGGGGGACATCGAGCAACAAGTGTCCTGTTTGAGAAAAATCCCAGCATCTACTCTCGTGAACCTACCCACTGTCGCACGTTATGTTGTTCAGGATGGAAACTTTGTGAACACGACAGAACTAAATCTCATCGAGAAGGACGCAGGGACAGCGCATGTGCCTGTCATATTCGGAAACACGGCAGATGATGGTGCTTCCCTAATTACGTACCCTTCAAGCGAGGTTCAGACCCAGCTAGAGGGACTTAAAGAGGCCTTGGGAATCAGCACGAAGTATGCTCAGAGCATCATGGATTCAGGCCTCTTCCCGTTATATGATACAGGCAACATAACTCTTGATTCCTTCAACGTCTCCCAACGTATAGCCACCAATCTACAAACCCGCTGTACCAGCCAAGCCACAGTGTTTGCCGGCGCTTCATCCGGCGTATTCGAGTCGGCATACTACTATCAGATGCATCGCACCTCTGGCGGATATGATCCGAACAACTTAGGGGGCCCTGCAGCGACATTGGACTTCCCAAAAGGCGATCCAGAGCTACCATACTTTCGTCTGCATGGCTCAGATCTACCATGGGTTTTCGGGACCCTACCCTCCCTCAGAGACGCTCTTGACCTGTATTCCGTCCAACTTATATCGGCCTACTTCGCGGAATTCGTCCGATCCGGTCAACCGAACCCGGCTCTTGATTTCCTAGATGCACGTGGGTACCAGCGAACTAAGGATGCAGTCGATGCATTCGGTAGATGGGAGCGCGTCTCCCACTCCGAAGGACCTATCCAGCTCCTCGATTTCCCCAGCGACAAGGGAAAGTTTCAGGATCTAGACCAATGCGCGTTCTTAGGCTACCCAATAATACACTACCTGGTTTAAATCTATACCCGACAACAAAGTTTCTCTAATATGAAGAAGATAATACCAATACTTCTAATGATACCAAAATCTTTTTACTATTTCACTTACCCTGTCTTTATTTTATTGCCCTCTCTCTCTCTCTCTCTCTTATACCCCTTGTTTTTGTTTACATTATAGATATAGAGATGATCTAAGCAGCAGACAGCTTTGGTGAACAAACCCTGTCTGTGATTTATTTATTATAGTAAATGAATAAATAATACTAAATACAGAAATAATTGATTAATTCCAAGAGATTACAATAACATGCAGAGGAAAGAAAGTATATAAACTGGAAAAAATAGGGCGCACCACTTACTTCACTTGTAGTATAACCTTATTTTACCAGGGAGAATCTCTAATTAAACAAGATATTTATGTAGAATTTCTCATAAAAACTAAAATTAGGGTGTTCATTTGATTTGAAAGGCCTATTCAGTGGTAGTTGTTTATTGCTTGGTTAATGTAATTTATTGAGTAACAATCCAAATAATGTTGTCTTATCCCAGTACCCAGGTCCATACCTAATTGTCATGACATAAGAAAGAAAGGAAGAAAGAAGAAGAAGAAAAAAAAACAAAAAAAGAGAAAAAGAGATCACTCTTTATACATCGCAGCAAATAGCCATCGAAGATAATGCTCCAAAGGGGAAGTGTACATGTGCAAATAGGGGGCATAAAAACTAATGAATCAAATATTGGGTTGCTTGTTTGATGACTATCCGGACCCTAGTCTGTTCATCAGGTCGTCATTATCATCATTTTCTTCATAATTATCGAGTACTCGTATTATTCGTGTGTTGTTCGTTGTATCGTGGTGTGGGTGTCGTAGAAGGGTAGAAAGGGGGAATATCTTTTCGCATAAAAAAAAAAAAAAAACAAAACAAACGAGGCAAGAAATTCAAAGCAACCATGCATGCATTTCCTGCATTTAAGGCCCATCATCTGTTAGTTGGTTTAGCAAGCGGAGGCTCAGGATCATGAGTAGCAATCCTATCGTCACGATGACCATGAGAGCAAAGGCGAACCAACCCAGCACCATCGCTGAAGTACCAACACCACTCTTGACACTGCCGTTCCCAAGATCTTGGGCGATTGTACTTGCAGCTACCGACGCTGTATGCTGCCATAAGACTGACACCAGCACAAAGACCGAGGCCACAAAGATCAGGGCTAAGGCGACCTGGGATACAGGACGGGAAGGGAACGCCTTGATTTCGACTTCAGATCCTTCAGGATCCAGATGCTCGTGCCATCCCGGGAATGTTGCAAGGAGGATGAAGCAGAAGAATGAGAGAATGACCGCGATAATACTAAAAGCTGTTAGTAAAATGTGTTTCACATGGAAAATGGTAAAATTTGGACGTACATCAAGTACGGGAAGACAACCGCATCCTTGAATGTTGATGCAACCCAGATCAGATTCAGAGGATCTTCGTCAACAGTAACAATCTCTGCTAATGCTGTAGCATTGGCATTACAGATGTAAGATCCACTGTCTGGCTGAACACAGATTCCAAAATAGCCCACGCGAACTTCCATTTGCGCTCCTCTCACGATGTTCGCTGTGGCTGTCACAACCCCTGGATCCACTTGGGCGAGATTAAAGACAGGGTCATAGTGCTGATAGTATAAAGAGATGAGGAAGATGTTAGGTATTTGGGGAGAAGAGGAGGAACATCCGGCCAGTAATAGGGCTGCAGACAGACGTTAGCTACATTCCAACCCACCAAATATGAAGAATGACTTACAAAGAAGAATGATAATGAGAGCAATGATAATCATGAGCACATGATGGTAGCCAATCATTGGAATGAACCCTGTGTATAAATTGTTAGCTGGTCCCTGTTCTCATTGCAATAACATAGAAGCGCAACTCTACATACGGCTCCAGCCGCCGGCAAATCTGAACGACGGCATCTTAATTGACCAGCACCTTGTCTATGCTTGTCCTATCCTTCACTTCAAATAGTGCACTCACTTCTCGGACCTCCGAGAAGGAGTAGCTGTCGCCTTGCGCGCCTTGTCTAGCACCTATATATGCCCACTGCGTTGCGACTGGGGTAAACAAGTCCAGCCCACGTCAACCTCAGATGGCAACTACCGAGTGCTAGTAGCCAGACGGATCAAACTTGTCGGTCCACGCAAAAGAATGCAGCAATCGTGTGTTTGGAATGCGAGGGTCAAGTGTCGAGAATAACGATGGAAGGAATGTACGCCAGCTATGAGACGGGACGGAAAACCTGAGAATGCACCAAGTTTGTCAGAGGTTAAAAAAAAAGAAAAATTTCTAAATCTGTCGCCCACAACCCCAGGATTGGGAACCAGGGGTGGTGATAGCGAGCGAGAATGGGGAATTGTCAAGAGGGGTATAATGGGATGGAGAAGGTAGAGAGAGAGGGAGAGAAGGGGAAAGTGAGAGATCGTATCTGGACCAAATCCACTCTTGCAGCCTAAAGGCAATATGCGGCTTCCTGCCACCGAATTTGCAAAGCGAGCGAGCGTCACCACCTCTGGATGAAAAGTGGGATGGTGATGATAGTTGGGTGGCTGGGCCATCTGTCTCCATACAACGAGCAGAAGAACTATATCGGGAGGCTGGGCCAACGCCAACGGCCTTTTGTTTACGCAGCCCGTTTCCCGGTAACCAGACTCACCGCCTGCCGGTTTCAGATATCACGCACAGTCAGATCGAGTCCGGAGATCGCGCTAGTCTATATAGGGAATAGCCCAAGAAGCATCTCCACAACGCGTTCACACGTGACAATGTAACATGTGACATTCCCAAGATGGGACCCTGAATTATTCTGTAGGAGAGAGCTAATCATTGCCTTGCTGAACTCTACATTATATTTGTGCGGACATCAAGAGTCATGTTAATACTCAACATCTATTCTGTCTGCTAGTTAAACGCTCACTGATGTACTAGCGGATGGAGCCCAAATACTCCGCAACTCAGTCCACAAAACTACCTCCAGAACACCAAGTGCTGTCAATAGATTCCAAAAGGCAACATAAACACCAAATAAAAGAGTCAATAACAATAATCCAAACTCCAATACACCTTATCGTACTCCCCGAAAATGTGCCATGCGGCCTCACCAATGTATGCTTTATTTGTTCATAAAAGAGAATCGTTTCAGATCCAAAGATGCCAGTCGTGATTGAGCCGGAAGAGCACTGTCATCTTCCAAGTGGTCTTCGTCTTCACTATCAGGGGCTATCCAGTCTTCACTGCCTTGGCTCAAACGGAGGCTGACCGGCATGCGAGACCCGCGGGCCACCCTCTCGGATGAAGTTCCCCGCATGGTGGAGCTTCTCCACGCCGGAGGAGACGCCGATAACCCGTCCAGGGATCGAGACCTAGCTAGGGCACTTTGACCTAATCGTTGTAGTGGGGTTAGCCGCTTGTTGCAGACAGGGCCTTCTACCATGCCTTTATTATTTAGCTCTCGAAGAGGGGGCTTTTGCGCTACACAATCGTCAGGGCGCTGCGCGTTCGGACTAACCCCATTGCCGCCAGCTTTGAAAGCGTACTTTGAAAATGCTGCAGAGTTTTGCCGCTTGATGTGATATTCGAGCACTTGGTGAAAGACTTGTGGATCGGAATCGACATTCACAACCTTGGACGGCGTTTTGGAGGTGGTAGGAGTGTTGATATTTTCCTCAGGCCCGATTTGCGCAAAGTCTGTCTTACCCCCAGTTGTGCTTGGGAGCGACTCATCATTCACATTGGCGGTGCCATTGCCTTGAGTGGGCTCGCTAGGTTGACTGAGTACCTTGAGCTCCTGCGTCTCATTTTGTGGCTTCTCGACCGTTTGTGTAGGGTCTGGAAGCTGCGACATAATATCCTCTGCCAAGTCATCGGAGAAAACGTCGAGTGTGGACTTGCGCACTTTCTTATTTCGATTAAACTTAAGCCCACTTGGACTGGATTCGTTCTGAACCTGTGAGAAAAACCGGCTGCGATAATCTGGAGTACCGGTAAGGCTTGCTTCGTCTGCCTCAGAGCATAGTCGTTGCCGCTTTACCGACTGCATAGTGGATAGCTTGGAGGCTCGGGCCAGAAAGGAAGACCGCTCTGCACTTCTCACTAGTGGACTTGACAATCGGTTTGACGGCGCGTTTGCAGGCGCGGACCTAACACCAAGGGGCCGGGAAGGTGCGGGGCTGCTCTCCCAGGAAGTGTTAGCATGACGCTCAAGTAGGCGTTGCTGGTTTGGTGATGGAGTGAGGCTATTCGGATCCAGCTCAGCAAGGGGGACACGTTTCGGGGTAAAGAACGAGTTGATAGGTTTAGATGGCTTGAGCTCGGCGGATGAGCCTATTGTTTGTCGTCGGTGTATGGAGTTTGCCAGCCTGTTCGCTGCTGTCTTACTCAACCCCAGTGATTTAACAATGAGGGGCTTTTTTGTCGTCGGGTCCAAATCTCCACGAGCAACCCCAACGGCGATCTCAGCGTCCATATCGCCACCAATAAAAGGAAGTTCTTCTAACTTCACATCACCATCTGGAATTGTCAATGTCACCAGTTTTCCTGCCTTTGGACAAAACACTCGCTGGTAAAGGAAAGTAAGTTCGGCTTGTTTAAAATCCTGCAGGTAGTTCGCAGGTACACGGTACTGGCCGTCAAACTGGAGCATTCGCAGAGCCTTTTCCACCGTCTTATACTTTCGAATGCTCCGGTAAGCCGTCTTCAACCCCATGCGGGCAATGTTAGGCAAGTAGTCGCAGCCACTGAGGATACACATTTGGCGAAAGTCTGCGTCTGTCCATCCAACAAAGCTAACCTCTCGGCAGGATGTGAAGTCGGATCGGCGAATTTCAATACAGTCGCCGTGCTGATCAAGCTTCGATATTAAGCACTTGGCGCCGAAAACAAGGAGATCAGAGTCCTCGGATATGATACCATCAATGAGACCTTGCTGTTCCAGATAAACAAGCTGCGCGTCAGCCTCATATGGGGCGACCACGTATTGAACATCCATCTTCTTGAGCTCTTCAATCAGCTGACGGGCCATCAAAGGCGTCACGTCCACCGCTTTCTGGAACTCCTGGTACGCCTCTGCCGTCCGACCTTTGCGCTGAAGTTCCATCCCCAAAGCCTTGCTATCTTGACGTTTCTGATACCGATCTGATTCCGTTCCCGATTTACTCGGGAGGTTGTCACCATCGAAGACCAAGTATGGGGAAATTCCGAAGTACAGGAGCATCCGGACCCGACTCAGCACAAAATCAACATGTCTAAGTTCATGTCAGCAACTGTTTTATAATCGCATCGTGCCAAAAAGATACCCACTTTGTGGTCGGACGATCCAGAACCAAATCGACAGCACAGGCGACAGTACCACGATGCAACCACCCATATGCGTCCACGCCCAGGGTTTGTCCACTGAACTTCTTCAGGTGGCATGGTTTTTGGATTGATTTAAGAAGGCCATGAAGTCCTAAATATCATATTAGCAATACAAATCTGGACAGACTGAAGCGGACATCCCGTAATACCTTTAATGCCCATGGCGAGCACAAACGAACCCGATACCTCCCTTGGCTTTGTTTACAGTACCAGGGCAGACATCAGCGACAGTAAAAGCACGACAGAAAAGATGGTGAGTGGAGGAATGAGGAAAGGGAGGTCTTAGGAAGTAGAGATAAAAGCTGCAGCAGCTACGCATGCAATTTCTTGACGAATGACCCCGACAACGAGAATGGAATGCTTGACTTCAGGCTCATCGGTCTTATCCTTCCCCAAAACGCGTAGAAAAGACGCGATGACTGACGGCCATTCTGATTGGCTCCTGCTAGGCGGGTTTAAGTTACCTATATACCGCCCAGCGTTCTGCCGGCAGAAACAAAAATCCCCCCCCCCCCAAAAAAATCCAGACCAAAAGAAAGCGGAAATTCCAAGAGGACCGAAGAACTCTTTTGCAATAACGAACAATCTCGCGGAAGTTGTTTCAAGAGCATATATATTGGTATTCGCCATGCCGAAATCTCTACAAAAAGTTCACAAACACATCGCTAAGAAGCGCGGAGTGGTCGACGCCCTGCACGAGAATAGCAGAGATGCGAAGAGACTGCGGAGGGCAGGTGCTAGAGATGATCGAGTCGCTCGAATCACAGCAGTTATGGCCAGAGGCAGGCAGACATATGGTAGATGCTACTGCTACTCCGGCGACCCTTACTCCTCGCACAATTGGTTATGTTATATCTAACCTTTTCACCTCTAGTGGACCGCATGACCTATTTTCAAGAAGCAATCCCAGAAGGAACTGTATCATTTTCAGACGATGACTTGACAGACTTAGTCGTGAGGTGCGCATACATTCAACCCAATCAGAAGTTTTCTTCAAGGCGAGATTAAGGTGCTGATTCTATGGGATTCAAGGTTTATTAATCGCAGCGTGCCTGAGATCGAGCAATTACAGAGTGAACGGCGGAAAGGACGACCTCCCACCAAGAGAGAGGAGGCGCTACTGCAGAGAACCGAAGCTGAGAATAAGGAGTTTAAGACCGGGTTCTGGATGCCTGATCTGAGCCAGGAAAGCGTTGTTAAGGGTCTGGTGGGCTGGAATGGAGATTGGTCTAGTCTCAGTTCTATGAAGTTCATCCGACTGACAAAAGAGACTGGGAAACAGGCTTCAATTTTCCCACCGAAAGGCCTATCGTGATACCTTTGATTTTATTTTATATTTTTCCTTTGATTTTCTGCGACTTTTCCTCTTAAAACTTCGAACGACTCGGACATGATCTCGTTCAATAACCACACAGGATAATGGTGTTATGACAGCATATGCATATTTGGTTTCTCGCATTATGGTCGTGCAAGAATTGTAAAATCCTACTGAAGCGTTGCTCAGGGTAAATTTAGAAAGCTCCAAAAGGTCTTGGCGCCGCGGGTCCTGATTTGGAAATCGTCACATCATCAGTTTTGCCTTCTCCGTTTCCTTTCTTCCATCCGTCAACACACCCAAAAAAAACTTCCACAATTCTCCTTGCTTTTCACATCAATCACTGAATATGTTTTCCGTACGCGCGCTTGCCCGTTCGGTGCCTCGCACTCTCTCTCGCTCACTTGCGATCTCCTCCCGATCCGCTCTGCTCCGACCTGTTCCCGCCCCAAAGAATGTTTTGCTCCAAACCTCTTTGAAGCAAGCTCTCCAGCCCTCATGCGCCGCATTTTCAACATGCAAGGCTGTCAAGCAAGCTGAAGGTAAGAAATTCCATTTTCATTGCTCGAAGAAATTGATTGGATTCGTCATTGCCTCGAAGATTTTTATTACCCTAGAACTTCTTTCGACAAACCCTTATTCCATAGCTAGCCAAAGCCGCAAACCAAAACATTCAAGTATAAAGGCTAACAGTTTTCTTGTTGTACTATAGGTGATATTGAGCTTGTTGCCAAGCTTGAGGATGAGCTGAAGCATGAGAAGGCTTCCGGTCTTGAGGACTTGGATAGCTCTGTCCAGAACATTCAGTATGTTCTTCAGAACAACTCCTGGGAGGTACGTATCAGCAAGCTAGACCTTTGGTGAGGTGAGTTGGTCTAAATTTGTTTCGGATAGGTCAAAGATGTTCCTGGAGAGCAGGAAGTTGTCCTGACTAAGAAATTCGGCGGCGAAGAGTGAGTCTCTTTCCCCCCCCCCCCCGGTTCATGTAGTTCATGGTTGTATTCCTTCATAACTAACCCTGTCTTTCTTCTTATAGGATCCGCCTTACTTTCACCGTTGCAGACCTCCAGAACTTGAGCGAACAGGAAGACTTTGAGGGTGCTCTTGCTGATGACCTGGACTTCCAAGGCCATCAGCCTGTTAACCAGGGCCGCACCGGTGGAAATATCGCTCAGCACCCCGAGGACCGTGTTTCTCCTGCAGACCGCGAATTTGAGGATGTGGATCGGGATTTGGAGCCTAGCTTCCCCGCCCGTGTCAATGTTACCATTGAGAAGCCTGGAAACGGTTCTCTTCTGATCCAGACTATCGCTCAGGACGGTCTGTTCCAGATTGAGGAAGTCTCCTACTTCTCCAAGCCTGACCTGGCTCATGCTCTTACTGCCGAGAAGGACTGGGCTAGGCAAAGCTTGTACGCCGGCCCTCCCTTCGAGAACCTTGATGAGGATCTACAGTCTTTCCTCGAGCGTTATCTTGAGGAGAGAGGTATCAATGCAGAGCTTGCGAACATGATCCCTGATTACATTCAGGTCAAGGAGCAGAAGGAATATGTCCGCTGGCTCGAGAGTACGTTGCTGAAAAAAATCCCTTTAGACAAAGATGACCACGTTGCTAACTGTCCCTCTAGGTGTCAAGAACTTCATTTCCGCATAAATCTGCGGGATTGACAGTTAATTTTTTTTTTCTTGAGCCTTCCACCCCACGACCCCTGCCCGAATCCCATCTCATAGTCTGTTCCTTATAGTTTTGTTCTTTTGGGGGGTGGGAAATTGAGGAGTTTTAGTGAGAGTCTTTGCTCTACTATATGATTCCAAACTCCGTGCTATGACAGGTGGATGGGGTTGTTAAGTAATTGATGGATGCATATGTATTAGTATAGAAACGAATCGAGGACCTGTGTAATTATGTCTAGCACTTGCTGCTTCATTTCATCTCGTGTAAGTACAGTAAGCAATTATGTATAACAATAACACTAGTATGCCATAAGGGTGCTGAATTATGACGCAATTTTCATCAACAATATGTACCAATGTACTCGTGCAGATTGCAATAGCAAGGAATTTCCAGAATTAAAAAAGACTCTCCGTAAACTCCGATCCAACCCGCTCCCAGCATAACCAAAGCAGATTTCATCACGACTAGCAGGAGACGAAAGAGGCCAAATACATGAACAACATAGCTTAAAATTCCATACTTTCGGTCTTGACTTCTGCATCGTCATTTCGCTCCCGTTTGCCGCTGCGCTCTTCCTTGAGAAGCCCCGCAATGAACGACCGGAAATAGTCCACATACGGCTTGAGGCTGGTTTTCTCATAGTCTTGTAATCTGCGACTCCCTCTAGCGTCTGAGTCGTTGGGAACGCTGCCTTCTCCCTCCACGGGCTCTTGGATGCCATTGCCGGGATGTTCCGCATCCCAGGCATCAATCTCTGAGAGCACCTGCGAGGCGGTAGGCACCGAAAGGGGATCGAATTGCGCGACATTCTTCATATCAATAGGAACACAGACACGTCCGGTTCCGGGGTGGATAACAAAGGGACTCTTGAGCAAGTGAATCATTTTCTTGCTGACTTCGGAATCCAGGCGCGGGTAAGTATATTCGAGTACGATGTCTTGTTTCGCCTCCCGCAGCGCAGTTGGGTTCAGGGTAGAGCTCTTGCCGGCCTTTGCAAGGGCGTCGATATCAGCCCATTTGCTGGTACTGGAGCGGCCCGGCGATGAATCCCATTTTCGGCGCAACGAATCATTCAAGTCTTTGTCAGGGAGCAGTGCTAATAGGCGCTGTGCTTGCTCCGAGCTCAAGAATGTGTCTTGGTCTATAAGGGTGGTCTGAGCAAAGTGTGGCATTAGCAGGTCCAGGCTGCGAGCCATGTGAGGGTGAAGTGGGCGCTTGAGGTTCACTCGTTTACCGCTCTGCGACCCGCCTCGGATGACATCTAGGTAGCCTGCGATAGCCTTTCGCCGGTCATCTGGAAGGCTGCGAGCCCTTGGGTCACAAACCCAGGCGTGAGCCCCACGACGTCCAGAGTAAACCCAGAGAATGTGTTGGAAGTTAAAGTCCTCCCGCAAGGCTGTGTCGACAACTTTAATAGCCATAGTCACGAAGGCCCAGCATTTTTCGCAAATATTAGCCCCCTCGCAGCAAGTTCGGATATCATCATAATCTGTTAAATCAATATCGAACACCAATTCTTTTGAAACAGGTTTGAGCTGGCCAGCCCTCATTGTCTTTCTATCCCGTGGGTTTGCATTATAGACCGGCCCGATTTCGAAACGAGAGGGGTTGATTTTTAGGATATCTTTGCGAAACCTAAAGTCACATATGTCAGGAACATCCAAGGAAAATATCCTAGAGGACTTCGCTTACAGGTCTGCGGTTGGATATGATTGATAACGTAGGTAAGCATCGTTCTGCAACGTCAAAGCAAACTCCCGGTTCCCAAAGTCAGCCGAAGGGACTATCCCATGGTTTAGCCACTGAAATAGGTAGCGAAATGGAAAAAGGCGCTGGTAGAAAGCTAGCATGATGTCTGGATCTACTTGGGACGCTTGATGTGCCGATATACTTTTAAAGACTGCGTTAGATAATCTGGTCCTGCGTGCTTTCTCCTTTCGAGAGCTTACTCGACATTTTGAGGTGACGGCGCTTTATTTGCGTCTGGCACACTGGATGCCGGGTATTCGTTATCATCTTCGTCGTCATCATTGAATAGGTCTTCAAGTTTCACATCCCCCCCAGCAGCAGTCTGGGTCGCATTGTTATCGGAGGCATTAGGCGCTGTGGTTATTTCAGGGGCATCTGGGAGAATCTCATCATCCTTGGGGGAGCCATCAGGAGAGATAGAGTGCGGCATTGTAGTGGTTTGGGTGTTGGTAAGTCGTGGACGACTCCAGTTGACTCTATTGTTCCCCAATCAATTAACGCGTCTCTCTCTCAAGACGCGTGACAAGACACGCTCACAAAATAGCCCTAAGCCCTAATTTCATGTCTCCCAATGCGGCCATATCTGGTCATGTGGCTGCACGTGATGGAATGTGCCTTTCCACCAATCATGGCTGCAAACGGACATCATCTCATTCCAATGGAAGGCCCTCAACTTCTACTCAACCCAATCGATATCCGTCGAGTCTACCTCGCCTTTGGTCCCTCTCAGGGCATTCAGGGACATCTCTGCTCCGAATCAGCCGTTTGCGGAAGGAACGATTTGCCTGAAAAGTTTCGTCTCTTTCGTTGGATGACACCTACACTTGCCCTGAACCCCTTCGGAGCTACCCACCGAGATGGAATAGAACACGAAAATAATGCTCGAGGAGCCTATCAGTGTGCCTACCACGTCTTCTTCTCAAGTTGGTTTCCTGATCCGGCCTACAAGGCTCTTTGCCAGTTTCGATTCATTGGCGAGCACCTATCGGGTTTGTCGCTTACAGGTACCTACCATGACGATGGAGCACATCGCCTTTCCCCGAGCGTCATCATTCATTTCAGGGTTATTGTCAATCGGAATAATGGAGTCGTCATTAGAATCCTGAATTCATGCTCAATACCCAGTACCCAGTACTATTCTTAGAATCTATGTATTCCTAGGAGATACCTGATCCGCTCGCCCATATCTCCTCTTACAGGCTCTCTACCCCCCAATGGTAACTTATTCCTTCCTTTTTTTAATTATTATATAAGATTTTCTCATGCTTGACCCTCGATCCTACTCGCCTACAATGTTGCAGGACCACAGCAGGCCCCCACATTCCAGAAATTAAAGGCTTTGCAAACTTTAATGGCAGTATACGACTCGTGTGCAGTAGCCATCCTCGCTATGAGCAAGCAAATTTGCCAGCTTAACACTAGCCTGGCTTTTCTTACTATTTTCCAATGCTCCGCATTACTCGCTAGCTTTGTGGGGAGCGAGAATTGTAATTTAGATGGCTTTCGATAGCTGGTTAGCATGCGGGTGATCTTCCAGGAACGCTCTCATACTCTTGAGGTGCCCTTGACCTTCCAGGAGCAGAGCCTTTTGCTCCTAATTTGTCTTGACATAAACAATCCTGCAAGCAAAGTGGTGACGCCATTATCATTGGATGGATCTTGGAGCTTGTCGTTCCTGCACAGAACATCTCAGGACATTTCAGGCTCCAGTGGACCCTGTGGGCTCCTCTCCTGGATGAAACTACATAATGTGACTCTCAGTTCTTGGCTAAGTGTCCTTCTATTAGTATACTCTTACCTTTTCGGTGCATTGGTTCCTTTGCTATCCATGGTCTTAATGTGACGCTGGACTTTGGCAGCCAACCATATTTGGGATATCCATCAATGAAGGTTTGTTCCTCATCATGAACCAGATACCAAGGATCCATATCTTTGGTGCAAGAGGATACTACAGTGCCATGAGTCCATCACCACTAGTTGGCAATCGCAAACGGTGGGTATATTCATCCTCAAAGTGATATAAACTTCGATCCCCTCGCCGTTACACAATTTCTTTCCATCCTATTCAACAACCTACTTCCTCTCCAGCAAAGGTCCTTCGCTGTTTCTTCACTCGTTTAGACTAAAAGTTTTCTTGTTTATTGCTCTTTCTTGAACCCTTTCAAAGCTTTTAATACATCTTCATAATGGTTAAGAAAACCACTGCCCTTCTGGCTTTGACCGGCCCAGCATTCGCTGGCGTCATCGGCAAAGCTTCTCCAAAGCACTCTGAGGTCGCGGTGACCACTGTTCCTACCTTGATCACCAGGACCACCACCTACACCACGACTTCTTGCCCTGGTAAGTTCTTCAAGGAGATTTGACGAATCCAGGCTAACGAGATACTGCAGTGACCTCTTCCGTTGTCACCTCCGGCAAGAAGACTTTGACGGTCCCGATTACTTTGACCAGCACCATTACCGTCACCACGACCTACTGTGAGGAGGAAACTCAGCCCGCCGTCACGGCGCCTACGGCGCCTACGGTCCCTACTGGAAAGCCTCGGCCTGTCCCAACAACTGGTAAACCCCAGCCTACCGGCAAGCCTCATCCTATCCCAACTTCCATTGTGAACCCGACTTCAATTGTGAACGAGACCACTGTCATTTCTGTTTGCCCGAGCTGCACCAAAACGCCTCCGGCTCCTTTCCAGAACACCACTGTTCCTGCTACCTCGACTACCAATGTTCCTGTTCCTCCTATTACTACCGGAACTGTCATTCCCGGAACTCCTGGTGTTCCCGGCACTGTTATTCCTGGCACTCCTGGCGTTCCCGGCACTGTCATCCCCGGCACCCCAGGCGCTCCCGGCTCTGTTATTCCTGGCCAGCCTGGTTCCCCAGCCACTGTCATTCCCGGCCAGCCTGGAGCCCCCGGCTCTGTTATTCCTGGCCAGCCTGGTTCCCCGGCTACTGTCATCCCCGGCCAGCCTGGAGCCCCCGGCTCTGTTATTCCTGGCCAGCCTGGTTCCCCGGCTACTGTCATCCCCGGCCAGCCTGGAGCCCCCGGCTCTGTTATCCCTGGCCAGCCTGGTTCCCCGGCTACTGTCATCCCCGGCCAGCCTGGAGCCCCCGGCTCTGTTATCCCTGGCCAGCCTGGTTCCCCTGCCACCGTTGTTCCTGGACACCCTGGCTCCGCTCCATCCAGCGTTCCCGGAGTCCCCGGCGCCGCTGGCTCCTCCACCCCCGAAAAGCCCGGTGCTCCTGGTTCGTCTACTACCGAGCAGCCTGTCGCCCCTGGTTCTACTTCTACTACCACTGGCGTCTCTACCCCTCATGCTTCCAGCGAATCCTTCACTGGTGCTGCCGAGAACGTGCGCCCCGCCGCCGGCCTCCTGGCTGCCGTCATGGCGATCATGGCTCTGCTGTAGATCGCTTGACCAACGACCCGGTCACTTCCAAGCGACAGCCAGCTATAACCTCAGAGCTTTAACGGGTTAGAAGGAAAACAAACAAAAAGCAAGAAAGAAAATATGGAGTTTAACGGTTTTTGTCTTTTTTTTTTTTTTTTTTCTTTTCTCCCTCTCTCCAAGGCCAGTTCCCTGCCCGGACATGATCCTCTCTCCATGTGCACGGATTTCAAAAAGATGCTCGGCACATCCATGCCCAGGGACTGTCTCTAGAAGGCTTGTCATAGTAATTTATAATAATATATCGCATTTTGCATTTGCATGCTTTTTATCCTCTTCTTCTTGTGCTTTCTCTTCTCTTCTCTTCTTTGCGTAGAACCAACCAACCCCGTCTCCGAATATTAATATTTGGTACACTACTTACTTACTTCCTTTACGACTTTAGTAAGAAGAGCCGAAAATAAGAATACTAGATACACACCTACCTAGTGAGTATCCATTGCTCTTTCTGCCTTGATTGGTGTCTTGACGTTGTTCTGTGCTTTCTCGCGGGGAGCTGGGCTGGCGTCGGTAATTCAGACTTGGGGAACGGGCTCGCTCCTATACAAGAACCTAGGTTATACACATCGGTAGAGTACGTATATATATATATATATATGTAGGAAATTCAATAAATCGATCGATACATATCAGTTCCTGGACCAATTACCTACAGAGGGAAACCAACCGAGTGTACTTTCAGAGTTCAAAGTCGGTTCTATTTTCAACTAGTCTATCCAGAGAACAACAACAGTGGTAAATAAAAATATAAGAGGAAGGATTTTCTTTTCCCTTCTCCGGGTCATACAGTATCATCATCGGAACTTTTTGCTGGACCAAAAAAAAAAAAAAAAAAAAAAAGGAGGATATTTTTATATCTAAAAAAGAAAGAAAGAAAAGTCCGGGATAGATGAATATGATGATGTGATATACGAACAAAAAAAAAAAAAAAAAAAAGAAAGGAAGGGAAATTCAAAGTAAACAAGGCAAACGATATCCCTAACGCAGTCCCTGGAGCTCCTGTTCAACCTCGGCCTTCACAATCTCACGCACACCCTGCCATCCGGCAGAGGCCCCAACGGGGGTAACTCTGCTCTCGCGCTCCTCGAGACCAATAAACTCCTGGGGCAGAACTTCCTGGAAGCTGTAGCCATCCTGACCCTGGAGGGAGAGATCAACGGCACTGGCAAACTTGGCCGGGTGAGCGGTGGAAAGGGAGATATGTTTTGTTCCCGGGTTGCGGGCGATAGAGCGCAACGAAGCATTAACAGCGATAGCGGAGTGAGGGTCGAGGATGTAGCCACCGGTCTTGGAGCTCTTGGCGCTTCCGGCCCCAAGGTTAGAAGGGAAGCAGGTGTTGTAGGTGGAGCGGATCTGGGAGATGGTCTCGTCGTTGCTGACGCGCTCACTCTCGAACTCCGCCTTGGCAGCGTCGAGGACGGCAGCGGGGACGCTGAAACCGCCTTGGGTTTTAAGCTGGTTGAGCCAGCCGCTGACGCTCTCCGAGGCTTGCTTGCGCTTCTCGGCAACGGAACTGGCGGTGCTGGTCTGGAAAGCCAGGAACCACAGGAGACGCTCGAAGTTGCTGCTGACGAGGATGTCCATGGCGGGGCTGTGGGTTTCCTTGACACCCATGCCTTGGGAGTCGTTCTTGGAGTAATTACCGCCGCTACGGAAGAAACGGTCAAGAATGTCGTTCTCATTCGTGGCGATGACGAGCTTGTCTGCGGCAAGTCCCATCTGCTTGGCGAACCAACCAGCCAGGATGTCGCCAAAATTGCCGGACGGCACGACAAAGCGAACCTGGGAGTCCTGGGTGAAACCGGCGGTCTTGGTGACGGCAAAGTAAGAGTAGAAATAGTATGTGATCTGAGCGAGGATGCGAGCCCAGTTGATGGAGTTGACGGCGGCGAGGTTGTGGGTAGAGTTGAGCTCGGGGTCGGCAAAGAGGGCCTTGACGATATCTTGGCAGTCATCGAAGGAGCCATCGACGGTAAGATTGTGCACGTTGGGGTCCAGGACAGTGGTCATCTGAGCTTGTTGGATGGGGGACACCTTTCCCGTGGGGAACAGGATGAAAATAGAAACGTCCTTCTTGCCGCGGAGGCCGTAGATGGCAGCAGAGCCAGTGTCGCCGCTGGTCGCGCCAACGACTGTAAGGTGATGTCTGTCCTGATCCTGCTTATCTTGGTTCTTGCGCACCAGGAAGTACTCAAACAGGTTTCCAAGGAACTGAAGAGCCACATCCTTGAAGGCAAAAGTCGGTCCGTGGAAGAGTTCGAGGAGGTAGAGGTTCTGCTTAGGGTCCAACTCGACAACGGGAGTGCGTTCGGAGTGGCGGAAGGTCGCGTAGGAGCGCTTGATGATGCCCTTGAGGTCTTCGGAGGGGATTTCCGATGGTGAAATGTACAAGGACATGATCCGGAAGGCGAGATCTTCGAAACTCAGATCGCGCCACTCCGACTCCCACGAGGCGGGCAGGGCAGGGATTTCCTCGGGGATGAAGAGGCCCCCATCCGAGGCCAATCCCTTCAGGACGACATCCTCGAAGGACAGCTACACCGGCGTACAGAGCATGGTTAGCCACCAAGAAGGTCAACCTGTCGAGGATTTGTGCGGGAAGGAATCCTTCTCCGTGTGACTTACTCCGTAGGAGGCACCCCGCGTACTCAGATATTTCTGGGAAAGGGTATGCGACATGATTGATAACCAGCGAAAATTCAGATCAAATTCAGATCAATGCAGTCGAGGGTGGGAGATCTAACTCTTAACTCCCTCGCCAGGCAAGAGAATGCGGATGAATTCATTCTCAATTTCTCATCCAAAACCCCGCGGCGGGGAGTCTCTTGCCGTTTTCGCTCTAGTGGCTCCGACAGCGGCGTGGTCGGATCACGTGCGGGACCGGTTGGTTCTCCATGATGATTGATATACACAGGATCCATGATAGTTAACTATGTACATTACTTGATTATACGATCATCTGGTGTCTAGTCTAGTGTTCCTCCTCGTTGACTAACACGTAACGGTACCGTGCTTTGCCGTTTTCCATATCGACAATCGCCTTATTGGCGTCCTTCATCGGGACCTCCTCGATCCAAGGCTTCAACCCCTTCTCCGCCGCGAGAGCCAGCATCTCTCTGATGTCATCCGGGCTTCCGATAAAGGAACCTCCGATCCTAAGACGACGCCTAAGATGAGGGATGGGGGCGTTGAGCACCCCGTCGTCCGGCAGGCCAACTTGGACAAAGCTGCCGTCCGTGGCAAGGAGGCCGATATATTCAGCCATGGGCATCTAAAATCAACCATGGTTAATCTCACGCTAGTTGGCTCGTAGTGTAGTAGTAACATACCTTGGACGAGGACACTGTGCAGACAATAATATCCAAGGTGCGAGCGTATTTGGTAGCCCAGTCGGGCTCGTCATCGGTAGCGATGTAGAGATCCGCCCCCATCTTCAGCGCATCCGCGCTCTTTGCGGCCTTGCGCGAAATAGCGACGACCTTGTCCGCGCCCATAGCCTTGGCGAACAGGACACCAAAGTGACCGAGACCACCAAGGCCAATGATACCCACCCGCTTCCCGGGGCCGCACTGGTTGTGCTTGAGAGGGCTGTAGAGGGTAGCACCGCCGCAGAGCATAGGTGCGGCATCGGCGGAAGGAATGGCGTCCGGGATCTTGACAACGAAATGGGCGGTCGAACGGTTATAAAGCGCATACCCACCATAGGACTTGTCGCCATTCAGGTGGACGCCGTTGTAGGTGCCCACCATCTTCTGTTGACAGTACTGCTCCCAGCCCATGGCACATTCGGGGCAGTCCCCTAGACGTCCCAAGCAGGAGTCGTTCTGGGCCCCAACTCCCACACGGTCTCCCACTTTAATGCTGCCGTCGGTCTGGGAGCCGACACGGACGGCGATTCCCACAATTTCGTGGCCCACGCAACAGGGGTACAGCGCAGGTTTCTACTCCATCTAGATGAGCGGACCGGACCGGGATTACTCGCTTCTCAGAGAAAGAACTTGATCGAACTTACCCAGCCACTTCGAAGCGTGTGCAAATCCGAGCCACAGACACCGCAGTGGGTGACCTTGATATCGATGTCGGTCTCTTCCCAGGCCTTGGGCTCAAACTCCTGCCAGACCATATTCCCATCAGCCGACTTGGGGTCCAACCCCATCCATCCTTCAAACTTGTAGTCCTGCTGGGCCATGGTTGAACACTTGACGATGACGACAAGGGGAAGAAGAGGAAGAATAATACACAGGACAGAGGAAAAAGACGGGAAATCCAGCACTTTTAAAGTGGAGGTCCGTTATCAGTACGTACCCACTTTCCATCGGCCAGCAAGAAGCAATAAGAAAAAAAAAATCCTGAAATTCGGGATTAATAATACCCAGATTTGGGCGCTTTCCGGTAGACTGTCTGTCAGGAGAGTCCAATTGGATAGAAGGATAGAATGGAGGAGTTGGATGTTGTGCGTCATAATTTACTACCCAGCGATATCTCTCGCATTCTGCCCTTTTTGGGTTTAATTTATAGTTTTCTTCTTCGTCTTTTTTTTTGCGTATCGTCACAGACCTATTACCAGGTTCGATTACAGCGCGAGGGGATCGTCTCGAATCGATTCTTTCCCAGCAATCTAAGGCTTCATTTACTCAACAGTAACAGGTCTATTTTTTCCAGAGACTGGGTCAAGACCTCATAGGAAACAATGCTGAAATGGGGGGGGGAAGGGGAATGCGATATACAAAAAGGTACATACATGTGGCAGGAAGTGAATAGAGGCATACCAGTGGAAGCGTGTGATGATTGAATGGTTAAGATTAGGAGGCTGTATTTTCGAATTACAGCCATCTTGTGGGTCCCCTTGGCTGATATTTCTTCAGCTATAGAACTGACATTTCTTGGCCAAGAAAGATGTTTGTGCTCCCCTTACTCAAAACAGGGACATGATGTCCTCGTTGGTCTGCTTGGGCTGGCTTCCTCCTGGCGGAGGGGACATACTGTTTCCGGAAAGATCGAGCCCGGCAAACCCGTTCATGAGGTCAGCCCCAGCACCACCATTAGGAGCCGCACTTGCACCCGCTGAGGACATGGCACCGCCATCCCCAAAGACACCAAGGAGGTCATCTAGATTGTTGGTTGCTGCTGCAGGGGCACCAACTGCGGGAGACTCGACCCGAACAGGAGTGCCCGCGAGACCTTCAAGACCGGACATACCGCCACCCGGCTCCTTGTGAGCTGATGCTGGTGCCGTGCCGTCAAAATCAATATCCAGGAGGTTTTCGACGTTGCTTTGGGTTTGCGCAGGGGCACCCGTAACGGCCGCAGCGGTAGCGGCAGCCAATGGGTTTTCGCGGGCATTTTGAATTTGCTCCCTAAAATTATACATCAGCAAATCGGTCCCGAGAAGACAAAGGAAATCCAAGGAAGGGGGCATACTCAATAGCCGCCTTCTGAACGGCATCAGCACCGAATCGGCCTTGGCCGACAAACTGCTCTGGAGGCTTGTGGTAGACAGATGCCAGTGTAGAGAGTTCACCCAAAAGCTGTTCAAGAAGAGCAGGGGGGAGTGAATGAATAGTGGTGATAATTGGTGGTTTCTTGGAGAGCACGATGTTCTTAGCAGCGTTGGGGTCGTTGGTGTTGGACAACAGGCGCCAGTAGACATAGGCCCTGTCACGAACATCAGGGTTGTCATTTTCAGCTGTTGCCGCCTGCAGCACCTTTTGGACCAGTCCTTGAGCTTTATCAGGGCGTTTCAAGAAGAGCTTGACGACAGCCGTCAGGATTTGCAACTGGGTCTAGGATTATCGATTAGAATTGCTGACAACCAACCAAAACCAGGATTGGGCCGAACCAACCTGAGAGAATTCTTCGTTAAAGCCCTCAACAAAACCAGCCAGGATATCCCCCGCATTGCTAATCTTCTCCGCGTACTCTCCCACAATCCAGATGAGTGCAGCTCTGGCGTTCGGTTCATCCAACTCATCAATGCATTTGCAGAGCGTGGGGATGATGCCTTCGTAACCAGGATATTTCCGGAAAATGTCTTTGATCACCACAATGGCCTCCTGCACCACGTAGTTGACCTTGGTATTGATGAGGTCTAGCAATGTATTGACGCACCTCTCGCTAGCGCTCTCGATCTTAATGGCAACCTGGCCGATAGCCCTAACAGCACGACGCACGAAGTCCATATCCACCTCCAGGGCGTATTCCTTCAGCTCTGCTAGTAACTGATCGACATTGCGGTCATTGGCTATCCGTACCATAATCTCAAGCTTCTGGAACTTAACATAGGGAGGATCATTGTACTTGCAGAAGAAAACGCGGAGTTCCTTATTCAGAATGTCCGGTTGCTTCTGTAGCAGAAGGTCGATATTCCGCAGAGCGACATATTGAACTTCGGGGGCAGAAGAAACGAGGGTCACTAGTAGTTTGTATTAGTTACCACGTATACAAGACCAAAGGTCACGAGAAAGAAATACCTAATGGAGGGGCCATTTTTTTCAGGTAGTTCTTGGACAACTCAGCATTGATAATTTTCATATGGAGGAAGACGGCCTTGACCGCAGCCAGCACCACACTGGGGTTTGCATGCTGAAACTGGGGCGCAACTCGCTCACAAATTTGCTCCGCTTCGTTTACAGCGCTCGTTCTGTACTCCGACAAAGTCGTGAGGATGGTGACGCGACCCCACTCAGTACACTCATTCAGGGCCATTAAAAGCTTCCGTAGGGTATTCGCTGTCACTTGAAGAGCCTGAGTTTCCGGAGCAGCGTGGTAGATCTCCGACAGGGCAGTGACGGAGTTGGCCACCACCATTGGATTGGGGTCGCCAATCATCTCTTGGAGCATCTCGAGGAACCCATTTTCCAGGCACATTGCGGGATTCAAGTCGAACAGCTTAGCCACACAAATAGCCGCAGTCTTGCGAACATACGGCGATTCGTCCCGGAGAGTCTTCCGAAGCGGTTCCTCCATATAGTCAACCATCTTGTCCACCCGGATACATCCCATCGTACGGATTGCAAGCGCTCGAATGAGGGGATTCGGGTCTTCAGAGTCTTGAACAAACGTGTTCACAGCGAGGATACAAAGGTCCGGATGCGATTTGGCGTAGTTCCTAGCTCGCAGGGTCCGAGATCAGCACACACGGTTGTCAGGAAGCCGGAAAATGAGCACCCACATAAGATAGAGGTACACAAGCTTTTTCTGCTCGAGGTCATTTGTCGCAATATTCTTGAGAACGTCGGGGAAGAGAGCAGAAACATCCTTGCCCAGAGTCATGGCCATGATGGTCTTCTGAATCGACTCCTTCCTGTAACACCAGTTAGATGCTGCCCAGCCATCGTGACAGAACCTGCACGCATAAGATATCGACGTAAAACCTACCGTTCATAGGCATATTGGGAGCTAGCGCTTTGGTTAGTATCGACTTCGCAATGGGGTATTATTATGTAGAAAAATAGGGGAGACCCCATACACAAGACCAACTCGCAACTCGAACGTCTCTCCTTTCCTCGGCACCGCAAAGGCACCCCTGATCCTATTCATCGTCATGACGCGTGGAAAAAATAGGCTTCAGCGGCGACAAGGTCGCGCCTCCGCAGAAAACAATACAGACGGGGTAGAAATGAGGGAAAGCGTCGTCGTGTCGCCAACGACTGCGGGGGAAGTTGGGCGAAGGGCGAGTTCGCTTCAGGGATCAGTGGGCCGCCCGGAGCGATCAAGGCTGGAGTGTAGAAGAATGAAATAAGATCCGGAGAGATAGATCAGACCATGATCCCCCGTAGAAGGCTGGAAGGGGAGAAAGAAAAGGAGAGGGAAGATGGGAGCTGGAGAAGAGAGAAGTTGGTCTGGGCCCCAAAAGACGAGGTGTTGTCCACAAAGCGGCTCATCTCATCTCGACCAACTAAAGGAGTCAAGTCAGTCCGTCCTCGTCTTTTTTCTCGCAACAACAATCAACATGGTAGGTTCTTCTTCTTACGAATTTACAACCCATACTAATTCCGATCTTTTCCCTCCAGGCCAATCTCCCCAATCTCCGGAGGCTGTTCGTCGAAGCCCGATCAGAAGCGGAGGAGAATGAGTACTCCCGGACTGCTGTGTGCTCTCTCTATCTCCAAATGTCTATAATTACAATGCTGATCGTGTTAATACAGTTCTATAACCTCGTTCTCTTCATATCCTCTGTCGCGGTCTTTAGTCTGGCTGCTCAACGGATGAGTGGTTCGAAATCGGGGAAATGACGACGACGACGCTCTAGCGAACAGGATGCAACAGCTCATTTCATTACATCGTTAAATTATACATGAAGAAGAGATTCCGCCGGGTATATCGACTAGACCTCTTGCAAAATCAATCCGTTTCCTCCCCTTCACTTTCTAAAAATGCAAGACTCCTCCGTCCTCTGTTCAACCTCCGCCGGGGACCGCTGTCACTACCGTCATCATCCGCACTTCCTTTGCCCCATCGTTTCGCCCCCTCCTGGACCAATTCAAGGTCAGCCTGAAGCTCACGCGCTTCTCGAATCTGTTTGGCCTTGTCTACCGAATAGCGTCCATCCATACCCGCGTCCTTCAGCATGCTCTTGAGGTGTTGGATCTTCGTCTTGGGTGTATCGTACGGAGCCAGCTCTCGCGACCACATCTTGCGAATACCACATTTGATGAGCCATCCCTGTAATCTTTTGATCTCTGCCTGGTTAGGGTCTATGTCCGCTTCCTTCTTCCCCTTGGTGGCTGTCTGCTTCTCCTTGCGGGAAGTCATGCCAGTAGTCTTCCTTTGGCGTTGACGCTTGGGCTTGGGCTTGGGCTCTTCATCCAGGACAACCGACATCTCGCTCTCCGATCCGTCGCCAGGCTCATCTTTTTGCCCTTCTCTGTTCACATCGGAGTCATCAGATACGATCTTCTCAGACGATTCACGTCGCGATTTCTTCTTGGGCACTGTTTTCGCTTGTGTCTCAGTGGACGGTTCGGTGATCTCATCTTCTCCCTCGTCACTCGCTCGCTCATCGATTTCATTGCTGTCGGGAGTTGACTTGTGGCGTTTTCTGGAGGTGGAAGAGGATGCGGGTTTAGCTCGTTTAGTGAGCTTGGTAGTATCTGATGGAGAGGAGCTCCGGTCCTTGCTCTCGTCCTCCGCAGGTCGTGAATCCTGCGCGGCGGTATCTTGTACTTTCTATTATCATGGCGACAATAAGTAACCGCATCATGCAGCCCCCAAATGGGCAACTTAGTGAACATACCACCTCATCCTTAATAACCTGATCACTCCTGGCTTTCCAATCCCCAGTGCCTTTGTAAAACCCATCCTCCAGCTGCAATGACTTCTCCGCTGCCAGTCGGACCCTCTTGACGGTCAATTCCTCTATTTTCCCGGTCTTGTAGATTTTGGCGACTGCATCGCGTAGGGCCTTCTCCAGCGTTTCGTCGGAGGGTGGTGAGGGAGGAGCGGAGAGATCCGATTCAGACCCGGACTCGGACTCTGAAAGAGCGTATTTTCGAGGCATATTTAATCACTTCATCGACTTCCAATCCAACTGGACATTCGTGACCGTCCGAGCGGCGAAAAAAAGGGTAGCGAAGCGCCAAAGACACGACGAGAAGCACAACACAAATTGAAAGAAATAAGCACGTCTGCGGCAAAGTCAGACTAACAGAGCAGCTTAACAAGCGCCTCACTCAGAGAAAGTAGATGAATCAAAACAAGACAACGAGCCACACGAAGCTCCCAGATTCCAACCCAAGCTTCTGAATAGCTCTCTTGCGTATTTTGGTTGGTTTTGGACCGATTGGATAGTTACATAGACGCTGACAAAGCGACGTGGGAAATCTCCCCGAGACCCGAGAAGAGAAAGACAAACGCAACGCATCTATAACTAAATCTACGGCCGTCCAGACTTTCTCACATTCGTTCGTACAGGACCGGTTTATAAGTCGCAGCAGAGAGCCCTTCATTCCCATAGTTTATTTTGACAGACCCCTTCCACCGAATACGTTCCTCGCAACTCCATTGAACAGCAGCCAGCCAATGGCGGACATAATAAATCCAGGATCGCAAGCAACACCACCAAAGACGCTTTTCATCCACAAGGCCCAAGCAGCCGCAGGAGCAGCCGCAAGCTCTTCGTCATCCTCTCCAGAGTCAAAAGATGATTCCTCGACGACAACGCCTCCCGCTGGCGTCGGCGTCGTGCTAGATAAAGACGGAAAGCCGTATGTCTCCTCCGCGTCCCAGCTGGTGACGAACAGCGCGCATAAAGAAACAACGAGACACTAACGAACAGAAATACCGGACGTATTAGATGCCGTCTCTGCACCTCCGCTGCATCCTGGCGCAACCTCACAAAACAGGCCAAAATGCAAGGTCCCGCCGCTGCCGCCACACCTACTTCAAAATCAGGCCCCCTCGAGGAAGCCAACGCTCAGCCCTCTGCGCGTCCGGAGTGCCCCCCCGACGTTGAGGAGCTTGGCCGCTCCACCTGGACCTTCCTGCACTCACTCACGGCGGCGTATCCTACACAAGCATCGACAGAACAACAGGCGGAAATGCGGACGTTCCTGAAGCTCTTCTCGCGGTTATATCCGTGCTGGGTGTGTGCGGATGACCTTCGCACTTGGATGGCGGAGCCGAGTGGTAAGAATGCGCCGCGCCTGGGTGGGAGATCGGACTTTGGGACGTGGATGTGTCAGGCGCATAACGAGGTGAATCGGAAGCTCGGGAAAAAGGAGTTTGATTGTCGGTTTTGGGAGGAGAGGTGGAGGACTGGTTGGAAGGATGGAAGGTGTGATTAGGAAATGACGAACTTTCTTTCTTCCCATGGTTTTGCTCACTGGGGGATTGGGGAGCTTGTGTAATTTTATGATATCGATGGGATAAGATAGGGTAGTATAGATGGCTACTACAGCTTGTATATATATATATGAATAGACTAGAACATCTCCACACGGAACAGGTTCAACTTGCATTGCATTGACAATAATAATTGTGAAATAGTTATACTAACATCGCTCAGGAAATATCGAAGACAGGCAATAATAGATCGATACATCTAAATAACACGAGCGTTCCTCGCCACCCCAAAGACCAACAACTAGCCCTCATAGAAGTAAGCAAGTTCACTTTTCTATGTTGAAACATAAGCCATCGCACGTCGTCATCTGGAAATTAATTCTGGCCCGGGACAAACAACCGCAGTCCACTCGCCGGTGCACCGATCTCAGTTACATCAGAGATGCGGCACACACTACCCTTATATTGTTCGTGGTACTTCGCATTGGTGAAAGGGTCGGAGACGCTTGGGGATCCGCCGTAGATCGGCGTATACGAAGCAGCACAGATATCAAAGTCGGCGAACTGGTCGAATTCAATGTCGATTTTGTCCTGGGGGCTACGCTCGCATTGGGCCTTGACCTTCTTGGCCTATGGGGAGGAATTAGCAATGTTACTCGGGAGACGCAAAGAGGCGCAAATAGGGGAAATGTACCTGTTCCAGAAGCTTAGCAGAGCCACCATTAGCCAGCATGCGATTGGCGAAGCTAAGAGCAGAAGAGTAGTTCTTGTGGGTGAAGGCAAACTTCATCGCTTGAGCGAGAGCAAGTTGCCTGTGAGCAACCTCCAGTTTAGGAATGGTGAAGTAGGCAGAGAGTTCGAGGCTTCTCTGAAGACCCTCGGGGGTTTCTGCCGACAGAGTACGGCGCTCCAACTCAATAGACATGGCCAAGATGTACTCCCGAGCGGTCTCGATGATCTTCTTGGCTTGCTCAACCTCAGCCTCCGATGACACGCTGTTCACCAAGATCGAGTGCAAGATGCCCTTGAAGATCTTAACGCCATCTTCTAGCTTGTTGGCCCTCATTGCTGCATAACCCTCTTGCAGATCGACATTGGCAATCGTCTCGAGGTCCTTGGGGATAACAGGCAGGACTTTACGGCTGTCGGTCTCATCAACGGTTCGTCGAACATAGTTAACTAACGGAGGAAGGCTGGGAGTCGCAGCGAGATACGTCTTGGATGCCTTGAAGACTTCAAGAAATCTGGGTTTCAAAGGAGTGAAGTTCACAGCTCCCACCTGGCGGTTAAGTAGTTGCATGGCTGTGTCAAAGGACCCAGCAGCAACATGGTCTGCCGCTAGCGGAGAGTTGCGAGCCCAAAGGTCTGCCTCAGTGCTGCCTGTGCCCGCCTCTGCGCTGTCAACATTGACAAACTCAACATCTTCCTCGACATTAATTTCGTCACCCATGTCCCATCCAGCAACGTCTTCTTCTTCTTCTCCTTCAAGAGTTTCACGTGCAGTAACGGCCTCATCATTTTCCTCTTCGCCTTCAAAGTCGAGCTCACCGGCTTCCTCGTCACCGGCTCCAACTTCTCCAAGAAGAGCCTTTTCGAAAGAGGAGTGCGCTGCAGCCTTGACGGGCCAGCTTGCCTTGAAGGTTTCCACAATGGGACGTGGCACTGGAAGAGGCTCGTCGATTGTCGGAAGCGAGATCTGGTCTTCCGTTAGACCACAGGCCTCGAGGATAGACTCAGCCTCCTCTGTCAGGCCGTGAGACTTGGCAGTAAGGTATGCGAGAGGATCTGCAAGAGGTTAGAAAGACGAAGTCAGAGCAACAGAATCCATTGTATGACCTACATTGATCAACTTCCTTGAACATTTGAATTCTGTCTTCCACATCTCCACGGTAGATCGCATTCTGGAAACGCGACGTGAAGTCACCACGATGTTCTGCGATCTTAGCCATTCTTGACAGCTTCTCCTGGTCTCCGGTCGACAGGTACAAGAAAGACAATTTATCAAAGTTGCGCTGTTTTTGGTAAGCCATCTCGACGATCTGGTGGTTGCCATGTGCCAAGGCCTCAGTACCGAGGCGGCTCCACAAGTTAGGGCGATCTAGCTCTCTCGCCATTTCGATTGCGACATCAAGGTTACCACACTCTAGGGCGAGTTCGAAGCGTGTTTGGGGATCTTCCACGAACTGGAGGGCAATCTCTGGGTACCCTTTCTTCTGTAGATAAGAGATGATGCTTTGACCAACCAGGCTGGAAGTCTTGATAATCTGCAGCATTTCATCGTAGTTCCTCTTGACAAGCGCAAGCTTGAATCGGTATTCGGTGGGATCAATGTCTAGGGTCCTTGGCTTAGCATTTCGGTCCAGGCAGTAGACGCTGCGGCCCTTGACCTTGACAAGGTAGACTGTCTGGTCCAAGGTCCGAATGATACCACTATCACTACAATGGGGGTCAGCTTTTGGTCACCCGAGGATTTGGAACAGATCTTACCCATTCAGCAGCGAGTACTTAACGTGGTTCAAGGTGGAGTAAAGAAGGACGCCAGCGTCATCCCAAGCTGCGCTCTTGATACGGATCGTCTCGTGCAGGCTACTCACTTGCTCTAGGGTCTTTGTGACGATGGTGACATTGTGCTTGCTGAGCAAGGCTGCATAGAGTCCGTCATTGGACCACACAACATACTTAACACCGCTTACAGCCAACTCTGCCAGCTGCTTCTTCTGTTGGATGTCAAACAGAACAACAGTAGTGGGAGTGATGAAAAGCAGGCAGCCAGTTCCACCAAAGTAGATATCCGTGGTTCCAGCAGGGGGCTTGATGGACTTTGTCGTGGAGTTGCTGAGATCCTTGATATCTACCTGCTGGTTTGTTTGGCTGAAGACAGCGAACCGATTGCGAGCAACAAAGACGGCAGACGAGGCTTGGCCCCGTTTAACATCGGTCGGTTCAATGGCTCCAGTGGCGTCCCGGGGAAGATGGATCAACTCATAAACACCGCCGTCGGTGGGAGAAGTAACGAGAATGGCACGCTCGGCGGGGTTGTAGGAGAGGGCGCGAGGAGGAACCCAAGGAGATCCAAGCTTGCGCAAGGAGAGCATAGATGGAGATTCGACGTTCTTTGCAAAGTCAAACGATTTAACGTGCTTCTCCTTGGTAATATAGAACAATTGATTCTGGTACACCGCAGATGCAGGCCTCTCCCTTTCCAGCTTAAAAACCATCACACCAGTGTCATGACCGGCAGCGAACAGGTTGATTTCGGGGTGCGCAGCAATGACCCAGAATCGGTCCACATCCCGCTTAAAGGACTGGACGGAGGTTCTTTTGTTCAAATCCCAGGCGCGGATTGTCTTGTCTTCGCCGACAGAAAGGATAAGGTCTTGGTGAGGGTGGAACAGGCAGGCAGACGCATTCTGAAAATGGCCACGACAGGTGTCGACTTCCCATGCTTTGGTATCTATAAACCAAGTTAGCGGGCCCGCATCACTGACCGTTGAGGACATTATTATAGCATACCACTCATCCTCCAGAGCTTAATGAGGCGGTCATCGCCTGCGGACACAATCAGGGGCAAAGTGGGGTGGAAAGAAACCCAGTTGACACCTCGATCGTGACCCTCCAGAACGAACTTCACGACTGCATCAGTGTTTCCAAACATATCCGCTTGTCCCGGGTTGGCGCGGGCCATCTGATCCTCGAATGACATGGTGGTTGGAGCCGAGTGCTTCTTCCGCAATCCTGAGATATCCCAAATGCGAACAGACTGATCCAACGAGGCGGAGGCGATGAGGTCTTCGGTAGGATGGAATTGCGCGCACATCACATAGTGGTTATGGCCGGTCATGGTGCAGACTAAAGAACAAAAATCAGCTCCGGTCTGGACAGGTGGCCAAAGTCCGACTTACTCAATGATCTGTTTTGCCAATTCCAGATTCTGATGGTTTGATCGTCTGACGCAGACAGAATCCAGGGGAGCTCATGGTGGAAAAAGACGGTCCGCACATAGTCCAGGTGGCCATTTAATGTGAATAGACATCTCCGAGTCTGGTAGCTCCAGACTTTGATCTTGTAATCGTCACCTCCGGACACGAAGAGGGGCTGGGTCGGGTGGAAGTCAATGCCTCGAACGGGGCCATCGTGTTCTTCGAAACGATCAATGAGGGTTCCCATGCGATAGTCCCACAGCTGGATTGTGGATGAATGAAGGGATACGAGAATCCATGGTCTAGGTGAAGGTTAGTCGTGGCCGAATGCGACGCGTAGGGAGAAGGGACTGGACTCCGAACTGACCGCTTGGGATGGAAGGCAATTCCCTTCGCACGGGATGATTTCGACTCAAACTATCAAGAGCACAATAATTAGCAAGTGCTTTACAGGCAAACAGTGATAGAAACCTGAAATAGGGCCACTGGGGAGAGAGGAAAGCATACCTTGGTAAGCATGTTTGGGGAGGACTGCATCTTGAAGGAGGGTTGGCCGAAGCCGCACCATAGAGAAGCAGAAGCAAGCTCCGCGCACTAAAGACAAAGAGATCACAGAAGCGACCACCTCATCCACTGCACAACGAGAGAGATGAGCAGAGGAAAAGAACAGGTGAGGTCGAGGAGCGTCTGGACTCTGGATCGACAGGACAGTCTGGACAGGACACCTTCATCGATGGCGGTAACGTGGACTTATTGAATAAGCGAGTGTCGCGGGCCAATGATGGACGCGGGCGGTGAGAAGCTCTCAGGGGAACCGTCGCCAGTCGGGCATCTTATGATGGACAACCACGCTCATTTTCCGACATGGTGAGGATGAATCCGTGATGGATCTTATCTTATTTGACTTGGGGATGATGCATTTCGGTTTTATGTGGTTCTTTCCTGTTCCATCGCACTCAAGCCTAGTCTGAACCTGACTGACCCCCGCGCTACTATACTATGGGGACATCCTGCATCTTTGGACGCTACGAAGCTCTGTGAACTAAACATTGAACTAGCACACCACGCTCGATACTATGGAACAAGATGGATGGGCCCCTATCTGGCGTCAATCATCATCCAATGCCAATACAGCCCATAAGGAAACGACTTTCCAGCCAAATCGCCAACCCAGTCCCAAAATCTCCCCTGCTGAAGAACTTGAGGGCTTGTGGGTAGAAGACGTACCACTAGGGGACTACGCTGACAACGCGGGTATCCAGCTAGTCAAACCATATGCCATCGAGGAGCCAGATGCAGAGTCTACATATGAACATGACAACCCAACGGTAAGCCCATTCAAGGGCGATGGACTGGCCACCCCGCAAGGTGATTTAGTTGATTCCATGGAGGGCCTTCATTGTGATTCTGATAATCCTGACCCACAAGTCATGATTTCACCAAAAAGAGGCAGAAAGAGAAAGCCGACTAATCCGCTGGGCATCTCGCGGTCGGAACAACGGTATACGTCCAAGTCTGCGTTTGATGTCTACGAAGGACCTACACTAAGTCCGAAAAGGCCACGCAGGAAAAGCAAGCGGTCAAAGGAAAACCTTCGAGCTTCTTTAGCCTCTAATAGAACTCGAGCCTTGAGCGGATCGTCAGCTACCTCTGTCTCTACGGATTTTAGCGGTGCCACCGTTCCCGGTGAACCGACGGCCTCGGATGAAATGGACCTGGATTAATGATGGGTTATCCTATAGAGAGGGCATGGAATCTCTAGATTAAGCATGATATTTACATTTTACAAAAAAACCTTCGCCCAATCCCTACCAAAGACGGATGGATACCTACACTGGAAATCGAGCGTGATTCACGTGACTGACATGCCCCAGATGGATGACGTCACGCTATCCTCATCAGGGCCCATTCGAAGCTTGAGCTTCCGTCAACCTCAGCTCCAGTTCTTATGTGCGATTGATCGCAGAACCCCTCTACTTTCGGATAATTTAAATATCAATTTCCTATTTTCACCATGGCAACTCGCACATCTACTCGCCACGCTGCTCAAAAGGCAAAGGAAGCCATGGCAGCTTCCCCAGATATTAAGAGAAGGGGATCCGTTAGCGCAAAACGTAAAGGCTCCACTGACCGTGGTCCCCAGCCCAAGAGAGAAAAGAAGGAAGTCGTGGACGAAAAGGAGCCGGTGCAGGAGACACAAGTAGAAACTGCCGAGAGTGAGTAAAATATGGAGAAATGTGTATGAGTTTGCTAGAGCTAATAGGCCCCAGAGCAAGTGACAAAAACTGAAGTAGAACCCACCGAAGAACCTGAGGTAAAGCCAGAGAAACAGCCAGAGACAAAGCCAGAAGAAGTACCAGAGTCCAAAGCTGCTGCTCCAGCTCTTGATGGTATTGCAGCTGGGATTGGGACATCTAAAGAACGAGAGGATGTTGCTCCCTCCAATATACTCGAGAAAGGTATCATCTACTTTTTCTACCGGCCTCGAGTCAACGTGCAGGAGCCGACCAGCTTTCAAGATGTAGCTCGCAGTTTTGTTGTACTACGGCCAACACCCCTGGGTGCTGCTCTGGACCATGACCAGGGACCCCTGGATACCGGTGCAAAGTGCCGACTACTGATGGTCCCTAAAAAGAGGTTCCCAACCTCTGGAAGAGAAAGGGAAATGGGATTTGTTGCGAAGGCCGGGAAGTCAATGAAGGAGCTACAGGAAAGCTTCCTCGCTGGTGAGACATATGAAACTGCCACTAGAGGGACACGAGAAATCCCTGAGGCTAGACCCTATGCAGAAGGAGTTTATGCCATCACATCCACCAAGAGGGCGACTCATATTGTCTACGTACTCACCCTTCCGGAGAAGCTTGGAGACGTCCAGGAAGACTTTGGACTTGCAGAACGTGGCAGCTGGCTTATCCAGTCCAAGAGCCCCAAGTTCCCCGGCCCCCCTTTTGCTCGTCTCCCAAAGGATCCTGAGTATCCCGAGGGGTAAGTGCGCCTCTTCCGTTCAACGTGTGTGCACGATGACTAAATGACCATGATCAGTATGCTCGAGAGATTCAGAGATCTCCGCTGGATACCAATGGAGCCTGAATTGATTGACTATCCCAATGCACAGTTCCTCATGATCGGGTCAACCTCTGGTGGGCTGGCAAAGGTAGCCCTCGCGGAGCCCGGGGAGACACGACCGGAAGAGGAGGAGCCCCAAGAAGAAGTGATCAAAATGGAGGAGGAGAATGAGGATAGAATCGAGACCTTGGGAGGTGAGTGGGACTCTTATTTTTTTTATTTTTTTTTTTCTAATTATCCCTACGCCCTGTTTCTTGGAAATTTCTTGGAAGTTCTCTTGGCCGCCCAACTAATTTCCACCAGGAGATCACGCGATCTATGAAGACCTAGGTATTCACGCTCAGAAGTACCCCAAGTTGACGACGACTTGGGATGCTAGTAACCAGTGAATGAGCTGGATGTGAGCGTGTGTACGATAGACGGTCGTAGTGTGTGGGAAGCTGGCTCGTAGCGTCTTGGTATTTGTATCCAAGGTTGGACAACATGGTGTACAAGGCTTTTTGAATGGTTCTAAAAAAAGTCATCTTATCGCTGGAAATAAGGATCGCTACTATCAGATTTAATCTAAAAATCCACCATCATACTTCATCTTGTATGATGCCTCCGCACTAACTCCCCCGCTAAATCCTCCGCTAATGCCTTCCCCTTGATCACTCGATTCATTATTGGATCTGCTACAGGAACTGCATCCCACTAACCGGCTCAACAGGGACTTGACCGGCGAATCGCGACTGCTCTTCCCATCACGTTGAAAGGTTGCATTATGCCTGCGCTCGGGTTCTTTCCCGAACATCATGAGGGATCGTTTCTTGTATATCGTTCCGGCCAGTATATATTCAGCCATCGATCAGCTCACCAGGATGCTGTTGAACCCCGATTCGGTACAGAACAGAACACCTGCATTGGAACAGGGGCTCTGATTCCAGTTGCTCGCGAACAACCATGAAGTGGTCTCTTCTGCTCCCTGCGCTGCCCTTAACAACTGTGGCAGCCGGGATTGCTTCCAGCAGCTGCCCTAGCAATGAGAACTCCAAGGTCGTGAACCAAACCACCTGCGCGGGCACAACCTATGCGTACACCGGTCTCGAGGGCTACGGATATGTAGCGTCCAATGCCAGAGACAAGTACGGTGATACTCTGGCCGGCCTTGGAAGCTCTGCTGCGCTTGAAAAGGGCTCATGGCGCAAGACAGGCCCGAACAGCTACTCGGGAATTTTCTACTGTCTGCCTGATCGCGGCTGGTAAGCATCAATTGGCCCAGGTCATCACTATACAAAAAAAAACAAAAAGAAAAAGTATGTTTCCGCCATTGACTTGCTCTACCAGGAATACAAACGGGACACTCAACTTCCAACCCCGCGTGCACAAGTTCCAAATCACGCTCCAGCTTGCCACTCACGCGACAGCAAAGAACCCATCCAAGCCCAACGTGCATCTGAAGTACCTCGACACGACTCTCCTCACCGGGCCGGACGGCCAACCTCTCACTGGCCTGGACCCAGACGCCACCGGTTACGCCTCGTACAAGGGGTTCCCTCCTCTCCCCGCGGCAACGTACACGGGCAATGGCTTCGGGGGCCCCGGCCGTGGCGGCAAGAGAGTCTCTCTCGACACCGAAGGCCTGGTCATCGACCACCAGGGCTACTTCTGGATCTCGGACGAATACGGACCCTACGTGTATAAATTCAACAAGGCCGGAAAGATGGTCCTCGCCCTCCAGCCGCCCGAGGCGTATCTCCCGCGGCGCAACGGCACGCTCAGCTTCAGCGCGGCCAGCCCCCCGCTGTACGCACCCGACCAACTGCCTAGCCCCGAGGACCCAGAAACCGGCCGCAACAACAACCAGGGCTTCGAGGGCCTCGCGCTGTCCCCCGACGGCACGACCCTCTCCGTGATGATCCAGTCCGCCCTGAACCAAGAAGGCGGCCCCAAGAAGAAAAACCGCCAGCCCGCCCGCATCCTGCAGTACGACATCGCCTCCGGATCCACCCCGCGCTACACGCACGAGTACGCCGTGACCCTCCCTAAATACCGCGACTACCGCCAGACCGACGCCTCCGCCTCAAACGCCTACATCGTCGCCTCCCAGTCCGAGATCCTCCACCTGCCCACAGGCGACTTCCTCGTTCTCGCCCGCGACTCCGGCTTCGGCCACGGCCAGGACCACTCGCTGTCCGTTTACCGCCACGCCGATGTCTTCGCCATCACCTCCAACACCACGGACCTCCGGGGCGCCCAGTACGACGCCGCCGCCGGCAGCAGCATCGCCTCCAAAAAGGGGAAGCTCGACGCCGCCATCGTCCCGGCCGAGTACTGCGCTTTCCTCGACTTCAATGTCGAGTCCCAGCTCGCCCGCTTCGGCCTGCATAATGGCGGCGCCCAGGATTCGGCCCTGCTCAATGAGAAGTGGGAGAGCTTTGTCCTTGTCCCCGTTGATCCCTCCAAGGGCGATACTCATCCCCATCCCAACAAGGGTACCAAGGAAAAGACCGAGTATTTTCTCTTTACCTTTAGTGATAATGACTTTGTCACTCAGAATGGTTAGTTTCTTTTTTTTTTTTTTTTTTTTTTTTTCATTGTCACAGGATTCATGGAACCTTGCGCTAACGCTGGCTGCACAAGGATACATGAACTTCGGCCGCCTGCCTTATGCCGATGAATCTGGCTATGAGCTTGACAGCCAGGTTCTTGTCTTCAGGGTCGAATTTTAATCCCACTTGTTGTTTTGGAAGCTTTCTTTCTTTCGATCAATCACGCTCGTTGCAGTCGCCTTTACTATTGGCGATGGATGACCTTTCTCTCTGTCCTGTAGATATATATATTACTTGTTTTGGTATTTCAGTGTGTGTATATAGCATAATAACATACAGGTCGGGTAAAAGATAGAAAAAAAAAAAAAAAAAAACTCCATAGAACTAAAGGAGAACTCCAGATGGGGGGAGATGCACAAGCACAAGTACACGCGTTCACATCGTAAGATCAACTACACTTCACCAAAGAAAGTTAAAATACCAGCCCAGCCGTCAGGCTATAATGCAAGTCCTCGCCAAACTTGAGCGAATACATGAACAATTTCCACCATATGTATCGCAAACACCGACTACCGACTAACGATTCATGATGCGAGCAAGCAACTCAACATCCCTGTAAATCAGATCAGGTTTTTATCGATTTTAATAGCGCGAAGGATATCGTCCAGTGACCACCCGGGTCCTCCTGGGACGATCTCAGCCCAGACTTCTTCCGGAACACCGCCGTCCGGGCCAAGGAGACTCCAATTAGGGCTTGGTTCCGGCTTGATCCATTTGAAATCTTCCACTTGGTTCCAGCAGTCTTCGCAATCGGGGCGGTCGTGGTCCAGAGCCTATGACGATGAGTAAAAGAGAATAATGGGAGCTACGATGGTTCAACTGCTCACATATGCTCGGGGTATCCGGCCAAACCGGATATCAGTGCAATCTTCAATGATGGGATTGCTAGAGGAGCTCAGATACACGTCCACATCCTTGCAATCGTGCATGCGGAACTGGCGGCAGTCCACCACAATGATACTATTATGCACGCCAGTGATATGGGCTGGGCCGTTGATCTGGCCACACACCAGTAGGCTATCCTCCACATTTTTAATCATTAAACTGGCATAGGGTTTCCCATCGGCTGTAGGAATCGACATGTCGACGATGCAATGCCGCAAGGACGTGATGGAGGCGGGCACCGATGCTGTCGAGCCCGAAGCCGGGAGCATTATGTGAAGACCATGATGATTGTTGACGGTCACTGACGACACCGAGGTCGCTGCAAAGGCAGTGGTGTGAGACTCGCTCTGCGGTTTCTCATCGATACTCTCCACAGCGATCTTAGGAATAGAACTCGGAGCGATTTCAGGCCTGTGAAGATGCAGTTGATCGGGCTCATTCAAAGGAGTCGATGGATAGTTGGGTGTCTGCGCAGCAGATGACCCAACAGAAGACGTCCCGGGTGACAAGAACCCCGGGATTCCGCGACGACCTTGAGCAGCCAGCTCAGCTGCATCCGATAGTGAGATAGCGGACGGGTTCTTCTTGGTCTTGAAGCTAAATTTGGGCCGTGGTTCCACTGCAGCACGGGTTTCCGCCAGTTTGTCCTGGAGCGCCTTGATTGCCTGACAAAAACCATGAGTATATACCGTTTGCTTTCCTATTTGCCACCATTCAACCTACCTCGGCATATATCCGCTGGTCATATGTCGGAATATAACTAGCGGCGTCTTTGACTTCGTTCGACAGCCGCGCGATCCCGGCTAGACAATGGTCGGTTGCGTCCGTCCGTTCTCCTCCAACCAAAGACGTATCGGCGAGTCTATCCATCTGTTCCTGCAAGGCTACAGGAAAACAACATAGGTGTCAGACTGGCTCTGACCAGGAGCACATAGCACAAGAGGTCGACTAGACCATACCAGTGATTTCTTGTTGGAAGTAGCGAAAGAAGCGTTCCTTCAACGGGATCTCCGACTTGTGAATGGTTTGATTCTCGGATTGAGATGGCCGACGGGCCGGTTCAAATCCAGGCTGCGACATGATGTAGCTGTGCCAAGAGGAAGAAATAAGAGTGAGAATTATGGTCCGATAGCCTTCCAGTATGTATATATGTGTGGGGATTCCAACGGGGACGAGGTATTGATGACGTCGCGATCCGAGGCTGACCAAATCCTAACCGGCTCAACCCGTTCTAAGTCTAACCTCCGACACGATCGTATGTTGATTCGGAGAGGAAGTTCACAGCAAATTCAAAGCTAGGTTACACCAAACATACACTATTAGCCAAGTCAAGGAAATCCAAGCGCTCGTGCGCAAATACCCTCATTAAGAGCGCGCAGTTGATCAACACTGGGATCATCCGTGCATTAAGATCATGGATCCACAAGCCGAGGGGTTCAAAGCAAGAAAGCAGTACATCCCCCCCCCCCTTGAGAAAGAGTAAGCGAAACACGGAGCTTACCTCTGGCAGCCTCTTGAGCGAGTCTCTGCTCTTTTGGCGAGTGTGTGGGGAAATCATATTCGGTGACGTCGTCGATCTTTCTTTGCACTAAATTCCCGGCACTCGGCGATTCTTTTCTTCCGGGGATTTGGGTCTAGCTGTTTTAGGAAGGAGGTCGTTTGCTGCCTTAGGTTCTGGTTCTTCTTGGTTTACTCTTGCGCCCTACGGAGTACTGGGGGTGGTATCATGGATATCATTACTTGCTAAACTCGAGGTCTACTCCCCTGAGAAAACTGTGCGCTGAAGCTAACTAGCAGGAAATCGGTTCAATCCGGAGTACATTGAATTACGTTGCTGAAAGCTCCGGCAGATTAGGTCTGGGAATAGCTTGGATCCCGTCCATCTCTGCCATCACTTGTCGAGACAGAGACGACGGTCGTGGTGGACGCTGTCGGTGGAAATCACTTGATGGCGGTCGTTCGACCACTAGCCGATCAAAATCAGACCGCAGATCATAGTCACTAAACGTTTCGCCGGTAGGGTTTAAAGCAATCGTTCGGAGGATCAATTTGCCCTCTTTCACCCAAAACGCAAAGACTTCATTTTCGTCGGGAAAAGACAGTGCCAGTTGCCCCGGGCGAAACACTGAATGGCTGATTTTAGAGGACGCTTTCTTCAGTCTCATCGGGGTCAGGGGTCCCTTGTTGGTGGAGTCACACAAATACATCTGCTTCATACCATTGGCCATCACGAATCGTAGGCCTAGAGGTGATTGGGCTGCGTGAACAATCCTCGTACTGAGGGGATCGCTGGCAATATTTTCATCGGAGATGGAAAACGAGATAGGATATTCCCTGCCGAGAAAGGCCGTCAGCACCACCCCCCTGTTGAAATCATCGTAGAACACAGATGTCAGATCTCCGTCATCTGTAGTCCACTACGGAGAGTTAGCATCTATCAAGTACGGCGTGAAATCTCGTTTGAGAAGGGGGGGGGGGGGAATACTGGTGGGAGTTTAAACGATCTCGACCCATCAACAGCAAGCTTCCACCGGTACTCAAGACAGTCCCACACATCCACATAAGCATACTGATCACCAAGGTGGGTTGCAACAATGAAATGTTTTCCATCTACGGAAAATTGAAGTTTTCTCTCAATGACTGTTTCCGCTCGTTCTTCTTCCTGTCCAATCTTCTTGACGTCCAAGAGGCTCGTAATATGGGCCCCTGCGGAAGACAGGTCTTTCAGAGCAGAGTAGTGATCGGTCCTATCACCTAACTGTATCTCTCGAAAGCTCTCGTGGTGAATTTCATATACCTTGACTTGATCTTTGAGAGTGAAAGCCACATATCTGTCGTCCCGGGACATGACCATACAAGTGATAGGCAGAGACCGGTGTTGGGTCTCAATCGTCAGGTAAGCTTCGGGGGTAATCCTGTAGCTGCCAAATACAAGAAGTTCATAGTGCTATCTCCATGTCAGAAAATGGGCCCAAGAATGGAAAATGCGCTAGAGTTAGATGCAATACCTCTCCAACAGACGCAACGACCGCACATCGCTGGTAACCAGCCGCGGCGTGCTGCACGCCAGGTACATCATATCGGTGACCTCTCGGTTTCCTTCCATCCATTGGGTTTAACTCGAAGCGCATCACCCAACTACTACCGGCATCCCAGAGTAGAAGACATTGTCCGGATGCCGAGAAACAAAATCTGGGCTGACGAGGCAGGTATTGCCCCTTTGAGGATGTTCTTCTAAATAGAGAAGTACTTCCGGTAAGGGAAAGCGTCACGTTCTTAAAGTCCCGCGACAAGGACCTGATTAATTGTTTTTCGGGCGATGGACCGGTTCGAGGACGGGTCCAGAACGTACTTGACGCTTCAGGGGCAATAGGTGAAGAGAGCTTGCCCGTGAGTTTAAAAGAAGATGGGTTCTGCGAGGTAGGGGAGATGGGCGATCTCAGGGCTTCGGCTGAATCTGCGCGGGATAACGGGCCGGTTGAGTTACTCATGGAGCTTGAGCGCGAGGTTGTATTCCGGGATACTGAATCTGGAAATGAGTATCGTTCACTACTATCTGAGGCAGCTGTATGAAGCAGCGCGTCAGACATCTGTGCGAGGGGCTCAATCATCTGAGCGTGTTGTATCTTGACGTTTCCAGGACATAGAGGACAGAGGACATCCACGGTGAGAAATCGGGGTTTCTCTTGTAATTGCTATTATCGAATCAGTCTAAAGTGCAAGACATGTTCTCCTTCTTCGGGAGATTCAAAACGCAAGAACACCACCTACTCCGTAAGCCTTCCTGTCGGAGCTTCTCAGCTGTTCCTCTAGCAGAGCTCCAGGGACTAGGTGTACTGCCGGGCAGTTGACGACATACACGGCACTTGGACTTCCCTTTCGCCCTTGGGCTTGGTGATTCGATCCTGCATACGACGAGTTATGCAACCACTGGGTCAAATGCTGCTGGTAATCATGAGAAAAGGCTTCGAGCTCTCCATTACAGTCCCACATTTGAACCCTGCGGTTGATAAGCCACCTCATCAGAAGACCAAGCGATGAGTCCAGGGACTCTCTCATCGGTGCAAGCTGGTTCCATGTGTCTCTAATCCTGCGAGTCTGTAACGGAGCATGTTCTCCACCGGTCTGGCTCAAGATCACCGTTGCCAGAACTTGGAGCGAAGGGGTACTGAATTCGTCATCGAAAGCCGCCAGGACGGTCCTTGCGAATTTTTTGCGGCTTTCTTGGGTTTGATTGAAGGCCTCATCCACGTCCATCGCCGCAGCACTCGTGTAGCCCTGTTCCTGCGCAATCCGTCGGCGATCGATATGGCATTGGATGAGTGCGGATTCGGCCGCCCACAACAGATCATACAACAGGTAAAACGATGTCAACTGGTCTTCTTTGTGGCCTATGAGCGCGGTCAAAAGATCCGTTGTCAGAGTTTCGGGAGCACCAAAGAAAGGGTACTAGAGGAGGATGAGTGAGTGAACATTCCAGGGATGAGGGGGGGGTTGACAACGACAAAAGGAGAGCGAGCGTACAATTCCCGATGTAAAGACGGGGAGGTGGATTTTACTGGCTTTGAGTAATAACTCTTGGGCCCTGAACAGGTCTGACGAGCCGATGCTGTCAATTGCCTTTGGTAGGAGATCGTTAACCAAGAAGGCCTCTAGGGCGGATAGGTCAGAATGGCCCCACGCAGATCTCAGCGCACGCTCCAGCTTGAACTTCATATCGGGCGTGATGGTCTCGCCGCGTTGGATCAGCAACCGGATGCCAGCCAGCAACGTGTACACAATCAGTTGCCGGTCCCTCACAAGCTCCGAGGGTGTGGGTTGCGCACAGGGAAATAACTCCAGCTTGACCTTGGTCAGGTACATCAAAGTTGAGAAGATTGTTTCCGATGAGATCAAGTAGGGGACGAAATAGGGATGGCAGTCCCGCACGTTCGACAATCCCTGGAGATAGGTTCGCTGCAAATCGAACAGGGTCTGAATCCATAACACCGACCGGGTCAGTGGCTCGATATCGAGGGCATCTCCATCATGACTGCCGCGCACCGCAAGATCGGCAGCGTGTTCTCCGATAATTTCGTGCAGAATATTCCCCAGGTCGCGACGCCCTAGCTGTTCCCACACTGCTGCCACGAGTGGATGTGACATGGAGGAACTGAGAGGGACCACCTAGGACATACGAACGGAGTTAGGTGAGATGAGATGTAGTTATCAAGAGATCGAGGACAATGAAATTGTTGTTGGGGATGATAGGGAAAGATGAAAGACAGAATTGGCGCCCCAGCCAGAGGGGAAGCAGCTGATGCGAGGCTGCATGCTTTGTCTTACATGCCATACAGATACCTTAGGTACCACATATTACCGGTATATATTCCTACTACGATGATTGGATGCCTGATTCCTGGAGCTGAAGAAGTCAAAGTGGGAGGTTTTGGACTCATCCAGTGGATCAGTAGAAATGAAGCTATTTAATCTATATTGAAATCCTTCATTACGTAGGTACGCGATATTTACTCTATTTCTACTCTGGACCTCCTCATTTACCCTCATCTGAGCTGGTCCTGAAGATAGAAAATCGAAGATAGAAAATCGAAGATAGAAAATCGAAGATAGAAATCGAAGATGCTCAGCAGAGAAAAATTGCTTCGGATCTGAAGTATAATTTCCCGATTAGGCAGGTACCAGGGGATCCAGTTGATCCTTCCATATCTGGTTAGTCTTGTTCAGTGAATCTTGAGGGTTCAGTCTGTGATTGGCCAGAATCGCACCTCCTTGCATCCTGCTAACCCTTTCCAGGTGTCAATAAAGATGGCTAAACCCCTTAAGGACTCAATAGAAATGGAGATACAAAGAAGGATGGAATGAACCTCATCTCATGTACTCTGGAACTTGATGGCTTTCGGGAATTCCATTCACGATCAGAGATCTCTCTAGTTTGATGTGCTAGGGGAGATATGCTGGGTTATCCTTGTATCTCGGAGAATTCAGATGAAGAATGTACCCTACATAGATAGGTACTGTTTGTTACATTCCTCGTTGCCAATACTATCACTGGATACTCTCTGGATTGACGCGTCTGGTCCCGATATCTCACTTGCCCGGTACTCCATAGCTTTCATCATTGGTTACCCAATCCAAGCCTATATCGATTGGCTTCGCGCCAAGGCGTCAATGAGAGCTTGGACAGGGCAAGGCCTGGAATAGAATTTTCTCTGTTGGAAACCCCCTGGATCTCCCCTCGTGTGCTGAGATTTATCTGCCTCAAGCACACGAATATCGAGTTCACTGCAGCGCGAGATTCGTGATGAGGATGAGGTTCGTCACTCTTTTCATTGGGACCGTCGTGTTCAGTGCCGCCCATCTAGTGCCTGGGGTGGCCGCTGAACCCAACTATGTGACCGTCGAACAGTTGGCAGAGATCCCCGATGGGTGGATAAGGGAGAGTCCTGCATCCCCGTCCAGGTTGATGACCTTTCATATCTCGCTGCATCAGGAGAATGCAGCCCGGTTCGAGCAGATGGTCATCGATATGTCTACCCCGGGACACGACAGTTATGGACGCCACATGAAGCGTGATGATGTTCGTGATGCCCTCCGCCCTTCCGAACGGACTGTGGAGAAAGTCCGGTCCTGGCTGGAATCCGAGCACGTTCCTCCGCAGTCTATTCACACTCACGGCAACTGGGTCACGTTCAAGGTCCCGGTATCGCAGGCAGAATCGTTGCTGAGAACACAATTCCACCGGTATTTCCACCAGCAAACCGGGGCACATGCAGTCAGGACCCTTGCATACTCAGTGCCAGAGGATCTCCACCCGGCCATTCAACTGATCCAACCGACAACCCGTTTTGGACACCCGGGGGCTCAATCGGCCCTACAGGACTTCAGACCTACGGGTGCCACATTCGATGATCTGACCGCAGACTGTTCCACGACAGTCACGCCGGACTGTCTCCGGGAGCTCTACGGGCTCTTCGACACGATTGCAGAGCCCGACCCTCGCAACAAGCTTGGCATATCCGGATACTTGGACCAGTATGCACGGTTTGGAGACTTGAATCAATTTCTAGACGCATACGCCCCCAACCAAACAGACCCCGCCAACTTTACCGTGGTCTCCATCAACGGTGGCCTCAACTTGCAGAACTCGAGCAAGGCGAGCACGGAAGCCAGTCTAGACATCCAGTACGCAATATCCCTGGCCTCCAACACCTTCGCGACGTACTACACCACCGGCGGACGGGCGCCGTTTGTCCCCGAAGGAGATGGAGCAACCGCCGAGGAGGACGAGTCCACGAACGAGCCGTATCTGGAACAACTCCACTATCTTCTCAGCCTCCCCGACACCGAGCTGCCCGCGATCCTCTCCACCTCCTACGGCGAAGACGAGCAGAGCGTGCCCGAGTCCTACGCCAACGCGACGTGTAACCTGTTTGCCCAGCTGGGGGCCCGCGGGGTTTCGGTGATCTTCAGCAGCGGGGACTCAGGCGTCGGCGGATCCTGCATGAGCAACGATGGCACGAACAGCACGCGGTTCCAGCCGATCTTCCCTGCGTCGTGCCCCTTTGTCACCTCCGTCGGCGGCACCTACGAAGTCAAGCCCGAACGGGGCATCAGCTTCTCCGGGGGCGGGTTCTCAGACCGATTCCCACGTCCGGCGTACCAGGATGCGAGCGTGGACACTTACCTCGAGAGCCTGGGCGGCAAATGGGAAGGTCTCTACAATCGTGGAGGGCGAGCGATTCCCGACGTGGCCGCACAAGCCAGCAACTTTGTGATTCTCGACCACGGCAGGCGGCTAAAGATTGGAGGCACCAGGTTCATACACATTCCCTTGTCTCGTTATCTCCCAAGCTGAGGGGATTGGACTAACTTGATCCTAGTGCCGCGGCACCCGTTTTCGCCGCCGTGGTCTCCCGATTGAACGCCGCCCGGCTGCAAGACGGCCAGCCCAGACTGGGCTTCCTCAACCCGTGGCTCTATTCCTTGAATCAAACGGGATTCACGGATATCGTCGACGGGGGGTCCGTGGGCTGTCTGGGCGACACCGGTGCCTTTGTCCCCTATGCCAGCTGGAACGCAACGCCGGGTTGGGACCCAGCCACGGGACTAGGCACTCCGAACTACAATACGCTCGTGAAAGTCGCGCGAGATGCATGAGCGGCTGCTTGTGGGAATGTAATCTAGCAAATTGTGGGAATATTCAGGGGGGGGGGGGTTATTGGCGAATTTGATTATGTAGGTATGTAGATTTACTTTGATTCAATCTTGAAACATAACACTATCTAGTTCAATCATACAGTAATACCGGTAGATGTAGAATTCTTTTTGGTCGTGTTAGCCAGCAGGAAGCGACATCAACAGATGTTGACTACACTGTGAATACAACCCTATCACTTGAATAGGGACAATATATAGTCATTAGTTATTTAGATGCTAGTATTCCTACGCTAGTGATATAGATAGATTAAGCTTATTTGAAATATCACCAGTAGAATTATATAGTATAGTACTTACTATCCCGAGATAGATGAAGAAACTATCATCACATTTCCCTGCTTATGAATATAAGCAATCATTGAGCAGAGCTTAGCCAGACCAAGACATATAAGACTCGACTCGACCCGTCACCAGGACCAGGACCAGACAGAGAAGCCGGGACTTCAGAGGTGAAATATGTCTATTTGAGTGAGAAACCCCCCCCCCCCCCCCCCTCCACATCCTAGACTCCATTGCAAAGAAGCCTAACGAACGCTCACTGGCAGTATCTTGGCTTTCGAAAAGCAGTTAGCTGATATTCCTCCCAAGTACTCGTCTAGAGCTTTGAGGAGTCAGAGTCAGAGTCACCGGATCAAGAGCAAAGATGAAAGATCCGTGGGGGGGAATTCAGAACTCAGTGATTGGAGAGCATGCGATTCCGCAACATGTCGAACCCAGGACCTAACTTAGGTCTCGCGGATCAGAGCTCCAGCTGGTGTCTGGTCTGCGCGAATCCCGCCTTATATAGCCGTCGTGACTGTGATATGCGCAGTCTAATACATGCTGTGTGTTACACTATTTCGGAGGACAGTGAAGGGACGCGTCTGTCAGCACTACTGTAAGCTGGTTAAGTCCTCATCTTAACGTAATTCCCAGGTCATCCGGCCACCACAAGTCAGTTATACGAAGCTAATCAGTCTTCTTGCAGCAGTTTGACTCACTCAGGCGTCTGGATCACGACAGAACGATGGAGCATCACATTTGACAACTTCACAAATGAAATGATAAAACTCGATCGCCATTCCTAGGGACTCTGGTGAACCACGCAGGTCTCCCAATCATGTAAAGCATTGAAGATTGAATTGTAGTCTATTCCATAAAATACTTCCTATAAAAGATAAAGATTGTGCTGTCTTACATAATAGAGTAGAGTATTTCCCAAGTCGGAATAGTGCATTAAGGACCTCAAGCTCACAACGTCAGATCCCCATTTCCTGGTTGTCTCCATTTCCTTCTTCAATCCCGCATCTCTCCTTGAGAATCCCCAGATACATCCTTTCCATCACAAAATGGCTACCGAACTACGACCGCTCGTCTCGGAGCTCCAGAACGCCGTCAACCGCAAACAATTCGATGCCGTGAACGACCTGCTCAGCCGGGCTAAGCGCTCTCTCCTGCTACAGAATGCGTTGATTCCCACACCCTCCACAGCTCCCGAGGTAGTTGTGGTCGCCCGCGAAGTCCTGGAGCTGGGAGCCCTGGCCGCAATCCGACAGACCGACGCCCCGTCTTTCACGAGATACTACCAGCAGCTACAGCCCTTTTACGATCTCGAAAAAGACAGCGCCCGCGCCCAGACGATCGACTCCAAGACCAGCCAGCGCAGCAAAATCACCGGGCTGTATCTATTGCTGCTGCTCAGCATGGGCGACAGTACCAGCTTCCACACGGTCTTGGAGGGGCTCGTGGAGGAGGCCAGCTTGAACGGCACGTCGGTGGAGGACGATCCATTCATCAAATATCCCGTGGACCTGGAGAGGAACCTGATGGAGGGCAGTTATGATAAAGTGTGGAGGGAGACGAATTCCGAGCGAGTGCCCTCGGAGGATTTTGCCCTGTTTTCGAATGTAAGCTTGCGCTGTCTGGCAGAGAAGGGACTACCTAATTCTAACTCTTCTCTAGGTCCTTGTTGGAACCATTCGCAGCGAGATTGCAGACTGCTCCGAGAAAGCCTACCCGTCACTCCCCATTTCCAATGCCAAGAACCTCCTCTTCCTCGAGTCGGAAGGCGCCGTCATCGAGTTCGCCCACCAGCGCGGATGGCTTCTCCAAGACGGCCGGATATTCTTCCCCGTCGAGCCCGAGGCCGCCGCACGCTCCGAGAAGGATATCCTGGTGGCCAGCGGGACCATCATCGAGAATGCAATCGGGTACGCCCGCGAACTGGAGACCATTGTTTAAGATATACATACATCTCTGGGGAGAATCAATCTAATATCCATTTTATTCTCGGTTCCTGGTTGGGTTCATTTGCATCATCATCATCATCATCATCATCATCATCATCATCATCGTCATATTTTTTTTTTTTTTTTTTTAGAGCGCCACTTTTCCAATACTAATTAACGAACGAACAATTTCTTCCTGCCTCTTAGTAGGTGCGGTAGCTAAACATTCACTCTCCAAACACAAACCCTCCGATCGTAGAAACTGCTCGACACCACAACACACAGCTCCGCCTGCGCATCGTCCAAATCATGGCCCCCGCGTGGCTTCCACACATCCGACGCATAATTCATACTCTCATGCTCCGTAAACTCACCCAGCACCTCAATCTCCCCACGACTACCACTCCCACCATCCCAGGCTAAACTCACTCTAACCACCCTCGTGCCCGCATGCATACAGCTCGCAAGAACCACAAACGTCCATTTCCCCGCCGGGACATCGTGGGCCGTCCGCAGTAACTGCAATCGCCACACCCCGCCGCCCAGGCACGTCTCCGCGAGCACCTCCCCCGTCCGCGTCGCACGGTACACGCGGAGATACTCGTCGTAGCTCCCGGTGAGTAGACAGGGGGCGCCGTCGGTTAGCGTCAGCGGAAGCGGCAGGGGAAGGATGGCGGTGACGCCCGCGGTATGGTGGCGGGCTCGGTCGTCTGACTCTGCAAGAAGAAGAAGAAGAGGAAGAGGCGGCGGGGGGGGGAGACGAGCGTGGCGGTGACGGTCGGGTCCGCTGCTTTGCGGGCGGGGTTCTTGGTAGCGTCTGCTGTGTAGAGATCCAAAGTCGTCTCCGGTGAATAGGTAGGGGGTGATAGATGGAGATGTGGCTGTGGATGCCATCGCAGCCAGTGCAACAACCCAGATTTCTATCGGTTGCTTTGCGTTGAATGAGCTTAGTTCGGTGATCCCGTCTTCCTCTTCTTCCTTCTCATCGGTGCTGGTAGTAGTAGTAGTAGTAGTAGTAGTAGTAGCGGTGCTGGTGCCAGTAAGAGCACGCAATGACCTTGCTCCAAACACACTCGTGCGCCCGTCCGAGAAAGTAACTGCGAATCCGTCGGCCCCCTCGTCTGGAAGCCAGTTCTCCGGCGTCCACGCGAGGAACAGCGCCGGGATCGAGGGATCCTCGTGCACGGAACGGGTCCAGAGCAGGGAGATCCCCCCCGCGGAGACCGCGAAGAGCGCGACGGAGGCAGCGCTGCTGGCGATCCCCAGGAGCCTAGGGTTTCTGGGGTGGAACTGGAGATCAAAGACCGCGTAGGGCAGGGCAAGTCTTTGGATTTGGGTTCTGCGTGCAGTCAGTCGTCAGGGCCAAATCAGTTTTAACCACCCGGACGTGAGTGAACAACGTACAGAGCGCTGGTGTCAGGGTGCAGGTGCCACAGTTGCAGACTGCCGGTTTTGGTTTGCTGGATGGACGTGGATTCATCTTCTTCGCCTTTGGTTTCGGATAGCAGGTATGTGCCTATGACGAGGTGGTCTGGGGATTCTGGACAGAATTGCAGACAGCTGGGTGGTTGGTCGAGGAAGATGGTGGTTGTGGATGAGGGATGCTGGGGCGATGCCATAGCAGAATTGATTTTATCAAATGACTTCTTTTTTAATAAATTGCAGTTGCACAGAGTAACCCTGTTAGATGAAGTTAGATGAAGTTGTGATTGTGCAAAATATTGCAATTTTTACTATGATCTTGCGGGTGGTCTTGGCGGCACAATGGGAACTATATGTATACATACATACCTAACTATTACTATATATATATATTTCACCTCAACCTCACCCAACTCCTGTCTACAACCAGCAGCGACAGAAAGCCCAAGACAAGCCAAAGATGTCATATACCCCCATGGAAATCCACCCTCCACGAGCTCTTCCTCCAAATCGACCCGCGAGAGATGAATCCAGTCGTGACTTTCTCGCCCGGGTCCCCCCCTCTTCTACAAAAGTCGATGCCATCGGCCAGTGGATCTCCATCACCAACCCATCCAGCCCCAAGATAGAGGACGACGTGCCTTCCCTCCTGGCTCAGGGGACGAGCGGGTTACGCCAGTTCGCGAACGAAACAGCACAGCTAACCCTTCATCGCGACCACTCTGGAGCTACGGCGGTGGTTACGGGGAAGTCGATATTCTTTATCCGTCCAGGCCGGGTGGACTACTACTGGGGCATTATCGCGGCTGCTACCATGCGGGGAGAGCTGGGCTTCGGGGCAAAGGTTGCTGCGGACGAATGGGCAAGACCGCACTCGCTTGATTGCGGGTTATACGCGCGATTACGAGGATGTGGAGGACGTAAAGCGGGTGCTCACGAGGCTGAGGGAGCTGGACCTGGTAACACCGGGACAGAAGCCGATTTTTTTCCAAGTCTGATGCGTTGCAGGCTAGTATGTTCTCGAGCGCCGATGTTTTTTTTTTTTCGCTGGCAAAGTACACTCTAATAATGTGTTTTAATGACGCTACGAGGATGGTATCAAGTAGTGACTTGATCGCCATTCTTGTCTATTCTATATGCATCATCATATCACGTAAGCTTGGGTATCGTAGGTCTTGAATGTCCTGGGGGCATTTAGAGGACGCCTTGGATAGATGCAGCGGCGAACCTAGGGCTTCCATACCGCCATAGGCCTTCTTCTATTACTGGCCACCGTACAGACAGTTTCTTGTCGTGTCGGGCCCGCATAGGTGGGTTCCAGAAGAGAATGGTTGACATCCTCCCGGGTGATCTCTAGGATGAGTGAGTGCTCGGTACAAGCAAATGAACCCATTTCAAGCGGCTTCCGTCTCCCTTTCCATAACTTTTTCGCAGGCTTCACGGACTTCAACGACACCCTTGACCCCCGGCCACTTCTCAAGCAGGTTGCGCACCTCCTCCCAATCCTTCTCGGCTTCCTCCTTCTTCCCCTCTGCAACGAGCCTCTCTAGTCGGTCAGGTGCCGCAATAACCCATCTGACCGTGTCCTTTTCTGCCTTCCTGCTCTGAGCTTCAGCCATCGCTTTCGCGTCTCTCATTCGTTGCCGGAGCTCCTCGCCCTCCTGGATCAGACCGCCAGCAGTCTCCGCCACGAAGGCAATGGCAGGCCCCAACGTCTTCGTCATGGTCAACGGAGCTCCACGCTCATCCATGCTCTGTCGCATCTTGCCAATTGTCTCGACCGCCCGGATCAACTTAGAGTAGTTATCGTACACTAGAGCCTTGCGCTCGCCGTCAAGCGTGCGGATATCGCCCACAAGAGTGTTTTCCGCCTTCAGAATCATGGACAGGGAAGATGTAGCCAATAGGTGATTGACGTAGTGCTGGGGGTCGAAGTCCGGGTTGTCCAGTTCGGTCCCTGTCGTCACCACGGACGGACTGGCGATCTCACCGGCGTCGGGGTGTCGCGGTAAACTACGGGAGCGCGCATTGCCAGTTGGATCGGCTGCAGATGGCTTTAGATTGTAGTAGTCACGAAGAGCTGTCCGATTGCGGCGCGGGTGAAGTGAAGGAGAGACCGCTCGAGCTGTCGACGGGGTAGAGGCTGCGCTGAGGCTGCCGCCGATATTGGTATTCAAGGTGTCGACGGACGGACGACGTGAGGACGCAGGAGTCGGGGAGGGGCCTCCTCGCGATGAGGCGATCGAGGGACGCGGCGAAGAGATAGTTGACATTTTAATTCCAGAAGAGAGAAAATTGAACGCTGCAGAGAAAGGAAAGGGGGGGAATTATATTCACAGGATGCTCAAGCGACAAGGACGGGGACAGGAAGACGTTTTTAAGGAGAGAGAAAAGCAACTCCGCTCCGCTCCGCTCTGTTCCCCAGCTTCAATTCTTCGCTTCGTCCAACGACTCATTTTCCAGACCAATTTCTACAGCCCTCTACTTCTTCCCATTTCAATGTCTAACCAGCAGGATCACATCGCAGCCCACCTACTGAGCAGCAAGTCACTCCCTGTTTCCCCGACCTGGCTACACAATTTTCTCTCCTCCTCCTCCTCCTCCTCCTTCTCCAGCACTTCGCAACGCAACATCCCCATCTCCGCTCTGACACAAACCGCTCTGTTCCGGATTCTTAATTCGGATTTCCGCCAATCTCTCGTGGCAAGAAACGACTCCACCGTCTTACCCACTGACGCGTACGATCCCCACGTCCAAGAACGATGCATTCGCGGTCCGATTCCCGTGCAGGTGCTGGACATCGAGGATATCGGCACGAGTCTCTGGAACCAGGTTGAGGAAATCGAACGCGTTGAACGGGGAGAAGCGATCCGGGGCCGACAAATTGTGCGCACTGTTACTGTAGGCGAGGAGAACCAGGACAGCGCCCCCGCTGCTGGTGCAGGTGCAAGTGACAGCCACGGGCCCCATAGGCTGATTATCCAAGATGCCGCTGGAACGAGAGCTGTAGCTATTGAGATGCAGCGAGTTAATGGGATTGCTGTCAACAAGCTTCCCATCGGTGCAAAGTTGCTCTTGCGAAATGTGACGGCGGCTCGTGGCATGATCTTACTGACACCCGAGAATGTGACGATCCTTGGGGGGAAAATAGATTCGATGGATCAAGCCTGGAGGCTTGGTAGAAAGGCAAGACTTCTGGAGAAAGTCCCTGGTCCTGGCGGTGATCGTCTTGCAGGTTGAGGAAACTGGGAATCAAGGAACAATTACGCAAACAAGGTATGCCTTTGGCTACTATAACTGTTTCTAACAAACATTATTTGGGGGTAGTCTATACAAGCTATACAAGCTATGTGATTCTAAACTAGCTTTACTTATGTGGCTGAAGACACCACCTGGTTTAATTCCTGCCACCCCCTCTGCATCCATGGCGCGACCATGATAGCCCTCAGCGCATCACCGGCCTTTCCGGTCTCCGCATATGCCGCCGATAGATCGACCGCGTCCAAATTGCTCCGGGGAGGAATACTGCGCAAGGCTCGTTTGACACCCATTTCCGCGGGGTATGATTCTTGCGTCGCTGAAGATAGCTCCATCCAACCCTGGGGTTCGTAAGGCGCTCTCATCACCGCCGCAGCAGCCTCGCCGACACGTCTCGTCTCCTCCGGAATCCCCGACTCGCCCATAAGACCTGAAGTCGAGATTTTCGTTAAGAGCTTGACGAGCTTGGTTCGTTCATGGATTTCAATGTCGTCTCTTGTGATCATATTCTGAAGGTCAGATTCAACAGCGTCTATGACATCCTTGTCGGCGTCGAGGAGCGCAATCGCACCCAAGAGAGTGACTGCTCCGACATGCTCTGGGTAATTCTCAACGCATTCAAACAACTGCTGGCGAGCGACAGCCCTTTCCTCTTCTCCGCCTTTGGCCCACAGTACTTGCGCGAGAAGACAGACGACTTCCGGCGCGTTGTCTGCCTCCTGAAGAGCATCGCGGAACATGTCAATGGCATTATCCATGGACCTCATATAATAATGCGCCAGACCGGCTGTCAAATGCGCTGACAAGCGCAGATTCTTGTAAGCCTCAGGGTCAAACTTCTCTGCATCCTCCTCTCCAGACAGCATGAGCGCAGTTTCCGCTTTTTCTGCCGCTTCCTCGAATTCCTGACGCGCGAGCAGAACTCGACCAATATCGGCATTTGCCTGTGCGAATTTGGAAAGGGATGAAGCCGATTCGGACACCTCATATTCCGCTTCTACATGGGAACAAAGGCTGCGTAAGCTGGATTCCGCGTCAGAAAATTCCCCGATTCTTTCCCCGAGAAGAGAGGAGAGATGAACAAAGGGTAGATCTGATGGTTCCTGACTAGTAAGTTGGTGTAGGGCGAAGAAGGGCCGAATGAGTTGCGACACCTCATTCGAGGTAGAAGGATCGGCTAGGAGATGGTCGAATAAAGTGACTGTATATTGCTGCTTCGGTAGCCTCGACGATGATCTGGAAATATCAAAGGCATGTTCGAACAATCCTCTAGCCTCCCGTGGGTCCCCAAACATGAGGGCGAGGAAGCCCTGGCCAACCCATGCTTGTGAGTAGTCTGGATCAGTTGACTGCGCTCGTGTGAACGCTTCGTTGGAAAGCTGGACATCATTGTGGATAAGATAGAGCGCTCCTAGATTAGTCCACACCTGCGCACTCCTGTCATTCAAATGGAGACTTCGCACGAAGGCGTGCTGCGCAACCCTTGGACTCATACGGGTGGTGACTACTCCGAGTGCATTCCAGAACTCCGAATTTCCAGCCTCCAGCTCAATTGCTCGTTTGAAACAGCGCATTGCCGCCTTCAAGAAGTTGCGTGACTGTTTCTTTCCTCCCTTGTCTGAGGTCGTTCGCGTAGTTCTATAGGCTCGGTATTCTGCCCACCCGAGATTATACCAGGAAACTGCTTGGGCGTGAGGGTCCTGGAGCGAAACTTGAATAGCTCGCTTGTATGCAAGAATCGCGGCGTATATGCACTTGGTTGCAAGGGTAGAGCTGTCCCCGTCGTGCTTTAGCTCCGCTAGTGAATCCTGCCGTACTTCATCGACATCTGCAAGAATATCGAAGGCCGTGGGCTCAAGCTGAGTGGCGAGCAAGGCTTGTACTTCATCAATAGGCAATTTGTTTGCCTTTGATTTGACAAAGGAAAACATTGTACATGCATCACCCACGCCCTTCCAAAGGTTGAAAATATCAACTCGCTCGGTTGCGAGCGACTTGGCCACCAGAATAGCTCTCCGTGCAAGCTCGGCACAGTCATTGAAAAGACCGGATTCAAGACTCTTCCAAGAGCCTTCTATAATTGTCTGGAGCAATGCAATAGTAATACCAAACTCATTCCGACGGAATTTCAACACCTCTTCATATCTTGTAATCGCGTCATCATATTCACCCAATTCTCGTTTGACATTGGCCAGCATGTATCGGGCAAACCAGATTTGCTCTCTATCCGACTGCAAAAGGGTGTGCTCCAATTCTTCTGCGTGTTCGAAAGCTTTCGTGGAAGCTATATATCTTCCAGAGTTATGGTAACTCTCGCCTAGGCCGACCCATGAATGGTAATCTCCGGGAGAAATCCGGAGGGCTGCCTGGAAGGAGACAACACTTTTGGCATACAGTTGTTTGTTAACTTGAACAGTGCCCAAGGCTGCGTAGGGCCAACTGTATCCCTTTCGTTTCGAACCTGGGGCAGGTTTGGCCTTGCCAGAGTCGACAACACGCTGGGAGACGGCTTCAACGAGGTCCCACTCCTTCTGATCCGCGAAGGTTCTCGCCAGCCTTTCGGCGGCTACGATTTCCAAAGCTGACAATTCGAACGCCTTGTGGAAGCATCTCCGGGCACGTGTCTTATCCTTCTTATAATCGGCGTAGTAAACACCCAGACTAGTATACGCCGGGGCATAGTTGATGTTGGATTGAACTGAAGCGAGGAAATTGGCGTACGCACCCTTTCGATCCTTGCGAGCAGAAGATGACGGATCTATTTCCCATTGGCAGTATCCGATGCGATAAAAAATCTCTCCTTTGAGCTCACGATTATCTAAATCTGTACTCTGTATGTGACCGAGCACATCTTGCAGCCCAGAGAGCCCAGAGGCAAGGTCTCCATTGAGTGCTTTGCACCATGACAACTCAGCGCGAACCTTGATGTTGGACGGATCTCGGTCTAAGGCACGCTCCAGGAAATTGACGGCTTCGGGGTAATCTTCGTCCACTTTGAGGATGAGACCAATTCCAAGAAGACAGCTGGTGGAGGAAGGATGCCTCTTCAAGATATCCTGGAAAATTTTCTGCGCTTCAGGGTGATTCCTGGGAGATTGATAGTAGATGAGCGAGTTTGCAAGAGCTATGTTCATAGCATCGGTGGTATTTTGCATTGTTAACCCTGTCTTTCTGACGAGATCCTGCACATTCTGGAGCCCTCTCCTGCAAACATCAACAACGCTCTCATATTCGTCGAGGGAGAGATACAGCTCGCTCATAATCCGATGCGCAACAACTGAGGAGGAGGAAATTTCGAGCCCTTCCACCATTAGGATTAGACGGTCATGGATAGCCAGCTCGTTGTTTTCCTCGCTAACGCTTTCAGCATCTTGCCCATTTGGCTTTTTTGTCTCTTTGGGGAAAGGAGAGAGGTCACTAGCTAAGAATCCTCGAAGGATCTTTGTGAGCCCATCTTCCGGGAAGAACTCAATGAAGTCCTCCAGAAAGGAGTGGTCCCAGTCGGAGAAGACATTGATATCCTGCCATTCCAAGACAATTTTCCATGCTAGCTCGAACGGGTGCTTGATAATTACCATATCACGAGCGGCTTGTAATACCTCTGTCCTTTTAGAGTCTTTCTCATTTGTAGGCAGTACAGTGAGAGTATCGTAAGCGCGCTGTAGCAGTTTCTCTTCATATGTCCGGCGAACTTGGTCGTCATGAGACCAGTCCACAATTCCTCGGTAGAGTGGCTCCAGCTCGCTTCGCTTATAGGCTTCTCTTTTTACTTCCAAGGTGACCTGATCAATTCGTGCGCCAAGACGAGTTCTTCGTTCTCCAATCTCCCGGTTGATGAATTCCCTTTCCTCAGATTCCGTCATTTCTACGAGGCGCAGATAGGTTTGAGCTGGTTTGGGGACACGTCCCTCCAGGAAGTCGTACAGAGGGCTCGTCGGTAAGTGGAGCTCAAGGGCTTTCTTATATTGCAAACGGGTCCCATTTTTCTTTGTGAAGCCAACGTACTTATCGACGACATCCTGGCAACGATGTTTATCTTCTCTAGTATCCAATTAGTATTCTCATTCATGTCACAGCTCATTTTATCGACGTACAGATCAGCAAACACCTGACCGAGATGCAGAGCAGCTTCACGATACTGTTCGAGCTTCTGGTTTCCTTGCTTCTCGTAGAGACTGATTAGACCCTGCCATGCCGTCTTCTCATCGCTATTTATCCGAGTGGCCGCGAGGTAGGCCTTCTCGGCCTCCTTACTGTTGTGTAGCTTATCTTGCGCGAGACCAAGGAAGACATTTCTAATCCCACGTGGCTATTAACAAGAGATGTAACGTCTAGGTAGCTAGCTTGTCACCACTTACGCATGGTAATTTTTGGGCTGTTGCTGAACCAAAGCCTTAGCTTTTTCGGCTGCAAGCTCGAAATTTTTCGAGTCGAGCGCAGCCCGCACTTCCTTAAGAGCCGCCTTACCGGACATGCTAAAGCATTCGCTTCAGAGCCCTGCTTTGGGACGCAAGTTCGGGGAGTTTGATGACACGGCAGGTTGGAGATCTTGGGTTGAGAAAAGGCTCGGTTGTGGAGAAGCCTAAGGTGGGCGCGGGCGGTGGTACGTCAGAGGCCGATTCGATCGTGGCTGCTTATCAGTTCCGCAATAAAGAGGGCTCGCTGACTGCTTCCTTCTTTGCTTCTTTATTCCTCCTGTAATTTGACCGCGAATCAACCGGCGGTGTGGTTTATTCTCCAATCGGTGAGTGTCATAGCTGGTATTCATTGCCAACTCCTATCTGTTCGTCTTGGTCGAGCGTGAACTGAGTACAGGAGGGGGTGAGTTAGGGGTTCACTTAGTTGGCAGTCACTGCCTTGTGATGAATCCTCCTATCTACCTCCTATCTGCTCGTCTTTTTGTTTTTGTGAGAGGTTTTTAATATTGGATCGTCTTTATAGGCCTTTTTGGTTCGCCTGTCCACATCCACATCCGCAGCAGATATCCACCGGGCGTCAAGCTGGCCTTGTTGCTTTGACACAGCTCAGAATGAGTTCTCTTCGACTTCGAATCGATGGCAGAACGTTCAAGGACCCGCAGAATCGAGAAATTACTTTAAGGGGAATTAACGTTGCTGGCGATGCCAAATACCCCAAGACTCCCGATATCCCTTCCTACGTTTCGGATGGATTCTTCGACACCGACAATGTCTCGTTTGTTGGGCGACCGTTCTCACTTGATGATGCACATACACACTTTTCAAGGATACGTAAATGGGGCTTCAATACTATAAGGTATTTATTTACTTGGGAAGCGATTGAGCATGAAGGTCCTGGGAAATATGACGACGAGTGGATCTCGTTTACGATTGAAGTCTTGCGAATTGCGAAGCACTACCAGTTCTACATATTCTTGGACCCGCATCAGGATTTGGTAGGTTGCCATAGTGTCTCATTTTGATTCTAGTATATCAACTGAGTCTCCATAGTGGTCAAGATTATCCGGGGGCTCGGGGGCTCCAGGCTGGACACTCTACGCCGCTGGCCTGAACCCGAAGGGTTTCAAGAAAACCCAGGCTGCGCTGGTTCAAAACACGTGGGACAATCCGGCGGAGTTTCCGAAGATGATATGGAGTACCAATTACACGAGGCTAGTTTGCCAAACAATCTTCACGCTATTCTGGGGAGGGCGGGACTTTGCGCCAAAGGCCATTATAGACGGCGTGAATATCCAGGACTACCTTCAGGACCACTACATTGCAGCATGTAAATATTTTGCGCAAAATATTCACGATGCCGGGGACCTCGAGAGCAAGGTGATTATTGGGTGGGAGAGTATTAACGAACCCCACCGAGGACTTATTGGAATCCAAGATATCTCTATCGTCCCCCCGGACCAGCAGCTGCAGCTAGGAACATCGCCTACTGCTTTTCAAGCGATGCTTACTGGTTCCGGGCGGGCATGCGAAGTGCCAACCTGGGGATTTGGAGGATTCGGTCCTTATCAAACTGGTCGCGAATTGATAGATCCCGAAGGGGAATCTGCTTGGCTGCCAGCTACCTATGATGATACAAAGTATGGTTGGAAGAGAGATCCTGGCTGGAAACTGGGAGAGTGTATCTGGGCTCAGCATGGGGTTTGGGACCCCTCGTCAGATCAACTGCTCCAGAAAGATTATTTTTCCAAGAAACCGCGAACTGGCGAACCGCTGGACTACGACAAGTTTACCAATACGTATTTTTTGGAGCACTGGAGAGCGTATAGCGCGGCGATCAGGAGTGTGTGGCCTGGCTCCATCATGTTGTGCCAGCCGCCGGTCATGGAAATCCCGCCCGACCTGAAGGGATCCATTGATGATGATCCAAACATGGTCCATGCTGTTCATTTCTATGATGGCCTTACGCTCATGTCAAAGCACTGGTAAGCTCAGGCCCCTTCCCATCGGAGCTTCCTGGATGATGTTTCTTAACCATTCCAGGAACCGCCTATACAATGTGGATGTAATTGGTGTTCTCCGCGGCAAGTATCTTACTCCAGCATTTGCAGTTAAAATAGGAGAAACCGCTATTAGAAATTGCTTGCGGGATCAGCTTAAATTCCTACGGGAGGAAAGTTTGCGGTACATGGGGAACCACCCCTTGATTTTCACCGAAATCGGGATTCCATATGATATGGATGACAAACATGCCTACAAAACGGGTGACTACAGTAGTCAAACCAGCGCCATGGATGCCAATCAATTTGCCTTGGAAGGTAGTGGTGGCAATGGGTTTACCCTGTGGATTTACACGGCAAGGGTCAGTCAGTGAGCTTTGTAGCTTGGTTAAGAATCCTCGCTAACCCTCGCTAGAATGACCACGAATGGGGGGATCACTGGAATGGAGAAGATCTGTCGATCTATTCAACTGATGACCTTGAGCTCCCTGGGGGCAAGCTTTTCGCACTGGAACAGGAATCTCGATCGCAGTCCGACTCCCAATCGCCTTCTTACTCGTCTAGTCAAAGCTACGTCGCCCATAAGCAGATTAGTCCACGAAACCTGAAGGATGCGATTAAATCCCCTTCGATATCCTCAGAGGTCTCCCAATTCGATGAAGGCAAAGCAGGGTTCCGAGCTGCGGAGGCTTATGTTCGCCCCAGCCCTATCGTGACCAACGGAGAAATCTCCAACTTTGTGTTTGATTTGCGGAACTGTACATTTACCATGTCGCTTGTGGGGAATCCGATGGCGGAAGGACAGGACGTCCCGACAGAAATTTACCTGCCTGACTTCCATTTCCCGGAAACGCATACCGAGGTAGTGGTCAGCTCGGGTGAGTGGTCGATTGACTTTGTAGAGATCAACTCCGTCAAACTGCAGCGGCTGCAATGGTGGCATTCTGGGGGCAACCAGAACATCAAGATCCAAGGGGTCAAGCGCAAGCCAGGAGACCCGATCGGTGTATCAGGGGAGGATCTGAGCTATCTGGAGCAGTGTCAAAGTGGCGGATGTAGTGTTATGTAGAAGAAGGAGGGGGGGGGGATTTCTAGGGTAGATTTTCAGCTTCTCTTTATATGGTAGTGTCTCAACCTCTGATCGTGATAAAACCTCGGTACAATGATGATGATGATGATGATGTCCATAGCGAATCTCATTTGCAGACCTAATTCAATTTATTTCCATCCATTCATTCTCCACCGTGATCTTCAACAGTTATCGATAAGGTGGAAGCGGTGAGGGCATCTGATGATTGGGACGGGAGCGCGTGGAAAATTCTCCTGCCTGTTCTCGCAATAAGTTGATGTCTTTTCTTTCTTTCCTTTACTTTTCACTTCTCTCTCTCTCTCTTGTGTTCGCGCTTTTCTTCTTCTTCTTCTCTCTCTCTCCCCCCCCTCCCTCTCTTTCCCGCTCTCACTTCAGTCCCCCCAAACCCTCTTCCCGTCTAAAGCTCACGGGTTGACCTGGGACCCAGTCTGACGTTACTGGGGAAGGTTGGAACCACTCACTCCCTTCCCCTCCATTTTCCTATTTCAACACGTTCCCTCAAAAATATACGAAGCCGCTTATCTGGGGAAGGACAGCCGCATTAGAGCCGCAGACTACTCTCTGCTTTGGGACGCCGTTAGCCGTGTTGCCCGAAACCTGCCCGCGATCATTGTTGGCCAACGCGCGATTTATTACTACTACTCTTAATTTCCCAGCGCTCTCCTATAAAGAACAGAGATAAAAGGGGGGCAAAGAAAAAGAAAAGGCAAAAGAAAAAGAATCATCTAATTTTTTTTTTTTTTTTTTTTAAATTTCCCCTTGTTTACTGGTGTAAGAAGTTAAACACCCCCCCCCTCCCCCCCATCTTGGCTCTGCAAGTGGCCCCGGACCATGACAATATTGGTGCTGCAATTCCCGAAGACGTGAGGCACCGGTTTTAAGTACCCATTTTATCAAAGCATAGCTAATCCGGTCTGGGGGTGACTGGTCCGGGGGGCAAAAAGAATATGGCCGCTGAAGAGGATCTGGCCGATGGGCGCATGGCCGATATTGTTCGTGCGCTTGAGCTGATTCACAACCCTTCTTCAACAAATGAACTCCGCAGAGAGGCGCTACAGTTTGTGGAATCACAGAAGGAAAGTAGTTCTGCCGCTCGTAATGGATTTCTTCTAGCATCTCGCAAGGAGAATGATGCTTTGGTGCGCTATTTCGGGTTGACGCTGCTGGACCATGTCCTTCGCCACACTTCTTTCACGGCCGCGGAGGGGATCGCAACCTTACGAGAGATGGTTCTGAAGCTCGCGGAATCTATTCAACCTGAGGATCCGGTGTACATACGCAACAAGATTCCGCAGCTGTGGGCGGAAATTGCGAAGAGGAGCTGGGGCTTGGACTGGCTCGATATGGACCAGACTTTGGTGCAGTTCTGGGGTGCTAGCCTCGTGCATAAGGAGCTGGTGTTATCCATCCTGGAAACCCTGTCAGAAGACATCTTTTACCGAGAAGATACTGTTTCGTCCTTGCGGGGGACAGATCTGAATCGAGCCTTGGTTGAGATTTGTACCCCGCTATCTGTGTTCGAAGAAGTGTATCCTAAACGAGACAACCACGTTGATATTCGCTGTGGCCCCGAAGGTTGGCTTGCCCGCACGTGCGAATTCCTTCGGGACTGTATTGGAAACATACAGAATTCGAAACAAGCAAGAGATTCTGCCCTCAAAGCCCTCGCGACATTGAAATCAGTGCTGGTTTGGTCGATACCCAGCGCCATACTTACCTCCAATTGTGTTCCTAGCATTGCCCGGGCTTTCACCTGTGATGATGAGCAGGTTTTATTGGTAGGTATTTGCCGTGCCTCTCCGGGATGTTCAATACTGATGCTGGCTAGGCCGCCGTTGAAGCATTACACGCGTTGTATAGCAGGTCTAGTTTTGACATTGAGGGGTTTCAGCCGCTTGTGTACTTGATGTTCGAAACCGACTCCCTAAGCGTGTTACAAAAGCTCCACGAATGGTCAGTCGTCGGCCCTGACGAGACCGACGACACCAAATACATGATATCCAAAAAACTCTCTGAGGTACACACACCGCCGCCCCAGGTCAAGATCAAATCGCCGTTTATTAACACACAACCCATCACAGATGATATCCTATGTTGCGGGCTTCCTCGAGGAGAAGGGCTTTGCTGTTGAAGATGCACCTAACGCGAACTTACCTTTCTTTTTCCATCTCATGATCAGCATTGTCCAGCATCGCAGTCTTACCGTTTCAATACCCGTTCTTCATGTTTGGTCAAAGCTAATAGCCTCCTCGAGAATTGGAAACTTGGATGTGGTTACAAATCTTATTCCCGCATTGCTCGCTATTTGTACTGAGCGCCTAGTCCACTGGGAATCTCTCCCGACAGGCTCGGAGGACCCCACTGTAATGTTCCTCAATGAAGATATCGACACCGTTCCCGAAAGACATGCTTTTGTGGGCAATTATAGACGCTACTGTTCGTCCATAATTGAAACCATTGCTCAAAAAAGACCCCAAGAAGCTATTCCTCATATCCTCTCTGGGGTTGACACCAATTTGGACAACCTCTACAATGGAGTTGAACAATTTAGCGGTCAGTATCTCCTGTTCCAAGGTGTTGGGGTCCGAACTGAACGCATGCAAAGTGAAATCGTTTTCCAAAAACTCAATACCGTTGATGCGAGCGGACACGCAATTTGCTGTTGTGGAAGCAACGCTAAAGGGCTACAACAAATGGGTTTCCGCGCATGGTCGAATGCCGCAGCAAGATGTATGCGGTGGTTCTGGTTTTATTCTTTTCCCTTATATTCCCGCTAATATCGAGACAGGAACAAAAGCGGGCTGAAATCGAGACTATCCTGGAAACCTGGGCATTCACGCTGATGCAGAGAGACTACGAGGTTGGTCTATCAGCTTGATCTGCGGTGATATTCTCTAAGCTAACTATTCGATTTAGGACCCAATATTGAAGCAACGTATTATTAAATTAATTGTTGACATATCATCTAAAGCTCTTGACAAAACACCTAGCTTTGCGCTTAAAGTTTTGGAATACATTCTCATGACACGTTTACCCGACCAGCCTGAATTTCCAGTTTATTCCGAGGCAGTTAAGGAGCTTCATGGGCTAGCTAGCCATGAACTTCGGCGGCTCGCAACCCGCTATGCGGATTACTTCTCTGTGAGCGAAGCGGGCTTCCGATTCTTTCTAAAAATACCCACTAATATATGAGCTGAAGACCTTTTATGACATCCTCGAACCCAAAATCAGAGAGATTACCTTGGCTAACTGGGTGGATGACAAGCTTCATATGGAGCTAACATCGGTCCTCCTCATCATCATGTAAGACTGCACTCCGATGGTTCAATTCATTTAATACTAACTTTAGAAGGCAACGTGCAAACAACGTCGACCCTTATCAGCGCCAGTCTCGATTGACCTCATTCGTAGAACCAATCAAACAAGCCTGGCAGGAAGAGGAGCTCCGAAACCTGTGCTCATCTTTTGACGGGTTTTGCAACATGCTTGGGCTGCAAAACGTGGGTCCCTATATGCAATCACGACAAGCGCAGAAGCAGGCGGATTGGTCTGTTGTAGTCTTGGACGGCGAGGGTAAAAGGGTTCAGGAGGAAATGACCCGAAAATTTCAGGTCTGCTGGTCTTCATTTTTACCTCCCCAATAGTGGCTAACTTCTCGGGTAGCAATTACCACTAAGAGGAACCAAAACGATGCTGGCGGTCTCAACGGATAAACTCAAGAGGTCCGATCCAGCATATGAAATCGCGTGCAATCTTTGGCACGAGGTTATCCCCATGATTCTGCCGACCTTGCTACAACTCGTTAGGTAGGATTCTTTTCGTGTCAGTTGGAAGTCCTGAGCTCATGAATCTATAGCAATGCTCACGCGTTTCATAACCCGGAGAATTGGAGCGGTCTGTCTGGGGATATGCGAGGTGTGGTTGAGCGTATCCTCACAGATCGGTTTTGGCAAGCCGGTATATCCACAGGCAGCCGGGACGAATTCTATGCCAAAATCACTTCATCACGATCATCACTCGAAGGGTTCGCATCCTCAGTTAGAGGGAAGATTAGAGCCGTCAGGGAGTCCTGTTATTCCATGCTTTTCAGCATGAGTAGGTTAAGGGAGCATTTCTATGGCTTCTCTGAACTTCCCGGGCCTCTGTCAGAAGCTCTTTTTAAGGACTCCCCCCATCTCTCTTCGCATCAATTTTCCGTCCTTCTTAACATTTCGAGATGCCTGATTGATGACTGCCCTGTCCGCTTTCGGAGTCAGTTCTTGCCACCAATGCTGTCAACTTTGTTCACAAACATCGACAGGAAAGTTACTTCGGAATGGGATATTATCGAACAGCGGAAGGAAGGTCTTGGAGATGGCAACCTGACGGACGAGATGAAGTCAGAGAGTATCCTTCGACAGCTAACCTACTCTGCGGTCATCATGGTAGCAAGCCTTCTTGACCCGCAACGAGGAGGTACGTAACCTCTCGAGGAAACAGCAGAATGTGCTAATATGGGAGCTAACAATTGAGCTGTAGACCCTGACGAAGAACCGGTAGACCCAAGTGCACCGCAACCTCCACCAGCCCTCTCCGACTCGATCCGGCATTTTGTTCTTTCGTCTCCCGAGATCTTCGAGCCGGTTATGCTCTTCTGCACACACGCCCTACGCATGCGCGATACCCGATGCTGTAGTATCATTACCCGCGTCATCCGATCCATTCTCCAAGACTTCGCCTCTCCCCTCAACTCACCCACAATAGTCACCATCCGCGAGTTCATCTCCTCTGAAGTTCTCAAAGCCTGCATAACATCCGTGCACGAACCGTACTTTGTCGATATGCAGAAAGACCTTGCGCAACTCATCGCCTCCATCTGGGTTCTCTACGGCTCGAGCAGCTCGACTCCGCGCTCCCTGATTCTCAGCCTCCCCGGCATGAACGAACAGCGAGTCGCTAGCACGGAAGCGTCTCTCGTTCGCTCCACCTCTGCGCGCCAGCAGCGTGCCCTGATCCTCGACTTACTAGAGGGACTACGCGGCGTTAGCATTGCCGAACAAGGCAAGATTCTCGGATCCCGGGAAGAACGCCGGAAGGCCCGCAGTGCCCTCCAGGAACGATATATGAGCAATGAGATGGAGGGCCCGCAAACTCTTAAAGTGGATATCAATGACGGCCCGGATCTAGCTGGTGTTGCAGATATGTTTGGTTAGATAGAAGAGATGGGCGCTGTGCAGGGAGGCTTGTAGTCCTCTTTTATCATTTTTGTTTTTTTTTTTTTTTTTTTTTTTTTTTTTTTTAATATCTCACCTTGGATTTGTATATTATATCACCTTGACCTGTAGGTCTGGTAGAAAGAAAGAAAAAGGAAAGAAAGAAAAAAAAAATATAAGATATCCTTTGAATGGTACTTTTTTTTTCGGAAGAGAGGGCGTGGTTTGTTTGTTCTGGCATCATAGACCGTTGGAAGTACAATAGCAGTAAGAAAGCGGGTTACAGAAATATCAAGCATGGGAAGAATTCAAGTAAAGCAAAAAAGAAAACACCTTGTGGCACTCGTCCGCCCTTTTCTGTCTAGACGATATATCTACAGTGTACATTTATTCCTTGAAACATTCCAGGTAGTAGCAAAAGCAGGTCTGTTTCCCCTTCCTCACAGAGCCGCAACCCACACTGAATCACATCACAACACTCTCATACTCCAAGGCCTGATCCACCAAAAAAAAAAAAATCATATCACACAAAGTCCCTGGCTCCCAAGTCACGCATCACATCACATATTCTAGCCCGCTTATTGAGTAACCTTCGACGGTGTGTAGGCGAATGTAGGGCGGATGAAGCTAAACCCGGCAACGCCTCTATATTAGCCACATATTTCTAAACACACAGCAATGGAAGGGAGGGGGTAACGTACCGGTCCGAGTTGTAGACCTTGGTCTCGGAACCGAGGAGCTCTTGCTCGCGAGCCTTGTCGGCGAAGTGACGACGGACCTGGTCACGGTCTTCCTCGGCCTGGAGGAGGGGGAGGATATGGAGACGGCCCCAGATCTTTTCACGGGCGAGTTCGCTGTATCATATGTCAGTGCTATCCGGATGTAAAGCGGGGGGTAAAAAGAAAAGAGAGGGGGGAGAAACGGAAAGGAAAAGAACCACGTACTGTTGTTCCCGGATACCGTAGAAGAGCTTGTAGTATCCGTAGGCCATGAACATATGCATACCGACAAGGTAGTAGATGGGTCGGAAGCCACGGGCAGGGATGTTACGCTATCCGTGTCTGGTTAGCCATTGGAAACCTCAGCCGAATCGAAATTCCATTGATATTGCGCAGGAATCAAAGGAGGGTATGGGAAGCTGATTTGGCCTGCGTGTTGAACTGAATGGGATTTCGGGAATCGGTGGAAGGGGAGAGAGACGGGAGAAATCGCATGCTGAAATTCGGGAGAACCAAGGGAGGGGGTGTACCTTGTATTGAACAGCCCCGTAGCCCCCCGTTGGGGGCATATCTTGAGGCATTTTGACGACTGACGGACTCGGCAGTCTTCAATTGGAGTGTGAGGGGGGGATCGGATGGGTTGGTGATGATGAAGCTGGAGGACGAAGTTGGACGTTGAGTCACGTGCGCCGCGCTCGGTTTGGTAATGAGTGCTAAACGGGATGTGATTGGTTGGTTTCGTCTATGCCTCCAGAGCAAAAACTGTTCCCAGCGCATTAGGTACTTCGAGGAAGCAGCTATAGAAACAATATAGTTACCTAGGTACTAGACTTTATATACTAAATTTCAAATTCTATCCAGTTACTCCAGAGATTAAACCTGTATACAACCATGCAAGAGATCACCTGACCACTCGATAAAAGCAGCGACACGGAACTTTTCTCCCAAGTGGGGCCCTGTGAAAGCTACAGAGAGATTTTTTGACGGTTCAACCCATCCACCCCAAGCATAGCAACAATTTCAAGCTCGGGCATACATAATACATCATGGAAGAGGAAGAACGGCCGAGAAAACTTCAAAAGCTTGACGTCGCCGAGTCAAAGGACGAGGAACCCTTGATGACGGGCGCAACTGGATCCGTTCGAGACGAGACTCCTGCCCAAGCCGATACACAGAATAATACTTCCGTCGAAGCCAATGTGCACCGGTCGATCCCAAAAGATGGAGAAGCGCAGACTGCGAACGGATCCGAAGACACCGCGTCGAATATGTCGAAGAGGCAATTGAGAAAACTCCGCCAGAGAGAAGTTTGGGAAGAAGGGAGAGAAGAGCGCAAGGTCAAACGGAAAGAGAGAGCCGCTGCTCGAAAGGATCGGAGAAAGGCTGCTTGGGAAGAAGCAAAACAGCAGGGAAACGATACCCGCGAAGAACTGAGAAAGATATTCCCCATACAGAACCGACGCCGACGACCGACCCGGATTCCCATCACCCTCGTCATTGATTGTGGATTCGATGACCTTATGATGGAGAAAGAAAGAATTTCGCTTGGGGCGCAGCTCACCCGCTCTTATTCCGAGAATAATAGGTCTCCCTACAGCACTCACCTCGTTGTTTCTTCCTTTGATAAGCTTCTCAAGGAGCGATTTGAAACCGTACTCCACAAGACACACGAGAATTGGAGAGGGGTTAGATTTATGGAGGAGGACTTTCTCCACGCTGCGAACCAGGCAACTGAGTGGATGCAGGGACCGGAAGGTGGAAAGATGGTTGGACCTTTCGCGGACAAAACCGACGCAAAGCCCGAGGATGGGGAAATTATATACCTTTCCAGTGACAGCCCAGAGACTTTGACGGAACTCAAGCCGTACAGCACATACATTATTGGGGGCCTTGTTGACAAAAACCGTCACAAGGGGATATGCTACGAACGAGCAACGGAACTAGGTATCAAGACCGCAAAGCTGCCTATCGGAGATTACATTCAGATGGCCCATCGCTCCGTTCTAGCGACCAATCATGTTATAGAGATTATGGTGCGTTGGTTGGAACTGGGAGACTGGGGAGAAGCTTTTATGAAAACGCTGCCGTCCCGGAAGGGCGGAGTTCTAAAGAGTGCTACGCAAGATTCGGCAGATTCAACGCCGCAGCCTGATGATAGCGGTGAAGTTGAAGTGGCAGATGTTGAGGATAAACCCGAGTAACGACGAGTAGATGTATTGATAGAGATGTAACTCTGTTAGCAACAAAATCCATCTAGAAATTCTAGTACTGCACCGCCACACTCAGCCACATTTCATCAGCGCCACAATGGTTGCCACCAGACAATCGATGACATAATGCATTATTTACGTATTTTGTTGTGACCCTCAACTCAAGCCAGAAAAAAAAAAAAAAGTCAGGATATTGTGTCCTCTACATCTCCCCGTCTGTGCTGCTGAAATATCTCTCCCAGTGAAGAGTTCTTTACACCTACTTCATCCATCATTCACTCTTCCTTCTTCTTGTTCTCGGCCCTTCTTTCCATCTTCTATAATCCCTGTTCGGGGGGCCCTTTCCTACGCCGTAGCGCCAAAACACAATCACCGAAAGCTGTCGGGCTGTTGCTCAGCAGCCAGTGATTCCGCCAACATGTTTATGCTTCGCAGTGGTATGTGATCTTCTGTCTCTTGCTTCTTTTGTCTCTCTGCACTCATTTCCTTCTCTCTCTATCTCTTTTTTTCCTACTCTTTTACCCCGCTCTTTGCCCCTCCTAGCTCTCCCGTCACCCGTAAAGACTTCTTACTGACTTGCATCCCCACGGGCTCTATAGTGAGCAAGTTGTTCTTTGGAGATACTTCCAAGGAATCAATTATCGACATCCCCCAGGGCCAGCTTTACCTGGTCCGCCCGCTTTCACCCAAAGGCTATTCCGAGCTCATTTTCAAAGACGCCGCTGCCTCTATCCGACGAACCGGCCAGGAATTCCAGTACCAACTCGTTATTCAAAGGGCTTACGAGGAAGGCGAGGAGGAGCTTGCCGATGACGAAGACGGCGAAGGTGTTGCTGACAGTTTAGACAAAGACGAGAAAATTTTCCTCCTTGATCAAACTCTCCATTTTCGTTCCGAACTCCGCGAAGGAGGCTCAAAAATCCTGGCTTGGAGAGATCTGAGTGGCGACGTGGGTGATCTTTTTGAATTCATTTGCGACCCCTCCGTTCCGTCGGAAAAAGTCGCCACCTTCGAGCTAGCTGCTGTTCAGTGTCAATACGAGCGCAAGTATCGTCGAAGCGCCCAGAAAGCGACACAGGAAGAGCTCCAGCAATTTTCCTTTGAGGAAGAGCAGCCAATTCCCTCCGCAAGCCCTATCGCATCTCCAACCAAGTCTTGCACGCACTCGTTAGCATCTGGAGATTCCACCATGGCCAGGGATGCTGAATATACCCGGTCTAAGAAGCAGCTCAAGTCTGCTGGTGGAGATGAGCCTACTGTCGCTCCGCCCTCTGCAAGCCACCCAGAAGCTAGGGAAATTCTCGCCCAGCAAAAGGCAGAGTTACACCTTTTCGATTTCCCTACCGGGAGCTTCGTTCTCCAGGATGCCAATGTGACTGCCACAGTATCAGAAGTAGGCGATTGGCAATATTGGCTCCAGATCAGCGGCGAGGATAAGGACTGGCTGGGCCAGGCTGTAGTTGCGGATATTAATCCAGTCTTCAACTTCGAATATCTTTCATTTATCTTCAATCACTACGGTGAAGACGGCTCCGCTTATTCTTGGCTTCTGCGTTTCAAGGATCAGGTCACTGAAGAGAAGTTCCAGGAGGGTCTATTGCAGGCTCTATGGGAACAGCTTAATGAAACGAAGTGGAACAAAGTCAAAGATAATGATAAGGAGTATGTCATGGACGCATTCCAGGATCTGGCTATTGAAGATGCAGATCAACAGGAAGCCGAAGCCGAAGCCGAAGCTGAAGAGGAGGAGGAGGAGGAGGACGACGGACAGCGCAGTGAGCACTACGACTCCGATGAAGAGCAAGATGATGTTTCAAAACGGGAAAACGACGGAAATGTCAACTCTCAGCTTGCTGTCGGCTACAAACACGACCGCTCATTCGTGGTCCGTGGCTCTAAAATCGGTGTCTTCAAGCATACTCCAGAAAATAACCTTGAGTTTTCAACGAATATTTCCAAAGTAGAAACTCCCGATGGCAAGCTTTTCAGTCCCAAGAAGGTCATGTTGCATGCCGAAGACACGAATATGATTCTTCAAAATGGCGACAACCCTAACTCCCTTTACCGAATGGATTTGGAGTATGGTAAAATTATCGATGAATGGAAGATTCATGATGACATCCCAGTGCAGACGTTCGCGCCAGAAAGCGTAAGTTTCTGTTTCTCGTATGGTGTGGAATTATTACTGACGAGTCCCAGAAATTCTCCCAAATGACCTCCGCTCAGCCCTTTGTGGGAGCTTCTCACAATGCCCTCTTCCGCATTGATCCTCGTGTAACTGGAAACAAGCTGGTGGACGCGGAACTAAAGCAGTATGCTAGCAAGAACGATTTCTCGGCTCTGGCCACCACGGAGAAAGGATACCTTGCCGTCGCTTCAAATAAGGGTGATATTCGTATGTTCGATCGTCTAGGTATCAACGCAAAGACACATATCCCGGCATTGGGAGAGCCTATCATTGGTTTGGATGTGTCCGCTGATGGTCGCTGGGTCCTTGCTACCTGTCGCACCTATCTCCTTCTCATTGACTCACTGCAGAAGGATGGCAAGAATGAAGGAAAGCTTGGCTTCGAACGTTCGTTCGCTAAAGACTCCAAGCCTCAGCCCCGACGTCTTGGTTTGCAGCCCGCGCATGTTGCGCAATTTCAACACGAAACGAAGAAACCAGTCGCGTTCACACCCGCTCGATTCAATACTGGTGTGGATAGCCAGGAGACTTCTATCATCACGGCTACCGGACCATACATTGTCACTTGGAACCTGAAGAAGGTTATTGCTGGACGCAAGGATCCCTACACCATTAAGCGTTACTCAGAGGAGGTCATGGCAGATAACTTCCGATTTGGTTCGGATAAGAATGTCATCGTCGCACTTCCCAATGAAGTCAACATGGTTGCAAAGAGGAGTCTTCAGAGGCCCACCCGCGAAAGCATTGCTGGTCCAGTCACCCCAAGCCGCCGCAGTACTCGATGGGGCAGCCGGCTGGGAAGGGATGACATTGTTAATTCGCCTTACTAGAGAGCTTCAAAGCTTTGTTTTTTTAACCCCCCCCCCCCCCCCTTTTTTACGGCAGTGACGTTTCCCCTTGACGATTTTAATATTACTTCATGTGATATTGCATACCCCCTGTTGTGTTTTTTTTTTCTTCTTTGCCATTTAACTCTTCTTATACTTATTTTCACTTCACCTATTCACTTTTGTGTTTCGGGGACTGCAATGGTTTTCTAGGAGGGCTGGTTCTCTTTGCTTTGACTCCAGCAGATGTGAGGAAGGATCTGGCCTGGCTTTATTCAAGATAGCTATTAGCTAGTAGGTAGATAATAATGCGCGTGATGAATCCGAAGATCGCCTCAATTGGGCTCCAGTCAAGTGAAGAAAACAATACCTCAGTTTAACTATATATAATAGTGTCCGACTAACGCACATGTTGATGTGATGATTTTCTTTTTCTCTAGGGCGACAACATCAGTCACCTATACAAAACCAATTTCTGTAATGCAACGACGAAAGACATGATAAGACGATGGAAACCAGCCATCTCATGCCCGGGTATTAATGTATGCCACCTTTCTCTACCAAACCGGCCTGCCCTTGCCCAAGGATACGGATACGTACGAATCGTTCCCAAATAGAGCAGATAACAATCCGGTAGAATAATCCAAAAGGGCCAAAAAAGAAAGGGGACGGGGGGGGGGGGTTTGGAAGAGTCGTTGTTCTCCTTTCTTTTTTTTTTTCCCCCCCTCTTGCCAAACCGGTGTACAAGATATTATCATTCATATCATCATGTTTTATGCTCCGACATACCACACCTCTGTACCGATAACGTCGAATTTGACGCCCTCGTCGGAGAGAGGCTCGTTTCCAAATGTTTGACAGGCCTGGCTGACGCCTTTTTCGATGCTGGAGTCGAGCCAGAGACCGTAGTGGCCATCTCTGCAGGAGGGGGAGGGGGGGGGGGTTTGTTAGCTCAGAATACAGGCAGGTATTCCCGAAAAAAAAAAAAAAAAAAAAAGAGGAGCACTCACCCTCCACCTAAACTGAGAAAACCAGTTTCACAGAACATCATGTAATCATTCACACCACTATAGGGGAAGGCCTTGAAGCGGATACGATCGGGGGTACTAGTGCCGCTTGACCGTCCATTTGTCTGGGCGATTGCGTACCCGTGCGGGGTGAGAGACTTGTCGCTGCGGAGGGTCGTGGAGCGTCCGGCGTGGGTTGTGTCTGCGCTCGGGGGAAGAGGGAGGCCGGCTTTCTCGTAGAAGTCGTCCGCGGAGTGGGATGCGTCCGTGGGGAGGAGCGACAGTGGCGGCGGCGGCGGCGGCGGCGACAGCACGCTGGCGCGCCAGAGGAAACACTCTCCTGTGCCGAAGTAGTGGGGGTGTGGGTGCGGGGGGTCGGTCATGTAAGCGCCGAAGACGGCGCCGGAGGGGGGGGAGGAGTCGCGGATGACGAGCACGTAGCCGGCTCGTGGGCTGCGGTGGGAGATGTCGCGGCAGTTTTCGTAGAGCGTGGAGAGCGAGGCGCCGTCGCGGTCGAGGCTGTAGGCGAGACGCCAGGTGTCGACGAGTTGCAGGCGGGCTGGAACTAGCAGGCGGATTTCTTCGGCGAGGGCGCGCGTGAGCAGTTGCTGCTGGAGGTTGGCTGTATCCCCGGTGAGGGTGAGGGGGGTCAGAGGCGGCGGTTGGAAGGGGGAGGCAGTGCGCAGAGGCGTGACGACTGGCTGGGAGGAGGAGGAGGAGGAGGAGGAGGAGGAGGAGGAGGAGGAAGAGGCGCGGTCCTCGGGGGTAGGTCGCAGACGGCTGCCCATGGTGGAATTGCGGGGTTTGTTGTCACTGGGAGGAGGGTCGGTTAGACGGCGGTAGAGACCGGATACGACGTGGGTGACGGGGTAGGAGAAGTAGGAGGCCGCAGATTGATGGAAGGGAGCTCCCACAGTGCGTTGCTTGTCTTTGTTTTCGCGGGGTGGAGGATCAGTTCCTGCAGCGGAGGTGGTCGAGGGGTTACAGGCGGACGACATGGAGATGAAGATTTCCAGGCCTTACAGAGGAGAAACTTGAAAGGTCGTGTGAATTTGAAATGACGGAGACGACTGGTGGAGTTGAGGCTGAAGTGGTGGTTTTTGGGTTTTTGGTGGGGCCACGCTTGAGCTCTTTCAACTACACTGCATTATCTACTGCTATTTACAAAATGGCAAGCATACAAGAACAAGAAGCAATTATGGAGTAAATGGTCAGGCATCTCCTCAATCATCGTCATTACTTGTTCGGCCGTTGGTCCGCTATCTCAAATTCTAGTCCCTTGGCCTCAAACACATGGCCCGGTCGTAACGCATCGGTGTAGATGTTGGTCTCGGCATGTGGGTGGAACAATCCCGTCTGGTTACAGCCCAGGATTGATTTGAGCCCAGGCGGATCTGTTAGACGGAAAACCCCCCATTCCGGGGTCTGACTCGGGGCGCACACAATCGCAATGCTCTCCGGTAGCATCACCTGGTACCCGCAATGGGTGTGCAAATCTCGGGAGCTCATAAAGCATGTCTGGGTGGGGTGCGTATGGATCCAGCCGAGCACCATCAAATCTTCCGAGTCACAATAGTCAAAGATAGCGGATTCGTTCACCGTTTCACAGGTGTCGGATGTGGAAATTTGCTCGGGGAGGAGAAGCCTCGAGATAAAGAGAGCGTTGGAAATCAACGTGCCGCACAGGATACCACACGTTTCGAGGTTTTTCCGAGTATTGGACGCAGCAAGCGAGAGAAATTGGGTCCGCAAATCTGGGGGGAGGAAGACGGTACGTAGGGGAGTTCCATTCTCGAGGTAGGCAGAGGGTTTAAAGGTAAAACTGGCCGGGTCTAGATCCCGGCGTCCGTCTTCTGGTATTGGCTTTACTTTCGCGGGTGGTGTGGGCACAGATACGCCCGCAGGGGGCTCTGGTGATAGCTTTTCAGGACGGGGTGGAAGCACGAGCCCATCGAGGCCCGTTGGTTGAATGATTTGGACCTTATCCTTTGGAGGGACCACAGGCGGCTTTAGGAGGATGCGAACGTCCCCCGGGACAGCTTTTGTGACCGAGGAAAGGGAAGACTCCAACGGCCTTTTTTGCCTGGGAACCGTGGGGTACTTGTAGGTGGACGTGGAAGCAAGTTCAGCAGACGACCTTGCGGCGGGGTTGGCAGCACGATAGCCAGTATCCTGCACACTATTCTCCAAGTTGAGCCTCACTTGCTGAATGCGATGGCTCAGATCATCGGCATCTTTAGTTTCGTTCCGATGGAGGCCTTCTTCCCAGTCTCCCCAGACCCCTGCAGCGCGTCTGCTCCATTCATCGCCAGTACCGTGCTCAGCCTGGCGCATCGCATTTCTCGCCGTCGCTCTCCGACTGATCTCAGTTCGGGCGATTTTGACAGCCAGATCACTATTCTCACCAGCCTCTAAAGGCTCAGCAACACCCGATAATACGGGGTCGTGAGCAGCCGGTTGTTGGCCCAATGCGGCAGGACTAGCAGTCCGAGCGGGCGGCATGCGGGATTGACGCTCGCGCATGAATTGTGTATATCGCTCATATCGTTTATTGATCCGTGGTTTTAGCTTCTCCAGGATCTCTAGGTTCCGCCGCACCTCCGTCTCCGCTGCTACGAGCAGTTTCCGCTCTTTTTCATCTTTCGCATCGGGGTGCTTAACTAGGTTTACAAGCACTAGCTGGGCATGTCGGAATAGGAGGAGGTACGCTTGTTCATCGTGTCCTTCGTGGAGATAGATACGCGCCTATAATTCCAAAGTTTTAGCTATCCACAGGCCTTCCGCCAGACAACGGTGGGGGTATCACCAACCTCGCGAACAATAGTTGCAGCCGTTCTCAACCAGTACCGTAGAGGAACCAAAGGATTGTATTCGTAGTCTTGAGCAAGGCGGGTGATCTTCTCCACGCTCTGCGGAGGAGAGGGCCCAGAGGCCGGGGAGGACAATTGCGAGGCCATGACTGAGCAAGTCTGCTGTTATGCCATCCGCCAGGGCTACGGATTGGTCAGGGGAAAGCTCGAGCCATAGAGGAAAAGCAAGACATGCGAACAAGGAGTGAAATTCAAGAATGGGGGAGGTGGATGGAGATGAAGCTGAAGCTGAAGAGATGTCGACAGGAACGAACGATATGCGGCGGGGTTTTCGGAGATGCTTTATTTCTGATCCCGTTCCGAAGTCTGCTCTCTCCACAACAACTCATTGTTTCTGTACAGATTTCCCACCCACGCCAGGCATGGAGGATTCCTTTGGATTCTGTGAGTGCTTTGTATAATACTTCCGTCCTATCCTGAATTCCTCTGCCTCTTTAGTGCCGGTTCACCATGCCCAAGACCAACCGATGGTCGACTCTCGCGCAGTTCCCCATCACCAAGACGCTGTACAAATGTCTTCCCAGGGCCAGGAATGCGAAGTTGGCGAATAAACCCAATATTGTCAGCGATAAATTATGCGGTCCGTATTTTATTTTATTTTTTGACGTTGGACCGAAATCTTCTAGTCTCGTGGAACTAAACAAGGCGCAATACTTTGACTAGATGACGTCCTACAGCGCCTCTCACCGTTCCTCCTTCGAAACCGCCCTGTAGATATCCTAGATCTGTGGCCTGGAGCTGGGCTATTTTCGTCCAAGGTCAATGATTTCCTGCAGCCGCGACGGCATGTCCTGATTGAACCCGACCTCAGCTTCTTCAAACCACTCCTCGAGCCGCTGGCGGAGAGTCGCCCGTGTTACAAGCTGCTCTCGACCGACATCAGTTCCATCCATGACTGGCAAACCGTGCTTTCTGAACACTTCCCGGAACAAGGCCCAGGAAACAGTGATAGCAGTGGTGGGGTTCTGCCCAAGAACGACACCCTGCTTGTCCTAGCTCACCCACCTCCAACAAGTTCCAGCAAAGACCATTTCACAGGAGCACGATGGTGGTCAGTATTCATGGAGGCGTGTATGCGACAGGTCGGTCTGCATTCCTACGGGAGTGTGAGATTACTCGCGTCTATGCCAATGTCAGACTCACAGGCAATTCTTGCGCGCACAATTGGGGAGCGGAGGCGGCCAGCTTTGTTGACTGAGCAGGTTGCGCTCCATGCCTTCGAGGTGGCCGCGCCAAAAGATCAAATGGTGGGACTGTGGGCCTTCTGGAAGCAATGGGATATGGTTGTGAATGGTGCAGCGCGGGTCGCCGAGAGGACTGCTGAGCATGGGGTCACCATTCCTCCTGGCAGAGAATACCCACCGATTGAACGCGCCCCGGAGAGCCCTCAGCCCGGTCGAAAGCCAACGCCTTATGCTCCCCGTGCAAAGACCCCTCAGAATGATGGATACGTTGCAGCGTTTGAGGCGGCCGATCAAATGAATTCAGACTCGCCAGACTACGCAAAGGCCAAGTCGAAACGGTCGCGCGCATGCACGCAATTAAACCAGGAGAATCGCCAGGTCTATATTCGCAATATCCTCGCCGACAAACAGGCAGAGATCGACGAGCTCAACAAATCCATCTCACGATTAGCCGCAGACCCCGAAACCAAGGCTGCCACGGTAGACACCATCGTGAAACAAATCGAAACCGTCCAGGCAGAGTTCAACAACGAACTATCGCAGCACCACTTCGACATAACCCGGTCTCTACCGGGCCTCACCGACGACAAACGCGCCGCATTCCACTCCGGAACTTTCGACAACGCCCTTCTCCTATGGGACCGTCGGCCCTTTGAACCCCTCCTCATCCACCCGGAAGAGCTCTACCCCCGCGACATCGACCGCACCCTCATCTACTTCGAAGCGGACTCCAACGCCCCCGCAATGGAACGGCTCAGCCGCCTCGATCCATCCCAACGAGACCTCGCCTTCCGCCTCTTCGAAGCCTTCTCCCTCACCCTCTCCAGCCAAAGCACTCTTACAGTCGCCAAGCTAATCGAGTTGATCTTCCCCACCCGCTCCATAAACGACATCCTCAAGTCCGTGCCCAGCCTCGCGCAATACGCCTCCAAAAGACCTAGGCCGGATTTCGACAGTCTCTCAAAACCCCTACACTCTAATGCCGATGGCTCTCCTTCTCCTTCTCCTTCTTCTTCTTCTTCTTCTTCTCCTTCTCCTTCTCCTTCTTCTTCTTCTTCTTCTTCTCCTCCTCCACAACAGGGACAACCCCACACCCCCAACCCTATCCTCAGCTACCAAGAGAATCTCGAATACGACCTGAGCGGCGTGCACATCCGCACCCTATCCCCCGCCACCCTCTGGGACTTGTGTCTGGAGTACCAACGGAGGGGCTCCGACCAGTCTGCCATCCAGCTGAACCGCCTTCTCGGCGGGACTTTGACTTCGTCGCGTTCGCGCGAGTTCCTGGACGGTTCGAAGAAACGACTTCATTAAGCGGGCTGGGCTTGGTGGGGGGGGGTTTGCTGGTCCTCTTGTTATGTCTTGGATCCCCTGTTGTATATCTTCATCTCTAATGGGTTTATTTTCTTTTATGGTTTTCCTTGCTTTTTCTTTGCTTTGCTTTGCTTTGCTTTGCTTTGCTTTGCTTTGGGTATGATTAGGTGGTGGTGGTGTACTCCGTAGTGTATTCTATATTGATATGTACTACTAAAAGTAGTACAGTTGTGGCGATTAGAAGTTTTAGACTATACACAATATACAATATACAATATACAAATATAGATAGATATTTGCAACTATTCAATAAGACACCTACAAAACTACAATGTGAGTTGAGTTAGGTTCAGAAAGAGAAATCCTCCAGCCAAGATGACATTCAAGTTGAAAATTGAATTCTGCGCGACCTGTTTTCAAAATAATACATGATGAAATAAAAAGCATTCGTATGCAAATAAAACGTAATCGGAACATGAGAAGAATAGGCCATGAGGTCGTTGAGGCATGGCGATCTAAAACGGGTATCTTGTAAAGGGGTTGAAAAGTATAGGTAATATAAAATAAAAAACATAGAGAGGAATATAATGGTAAAAAGAATACAGGGAAAGCCCAAGATTTCTAAAAAGAGAATAAGGGAAAAAAAGAAAAGAAAAAAAAATTAAGCGACGGTTTGCGCGAGCTGCACCCATTCACCGGGGAGGATGCGCTCGATTGGATCTTTAGAGGTTGCAGGCTTAAGGATCTTTTCGACCGTTCCATTGCGAGGTACACGCGAGCCGTTAGGTCCAGAGCGGGTAAACTCGATCACACGATGGCCTTCACGAGCCATGGCTAATCGCTGCATGCTGCTGGTTCCTGGATAGAGAAGTAGATCGCCGGTTGCTGCCGCGAGGAGGGTAACGGCCAGGGAGAAGACGTCCGAGGCCGGGGTTGGCGCCACGTCCGGCGACGACAGCGAGGAGACGCAGAGCAGCTCTGGGGCTGCGAAAGGAGGCGTCAGAGCCGTGAGAGAGGTTGCGGTCGCCTTTTCCGAGGCAGGTGGAGTGATAGGATGGGAGGAAGAGAAGTCCGCAAACAACGGCTCGTATGGGAATTCGGCAGAGTCTGGGTCATCCCCGACAGATGGGCGTGGCTGGAGTAAGAGATTGTGGGGTTTGATATCGCCATGGACAAGCTGAGGTCCTGAATGGAGCCAGGACAGTCCAGTCACAAGCTTCTTGGCAAGATCATGCCACTGAGCCATTCCCTGGACGGGATCAAACATGGTTTTCGTGGACTTGTTCTGCTGGGCAATGCGGGCTTTGTCCTCGATATAGCTTGATAGAGAGAGGGGAACGGCCGACATGACGATAGAATGCGAGTCCGCGATGTAGCCATGGAAGGGAACGAGGTGATGTTCCGAGCCGGGGACAAGGCTGGCGCGAGTGAGGGCAAGCGCTTCTGCATGCAAGACCGCATGAGCGTCGCGTCTTGCGGGGGATTTGACCGCCACCACACGGCCTACCGGTGCGGACGAGCTGGGTGGGGTCGTGGGAGAATGCGATTCGTCCGCGGGGGTAGAGGACAACGCCTTGTGGACGACACTCCAAGCACCGCGTCCGAATTCAACGGGACGGCCGCGGGGGTCCAGTTGGTATTCCAATTCTTGGGCAAATTGAGGTGGACTGGACACCGCCACCGTCTGGGCACCTAAGCAGGCGTCTGTGGGGTCTGGTTCAACGGGGGAGAGGATGGTACTCGACCCAGTTGATGATGGGAGAGGGGTCGCAGTCTCCAAGGAATTCCCATCCTCAATGGTTGGAGTGACTGGAGGGGTCAGCCCTTGGGCCCCGGCCAGTGGCGTCTGTGCGGCGGCGTCAAGTTGCGTCTTGGTGGTGGAGGTGGAGATAGAGAGTTGCATAGGCAAGTGTGAGGCAGCCATATCTGCGGCACTCTGAAAGATATAATAAAAAAATGGAAAAAAAATAAAAAATAAATATATATATAAGGGTGAATAGAAAGTGAGAATAAGATTATTGTCTGGTGGATAAGTGGCTGAGAAGGAATGAAGGAAGGAAGTTGTATCAAATGAGGGTAGATTAATATCAGAGCGAGGAAATTAGGTGCCGGAAGCAGAGGCTACCTATATGGATGCAAACGGATAGAGATCGTAGTATAAAAACAAGTCCGAAGTGGCAAAAAGGATGGAAAATCCGGAGAAAACCGTTGGTTTGACGTAGAAATGAAGGAACCAGAGGAAGGGAAAGTAAGTCTGGTCAAGAAGACAACAAGAGGGGAAGAGAAAGAGAGAAGTAAGATATGAAGGGGACCATGATGATGATGATGATATGATGTACAAGTTGATATCTAGTAGTTGAGGGGAAGAAAGTGGAAAGTAGGAAGTAGGAAGATGAAGAATTTAAAAGAAAGACGAGGAGAGAAAAAAAAAAGACGATCGACAGATAGCTTAATTGTGAGGAGGAACCATTAATGTTACTTACATACAATGTAACTGGTACTTAAGATTACCTGAGCAGATAAGATGGAAGGCTAAAAGATAAGCTAGAAAATTACCATTTGGTGTCTGATGAGTAATTCCATGGGGTATTTGAAGAGATTATAACCATACAGTACAGATCACATACCATACATACCATACATACCATACATACAGTACAGATACTTGGTAATCATGTACCTAGGAGTTAACTAGTTCACATGGACATTCTACTACTCTGTATACCTTGCGAACTATATCTCTTCTATTATATACTGAATGAGTCTCCTTCATCATAACTATATTCCTTCTCACTCTGTATAGTAAAGTTGAAATAAGGAATCACATCCATCTCCAACCCCCACGTGGGTCTCCAAACTGCCAGGAAATTACATTATTTTCACTCCACACTGTATTTACTCATACCTAGGTAGGTACTAGTACAGAGTACGAGTTACTCCGTACTGGCCAACTTGGTAAAGGATTATCAATGATATCATGAACCACATTCACTCATCAAACAAAAAGCAGGTTTTAACTTTGATTCTTCAATATCAAAAAGCAAGGAAGAAAAAAAAAGAAAAAAAAAAAACATCCCCTTACCTACTAAATACAGACTACTCGAAATAAATGAGATCAATTAAACCAACTCAACATACTCCTTCAACCCCTGCACCCAAATTTCAAAATCCTCCCTCAACACCCGGCCATACATCCACCGAACCACATACGCCAAATATCCCGTCTGGTTCTCCCAGTTCCGCACCCGGGTCATCTGCTTGACTTTGCCTCCTTCTCCTTCCCCTCCCACTGCAACATCCACAACCGAAAGCTCGTGCACCCGTTCCGCAGTCAACAGCGACGACATGAGGAATCCCTGAGCCGGCGCATCGTTCACCCACACAATCCGCGCTCGCGGGTTAGTCGTCGTCGTCGTCGTCGCCAGAAGATCCGGCGGCGAGCACTCAGTCACCGTTAAATGCACGGTCGCTTCGCGCTGCGGGCCCGGCGAAGCGGCATTCATACGAACGTGGAAGGTGGCGTGGGATCCCTGCCTGAGGACCGGCGATAGCGGCTGCTGCTGCTGCTGCTGCTGGTCAGATGATACCGATGGCAGTGAAGGTGAGTCTGGCTGCTGAGCGCGCATCGTCACGCGTGGCACGAACTGGTTCCATTTGGCCCAGGTCGAGGTATCCGTTAGTGCGTTCCACACGGCTGCTATGGGCGCGTCGATGAGCACGGAGCTCTGCAGTTGGAGCACGGCGTCTCCCGGTTGGATTGTTGGCGTGGCGGGTTGTTCCATTGTGGTCCCATCCATCGTACGGAGCAGTGAGCACTGTTAGGTTGGAAAAAAAGGGGGGGGGGGGAGTGAGAGAGATGTGAGTCGCCCTCTGGGATCACCCCACGTGACCTCTCTGCCAAACACTGTACAAACCTGCAACGATCGCCTGGAACTGGACATGAACACCCCCTGACGTTCAGTTACAATGCGTAATACCATACCTAGGTATGGAATAACTTCAAAGAACATCTTGATGAGCTGCTCTACTTGGATCCAGAATGAGGGGGATCTTCTCCACTAATACGAACCCCTACTGATCCTGCCCATGCAGTACGTATATTCCCCAGTTTCTCCGCGATGTGGAGATTCAACTGAACTGGCTAGAGTCTCTAGGGGTGGTCTGCAAGAATGGAACATACCTTCCGTTGTCTATGGAGACATCTCCCGCCAACCCGCATATCGACGAGTTTACACCTGTCTGTCTATACAATAATAATCCATCATCATAAACTGGATCTAATGCTCAAGTACTATTACTACTATCCTAATCTGGAATTATACATGTACTCGCATAAGAATAGTCAATGTTGGGTTCACTCTTAACGCCTCGGAGCTTTGCCCTTGTCTCGCCGTTGCGCTGCTTGCTCATGCGACGGTGCTTCCTCTGCGTGAATCTCGCCGAATCCCTGTTCCTGTAGTTCTTGCCCTCCTTGTTGTGTTTGAAACAGTCTCGGTACTTGTACTGCTTGTGGGGCCTGCGCCTGGTGCCGTGGCTGCGGAACTGGCGGTGGGACCGGTGGCGGCGTCGACTGCACTTGTCCTGCCTGCTGCTCTCGCTGTTGGTCATCGAAATGAACAGCTGGTATTGACTCCCTATCTTGAGCAAAGATTTCCGCAATTATTTGCCAGCTGTCCTTATTCTCATCATGCCGCCACTGCCCTGGTGGAGGCGGTTGGATTGGTGGGGGCTCCTCTGCAAAGTCAGGGATCCCGGCTGTTCGCGACAGGGCCGCGACCACTGATGGATGTGGTGGAAATAGAGACAATGGTTCGGGACGCGGGATATCTCTCACTGGAGCTTGTGGTGCGATCGCTGGCTGTGTAGGAGCTCGTTCTGAGGGACCTTGCTCCGCCTGAAAAGACTGGGTCGGTGCATCTCGTGCCATCGCTGGCTGTGTAGGAGCTCGTTCTGAGGGGCCTTGCTCCGCCTGAAAAGACTGGGTCGGTGCATCTCGTGCCATCGCTGGCTGTGTAGGGGCTTGTTCTGAGGGACCTTGCTCCGCCTGAAAAGACTGGGTCGGTGCATCTCGTGCCATCGCTGGCTGTGTAGGAGCTCGTTCTGAGGGGCCTTGCTCCGCCTGAAAAGACTGGGTCGGTGCATCTTGTGCCATCACGGGCTGTAATGTAGGCTGAGATTGAACTTCTGGGAATACTGACGGTGGCAACGGAAGCCGCTGTTGTACCTCAGGCTGATCTAGAAGGTTCTGGCGTGGAAGCTGCTCAGGAATGCCTTGGGGGAATCTTTGTTGTGGTACAGGGGCTGGCTGTGTAACTAGCTGCGAAAAAGGTAGTCCAGCAGGAACTGGCGGAGGAAGAGCTGACGTTGACGGTGGCAATAGAACTGGTTCCGATGGGAAAGTTTCCTGCTGGCCTGTCTGTAAAAGGATCGCACCACCTGCACCGCCTACTTGGGCACCGCCTACTTGGGTATTCCAAATAGGAGCCTGGAACAGCGAGTTCGTAAATGGATCAAATATTGTTGATGGCATTGAAATGCCAACTTCAGTCTGGTCTATAGGGACTTGCGTGCCTGGCATCCAAGTATCGCTTATATCTGAAATGGCAAGCGGGGGACGAATTGCGTGTCGAAAGTTTTGTTCCAGAGTGTATTCCCCATCGAAGTCTAGAACATCCGGGCCTTCACCAGGCAACGTCGCTTCTCCGGTGCCAAAGCCCACATCAGAAGATCCTGGACCGCCTAACTCTGATGGGTTCAAACCGGGGTTGAGAATGTCCGTGGAACCTTGCCCTGGAGAGCTAGATTCCGCCGCGGGTGCAACAGCAGAAGCTTCTAAGGCTGTATATTCTTGCTGCGCAACATTTAAGTCTGTAGTAGATGTGCCTATCCCTGATTCATAAATGTCGCCGGGGGGGCCTGGACCTGCGTCATCGTCACCTGGAGGTCTTATAGTCAAGAGGCTTGGGTCGATAGTGGGCGTACCCGAAGCGCTTATTCTCTGAGTTGTTGGGTTTGTGTTCGTTGGGTTTGTGTTTTCTGGGTTGCTTCTAGTCACACCCAGAGCACCCGACATGACTGGTGCTGCGCTTGACGGATATACCCTACGGGAGCTTGGCTGGGCAGGGTTTGAGCTAGGGGCCACTTGAGCTCTTTCAGAACCTGTAGCATTTGGGTTGGCAACAGATGCTCCCAGGATCGAGCCTCCAGAATTTAAAGAGTTTAAGGGACCAAAAGAGCCCGAAGAGCCTAACGGATTCGAAGAACGTGGACTTTCTGCGCCTGCTCTGAGTATCACGCCTCCAGAGGAATCCGAGGAGCTTGAAGAATGTAGCAGATTCGAGGAACGTGAGTTGTCAAAGGACGTTCGTAATATCGAGCCTCCAGGATTTGAAAGCCTCGAACCGTGAGAAGAAGCTGGATTGGCAAAAGACGCACCCACCACTGGGGTTGTTAGGCGTGCAGCAACTGGCTCTTCTTGCCGGCGACGGGCAGTCCACATGAATAAGTTATTGCCATTCTCAGTTGATTCTTGATCACCTCGCCGAGGATGGAAACCCGTCAGGTAGAAGGGCTCGATCCCAGGGGGTGGAGCTTGACCACGTCGACCTCGTTGGCCCTGAGGACCAGCAGGACCCTGTGGGCCTCGTGGACCTGGAGGTCCTTTATGACCTCGTGGACCTTGTAAGCCAGGTGAGTTTGGAGGGTTTCGCTGCCCTTGCTGGCCCTCGTTCTGTTGATCTTGGGGGGGTTCAAGAATTGATGTGTTTTGCGAAATTCCAGGGTCTCCGGAGCTACCAGAACCTCCAGGATTTCCACTTGGGAGACTCTGAGTATTTTGTGTGGTGTTCGGATTTACAGTACTCCCAGAACTACCAGAGCTTCCAGAACCTTCACTTGGAGGATTTAGAGGGCCAAGGAGATCATCATTATGTTCTGGGTTAGGGTTAGCTTGAGAGGGCCCCTGTCCTGCTGCTTGGTTTTCAGGCTCCTGCTCAGTCGCAGGCCGGTTTGCGGGATTCTGGGGGTTCTCTTGATTCGGTGGATCTCGTTGGTTTTGGTTCTGCACGTAAGTAAAATTATTGTGCCGATCCAATAAACCTCGAATGTATGACTCTGCATAGATCTGCAGTACTAGGTTTTGGGCAATATTATGATCAAAATTGTTCCCCCCAGGTAGCTCACGGATCATCCCCATCAGGTCTTGAACAGGCTGCGGCAGCTCTATTCTCCTAAGAAGTGGGGTTCTGTTTACATGTTCATGGTCACCGTCTTCTTCAAAGAGTTCACCTTCGGGAGGATCCGCGTACCATGGCAATCCGGGGGGACCACTGGGACCTCGGGGGCCTGGCACACCCTGTGGACCTTGCGGGCCCTCAGGCCCTCGTTCGCCTCGTGGACATTGACCATTCATCTGATGATCACTATTGTCCACATCGTCTATGTCAGATAGATTGAATTCTTGTAATCCATAGTCGCCATCGCTATGGTTATCATTGCAATTATCTGAGCCATGGAACAAATAAGACACAAAACACATCCCGATAAATGGGTGCTGAAGGGTTGTATAGAATGGAGGTTGTTCCAACGGTTGTAGTGACTGATTTGAAGACCATTTCAGCGGAGAAAGGTTGTCTTTGGCAGAAAGGCAAGATAAGTTTGAGTATCTCTTGTCCCCTTTCTCGGAGGCTGGTACAAGAGCAGAGGTGCAGAGTTCGCTGGGTGTTTCAGATATTCTTCGATTTAACATGCTGTCGACGGTAGCTAAGCAGTGATAGCAAATAATATCATATTCTCCTTCTCGGCACATAGGATAATAGTTGACTAGGGCCATCCCTCTATAGCAAGAAAGATCGTTCCAATCCCATGGGCCAACTTGCAGCCAGTCTGGGAGCTCATCGAGAGGAATCAGAGGAACGGGACGCGAGTCTGGTCGAACGATGTAGAATTTGGGAAACGGCTGCCACATGGAGATGGACAATTGAGACTAGAATGGTTCAAAGAGCGATATGAAAAGATAAAAGAGCGAGTGAATGAAGTCCAATATAATGAATGAAAAACGTGTGGATGGATTGAAAGATGGAAACAATTTGAAGTGCAAAATGGAAGTAAGACCTTCACTCAGGAATACCTTCCCTTTTCAGGTCTTGCAGGTTTTTCGTTTCTCAGGCAGGCATGCACGTTGTTCGGAGGTTCTTGCCGTGTTTTTGCTCGCTTCAGAAATGTTGATTCCTCATAATTCAGCCGAATTCAGTTGAGTCTCGGGTTATTATACCAGGTATCAAGTCCGCTAATGCTTGATTCCATGGCTGGCCAGAGTATGCTGAGAGAAGAATACCATCGCAAATACACTCATGTAAGATCGCTCAATATTCTCCTACATAAATCGAATGCTTGGAGGCGTATTAGAGTTCACCTGTTCTATTGGGTCCTCCGAATCTTTGCCATTTGAATTAAGGGCTGAGTTCATATCCCACCGCAATTCACTCACTACCTGGATGCCCTCGGTATCGGGATGACGATGGGAACTTGATTCCAGGCCGTCGACACTCGCAGAGCAGTTACCCGTCACACTAGCGGAGTAATTTGTATTGGCACCTTGAAAAGGACTCCAGCCCATTACTGGTTCTTGCGACCTTTTTTCGCGTTGGCAGTACGAGTTTCGGATACGCGACAGCATGAGGTGTGGGAAAACTCGGACAAGAAGTGGCCTTAGTACGGGGAGACTCGCACAGACTAGGGCGACATTAGATTCAACAAAAGACCAGGTTGCAGCTGGGCCATTGTCATCTAGCAGATTGTTAGACACCCCAAGATGCGAATCCGAGAAAAGGGTGGGGGGGGAGGGACACAAAAGAAGCAGAACATACAGCTTATATCTGTGGAATCTAGGAGTCTAATCACAGTAACTAAGCGGACTATACTTGTGACGCAGACACTAGAATATCACTCTATTAGTATGTAGCTCGCTCGAGAGACATCGCATCAAATACAGCAGATCATTCGGAAAGGAGGAATACACATACAACAAACCTAATGCAAACACAAACATCAGGCAAATCTTCTGCCTGGGAGGAATCCGTAATGTAGCTAACAGCGGCATAGGAAGCAGGACAATGGTTAAATCAGTGACGATCTGAAGGGCCGCGTTGAGAGACCATACCACCGGCTTCGAAAGACAGGTATGCTCAATAGTGGGATCCCAGAACGACTGAACCGGTAGGCAAAAGAGTAATGCGCTAAACACCATCCACAGTCCGGTGCAGATAACGAAAACCAGAACGGCTATCAGTAAGATGCGATAGGTCTTGGTGGTGAAAATGCGGAGGTATAACAAGAGGATCGAGACTTTGGTTAGGTTGAGGGAGAGATTATACAACGGGATAGTGATCCAAAGGGCCTGTGGTTGCTTTCGTTAATCTCGAACCCCCTTGGATATTTGGACTCGAGGCAATCCTGGCCTTACCTTTAATTGAGATCGAAGTTCATCTGGATGGAGATCATGTGCATGTTCTCCCAGACCATAGTGGTTCTCTAAGGATGGGGTGTCAGGTCCCGACAGCACTTCAAACAAGCCCGGCATCGTCCAAGAGCCATAAAGAAGGATTCACCACATACCAACCACAATCCAAGCAAAGAACACATAGTCCGTTATCTGACTCCATCAGCACCATGATACGATTGAGCTTACCACACTCCTCTCTCCATGCCTCCCACCAAGTCCACTGAGCAACAACACAAGACACATACCATAGCAAGCAATAAGATCCAATCATCCCATCCTGGCGCACAAACCAGATAAATGCGTGTAAATAGCCGCAGACCAACAGCCACACTGGCCACGCAGACGAACGTTATCGCAACCGGAAGGACGTACATTCTAGACGTTGACAACGCAAACGACGCGGGGGCCGATGAAAGTGCTCGACTGCATCTTCCACATTAATCAAGGGCTCTGTGATCTTCACGCGCACTCGCTCCCACGCCAAGTTTGCCGTCATGGAATAAAGGCTGTATAATCGTGACACTGACCGCTCTGAACGAGGTGGATGCGAAGGGGAGATGAGATGTATTGCGTCAAGGACTATGGGTGGCTACCAACCAAAACTCTCCCCCAGAACCAGGAAAAGATTAGGTGGGAATTGAGTCCTGTATCCATGGTTCGGTTGGGAAGAGGGTTCTCAGGCGGTTACATTTCCTACTGGAGAAGGGAAGCCGAATCTACCGCTTAAGGTAAGACTTGGCAAAGACGTTGCTTGAGACGGAAGATAGGTATTTACAGAAAAAAACAGGAGGGAAATGACCAAGCAAAAAAAAAAAGTGGAATTCTATCTAATGATGTCGAGGTGATTGGGATCCTAGGGTCAGTGAACCGGTCCATTGTTGGACTGACATGGAGAGAACATATCCAAGTTTCCCAAGACAACGAACCAAAAAAAAAAAAAAAAAAAAAAAAAATTCGAGCTTCAGTAAAATGTACTACATGTTCCCCATCTTCATCCAGAAGGAGTTATCTATCCGCATCCCCACCTAGTTCGAAATGTACAATGCAGTCGTCAGTATTCTGTACGGTGTCGCTCGTGATTCAATTATCATTTCAACCCGTAGGAGCTGTATGATCGAGTTGGTATAGCTTTTGTTCATGAGCAAATGAAAAGAAATTGTCGTTAGCAGATTTACAGGCGGGCCTTGAGGTTAGCCTTGAGTCTGCGCTCAACGGCAGCCATGTACTCGCTAGTAGTAACCCAGGCCTCACGGTCCTTGCGGCCGCAGGCAAGGGCAAGGTCCTTGGTCATGATACCCTCCTCGTCGACCACGTCGATACAGGCACGCTCAAGCTCTTCAGCGAAAGCAATGACGTCAGGGGTCTCGTCGAGCTTGCCACGCTGGATCAAACCACGAGTCCAGGCAAAGATGGAGGCAATGGGGTTGGTAGAGGTCTCGCGGCCCTTCTGGTGCTCGCGGTAGTGACGGGTGACGGTACCGTGGGCAGCCTCAGACTCGAAAGCGCTACCATCGGGGGTAATGAGGGTAGAAGTCATCAGACCCAGAGAACCGAAGCCCTGAGCAACAATATCGGACTGGACATCACCATCGTAGTCTAGGAGAGCGCAGATGTTAGAGCATATCACCTTAACATGCAAAGGACTCAAACAGGGTTCACTCACTCTTAAGGGCCATAACGAAACCACCCTCGCTCTTAATCATCTGGGCGACCATGTCGTCGATCAGACGGTGCTCATACCAGATACCCTTGGCATCGAAGGCCTTCTTGTATTCGGCATCGAAGATTTCCTGGAAGATGTCCTTGAAGCGGCCGTCGTACCTCTTCAAGATGGTATTCTTGGTGCTCATGTACAGGGGCAGGGCCTTGTCGAGAGCCATCTTGAAACTAGCATGGGCAAAGCCACGGATGGACTCATCGGTGTTGTACTGAGTCTGGGCAATGCCACCGCCGGGGAAGTCGAAAACAGTGACGCTCTCGGGCTCACCGCCAGCCGGGGTGTAGACAAGCTCCAGTTTTCCGGGGCCGGGGATGACACGGTCGGTAGCACGGTACTGGTCACCGAAGGCGTGACGACCGATGATGATGGGCTTGGTCCAGCCAGGGACCAGACGGGGGATACGGGGGATGACGATGGGCTCACGGAAGACGGTACCACCGCTGTCAAAATTTATTAGCAATTGTAAACTGGCAAGGGTCAAATCGAGGGGAGTGCAGGGACGTACAGGATGTTACGAATGGTTCCGTTGGGGGAGAGCCACACTGGACCACTGAGTTAGCACAAAAGTGGTTCCGCATATCGGGCACTCTAAACTCACTCTTCTTCAGCTTAAACTCCTCCACACGCGCCTCATCGGGGGTGATGGTGGCGCACTTAACACCGACACCATACTTCTTGATGGCCTCGGCACACTCGACGGTGACCTTGTCATCGGTCTGGTCACGGTATTCGAGACCCTTGAATATACTGTCAGCTCGGGAGATCTTTTTCTTTGGTGGGGAGGGGAGGGGAAGGGAGGGGGAATTCGGCTTTAACCGTACCAGATCGTAGTACTTGAGGTCGATATCAAGGAAACTAGGTTTTTGTCTCAGCGGGGGAATAGTCGACCAGACTGAATGCAGATCTTATCTTCAACTTACGGCAGGATCAACTACAGAACAATTTCATCGTTAGCTTCCAAGCTCAACCCGGGTAACACATCATGATACGATGCAGAGAACAGGGTACCGTGGAGAACTCACCTTCTCTCTGATGTCCTTCCAGATAATACGGGTCATCTAGGGGAAAAACAGTTAGTCACATGTGAAATACAAGCATAAATTGAACATGGTTCTTGGCTTCAAGAGTCGAGACCCTCGGATGAATGGCGTTGGGCTGGCAGGGAGGAGGGCAACAACCCCAGCCGTTTTTCTCCGTGTCTATGGAGAGCCATGACGAAAATGCGGTTCCGCAAAGAGGGGGAGATGAGACAACAGATATATATATAAGTCGCAAACCGCAAGGTTATACGAACGAAAGTAAAACAAGGAAGATGCTTTCTTTTCTCTTTGCCACTCCTCCTTTTTTCATTTTTCTTTATCAATTGAACGTACCTCATCACCGTCCAACTCCACAACGGGATTCTTAACCTTGATCTTGGTTCCGTCGGTTGCCATGGTGCGGGATTGAATCCGATATAGAGAGCGGGTAGAAACGGGGCGAGCGAAATGGGCAGAGGACGAAGTGAGAGTTCGCAGAGAGCGAGTGGTTGTAGTAGAGGAAGATGCGGAAGATACAGAAGCGGAAGCAAGAGAGGAAGAAGAGGTAGAAAAGAGCGAACGAGCAGAAGAAGATAACAAGCGATGAGCGGAGGAAGAGGGAGGGGCAGCGACACGAAGAGGGGAGGTGAGGGAGCGGCGAGCCAATGCGGAAGAGAACCGAACCGACGACATCGTGGGATTGGCAATCAATGTAACAGAATTACTATTCGAGGGAAGCGATACGGAGGAGGGGTATTGGTCGAGAGTCTGCCCAAAAGCGGATTCACTATTGGTAAGTGTTCCAGCGAGAAATTCCCTGGTGTCCAGGGACGGCCAGAGAAGTAGAGAGCGAGAGAGAGAGATTTCAACGTACCCGAGGGAAAAGGCGACTGGAACCTCGAGCGGCGCGCAGTGAGAGCTCGGGTGGACGGAGAGGCGGGTGGAGTCCAAGAAGGCTCAAGCCGATGCAGATTCGAGTCGAGTCTGGAGGAGGAAAGGGTACGGAGCAGAACGGAGCAGCCGGAAAATGATTTCGACAATGATGATGGGTTCCTAGACAGGAAGAGAAGGGGGAGAAAGAAGAAGGGAGGAGAGGAGAGAGAGCGAGATGAAGGCTGTCTCTTACTTATCCCATGAGGGAAAACCCGTTGCCCCCCTGGCTGGAGTGAGGTCCAGATGATTGACTTCCTTTTCCGCCCACCGTTCGATGGAGCTGTCGCCGAAGCCGGCTGTTTAAATAAAGGACATACTAATATAATGAACCCTCGACAAGATTCGGGAAGTGATATTGATATTGCTTCTCCCTGGGGGGGGGGGGGGGGATGGAGGGAGATTTTGAATGCGACAGGGAGAGATGATGGATGACGTTGATATTGAAGCTCTACTACTTTCTATCCGAAAACGACTACAGGTGCAGAGTGCAGAGTGCAGACAGATAGGTACAGACAGATACGACGGAGTACTACAGAGTACTTCCAGTCTGAAGCATTTGAGACTTCCTTTGCTCGGATGAGAAACAGGTAACTATACTAACGTCCACTAACGTCCAGGTTCCTATTACTCTTCTATGGACTGCTGGCATTGCTAATAAAAAAGCATAATAAAGAATAAGAATAAGAATATGAATATGAATATGAATAAGATTTGATATCTTTCTTTTTCTTTTCTTTCCGCGGCCATCTCCAATTCCTTGCCGAACTTCGCCACTATTGCGATCTTCGGACCTTTTCCTGCAACGTGAGATCGATCCCGCCATATTTACCCGGAGTTGCTCCCTCAACTCCGACGCCGTCCTACTAAAGTTATGCAGAGTAGGTACGGAGTACACACCCCCAACTAGCGCAAGAATAAATTCATATAATGTGTATCGGTAACTTATATACTATCCTGTTGAAAAAGATATTATGTCTACTCTCCTTACAAACCACCAGGGCTCGACCAGTTGAAATGAACCCCAAATAAATGCTCCCCATCGCGCCGGAGACCCTAGAAGAGTCCGTCAATCTCCCCCGTCTCCGGATCAATATCCACATTCAAGTACCCGGGCGCTGTGGGTAGCCCGGGGATCGTCTGGATGTCCGCCGCAAGCGCGTATCTATCAAATACGAACATCAGTTAGTCTAGTCTCGCGTAGGAACAAACAGGAAAGCCTTACAGATATCCACCGCCCACCGCCAGCCGGACGTCCCGGATGGGCACGGTGAACCCCGTGGGAGCGCCCTTCAGCGCTGGGTCGTGACTCAGAGAGTATTGTGTCTTGGCGATACAGATCGGAAGGTTGGCGAATCCTTGCGCGGTGTATGTGTCGACCTTGTTTTGGGCCAACTCGCTAAACTCCACCTTCTCCGCGCCATACATCATCTTGCCAATGCGTTCAATGCGTTCTTGGATGGTACCTTCCAGATCATAGAGAAGCTTGAAGTCCTTGGGCTTGGAGCTGGCGGTCATGACGGCCTTGGCCAGGTCGATAGCACCGGCACCACCTTCCGCCCAGTGATTGGCAGGGATAGCGTCCTCCGCTCCCGCTGCCATTGCCTCCTCACGGATGATGGCAATCTCCGCCTCTGTGTCTGTCTCGAAGCGGTTGATGGCCACAACCACGGGGACTCCGTACTGTCGCGCATTCTCAATGTGCTTCTTCAGGTTGATACAGCCCTTACGAAGAATGTCAGTGTTCTCCGTGCGGTAGACCTCGTGGAGTGGAGCTCCAGGGCTGATCTCGGGCCCACCGCCATGGACCTTCAGGGCCCGCACTGTCGCGACGATGACTACAGTGTCGGGGGACAGGCCGGAGGATCGGCACTTGATGTTGAAGAAACGTTCTCCACCCATGGTGAAGTCGAAACCAGCTTCGGTCACGACGAAGCCGGTCTTGGACTCGTGGTCCTCCTCGGGCTCCGTACCGGCAAGTTTCAGAGCCAGCTTATCCGCCAGCACCGAACTAGCGCCGATACTGATATTAGCGAAGGGTCCCGCATGGACCAGGACGGGTGTTCCCTCCAAGCTCTGCATCAAATTAGGTTTGATAGCGTCCTTCATCAATGCTGCAAGAGCGCCGCCAGCGCCAATGTCGTCGCACGTGACTGGGTCCCCGCTTCGGGAGGTAGCCACAACCATGCGGCCCAACCTCTCACGCATGTCTGCAAGACTGCTGCTCAATGCGAGAATAGCCATACACTCACTAGCCACAGAGATATCAAAGCCAGTTTCGCGGCTCAGACCCTTTTCAGTATGGGCCTGTCCGACGGTAATACCGCGCAGGTGCCGGTCATTGACGTCCAGCACACGGCGCCAAGTAATGGTGGAGGGATCGATGTCAAGTCGTGCAAATCGGTGAATCTCATCCTCAGTGAGCTCATCCGGATTTGTCTTGGTAATACCCAACTTCTTGAGGCGTCTGAACATGATAGGTTGGAACTCCCGCTTGCCCTTCTTAGCGGGGACAAGACGCTTGTAAAGAGCGGCATCTTTCTGGGTGGCCTCGTGGAACATGCGCGTCTCAATAGCGGCGGCAAGGAGGTTGTTAGCGGCTGTAATGGCGTGAATATCACCGGTCAAGTGTAGGTTAAACTCGTCCATAGGAATGACCTGACTGTATCCACCTCCAGCGGCTCCTCCCTTGATACCAAACGTGGGGCCCTGGCTAGGCTGTCGGACGTTAGCGAAGACGATGCGGTTCAGGTGTGCACCAAGGGCCTGGCTAAGACCCAACGTAGTGGTCGACTTGCCCTCACCAAGAGGAGTCGGCGTGATACCGCAAACCAAAATGTAACGGCCGTTGCGACGGTGCCCCAGACGGTTAAGAACATCCAGGCTCACTTTAGCCTTGGTATGGCCGTAGGGTTCGAGCTCGTGGGGCGCAATGCCGATCTCGGAAGCAACTTGAGTAATAGGCTTGGGATACTGTGCACGAGAAATAGCAATATCCGAGGGTACTGGAGTAGTCAACTTGATAGGAAGGGGAGTGATCTGTCGCTCTTTCTGCTTGTCGAAATAGGCTTTGGCTGACGCGACGACGTTCTCTAGCAACATAGCCACCGTCATAGGGCCAACACCACCAGGAACAGGAGTAATGTGGGAAGCAACCTGGGCCGCAGACTCATATTCAACATCACCGACAAGGCGCTGACCAGACTTCCTGGTGGCGTCGGCCTTGAAATTGATACCAACATCAATGACAACAGCACCAGGTTTTAACCATTCTCCCTTGACAAATTCTGTTTGGCCAATGGCCGCGATGACAATGTCCGCATTTTTCACGATTCGTGGGATGTCAGGGGTTTTGGAGTGGCACACCGTCACTGTGGCATCCGCGTTCTTCAGAAGATAGCTAACGGGGCTTCCAACGATGTCACTTCGGCCAAGCACCACTGCTTCCTTGCCCGCAGGGTTAACGCCGGTTGAGTCTAGAAGCTTCATCACGGCCTTCGGGGTGCAAGGAACGAAGAGAGGGGTACCGCCCCGCTTGGCCAATTCGCCAATGTTGATGGCGCCAAATCCATCAACGTCCTTTTCATCTGCAACAGCGGATGTGACTGCATGTTCGGAGAGGTGATGGGGAAGTGGCAGCTGGACGAGAATGCCGTGTACTGACGGGTCGTTGTTGACCTGGGTGATCTCCTGGAGGATCGCTGGCTGTGAGATAGTCTCGGGGAAGTTGATGATCTTGCAAAGGATGTTTGCCTACACATAAAAAGTATGTTAGCAAGAACGGCTTTTGGGGAACGAGGGCGGATGAAAAAAAAAAAAAAAGCATTGAGTGTCAATGGCACAGCATACCTCCTCAGCAGCCTTCAACTTCATGCGCACATAGGTGCCTGAAGGTATAGGGTATTAGTAGAATACTTTCTCCAGGTACCATGGCACATGCAACTCACTCGAATCGGACCTATCGCCCACTATAGCACTCAAGATCAGTATCTCCCATGAAGAAAAGGCATCCCGCGGGAAACTCAAGATCACTTACCCTGGATAATCACCAGGCTGGGTTTGAATCTGGGATTGATTGTTTGGAGCTCCTGGATTTCATTCTTCAATCCCTCCCGAATATCCTTCGCGATTTGGGTTCCATCGATCTTTGCGGCCGCCATGGCAACGCCAATACTCGAAAATCGGTTCAAAGGCTGAGTCACAAGTGCGGGAGGACAGTTTCTGTAACTTTTCGGGAAACGAGGAGCAACGAGTGGTATGCGACAACCCAAAGTCCTGGACCCGTATCCAACAGAAAAGTGTCGAGAATAAGAAAGAGGGGAAATATAAGAAGGGAGAGGGGCAAAACGGGAGTAAGAAGATTGATGCAGAGTACACGAACGGAGGCTGTAGCTCTTTGCTTGAGCAGCACAGCGGGGTAGAGTCGCCGATTGGGCGAGGGGGTACGGCATCAATTGATCCTTTGCCGCAGGGCGAACTTCGGTTAAAGAGTCACAGATAGGAAAACCCGTCGATCCAGCGAAATTCAGAATGTAATACCACAGACGGATAGCAACAAACCAAAGGAGCGAACATAAAATTACAACTAGAATATAGGGACCTGTGAAAACGACGCCGAAAATGACAAGCTCTGGCGCCAGAAACGGCTTCCTTTCCACTTGTAACTTTGGACGGCGAGCCGCCGCTTGACCGCCCGCTTCTTGGTGCTGCTGACACTTGACTTGATCTGTCTTTCATGGATATACCGATGCAAATTTGATTCCAGCATGCTTTCCAACAAGACAAGTCCCTTATTCGAGAATTCAATGCGGAGTTTGCGAGATAGGGAGGGTCAACAGATGTTCCTCATTCTCCTCCTAGAGCGCGAAAGCTGTTTGACATCCCGATTGTCAAGGCACTTCACGATGTCGAACAGGATTTCGGTAGGAAGCAATTCCATATTGTTCAAGCAATCAATTAGGGTATCAGTATCTTTCTAGAGGGTCCGGAGGTGATGCTTGGAGGTCCAAAGCAGGCAGGCCCTGTGGCCTTTCTATACGTGAGGCAAGTTAAGACAAGCCGTCAGCAATCCGCGGGGAGCAATGACAACCAACCAAACCCTCAGAAACGGTAGTAAAATGAGCCTGCGGGAGAAATCGAGGAACTAATGGAAGTAGAGGGGAAAGAATAACTGCTCACAAGGAATCCTTAGGATAAATTTGGGGTCAATCAACTATAAGCAAAATGACGAAAATACAATTTCCCCCGCCGGAGCCAAGACATGACATGACATCTATCTGCCTTTCCTTGCTTCCCCCTCCTGAACCCGATCTCCATTGACGAAAAAAAAGGAAATCATAGATCACGGAAAAGAAATAAAAAATGGAACCAAACTGGCTGACTGCACGCAACAACCATTCATACGAAAATGGACGCCGCTACTATGGCTTCAAGGCCGAATTCCCCTTTCCAGACGACCAAAAGGCCACCTCAGCACACGCGATGATCAGCACCATGTGGCATCATCTTCTAGACGGCAGAACCTTTATTGCCCCCATAGATCCGGTCCAGAAAAACCACAAATTTCTCGAGTTCGCTACCCGCAGCGGCTCCTGGACGATCATGGCACTGAACCGGCATCATCCTGCCCCGCGCTTGACGGGTATGGACCCGGCCTACATGTCTCCAAATCTCCGGTATTTTGAACACCACGAGCTTGAGGGCGATTGGCCATTTACTGCAAAACAGGCGTTTCATTTGATCCATGCGCAGTCTCTAGGCGGGGTGATTGCCGACTATGACAGGTTCTACGCTAATGCGTTCCGGCATCTTCTCCCGGGCAGGTGGTTGGAAGTGTGGGAGAACGACTTGCGCTTCTTTACCGACAACGCACAGGATGAAACTCGGCTGGTGGCACTGAGGGAGTGGGAGGCGCTGATGCACGAGGCAGCAGCCAAGTTTGGCAAGCGAGTCAACGTGGCAGCCGAGCAGAAGGAGCTGATGCACTCAGCTGGCTTTGTGCAAGTCGATGAACAGATATTCAAGGTGAGCGAGCCTGAAATGGAACAGAGATTCAAAGACAATCCGTATGTATATTGCAGCCTGAGCGGCTGACTTTTGAGCACCTGCGACTAGGTCCCCTATGGTGAGTGGAGTGACGACCCAACTCTGAAAAACATTGGGGGCTACTATGTGTTCCAGATGCAGTGCGCGCTGGAGGGATACACGCTACGTCTATTCACCAAGACATTGGGCTGGTCAAAGGAAGACACTAATGCCCTGATTAGTCGGGTGCAGGAGGAACTACAGCAAAAGGATCTGCGGCTCTATTCATATTTCCATCTCGTCATAGGGCAGAAGCCAGCACAAGCCGCTCGAAAGTAACAGGCGCGCAGGTTTCCGAGGCCGATGCCCGTATCGAGCTCGATAGACTCGCAAGTGTCGGCGTCCTCCATCATGTACAGCTCGTGGCAGATGAGCGGGATGCAGAGCTCGTTGCCGGCAGCCAGCGGAGTGCAGTTGGTTTTATAGCCGGTGTTGGCGCGCTGTAGGGCGCGGCTGAGGCTACCGAGTAGGTAAGCGCCACGCTGTCGCAGGTGTCGCCAACCTGCGAGGCATAGGTCACGTCGGTGAAACAGGGGATGGGCTCCTGTTCGATGGGGATGCACTGCGGATCCTGCACGTCCGTGGGGCCAGCCGGGGCAATCAGAGACGAACCAGGCTCACCGGCAGAGGAAGACCTAGATAGCTTCGTAGCATGGAGCACAATGACTCCCTTGGGGAAGAGGTAGGAGTATCGACCCGAAGTCTCGCGATGACACTGCGGGCTGGATCATCCCAGTGGTTCTGCCCCTGTGCGACTGCCATTCCAGCGGGAGGACCGAGAACGATCTGGGCGTCGGATCGAGGCGATGGAGGGAGAGGTTACGAGACAGCGTATTGTGGCGCTAGGCCGGGAACGGCAAAACTAACCGGATATAGCAAACCACAGGTCCCTCCCTAGGTATATTACAGGCACAATAGTCCAAACAACATCACAATACCATTTGACCCGGCTTACGGCCAGTCAATCTGTTTCCCGCGTTCTATACAAAGGGACCACAACTTTTTCCCTCTCCCTTTCCCGACCTCGGAGTTGGGTTAGATTGCTATTGGCTGTGAGCACGTGCTGCTGATGTCAGCAAGCCGAAGCTGGCCGGGGCCAGTTTTGCGCTATTCCTCATAAGGTGTAAAATAGGGTTGAGATATATCACATGATTGTTTATTTATAATACCGGAATAATAGATATTCCGGTACGATTCGTATTATACACAACAGGCTTGATCAGGAAGGTCTTGGCATGCGAGCCGCGGACTGTGCGATGAAATTCATGATCTAGCCGGACGAAGTTGCTAAAAGAGACGCCGCAAGCAACCCCGCCAGGCAGTTAGCCTTACCACGCAATTTTTAGTCGACCTCGTTACAGATACTATCAATCTGTGATCCCGTATCTTTTCTTCCTCCGACCTCTCAGCCAAAAGTCCTTTCCCGGTCGGCCCAACATGAGGCCTATTTTGCTTGCGGGCCATGTGCGTTTCTCCCAAGACTGACTCGAAGAACTTGCTCGCGTCGGCTTCGTCCCTTTGATATCAACAGGTCGCTAATATTATTTTTCTTGGCTATCATAGGAGCGCTCCCTCAACCAGATCAAGTTCAACCGCGATGGCGATATGCTCTTCTCCGTGTCCAAAGATAAAGTTGTGTGCGCTTGGTGGTCAGCCAACGGCGAACGACTTGGAACCTACAACGGACACCAGGGTGCCATCTGGACAGTCGATGTCAGCCCTAATACCATTCTCCTTGCGACTGGCTCTGCAGACAACACCGTGCGACTATGGAACGTGAAGACTGGCGACTGCGTCAAAGTTTGGGACTTCCCTACAGCCGTCAAGCGTGTCGAGTTCAACCCTGATGGAAGCCAGCTGCTGGCCGTGACAGAAAAGCGTATGGGCTTCTTGGGTACTATTGCCGTGCTAGATATCAACTACGGAGAGGATTTGTCGGAGCAGGCTGATGAGCCCAGCCTGAGAATCACTTGCACAGAGAGCAAAGCCACCGTTGCGGGTTGGAGTTATATGAGCAAGTACATTATTGCTGGTCACGAAGACGGAAGTGTCAGCCAGTATGACGGAAAGGTGCGAATACTCTTATCAATTTCTAGGAGTAAATGACACATACTGACAGTCTCTTTTTCTTTGTTTTGTTTCATAGACCGGTGAGCAGCTCAAGAACGCCCAGGCTCACGAGTTCGACCATCAGATCAACGATCTCCAATTCTCCCCAGACCGCATCTACTTCATCACTGCCTCGAAAGACAAGTCCGCCAAGGTAAGACCACCCCTCTTTTCTTACGTACGATATTCTTTTTCCCCCGTTAACAACCTGTAGCTTATGTCCGCCCGTGACCTCGCTATCCTCAAGACCTACGTTTCCGACACACCGCTCAATAGCGCTGCCATTACTCCTAAGAAGGACTACGTAATCCTGGGAGGTGGTCAGGCCGCTATGGATGTCACCACAACCTCCGCCCGCCAGGGTAAGTTCGAGGCTCGTTTCTATCACAAGGTCTTCGAGGACGAGATTGGCCGTGTCAGAGGCCATTTCGGTCCTCTCAACACCGTTCACGTTCACCCCGCCGGTACTGCCTACGCCTCTGGAGGTGAGGACGGTTACGTTCGAGTTCATCACTTCGACAAGCCCTACTTCGACTTCATGTACGAGGTTGAGAGGGAGCAGCTGAGGAGGTGAAGTGCATGATGGTTGGAATGATCGTAGAATTTTATTCCCAATTTACGCATCTTTTGTATGTGTCATGAAGTGATGGCATATTTCCTTGCAAAAAAAAAAAGTACAAAAAAGGGAACCAGGTGGGAGAACAGGGGCAGGACGAGCAAGTAAGTCCCAGGCCATTGTCGAAGTGGGGGAGGGGCCATGAGTTGATTTCATTTATTCCATGACAAGACGGAGTTGGTATCATTTCCTATTTCTGGTCGCTTTCTGTGTCCTAATAAAAGAGAACCTCATTTACTTCCATGTTACCTTCCACGTCATGTTTCTATACCTTCCTAAGTCCATAGATAGTGCGATAGTGCGATAAGACGGAAATATGATTATATATAAATCCACCACAAGTCATGTTGAGGCGGGGCATTTTCAAGTCCAGCCGTGTATAGATATTTGTATCGGATCTGCGCTCTTCTAAACCCCTGATACCCAAAAAAATAATATAAATATAGGTGGCATGTCATTCAATAAAGCGGCATGAAAAAAAATAACGACCGAAAGGAAAGCCTGGGACATAAAGGCCAAAAGAGAAGAAAACCAAAAAAAAACTGGGCCCCTCCCCTAAGAAAAAGCCGCGGGCTCACCCCCGGTCGGTTTACTTTTTCTTGGGGAACTTCTCACTCCCGATATCAGCACCTCTCAGCTTGACGTTGAGCACACGCTCCATGGCACTGAGGACCTTCTGGTCGGGGGCGGCGGTGCCTCTCTCGAAGTCCTGGACAACGGTGACGGTGGTGTTGCACTTAGTGGCGAGCTCCTTCTGCGTCATCTTGTAGCCCTCATCGGTTCGACGCTTCTTGATAGCCTCTCCAACCTGGAGACCCACGGTCTTGGGCTTGACGATATCATCACTGCGGTCGACCTTGGTCAAGTGTTGACCCTCAACGGCACCAGACCGGCCAGCCTGAGAAGATAAAAGTTAGTAAGTATGTGGCAAACGGGAGGGGAAAACTCTAGTGTCGTAGGGCGTGTGCCGGGGGGGGGGGGGGGGAGGGCAAGAATCAGGGAATAACACATACAACATTGCCAGTGGCATATTTCTTCTCGGTTCCAATAATGAGACCCTGGCGCTGGGCAGCGTTCAGGGCACTCTTGCCCTTGATGACAGTCTCGCGGGGTGCGGGACCAGCGCGGTGCTTGGTTCCAATGCGAGTAACGGAATCCCACTCGCTCATCTTGGCTGAAAAATAAAAATGCAAGTGCAAAGATAGAGGGGGGGGGGGGGGTGTGAATGAGGGAGAAAGTGGCAGTAAAAGTGATTCGATCGCGTGAGGTTTTGAAGAAGGGATGTTTCAAGATGGCCCACCGAATTTATATCGATGACACAGAAAGTTCTCGAGCCTTGGATGGCGGAAGTTGGACGGGGACAGTTAGCGCTAGAATTATTAGGGATTAGGCAAAAGTAGTCGCTGATGTAATCCATTTGACTCACTCTGACTCCTGGACTGAGACTCTTGACATTTTTGTGTGTCTTGGAGTTAACCCAGGAGGCGAATTATAAGTCATAACATCTTTCGGAGATACATACTCTGTACTGACCCTAATCCAGGCCTGGTTGGGTTTGGTGTTCTGGAGAGGAATGTCCTCGATATTCCTAGTATCGCAGAATGATAACCTGCGTAAACAGCCCAACATTTCCATATCGGATTCCTCGACTATGGACGTCACCGTCATCAAGTCAAATAACAATACGGTTCAAATCTTTCTTCGGATTCACTGACTCCGATTGATTCGTCCAGAATGAACCATTAATTCGTCGGATTCTTGAGATAAATTCTTGACGTGTTTCTCGACTATGTACTGGGAACATGGACAAGACAGGTGGTTATTATCTCCCGAAACATCCACTACCTAGGTAATCTTGATTTACCGTACTAGTATCTATGTCCAGTAACGTCCAGTTTCTTCGTTCCACATCCATATGGCATATTTGCACGTCACTACTGCTAATGGATAGATCGAGATGTGCTTGGCGAAGTGCGGTGGGATATACGAATACGATACGGACCCAGGATTACACGGAAGAAAGGTGCCCTTTTAAACCCTTGAACACTCCTAGAATACTTTTTCTTTTTTTTTTAAAAAAAAAAGGTAGGAAAATAAATGAAGCGAAAAAAAGAAACAGGCAAAAAAAAAAAATCCCCAGTTCAGGCCCTTGTGGCTGAAGATGTAGTAGTGAAACAGGATTTGTGTTCATTAATCGGAGAGTGCCTGAGGAGACCAAGCCCGAGCCAAGCCTCTTCCACCAATGGAAAATGTGCAGCCTACCGGGCAGCCTGAAAGAGGCCTCAGGGACCAACGATTGTTCGAGTTGTATCGTCCCTGCTAAGCCCCATCCATCGACATCCGTCCATCTACTCCGTACAACTACTGGTTAACTACTGGGTTCTTACTCAAGTTCTCCCGTCCTTTCCTCCAATATTTCCTCTGTCGACCTGGAGTTTTTCGATTCGTCTCTCGTTTTCCTTCCGTCAACATTTTTCCCTTCAGATCCTCTTCATTCTAGCCGATCATGGCATCTCAACAAGACAAGTTCTTCTCGGCCATGACCAACCGGTCGCTCCGTACTGTCCGAGCGGTATGATCCCCTCTCCAGGCTTCCAGTTAACTCTCCTGTGAGGAATCGTGGGTTTTGGGTCTCATGTGTGACAGTTCTAATCTCTTATTTCTCCCTCGCAGGAGCTAGAGTTTCTCGCAGATGCCTCAGTCATTACGCCACAGCAACTGTCGTCGATTCTATCGCAACTACCAAATCAGGGCGAACGTTCAGTGTCTGCTCCTCCTCCTCAGCCATCACCAGTGCAGCCAGCCCCTGTTGTACAGACTCTTCCTTCTCCTACCCCATACTCTCCTCCTACAGCACAGTTCGCCAATACCTCGTTGAACGAAAAGACATCTTATCAACAGCCGCCTCCCCAGCAACATTATACTCCGCCTCCTCCTGCCTACCCCCAGGCACCCACAGTGCTCTCTGTTGCTTCCGCACTCTACGCATACACTCCTACAGATGCTGGAGATTTGGCTTTGCAACCGAATGATCGTGTCCAAGTTCTGGAGCACATGAACGCAGATTGTATGTCTGCCCGCCCAGTAGCCGTTTGTAGCCGCTTATTAATGTTATCATAGGGTGGCGTGGTCGCAACGAACGCACAAACCTCGAGGGTATCTTCCCTCGCAGTTATGTGAACGTTCTTAATGAGAAAGCCGTTGCTTCCCCTCCTCCTCCATCTAGCTATGGCAACATGCCTTTGGAAGTTAGTCAGTCTGGCTCCGGCGCACCCGCCGAAGAGAAGAAAAGCAAGTTTGAGGAGCAAGGCAAGAAGTTCGGCAAGAAGATGGGCAACGCTGGTATGTATATTTCACCCATATCCTCGAAAATTCTCAAAAGGCTGACCTTGGGACTCAATTCAGCCATCTTTGGTGCCGGTGCCACGATTGGCTCCAACATTGTTAATAGCATTTTCTAATTCAGCGCTTTGGTTTTCGATTCCGGTTTGCTTTACCTCTATTCCAGTCTTCCACCGGTCGGGACAACTCTTTCATTTTGCCCCCTCTTATTTTGTCTCATAGGAACGGCGTTGGCGGGGTTCTAATTTGCTCATTCTTGTTGAATAAGGAAGCCTTTCAAACGAACCTAATGACCCCCCTTACCAATATTGACTGGCTGTGGGTAAATTTTATTGGTATTGCTTGATTCAAGTCTCCAAGCTTCCAAATTGGCTTCCCCGAATACTTATTTACAACAAGGTGTTTTTTTGGTCTGTTCTATTTTTAGTACAAAATCAATTGAAGCAATATCCGAATCAAAACTCCAATATATAACCATGCCAGGACTTTTTGTTTGGCGCCTACTGATACCATACTAAAGGATCAGCGTGAGAGAGATCGCCGATGCACTTAAGCGCCGACAGACGTGGCCGACTCCACCATTCCTGAGAACATACTGGAGTCCTATTTTCTAACATTCGGTTTTATCAGCAGCTCCCAAATCGGATGAGTAGATGTAGGAATTATTGGACAAGATCTGTTGCATTGCCGCAGTCAACCTAGCGATACGCAGCCTGTTTGCGACACCAACAGCTCACCTCACGTCCAATGCGGGGGGCTGTACTAGGACGGCTCGCGAGGCTGAAACCGCATCATCAGTTGTATTTGGAAAATGTTTTGGATTTTTAACTGCTGTCCTTTCTCATTCTGCGTTGGGGTGTGTTTGATGTTCTTTAAAAGTGCAGCTTTGTACTGTTGTACATATATTCAATTCCTGCCGCAGGGGTAGGGATATATACATACATCTGTGATGTTTTGGCATTTGGTCTTCTTAACGCTGGTCGGACTCCTCCCTGGGGTATCTGCGATATCTGCCGGATCAGACTGGGAGGACTTTTCAAACAATCTTGCCACAGACTTGGTAATTTTTTTCATTTCATTTCTTCCCCCCCCCCCCCCGCGTTACGCATTCCTCTTTTTCTGCACTCAAAGCATGGCCAACCGGGCTGATTTTAAACTATTTCCTAGGCCCCTCTAATATCTCTCTTTGGAGAACGACTAACCAAGCAATTTCTATCTGAATCCACTGGGCTTCTCGATAATATTATTTTCGCCCTCTCTCCGCTGGGAATCCTGACCGCGCTGGTCTCCGTTATCCGTGTCTGCGGAAGTCCATCTCTTCGAGCCCTTATAGGACGAGCCCAAGAAGCTCCCGGAGAGGCAGAAAATGAGCTCTTATCCTGTGTTTCGGAGACCACGGCTGAGCTGTTCAACGATGGTGGGATATCCAGAGTATTGGGCCGTCCCCGTATCCTAGAGGTAGTGGTCTGGGAAGAGCCAGATCCATCCGGCCAGGGCGTGTGTCGTAGGATGGGCACACTAAGGGACGCTCTTCTGGAGAATGCTTGGGTTGCAAGGAAAGGACAGTGGATTCTTGATGAGAAGGGTTTACTTCCTGAGCTGGATATTCCGAATTTGTCCTTGAATAAGGGTATTAAACAGAGGGGACCGGCTTGGTTTTATTCTGCAGCCTTGCTGGGGGTTGTATTACAGACAGGTCGGTTTGACATGGGAGTATCGGAGTATTTTTTATACATCAAAAATTTGCTAACTTTGATGAATAGGTCCCCTTGTTTACGCAGGCTTGACTGTGTTCCTGTGGCCAGCCCTTTTCACGGATCAGGGAAGTTTCGTCCAGGGCTATGCATTCCCACTTTATGTATATGGAACCGTATCCCTCTGTACTGGAATGTTCCTGTGCGCTTTTATGATAGAGCGGTCATCTGCTCAATGTCATATCTATCCGGCGAAGCCCAGTAAAATTTACTGGCTACAACCAGGACGACAAAAGATTGGAGAGCAGGATTTTGGAGCTTTCCTTGCAGTCAACGAAGGTCCCAATTCCCAAGCTACGGAGGACCTAACATATATAAAATCAGTGCAAAACGTCGCACTCAAAGAAAGAGGACTACTACTTTTGTTCACCATATTCATCACAATTACTGGATTTGTGCTTCAATTTGTCAGTCTTCGGGGTCTGCATCCGTCTGTTATTCTGGCAAATTTGGGCTCCATGCTGGTCATGAGCATTGTCCGCACATGCTTACGGGTGGAACGAATTGGCTCGGGTGGGAATAGCTTTTGCACAGAAGACAAAGAACTAATCTCTCACAAACAACAGGAATTGGACTGCTTTGCCCTCCATCTAGAGAAGGTCAAATACTTTCGTTTGATGTCAAGCTTTGTACATGAATCGAACAGATCTCGATCTGGGTCCTGGGCTACCGGCAGCTCAACTCAAAATTCACTCCAGGTACCTGGGCTTGGGTCAAAGTTAGTGCAGACTAGAACCCAGTTAGCGAAACTTACTTCAAGGGGCTTTCGTCACTCCAGCATGGATTGGAATGATCTCCCGATACGAAAAATAGCCCAGGACCTAGCGAGAACCCTTGGAATGACTATGGACGTGGTATCCACGTGGAAGGGGAACCCAAGTGACTTTTACAGCTTTGAGCTCTCTTTTTTATGTCAGTACAACCACAAGTCGGCCGGCTCCGCTCTGGAAACGTATGCTATCAAGCTGGAACGACTAGAAGATACCCTTCAGTGGAAGGTCGATGCAAATGAGCTCGAAGCAGTTCTAGGGCTATGGACCTTGTCGTTACTGAAGCAGGATTCCAAGTGGCTTCAAAACGGCCTGGGTCGGTTGGTTGGACTGACGAAAGCCGAGGCCCGCTCAGAAGCAGCAGATCTATACTTTCACAAATGGATATTTCGTCAAAGAGAAGCTAGGATGGTTTCGTCCAAGATGATCCCCTTCTCGGAACAGATTTTCGGTTACTATTCCGATGAATATCTGGGCCATAAGGAGATCCTTGTTGTGAAGACGGACAATAAATTGGAAGTCATGGCAGCACAAGACATATATATCCAGTTTCTCATGAGCATCCTTGCTGGTTTGAAGTCCATTGGGGGCGATGTTGATATTCTTCCAAGATCGCAAAGTGATTTCTATGCTCAAAGTACCAGTCTCGACGTGTTGGTGAACTGCTTCGAATCTGGAAATTTAGGGTCAAGGGAGGATGCACTGTTGTGCATCGTTCCAGTTTTGAGACATCGAAAGCTACTACCAGAACTGGCTGCTGATTCAAGCAGCGTAAGAAAGCGCGTTCAGGACTTGCTCTCAGCTGGAAATTGGGAAGGTGCCTTTTCAATCATACAATGGCTCTGCGAGCGCTGCGAAGGGGAAGAGTTTGAACGCTCTGTATACGAGCTCGGCCTACTCTGCCAAAGGGCAATGCTTTATAGAGACGCCGCCATCCGAACATTAGGGTTTCAAACTGTTAGCTCTCTTCTCAAGTCGGATATTAGAGCGAAAAAATTTAGCGACCTTCGAAGTGCTCGGCCTTCAGACTGGATGTATTCACCAGACCAGAGAGACTGGTGGGTCAAATTTTCCAACCAGCTTGGATGGGTTGCATGGCATATTGCCAACAATCGAGTGGACGGAAACGATACCAAGAAATTATTGGAATCCTGGGGGTATCCGAAAGCTTTGTCGTGGCAAGCAAACTTGACTTATGCAGATAGCTGCATAGATCAGGAAACCGCCCAGAAGCTCTTAGTAGGATATCTACTTCCCCAAATTGATATAGAGTTCCTTGAGATTTCTCAAGGTGGAATTGAAATAGAATGGGAACCTTTCCTGGAATGGGTCTTCCAAAACGGACATTCTGCCCTCACTTACTGGCTACTGGCCAATTGCGCCAATATTAGCCAGGATTTTCCACGTATGGCCATGGAAGCGTTCTTTTTTGCGGCAAAAAAAGGCTCTGACTCGGCTATCCTAACGCTGTGCCGACATGGCGCGGATATCAATGCTTTGGGGCTTGTTGAAGGCTGTGCAGCTTTAGTTAAGCTTGTTGCTACGAACGATAAGGAGGGGTCGGAGATGCTACTTGTCCACGGTGCAGATGTGAGTAAATGTACCAAGGAAAATGGATATTGTGCTTTGGAGTATGCAGCTGGACAAGGGAATGAGGAAATTCTACTTCTACTCCTTCAATACGGGGCAAGTATTGAACAACGAGACTACGCAGGTTTTACGGCGCTACATATTGCCTGCAAAGAAAACCGTTTGAATACCGCCAAATTACTGATAGCTAAGGGAGCCGACATTGAAACTATTGCAGCAGGTGGTCGTACGCCTCTCATCTCGGCTGCTACAGAAGGCCATCTAGAAGTGCCGGAACTTCTTCTGAAAAAAGGAGCCAGACTTAATGTTATAGATAAAGACGGCCGCACAGCATTGATCCATGCAATACGTGCCGGATCTGAGGAGCTTGTCCGCCTATTGCTAAGCTATAATGCCGAGGTATATCACACAGACCCGTTTGGAAGGTCACCCCTCGAGCTGGCTAAAGAATTGGGATTCCCGGAGATTGTCAAGCTTTTGAATGAAGCAATGTAAATAGAGATGCCTTTGCTTTTTATGGTCTTGGATATTATTATGTATTACAGATATAGTTAGTGTATACTGCGCATAGGTACCACACCACCTTGGATAGACCCTAAACCGACTCCATCTCTCGGTGCTAACATTCTACTCCGTCCTCGTCTCCTTTCTCTCTAATTCCCTGTTCATCAATATTGCTGGTCGTGATCTGACTCCACGCCTGGGCTTTTGGCCTCCTCCTCGGCGCTAAAGCACGGAACCAATTGGGATGCGAGATGCCATCCCGTCACCTCGACTTAGATGCATTCTCTAAGCGCCGACGAGGGGCCATCATGCAGTAGTCGGCTTAGAATGTTGCTCGTCTCCTCATGTTTCAATCTGTTAACCCCACGGCTGGAGAGCTGCTTTTAAAAATGCGACTGCCTCCTGCGGCACTTTCCCCAGCTCCTGCATCTTTCTTAATCCTTCCCTCATCGAAACCCACGACTGTTGTTGAATTCACCCTAGAAAACATATTCGACTCTCTTTGCTCTCTCTCTCTCTATCTTTCTCGGGCAATCTGGAGTTGATCTCCTGTCCCTCATCTAAGGGTGAAGTAGAGCTACAAATCAAGGAAAGAAAGTCTTCTTGTGTAAGTTTATTATAGCTCTCCTCACTCCAGTCTCTCTTCCTATCTTCATAGTCTCAATAAAAACCCGTCAATAGCCTTTCAATCTCTACATAAGATCACTGACAATTGGAACAGATTATATATAGATCCTCGAGATCCTGATCTCCCGTGGAAGCTCAATATGAGTACCATGTTGCAGCAACAAGCCCACTATCCCCCTCCTCCAACACATGGAGCTCCACATTCCCGTACGTTTCCTTCCACCATGCAAGTAACGCACATTTTAACATAGATCCTTCTTCAGAACCTCAGACTATCTCATGTAAACTCTTAGAAACTCAGTTTGCTTAAAGCCACATCTCATTGTCCATATAGCTTTCCCACCCCCTCCTCAAGCCTCACCAGGTTTCCCACCACCAAACTTCAGCTATCCTCCTCCTCCTAGACAACAGCCTCCTTCACAGACGGAATTTTCAACACCACCACCGCCATCTGTAAGCCCTCCAATAAACGAGAAGGCTCTAATCATTCAGAACGATGCAACATTTGCTCCTCCGCCCCAATCGCCCCCGCCTACAATGTCAATTCGCCATTCCAAGACAGAGTCAGCCCTAGGAGGCATGGGCTTTATGGGAGCCGTGTCGACCTCTGCAGACGATGTGGGAACCTTCAATGGCGGAAGCTACAGAATCAGTCACCGGGACTCAAACTCCCTGCTCACCCTTCAGCTGGCTGTTGGATGTCCGCTTCGTGTGAAACCTGGTTAGTGATGAAATTCACCTTTCTTTCCCTGCAGAAACCCTGGGCATACCTAATAAATGCTAGGTGTTATGATCGCAATGTCCCCCACTATATCCCTGAGAGGCTCCGTTACCTTCGGTTTGAAAAAAGTAATTGCTGGTGGTGAAATGACCATGTCAACATATACTGGTCCTGGAGAACTGCTGGTCGCTCCTACTGTGCTCGGTGATATCACCGTCATTCGATTCAGCGAAGGCCAAGAGTGGAAAGTCGGCAGGGACGCCTTCCTCGCTGCAACAAGTGGCGTTAAACACGAATACAAGGCCCAGGGCCTTGCTAAGGCGTTCTTCTCAGGAGAAGGTCTCTGGATTTATAAGTTTTACGGAACTGGCTTGCTCTGGATGCAGAGTTTCGGAGCTATCATTAAGAAGGATGTAAGTACTTATTCCATCTAGTTTTAGTCTCCTCGCCTTTCCTTCCTTTTACCCCGAGATCATGCTATACTAACACACTTGAAATGCCCAGCTTGCCGACGGAGAAACGTACTTTATAAACAATGGTCATCTCGTCGCCTGGAATTGTGATTACAAGCTCGAGCGTGCCGCCTCTGGAGGTATCATCTCCAGTCTTAGTTCAGGTGAAGGTCTGGCCTGTAAATTCACTGGACCTGGTACTGTCTACATGCAAACTCGCAATGTGACTGCATTTGCTGCACAAATTGGAGCAGTGAAGCTTAGTTGAGTATATTATTTGAATCTATCATGTTTTTCTGTCATGTATATTTGGATCATCATTATCCTGACTGCCTGTCATTTATGTAGCGTTTTAGCCATGAAGCTAGTCTTTTATTTACTTACTCATTCACTTATTTATTCATTCATTTATTCCATTCCATTCTTCTCTCTCTCTCTCTCTGTCTGTCTCTCGCTCTGTGTGTGTGTGTGTATTTTCATTTTCATTTCCATTCGCTTTACATATCCAGTAAAACTAACACTGTACCTTTTACATACAACATATTGCATACCTAAGAGAATATAAGGTATGTCTCTCCCTATTCCTTCCCCAAATTTATAAACAGAAAAAGTGGATCATTTTTATTAACTCGTAGTGAAAAAGGGAAAAGAAACAGACAACTATACTTATAAAAGGTCATATCAGTCAATCCATATACCTATCATGTCATGCTAAAAAAGGTCTTCACGTCGTCTCTTACTTACTTCCCTGCCTCCCGCCTGCTTTTGTTTCTTTTCAAGCCCCCTCTTCCCTTCCACCGCAAAAACAAAGCCACTGAGCTCATCCATTCCCCTCTTAAAATGTTCATCGTTACCCATTGATCCATATGAAAGGAGAAGCAGAAGAAGAAGGGGAAAAAAAGTCTTTACATAGGAAGAAAGAAAGGAAAAAAGGAAGAAAGAGTAAGAAAACGAAAGGAACACCCCCACCAAGAGATAGTAATAAAAAGAAAGAAAAAAAGAAAAGTAGTCCGTAATAATTTTTGTTTCTTTTTTTTTTTTAGTTCTATCCCCGGATATACTAGCACTCTTCCGCTTATGCACATGCTTAACCCTGCCTCTTTCTGCGGCCAACTTGGCCACGGAAACCGGTTTTGATGGCGGCGACGGAACGACGGGAACCGCAGGAGTTGCAGGTGACGAAGTACAGACGGTTCTCACCCTTGTTGAGCTCTGTGTCGGGGCTGCGGCAGGTCTTGCAGGTAACGTATTCAACTGATCTTGGTTAGATTTGGTTTTATGAGAAGATGGGCAAGGGAAATGGTATCTACCGATGTATCGTCGCAGGACGTTCTCAATCTGCTTCTGCTGGAAACGACCCTTGATAACCAGACGCCTGCTTCCGTCCACACTACCGCTGGTACCCAATTCGGCGAACAAGAACTGCATAACGTGGTCGTCGGAACGCTTCATACGCTTGCAAATATCGGCGATGTTGGCGAAAATGGTACGACGGTTACCTTCACGCAGACATTGAGGGGGAGGAATCTTGTAGGACTTGGAGCCGCTAGAGAGCAGGTCGGGGTGGTGGCTCTGGATGAGGGAGAAGAATCGGGAGACGAGCAGCGTGTAGGGGATGGGTTGGGTGGCGTCGTGAGCCCAGATGCCGGTGCCAGCTTCGAGATCACCCTCGGGCACCTCATCTTCCTTCTCTTCGGCCTCCTTCTCCGCAATACCAGCCTCAGCCAGCTTAGCTTCGAAATCGCCAGCGTCGGCCTTCTTGACCTTCTTCTTCTTCTTTTTCAGGGCTGTGGGGTCGAACTCGCCGTCCGCGGCGGCGGGGGCCGTGTCGTCGCCGGCTTCTGCATCCTTGGGCTTCTTGGTCTTCTTCTTTTTCGAAAGGCCCTTGAAGAGTTCGGTTACTTCGTCGACGGACTTGTCTGCTATAAGAGGTGGGTTGGGATGTTAGGCACAGCTATATATATATATTTTTTTTTTTCCTCTTCGAAACCTTCCACGGGTGGCGGAGAAGGGGAGAGGGGGGAAGGAAGCAGACATACCCTGCTCTTCAACAACGGGCTTCTCAATGGCCTGTGTCACTTCGCCGTTCGTATCCATGATGATGGAGCCTTCACTGAATGCGACGGACTTGCGTTGCTTTTGGATCGTGGGTTCAACCTGCTGAAGCGGATCCAGTCCAGACAACACGTTAGTGGGGTGATAGATGAGAAAGAAAATCCCAAAAAATCGCCAAGAAAAAAAAAATCAAAGACGGATGGGCAAATGAGGTGTGTGAAAAGATAAAAAAAAATAGACGGAGGGGATTGAATATCACTCTCCGGCGCTGAAATGGAGCGGCAATGCAGGCGAGGTTGGGCTGAAGGTGACTTCGTGACTGAACGAAATATGCAGAAGAAAATGTGGGTGATCGGTAAAGTACAGAGAAAACAGGGTGTGACGTACAGTCTCCGCCATATTGGGAGTTCTCGAGCAAGCGTGGGGATTGCAGTCGGCGACACTCCCACCAAGGATTCACAAACGAAGTTATATCTTACCGGTTCGAGATGGAAATGATGTTCACGCTAGGTAAAAAGGTGCGATATCTTGTCCTGTCCGCTGGGGAACCGCTGCTTCGTCGTGGAGTTTTGATGGCGACACTGTTATCGCTGGCGGTAGGTCACGTGGGCCCCTGATGAGTCAAGTTTCCGTCACCGTATTACCATTTTTACCGTATAGCATCACGTGATATACCGCCCCAGGCACCAAGGCACAAACCCTATGATTGGCCGGCTGACTTTCCCAAACAAACGTTGGAGCCTGAGGAACGCATCGCGAACCTTCCCCCCAAAGCTAACTGCCGGGCCTCTCTAACTACATATCTTCAGTCCCAACGACTCCTCAATGCTGCAACCCTCACTCAGGCGGTAGGCAGGCCACTGCTTGGTTCCAAGAAAACAAACATCTAGCTATTCCTGTTCCATTTACCAATTCGACTTCCTCTCCAACGCCTCCCACCCAGCGCCTCTCCCCCTCCCCCTCTCCGGAAAGCCGACCTCCGCACCTAACTACGTATCGTATCATTACTCTCGCTCTCTAGCCATCTTTCCGGCAGCCTCACTACACTATACCCCAGCTCACCATGTCATCCTCCATCCCCGCCTCACCCTCACTATCCGCCTCAGATCCTTCTCTCACTACATCAGCCTATATGGTTTCCTCTCCGGACCGGCCATACAGCTCCAGCACAGACGACGACATCGCCTCGCTTCCGTCAGAGTCAACCTCGAGTTCGGATATTGATACGCTCTCAGATTACTCCGATGCAGAGGCAGAATGGCAAGAAAGCATTGAGCAGCTGGAGCTTCTGTTGACAATGGTTCTTGTGCCCTTTGTAGGGAAGTATCTGGGGAGGAAGTGTGCCCATTGGAGTATGTATTCGTCCCCGCATATAACATGCGAGAACTACGCGATGTGATGCGACGCTATGCTATGCTATGCGCTGGGGCGGCGTGTGGTGTCGGATCGCACCAAAAGAAAGTGAAGCAAGTTACTGACGATATCTTATAGGCTGGACCAGATTCATGGAGTGGAAGTATCCTATTGAAGTCGTCATGAGCGAAAAGGCCGCGTACAAGCAGGGCTCTGGCGGTGTCCGGGCTTATGCCTCGCTCTGATATCGTACAGGATAGGTCGAGAGAGAGAGAGTGGAACGAACTCGGGATTTTATTTTAGACTTACTTGCGTATTCTCTGGTCTGCTACGGATTTAAATTTGGGGATGTGCCTCTCTGCAGGGCTTGTGTACAGTATAATACGGTTGAGATCGGCGGGGGGGGGGGGAAGGGGAATATTGCAGTGGCTTTGGCAGAGAGATCGGTATTGTGTGTTTAGGAGAAGATGCTTGAGCCAGCAGCTACATTGGAGAGAAAGTGAGGTTTCATTTATCTATCCGTTTATTTGTTCCTCTATCTATCCACCTGTCTGTTGATATGCGAAGTGCTTAATTTATACCCAGTTGAATACAATGCAATGCAATGCTTATTATTAGTACTAGTAGTATTATTATCGTACTATCATTATCTTTAAAGTGAAGAAAGCCTTGCAAGCCGACAAGTAACACCTGATCTCAACTCAACCCAGCGCATTCGCAAAAAGAGATAACAAAACGGCTGTCAAGGATCTAAGTGTACAAACCCACCATCTGTCCAATCAAAAGTCACATACAAGACAACTTAAGGGTGCTTCTCCTGTGCTCCATAAGCCCGATCCCGAGCCACCTCCGCATTGGCACGTGCGATATCCCTTCTCTCTGCAGCCCCCTCCATACTTCCGAACTGAATCCCCATGTGTGCTAGAGCGGGCTGATGGAAATAGCTGGGGTCGCTGCTTCCCGGTGTGAGAAAACGCTCTAGCGGAGTCTCAAGGCATGCGGAAGGACGCTGTTCGAAGAGCTTCAGACTGCCTACGGTTTGATCCAGCTTCCCAGTGGTGGTGGCGGCGGAGATCTGCTGATCGATATGTCCGAGGTCCAGCTCCATATTAGTGCCTTCAGTCTGCATGTTGGCAACTGAGGCGGTCAACTGCGCATGGAACTGATGAGTCCGTTCTTCTGCGATGATCTGCTCTGCCCACGAGAGGACTCGCTCAGTGGGAGGTTGCTTGAGGGGGAGAAGAACGCCCAGATCAGCACTTGTCTAGCATGAGGGGGGCGGCAAAGATGAGAATAGGAGTACTTACACGATTCAGGAGCTCATTGTGACTTTCGAGATTGTCCTCGGTGAGTGGCTTCTGACCAACCCCGTCGTCCTTGGGTTTTTTAGCCTTGGTTTCCTTTGTTCCCATGGCGTTTGGATAACTGTTGATGCCAAGCGGGTTTTAAAGCTCAACAAAGTAGAGGGTTTAGGTTGAATCAAGGCAGTGAACGTATGCTAATGATGGGGTTGTTCACGGAGAAAAAGAGTGTGCTGAAGAAATGAAGGGGCACTGCAAAGGCATAGTCAGTCGAGGAATTTTTGAGTGTTTGCAAGCCTCTCTGCCCTAGGCACTGGCAAATTTCGCAGCAGTGAATGCCCTGCCAGCGTCGAGACCGGCACCGGCAACACGAAACCTGATTCCGGGCCTGTATATGCCATGCTGCCGTCGATAACGCTGACCTTAGGCTCATAATTTAATGAATAAAGCCAAAAGTCAAAAGTACGACATCCCTCTCAGCTCACTCCTAATTCTCACTCACCTTGGTCAGAACCCAATCACCCCGTGCACACATCAAGCTATTGTCCTCTTCTGGAATACTTGTTCATGGGATTTGCGGCGTACTCGACGACGGCAGCAAAGAGCTTTTTGACGCACATTGAACTTTTATAATATGTGGCTCATTTGGTGGAGATAGGAGGGGCGGCAGCCTTCCCAGAATCCCAGCACGTACAGAACGCCATCACAGCCATGCTGCAGGTGGATGAACCGGTCTGGAATATCACTTCATTTCATAGGGTCCCAGGTACCATGACTCTGGGTCCGCGTATGTCGGGGTCTGCTTTTCATCACTGTCCCCATCTCACAGCATCTCGGGCCCCTTGACCGAGGGTTAAGCACAGGAAGAGGAGGAAAGAGCAAAATTGGGTCACTCGAAGTGAGATGCAAGGAAAATTGAAAGCTTCAGATCGAGTGAGCGTATCGCAACAACTCTTCACTGCTGTCCTAAATCAAGGACCTCGAACATTTTCTCTCCGAACGATTGAAGATGCACTATCACCTGTTACACGGAGGATTGATTATGCAAGTTCATTCTTTGCCCAAAGGCTTTCTTTTCTTTTCTTTTTTTTCATATCGTTCCTTTCCGAGCAGGAGGGGAAATAAACGGAAAAAGTAACGAGAGAGAGAAAAAAAAAGAGCATAGATCCCAACTGGTTGGTCGTTGCTGTCAGTCAACCTTTAGTTACAGCATTAGGCTACCACTCGCTTGGTATCCAGACAATAAACTGATCAATTATTGTCCTGATGGAGTGACCTGACAGGCTGACATCCCCATCGGAATAAAGGGGGGTTCAGCAGAATCTTTTCTAACCAATAGTCGAAGTTAGTTTCCCAGTGGACTATCCGTTCATTTGAATTCTTCTTACCGGCTTTCTCCAGACCGAGTCAGTCCCAGGGTATCGGGCCCTTGATCAGCGGTGATTGCGTTTGGTCTGCATAATTATTATATTCTGACATGCTCATGTTATCCAAGTCTGCTTGGAGTGGCCGGAATATGAAGGGGAGAATGAGTACGCTTTCTGAGATGTAGGCGTCGCTACCATAACCATCTCTAATAGCCAGCTCTGACTCAAACGGCTGGTCCTATCTGAATATGATGAGACAAGAAAGAATCCTAATGGGATTGAAGTGCGAAGCCTTCTTATGAGGAGAATTATCATCCCTCCTAGATCAAGGATAGAGCCATGGACAGCACCCAGAGGATCCAATCAGGGACGCTATTTTTCCACTGCATCCGTGAATCGTACCCATTTGTGAAGGTATATCATCCAGAGTTAGGATTGGTTGATAGTGTTAGTGCATGTGGAGAGGGCAATAAAGAAGAAACAGAAACCTGATGAAGAGAAGGAGGTCGGGATTTGGTCTTACAGGCAGATATTGTGCGTTAATCCTGTTAATCCCGTGACCAACTCTCGCTTGAGCCTGATGTGAATAATCTCTTCCAAAACTTCAAGTTTCCTTGTTATTCAGACTCAAGTGATATCTAGGAGAACTAAAGTAGTGATAATCTTTATCCTATTTGTTCATCTTGCTGGTTATAGTCCTCATTCTATCTAGTCTCTCTTTCACCTTGAATTTGACTATTTGTACCTTGTTAGCTCCCACCTTCCTAGACTAATGGGCAATGAAAAAGCAATATGAGTATTACAGTATCGTGCTGATCTTAATCCTCTTGAACTGGGGCTATGTAAGCGACCGCTGTCAACTGTTGTGTTCCCAATATTTGGGTCTGCCGGGCCAATGATCAGAATCCTGGCCTCTGTTTCTTTCCTGCTTGGTACTATTTTGGGACAAGAATGCATACTAGAAAGATGATAGCAATGTTCTTGAGCTCATAATACTGATATTGAAGCTGATCATAACAAAACATTCTTATGTATGAATCCTGTACCATTTGTAGAGATCGATCCTAATTTCTGAACTCTATCTTCTCCCTTCATAGGTAACTTGTATAAGAAATAGTGCCATTTACCTATACAGGCCACTTAAAATTGCCAGAAAGAACAAAATCTGTAAGCAAATGATGCGACAAGAACTAGTTAGGGATTAGTATAATCGGTTCTGTCGCCAAAAGTCTTTCATCGAGTCAATATTCACGGCCAACGCGTTTTCTGTAAGGTCGTCTATCCCACAAGATTCTCTCAATCCCAAAACACGATCTTGGCTAGTAGAGAAAGGAAGCTCTCGGTCCGTATATAATGTCCGAGAATATAGCGGCTGGAAGCCTAAACGGCCGGGTCCTGTGGGATTTAAATGCTCATCCTGCCCCTCATTGTGTGAGAGATGAATCTCCTGCCTGATACGGGAGGAGTTTAAGGGCCTTTGCTTCTCCCAGACCCAATCACAGGAGTTCTGCAGGACTGAGGTGGCATAACCCTCACTGCTACATATGCTCTCGGTTTCCGCAGGTACAGAATCCAGAAAGTCATACGATGCATCCCACTTCGACTGCATAATTGCCTCGTATGCTGCATCAAATGCCTGGGACATCAAGGATACCTCCTTGTTGCATATGAAACTCGTATTTTCCCCCTTGTATTGTCGCTGACAGTGCACAGAGCCGCACTCCATGGCGTGATTAATCTGCCCTTGCAGAGAGATCCGCCCATCTTGTACGATGCCAACGGCTTCCTGACGTAACGAGGAAGGAAAAGCGGATATGGATTGAGGATCGAGAATTGTAGTGTTGTTTATCAAGCTGCTTTCTGATTTCTGACTCGTGTCAAGTTTCCGGGCCTTCCTCGGTGACTCTCCGATAGCTGTTTCATCTTCAGACGCATCACGCTTACGTTTTCGTGGGGTGTGCTTTGAAGATGATGATGCTGGTATGAGACTTGTGTTTCCTCGAAAATTCCACGATGGAATTCTCTGTTCTAGAAGGTATTTAAGCTCTGTGAGTGTCCAGTATTTCTTAGATGGGTCTACTATATTGTCATCGTATGGCGCACTCAGGTCGAAGTTAAGAAGCTGCATGGTATACATCTGAAGTGCGCATTCGGAGCTGGGGTTGAGTTCGTTTTGTCCCAAATTGGAAGAGAACATAAAGCTCCTCCCGTGTTCCTCGGATTCGCCACGCTGAATGGGGCTGTTGAAGCACGCATTAGAGGAATAAGCTCGAGCCGGTTGAGCATAGTCATCACTCGAGTGGCAGCGCACAGAGATATCTTCCTCATGTTGCATAGGCTGGTCCTTTCCCATGCTATGTGGTTGTCCCTTCAAAAATGCTCTCTCTGAAAAACTGTCTTTGGGCCCTAGATAGCAAATCCATGAGAATTAATGTATATTAGTAAAATTACTAGAGGCTCCTTACATCCATGTGGATTGACAGGTGGTGATGTTTTGCCTCTACTGAAGACCCCCATATTCCTGGAGGAGAGAAGCTGGTAGATGTTAGTTAGTCTGGCTCATCCCTCAAGGGCACGAACATAATCACCGTCAATCTACTTCGTGGCACATTCGATGCGTGGAAGTCCTCGTTAATAGTTTGTTTCCTTTTCTGTTTCGTCGACCTCTTTTTATGTACCCTCTCAATGTCTTTCTCGTTCGCTTGCCGGATCTTGCCTTTGTATTCGTAACGATTTTCCCTAGGCTTTGATCGCGGGATCCGTTCGTATCCATTCTCCAAATTTCTTGTAGACCTGGAGTGTTTCCCACCTCTCTTATATAGTTCGAATTGATGGGGATGCACTGGACTCTGCCTTTCTAAAGAAGGGTAATGCCGGCACTTTGTATGTTGTAACGATGGTAAATCGGATGAAACGTTGTTTGTGGGTATATTTTGCCCTTGAACCGGGACTCCTGTCCATATAAGATGAGGCGTTCAATATTAGTTTTTGAAACTTACCTTCAAAAGTGTAGTCCATATAGGAACGACCTTCTTCCTGGGGCTTTACTATATCCGCCTCGTCCAAGCGCGATAACCAACGCAGAAGTCCTTTGTCTACCCCAACATCCATCATGTACGAGTCCTTGGCTTGGTTATCCGGGGAGGATCTCATCAGAATAAATGATAGTGCTTATGGGACAGATTTTAGGATAAGAGGAGAGATTCCCGAGTCAAAGGCGGAAGGAACAAAGAAGAACCCAATACCAGGTAGTTGCATCGTCATGATGAGCAGCGAACAGGAGAAACAATGAAGGTTGGGGCTTAATCACTGCCTAAACTCCTTTCTTAAATTTCAGGCATTAATATTTAATATTTTAATACAACATCTGGATAATACATGCATGATCCTTGCTAATGAAACCAAATGCGGTTTGTTGGTAGGTTTTCAACTGGCCATCTTGGGGGAAGACAATTAGCTCTGGGATCCTGCCACTAGCAACCTTCAAGTATACTGTAGAGGGCCATTCTGAGTTACCAGCAGGGGGAGCTTCCATTGTGATTATCTTGGGTGATCCTTGTTACTCTTTACTGATGGTTATACCTGCCGTGTACACAAGCCCGGATTTGACAGTTGTGGCACTCCAGTATGAAGTCAGGAAGCCAGTCACCACATTATTTGTATTGGTGCTCCCCGTGGATCAGTTTCCAACAGCCAGGGTGATCGCAGTCGTGTTCTTCCCGGATCTGCTCCACCACTTGCTGTGCATTGACACGTTCGTACATCCAGTTTTCATCCCAGATAAGGGAGCATCGTCGCCAGCCCGCTTGTTCTACTAGCTACAAGACGTCATTGTTTTCGTTCGGCAGTGCCTACAGATACCGAAGTAGCTTTCAATTAAAGGGCCAATACACTTGGCGCATTACAGATTGGCACAGTATGTTCGATATGGGAACAGTGCATTTGGAGCACATCTACATGACATTTGATGTCCGTGCAGGACACACACTCAGCCAAGGAAGCGGAACGATTTCCGGCATCTCTGGAACTCCCCGCCAGACAATGTTCCCTGTCTCTCAGGCTCTGGATGATTGGTTCATTCTTTGAGATCTTGAAGCACATGGACAATCTCGTCTGAGATCTCGGCCTCAAGAAGTTTGAGTGGCTGTTCAGATGCGGGTTCCACCTGCCAGGCGAAGGCCAGCCAGCTTACGGCATGCGAATGCCCTTCTTTCTTCCTAAGCTGCTATAGCAAGAGCTACGCCATCTTCGAGGACAGCTCTAGCAATGCTGAGGGCCATGTCACGATCACAGACCTCTGTCGAATCAGGTACTGGTGTATCTGTTTTGTCCAATCGCGAAGAGCGCGTTGTCGATCAGTTTACTCATCAATTCTGCCTTTGCTTTTAGAAGTGTTGGCTTTTTCGAGGGGATCCTACCAGAGTACCTCAATGATGAGTCTTGGTTTGGTCATTCATTGTGGTATGGTCGGGGCATAATCGGCGGCTGAAACAAAAGGTAGACGAGGAAAGCGGGATAGTGAGACTGGAATGTTAGCATCAAAATCGAGTAAATCGAATAACACATCTATTGTTTTCATCTCATATTCCAGGCATGCACTCGATTTTCAGTACCAGCAAGTCATGTTATGTTGTTTCACTATACTGCCTTCCTTGTGAGCAACCAAAGGAGTTTTCGAGATACTCCGAGTACGATTCGCTGTACTTGTTAGAAACCATGGTCTAGATGCTCCGCTGGGTCAGATTAATCTAAGGCTAGCCCTTCATAAAGTTTGCAGCTTAATAGAGATAAAATCTGACTTCTTCTGTATACACCACCGGGCTTATGCTAACTCTGGTAGGTCCAATCAACCTAAAAGTAAGGCTAAGACTAATCGCCCACTTTTACAGAAAGAGGAGAGAGAGAGAGAGAGAGGAAGACAGAAAGACGTTTGGATTAAAACCCCTGGCAGAGAGCGCTTATACCTGTATACCGAACCTAAGTTTAAGATATTCTGGAACGGCACTGGAAATATACTGTAGCGGGGGTGCTATTGACGTTTTCGTGGCATTAAACAAACCCTTTACATTTCCCCCCCTCGGTGTACTTTTAGCAAAGTCCTCTATAGTTGGTAATTCATCCTGATGACCGTGAAAATGATGGAAATTCCCATAATGATTGGAAAAGGGAGACTAAAAAAGTCGATTCCCTACCATCCATTGATCCATTCGAACTATTCCTCCTCTACCATAGTAGTACTCCGTACCTAGTAACTCGTTAGGTACTACATAAGTACTAACCAACTTAGCCTCTAGATCCCACCCCCCGCTTTGTCGTCGGCTGTTGTCCACTTCCGTTTCTCTCAACAACTTTTTTTTTTCTTTTTGGTTGTCTTCCCCCAGCCGAGGAGGGGAAATAAATTATAGTAATTACCTTCCTAACATACTCGCGTCCTGCAATAATTCCGACAAAAGGTCTGCAGATTGCTGCTACAGGCGACCTGACCTTAGTTTTCCTCCCCGTGTCCACACCTCAGTCCGCCACTCACTCAACTCTTCTCTTCAATTCTCAGGCTTGATTAATTTCGGTATTATTAGAATCTTAGTTTAGTTATTATTATAATTATTATTCTTACTGTTCTTCTGGTTTCCTCTCTAGTCCGTCTAGAGTGAGTGCCGAGTAGGTAGTAGTGGCCTAAATCTCACTCAAATCACCACTAGTGCCACCCCTCTCTCTCTCTCTCTCTACCTACCAAATTTCTTTTCCCTTTCTCTCAGTTTCATCCTTCTTCTTCTCTCCTCCCTCTGAATTTCTTCCTTCCCTTTCTCATCTCTTTTCCTCGTTCCTTTCTCCGCAGCTGGAGCGCCTTTATCGTCCTCGTTGCTGCTCTCCCTCCCTCACCCACTGACCGACCGTCCTTCCAGGTTTCTTCATCTTACCCGGACTTCAAGATGACCAAGCTATTCATTGGGTCTGTCCATCCGTCTCCTATGGTCATCTACTCTCAATGACTATCTCATCTCCCTTTTCATCGGACCGAAGGCCCTCCAAACTGACACACAACCACCAAACTAGCGGCCTCGCATGGCACACCACCGATGACACTCTCCGTCAGGGTTTTTCCCAGTACGGTACCATCGAAGAAGCTGTGCGTGTCCCCCTCCCGTTCCTCTAAATTACCTAAGTTACCCCTCCTTCCTTAAGAAGCTTTTGGCTCACCCACCACAGGTCGTTGTCAAGGACCACGACACCCACCGTAGTCGAGGATTCGGCTTCGTCCGTTTTGCCAGCGAAACTGAGGCTGAAGCTGCCATGGATGCTATGAACAATCAGGAGTTAGTCTCTCTCATTTTGCTTCATCTCGATTTTCAATCGATTTTCTCGCTGATAAACTTCAGGTTTGATGGACGTATCATTCGGGTCGATAAAGCTTCGGAAAGACCTCCCGGCCGCAGCGGTGGATTCCAGGGCCGTGGTGGCTACAACAGGCCCGAGGGAAGCAGCTACCGTGGAGGTGGCGCTGGTGGTACGTTCCCATAAGCCTTTCTTCCCTTTCTTTTGAACACCAAGCAACCCCTAGTGGTTTATTTGAATTGACACCATCCACAGGCTGGCGCAACAATGACACCTCTGCCAGCTCTTGAGAGATTTGAGCCTGTGACTGCACCGTGCGCAGAGATCTACCCTACTTCATCACATTTATGCAGACTGCAGATATGATACATGATTACGCAGGAATAATGCCCAGTTTGATGGTGGATGGTGCCCGTGGTGAGACGACTAGTGATTTTTGGCTTCTATTTGGGGGATAATCGCGTGGTTTCTTTTCATTCGTGGATTTCATGTTCCTTCAGCTAGTGGTTGACATCTAATCTGGCATTACATGTTATGATGATCGTACCGCAATGAGTAAAAGAGAGTAGTAGCTCACCACCGTTTAGGGGATCTGATTTGGTTTTGCATGCCACAGCGAACACAGCTCATCTTCCCTTCTGCAGAAGACCGATTTGCGTACATTAGTCCGAACAGGTCTCGATCTTGATGGATCATTTGTCTTTTTTTTTTTTTTCCGATTGTCAGTAAAGGCTGTCTCAATTTCTCCGAGAAGATAGCATATTCCCGAGATCTTTCGATATATACCCGAAGAAGGATTGCCTTCCCGACACCACCTGGGGGATCCCTTTGACCTCGTCCGCTGCCGGAGCCGCATTACCCCTCCAAGTGACATGCGTGTCCGGCCGCACCACCACCACCATATTATCTCGTTCTCGAATTTTTCCGGCGTGGATTTCGTCACGGAAACCTCAATCCATCCACCATAGTAAAAAAAATATCCCACTCTCCTTCCAATGCTGGCCACACCCGGTCATGAAATGAAACAGAGTCCATTCCTTACAAAACAAATCATCATACATACCGGTTCTTCCATCTATCAGGAAAACAGGTGGAGCATGGCTGCCAGGTCTCATGCTTGGCGGGTATCTTTTGACATCCCACGTCAAAAGAGAGGACCCCGTTGTGGGAAATAATCGGTAAATTGTATCCTAAATCCAAGCTCGATCCCTCCATCTAATGTTTCTGGTCCTGAAGAATCGACGTATCGCTCGACGGCCCCGAGTACTTCATCACGCTCGCAAGAGACAGCATCTAGCGCCAGCCAATTATCTTGGTATACCTTTCCCAACATAGCATGCTCCGACAAGTGGCGATAAGAACACGTCAAGGCACGCATGGATCATTACTGGCTGTCCGCTCCATCCCGTACTCTGTACACTCGACGTAGGATCTCACCACCGTATCCGAGATCAAATACATCCATCTACCGCTCCAATTCATACCACAACTACTCCGTACTATGCGGAGGATTGTACTGGGCTACGGTATAAATGAGCTTGCAAAATTGCGATGCCGTGGTCTCTTCAGGCAACACTCATCTGCGTCTCCAGCAAGTAAGATCCGTTGGTTATCTACAGAGAGTAATTGCATAATTTTCGGCGACACTGAAGCTGGGCTGCCATTCGCTATGAACAAGGATCTTGTCAATTACAATTGGTTTGTCGGCCTTGAGTCCCACCCTGTGCCATGTAAAGTTCCGCTCCAAGTGGGTAGTGGGTAGTAAACGTGTCATTTCTGTCCTAATCAATGAAGAAGCCCCCACCTGCAGAGAATGGAAGCAGAGTCTCCCGTACGGAGTAGATACGGAGTAAAGTAAAGTAATAGAAGCGAACAGAGCTACTCCGCTTAGTTTTCAGTCTTTGACCCCCCGAAGGTACTTATGTATATATTTATATGTATGTACATCTAGGACCCCGCATACCCTACTAGGGTATTGATGCTAGTATTGACCATGAGAATGATGTGTTATATATCGCGTCATCCAACAACCTTCATGGTGATTCTTGATCTGCTTACAGTAATCTTCCCTAGCTGTGCTCCAAAGCCTCTCAGTCTAGGCTCAGCTGCATAAGTACCATGATCACAGCGCGTGAAGTATTCTCGCTATTGGCTTGAGAGGTAGTAATTCTCTCCTGAATCGGTAGACAATGTATCATTGATTATCGAGCTCTGCCTACTCGCCCCGGATTGGCGACCATGTCTACGGATGGGAAGGGAAATACGGGAAAAGCCGGCACTGTGTGAACGAGGTCGCGAGGAACACGACCTTCTTCCCATTCATTGTCGTGGACCTTCTTCTGGTGGATGCTGAGGAGGATGGATTCCATATAAGGTGTATTCAGATTAGTCTTGAGTATCTGCCTGCCAGGAGTGAAATGAATCAAGCAATTTCCGTCGAGAAAGTCCCGAAGGGTATGTATATATAGTCTAGTTGGATGTCTCTATCTATCTCAGCCATAAGCTTGCTTCACGATGCCGCAGCAGCGAATCGCGCTCTAGCTTATTCCGTACGTGGGAAGCATCGTCAGAAGTCGCACTTAAAGGACTCTCGGATGTCTCTTTCGGCCTTCTCCTCTTCCATTGTTGCTTCGCTTTCCTCCTCGATCGCTTTCACCCGTTCAACCAAATCAGTGACATGGAAATCGGCAGTTCCGAGCCCTAGCCCTTCAAGAGCCTTCTCCAAGAGGTAAAGGTACTCTGTGTTCTTTCCGCTCTGGCCCCGACCGCGGCTGATGACCTCTGCGACGTCCTGTGGCTCCCGGCGAGTCGGGTCGCGCAGGAACTGGGGGTTTGTGGGCTGGCCAATGTACACCATGCAGGTAATTGAAGAAGACACGGCGGCCGGTTCCGAGCCTTCAGGCAACCCCCCAGAGGTAGACACAGGATGAAACGGGGTGTAGTGGACGCTATATCCATCAATCTCTCGGGCGTCTAGGTAGTCATGGACTTCCTCTGCATGGGAAGCGGGAATATGGTATGCCGCTCCCCATACTCGGTCGTTGGAAGAAGATTCTAGGTGTGCCAGCTATTGCATGATTAGTGGGAAAGAGAGTATTCTTATTAACGTATGTTGTTGCATTGTGGCATTTCTGTTATATATTGGGGTTGAAAGGGGCAAAGGACATACTGGGTCATCTAAAGTCTCCCAAAATCTCCGTTCAATGACTGTTACCACGCGGCCGGGTTTCTCTGGGGTTCCTCGATGGTCGGTGCTAAATTCCCATTAGATGCTGGAGATAGACTTGTCTCTAGGCAGGAACACAATGAAGAAAGCAAACCCGGAGAATTGTTTTTTTGTTTACCTAGCCTACCAGATACAAGGGAGAAGATCAGTTTAAGTAAAAATATATATAGATAATGGCACGAACGAACCTGCCAGAACCGCCGCACATATCCTTCGATGTAGCCTGGTACTCGTTGATCTATCATCATTTATATTAGCCAGTCGGATGCTAGCAATGTCTATAGCTCTTTAATGCCCAGGAGACGCAGCTACAGGCACACTGTATCCTTTAATAATGCTTTCATAACATACCGTAATGTGGTGGTGGCTTCCATATCAAACTCCTATATGCGTTCAGTTGTCTCTTCTTCTATTCGATCAAGGATTTCTTGATAAAAGATCGTTGCACTCACCCGTAGCCAAATACCCAGAGATCACCTTGTGGGAAATAATTGCGCCATGTTCGGCCGTTACCGGGAGTCTGGCTCCCTTGATCCGTAGACATGTCCAGAACCTGTATAGAAGCCGTTGATAAATGCACGGATAGCTATATTAGATTTCCTTTTGCCGAGGAATGCCGGTGCTTCCAGGTATTTCAGTATGCGAATGAAAAATTGGACGGGCCAGGGATTAATGATCAATGATAGAACCAAAATCCAGAATAACGATCAATTGTCTGATGCGGAATTGAGGTGTAACAAAGCCAATCGATTGCTGATTACTGTCCCGGTGGTGATGAAAAGTGGCGGATAAATCACACTATGTTTGTATTGTTTGCTCTTTCTTTCTCCCCAGGCACCAAACGCAAACACTGGATCTGAATTTCCACTCTTGCAATTATTCTACTCCGAGAGTCCAGTATCATCCTCATATTGGTTTTCACCTCAGATCAATCTCTTCATTATGTGAAAAAAAGGAGAATTCCAGGTCTTGGACAAGCAATGATCGTCTGGATATTAGCTTTCACCACCAGGTAAGTTATAGTCGTCTAACATGCTGGAGAGTTCCCTTCCAAATCATCATCGCTCCAAATCGACTTTCGCTTTAATATAATGAGGTGAATTGGTTTCTTACTGTTATTGTCTCCAGATTACAAGAGTTGTGGTACTCGTATTATTATCTCCGGTGTCTCGCAGCGGCTGGGTTGCCCAGACACCAACGGCGGGTCTAACAGTCACCTAAAATCTTAAGGGTAGCTAGGTAGCTAGCTTCCATAAGGAATTATTGACCCCACGTCGTAAATCCATTTCAACGCATCCTCCAGAGAGATTTGGGTATATCTTCTGGATTTTTGTGGACACTTATTGAATCCAATCCCCCTGCAACATCCTTGTCTGCCTTGAATCTCGAATCTATCCCATTGCGCGCACACATATTTCGGCTTAATTCGATTCCCTTCAGCTTCGCATAATGGCTAGCTTAATGCGCCTCCTCAGAACTCAATATACACCTCCCACAGACCCAAGTGGGGTCTCGTTTGCGGGGAAGACGGTTATTTTAACCGGTGCAACGGCCGGGCTTGGATTCGAAGCTGCTATCAAGCTTCTCAATCTAGGGGTGGAGTCGCTGATTATAGGCAGTCGGAACCTGCAACGCGGCGAAGCAACCAAGCAAGAGCTTGAGAAACGCACAAATAGACTAGGTGTAGTCCAAGTATGGGAGCTGGAAATGAATAGTTTCCAGAGTGTCAAGAAATTTGCCAACCGTGTCAACAATGAGATAAAACAGCTAGACATTGCATTGCTGAACGCAGGTCTTTGGAATCGAGAATACAAAGTATCGCCAGAAGGATGGGAAGAGACACTCCAAGTGAACACCTTGTCTACCTCACTCCTAGCGCTTCTTCTCCTACCAAAACTGAGGAGCAGTTCTTGCAACTCGCAACCAACCTATCTTACGGTTGTTTCTAGCCAGCAATTCGTCCGAGTTCAAGCGAAATCCCTTCGGACTGACGGGCCACTCTTGAAACATCTCAATGATGTGGGACAATTCAGCGGTCCGAAGCAATATGGGATCTCAAAGCTCCTCCTAGAGTACGTTCTTAAGACTGTTGCTGGTCGTCTGCGGAATGAGAATGGAACGGTGCCCGTCATCATTAATACTGTCAGTCCGGGACTCTGCGCAACATCTCTCGGGCGGCAGTACAACAAATTTTACGAGCGGTGGCTGGTTTGGTTGGCCTTCAAGCTCTTTGCCCGAACACCGGAGCAAGGAAGTCGGTCGCTCGTCAGTGCAACATACCAGGGTGTGGAGTCGCATGGGAGATGCTGGAGAAGTGACGGGTACCTGGAGTAAGTTCTTTTCTGGTCTTGTTCACCTGGAGTATTGTAACATGTTAATCTGTGATAGCGAATCGATCGGATTGACTACCGGTATGGAAGGAAAGCAGTTCCAAGCAAAAGCCTGGAAGGAGATAATGGAAATTCTCAAGGAGCACAATGAGACGCTTGACGGCGGAAGCCAAGGAAACCTGATATGATCTCTGCCTGCCTAGCGATCGTCTACAGAGTACAGGGAACTGAGTTGGGGAACGTGTAAGCCGCGGGCAGTTAGAATGAACGCTGTCACGATCAGAACAACTACAATAATCATGCACCTTTTAACTATAGTCTTTCTGTTACTATCATTACATAAAAATAGATAGGGCCGAAATTTCTCCATCAAACTGCCCCCCAACCCGCGGGAAAGCGATCATCATGTGGTATTAACTTGCCTACCTAACTTCCCCAACCCATCAAGATGATAAGATGAGTATATGGCAAGATCGTCTATTCTGTGTGTATCAGACAGACGGATGGATGGGAAAATACACCACAAGAGTCAGATCCCTCCTTTCGAAGTTACAGTCGTAGGTGAGCATTTTCCTATACGATTACGATAGGGTGCCCAAGGAGGCTCTCATTTCAACCTTCTTGGTCACTACCGGGTGAACCGCCCCACGGCTCCGCTTCCGACGACAGAACACACAGCCTTTGGTGTTGGGCAAAAGGAGAAATGGAAAGAGTCTGACTCCTGAATCTCTTTCAAGACCTAATTCCCCCTCATTCCCTTCTTCCTCTGCTCTCCTCTCAAATTTGCGGTGTTTCTATTTTCCTGAATGAAACTGCACCTTTTTTAGCTGCATTCACCCCGAACCCCTCTAAATTGCGCCCGCCTACGTCAGTCCGGTCCCTGCGACAATGGCGTACAACAAGGCCTATAATCCGGACGCGCTCCCAGCGTAAGTGCGCATTTCCCTGAGATGGAGGTGTCGCCAGAATGAAAATGGCTAATTCGTGACTTTGATTTAGGCACGCAGAGCCTGAACAGGTACGCCTACATACTCGTCCTTTGGCGCAACCTTCCCCGCGGCTGACGCATTCCTGTTCCATCAGGTCGCCCAGATGATCGGTGCGATGCAGATAAACGCTACAAGTCAACATAAAACACACGTTACGTCGCCAGGGGGCGTGTCTTCCCGTCCTCATCCTACATCCCCCCATTCTCAGCGGCACCACCCTGCAGCGGGGTTTCCGCGCCCAGCAACAGACAAACCACTGCCTAGCGTACATCCAAACCAACAGCGTCCTGGTGGTCTGCTCCATCCATCTCCCCCTCCGCAGAACTACGGCTTTGGACCCCCTCCCTCCCAGCCAGTCCGTAACCGTCCCCCCCCATCGGCACGCCCTCCTGCGACTCCTCACCCTCCCCCATTGGCGGTCCCCAATGACGATCCGCAGCAGCTGTTCCCGTTGTTCAAGGCGGCCAACTCCTCCCACTCTGGAGCCCTTACTGAACATGAGCTAGGTTCTGCTTTGGTGAACGGGGACTTCACCTCATTCCACCCCAAGACTGTGAAGATGATGATTAGCATGTTCGACCGCAATAGGAGCGGGTCGATTTCCTTTGACGAGTTCGTCTCGCTCTGGCGCTACCTGGCTGCATGGCGCGAACTATTCGAAAAATTCGATGAGGACCGCAGCGGACGTATCAGTCTTCAGGAATTCGAGAAGGCGCTGGTAGCGTTTGGGTACCGTCTCAGTCCACCCTTTGTGACGGTTCTCTTCACCACATTCGAGAGCAAGGGACGGAGGGCCAACGGACATGGCGTAGGAGCTCCGCCAATGGGGATGAGCTTTGATCTGTTTGTTCAGGCATGTATCAGTCTTAGGCGCATGACAGACGTGTTCAAGCGGTATGATGACGATCGCGATGGGTATATCACGGTGAGCTTTGAGGAATTTCTAACGGGTAAGTGGAGTCTGTCTGCGCTCTGTGCAAATCAATGTCCTTGGTTAACGTTATGATAGAGATCCTTCAGTTACAGGATTAGAGAATTGTTGGGAGTTAGGAGGTTTTGGGAAGTGAAAAAAAAAAGAAAAAAAAAAAGGGGGAAGAAGGGGTGTTTCTTGTATTGCTTTGATGTGATGGTCTAGTACGGAGTAGAGCATGATATTATATACCCGAAATCATTAATACTAGTTACTGCATTGTGTATATTTAACAGATTGAAAGAGAGAATACTTTGTATGTACTCCGTACTCTGTGTGTGTGTGTGTACGGAGTATACATATATGGTTAGCATTGTATGATGTAGGACGAGGTCATGTGTTATCTATCCTTTCCCAATTCAACAACCTCGAAGTTCCATTTTCAATCCATCTTTCTTCTTCTTCTTCTTCTCATTCACTTTTTCATCCCAACCCTCCTCCAAAACAAATCCAATCAAATTCAATAAAATCAGATCAGGTCCAGACGCAGAAAGCAACCTGCTTACTTAACTCCGATCGGGTAATTATCCATTACATATCCATTGTCCGTGTCCGTGTCCGTCTTCTCCGATCCGTCCAATAGACACCTGCTCCACAGCGTTACCCCTACTTGGATTTGTCTCTGCATCCTTGACACCACATGGCGATTTGATGAGTCAAAAGATGTGGATGTTCTGAAGATTTTATTGATCCACCTCATGACTGTTTGGTTACGTTTCCACTTTTCTCCTCTCGCCTTCGGATAGCGCCATCCACGCCGTTCGGGGTCTCGCAAAGCACGAATTATACCGTTCCCCCCCCACTTGTCTAATCTCCGAGCTTGTTTCCTACAATTCAGCGTGCATTCTTGAATAGTGCTATATATTATAGTCGGCGGCCGTCGCCTATTTTATACTCAGCAGCTTGGCAACTTTTCTAAACCACGCCGTCGGCAGTACCCGCCTAAGGAACTAGCGACGCTTTTGTTTTTCTACCCCAGAATCCCAAAGCTTCATTTTTGCCTTCTTCAGCCTTCGTCCCCCTTGCTTGAAGAGATCGTCGCTTTCTGCTCTCCAGAAATGACTACACCCGGCGAAAGTACTCGCCCGTCTCAGGACACAGACAATGTCCATATACTTGCAGAGAAGCTCTCCCCCCCGGCAGGAACAGATACCTTCTCTGGTGAGCACCCTGAGACGGACACAGCCAGATCATCTTCGCCGTCGCAACATTTGAAAGATGATGATCCAGCAGAGACAACCCCTGCCGAGAACCCGCTAGATCGGGTGCCTTCCCAGGCCCACACGTTGGGAAAGAGGAATATCGCGGTTGTGATGGCTGCCCTTTGCGTATGTCTTCCCCCATGCGCCCATGAGCTATGTTGTTTCTCTGCTAGTATGCTAACTGTGCTTTTGAACCCTTATAGCTCGTCCTATTCCTCGCAGCCCTAGACATGGTAAGGATGCAAATGACCACCGCCACTTCATATCTGTTCCTCCAGATGACTGACCCCGTCTGCTCCTACAGACAATTATCTCGACCGCTCTGCCCACCATGGCCGCTCATTTCCATGCCTCTGAAAGTGGATATTCGTGGATGGCTTCCTCGTACTCGCTAACCAATGCAGCCTTTGTCCCGCTATGGGGCAAAGTCAGCGATATCTGGGGCCGCAAGCCGGTCCTTCTCATCGCCAACTTCGGTTTCCTTATTGGCAGTTTAATCTGTGGGCTTGCAATTAACCTCCCTATGATCCTGGCTGGAAGAGCAATCCAAGGTGCTGGAGCTGGCGGAATTATAACGCTCGCGAATATCTGTGTTTCAGACTTGTTTAGTGTTCGGTTTGTTATGGAGTCTCCTGCCTTTGCTGGAACCATTTTCTGACCGTTCTCAGGGACCGACCACTCTACTACGCGCTTTTTGGCTCTACATGGGCGGTTGCAGGTGCTTTGGGCCCATTGATTGGTGGCGCTTTCACCACCAGTGTTACATGGCGCTGGTGTTTCTATCTGAACTGTTTGTTGGCCCCTGCCTGCTAGGATTACAGGCTACCTCGGAGATTGATGAGGCTTGAGCTGACTGTTTTCTAAGTGCCAATTGGCGGCCTCTCCTTCGCCACCCTTATTTTCTTCCTCAAGATTGACTCGCCGAAGACCCCTTTTCTCGCTGGTCTCAAGGCTATCGATTGGTCAGGTACGCTTCTCATTGTCGGAGCGACGCTCATGTTCCTCTTTGGCCTTCAATTCGGTGGAAACAACTATCCTTGGGCTTCTGCAACCGTCATCTGCCTCATCATATTTGGCATTGCCACCTACGTCCTCGCCATGCTCAACGAATGGAAATTCGCCCGATATCCAGTTATCCCCATTCGACTCTTCAGCAACTGGCACAACGCACTCGTTCTTCTCATTTGCTTCTTACATAGTATGGTCTTCATCGCTGGCGCCTACTACCTCCCTCTCTACTTTCAGAGCGTGCTTCTTGTAACCCCCGTCCTAAGCGGTGTCTACATCCTTCCTCAAGTCCTCAGCCTGTCCTTCACCTCCGCAGGCACCGGGGTCATCATCAAGAAGACCGGCCGCTATCATGAGCTTGTTGTCGTTGCCTTTGTCTTCCTCACCCTCGGCTACGGCCTTTTCATCAACCTCCAGTACTACGCTTCCTGGCCCCGCATCATCATCTTCCAGCTCATCGCCGGTTTTGGTGCCGGTCCGCTCTTCCAGGCGCCCCTTGTCGCGCTCCAGGCTAACGTCCACCCTTCCGATATGGCTGCTGCCACTGCAACCTTCAACTTCCTCCGACAACTATCCGCCGCCATCTCCATCGTGATCGGTACTGTCATTTACCAGAACATGCTTGCCAAAAAGATGCCTTCTATCCTCGCAGCTGTTGGTCCGGAAGACGCAGCTAAAATTGCCCACTCCTTCTCGGGCTCGCAGAGCGATCTCGTTCGTAGCCTACCCAGCCCCGAGAAAACGGTGGTTTTGAAAGCCTTCAATTTTAGTCTCAGCCGCTTATGGATCTTTTACACAGCCGTAGCTGGCGTTGGTCTCATTGCTAGTCTCTTCGTCCGCCCTGTGGTGCTTAGTAAAACCCACACCGCGGCCAAAACAGGTCTTGCGGAACAAGAGCGCGCAAGAAAGGAGATTCTGACTGCCCAGGCTAAGGAGCGTGGATCGCACCCTGAGTCGAAGGAGGCCGTATAGCATTCCTCTTCTTCTATTGCAACCCCCCCCCCCTCTTTCCTCCCTCCTTTCTTGTTCTTTTTTCAGTACATGTAAGCGACCGTTAATCATAGACTCATTTTCTTTTCTTCTTCTCATTTTGCTTTTCAGCTTGACATTCCTTTTCTTCAGCTTTTTACACATTGATAATGGCTGCCGGCCCTAAAACATACCCAATGCTGATAAAAGTTGCAGCGTCTTGTCATTCAATCATGGAGATACCATTGTATTTACTTGGGTTGTTTCTATGAATTATCATACAAAGAGTTATTAATGCATTTACTTCTAATAATTTACTTACTCTTTTACAATAATGCAAACTACACCAAAGCCCTAAACCAAGGCTACGATGAAATAATAGATAAAAAAAATTGGCCTAAATAAAATAGTATAAGAATTTTTCTCCTACTCAGACACATACCTATTTACACCGTGGAAAAACAAAAAAAAAAAAAGATATTTAGCCCGTAAAATAGAAAGAGAGAGAGAGAGGTAAAAAGAAAGATAATAAATGAGATAGAATAAATAAATAAAGGAAATGAGAGGGAAGGAGGGAAGGAGGAAAAGAAAGACAGACCGATTACGAGAGCCCCTCAAAAGTGATTTGAAGGATGAGGTTGTTTTGTATTTCTGCTGCAGAACGGATCAAACAGGACAGAAGAGGAACTCGCCAGAGACACGGGGTATAAATGTACGGAGAGGGGAAAATTAACAGGATAAGAGAAAGGAAAGAATAGGGCAAGGGGAAGACTCCCAACAAAGGAAAGAGAGGAGGGAGGAATAAATGGAGAAACAAGAGAAAAAAGAGAACCGGAAAGGAAAGAGCCCAAAAACGAAAACCGTGAACCGATATTCAATCTTTCCTACCCTGATTACCAACAATTTCCCAAACGCCACAAGATGCCAAAATTTCGAGAGAGACATTTGAAGACTGGGGAAATGATCACACAAGACGGAAACCAAAATCGTCAAAAATGAGGTGATAAAGAATACATTAGATTACGTCTTTGCTTTCTTCGTTGTACCCTCCCCGCTTGCGCCACTATCCGGGCTTTTGCGCTTCTTGTCTTGCTCTTCTTCTCGGCCAAATCCCGGACCATTCTGGACAGCAGGGGTAGGGAACGTGAGCGGGCTGGGAAGCATATTGCTGTCTGGCCCAGAACGGCCAAAGCCCCATTCGGGGAAGAAACTCGAGGGTGATGGAAGTAGCGCATCGGAAACAAAGCGGCTAGGAAGCGCGGAGATGGGAGTCTCTATATTATTGTTGTTATTGTAGGAATTGTTATTCTGCGCCGCCACCGTTGTTCCCGGGGGTGGTGGTCTGGCGAATGGATTCGGAGGACCCTGGGCGCCAGCGCTAAGAATTGCGCCGGCGGATGGAGACGGTGGTGGTAAGACCACACCTGGATGATTCGTGTCGGGATTCGCCTTCGCAGGGGTTACAGCTTTATTTCCGGCGGAGTCCCGTGAAGATGACTCCGCAGTTGCACTACCCCGATCTGAACTTTCACTGGGAATCTGAACCTTGAGCTGAGGCCGCTTAGACGTCATTTGGCCACTATTAGTCCGGATAGGAGGTTTAATATCGGGCACTGCCTTGGACATAGGAACCTCGGTTGCGGCACGTGGGGGGGGAACAGGCTTAATCGACGGCTTCCTATCGTTGCTTTCGTCATGGCCTGGTTCCATCTTTGCGTGCGACGCGCCCCCAAAAAGTCCAAATTGCTGCGCCAGAACTGATCCACGATCATCAATGGGTGTAAAAATACTACGTGATTTGGATGGTAAGGGCTTGGGTTGTGGCGGGGATTGACTTCCTTCCATCTTCATCTGGCCGGGCATCTGATCTGTTGACGTTTCTGGGAGCGATGCCGTTCGTTGTGGGGGCTGCTGCTGATCTGGTAAGAACGATTGGGCGACCTGGATGGTTGGATGGGGTGGTTGCGACATGGTCATTTGTGGTATTTGCGGGGCAGGGTGCGGAGGATGCTGTTGGAGGTGTTGTAGAGGAGGTTGCGGGTGCGGTGGCATGGGCTGTGGGGGCATCGTATGAGGAGGCATGGAGTGCGGCGGCATAGGTTGATGTGGCTGTTGATGTTGGGGATGATGGCCAAAATGTGCATACTGCCCTGGTCGCGGTGGTTGTTGACCCATATGATGTGGCGCGTTAGGATTATAAACGGAAGGATTTGGCATGTATGCAAACCCATTTTGAGGGGGTTGAGGTGGCGGCGGCGGCGGGGTTCCGTGATGCGATGGTCCCCCAAGATTTGAGCTAACTCGGCGAAGATGGTTCCTTGAAGACGGCCTAGAAGCTCCTTGTGGTTGCGGGGTACCGTGGCGCGGATCGAATGGTATACCGTTCGGAATCGGAGGGGAAGCAGAAGGTGCGTGGTTGACATGCTGAAAGCCGGGATGGCCAGGGATATGTGCGGGCATCATTTGAGGCGGGTTCTGGGGAGTTGGATGCATGTCTTCCGGGGCCGGTGTTCCATCATCGTCGTCGTCGTCATCGTCATCACGTTTGCCGTTAAAATCCTCAGGCCCTTTATGTTCATGTGGAGGGCCAAACTAAGTAAAATCATTCCAGTCAGATCATGTGAGTTGCAGCCAGCGAGAGTGGAGGCCACGAACATATTGATATCGAGCGAGGGTTTCTCGCATATCACACGAAGAAAATTCATAGAGCTTTTTGTTGTGACCAAAGATAATGACGGCGACATCTACCGAACATAGCACCGCGAGCTCATGTGCCTTCTTGAAGAGGCCGCCCTTTCGTTTTAGAAATGTTCTGTGTATCCACCATGTTGTTAGCGTTGCAAACCGGGTGCCGCATCGGTAGCCCGATCGAAGTTAGAACATACACTGAGCGGTTGCGATCATCTTTGATCGCTTTGATCTCGATCTTTCTTCGACCCATGAGGGAGGATGTATGCGGACGAAGCACGCAACGGGGAAGGGATTTGAAACGGTGGGTAGGACCGACGACGAGAACTAGGATGAGAGGGAGTCGTCCTTTCGAATCAGGTGGTGGCGCGTAGGTGAAATTTGAAACCCAGGGGAAACACGGCTCGACAAATAAAGTTCTGGAAGACGCGATAGGATAGAATGTCTGCTATACATTTGTCAGACTCGAAGCCTTGGACTATTTTTATTCCCAGATTTTGACGGGTTCTAGAGCTTATTCTGCGGCGAAGAGGACAGAAACAATAGATCAAGGGGGGAAGCAGAGGGTGTGAGGGGGTAGGAGAGGTGGGAGATTCGACGAGCGCCGCTTTTGGGCGCGCGCGAGGGACAAGGACAGGGACAGGGAGAAAACGAGGTAAGGTGACGGTCGGGGAGGGGAAGGAAGACAAGAGTCCAAGGGGGAGGGGGCTAAGCGGCTGCAGGCCCAACAGACGGGGAAAAGAAGGCCTGAGGATACCGACCTTGGGATGAGAAAAGAAAGACGAGAAAGAAGGGATCGACGAGGGACAATTCTTGGATGGAACAGATGGGGATAGTTGAGAGATGGGGATGGAGGAGACGGTTGATTATTGCTTGATGGCTGGAACGGCGACACGCGGGTGATGCAGAAGATTCTAAAGATAGACAGTCGAGGGGGCGGGAGAGGCGGCTATCTGTTGCCGCCGCTTAGTTTTGAATTAGCCGCCATACGATTTATAAATAGTTTTTTTTCTTCCCCCTATTTAACGCTGTCTACATCCATCATCCATCACCAATACCTCAGTTAGAACTTCCTAGGCAAGACTTGATCCGAATTGATATCACGGATAAACCTGGTGATGATGGTCCTAGGCTTCTGATTCGAGGGGTGGAGGACCTCAGGCCGCCTAGTAGACAGTGCACACTTATCCGGCACTAGAAGACCAAGTAGACTCCGCCTAGAGACCAAGTCAGTCAGAGATCATGTCTGCAAATGCTGCCAGGAAGTCAAAGATTCCCTGGCGCTTGATCCCGGTGGTATAAATAGATTCTCCCGCCGGAAAAGCAGGGAAGGATGCTTTGTTAAATTTGAAGGTATTGAAAAATCTCTTCAACTTCGACTTTCTCCTCCTTCTCACCTCAGACCAGAGCTGAAGTTCTTGATTACCCTTAGCGATTCATCCGATACCATTGAACTACCCCCTGGATTACCTAATATCCAACATAACTAAATACGGACTGGTGGCCAAGAGACCTGATCTTGGAAAGCTATCATCAGTCCATACAACGGACTTATAAAGCTAAAGCACAAGGGAGCTTCATACCTCAAATAGTTTTCTGCGTCCTTTTAAATGTCAACAAGACATGGGCACAAATATTCTGAAGGCATTTATTCGACCATCTGCAAACTTGACACTACCTCTAAGACATTTCTATTATTCGCGACTCATATCGCAGCTTGTTTACCAACACCGGAAAATGGCTACTGCTCCCTTGTCTCAACCACGAGAATTTCCGACATCAGGTTTCGTCGTTCTGGATTCATCTAAAGACTTCGAAGAGGAAACTTTGCCAGGTTATCTGAAAGAACGCTACTACCCAGTCCATATTGGTGAAGTTTTTCGATCTCGCTATCAGGTCATGACAAAACTGGGCTTTGGCTCATCTTCAACTGTATGGCTATGTCAAGATCTACAGTAAGTAAGCACGCTTGCAATATTAAAAGAAACAAAATTAATGTAATAAAGTGATGGACAGTTTCTGGTTCTAAAAGTTCATGTTCATACAGTGCGGCAACCGTCAGAAGTACAGATATCAAATCATTTAAAGATGGCTCACAATGCTCGTGGCGTTGAAAGATATATACGACTCGTTCTTGACTCATTTGAAGTTTCTGGACCGTATGGAACTCATTCGTGTATTATCTATGAACCCGCTGGAATCGATATTCGTGACTATATACATTGCCTTGAGGGTGATACTTTAACAGAGGAACTTCTTCGGCCCGCCCTTCGATTTATACTCATTGCTTTAACTTACCTCCATCAGTCTCAAGTCATCCATACTGGTAAGAATTGGTATGAATCAGTCTTCTAATTCACGAAGCTTATATGATCTCAGATGTCCAGCCAAATAATATTCTTCTAGGTATCGAAGATAAAGCAGTTTTAGCTTATATGGAGGAAGACGAGATTACCAACCCGGCACCTCGAAAACTTCTTGATGACCGCACAATTTATGCTACACGTGCTATGCCTCTAACGAACGGGGAGCCGATCCTTGCCGATCTTGGAGAAGCACGACTGGCTGAAGAGAGACAAACTGGTCTCATAATGCCAGACGTGTACAGAGCGCCAGAAGTTATGCTTGACATGGAATGGGACAACAAGGTAGACATATGGGCAATAGGTCAGACTGTAAGTTTCAACAGTTGGACTAGATGATTTATGCTGATATCGCACCTCCTAGGCATGGACTTTATTTGAGCAAGGACATCTCTTTAGGAGCCAGAATCTGGACACTCAAAGCGGCCAAGCTCGACGTTTCGCGGAAATGGTTTCTCTTCTGGGACCACCTCCTGTCGAATTTCTCAGGCGAAGTAAGCAAAGCCTTAAATTCTGGGATAAGGAAGGTAAGAACTGCTGGCTTTCAGTCTCATAAATTATAATCAAATTTGTTCCTAATCTTTTGCAGGTAATTGGAAAAATATGGAAAGTATTCCTCAACAGTCTCTACAAAGTCGTGAGTCTCGACTTGAAGGGAATAGCCAGAGGCTTTTCCTCAAGTTTCTGCGAAAAACATTGTGTTGGTTGCCCGAAGAAAGGCCAACTGCGGAACAGCTGTTATTAGATCAGTGGTTAAGAGGAGAAGATTATTAAAATGATTAGTAAATATTGATATCTTCAGCTGTTAACTAGTTCTCACTTATCCTTCATGCAGTCAATAACAAAGATCACCATAATTTGGAACCTAGCCACAGCTCCATGGTTTTTTTCTATTAGATGAATTGCTAAGTGTAATGCCTAGTAATCTATTATCCTGAAATGAAGGTCTGATTCTCCTAATCCTAGTAATTTGGTCAATTTAAATATATGTCAGACTTTGGATACAGCAAACCCTTACAAAATTACTAATTTTAGAAGTTATTCCTAATAATTCTAGTCCTATCTTCTATTTTCCTATACTAGTTAGATTATATTTCTTTTATTCTTACTTTACTCCTCTTCTTAGTATAGTTATTTCAACCTAGTTATTTTAATAAGATAGAAAGAATCAGACCTTCATCTCTAAATAATACTCCTCCCATACTCCAGGCTGCTTAGTGAGCAAAAAGCAGCGCCAAGTTCGACCAAGAATGGAAAGGGAAAGTCGCTCGATTTCCGCAGCAATCCAGTTTGTTAGTATCTAACTTTCTCCCAGACATCTGGAGAGATGTTTATTTTGCGATCTGGAAGGTCCGGAATGGAAGCCTTTTTGATTTTTCTTAATTTGGTTAGATCCTTTGAATCTCACTCTGATTGGCTCACATGACCCCTGGAAAAAGTCACGGGATCGACTGGGAGGTCTTTTCCCGCAGTTGCCTGAGGAAGCAACTTGACTACATCGAATCGCGTTTTGAGGCCGAAAACTTTGAGAGAAATTGGGAATTGGAATGATTGCATGATGTGACATCATGTACTGTACGTTTCTATCTCTCTACTATCAAGAAGGGAGCAAGTTAGGAAAAGGAAAAGAGACCCTGGTAAAGCGTCTCTGGACTAGGGACTATAACACTACTATAGGTACAGAGTATGTATGAGATCAATAGACTAGAACTTGAGGTAATTGATATCATTCACTAATTCTCAACCTGGAAATTATTTACAGGAGAATAGGTAGCGACAGAAATTTAGTTTAAATAATCATAAATCCAGTAAACCACTAGTTAAGGACTACTAATGACAACTAACAGGTGCTACACTAGTAGAGAACCATGGCTCTAGAATCTGTATTATATTATTCTGATGATTTCACCCCTGAAACAAGCAACTGTATGTAAATCCTCATTCTCATCATCACCTCTACTGCCATCTCTTCACCTTTCTTCCTATCTTTCTCTCTTTCTCCTCCTCTTCTTCTTCTTCTTCTTCTCCTCTCTCTCTGTGTGTCTCCCTTTTATCCATCTTCTATTCCATCATCTTCTTTTCTTTTCTTTCTTCCCCCCCTCTGACTTGTTATTTTCTTCTCCCTCTTCTTGCATAGTCCCTGAGCTTCTGATTGATCCTTTCCCCCTCCTTTACCACTACCAAACTCCCCACATACCACCCGATCTAATCTACGGAGTACAGCACCAAAAGACACAGCTCCTCTCATTAATACTTATTCACCATTCACCGTCCGTCTTGCTGCACGCTAAAGGTGCTGTGCTGTGCTGCAAACTAGTCCTTTGGACACCTAGATACCCTTTACCTTTTTTTTTTTTTTCCCCTTCCCTCTTTTTCCTTCCTTCCTTTTTGACCTTTGCAGACACTCCTCTAGTCTCAATTTTTATTTAATATCTTGAATCTTCATTTCATGACTTGACTCTGTTCATCCTCTCTTTTGTGCGCTCTGCTCAATTCTCTTTTTTTTTTTTTTCTTTTTTTTTTTAACTCCGTTTACCCCTGTTGGCGCCACCAATTTCCTGGTCCCCAGTGCTATCATCCTTTCTGTTTACTGTGCATCCTCTGACCGCCGAGTTCTTCGCCGATCTCAAGAAGAATAGAAAAAAAAAACCTCCACCATTCCATTCTGTTACTGCTGGCCGCGTCTCTCGGCGGGAAAAGCTCCGGAGACTGCAGACCCCAAAATGTCTTTTTTTACTCGCGTCTTTCGGAGTAAAGACTCCAGCGCTACAAAGAAATCTGCAAAATCGATCGCGTCGGACAGAAATGGTCCCGCGAAGCCTACATGGACAGATGCGTGGCAGCGCACAGATGTCGCTCCAGAAGAGGTCCAGCACCTCGTACGAGCCTGTACTCAAGCATTGAAGGAACGAGGTACGTCCCTCTTTACCTTTGACGTCAACATTCCCCCACCCGGTTGAGAATGTGAGACAGACTGAGTGGCTTCATGTGCTGATCATTACCTTGTTTTTCTCCTGACAGGACTGCAAACCCCCTTCATGCTCCTCCCGTTCCGACCAAGCTCCGATACTACCATCACCACGCGTAGTTTTGTTCGCAATTACTTCAATCAATCGCTGAAGAGGGGATCCCCATACGCGGGCGATGAATTGGCGCAAGAACTCCGTCTGACGGACCCGATGGTGAGTAGTCCTTCTTCTGTCGCCTGTCCCTTGTCCCTTGGTCACAGCACTCATTCGCATTCGACATAGGTCCTCTGTAGTGTGTTGAAATGGTGCTGGAGCAGACTTCCCGGAGGAGTGGTCACCTGGGATGCTTATGAGCTTTTTAAGGTTGGCGAACAAGGTATGACCCGAGAACCCAATGAGCGGACGCATCGCGCAGACTAATTAGGGTTTAGATGCGCAATTCGCTCGCGATGCGTTTTCCACCTTCATTCCCATCAGTATTGACTCCGATGCCCGAACCAAGATCATCCTCGACTTCTTTGATCTCCTGGCGGCGATCGCTGCTCACGCTAAATCCAACGGCCTCGGAGGGCGAAAGCTTTCTCGGTATGCTGGATGGTGGGCGTTTGAACACTCTGATACGGGGAATGGCTTTGAAATGGCCTACAAGAACTGGGCAAGGTAAATCGGTATGCTATTTCCTCAACACGGGATAATATTTAATTTGTCTTAGTGCTGCGGATGCAACCAGTCATTTGTTCTTCGCCTACCTACGTTCTCTGTCGCCCGACGCCACCCGCGGCATGAGCAGCATCTCTACCCTCCCCATCGCTCTGCAGTCTCTCATCCAAGCAACAGAGTACCCCCCAGAAACCCCAGCGCTGCTGCAGGTCTCTACCACCAAGGTGGTTATGATTGTCGACACTGTCTCTCCCACTCCATTCGCTCTCCTACGTCGCGCAAAGAATTTCGAATACAGGGATAGCGATCATCATCTACAGGAGTTCGCTGGCTATGAAGACCCGCTCCGTGCCCTTACTGACGAGTGTGTGCGCGTGCTCAGATGTATTTCCTCAGCCAATCAGTCGAACCTTGTGGACTCCGTGGTACCGAATCGGGATGAGTCCTGGTCCAGGTTCGAGGACTTGGGATTTGGAGGCTCACTCGAGCCCACTATGGAAGAAGACGCCAGCATCCCCAACCCTGCCCGAAAGGAGTTTGGAGGTAGTTTGAGGTCTGTGCCTCACTCCGGTGGGGGTGACCTTGGTCGTCCCACCACACCATCGTGGGCCGACTTCATGTCGTCTGGCTTCAGTGATGAGAATACTTCCCCAACCCCCGTGGTTCCTCTGCTCCTTCCACCGGACAAGGTGCTTCCCCCAATTCCTACCGTCCGGGGACAAAGCTCCCAGTCTCACAAGCGTGGCCTGAACGACGAACAGTCGATTGACCCCGGCGAGCTAGCGAGCATCACCACCCTTGATCTAGATGACTCCTTCTGGTGGGTTTGGATCAGCAGCTTGGCGGCTGAGGAACCTGCCTCCCGTAAGGCAGTATTTGGACGATGTGCGTTGCTCGAAACGATCATTCGAAATGCGAAGTGGTTGGTTCTTGAGGAGCAGGTTAAGGGTGCGGCACCCGAGCCTGAACCTGGTGCGTATATTGTGGAAAAGAAGCGATTCTTCGGGTTCTCAACCCGCAGGGGTATGCTTAGCCGCCGCAAATCATCTGCGAAGAAGGTCACCGACGTCGAGGAGGCGTACAAGCGACCCAACAACCAAGCCCCGCAAAGCAAAACCAGCATCGCTCCCGACCAGCATGCCCGGATTCAAGCCGCGGCCGCTGCCCTCCAGAAAAGACATAGGGAGGAACAGGAACTCGTCAACGGTAGCAAGTCTCCTGCAGTCGAAGACCGAGCACACTCAACCAAGACCAATTCTGTCATGACCTTGCAACCGTCTATTATGAACGAGGCGTCCCATGCTTTGCAATGGGCGAGCAACTACGACAAGAACGCCTACAGAACTGCTTATTTGAAAGACAATCGTGCAGGTACTGGTGCTATTCAAGAAGAGCCCAAGGAATTCCCCAGCGACAAGCCGAGTCCTCCATCCTCCTCGCCAGCGACCACGACGACTCGTCAACCACCTCCCCTGTCGAAAGACGTGCCTGCCAGCTTCTCCACAACGCCCGCTCCGACTGTGGAAGCGCCCGCAGAAAAGCAAACTAACGGGCATGGTAGTGCCGGTGCCGCCAAGCGCACTGAACAAGTGGCTGTAGAAGCGCCTCCTAAGGACTCCCCAGACTCGGAGGAATCCAATAAATTAAAGAAGAAGCCCGGTAACACAGGGTTCAAGAACATGTTTGGGACAACCAAGAAAAAGGACCCAGAAACTAAGCCCCAATGAAGCCAACGGGAGCTGAGCGCTCGGCAGTTGCGGCTGCTCGTGCCGCGCTCGAGGACAAAGCCAAGGCCGCACAGGAGCCGCCCACTCGCAATGGCTCTGCAATTCTGAAAAAGAAGCCTGCACCCAAGGTTGACGCCGAGGAAACTCCTGCCTCTGAGCCTCGACCTGTTGAATCCCCAGCCCATTCTCCTCAGGCCATGAACGATCACCCCAAGATTCGCCGTGAGGCCGAGTACGACGCTCTTTCTCGCGTAAACACCAATGAGCAGGTCGCAGCGGACAGCGAGTTTTCGAGGTTTGACCAGGGCCCACTTCTTGAACAGCCAGCCTTCGTTCCGGAAGACTCGCCTGTTAAGGAGATTTTCCTTGAAAAGCCGGTGGCCCCCGTTCCTGAGGAGAAGGTCGAACCTAACTCTTCTCCAAGGGCCCTAAACCCCTCTCAGGACCGCTGGGCGCAGATCCGAAAGAACGCTGCTGACAGGGCGGCCCTGGCCGAACAACGCTCTAGCACGGCTGATGAGGACGGTAACACTAGCGAAGAAGAGAGTAAGTCAGACACAACGGAATCATTCCGATACGAATCTCTAACCTAATGCTTACAGGCTTCGAAACGCGTGCGGCCCGTATCAAGGCTAGGGTGGCCGAACTGACTGGAAACATGCAGGCTGCCAGCCGGCCTTGATCTCGCCCGGCCACAATGTCTTCCTCGACTCTTGTTTTTTTTTTTTTTTTTTTTTTTTCCCTCTGATAGTTTGATCCCTGTATTTGCTGAGTTTTGATTTTGTATAGCTTTATTCCCCTTGATGTGCTGATTTGTTGTCATTTATTGCAACTTGTTTTAATCCTTGTTGATCACTTGAGTGGTTCAAGTCTTATTGTTACAGCGAAGCACGAGAGGCCACGCCGTGACGCCGCGTTCATTATGATTTATTATAATAATATTCTTCATCTGCAGCCGTCGACTGACACGAAGCGATACAGCAGCTTTTTTTATTTTATTTTCTTCATTTTCGCCTGCAATTTTTATATTCCCCTGTCGGTTAAATCTACGTGGCTTCGGATTGTTTCTAATATGTTGCATATACACTATACCTCAGCAGACTCTCTTGTATCTACAGTGTCTCATCTATCAAAAGAATTTGGCCACCAATTGCTCTCCTCTTAGTGTATCCTTAGGCATCGTCCCCTTTTTAGTTTTTTTGGTTCTCTTTTGTACTTGATCATATAAACACTATTCCAGACATTATCCTCAATGCCAACTTGGATATGTATAATACCCCCCACCACCACTTTCTTAGGTATCCTAGTTGGTCTACCTACCTACCTACCTATTCACCCACACCCGTATCTAGTCTCGTCTCACCTTGTCCTCGTGTCGCAGTCGCCAATAGATAGAGGTAGGTATAAGAATAATCCAAGTGTGTTCCCCTGCTATTCTATGCGATACTTGCTTTGTCTTTGTCTGGGAAGAGCGAGAGTGCGGTGGTTGGTCCTGGGGGTTAGGGTATGGGTATGCAAGCTCTCTGCTCTTGTTTAGTGCGATAGGTGGTGGTTGTTGTTGGCGAGGGAGCAAAGAAAGGAAGGAAGGAAGGAAGGAATGAAGGAATGATTGATTGATTGATTGATTGAGTTAGGGGTTGAGTTAGGGGTTGGTTTGGAGGAACCAAGTATATATTATATTACATTACCGCTTTCCGGGGCTCGAAGAAGTTCTCCCAGTTGCAAAGGGGTTAAGGTTGTATTTATTTTATGTGGAGGTGTGTAATGTATCGTTGAAAAGCTTGTCTGGAGCTAAAAAAAAAAAGAGAGAGTACAGTGGTATAATCATTAGTTAATAAAACATTAAGTAGTCATCATTATATAGGTTTACCACAACACCGAGAATATATACCAGAATCTCGTTCCATCCGAAACCCACGTCGAGGTTCCTTCCCATCATCATATCTGTATAGTTCGTCTTCAACATGCAATAACATCTCCGGGGTATCAATTATACAAGGAGGACCAGATCTTTCCGGTCAGAAACATCTAAAGAATTCAGGTCAAGGTACAAAGAAGATTATAAAACGTAGCGCAGGCGTCGGGTAGCTTCGACCGCAATGAGCGCGCTCAAAGCCCCGATAAAAAGACAGATGGAGATAGCGTTGGGCGTGCTCTTATCCAGATCCATCCATTGAGAGTCCGGGACCGAGTCGTCGCGCTTGGTGCTGCCAGGTTCAAGAATGCTGAAGACGATCCAACTGATGAACGTGCCCACAAACTGGGGGAGCGTCGTGTAGACATTTAGCACGCCTAGGTAAATCCCCGCCAGTTCGCCTGTTGACGGGAGATTCGAGATCCCATCTTCCGTATCGCTGTCGCTGTCAGGGTCGTGGTGGTTGAGTCGCAGAACGTCCATTTCGGTATCCTGATTTCGGTCGCTGTACGCACCGGATCGAGCACTGCTAGAAGTGATCATCGTCACCCCCGACAAGCGGGATGCCTGCGATGGACCCAATGCCAACCGGTTGATCTCTACTCCCATAAATGCAAAAGGGGCCCAGCAGCTGACAGCCCATGGGATCCCGCAAAGAGCGACAAGAAAGGTTGCAAATGCTCGGGACCGGGCCAATGGGGCAAATATCATGGTCGCAGCGAACATAACATGGGAGATCAGCCAAGTCAGTTGCAGATCCGGACGAACCCGCGTGATTTTCCCAAGCAGAGCAGCTACACCAGGGGGTGGCCGCGGAGTAAATCTGGGCCGTTTTGTATCTGGCGGTTGCACGCAGAAGGGCAGTAGGACAGAGCTAAGAAATGTAATGGACGAAAAAACCACAAGAGAAAGGCTGCCAACACGGCCAACCTCTCCGAGCATGTCCGTAGGTCGAGTCGCATCCTTAGGGACTTCATACCGAAAGTAGGTTTCTCCAACCCAGGTCGTGCTATAGAAAAGGAACGGAAACCATCCTGTACTACATCAGCAGCTAGCCTCCAAAATAGCAACAGTTTGGAGCAATACCGATCCAAGCCCAAAATTGAGCCCAGCAAATGGCTTGGATACGAGGAGGCAAGTCCATGGTGGTTTTGACCAGTTGCGAAAGCACTTGAATAGCACCGACTTTTCCGTCGGAATCCCTGCCAAAGTCAGCCTAAGCATTAGACATTTACAGTCCGTGTTCTAACCTTGCTGTGATCAAAACCCTTTCCGTCACGGAATATGAGGTCACAGCAACCGCCGCGAGCAGAGACAGGGCCGCAATAACGGTCATTTGCTTAAACTGAGTATCGCCAATCGTAGTCCCAAAGATTCGGACGGTGTCAAGGGATCCAATGACATATCCGATCAGCTGGCCAATGGCCGACATCCTAGTGGCTTCACAATGTCAGTGTAATTCTTTTGATGCTTTCAGAGAGCTCACATACCCCACGCTGACCCAGCTTGTTGTGAAGGAATTGGTAATGTATCGACAATCAAGCTGCGAGAGCAGGCTTGGACTAGTTCAAGTTAGAGCAGCCACATCCACAGAGCTAATCCCAAGACTCACCAACGTTAATTGCGAAATCTAAAGCGTAAATACTAAGTACCGCGAGAGCAATCGTGACCTTTGGGACCTGTGCACCCCAATCAGCTGCCGAATGAGAAAAAAAAAAACACCCCACACAGTGTATATAAAATACCTTCTCGGAGTCCTTGACGAAAAAATTGACAATCTCCGTCGTCCATCCTAACACCAACAAACACAGAGTGACAACGAACGAACCCCCGATCATGAACGGCCGACGTCGTCCCCATTTCGACCGGGACCGGTCAGCGATAACTCCAATGAGAGGTTGTATTATCAAGCCCGAAAGAGGCCCCGCAATCCACACCAGAGATGTCCGCGACTTTGTCAATCCCAACTGAAGGAGGTACGGCGTGCAATCTACCGCAAAACGAGGAATTAGGAAAGCGCACGAAGGGAGTCGTCAAACGAGAGCTTCGATTCTTACATGTCATTTCAATGCCCCAGGTAAATCTATATTACGCCGGCAGGAAGTTAATCGAATTGACCTAAAGCTCACATGGAGGAAAGTCAGGGGAAAAGAAACATACTGTAATCCCAGCAGACCGAACGTCAACAATGCCATGCGCATCGACTCCGTCCGGCCCTTGATCGAGGGTGAGCCCACCCATCTTGCAGCTTGCGGCATTCCTGCTGGATGTATATCTGCAGGAATCTAGTCCTTGTCGTAATCTTCAGCCTTCCATCAGCTGAAGGGGATTTTCTGGTCGCGTGCCTACGATCAGGACGCGAAATTGTTGCGGGGAGCGATGGGAAGTCGGTTTCTTTGGAACCCCGCAAAACCCTGCAGTACCGGGGTGAAAAAAACAAGCAAATGATGATTCAAACACGGTGGAGAGATGGTGAGAAAGCAGTCAAAAACGTTGTGGTACGTTGAGGGTTCTAGGTGATAAAAATAGCCACCAGGAATGCGGGTGAGATCCAAGTGTGCACGGGCGTTTCTCCGAAATCGCGAATCCAGGGGGTCAGGTTGGGGATTCTGCCAGGAACAGGGACAGATCCGTTCCTTATTGTGATCAGGAGAAGGAGGAGAAAAGAGGGAAGAAGAGTAGAAGAGTGAGAGGAAGGAGGAAGAGGGAAAGGAGGGTCTTTAGAGGACTGTGGATAAAGGGAAGAGAGAAGAAAGATGGTGGTTGTTTAGCTGCATGCGGGAGAGTCCGAGAGACTGTTGGGAGCCAAAAGCCGCATCTGATTCTTAATCTGCATTCTAATTTAATTTCTGACATCTTATCCAGACCCACTGTTGACCATAGACTTATTATCCTACACGTCTAGACCAGTTTTATATCCCGTTTTGTGAGTTGTCTCAGATGTATGGAGCTCTCCCGTCTGAAATGGAGAGAGTATACAATGTCAATATTGTATGGCCCCAGCTACTTTTCGTTTCGTTTCGTTTCTGCTTTTAAAAAAAAATCATCAATAAATTGATGAATAAAAATAAAACGAGTTCTACATCAGCATTAACAGCCTCTTATTTCCATCGCAAAGACTTAGGATACCAGATCATATCACGTCCGTGGAATAAATACCAGTCCAGTCATGTTAACATTAATTTTCATTTTCATTTCAACAAAAAAAAAAGAAGGAAAAAAAAAAAAGGAAAACTCCATGATTCCCCAGGTTCTCAGATCATTGCTAGCCCCGTTTGCATTTTATTTGCCTACACCTACAGCCGGTTAGGTGAAGCGTGTGTCAGAGGCCACTGATATCCTGCAGCATCGCTGAATTTGTAGCCAAAGGATGCCGTGAAGTCGTCCAGAACAGACGGTCCTCGAGAACCTGATTTTCTGTTAGTCAACTATACAGCCAAAAACTCGGAATCGGCTTTTCGCTCACCATAGGGGTATTCCATGGGAATGATCTCTTTGTTGTCGTCCAGGTAGTGTAGAAGAGGAGTGAAAATCTTCCAGCTAGCATCCAGTTCATCGTCACGAACAAAGTTGGAGTGGTCACCCTTGAGAGCATCCAGGATCAGGGACTCGTAAGCCTCGGGGATCTTCAGGTCGGAGAAGCGACGGCGGTAGGTGAGATCCAGCTCGGTGACGACGGTCTGCATGGAGAGCCCGGGAAGCTTGGAGTTCATCTTGATGTAAACTGACTCGTTGGGCTGGACGCGGATGACCAGCTCGTTGCGGGGGATGTCCTTGAAGATACCGGAGGTCACATCACGGAACTGGATACGGATCTCGGTCTTCTGTTCGTTCAGGGCTGGGGGCGGGTAAGCATGCAAATTAAGTCACTAAATATCTTGAGAACGAGCGTACCTTTTCCTGCCTTCAAGATGAAGGGAACACCATCCCATCGCTCATTCTTAATGAAAGCCACCATGGCGCAGAATGTCGGGCAGCGAGAGTCCTGGGGAACGGTGTCGTCCTCCTTATATGCGGGCTTGCTTCCGTCCAGCGATCTGCCGTATTGACCGATAATGACGTTCTTGGGCTCAATCGCATCCATCGCGCGCAGTACTCGCACCTAATCGCAGATCAATATTGGGTCATGAATTTGGTTAGAAAGACGGGGCCACTCTACCTTCTCGTCACGAATGTCCTCGGCAGAGAAAGAGATGGGTCGCTCCATGGCGAGCAGTGTCAACACTTGCAAGAGATCTGTGACGCCCAATTAGTCTATCTGCAAATGAATGCGCAAGCCTTGATCACATACGGTTCTGCATCACATCACGGATGATGCCGAATTCGTCAAAGTAACCGCCACGGCCCTCAGTACCGAAAGGTTCCTTGAATGTGATCTGTTGGAAGAAAATTAACATCTCAGTCGCTGTCGAAGGGTAAGATAAAAAAAAAAAAAAAAAAAAAAAACTCCGCATACCTGAACATTATCGATGTGGTGGCGGTTCCATGTGGCATTGAAGAATTCGTTTCCGAAGCGCATAATAAGGATGTTCTTAACCATCTCCTTGCCTAGGTAGTGATCGATACGGAAAATTTCGTCTTCCTTCCAGTTGGGTTCGAGGGCTTTCTGAAGATCCCGAGAGCTGTAAAGATCTTTACCAAAGGGTTTCTCGACCTACTCGGAGCAAAAAAGAACCCAGTTAGTAGTTTATCCCAGAGTACTGCTGGTGCGGGCCACTTGACTCACAATGATACGAGCAATGCCATTCTTGGGGTAACAGTTCCGCTTCAATTGCTCCGAGACTGTGATGAAAACACTGGGCGGCAGAGCCATATAGAAGACGCGGTTCTGTTCCTTCTGGCCGGCTTCGATCTCCTCCAGGTGCTTGGTAAGATTGAGGAAGGAGTCATCCTGGTCGTACTGGCCGCTGATGTAGGAGCAAAGCTCACAGAAGCTGTCTAGCTGTTCTTCAATCTCCTTGGTGGGGGTCTTAATGTATGATCGCACGCGTCGAAGGTATTCGGTGTGGTCCATTTTTGTACGGGCATATCCAACGATCTTGATGCCCTTGGGGAGGAATTTGTTACGGAACTGCAGGAACGGTCAACCACCAGCCACGAAACAGTCACATAAGGTCGTAGGTGATCGACAGGGGACGTACAAGGCCAAACAGGGCTGGGAACTGTGAAATCGGTCAGTTTCGGACTGCATCTCCAAGCCAATTTCATGCGGGGAGGGGAAGCCACTAACGGTCTTCTTTTTTGCGAGATCTCCCGAAGCACCTAGCACCACAATGACGGTGTCATCTTTAAGTTCGAAGGTACTGCGCAGGGGGTCCATATTAGCCGTGATGCAGACAGGGATCCGAAGAACCAGGAGTTGGATGGATTGTCGGTGCAGGAAGAAAAGAAAGGAAAGGAAATAAAGGTGTGGGTGAGAGTGAGTTAAAAAAGCGAGGAGAACAGGGAAAAGCGCCGGAACGGTCAATTAACTTCACGATAAATTCGCAAAGAAGGAAAGGTGCGAGACACAGAAATGTCAATGGAGAAGAGAGAGATCTGAGGAGTGATGGGTGCGAATTGGCGACCGGCTCTTATGAGTCTTAAGGTCGAGGTGGGAGCAAGTTCAGGGAACGGGGGCGGCGGGCTTGAAAGAGGGACGGAGGGGAGGGAATTGGCAGTGATGTCAGAGAGGGAGCACCGGCCCAGCTAAAAACTCACCCATTATGGCGTTCTTCAGGGTGTGCTATTGTGTTGCTCATCTTGGAACGAAGAGTAGTATTATTATTATATTTCAAGAGACGCCGGGATAGCAAAAGGGAGAAAAGGGGAGATTGGTTTCTAGGGAAAGAGAAAGATTTTTTTTTATAAGGATAAAGGAAAGGAGGGGGGACAAGAGAGGGGAGGTTTGTTGGAAAAATCCCCAACAATAAATTCCGGCGGAGCAAGTACTTTTTAACGCCGCGAGGGCTTCCAGGAACTACTAACTAGTTAGTAGCCTTGACTTACTCAGGGCTCCTGCTGTGACATGCCTTAGATACGTAAACTACCTTTTCACGAGGGTATTCCGTTCTGTAAAGGTGGGGCGAAAGTAAAGTGACCGGGCTGCTGTCTTCCACACTGTCTGTCCCTCTGAGACTTCTGGATGTGGATATAGATGAGGAGGAGGAGGAGAAGTAGGAGGAGAATAAATGGATTAATCTGATTGAACTATTAGATTTTTCTTCTTTTTTTTAAAAAAAAATATATATATATACCTGACTATACATATTTTCTTTTCTTTTCTTTTTCTTTTTATGGGTTTTATATTCTGATATTTTGATATTTCTTAATCTCTGGTTACATTAGGATTACTTGAGTCGATAATCTTGCTGCGGTCAGAATCCCTAAGAATGATCGACCATTATCTAATGGATTATTATAACCTCTATAACCATATCATCTACCTCACTACTACTAGCAGCCTCATTAATATAGTATTATAGTTATTAATAAAGATCATATAATCTAGTTCACTATCTAACCTTCCAACTTGTTAATCATCTGGAAATTTCACCCAAGATAGCTGCTCCACTAGAACCATCGAAACCATTTATGGATGCTGCACCGAATCGCATCCTCGTTGACCCCGCGTGGACTTCGGCCTCCCGTAATCTTACTCCGGGCAATAATAATATAATAATTCCGAGCCTGGACCTGACAAGGGGGGTTTTATTATTGGAAAAAGTAAAAAAAAAAAAAAAAAAAAAAAAAAAAAATATGAAAGAGAAAAGAAACCATCATTCCCCCTCTTTTCCTAGCTGCGACTCATGAGCCCCGGATATCAACTATAAACTCTCCATCCCGAGAGTGGTAGATATTACGGAGTACAAAATACGAATACAAGACGCCAGTAATGATATTTAAGGAGGGTGCCACCTGTGACTCTGGAGTCCTCTGCGATATGTCCGGTCGGATCTCACCTATATTGAGTCTGTTCTCAACAATGATAGAGTATAATATTGAAGATAAACTCCTCTCATAAATTGATGAAAATAAATATAACAAGTCTATATAGATTATACGCAGAAAGTAAATTCTTGACAGGAAGATTAATTGCTACGTACTACTAAGTACTAGTAGTTAGTATATGATATAGATTACAGTACAGGTACATAACCGGTCGCCGACAGTGACCCAGAAATGAGATCACTGATCTCACTATCAAAATGGATCCCTTTGGCCGTTATATAACTTGTATCTTACTACTCCATACTATGGAACCTTTGTTGAGTTATAAACTTATAACTACTGTAGTTACCAGTAGATCGGCATATTTGTCATATCAAACACGAATTTTATTTTGCCGCAGCAAGAAATCGTTCCAGAGAAGGAAGACCGAGAGAGTGCCTGGAGAGAGAATCTTGTTGTCGGCCCAGCTTACTCCGAGCTTAAGTTCTCCTACTAGATGCATAGACAGGTACCAAGGAGTATGTCAATAATAAGAATGATCTATGCAATTTAGAAATTGGTTTTGATCATAATATCTAGGTTACACAAAGTACTCCTATTCCTCCATATACTCCGTATCGGCACCTTTTTTTTTTTTCTCTTCTTGCCGTTATTATTACTACCATCATCTTCAAACATTAGGTCTTGAATATCTTGTTGTATGTCCTCTAACCGAAAGAAAACGGAAAAAAAAGAAGAGAAAAAGAAAAAAAAAAAAGATGGAGAACTTAGAAGTATGAGATGAGGCAAGGTCGGTTGCCGACTTTCAGGTGGGGCCCGTCCTTCGCTTTATTTCCAAATGGGTGCTTCGGTCTGGTCATGCTGAAGACTTGATATTCCTTCCTGAATGGACATCAGAGTATGCAACCAGGATGTATGGTAGAACGAGCTCCACTGCTACCGCTCTAGTGGTTACGGTGGTAGATCACGACATCAGTACTCCGTACAGAGTACTTAATCTTTACTTTGTTTATTCTCTCTGCTCTCCGGATGTGCATAATTGGTATATATCGTTATGTTCTTCTATATTCCCGCGCAATCATGGGGATCTCCCAGCTCGAAGGATTGGAAAGAAGCCGAGAAACCTTATCCAGCTGCATAAGGATGGAGCCTTGTCACATACTTAATTCAACGGACTCATAAAAATCCAAGAGAAAGACCTAGTAACCTGTTTGTCAGCTGAGAACGTTCTGGCGTCTGGACAGTCAGCAGCGCCGGCCTACAGTGGTCCGACGGTAAAGTGGTGACATGGTGGGGGGGGGGGAAGGGAGAAGGGGAGGTTGAACTGAAATAATTTCGAAAATGCAAAAAGAAGGGTATCTCGGAATATGGAGAATTAGAGTATCCGGAGAGAACCAAAATGGTTTAGTGCATTATTGCATTTGATCACGTAATATCTCACGTGATTGCTGAGCGCAGATCACGGGACTGCGCTCAGCCCTGGAGCAATTTTGGGGTGTCTCGCTAAGCGTCCCGTTTCGGGTTAGGGCGAGCCGCGCCGAACACACCTCGCAAATTGGTAGTATTGTGCGTCGTCGTCTCATACTCAACCCTAGCGACGACAACCACGACAACCCGGACGACTTCAGCGGGTCATTTCTGACTTCCTTCGACTTGTTTGTGTTGCTCAGAAAATCCGTCACAATGCCTTCGGAACACGGTCACAGACGTGAGTACCTCCTTTATTTCAAGCGATGTGTGCGCAGTTGTTGCATTTTGAGGATACAAACTCCGGAATGGAACTGTGCGCAATATTGTGATTTGGTTGAACAGAATGCTAACATGGTTTTTTTTTTTACTTCAATATAGTTTACGTTAAGTAAGTTGCGCTCCTCATCGTATCGCCGCTCCTCTGTGTCCGAAACGAGACTTGGCTATTCAATATCATTTCGGAAGGATTCCTCGAAAACAGCGGTGGATACATACAATCATCATGATGGACAGATGGATTAATACGATTGTCTCTTTAGGGGTCGCCACCTGAGCTACCAGCGCTCTAAGCGTGCTGTCAACCCCAACACAAGGTATCAACTCGCACCTCGAAATCAGGAAATTGTGGATAGAATATTAGGAGTCTGACGCATGACATATAGTCTGATCAAGATCGACGGTGTTGACAACACTGAGGCCGCCAAGTGAGTAATTTTGGAATACCGATTGGAATGATCTAGACAACAGGTTGCTAAGACGGGATTACAGCTTCTACCTGGGCAAGAAGGTCGCTTTCGTCTACCGGGCCAAGCGTGAGGTCCGGGGTTCCAACATCCGAGTGATCTGGGGCAAGGTTACCCGGCCACACGGTACGTGATTCCAAAGAGAACCACCGCTAGTTGGAAGAAATGGCATCGAAACTAACGTACCTGGATAGGCAACTCTGGTGTTGTTCGCGCACAGTTCCGCCACAACCTCCCCCCCAAGTCCCTCGGTGCCACCGTTCGCGTTATGCTCTACCCCTCCAACATCTAAACGACCCGCTGTTTGTTATATGTTAGTGGCAACTCCGGAATCTTTGCGCAGACGGACAGGCAAGGAGTCAACGGGATAAGCCCGGGCTTGAGATGGAGTTAGTGGGTTGATAATGTTCGTGGGAGAGGCAGGGCCGCTCAGCCCTACGAATCAAAAATAAAAAAGAAAAATGGGAACTCTTGTCTACTTTACAACCTGGTTATTTGCTATCTTTATAGACACTCAGACGGGCATGCCTTGTTATTGATTCAGGCGACCGAGATCTGTCTTGACGGCATGGCTTCTCCAAGTGTATCTGACGCTCATAAACACCCAATCCAGACCATTTCAACGAATCATCCAGTTCGATAACATGATTATATATTTATATATATATATTTATATGGAGGTAATGTATGGATGGAGCACTGTTCGGAGTTCGGCTAAAATCAAATATACAATCCCCAATGCGCCTTTTCCGGTACCAGTACCAAGTGTCTGATATCAAGTAAGGCCTAGCGAAATAACGGCAGTAAGTACATGAGAGGACAAATTCCAGATTGACTTTTGCTGTTTGTCTGGCTTCTGTCGCCTGTATATAGGCCAATAGTCTAATCCCTTTGTATTATCAAGACCTACCACCCATGATACTCTCAGCATTACGCTCAGCATTACTCTCAGTCCAGGCCGCTCTGCACAAGTCATACTCTATAGAACAATATTGGAGTATGTATCATCATCAAGATACTTCTTAGCTTTCTAGTTTTTCATGCTCTCGTGTCTCTCGTCCATCGCACTACTGATAACTGCTGTTCAGAACTTGAATGAAATATTATGCTATCAGTCCCAGGGTTACACAAGATAGCACCAATGCAAAGCAAAATATTGTTGAAGAGAGCTAAGCAATCCTCGTACTACCTAGAACAAGATATTAGGAAGCTAAGGACGAACTTTATACTAGTACGGTGTATGTATGTATATGTCGAGTCAATGCCATTACACAGCATAAATATAGATCTCACGGATGCTCAACACCCATACAGAGGGTACGATTTCCACCTGGGATTTTAAATAATCTCGTACCCCACTGAGGTGAAGTGTGATCATTCAATTCCATCCTATCTAAGTTTGCTAGATTCTAAATAGGTAGATCGGCTTGTTCAGTCCTACCCACTCCAGATTTGACTACTAGTACTACCTTAGGGAGGTAGTATAGTATAGTATAGTGCTCGGTAAGTCATTCCTCATTACCTATCTTTCATAACTCCGATCTCTTTCATCCTGAGTCACTGGGTATCGACCTCAGCCAGATCAAGGCAGCTAGAGTAGATTCTATTGTGATTTCTTCTTTCTTTGAACTTGGGAGAGAAGAAGAAGAAGAAGAAGAAGAAGTTGTTCAGATAGCTAGGTTGATGCCATCACTATCCTGTGTCTATCATCTGGCTTACGCTCTATTAGTTCAATCATCACTCCATGCAATTGATGTTGACGTCAAGGATAAGTAAGGGAGAGTCTCTGGTTCGTGAGAGAGTGCCATATTTCTGTTAACAATGTTGCACTTGTGCTACCCAGTGAAAGGCTTGAGATAGGAGGGCTACCACATGAGCCTGTCGACATCCTCAAGTAGACATCTGCATATATTAGATTCACCACTTGCTTTTTTTCCCTGATAAAGGGTTCGAAGATTCAGATCAAGTACCTTTCCATCCTCATTTCTAACAGGATGTCTTTCATTGCACAAGTCAAGCTGCATCATGGCCAAGTCAATCACCTCAACCATGAACTCTTACCCTCTGGACTCAAAACAGATAAAGAGCAGCTCAAATCCTGCCTCCTTCTCGATTCGAGTCCATAGTCGCAATCTACAAACAATGTACCTCGATATCAACTTAACTAACAGTTAAGTTCAGACAAGAAAAGAAAAATGACAATCCTCAGTCTAATCGCCCTCGCAATCTTCCTCCTCATCCTCACATACAAAAACATCCCCTTCATGTGGCTTGTAAGCACTCCTCTCTTTTCCCCCTCTTACCGTTAAAGAATTCCCTAACCCCTCCACCACCAAAAAATCCAAATAAAAAGATCCGCAACCTCCAAGTGCTCATCCTCCGCCGGTACCTCTCTCCCATCCACCGCACCCAACTCACCCCGGAATGCCTCTTCCTCCCCACGATCCACCGCAGCCGCTCCCCACTCACCGAATGCGACCACAACATGCACAAGTCCAACTCGACCTACTTTTCCGATCTCAACATCTCCCACGGAAACATCGGCCTCACCCTGTTCAACCAGTTCCTGGCCTTGCGTCCGGGGGCGGGATCGGCCTTCCCGGCTCTCGGCGGCGTGCAGTGCGTCTTCCACCGCGAGATCAAACCGTACCAGGCGTATGAGGTTTGGTCGCGCGTACTCAGCTGGGACGAGAAATGGATATATATTGTTTCGCATTTTGTGGAGCCGGGTGCATTTCGTCCGAGACGATTCTTCTTTCAGCGTAAATATATCTATCTACGTAGTAGATGCTCATCGTTACGCTAACAAATCAGAACCAGAACCAGAACAGTCTTTGTTCATTTCCGATGATGACAATGACAATGCTCGAAATGATGTCAAGGAAGAGAGAAGAAGAACGGAAAGAAAGAACCCGATCTTTGCGTCCTCGATTGCGCGGTTTGTCCTGAAACAGGGACGAAAGACGGTCCCGCCGGAGATTATGCTGGTCCAGTGTGGCTTGTTACCTGGGAAAGAGGCGAGTTCGAGGGCGGACTTGGTTGTCAGGCAAGTAATTGAGGAGCGGCGGCGGAGGGATTTGGAAACGGCACAGTTACGATTAGGCTGGGATGCAGTGCGGGAGGCATTTGAGGGGGAAGGAGTGACGGTTTTATCTCGGTATACTGATTTAATTTGAGGGAAGCAGTACTTTATAAGTAGTACTTTACAAAGAGCCTGAGTTTAGGAATTAAAGTACGCGCCAACTGGAGAATTCGACCGATCCTTGACCCACTGAAGTGAAGAGAGATCGACAATCTCCAGATCATTTACGAATTGATGTATAAACTAATGAGAGAAAAGCCAACTATTATTAGATAGTTAGTGGTGCCATTTGTGTCAGTCTACAGAGAATCCAAAATAAGAACCAAATGAACAGAGAAAGAAATCCAGGGAAGTATCCAGAGAACTTGGAACACACTGAAGTCCTGAGGATTACTATTGGCCAAATTGAACCAAAACTGAGGGGAATTGCGTAACCTATTTTTATAGTACGTATAACTAGTTGAGATGATTATATATCTTGACTATTGGAATTGCGTGTCACTTCTCAAATCCCACTCCCTCAGTCAGCTTGTCTTTCTTCTTTTCTTCTCTTTTCTCATCTTTCATCCTTTTCTTTTCCCTCGTTTCACCAACAGAGTCCGGTATGTTAATCTATCCATGCACCGTCTTCCCACTACTTCCAAGTTTCCTTCGTGTCGATCCTGTGCATCCACTCTCACTAACAGTCAGAACAGGGTTAATTTCCTGCCTCCCACCCACTGCCGCTTTCTCTCGTTTCTTGCACTATCGATTCTCTCTTTCTCCCTTGTAAAAGAGATATTCCTCCCTCCTCCATTTCCCCTAACTGCGGATCCATTTCAAGACATATACACGTCGCCCTTTCGCGCTGAACTTGGGAACCTGGGTTTTTATTGCTCGCTGCCTCCCTGAGTCGTGCATCTCCTCCCTTCACTGATTTCCATCCAACATACACATACCATTTGATCGTCTTGCTTGGCGGTTCCCACCTGTATCGTGGCTGCGCTCCACAACGGAGATCGCAACGGGTCTAGCATTTCTTCCTGCTCCAGCTTGTTTTATCGTCCACTAAGACATTCCCATTCATCATAAAAATGGCCTCCTCCCCCCAGCCGGCCTCTCCCAGGCGTAGTCGTGGTTTCAGCTCCAGCGGTCGCTCTGAGAAATCTCATCGCTCCAGCGGTTCGGGCCCTAAAATCCAGCTCACTGAAACTGCAGAAGAGAAAGCTCGTCGCAGTCTTCAGACCAAGGCCGATCCGATGATTGCAATGAGTGAGGCCCAACCAAGTATGTGTCACTGCTCATTCCATTCCACTTTTGACAGCTTCCATTCCTCCTCCTCCATTGTTGATGACCACCAAACACGTGAAGAGACGAAACTGACTCGTTTCCTGTAGATTTGGTTGCTCTTGAGAAATCAAATCTGGGTAGCTTGCGCTCCATTCAGCATAAAGATCAATATGGCAACTTAATCAGTGCGTTTGATTTCCTTTTTTTTTTTTTTTTTTTTTTTTTTTGGCGATAATTCGGGACTTTCCTAATATTGTGCCCACAGCCGACCCCGATCTGTCAAACCCAACTCGCCCTCGATTTGAACGTCCCTTAGATACTATCCGTTCATTCGAAGCTGCGATTTATGGCCCATATAGCAGCAGACCCGCTTCTTATGCGAGAACTGGTGGGTTTCCTTCCCCTTACTTCGGGATGCAAGATCCGATCGTTAATTGAAATCGTGCAGCGGATGAACCTAGCGCAGATTATAACCGACGAAGCAGCTACTACACAGGTATTTGCGCGCCCTACACCGATTTATTGCTTGGTCTATCTAGACTGCAATTGATCCAATGAAGCGCTCAGCACTAACGAAATCTCGCATAACAGGACCGAACCAGAACTCCAACCGAGCCTACAACGACCAAGGAGGCCAATACAACGGACGTCCCAACTACTCGAGACCGAGCAGCTACATCGATAATGGAAACGGCTACCATAATGGTAGCGGCCCCCCGGAGAATTACTATCCGTACACTCAGAGTGGTGGTAGCCGGCGACCCCGTTTCCCCCAGCATCGCGCTTACACCGACCAACCCACGTATGTCCAAAATCAACAGAACGGATACTACAAGTCGTCCGATAACTTTACCGCGGGCTCGGGTTCTGGGTCCGGAAGCAACCCCGATCAATGGGGCAATTCGACTGATCCCAGCTCGGTAAACAGCTCTATCGACCAGCTTCAGCAGCAGCAGCAGCAGCAGCAGCAGCAACAGCAACAACAGCAGGAGAAAGCGGTTGCCGACAGCTATGGCTTCAACGGATTTGGACCTGGTCCGGATTTTAGCAACACTGCAGTATCGGCTGACGCGGCCGGGAACGCCAGCTACGGTCGCGCTGCACCGCCAGCGATGGATCCAAACATGGGCGGTCCAGTAGGTGGACCGCCTGCAGCTGCAGCCCCGTCTCTCGCAGGTGGTGCTCGCCACCTCCAGCGTAAGATGGGAAACAGTGTCTCGGATACGGGCGACAACACGAAAAGGCGAAGCTGGTTCAAGCGAAGGTTCAGCAAGAATTAATTTTAAATTCTTTCGGTTGTATCCTTCGACATGTGTTTTCTATATCACCACTCTTTGCTATGATTTTATCTTTTGTTGTTTTACTTTTTCTTTGTTTCTTTGTTTGTTTGTTCTTAAATGGTGTACGGCGTTAGCGCTGGGAATGTTTCTTTCTGTCTGGTTGATTGATTGATTGATTGACCGACCGACCGATGACACTATATTGCAGGACCGAATATTGGTCTTTGCTAGGATTCGACATTTGATTGATGAGATTACGATACATATGCATTATTACTATTATTACTTTCATGAACTTATTGACCCATTTCTTTTGCTTTCCTTTCATATCTGTACGGAGTATGGGTAGGTATTCAGTCATGTCATGCTCAGCCTTCCATAATACCAGTCCTTAATAATATAATTAACCTCTGGATACCTACCTAGGTATCCGTACTCGTAGTCACTCCGTAGTTACTCTGTAGGTGGAGAGTATAGTCAATACTTCTAAATATAGATAGCTAACAGCCAAAAATAGTTTGCCAAACTCAACACCACGAGGGTCTCACATGCTGGCCTCGAAAAAATTAGGTTGAATTGCATTGCAGATCGATTGATTACCTAGGTACGGAGTAGTACAGAGTACTCCGTATATATACTGATCTTGAGATGATACAGGTCATATTATATAGGTCTGTATATGTATCTAATCTAAACTCTCTAGGTACATACATGCCCAACAAGTCACTAATTCTTAGCGGAATATATCTACATATTGTATAATCTCAAGTAAGCGGCAAAGGGTTATCAACTAAGTACTCAGGTAGAAGTTAGGTAGGAAGGTAAAAAAAAAAAAAAAATAACAGACAAAAGGGAATCTCAAATCAAATCAAAAAAGGCAAGTTACGGGAGAAAAACGGATTACTTCCTGCCCAAAAGCTTGTTCTTCAATCTATCTGCCAGTCCCTCATGCGCCATCGATTTCTCTTTCTTCTTCTCCTTTTCTTCTGTCTTTGCTTCCTTGCCCTTTTCGTGCTCTGGGTCTAGGTGGACGTTGCCTTGGCCGCCTCTCTATTGTGGTTCATTGTGTGTTAGCATACTCCATATGGTCTTATCCTGGTTTTTTTTTTTTTTTTTTTTTTTTTTTTTCGCAAGCTTGATGTATACAGGGCGCGTATAGCGAACAAGCGCAAGAAAGAAGAAAGAAAGAAAGAAAGAAAGAGGGTATTACCCCGGTATGGTAATCGCCATCCAAGGACTGCCGAATCGCCAGCTCGGGAATCACTTCAGCATCGTGGGGTGGTTTGCTGGTGGGACGGACGTGGGGGGAACCGATGTTTCCTGCGCCACCGCGCTATAGCTCAGTTAATATTCTTTCACTTGTTTGACTTCTTTTTTTGGGGGGGAGGTGGGGGTTGTTATGGATCTTATTATCTCAGTCAAGACAGTAGTAGAAGAAAACATACCCCAGCGGAATAAGCGCCGTCGCCTTGGTCGCCGTAGGCTCCTTCACGGACTATACCGGCGTCAACATATCTAGTAGTTTATGTTGGTTAATAGATACAATTTGGAGGAGGAAGAATAGGGGGGAAAAAAACATGGACCTACTCAGTTGGATCAGCGCCGATGTTTCCCTGGCCTATTTATTTGTATTCTGTCAGTATGGACTGCAAGTGAAGGATGGAGAGGCAAGATAGAGGGGAGGTAGGGCTATGGGATCGCATCGCGGGGCAGTTTCGGAGCGGAAAAAAAAAGGTAGAATTTATGTACCTCCTCGGCCATGAGAAACAACAGGGGCTTCATGTTCTGACATTGTGATGATAGTGTAATTATGATTAGAATTATCGGTTGGTCGTTGTAGTCTAGAGGGAGTGAAGGAGAAAGAAGGTAGAGAGAGAGAGAGAGAGAGAGAGAAGGGAAGAACCGGGGCAATATGTCACGGGTCTAGACAGGATAGTAGGAATTCTACCGTTGATAAGTTCCCAGTTCTCTTCAAGTCTATCCCTAATAATCCCTAGATAATTCCAATAATTGTATATATATATAAGACCTGATAAGATAACCCCCCTATTACTAACCTTTGGATTGATAGTGAGCAATCCACCTGCTTGGCATTCAGCCATATTTACCTCCTTCGACTACGCGGACTCTACTAGCGACGGACCGAATAAGTGACCAAGCCTAACGATGCCAAATGAATGGATTGCTTCTGACACACTAAGGCAGCCGCGGGGAAAACAGTAATATATTTGACAATCGACAGAATGAGAGCATGTATGCGACGTCCTCAGACAGCCACATCCTACCTTACCTATATGATGCAATCGCAGCGATTGAGACTGGATTTTTCTCTCTCTCTCTCTCTCTCTCTCTCTAACTTTGAATCTACTGCTGTTGCTGTTGCTGCTACTTCTTCTCGGCAGCTGGGCCTCCTCCGGTGGTTGGAAGACCCATGAAGATCTTGAACGAATCGTAACTGGTTTGAGTTAGCAAATGGTCCCTCGCCCTGAGACTGGGTAGTCGGGAAAAGCAAAGGCAAAAGAAAACAGAACAAAGCAATATCACGTACATCATCCATTGCAGTCCCGTCTAAGGTACATTTGTTCATTAGCCAAGGTCCCAACAACGGAGCTGCTGAATACTTACCAAGGTGCCAACCATAATAATCCTGACCGCCAACCCGTTCCAGAGACCTCCAAATCCGATGTCCTTGTATATGCGGCTCATGGCAGCACCAAATGCCTCACCGGGCTGTCGGGTGGCGTTGAGCTTGCTCACCATCACATCGGCGGGATGCGACACAACCGCGCACAGAATACCGGCGAGATAACCTCCAGTGAATGCAACAACGGTCTGCGCTCCCTTGTTGTAATCGGACTTTTGCCCGGGGAGGCGGTTGTATATCATTTCGACGATGTTTTCAAAAGAAGCGAACTTCATCATAGTGTAAGGAATCTGTCGGCCCCAAAGGGGATACAGACCCTTGTATAATCTAACCCGGTTAGCATGGAATCCTACAGCAGCCGTGATGAAGAACACATGCGTACCCAGACACACCCTCCTTCGCAATAACACTTGAAATTCCGCCAAAGGTCGAGCGGAATTCAGGTGGAATGCTCGTTTGTGTGCGGACCTTGACTGCCTCGAAGGGACAGAGGGCAACATCAGCAATCAGCTCTGCTGTCGCACTCGCGGACAGGTACAAGACAGTCTTGTAGCGAATGGCATTTTCGGCTCCGACGAGGTCACTGTAGAATTTTTTGAAGTATTCGTAACCTCCGTACTTGAACGCTCCTTGGGCCTTTATTCAGTTAGCACAGACTACATGGGGCGTCCGTTCGCTCTTCTGGCTTACGCTGTAGCCAAAGAAGGTTGGGCTCCAGCCAGTAACTACTCCTCTGAAACCTTCTGCGCCACGGATTTTACGGAATGCGTCAATGTTACTCTTGTACAGCGACGAGTCGACCTGGCGTCGGCATTTGATGAGATCCAGCGGAGTCACAGCAGTGTGGGTGAGACCCTGTATGATCCAAACGGTTAGAACTCTTTAGTGGAGCCGAAATGAGTGGAGTCCTTACGCAGGCCAACGTTCCACCGAAGATACAGGCGGCATAATACTTAGGGGTCCATGGTTCGATCTTGCCAGTCTTCTCTTGTGCTTTCTTGCTGGCGATATCGAACTCGCGGGTTGCTTCTTTGGCAAAAGCATCCGCCTTCTTCTTAGTCTCATCAATCACACTCCAGGCGGGGAATGGCTCCCGTCTCCTTGATTCCGCAGCACCCGAAGGCTGGGACTGTCGGGTCCAAGGGTGCTGGGAGGAAAAGGCGTTGACGATGCTCTGGTCGTCCGGAAACATGGCAGACAATTTTAGTGCCAGAAATCTAAAGCCAGGGACTTGGTTAGAATATTATATCCCTTTGAGCCACGGCAAAATTTGACGAAACAATAGTTGTGATGAATGGGGTACCCTAGATATACTACCCAGGTATGACAGGCTTATCGACGACAATCGTCCCCACTCGGGCTGATTGATGGACTGGAACGGATGCGGAGGATAGACCACTTACCCTGACAGATGAATACAAACACAGAATGTAGAATTTCTCCAAGGTAAATTGGACCCGGGAGAAGAAAAACCAGCAAAAGGATGATGAGAAAGTAAGGACGAATTCTCCTGAGAGATAAGCGCGGTCGGATGCAGTCGTTCAACAGGCTTTTGCCATTCAGATGACGTCGATACATGTGACTTGCATCTCGATCGGAGTGGGTCAGCGTCAATCTGCTTCTCTCTCGGAGTCCAGAATTTCTCCTGGCCAGTTATTGTCGTCTTCACCTTTTCAATTTTCGAATCCGCGTCAAACCACCTCTGATTGATATCGTAATAGATCTTCCACAGCTTTCGTCTCTTTTTTTTCTGCGCAAACTGCCACTCTTCTCCGTGTGAATTGACCTCTTCCCCCCACCCCCCCCCCCCCCCTCTTGTCACCCCCACCGTCAAAATGACCTCTTACATGAGCGCCAGCGAGGCCTTTGTCCGCGAAAAGATCGCACCCGGCGCAAACAAACCAATCCCTCAGTCCTTATGGGCTGATAAATACCGCGGTGTGAGTCATCCCCCTGCGCAATCCACCCAGATACCGTCGCTAACATCTCGATTCAGGCTACCGTGGAGGACCTTGACCCCCCTCCAGCCCTCTCAGTCTCCCCTAGCACCCCAATCTCCGCCGCTCTCCTTGCCGCGTACGAACGCGATTATACCCATCTCACCGTTACCTCGTCGACCCACCGCTCTCTTCTCGGGTATCTTAGTATCCCCCGTCTCAAGGAGCTGCTCCAGGCGGGGGCTGTCCAGGAGTCTGATTCAGTTGCTGCGGCCATGCAGCGGTTTAACCGGAAACGAGGCACATACCAAGTGATTACGATGGAAACGCCTTTGGAGGAGCTGGAGAAGTTCTTCGAGAGCGACGTGAGTGCCAACGGAGAGAAAAGAGAGAAGCAGGAGTTTGCGGTTGTCACGGATGCCTCGAGAAAGTTTGTACTGGGTGTTGCGACCAAGGCTGATTTGGAGGAGTTTGTGAAGAGAAGACCTTAATTTTTCTTGCTTTCTTTCTGTCTTCCCCCCCCCGTCTTCAGCTGGTCAAGTCACCAATGCATTTCCAGGCGTTATTTAACATGGACTGGACGTACTATCGGATTTATCATCCTGAATGACACGTAAACTAATGTCTATCAAATCTGGATACCTTGCCCAGATTCCAGAATAGCATCCAACACTGTAAGCAATATTCCCTATGAAATATCAAAACGCCGAGAATCATACACACCATCCAATTCCCATAAAATTAGTACCAGCGACAAAAAAAAAAAACACAATATTTTAATACACGGTAATCAGAACCTTTATTCCGCCTTCTTCGACCTCTTCTTTGCCTCTGCTTCCCTCTCCTCTTTATCCTCCTGCCATGCCACATAGACATACAGAACCAGAATCACATTAGCCATAACCGCGGCAACAATACCCGCAACAGTCGTGCTCGCTAACGACAGTCAGTATACTTCCATACTTGAGAACATAAATCAACGAAAAAAAAAAAAAAAAAAAAAAAAAAAAGTCTAGGAGACAAAGAGAACTCACCCCCAAAGGAAACAGAAACAAAATACATCCCCACCGGCGTGGTGATCATGGCTACTGTGAAGCCAATCAGTTTCAGAATGACATGGCTAGAAACGGAGCGGAGCGTTAGCTAGTTAGTTACTTAGGTAGGTACTAGGTAGGTGGTTTAATAGGTAGTCAGTCGACTTACGTTGGAACCGCAGGCGAAACATCTGAATCAGTGGGCGGTTGGTCTGCAGGTGTAGAGGAAGAAGTGACTGCGTCTGCGTAGGATTTTCCTTGGCGACGAGTTGCCATTTTGTGTGTCTTTTAGACTATTATTCTCTCTTGGATTCTGAGGGAGGTTCACTTGGACCCAAGCAATCCTGGCGGATAGATGGGAGAGCTGAGAGCTTCAGGACAGGTAAAAGAAAAGTCAATTGGGGGATGATGTATTTGGTGCGATATGATACTGTAGGAGGTGGGTTGAGGTTGATGGTTTGGGCTCCCGGGGCTCTCTGATGGAGGTGTTCTTTGTTGAACACGGGATTTGCCTTGGTTATTTGGGTATTTGGGAACTGTTATGTTTAGTAGATGAAGTCATTGGAGTGTGGACCTTAGCTTAGGTGTTGAGTTGATCTGATCTTCTAGAGGTGGTTGGGTTGGTCTTTCTTGGCGGCATGACTAACCATCATGAATCTTGCCTTGATCTATAATAATAATAATACTCCATACGTTACAACTACTTACTATGTTGAATCATACAGGTGGCAATTAGTTACTTGCGGACTGCGAAAGATTAAATCATAAATTATAGTAAATATTGACATAAGTATACCCTTTATCCTGTCTGCTCACTAACCAAAGATTGAGGTACAAGTATTTAAATATATATCCTCATATCGGCATGAATTGCCATCATCTCCCGTCAAACAACTATCGGAATTAAATCTTACTCAACCTTCTCATTAGCCTCAGTCGCAGGCTTGATCTCGTTGTTATCGAGGTCAATGTGCTTGTTATGTGTACGAACTTCGTCAACAAGAACATCAAGCTTGGAGTTACCGGGCTTGGTGTGCCAGGGCTTAGGTCCACCAGGCGCGAACATCTCCTCAATTTCCTCAAGGGTCTTTCCACATGTCTCTGGGTACGTGAAGAAGAATTGAATAGCGGCGAGGAAGCACATGACGCCAAATACAATAAACATTTTCCACGTGATGTTCTGGAATCCAGGAGGGATGTAAAGACCCAGAGCGAAGTTGAAGAGCCAGTTCCCGATTGCAGCAATACCCATACCTGTTGCGCGAGTTTCCAGAGACCAGACCTCGGCAGCATACACCCAGCAGACAGGGGCGAGAGTGAGCGCGTAGATGATGATCAGCAGGTAAGAGAAGGCGATGACAGCGTGGGATTTGGAGCCAAGGACCCGGATCACTACATTGGGGTTGCCATCAACACCTCCTGGAACGTACTCTCCAGAGGACAGAATACCGGCGACGACAAAGTGACAGATCCCCATGAGAATAGCACCCGAGATGAGGAGAGGACGACGACCGGTCTTGTCAATATAGAAGAAAATGAAGGTCGTGAAGATGATGAACAGCGCGTACTGGATACCGGACGAGATAAGGTTGATGTTACCGGTTAGGTTAGCCATCATGAAGATATACACGACATACTGTGAGCCCTTTATGTTAGCTTCCCCTCGTCCCCCCCCCAAATTACGGTACACTTCTGAAGGATTTACTTACGTAGGTCATGACATTGGCACCGCTGTTCTGTTGCCACATCTGCACGGTGAAACCAGCCAGAGTACGCTTCCACATGCCATTGTAAACAAACTTTCGCCAGCCGGGCAGGGCATTGCGCTCGGCTGTAAGCACTGCAGTAATATCCTCCCACTCCGCAACGACAAGGGGATCGTCCCGATTGCCGTTCGCTTGGATCTTTGCAAGGGTGTCGATGGCCTCCTCGACGCGATCGACCTTTGCAAGCCAGCGAGGCGAGCGTGGGAGGAATGGCAAACCAACCATGAGGAAAATACAGGGAACAAATTGGATTCCCCAAGCAGTTCGAAAAGAAGCTGTGCCGGAAATAAAGCTACATCCGTAACCAATGAAGTACATAATGAGGATGCCCCATTCTGGGAGCCGTTAGTTGCGTTCCAAAAGAAAAATAGCAAAAGAAATGAGGTGTAAAAGAGGGCATGTGTACCGATGGCGAGTTGCTGGATCACAATGAGCTGGCCACGCTTTTCCTTTTTCGCAATCTCAGCGAGGTAGACTGGGACTTGCGAACTGGTAATTCCAACACAGACACCGTTGAGGACACGACCAGCAATCAATGAAGCAAACCCGTTAGTGGATGTCTGGACCGCAGTACCGGCAAGCCACCAGAGACAAGCGAACATAATGGAGTCGCGACGGCCAATTCTATCGGAGATGGGTCCTGCAATGGCAGATCCTACAACGGAACCAGCAGCAAGAGCAGATCCGATAGCGCCCTGACGAAGACCACCTGGGTTATCAAAGAAGTCCTTGTACTGCTGGGTTCCAATGATAGCTGACATGGAGGAGATATCGAAACCGAACAGCATTCCGCCGACGGTGGCGATAAACGCCACGAAATACGTGTTGTAAGTCTTAGGGAGCTTCATGGGGACGGTTGAACAGTCGATAGAAGGGTTTCTATGAGTGGTAACACTGGCCCAAGGGTCTTCGTGTGAACATGCAAGCACTCCGCATGAAGACAACGGCGAAAGCAGAGGAACCGGGAAAGGGGACGAGACGATCCATAAGTACTTAACAGAACCAGGGGGCGCCAAAACAGTGTTTGGGAGTATCTTATGATTGTTCATGAATTCTCGCTAGCAGCCAACGACATGAGACCAAACAGGGGGGTCTGAATTTGTGCCGCCGGGGTTTTGCCCGTTTCCCCATCTTCGATATCTTTAGTCCTCGCTAATATGGGGAATTCCCTAAGTTGTATTTTCCCCCGCGTCCAACCCACATTGTTACAGCCAAGACTCAAGAGCCATGCCATGACACATAGCTGTTAGCCTGTTGTTCCCGTTTCCCACTTGTTGTTGGCCCGAGTGCTCTTGAGTCCCAGTAAGCTCGGTTAATCGGAGGGTTGGTGGTTAATTTACCACATGCCGATGGTTATACTTTCTTCCCAGTGCAAGGACAAGGATCAGGATGGCTAACAATGATCAATCTCACAGATCGAGACAATCCGAAAAGATCTCAGGAGACTGAGGGTTTCGGTGCAGCACATCCCCCCCCGGTAATCCCTACCATAGTGGGTGAAACAGAAAGTGTCCGATTTCAGTCTATCTGGACGCGCACGACAACTTAAAAGACTACATACAGCCAGTCCCAGTCCCAGTTTCGTTCCACTCCACCACCGCTACTCCCAAAAGTTAGGGACTTTCGGGGCAAGCGGGTCCGGACCCTGGTGGGGTAAGGGCTCTAGTGCCGGTCGTTACTCCAGAATATACTTGAATTTAACCGTCGCCTCCTCCGGAGTTTTCTGAGCCAGTCGTTCAATCAGAAAGCCCATGTCATGGCCCTTTATATTACATGTGGCACCTATTAATGAGCCAAGAAGAGACTAAGCAAGGCCTGCTGGCGTGGTCCAAATACAGTTCTCACTGCACGGGCGTGTTTTTTCTCCAGCTTACGGAGTACTACTATGTACGCACCGAATCCTCCCACTAACTTAGGTAGTTAGTAGTTGGTGAGGGATACACTTACAGTCATTTCCAAATGTCTTCTTAATGGGAATGTCTCCCAAATCTTCTATATTCTACCTTTGAAACTCGGTATTTCGCTTTCTATCTCAAAAGCCATAACCAGAGCTTTTAGCCCAATAAGGTACTGGAAGGAAGCGGCCCAGCGCCTCCCCAAGCCTTGTTGCAGCCCTGTACGTGGCTTATATTAATTAAGTTCCAAGTTCTAAACAAATTTGTAGAAGTTTAATAACCGGGTTACAGACATCATCTCAGAAATCGGACTTGGAAATCGCCAAGTGTACTCCGTAGAGTTATACGATGTTCATGCCAATCCACATCTATGATGACGGACTAAAAAATGCCCTTGTGTTACTTCCTCTTTATCTTCCTTCAGCAGTGTAAAGATGTGTTGTGTTTCTCTCATTGGTGCGACCTCTCTGGAATTCATATCCACCGCCCATATTTCAACCTATACTGGAAATTATTAGCACGTTCAGGGCAAGGAAGATAGTCAGCCCATAGCATATCCTCACTCCCTTATTTTTTTTAATTGATTCATTCTCCAAACACCCCAGAAGCTTTTCGTTTCTGCCCAAGGCTCACTTTCCTCCTCGGTCTTAATTGAACCGCCAAATCACGTGATCCAATCGCGTCTGGGCGCGTTTTTGCGGAGAAGCAGAAAAAAAGTCGCTGGTTGAAGAATCAAGGTCCGGATTCCCCTTCTCTCACCACGAGGAGGCGGAAGAAACAAGCGATCTGGAGCCAGTCCAGCGTCCTTCCCCCAACCTCCACACAATTCTTTTTTTTTTCAACTCACCATGGAGGACACCGTCCCCGATACCCCCATCAGTGACAAGAAAGTCATCCATAGCACTCCTCCTGCCAGTGTCCTGGACGACGATGGAGAATACGAGACAATCGCTACCCTCCCTGCGAACGACCCTCAGCATGCACTGCTTGCAACACAATCGCTAACCCCGACGATGCAACGATTTACTCAGCCTACGCAGATTGTGGACGTTCCTTATTCTGCTAAAGCCAATTCCGTCGTGCAGGTTGCGGCCTCTTCGCCTTTGAAGACTGTCTCTTCTCCCTCCCGCCCTTCCCCCCTCGGCGGCCGTCTTTCTAATATGATGGCGCCCAGTGGTACACGGTTTTGCCCCCCTGTCTCACTTGGACCTGCAAAACGTGCACCATTGGTTGACCTCGACGATGATGGCCCTACTTATCGTGGGGGTTCTTCAGACGACGACCTCCAGATCATTCGGAGTACCGATATCAAGCCGTCCATGTTCACCAAATCCTCGAAGAGCCCAGAAAAATCGACAGCCTCGCCCATTGACTGGTTTAAAGAAATAACAGCCTCCGCTATGTATAACCCCAGCACTAAACGAACTGCAGCGCAGATGGACCCCACCCCGAAGGGAATTCCAGTTAAAAAACCTCGTCAAGATGGTCCTTCGCGCGCTCAGCCTGTGGATGTTGAAATAGTGTCACTGGAAGATATCCAAGATTACCAGGTGCGGGTGAAGGTGGAGAGAATGATGAAGGTCCTGCCACAAAAATCGGCAAATCAGTGCATGCAGGCTCTCAGAATAAAGCGTGGGAACTATGAGGATGCACTGGATTATTTGGCTAGTGCTGAGGATCAAGGTGCGAACGGACATATCAGCTCGTCGGAGGATGAGCTGAACAAAAGGACCTCCCCGGTAGCACCTGCGAAGCAGAAAATCAAAGCTCTCGGTACTATTCAGGACAAATGGTCGGCAATGCACCTGCAGAAAAATCTGCCGTCGCAGAAATCCTCTCAGCCTCCTCAAGAGGATTCGAAGCCGCGAAGACGTTTGATGCGGGGCCCTAAGACTCGAGTGTCTTCACCCGGTCCTCCGCGAAGTGAGACGCCCCCGAAACAGAATCTCAGTCGACTGATGCAAGGACGCAGGCGCCCATCGCCTACAGGATCCGAATCCCCTGAAGCTCCTGTGGTTATATCAGATGACGATTCCGACTCCGCGATCGATGTAGACCCTGAAGAGGGTGCCGGCTTGGAGCATAAAGTATTCAGCTTCTTTAATAAGTGCAGCGTCCTAGATCTCGCTGATATAGCTGCTATTTCTGAAGACCTCGCGGAGCACATTATCTCCAAGCGGCCATTTGCTTCTTTGGATGAAGTTCGCGTGATTCCTCCCCCGGCTACTGAACAACCAACGACCAAAACGGGAAGAGTCCGGAAAACTCCGAAACCAGTGGGAGACAGAATTGTTGATAAGTGTCTTGATATGTGGGTAGGTTACGAAGCTGTGGATTCGCTGGTCGCCCAATGCGAGTCCCTGGGGAAGCCAGTTGCTACCGAAATGAAGAAATGGGGAGTGGACATCTTCGGAAAACGTGAGGGAGAGCTCGAACTGGTTTCTCTAGATCCCCAAGGATCTCATGACTCTGGGATTGGGACTCCTGCGAGCCAACAATCGGAGGAAGATAGTGATGGCCCTGGGTCTGGATCGCGCAAAGGCCGTTTCATATCACAGCCTGGGATCATGGCGGATGATCTAAAGATGAAGAACTATCAGATTGTCGGAATTAACTGGCTCTCGTTGCTGTTCGAGAAGGACCTTAGCTGCATCCTGGCTGACGATATGGGTCTTGGAAAGACTTGCCAGGTGATTGCATTCTTGGCACACTTGTATGAGAAAGGAATCAAGGGACCGCATCTCATTGTTGTGCCTTCGTCAACAATTGAAAATTGGCTGAGAGAGTTTCAGAAGTTTTGCCCTACTCTCTCTGTGATGCCCTACTACGCTGGCCAGGCGGAGCGAGCATTAATCCGTGAAACGATTGAAGAGAACAGGGACGATATCAATGTTGTGATCACGACGTACACGATTGCTAAGGCCAAGGTCGATGCACATTTCCTTCGGAATATGAACTTCTGTGTCTGTGTATATGATGAAGGACATATGCTCAAGAGCAGCACTTCCGTCCTCTATGAGAAGCTGATTCGAATCCGTGCTCGTTTCAGGCTTTTGCTGACCGGTACCCCGCTGCAGAATAATCTTCAAGAACTGGCTTCTTTGCTAGGATTCATTCTTCCCAAGGTTTTCCAAGAACGCAAGGAAGATCTACAATACGTATTCGCAAACAAGGCGAAGACTGTAAATGAATCACACTCTACGCTACTCTCGGCCCAGCGTATTGAACGGGCCAAGTCCATGCTCAAGCCATTTGTCCTCCGACGGAAGAAGCATCAAGTCATCGACCTACCAGCCAAGATTTCCCACGTTGGGTATTGCGAAATGAACGACGCCCAGCGGAAAATCTATGAACACGAAAAGAACGAAGTGAAGAAACTCCTGGAAGACCGTGCAGCAGGAAAGAAAACAGGCAACAAGTCCGCCAACATTTTGATGAAGCTCCGCCAAGCGGCTATTCACCCCCTTCTGCATCGTCGCCACTACACTGATACGATCCTCAGTCGAATGGCAAAGGCTTGCTTGAAAGAGGAGCAATGGTCCATGTCCGATCCCGACGTCATCTTTGGGGAATTACAAGCATACAACGACTACGAATGTCACACAATGTGCGTGACGAACCCCGGCTCTCTCGGGAAATTCGCTCTAAAGAACGACGAGTGGATGGACTCGGGCAAAATCGACAAACTTTGTGAGCTCTTACAGCGATTCAAAGAGAACGGCGACCGCACGCTCGTCTTCTCGCAATTCACCATGGTCATGGACATTCTCGAGAACGTGCTTGAAAACCAGCACCTCGGCTTCGTGCGTCTAGACGGGCGAACCAACGTCGAGGACCGCCAGTCTATCCTGGATGCCTTCCACGAACGAACCGATATCCCCGTCTTCCTCCTTTCCACGAAAGCCGGCGGCGCGGGTATTAACCTTGCCTGCGCCAACAAAGTCATCATCTTCGACTCTAGCTTCAACCCACAGGAGGACGTCCAAGCCGAGAACCGTGCACACCGCGTCGGCCAAACCCGCGAAGTCGAAGTCATCCGACTGGTGACCAAGGACACAATCGAAGAACAGATATACGCCCTCGGACAGACTAAACTTGCTCTCGACCAAGCCGTTGCAGGCGAGGATGCTGCCGAATCCAAGAAGACCGAAGAAGCCGGCATGAAGGTAGTAGAGGAGATGGTTCTAGCTGATATGACTCAAGAAAAGGGAGAAGATTCGTGAGACTTTTGTCTTGTTTGGGTTTTATTCTTCTTCTTCTTCTTCTTCTTCTTCATCTTCGTTTTCATTTCTGTTCCTGTCCCTGTCCCTGTTTCAGTTTCTCGTTTAGACTACTTGTTTCTTGTTTATTAGCGGTTGATGTGAGTGAGTGAGTGAGTGAGTGAGTGACATCACATTGCATATGTGCATCTTGTTGCTGTTTTAACGAGTCGTTAAAAGATCTACCTTGTCCATGACATGACATACATGCATGTTGCCGGTCACAATATCCCCCGACTTGCAGCTTTGGACTCTTTGTCTCTCTAAATCGTTGGGGATGGTTCGTCTGAACTATAATATATTAAGAGGAGTTTTTTTTTCCTTTTTCTTTTTTTTTCTTTTTCTGTTCGGCGTGGTTGTCTACGAAATATAGGTTAATATTGGATACGCGCCTGGTTTGATAAATACCGAGAAGAGATTCGTGAACAATCAAAACACAGCTGAACCGTAAGTTATCTCATAATAGATATCCTAGAGACATTGCCTGAGATGCAATGCCAAGGCAGTCATTGTCATATTCTTAATAGTACAGTTAAAGAACCCTGGGGTATAAACATCCATCCATCTTCCATCTCTGCCCTACTCCGACTTCGCCTCGCCTTCACCTCCGCCAGCAGAAGGATTCTGGACTCGTCGATCAAGAATCTCATCCACAATACCCAGCTCCAGCGCCTCCTTCGCACCCATGAAGTAATCCCGCTCCATGAGCTTCTCGATCTCATCGAGCGACAGCTGCTTCTTCCCTGTCAAATGCCGCTGATATATCTGGTTAAGCTGGTGCCGGACCCGCAGGATCTCCTTCGCATGAATCGCGATGTCCGTGGCCTGCCCGAAGTACCCGCCAGACGGCTGGTGGATCATGATCGATGAATGCGGGAGACAGTAGCGTTGGCCTGGGTGGCCGCCGCAGAGCAGTAGGGAGCCCATGGAGGCTGCTTGGCCGACGCAGATGGTGCTTACAGGGGAGGCGATGTAGGTCATTGTGTCGTAGATTGCGAGGCCTAGGAACAAGAAGATGAAGAGTTAGAACTGCTCTGTTCTGATCCCCGCGGGCGCTTTTGGGACATACCGGCTGTGACGGATCCTCCGGGGGAGTTGATGTATAAGTGGATGGGTTTCTGGGGGTTATCGGCTTCGAGGAAGAGGAGTTGCGCAACGATGGAGGCGGACATGGTTTCGTCAACTTCGCCATTTAGGCAGATGATTCGTTCCTGTGATTCGTCATAAGTTGAGTGTTTCCAGGGTGGTAAAGCAGGTATACCTTGAGGAGTCTGGAGAAGATGTCGTCTGGTATTGATGAATTCCTAGGTTAATTGGTGCTGATGAGGTACGGTTGTTTGGGCGATGTACGTACAGGTGTGCCAGCCACCTCCCTAGAAGAATGTTAGTATGGTTTCTTTTGATTTCCCAACGAGATCAGAGCAGAAAGAGAGCTTACCACTGTCTCTGTTATGAAGGGTGTTGGTGTCCAGCCCCGCGGAGGACGCGCTGTCGACAGCGTGGGGATGGAGCTAGAGAAGCTCCGCGCGAGGGGAGGCTGATGAACGAAACGACAGAGTCGCTGTAACGAGCGACCTGCATTCATATTGGAGTACGAATGGGGGAGAATTAAGAGGAGGGGAAAGGAAAGATAGAAGAATCAATGAATTGGATGGTGGTGGTGGTGGTGGAAGCCAAGTTGATGCGGGAGCAACCAAACTCCGAAGAAAAACGTCAATGATTTCCGCTTCGGGTTTCTTTCTTCTCTCTCTTCCTACTTACGATTCACCCCCTTTCTATTCCGCATGGAACCCCTCCACAGCCGTATATCCTACGCCTCATGGCGTCTCAGGGTATTTCGGCAATTGTTCGTCCCTGTCATCCCGTCGAATTCGACTTTCCACTTGCGTCGTGCCTACTCTTCTATCCCCAATGACGATGCTGCGCAGAAAGCAAGCATCAACAGCACCAGCAACCACAATGGACCCCCAACAAACACAGCTAGAGATGGAAATGAAGCTACTTCCATACCACCCTCGCAGCTCCTCCCTCAATCCCCACTCATAACACACCCATACCACGCCCGCGAAATCCGACACCGCAAAAAACGACCCGCAACAACGGAGGACCTCTCCGACCTCCGCAGAAACCCCTGGGCCATGGCCCTCGCGTCCCCCGTACGTCTCTGTACCGTGACCGCCGCGCGTATGCCCAAGGCCCTCCTCACAGACTGGGGGATGGTCGAACAGACAATCACCTCTCCCTCCGATCCAAACTTCCGGGACAGGAAACTGTGGCTCCTCCCTGTCAGTCTGATCCAGGACGAGCTCGCTCCACCATCCACCGATACCCAGAGCGCCGACGGAACCCGGAAGGTCTCGCGCCCATACCTCAAGATGCGCATGATTGACCGCATGCCCATCCTCAAGACACTCACTTACTGGCTACACCGGACGCGCGAGCGCAGGAAATCCCCCGTCACGCGGCTTATACCGTTTCGGTGGAAATACCCACAAGGACCTGTGACGGGGCGCGAGGAAACTCGACTTGCCTGGAGGGGAGATATGCCGGACTTTGTGCTCAAGATGATGCGCAGGGACGTGCTGAAGCAGCTCAAACGGGTCTCGGATCAATTTAAGCGGCAGGATGTGGCTAATGGGGTGTGGAGGTCGATTGATGTGCAGAATGGATATTCTGAGACATCGCTATTGGGGGCATTGGAGGCAATGGACCCGTTTGAGCGCATGGGCTCGGGTGTGGTTTTGGTTTTGGGGGAGGGAAATGTGCACGCTCCCCAAGCCGACGCCGAAGTGGAAGTCGGTGATGACACTCCTTCTCTACCGGATTTTGTCACCCTTCCACTAGTCAAGACCAAGGTCCCAGTTTTGGACCTCACGCAGCTCTTGGGGCCAGAGGAGTTGGAGGATATTAGATCCTATCATTCGCGGTTTCAGAAGTTCGCGGTGTTTCTGAGGCCCACGGATCAGCTCACGGTTGATGCGGTTCTGGCGCTATGGAAGCTCAAGGGCTATGTTAGGCCTGGCTAGCTGTATAATATCTGCTAGCATGACTGTAGATAGTAAACTAGTTAGTTAGTTAGTTAGTTGTATCCAAACCCTGACTAATCCTTTCTATATTTCTATAGATATCTGAGATTCTACATGTATATAGATATATGTATGCATGTATCTTTATCATAACTCATTCCCAGCCACTCTTGATTTCGACCCCTCTAAGAGATCAGAGAGCTTATCCAGATACGCCATCGGTCGAATCGGGCCTGCAACAAAGTCGTCCTTGCTACTCACCCCCGTCAGCACTCCCAGCGTACCTCCCAACTTCCCCTCCAACCCAAACTTGATATCAGTGTTGACGCGGTCCCCAACCATACAAGTCCGACTGCGATCAAAGTTAAACTTGCCCTCAATAGCATCCATCATAGCCTGGTTCGGCTTCCCGAGGGAAACAGGCTCCTGGCCCAGCATCATAATCAATGGCGCACTCATGGAACCAGCACCAGGAAACAACGACCCAGAGTTAGGCAACGTTGAGTCGATGTTCGTCGCCAGGAACACCGCGCCGCGACGCACATAATGGAAAGCAAGCGCCAGCTTCAGGTAATTGATATGGAAATCCAGACCGACAAGGACAACGCCGACTTCCGGGTCGAGCAGGGAAGAGTCCCCCGCTGCCAGGGCCTTGTAATCTTCCGGTGTGATATCACGACGGAAAGCAGCGTCGGTGCCGCCGATGAAGGGGACATTCTCGGAGCGAAGTTCTTGCTCGATGCCTGTTTCGCCGATCACGAAGACCTTGCGCTTGTTAGCGGGGAGTTGGAGGATGCGTGAGATGTAGATGGAGGCGCTGTAGGACGAGGAGAAGATTTCTTCCTGTTTTTTTTTTTTTGCTGCTGCGTTAGTGGTTTGTCTCGACTGAATACCTGTAGGTGGCCAGGTAATTAGGTAGGGGAGGGGGAGGTGTACAGTCGTGCTTGGGATCCCCAAGGCCTCGAGTTTCTTCTTATAATCTGCTCGTGACTTGGTACTGTTGTTTGTGACGAAGACCACTTGCTTGCCTATGGGATGGATTCCTCAGTAAGTACTCTGATCCATCTACCACGAGGGATGGGAATCTGTACCGCTCGATCTTAGTAGCTCCAATGTCTCCACTGTGCCAGGGAAGACATGATCTCCGGACCAAAGTACACCTGAACCAATTCATTACTGTCAGCTTCGTCATCTTATGCAGAGTATCTGTGGTGGATGGGACGTTGGCGGGTGCAGTTTTGGAGTAGCGCGGAGACAGACCATCGCAGTCGAAGAGAAAGACCTATAGACGTTGAAGTGAGTCGTGAAGGACAATCTCATATAGAGGACCGAAATCTAGGATCAGAGAGTTCTTACATCAAATTTGGCGAGGAATTCCTGGATGCTGGCCGCATCACCAGAGAGATAGCGGGGTGGGATGGTCATTGCGGGGTACTTTGCGACGTGGTTGACCAGGCGCAGCTTAGGGTATCTTGGAATAAAAACACAAAAATCAAAAGCTGTGCTGAGAAAATATGTAGAAGTCCAAAAATTTTGGAGAAATAAGAAATCAGGAGACAAGCCGGTGAGTAATAATGAGGATCGGATGCTTCTCCGTCGCCGCCTCGGAGGAAAAGCGGCGTGTATCCCCTTGCACCATACACCAAGACCACGTTTCTCATACATTCGCTGTTATTTTACAAGCATCACAGATGATCCAATTAATGTAAGTGGTATGGACTATTTTGCAGTCAGGGGTTTATCCCATTCATTTCATACAGTCATTAAAATAGGGTTGGTTGTGCTCTTGGGCTGAACCGACTGCGGGTCGACCTGGGGTACATATCACTATCTTGTTGTCGACCTGTGGAGAGAGAGAGAGAGAGAGATCTGCTTGTTATGCGTTGCCGATACTCTCCATCGCCGTGGAAGCGCTCGGTTGATGAAATATACTTATCGTGGTGCCTAACTATCCGGTCTTCGGAGAAAACGACACCTGAAGTAAAGAGCAGTCTGGGAGATTCGGTGCCTGTGATTCTGCGTCTAAGACCCTCCCATGATTGCGGAGATCTTCAGGGCCACATCAAGAACAGATAATTCCTCATCAGCACCGTCGACGAGGCGCTTGTCCATTTCCGAAAATACCAGAACGATTTTATTTTTTTGGATATCGGGGATGGCATCGTTGTATACGATTCGTCGATATAGCTGCAAACAGTTTAGCGTAATGAACGGAGAAAATAATCAAAAGAATTTCCATGTAATACCTGAAGTAGGAGCTGAGTCGCACTCCAACCATCCGCCACAATATCAGTCACAACCTTAGAAATCGCCTCGTATGAGGAACCGAGTTTTTTAGGCTGAAGGGACTGGACCAGCCGGTCCAAAACACTCTCGGGAATCACACCAGCGATTTCCTCAATCGTCCGAACGGTGATAACCTCCGAGCCCTGGTCTTTCATTTCGGAATCCTCATCATCGTCCTCTTGTGTAGACTGCGGCCCGGCGCCTACCAGTCTGGCCGCGCTCTGCATGTATGTGATGGCACGTCGCAAATCGCCATCGCTGCAAGCAATCAGTTTATCCACGACTCCGTTCTCCAGAGAAAGATTCTCCATCTGCGCGATCTGCGCTAGTCGATCGCCAGCGGCTGAGTTGTCAAGTGGCTTGAAACGGAACTTGCTGCATCGACTCGCAAGCGGTTCGATAATCCGAGTGACGTAGTTGCATACAAGACAAAAGCGAGTGATGCGACTGTACTGTTCCATTGTGCGCCGAAGAGCTGATTGCGCATCCTGAGTCATGCTATCTGCTTCATCGAGGATGATGATCTTGAAGGGAGGGCAGGGATACTTTTCAAAGTATGATGCATCCAGCCCAGTAGGGTGGCTAAGTTGAATACGAGCAAAGCCTTTCACTTTCTCGCGTACAATTCCAATACCACGCTCGTCTGAAGCGTTCAGCTCAAGGATGCGGGAACGGTAGAGCGCAGGTCCGAAGAGAGACTTAGCGAGAGCGAGAATCGTGGATGTCTTTCCTGTCCCGGGGGGGCCATAAAAGAGCATGTGTGGTAGCTAAATTGGGGAGAAATAAGAGTTAGACCAACCCATATCTTCGTCATCGGGTTCCATAGAGGTGCCATACATTGGAAGCTTGGAGTGTTCGTTGGAGAACCTTTGTTGTGTGATCCTGAGCAGCGACATCATCCAACGTTTTAGGACGGCTACAGTAGACTGTCAGGTGGGAGATGGTCCTATAATAAGGAAAAGATGCGAAACATACTATTTTTCAACCCATGGTTGCTGCTGCAATTGTTCTTCCTTTCCCTCTGACGGCTTTTGTTTGGAGCTGCCCGACCCAGCAGCAGCGCGAGCTTTATTGTTGAAAAAATTAGCGGCCATAGCTGAAGTTTGCCAAAACAGGGCCCAGTCTCTCGGAGAAGGTTCGTGTTGGCTATGAACTGAGGCGAATGCTGCTCTTTAACCCGAACGAGGCTCCCATCGAAGGAAGATCGTGTCGAGACGCGTCCCCACGTGATACACGCGTAGGCAGCCAAGAAGTCCATTAATTGAGCAGCGCCTCAGCAACGCCTTGAAAGGTACTCCCTCTTGGTTTCTCGCACGGGTGCTATTACGGGCAGAACATATATAAAAAAAAAAAACTATTCTAGAGCAGGCTCTGTCATTTGCATCATTATGGCTATCTATAGTTCGTCCTTTCGATTTTCTAAAACTTCTGTTGCCTCATACATCCTCTTCTTCGGGTTTGGTGGGATTTCTTGCTGCCTTTGCATCTCCTCTGGAGATATGTCGTCGACATTCGTTTCATCTTGTTTGGCTGCATTCTCCACCATTTCATTAATCTGATCAATCATGCTGTCGGTGTCTGCGGAATCTCCTCCAGGGCCTTGGTCCCAGATGGCCTCTCCACTGGCACCCTGAACCTTGGCTTCTGGGATGTGGTTAAGCACAGGCGTTTCCTGTGCTAACATATCGGACGCAACCATGGATCCAGATGGCTGAATGGCCTTGCTCGTGATGCCAACTGCTCCAAGAATACCGAATACGGATCGAAGAACCAGCTTGAAAGGTAGCCACACAATCCACCAAAGTGGTCCGTACAACAAGCGCCGGAATATAAGCCACGAAATGGTGCCGATTAGAATGTAGAATGCCGTCTCTAGATACCAGGTATCTGATTTCTGCGAACGGACAAGGGAACCAATGAGATTTCGCGAAGACGAGAGGAGGGTATCAAGGCCGGTGTAAGATTCTGATAGTGAGGAGAGAGCGGCTGTAGATTGTTCTGTACGACCATTTAGCCAAATATTCTACCTTGGGAGAAAGGTCGCAAAACGCACCTAATGTTTGCTGGGCGAATTGGCTGCGGGAAAGTTCGGTCTGCATCAGCTGATGTGTCCGCCTCAATGCAGCAGTGACATCTCGAGATGCGTTTCGAACTATATCATCTTGAGTCAACTTTTCCGCTGACTCCTTCGTCCTCTCATTGCTCTGCGATCTCGAGAACAGCAACTCTCGCTCCTTGCGTCGGGCTAATTCTGCGTTCCGCTTTGCTTGTAATTGCGCTTTGCGGAAGTCGCCTCGTATCCTTGAAGACAAGAATCAAATCAGTATTTCATCACAGACGGAGGCTCAGAGCTATTAATAATACCTCTTCAAATCATCGGTCAGTCTTCGTGTAGACGAAACCACCCGCTCTTTCTCCAGTTCCTTTTCAGCATCTAGCCCTTTCCGCCTAGTATCTACGGTAGATTCTAGAACATCAACATCGACCTTTAGCAGCTCCAATTCATCCTCCGCATCCTTGAGTCGCGAATGTATTTCCCCCCCGAGGTCTAACCGAGCCTCATCTCCTTGCCCAACAGCGGTAGTAAAATTACCGAGCCGAGAAACTAGCGGGTGTATCTGAGCAAGAGCTGTAGAGAGCTCCTTGAGCCGTGATTGAAGTATCGATATAGACGACATGGTGGGAGGAGCTGTTTCAAAGCGGCGGTTTCGTAACAACTTGAACTATCCAACAATATCTGCAGATCCGAAGATTTTTGGGTGAGGACAGTATCACGGCATGGTAATCTATATTATTGTGTCAAGAACTTAGGTTAAAAAGAGACGCTTCTGAAATGGTGCATGTTGTTCTGTTGCCCGCATCGTCATCGGTTCCTGAGGCCGGCCGGGACTGTTTGCATGGCATGCAAACACCAGTTAGTCCCCAGGTTTGTCCGCGATTTTCCTGTCCGAAAAGTAGAGGTGCCGAACAAGCAAAAAGACACTCTTTTAACGTGCTGAATACCTGCCTAGTCTTCCTTCTGACCTAGGATTGAACATTCACGACCGTCATAAAAAAAAATCCAAGACTACCAGCCCCACCCCCAGGATAGATAGATATCTGGCCGAGTACGTTAACCAACCACCATCTTTGTTCACCATCAATCAATCAAACACTAACCACCAAAGCTCTAGGCTCAATATCCAACCAAAAAGAGAGAGAGAGAGAGAGAGAGAGAGAGAGAGAGAGAGAGAGAAAGAAAAGAGAATCTACAAATCTGCCACAATGACTATCCCTCTACAAACAATCACCTCCCTCCGAACAACCTTCAACCCATTCGCCCGCTCCTCCCGTCCCTGCAGACTCTTACTCTCCCTCCTGCGCAATCCCTCCACAACGCCCGCCGGCAGCGCCACACACATCGACATCAAAACCACGCAGCTGCCGCGGACCTCGACGCAGCTCCCCGAGCTAACGGTGGGCTTCAAGGGCGGCAAGGAAGTCAAGATTGAAGTCGGGAAGCGACAGATGAAGATTGGGGATGTTGTGGAGGAGATTGCGCGTGTAGGAAGGGCAATTGAGAGAGAGGAAAGTCTGAAGGGCTAAGTGGATTGGTTTTTATTCGTTAAAGGGGTCCAACCGCATTGCGTGCTTTTTTTTTTTTTTTTTTTTTTTTTTCCAATTCAGTCCTCTCCTCCGTTGTTGTTGTTGTCGTTTGGCTTTATATGTTTCTTTACTTGGTGGGTTGGCTAACTACCAGCTCCTTACGTATCATGGATATGTCCCATGCTTTGTTTTCCGCCTAAGGCGCTAGGAGATTGGAGGGGTTTCCTTTTAAGATGTATTTTTAGATCTGTTTGAGGGGGTGATTGTGCTGTGGTTGTGTTGTGTTGATGAACCCGGCATCAGAGTGCTCTTTATGTAAATATACTATTACACTTTCGAAGATATTCCCCTTTCTTGCAAACTACTCATCTTCTTCAATGTAGGGAACTTGGGTCGCTACAGGAGTTAAAACGAACGACCTTTCAGTCTCAAAAGGGGTCAAGAACTAGTAGATTTTCTCGACTATTAGGGTCGATTATAATTCACCCACAGGGTGACATAAACACTAAAATTTTATAAATTTTGCTCCAGATGGATTTATACAGCAGCGCCAGAGATGAAGAACCACTTGTCAATGCTGCCATCAATAGGAGCAGGGGGAAGGTTCTCACCGCGGGGAATGCTGGCAACCTGAGAGGGGTCGGCACGGTAGGGGGAGTCCTCGACAGCAACGTTGGCACTATATTTTCTCCATTAGCATTTGATACAACACTGATAATACGAAGAGTGGATGAGGTATGGCTTACAGGCTGATCTCGCCAGGGTTGCTCTTGCCAGCCATGAGCTTCTCCCAGGCATCAGCACACTCGCGGATGACATCCATAGCGTACCTACGAGGATGAGGTTAGTTATTATTTCCCCCAGATTTTCACCAATTAAGATGGGAACTCACTTCTTGTTCTTAGCCTCACCGGAGAAGGCGAACTGGTTCTCGGGCTTGCCGTCGGGGATCTTGTAGATACGGAACCACTCGTTGGTGGCGCGGAGAAGGCCAGGGAGGTGACGCTCGACGTCCTCAATATCGTGCAGCTTAGCAGCCAGAGGATCGTTGACATCAATGACAATGACCTTCCAGTCAGTCTCCTCCTCATCGAGCAGAGCCATGACGCCGAGGACCTTGACCTGCTTGACCTGACCAGGGTAGCCGACGAGTTCACCAATCTCGCAGACATCGAGCGGGTCGTTGTCACCCTTGGCCTTGGTCTCGGGGTGGATGGAGTTGGGGTCCTCCCAGGTCTGAAGGGAGATGTCAGTGGGATTCGAGCACACTACTAGAAATTTCGCCATTCTCGACCTACCTGAGGGAAGGCACCGTAGTTCCAGAGGTAACCCTTGTGGGGGAAGCAGTTGCGGACGAAACGGAGCTTGCCCTTCTTGGTATCCTGCTTGATGGGGTTCAGGAACTCCTCCTTGGAGATCTATGTAGGTATCCGAGTCAGCAAGCTGCAATGTCGCCACAACAATATTTCCCGTCTCGGCGGGGCTCGAATGCTCGCTCGTACCTCCTGCTTGGCGTTGGTCCAGCGGGGGATCTCAACAACCATGTTGAGGATAGTCTGCTCACTGTTGGCGTAGAGGGGGATATCGTGGAAGGGAGAGACAGGTTGGCCATCCTTCTCAATGAACACACGGTGCTCAAGAGTGTGAGGCTGGCCGATCTTGCGAATGGTGTAGGACATGGTGGACGACAGCGGGGTAGCGGAAGAAGAAAAATGTCTAGAAACAAGAGCAGCTCGATTTGAAGCGGAAGCAACCGACCGATCAATTCGAGATGATGAAGAATGAGACAAAACTGTGGAGGGAAGAGAGGGAGAGGGAGAAGGAGAAAGAGAGGAGGGAGAGGAGCGAGAGGAGGGAGGGGCTTGTTTAGTGGGGGGAGCCAGTGTTGCTGATGTGCGACGAGTGAGGGCGACTACCGGAGAGGCGGTGGGCAGCAATCGTCGGTTCAATGGAGCAGCAGGACGAATGGCGTGGACAGCGATGGCTTTTCTCGGGAACATTGAAAGCTAGAGATGCAGAGACCTGAATTAATTAGGTTAATCAATATATGGAGGATCCTAGGGGACTCTTTTACCGTCAATTGAGGTTGGAATCGATGATGCGCCAGTTGCGGGTTACAAAAAAGGATGGGAGTTGTCGGGAACTTACATAAGGGGGGGAATCGGTCGGGTAGGGGAAGAGAACAAAATGCCATTTGTGAATATATTCCGAGGATGAACATGAAGCTACCTAGGTACGATTATCATTCATTTATGATGATTATTATTACTGCCTCCGGTGGACCTAAGTTGTAACTATATAATCAGTGGAAATACAGCAAATACTTTGTTTGGTTCAATTGACCGTGTGGATTTGCCGGTGAGAAACAGCTTGTACAAGGTGAAAATAAACTAGTCTTGGGGTTTTATGGTACAGAATGATTCTCAATTGGATGGTGTAGGGGAGATTAAATTTCATTCTTCAGGAATATAGACTGCATACTTGAGGATATTTTCCATTTCTAGATAGATGATGATATTCTCTTCTCAGCCAAATAAACCACGTGTATACAGAGTAGTCTTGGCAGGAACAGACTGGCGTAAAATAATTACACGTATTTACGATCAATACCGTATTTTCCGTACAAAGAAATTTTCTTATCAGCTATCGCCACGTGATCAGACATTTTCACCTCCGCTTTTTGTAATCTTGAATTGCCTCCAAACCCCCGTCATCAAAAGCACCATCCACATTCAACTCATCCATATACGCTCTTTTCGACGAATGCTCGTGATCATAGTATTCTAACCGATCTTCATGTTTATCCATAAAAATCCCCGCCTAAGAATGATATGCTGAGGTTCCTTCGTGCCGCAATGACTTCCACCCCGAAACGAGTTCCTATCCCCGCCAACGGGGTCGACTACCGTGGCAAGATCGTTCTTGCGCCAATGGTACGATCTGGAGAACTACCTTCTCGTCTTCTCGCTCTCAAATATGGCGCCGATCTTGTCTGGGGCCCTGAAACAATCGACAAGGCACTTGTCGGAGCCTGCCGCCGTGTGAACCCCCGCAACGGAACCATCGAATTCACCCGGGTCCCATCGAACGGAGGACGCAAGGAGAAAGCCACACAAGAGTCGATTATATACCGTCTGGACCCCGTTCGTGAGAAAGGAAAACTCATCTTCCAGATCGGAACTGCCTCCCCCGAGCTAGCCGTCCAGGCGGCGTCGCTGGTCGCAGGAGATGTAGCTGGCATCGATGTGAACTCGGGATGTCCTAAGCCGTTTAGCACAAGTGGCGGAATGGGGGCTGCGCTGCTGCGCACCCCGGATAAACTGGTTGCGATTCTTGAGGCTCTCGTCAAGGAAGTAGGAACGCCGCATCAGATCGGCATCTCCGTTAAGATTCGGATCCTCGAGACCCCGGAGTTGACGGAGACTCTGGTGAAGCGACTGGTTGCAACGGGAATCACTGGGTTGACTGTCCACTGCCGCACAACACCCATGCGGCCGCGCGAACGCGCTATTCGCGATCAACTGCGCATGATCCGCGAGATCTGCCACGACGCTGGCATCGCCTGCGTCATGAATGGAGACGTGACTTCGCGCGACGAAGCCCTCGCACTCATGCAAGAATACGGAGTCGACGGCGCTATGATCGCCACTTCTGCCGAGGCCAACTCCTCCTGTTTCCGCTCCGAAGCCGACGGTGGTCTCCTTCCCTGGAGGGACGTCGTGCACGATTACCTCAGGTTTTGCATCGAATCCGAGAACCGATTCGGCAACACCAAGTACCTCCTAAACATCCTCATCCCGGGCAAGGATAAAGAGTTCAAGGAAGCTAAGAACGCAAAATGCTATGCCGACTACTGCCATATGCTGCATTTCGATGACCTCATCGCCGACGCTAGGCGTGCCGACGAGATCCTCAACCTCTCCCATAAGTCCATCACCAACCCACCACCGGGTGACGACGCACGCAGCAAGGCAGTCGAGAACGCAATGGCCCACAACGAATCCGCCAGAGCCGCAAGCGGGGCCCCCAGGTCCAAACATGTTTCTCCTGCTGTTAGCGGAGTTGGGCCCATTCGCACGAATTCCATTCCTAAATCAAGAACCGAGGAGAAAACCCCAGTTGAGGTTGATGTCTCTATCCAAGCTCCTCAGAACCCAGAGCTCACTGTATAGACTCTCACTTTCTCCTTCTTATCGGGATTTTAAAAAAACAAGAGCATATTAAAGCCTTAATTTCTTCTTCTTCTTCCCCCCCTCTTTGCTTGCTTTGATTTTTTTATTCTCGACTCGTTGTGATTGCATTACCCGGTGTTGATATTGGAGGACGTTATAGATTCCCATGGCATTTCATGATATAATACATAAATAGGTCTCTTTTGGATGAAAAATATTTGGTTTTGAGTTAATCCCCCTGAATATACTAGCATCTCCCTCGTAACGAAGACTCGCAAAAACGAAATGAAACAAAAGTTACTGTATAGATCCATTCTATAGACGTAATATCCCAATGTATGTACACACTTCCATCCCCGGCATTTCGCTAGAATACAAGAAGGGCGCGGGGAAACAAGAAGAAGAAAAAAAAAAAAAAAGAAGAGAAAAGCCCGAATCCAGGCAACCAACCAGGAAAACGCAACGCGTCATCTCATGTTCTCATCTCGTTCTTGTCCCCGAACCAACCAAACAACACAACGCATTATTGCGTCGGTATCCGCTCAAAGACGCCCATCCGCTCCGAGCTGGATTCCCAAATTTTCTACATGCCGCTGGCTGGTCAGAGCGTGATGCGTCCGTCGCGCAACAGGGGGCCGATACTGCCACTGGTCCCGGATGACAGTGAACAATCGCATGTGCATGATTACTGCTTCTCCAGAGGCAAAGTCATCCAAGGCGTGTTGATGGACTGTGTGGCCGATTTCCGAGGGGTCTGCTAGGAGTCTGGTTCTTTCGAGCTGTTCTTCTGGACCGAGGAGGGCGGCGCCATTTGTATCTGTGTTTGTGTTTGTGTTTGTGTTCGATCGTGACGAGTCCCGGGAATTTGGCTCCCGGGCTGAGATGCCGTCACCGTCGCTGTCGCTGTCGTTGTTGTTTACAGAGGTTGGGCTTGATGGTGTCGAGGAGCTGGGTTCTCGTTCCCCGTGGTTGAGGAGGCCTCGTTCTTCGTGATCATGGTCTTGGGTGTGCGTGGGTTCGGTCACTGTGGTTGTTGTGGTTGTCGTCCCTGTGGAAGTCGAGTCCGTGGACCCAGCTGTCTTCACTTGTTCAATTATCAGGCCCAGCATGACAAGATCGATGAGCAGGACGAGCAGATCGAGGAATAGAAGTCGGGCGACCGGGATGGGGGCCTTTTGCCCAATGAAGTCGATTAAAATGCCGCCATGTAGATATCCCCTTGTTGCTTCCCCGGCTTCAGGTCGACTGAAAACATGATGAACCAGCATGCAAAATATATTGCTACCAAAAATAGCCCCGATGAATGGTTGATTCTGGGTTCGGGGGAAGGGTGGTGCTTTGCGAGTGAAGAAGATCAGTTGGACAATGGCGCGGATGGCAAATAGTACTATCGAGCAGCTAGAGGAGATTAGTATACGTCATGTTTCGGTTTTCATGTAAACGAATTTACTGCAGAAAAGGAACTGAAGAGTAGAGAGTGCAAAATGTAAGGAGAGAGAGACACCTACTCCATATAATACAGTGCAGATAGCTCGCAGTAGATAAGGATATCGAGATCGTGGAGTAACCGATCGATAAACGCGAGCTTCGCAGCCGACCGAAGCTTCTTCCTTACACCCTCGTCCCGAAGAGTAGGAGAGGTTTCTGCGACGCTGCCATATTGGATGCCGGACACGTCAGCGATGTATTCCGCATCTCGATAGACATCTGGTGTTGTCATAGAGGGTCATCAGGGCATCGACCGCATCTATGGGAGCGGAGGAGGGGAAATTAGTGAAGTCAAACGTTGAGACCGCAGAGCTAGACAGAACGTTGTAAATGCCAGTTACTACAGTCGAGAATCAGCTTTTGATGTGGATTGAGGCCGAGGAAGTTGAGGGGCGGAATGGGATGAGGTACATAAGGCGAGCCCGGAGACAGCCGCCATAAAGATGGAGCGGATTTTCTCGGTCCGACCCGGGAGTGATTTTAATACAGAGCCCATGTGAAGTTTTATTTTGGCATTTCGACGGATATACTAGTTTTATTTATGAAAGGTTACCATTGTTATTTTTAGCGAAACTATATCCCCCGTTAATCCACGAAAATGGTCTGCGCAGTGCTGGCGTAGTGCTTGAAGAAGCTCTTGAACAGTCGGATGGCATGTCCGACGTCATAGGTTCCGCCAGTCTCCCGAATGCTGTGCATGCTCAGCTGAGGATTGCCTAGATCTAAGGTTCGGGCACCTAGGGCGGCAGAGAGCATAGGTCCGATAGTGCTCCCACAGCTGGAATCGTTACGGACCACAAAGAGCTGCAGGGGAACACCCTCGCCTTCATCAGCGGCAGCCTTGCGTGCGACTTCCTGAAGCAGGACGATACCGGGGGAATTGGTAGCGTAACGAGCGTTGGCATTGATCTTGATGACGGGGCCCTTGTTGATCTCCGGCCGGTGGTCATTCTCATACTTGGCCGAGTAGTTGGGGTGTACAGCATGGGCCATGTCCGCGGAGAGGAGGAACGATGTGGAAAGTGTTTGCTCGTAGGCAGTGGCCACGTCGGCATCCCCAGATGTCGATGGGAGTACGGACAAACGGCGGATAATTGCGGGGAGGATGTTGGAATCGGCGCCCTGGGCTGTCCGGCTGCCAATCTCTTCGTGGTCGAAGAGAGCAATCAGACGGATGGCGGGTTCATCGTCCAGTGCGGACGTATCAGCCACAGAGTCAATCAAGCCCACGGTGGCGCAGAAAGAGCTGTCCAAATTGTCCAAACGAGGAGAGAAGATGAACTCATCCTGAAATCCACCCAGGCAGGACTTGTGGGTATCGAATAGGATCATTTCAAAGTCAACCACATCCTTGGGGCTGACACCCGCTTCCGTAGCAATGAGCTCGACGATGTAAGGGTGATGACGCTCCGTGATGGCCTTCAAGGGCGAGAACTCTCCGCTCTCGCCTTCGGTACCCTTGTCGCCATTATTTTTGGACTCACCGGTACGGTTGAGTTCCGCAGCGATCATACCAGCAATGGGGAATAGCTGGGTCTCCTTGTTGAAGGAGAAATTTTCCTGGCGGTCCAGATGAATAGCCAGTGTAGGAATGCGGAGGACTGTAGAATTTGTTAGTTGAAATTACAGCATATGGGATTGAGCCATAACCCTACTTGGACGATCAATCTTGATCAGCTTCTGCACGATGGAGCCGTCGCCTGTGCGGACCATTGCACGTCCCGCGACACCCAAGTCACGATCGAACCCTGACACTCATTAGCACAGGAAGTAGAATTATGGAGGACGGATTCTAGTTACTGACATGTGTGCCAAATACCTCCGCCGTAGGTTTCAACACCCACTTGGATGTATCCTTCACCACGCTTGTTACTGACAGGCTTGATTCTCAAGACAGGAGAATCTGTATGGGCTCCAATCATGGAAATTGGGTTTCCAGGCTACTCCAACCCAATCGGTTCAAATTGAATCAGCTTGGGGGGATCTTTGATGAAGGATTTCATGGAGTTTCAGGTAAATACCTTCCATTTCTTGCCTACAGCAAAAGCCACGATGGTCGAGCTATTGCGGGTCAAGTAGTACTTTCCGCCAGGGCGGCAAGTCGAAGCCCAGGAATCCTTCTCCTTTTAGGGTTTTAGTAAATGAAATCGTAATTGACTTGATGAGGGACCTCTTACCTTAATTTCCTGGAATCCAGCCTTTGCGAGAAGACATTTGGCAGACTGGACCGCATGAAAAGCTTGAGGTGGTTGAAGGTTAGCATGGTACTACCTAGGTATGGGAATAGAGTAGTTAATTACGAGTAGGGGAAGCGTTGACAAAGGACAGAAAGTCCAGAGCCGGCTGCTTCAAGTTCTTAGTGAGATTGGAGGTCATGGTTGGCATTTGAGTACAGTTAGATTAATCGAAGAAGATAAAGAAGAAGAAAGTGGCGTCTTGAAGCTGTGCAACGAGAACTTGAGATGGCAGACGAGCAACGCTTGGCGGTCAGTGTTACGTTACTTGAGTACCTCCACTACAACGTCGTCCCTGCTTTTTCGAGAGGATCTCTGAGTAACTAAATCAAGTTACGATGATTGACATGTATAAAATCCGTTAGAAATATTTATGTTGGTTGGATACAGAGACAGGAAGAGTGAAACCACCCTTGCTAAAGCTATGCTCTGTAACCAGGTAGTAGTAGGTACCTAGGAATATCATATGATAGTTATACCGAGACAGATTATGGAAGAATGGAAGAATGGAAGAATGAATTTCTTTGGCTCCTCGTCTCCTTCATGTTGATCTGGTCCAAGCGTTTTTTTCGTGTCTCTCCACGGCGCGTAGATTATTTGTGGAATGCAAGGCTGTCGCGCGAACCCCCTTCTCTACACTTAGCTTGGGTATCTATAATCAAAAGACCCTCACCTGGTGAGCGCTTCGCGTCAGTACCAATACTAGAACCGCGTGTTGCTTGAAACACGAGGAGGGTGGACGTGATTGATCACTCACTAGTTATATCGAAAGCCATGAAAACTTTTTAATCATGAGTCAGTGTCGTTGGTGCTTTCCGGGTGTGTTGTTATTGTGATGGTTGATCGGGATACCTGGAAAGTGGAAACCTGAGGAATTAACCATGCATACTCGCAACTTCTCAACATCATCCATGGTCTCTATTTCCAATACCTAGGTACTATAAAGATTTATTCTAGATGGACTCTTATTTCTCCTAAAGAATTATATCCTATTTATAAATAAAAACACAAAGAAAATAAAACAAAACAAAACACAAAATAAAAAAAAACAACCATAACAATAAGTCCAACCTCCTGGATCCCAGAGAGGCTTAGCGTTCCCGACGCGTGACTCTCCCAGGGAAATTCCCCTTCGAACGGCCAACTGGAGAGAGAGAGAGAGAGAGAGAGAGAGAGAGAGAGAGAGACAGAGAGAGAGAGGAGACTGAGGGAGGAAGAAGGAAGATACCTCTTCCCTCTTCTCTCTTCCTCTTCATTCCTCTCACCAGACGGTGGCCAGGTCTCTCCCCAATGACCTCCACTACCTGTCTCTGGACTTCTATTCGCCTTTAGGTCTGGTGAGACCCTTTCCATCATCCTTATCGCCATCAATCACAATAATACACTTCCAAACGACGCTCGTCGCTCCCTCAACCCACTCCCGCCTTGATTCCGTCCTCTTTCGATTATTGTCCATACCCAACCTTGACTTTGGCCAACTACACGACCAACTCACTCTCGATTGAATGTTTTCTTGTTTTATTTATTTATTTTTTTTTTGTCGTTATATTTCTCCGGAAACGCCGTGCTTGCGATCCGACCTTTTGGACCTGTCGCATTTCTCAGCTCAGTCCTGGCCGGATCTTGCGTTCGACCGCCACTTGGGGAGATTCTCCTTCCCCTCCGGACACCATGGGCGACAGTAACAGAGAGCCAGGCAATCCGATGGCCCGCAGTGTCGCAGGAGGTGCGAGACCACCCGCAACCACATCCGCCTTGAATGCCTTGAACATCGTATCCCCTCCCGGCTCGAGAACACCTCCCAGCATGCCATCCAAAACAACCCTTTTCTTCCCAGAGTCAACGGGAAGACGACAAAATAGTCGAAACACTATGGAGCCGGTCGATCCTGATGCGCTGACGAAAGCCTTGAAAGAGTACGAGGATGCTGGGCGCGCCCGGGAAAGAACTCCAGGCACAAGCCCCAGTCGAAAACGACAGCGAGTATACGGCGACAGGTGTGTTATCACCTCCTTCCTCCACCCGCGGCCGTCTGTCCAAGGTGTTTCCTTGGGACTTTATGGCTAATCGCGAATTTTATCCCTAGATTTATTCCAAATCGAGAAGGTCAAGACCTTCAAGCAACCTATAGTCTGCTTCACGAGGATGGTTGCCCTTCCACACCATCCAAATCAAAGAAGCGCACCCCTCACTCAGAGCTGCATTTCCAAAGGAGTGAGTGGCATCTTTGCTCGCTAGTCGCATCGCCGATTACATTGGACTGACTGACATTTCCCCCCGCAGCGGAAGAAGCAAACAGAATGTACTCGCGAGTCTTGCGCAGCGAGCTTTTTGGCAGTACTGTCCCTCAAGCTGATCTGGACTCCCTCGCGTCCGACCCTCTACTGGGCCTCAGCGCTGGTATCAATGACAAGACTCGTTCGCATACACCACCTTCACACGTGGTGTCGGCTCTCCCCCCAGCCAGCATCACCCCGTCAACCCCCCACAAAAACCTCTTTAATTACGCCTCCCCACGTGCGGGATCGGGCCACCCAACACCATCCAAAACACCGCGCAGTCAACATGGTCCAAATCTCAATGTACGCTCAGAGCTCTACAGCCTATCTCCAATCCGCTATGATAGCCAAAGGATCCTTGAAACTCCTCGCAAACAACCCCGCTATGTAAACAAAGTCCCGTATAAGGTGCTTGATGCCCCCGACCTACAGGATGATTTCTATTTGAATTTGGTCGACTGGGGTAGCAGTAATGTTCTGGGGGTCGGCCTGGGAAACTCGGTTTACATGTGGAATTCGCAAACCGGAAGGGTAACGAAACTGTGTGAACTCAAGGACGATACAGTTACGAGCGTCAGCTGGATTCAAAGGGTAAGCATCGACTCCTTTGCCCACCGCGGAGCGTGCACTAACCTGTATGAATTAGGGCACCCATCTTTCCATCGGCACTGGCAAAGGTTTAGTGCAAATATGGGATGCAGAGCGTTGTCGTCGTCTCCGAACCATGATAGGCCATACCAATCGTGTTGGTGCGCTGGCCTGGAACGACCACATTCTCACATCTGGCTCCCGAGATCGTCTCATTTTCCATCGTGATGTTCGGTCTCCCGATCAATACCTCCGTCGATTATCGGGGCATAAGCAAGAGGTTTGTGGTTTAAGATGGAATACCGAAGATGGCCAGTTAGCTTCCGGTGGCAATGACAACAAGCTCCTGGTGTGGGACAAGTTGAATGAAACCCCACTCTATCGCTTTTCCGACCACACTGCGGCTGTAAAGGCCATTACCTGGTCTCCACACCAGCATCACCTCCTCGCATCTGGAGGAGGTACAGCCGATCGCACGATCAAATTCTGGAACACCTCCACCGGATCCTTGATTAAGGAAGTCGACACCGGTAGCCAGGTTTGCAACCTCGCCTGGTCCAAAAACTCCGATGAGATTATTAGTACGCACGGTTACAGCCAAAACCAGATTGTCATCTGGAAGTATCCTCGAATGGAACAGATTGTATCATTAACTGGCCATACGTTCCGCGTCCTCTATCTGGCCATGAGCCCTGATGGCCAAACTGTGGTCACCGGTGCTGGAGATGAGACGCTGAGGTTCTGGAAGATCTTCAACAAACGACCCGGAAGAGAGCACGGCCGAGAAGGCAGCAAATTAGCGGAATGGGGCACTATTCGGTAACGACACTTTGATTTGAACTCCGGTGCTGTGGCACCATTGACGACTTCCCCTTGGGATTTACATCATCATGCATTAGACGCGGCGTTCCGGCTTTGGCGTTCACGATTTTCTTTTCTCGATGCTGGGTAGGTCTTCGGAAGGTCGGACGGAGGCATTATGGTCTAGTTTGGCATCTGTCGCATTTTTGTCGGTTTACAGCATTTTACAGGGCGACTACTAGGGTGGTTTGTTTTTCTCCTCCACTTTGATATCATCGGATCTTCGTCTCATGTACCTTTGGCACTTGCTTTGCGTTTCCCCCTTACAGCACATTATCAGATGTTTCTTTTCTTTTTCTTCTTCTTCTTCGTTTTTTCTGATCGTTTCCCATCCATCGTTATTTTCATGATTTTGTTCTTGACTCGCAGTTTCGCCATACTCTAGCCCAGCGCTCGAGCATGCCTCCCAAACTTCCTCTCTTGTTTGTACCCATGAACTGAATGTAAGCGATGGCGCTGATGGTGTTCCCCTCGGTGAGCAGAACGTGGCGTTGCTCATTTGCGAGATGGTGGCTTTTATACAACTTAGGTTCCCCCCGCGATAATTTCCATTTGTCTTTTCCCCGGCCCTTCTTTTTGCCTCTTTTCTTTCCATGCCTTGCTTGCCCGCACTTTCTTTACGCACACTCCACCAGGAGGAAAACCTAGCTTGATGATTTAGATGATATGGGAAGCCCTCGATGCCTTTTTCTTGTTTTCACCAGGTCTGATCCCGATGATTGATACCTTGGCGTGAATTGCATTACTAGGAACTGAATAATTGCACCCCCGTTCTTTTCTCAAATCGGCTGTGCCAAATTACAAATACAAACAAGACTGCATTGCATGCATGTAGTTGAAGCTTTTTCCATTCCATTGAGATTGGAATTGTGGGTTGCCAGTGTGAAAAATCTAAATAAAGAAATAACGAAAATGCCAAAAGCGCTCTTGTACATTCATTCCTATATAATATCAAAAACATGTGATGTGGTTGTGCCCGTCCCAAGATCTGAATGAATTAAAAGGCTTCCTTCTCCGGAGGGGATTTTGGTAGATTATTTTCATCTTTGCTTTTTCTTTTTTTTTTTTTTTACTTTTTTTCTCGTTTATTGCTTCGATGATCAGATGTTTTGGGGGGGGGGGGGGGGGGGATGACAAGAGATACGGGAAGGGGTAGAGAGGGAAGAAGACAAAAAGAAAGCAAGAAAGCAAGAGAGAAAGGGATCTATAGGACCAGCCTGGCCGGCTCAATTGTCAATAGAGTCTTCACGCGCTCCAGGAAAGTCTTTGCCCTCTTCTCGTCGCCAACAGGCACAGTCAGGCTGAATACATTGAGGGCGGATTCAGCGTAGGAGTCAGACTGCACGACTGGGGCGGAAGAAGAACGCTTCGCGGCAACTCCACTGCCGCTGAGGAAATCAATGATGTCCTGCTTCACGGGCTGGAGCGATTGGAATCCGAACTCGGCGGGGGCGTCGAGGGCGTTCAGCTCGGGGATGTATTCGCCGCGAGAGGTCTTGATGGGCTGCGCACCGAGGATCTCGTTAAAGAGCTCGTTGGCCGACGGCTTGGCGTAGGGTGATCGGGGCAGATCGTCGTTTGCTAGGTCTGTGGCGCGCGCGAGGAAAGTGGAGAGTGGGACGGTCACCCCGGCGGAGTCGCGGAGCTTCTTCTGTGCAGATAGCACTGTGGCTAGAGAGACGGAGATGGCCACTGAGATTGTGGGGATCGGCTTAGCGACAGGCTTCTCGATCGCTGCTGGTTCGGGGGCGGCGGGGGGTGCGGGAGGCGGCGCCAGCTTGATGTTGCTTAGGTCAAGGTGGGCGAGCTTCGCAAGGCGGGATGCTTGGGAGGATGGGTAGTCTGCGGGGATGAGGCCAAGATAGGCCAGGATATCGCCCTTCAGGAGACGGCCTCGGGGGCCGGAGGCGGGGATCTGGGATACTTCGGACTCGGGGATGCCTTTTTCATGGAGAAGTTGGATGACAGAGGGATAGAGTGGATAGGCAGGGTTCTGGGTCTGAACAGCAGAGGAGGAATTGAGTCCTGGGTAGCAATGGTGTTAGTATTCTAGGACTATCGACAAAAAGGAATTGAGGCGCGTGCGTGGGAAAGAAGAGGAGGGGGTGTTGGATCGCGATGTCTCTTAGCTCGCTCGCAAGCTTGGGGGGAGAAACTCACGTCGACAGGTAAGAGTAGTGATGCGCGGCTGACGTCTGGCCAGCACGGCTGGAATGCGACAGATAGAGTAGTTGGAAGCCATTGCCATATCACAGATAGATCTTCGGCCTCCTAGTGAGGTGTTGAAGCGGAAAACTCGTCTTTTCGTCGAGCGGAAAACGCAGCAGAGCTGTTGGGGATCGCCGTAAAGCTGTGCAAGGAAGAGGATAGGCGAAGTGGTCCACAATGACTAAGATTCCAGACAACAAAACACCCGCTGCGATAGAGGCTCAGAGAAGGCCCTGAGACTTCCTGCGATCAGCAATTAGCTGTTGAAATGCATGCGCCAGCCGCGAATTAGAGATGTTGAGGTTGGCGACCCCCGATTCTCACCGATGACCCGGACGGGAACATTTTTCTGCCGTCACAAAAGCGGCGATTCAACAAATCCGTCGGAGAACAAACGGCACTCGAGTCATTCATTGGCTTTCCTCCGTTTTGTTTTACAGGTCAGTTCCGGAATTCGTATAGTGAAGATGGCAATGATTGGGGTTCTAGCTAACTACCAGATTGTCTGGAATAGGGTGAACCGACTGTACCATGTTTGCCCGGTCCTTTGCATATAAAGGGCTCGCGCAGCCTTGCTTAAGGTCACCCATACCTTCGGAGGGTTTGTCGAGCCCTGCATGGAGATATTTTTCGTCCAGCATTGCTCGAACAAAGGCCGCCGGCAAGGTTAAGCAGGCGCAAAAGCAGATTTCACGCCAAACTCCTCCCAAGGCCTCGCAATCTCCTGCACCACCTAAAGCAGAAGAGACGCTGAAGTTTGCTGGAAGACGACCGGATGGCTTTGGAAAGCTTGAACGGAAGGTGGCCAAGGAAGGCGAGCTACTACTATTTAAAGCCCCCTCGCAACGCAGCTACATACTTGGTGCCTACGGCATTACTGCATTCTGTTTCGCCTACTCCGTGTACAACTCCAATGCCGTCTTTCGCGATCCGATCATGCCGCTTCCTATGTGGCAGCAGGGTCTATTTGGCGGTATATGCGTCATGATGAGCGTCATGGGCACTGTATTCCTTTTCAAGACCGGGAAACTGATAAAGTCCGTCAAGGCCGTGAACACCAATGATCAGACATACCTGCGTTTCACAGTCCGCCGCATGATTCCCTTCCAGAAGCCAATGCAGTTTGACGTGCTGCCTCGTCAGATTGCGTTCTCTCGACGTCTCGTCGTCTCGCCAGATGCACTCCAAAATGGCATGCAACAAATGGCCCAAACGGAGCCTGCTCCCGTCAGCTTTTTCAGAGCCCCTCTCAAGAAGTCAAGTATGCTCATGTGGAGAGTTTTTCGGTCCCTCCGACAGCTGTTCACATCGGAAGACTTTATTCTTCTCGAGGTTGAAGGCCAGAAGGGCGTTTTCCGAATGGACTCTGGGGGCTACGTATCGCGGGACTTTTTGGTAGTCGGAAATCCCGTCTCCATGAAGCGGTAGCGATTGCCGCAGCTTAACTTGGATATGTACACTTATCGCGCTCTTTTCATTGCATTGTAATAACTACTTCATTCCCGGTGCCCAAATCTCAAGAAATATGCACCACCTGCTGCAATTTAGCTATCTTTCATGCCCATCTTCCTGTACATATATAGAGCTCAACCCTTGTGTTTTATCATAGTTCTCTTACATCTCTAGAAAGTATTTCAAGCGTCATTCCAGCCTCAAATAAAAGAAAGGGTGAAAACAAAAGAGCCATCAATCACTGTATAGATCGATGATATATCACGTGACGAGACGCGTTCCGGGACGCGACAGCCGACCAAATCAACTTATCGCGGCGGCCCCTCAACCTGACAACCAGCGAAGTATCGACATCACCACATAGTCTTTCTCCTTTCTGAAGGACCTATCACAATTCTTGCGTCCTCCTTCTTCAGTCGCTAAGAAGAGCGACTGCGTGGTCGCAAGATGGGGAAGCTTATCCGACTCGAGCTCTATAGTACGTGACGTGACGTCTCTCGAGAGCAGTGCTGCGCAACCCCCAAACAACTGACCTGCCTAGATTTCAAATCCTACAAGGGCCATCATACCCTTCTCTTTGGCGATGCCTATTTCACCTCGATTATTGGACCCAACGGGTCGGGAAAGTCCAATTCGTGCGTCTTTCCCCCGCGAGTTTTCGTGACAGCTAAAATCCATTGGCGCTGACCTGTTTCAGGATGGATGCGATTTCATTCGTTCTAGGAATCAAATCATCACACTTGCGGTCAACAAATCTGCGCGATCTCATTTACCGTGGCCGTGTTCTGCGCACCTCCAAAGTCGATGCTGATGGGAACGCGGTGGATGGAGAACCCAATGGGACACAAGCGACTGAGGACGGTGTCAACGAGGAACAATCGCAAGACCCCAGCGGCTCGAATGACCCAAAGACGGCTTGGGTTATGGCCGTCTATGAGGACGACGCAGGTGAAGAACAACAATGGCGACGATCGATCACCAGCTCGGGAGTTAGCGAATACCGCATCAACAACCGCACCGTAACGGCGCAACAGTACAACGAGGCTCTGGAGGCGGAAAACATTCTGATCAAGGCCCGGAACTTCCTTGTCTTCCAGGGTGACGTGGAAGCGATAGCCTCCCAGTCCCCGAAAGATCTTACGCGCTTGATCGAACAAATCTCTGGTAGTCTAGAATATAAAGCGGAGTATGAGCGGCTCAAGGCGGAAGCTGAGGAGGCTGCGGAGCAGCAGACAGTCCAGCTTAATCGTCGCCGAGGCATCAACTCGGAGATTAAACAGTACCAGGAGCAGAAACGGGAGGCCGAAAACTACGCTCGGAAGGCAGAGGAACGCGATCAGGCCATTATCACTCACATTCTCTGGAAGCTTTTCCATTTCCAGCGCCTTATCGACGATTCGAGCGCTGAAATCCAGAAATACCAGGACGAGCTTAAGGAATACCGACGAGGCGTGGAAAAATATGAGCTAAACGTCGAGGATGCGAAGAAATCGCACGCAAAGGTGGGTCGAGATGTTGCGACTGCGGAGAAGAACATCCTGAGAAAAGAGAAAGAAATCGAAGAGTCAACCACCGCACTAGTTCCCATCGACGAGAAGGTCGACATCACAATGAAGAAAGCTGAGAGGTTCACTTCCCGCATTGCGGAGATTGTCAAGGAACGTGATGCTCAGTCGGCCAACGTTAAGCAGCTCCAGAAAGACCTGAAAGTTGTGGAGAAGGCGCAGGCCCAGTGGGAAGCGGAATGGCAGAAGACAATGAGTAAACAAGGCGGCCAGCTTAGCCAGGCTGATCAGCAAGAATACAACAAACTCAAGGAAGAAGTCAACAAACGATCGTCCGCTGAACAGCTCAAGCTAGATAACCTCCGACGACAGAGAAAGACCGATGGCGAAGCCTACAATAGTTTGAAAAGCAAATTCGAAAGCACGCAGTGGCAACTCCAAGCACTTGAAACCGAAACAAAGTCCCTAACGGAGCGCAAGGCCTCTACCAACGAATCAATTAAGACTACCTCCAAGGACATTGAAAAGAAGAAGAAAGAACTTAATGCCCTTACCTCCGAGCGGCTGCGCATATCCCAGATGCGGACTGAACTTGAGGAGAAGCTCCAGGTTGTTCTGAAGAAGCTGCTTGAAGCAGACGATGGCAAGAAGCAGACGGAACGTGAAATTCGAGCCAAGGAACTGATCTCAACCCTCAAGCGGATCTTCCCGGGCGTCAAGGGCCGCGTCAGTGATCTCTGTAAGCCTAAGCAGAAGAAGTATGCTGAGGCTGTGAGCACTGTTCTTGGTCGTCACTTCGACGCTATCGTTGTGGATAATGAGAAGACTGCCAAGGAGTGCATTCAGCACCTCCGCGATCAGAGAGCCGGACAGGCTACATTCATTCCTCTTGAGACAATTCAAGTCAAGGCCTTCAACTCCAACCTGAAAGGGATGCACCGTGGCATGCGTCCCGCAATCGAGACGGTTGATTACGACGACTCCGTTGCAAGAGCTATTACCTATGCTTGTGGCAATGCCATCGTTTGCGATGACCTGGCAACCGCCAAATACCTCTGCTATGAAAGACATGTGGATGCAAAGGCTGTTACCCTAGATGGAACAGTTATCCACAAGGGCGGTTTGATGACTGGTGGCCGCGGGCTGCAGCAAAACTCCAAGCGTTGGGAAGACTCCGAAGTGGAAAACCTCTTCAAGCTGAAGGACAAGCTGATGACAGATCTGGCGAACCTGCCCAAGGGCCATCGTAGAGGAACCGAGGAAGAAACTCTGCAAGGTGAACTGGTTGGCCTGGAACAGCGACTTTCATATGCCCGCGAAGAACTCAAAGCCCTCGAGAGGAACCTGAAGAGTAAGCATACTGAATTGGATTTTGTCAAACGTCAGCTGGAGGACCTGCGACCTAAGTATACCGAAAAGAGAGAGGTGTTGGATGAACTCGATGAAGCAATCGCCATCTCCCAGGAGTCAGTCAGCAATGTTGAGGATCAGATCTATAAACAGTTCTGTAAACGTCTGGGATATAGCAACATTCGCGAGTACGAGGTGCAACAGGGCTCTCTGCACGAGGAGGCTGCACAGAAGAAACTCGAGTTCACAACCCAAAAGAGCAGAATCGAGAATCAACTCAGCTTTGAGCAACAACGCCTGCAAGCCACCAGTGATCGAATTGCCAGCTTGGAAACGCAACACCAGCGTGACGCCAAGCTGATCAAGGAGCTCAGGGCCGAGCAGGAGCGAGTGCGGAACACTCTCGATGAACTCAACGCCGAGCTAGACCTGCTTCGGGAGAAGCTCGAAGAACAGAAGGAGGCATATGCGGATTCTGCCGAGAATCTCGCCCAACATCGCAGAGAGCTCCAGAAACGAAGCAGAAACGTAGAATCCACGCTAAAGAACATCAACGGCTTGGAAACAGAGATTCAACGGAATTCCTCGAGCCGATACGCTCTTCTCCGACGTTGCAAGCTCGAAGACATCGATCTTCCCCTGACTGAGGATTCGAATCCGCTTGACCAGCTCCCTATTGATGAGCTTGTCCAAGGCACCGATCCAGATGTGATGGACGTCGACGAGGATGGGCAAGGAGGAAGCGGCGATGTACAGGATTACGGTATTGAGGTTGACTTTGACTCTCTTGGTGAAACACTCAAAGAGGTACGTATTTTTTTTTGGTTAGGTTGCCATTTAAATGCTAACGGAAAGGTAGGATTCCGACGAAAAACTGGAGGAAGAGCTTTTGGACAAGGTCAGAAACCTTAACAGCGAGCTAGACAAGATGGCACCAAACACACGCGCAATGGAACGTCTTGAGAGTGTAGAGAATAAGCTTCGAAGCACCGAAAAGGACTTCGAAGATGCACGAAAGCGGGCCCGAAAGACCAAAGAAGACTTTGAAGACGTAATGCGGCAACGCTCCGATCTTTTCAACAAGGCTTTCTCGCATATTTCAGAGCAGATTGGTCCCATCTACCGGGAACTGACCCGGAGTGCGAACTACCCCTTAGGAGGACAAGCGTAAGTGCCATGCCTGAAGTTTCTCGTCCCAGAAGAAGACTAACCCATATACAAGATACCTTGATATTGAGGATTCCGACGAGCCATACCTGGATGGCATCAAATATCACGCCATGCCTCCGCTCAAGCGCTTCCGAGACATGGAGCATCTTTCTGGTGGTGAAAAGACGATGGCGGCCTTGGCTCTCCTGTTTGCCATTCACTCCTACCAGCCATCGCCCTTCTTCGTGCTGGATGAGGTCGATGCTGCGCTGGACAATACCAACGTCGCCCGTATCGCCAACTACATCTACGACCACGCGGCTCCTGGAATGCAGTTCATCGTCATTAGTTTGAAGACAGGACTGTTCCAGAACAGTGAAGCCTTGGTTGGAATTTACAGAGATCAAGTTGAAAACAGCAGTAAATCCTTGACGCTCGATGTAAGTCTTTTCTTATTGTTTTTTTTTTTTTTTTTTTTTCTGCTCGTCCCGCTAACCACGTTGTTGCTCCAGCTCCGGAAATACAATTAAGCAGCTAGCTTCTTCCTTCCTTTCTCAATGATGTGTAGAATAGTTTTATCAATCGGGATTCCTTTTATGACTCATAGCTTGTTCACTGGACCGGATACATTTTACTGCTCTACGCCACGGGATAATGGTATGCGAATTTCGCTTTATTTTCTTCCCTCGTCAATTAGCAGTAGTAGCAGTAGCAGTACTCCTCCCTCCCCCTTTGCATTTCGCTCGTGTCCCGTGTATAACAGGATCATTCTAGTCTACTATATATCATTATGATACATCCAATGCTACCGTTCCGACACGCGGTAACCCCATTCTTTCTTTAATCAGACTAAACAAACGAGAAGAAGGCCAGATCAAACCCGCGAAAATCTAGTCTCCTGCCCATCTATTCTCCCGCAGACTTTGGCCAATCGAGACTCGTTTGTTCCTGTTTCTCTGCTCTGTTTTTTTTTTTTTTTTTTCTGCGGTTGTGGGAATAAGGTTTAGTATTTCACTTCACCACATTTGGAGATGGATCATTTGTTGGCTTTTTTTTCATGATGTATAGGCAGGTTAATAATATTTTTGGAGGCCGTGTATAGTCCATCTCCCACTCATATAACTTTGGTTCATATGAGCGGAAGGATAGACCTGAGCTTGCTCATAGCACACCTTCATCCAGCCCACATCCTCCCACGTGCAGCCCATACAATGGCTCAAAATCGGCATCCTCTTTGTCTCTTCCTCGGATTCCTCCATCCCAGCCCGCGGGTCCTGGTCCTCCCAGCAATGCACCACACACACCATGATGCAGAGTCCGTACCGTGCTATACACATGGTCCGCTCATCAGTAGGCGGAATCCCCTGCTCCGCTTCACACGCGGCAGACGCCCACTCGTTGAAATAATCCCGGATAGTATCCGGGAGTCGCCCCGTCAAACCGCGTCTTGTCGCCCATTACAGTGGGTCGGAAGGAATCAAGCATGTCCAGGCCGTCGTAAACTTCCAGTGTGCTCCTTACTTGATAGAGAAGGCGAGACATGAATTCCTCCCAGTCAGCGTCGCTCTTGTAGGTGCATCGGTAGATGACGAGGCCCCAGGTCCGGTAGCCCCAAGTGAGCATGTTGTTCTCGATTACGTCGGCTGGGTTCGAGTCGAAGCTCATCCATGGAGTGCGTTTGGAGTCTTCATAACCACTCATAGCAAGGGATGGTGATGATACCGACACCCTCATCGGGGGTGGAAACGTTGTCCTCTTTCCATAAAGTTGTGGGGTAGTACTGTAAAGTGATGGGCGGTGGCCATTCTGGATAGGCCGCAGCCGCAGAGAGAACAACGGGAGGGGTTTTGATAGGGTCTTGTTGGTGGTGTTTGGTATTTAGTATATCTGCCTGTGAAGAAGATTTCTGGCACCTAGAGTGAAGAGTGTCATGTTAACAGTAGTTTTGTAGCTTAGGGTGTAGGTGGTTGGAGATAGTACCAATGATGATAATATGTGAACCAATATAATACTGTATCAGCTAGAAAGCTCTGTCTTGACACCTTTCTAGCTCAGCGGTAAAGTTCGACATGTTCTCTATTGTTCTCGGGGAAACGTACCACCAACCAAGTATCCATAGACGTCCGTGAAACAATTGCAGGTCGATACCAGTTCCAAGGCAAGACTACCCAGCCAGCAGTCAGAGCACTGTTGGTCAGTGGTGAGACTTTGCTTCGACCACGATGCGATGAGAGAGGAAGACATTTCATACGTGAACATATAGTTATCCACAATGAAGGTAGCTGGATACGCTACATTCTCCACCACGATCACATCAGTACTGAGGGTACACACGCGGCTGCGATCGTAGTTCGAGCGGCTTCCAGAGATTTATAGCAGCTGTCGACACAGACTTCGTGGACCTGGTCTGCTGTCATGACGCCATTGCTATCACGATCATCAGTGACTTGCTTTTCAGGAATGTACGGTACCTGTCGTGGTATGGGAGCCTACCTCTCAGAAATGATTCCGAAATATAGCGAGCAAGTAACATTAGCCGCGAGAGCATGTTGGCACGATGTACTCAGCCCGGTATAGCACGACAGAGGCAGAAAAACTGCCCGGACAGCAGTCAATCTATGGAAGGAGATGCTTAAAGGAAACATGAAGCTCTAGAGCAAAATGATGATCTAAATACTGCCTCTATAACGACGTGTCGCTAAACCTTTCTTTGTGGTGATGGTGGAAGTGGTGGTGAATGAAGAGGTCCTTCCAGAAGTACGCTGATCTGCACGACTAACACTGGGTGGGTGGAAGGGAGCTCTGGCAATAACTGTACGAACACCAAGTGCGCCTCTACCAAGCTAGCCATTGATCTAGCTCGGGCTGTAAGAAGAAGGCAGCTCGCGAGCCGGTAAAGTACAGTGTGGATTTGTGCCCGCTCTTCTCTAGCTGGTGTCCTGATAACAGCAGCGATGAAAGTTCTGTTTCCCACTAGAAACAAAGCGATCCCCCATTACGGGCGCGGATGCCGACGCATATACACAGTGGAATTAGAGAAGGCACGCTGCCAATTCGGCTCTTGGGGCAATGCCTCCTGTCGGTGGTCCGGACGGTGCCTCGCTCGATACCCCTAACAATCGTATTATGGAGGCCTTTGGATCGACCAGGTTTCCTGCGCCTTTACTGGCCACCGCCGCTAGGATTAACACCACTAAGGGGAAGATCATGAGGTTCAGCAGACCCTTCACTATTACGAATATCGAAAGGTTAGCCAAACAGGCAGTAAAAGCCGATGGTGACGAGGCAGTTAAGAAATTACTCACACCCATTCGAAGCGTCAGTTATCCCTTCTCTCTTTCTTTGTTTTACCTGTCTCCTTGGCTAACAAGCTTTCTAGACCTTCGCGGGTTTTGAGTACTTCCGCAATAATCGGGTCACCGGCCAGTGGAACAAGACGCTCCAGGAAAATCAGCCTGGAATGGGCACATGTCGAACAAGCGACCGACATGGCCAATCTGCAGAAATGGTGGTGGGTCTGGGCGCTGGACTTCTTCCAGGTCGTCGAGGATAGATCAGGTTCTGGGTCATTAGGGCTCGGCGGAGTGACTCTACCTTGGTAGAAATCTCCGTGTGCTCCTTCTCCTTCTCCTTCGGCCCGGGATACTGGCTATGGCTAACAAGGGCGCCGTGCACTGCGTAACGTAGCAGTAGTTATACACACTCCAAGGAACATTGATGAGCCACGTCCGGATGGTTCAAAGTGTGGCCTAACTGTCAACCCTTCTCGGACTTTATCCTCCGATAACATCAAGGAGAATTCCGCATATCCTTGAGGGAACTAATTCCTTGTGTCATCAAGGGGCCCCGGGACTTTCCAACTGCTTCGGGGCGGGCGCCTTTTGGGGGGGGGGGAGGGGGGGCGGATTTCAATCTCTACTGCGCCGCTCAGAGCATCGGATGATCATACAGAGTACATGCATCAGGGAACGAAACTATCGATATGCCTCTTGGCAGCCTGTAAAAACCGAGAACACGGCTATAGGAGCCAAAACCCCCTGCTATTGTAACGTTATGGTGGCGGCCATGTTACAAGGAAACCAAACGGCAGTCTCATTAGCAAAGGCGCTGCTTCTTATCGAGTCGATTGTTGTACGGTGGCTGATGGCGAATGGAAGCAGTACTATAGCAGGAATCACTTGGGACAGGAAGTCGTATAATTACGAACTTGATATGGGACGGCCAGTTCCATTACACAATGTGACAACGGGCCAGACACTTCCAGTGGGAAAGAAACAGACAATAGAGATTGAAGTTCCGGATTCAAGAGACTTACTCTTGGGCCATGGGGAGTGGAGTGCTGAGTTTTGGTTTGACGCGGCGCATGGAAAAGTTCGGAAATAACAGGCTCCCGGGTTCTGATAATTGATAGTTCTATCTAGTTCGTTTAAGTCAATCATTATTGTGGGCTGCGCTTCATACCGGAAATGAACAATTTGGGTCTATCAAGCCATGGGTAGGAGGAGTATGTAGGTGATTCGCAAGTCAAGCTTGAGATAGTCGACGCCAGTGTAGATACTCCCCACTTCCTGAAGCGTAATAAGGATACGTAAACTTCCTGGAGATATCCCGATGTTAATTAAATTCTATACGGAGTACTCCGTAGGAACTGGGTATACCCGATGAGGCTTACCATGGGACGGGATGTGCGGGATGCGGGAACCGCCAAATGCTTTTCCACAAGCAATAAATCAATAGTGCTCTGCAGGATAAAAATAATCCAGTGAACCGTGGCGACACTGATCATGGTAGCAGAGGTCACCTTGACATTTCTCCCTTCGACAGTTGACGGCTAGCTCGTAGAACGACCCTCGATGATCGACACCGGCTTTGGCATTGGGCATGATATCTCACAAATTCACGCACCGATAGTCGAAGGTAAGAAGAGTAAATGGAATTAGGTAGTCGATGAATCAAATCCAGCAAATGTTCAGGCTCTTCTTCCAGGGTCATCCATCGCCACTTAGTTTGTTTCATCTTGTTTCGTTAGGCATTCGTCGTTTTTCCATGCTAGCCACAATTGCCTGGAAAATACCTAGATAAAAAAAAAAAAAAAAACCCTCTCAAGGTAATATTGCCGACGAACTCGTTAGTATCAGGCTATCAGCTAACCTGTGCGATAGGTCAATTTCGTAGGTACACACGGCAATCGCTCAGATCACAGACCCTGCAAGCCACAAATCCACAATTTCCTGGTAGCAGGTATCATCCCTCGCTGGTGAGTTGGCGGAGAAGTTGATAAAGAGAAAGACAAATATAGAGAAAAAGAAATTATTAAAGTAGTCTCTTTCCCCGCAAAGAAAAAAAATAAAAAAATAAGAAGCTCGGATGTTCTTTTCCTCTTCTTCGGCACCCTACCTACCCTTGTAGCAGAGTCTCCCACTGAGAAATTTCCATCGGTACCTAACTTACCATATCGATTATCAAATTAGTTAGAGGTCTGTGTGTCGCTGTCTAAGTCATTCCTCCTTCGGGTCATTTTTGACGCAGATGCCCATTTGGCCGTCATAAGGCAGAGAGGTCATTGTACCCAATGACAAGAGTTGGAAAATTGATCCATATATAGGAAAGCGCGCGGTGTAGGGATATAAAAAGGACCACACAGAGAGAATCCAAGCCTGGGGGAATGAATGCCACAGTTTCGAGGATCTGAGAATACATGATACTTTCGCGGGATTCATGTTTGGATAGATCTGCTTTTGGCGATCATAGTTAAGCTCCATCTAGAGTACTTGCTGGTAAACTCTGCCTCCAGTGATCGGCGGTCAGGCCCTACACCTTTTGACTTTGCTCCAGACGCAGTCGGAGGTTGGTGCACCGAGTTGTTGGAGTTCGAGGAACAGATCCCACTGGCGGAAACTTAATTCTGAGTAGAACGTCCAGCTATGGGGATGACGGCTTCGGTTTGATCTCCAATGAGAGTCAAGAGAAATAGCCTTGGTGTTTTGGGTTACCGCACCAAGGGAAGCTAAAGAAGAGCTGCATTTACTCTGCGTTTGCCGGTTTTCGACCAACTTAATCACTGCAACTTCTGAAATCCGAGCGAGTCCCTCGTCGGCCTCGCCGCCACAGTGGCGTCTTCGAACCGGGAGAGCAACGAATGCTGGAATAGCTTAAGGAAGGGGAAATGACCCGTATAGCTAATCCTCGACTCGGGGTTTGCCACTCTAGGTGAGGATTTAGTGAGAGGATGCTATGGTTCCCCAGCCGAATCTCGATCTGCATTATGGATCCTCATAATGAGTAATGTTCGGAGCCAACTCTGATAGAATGGGAAAGTGTTTCCACATGTATTACCATTGGCTTATGGGATTGATCGGCGCTCATCCTGCGAAGATAAAACAAATAGTCCTCGAACAGGCCTAGATCAATTCATTGCTTTTGTCAATATATTGGTGCATCCAACATTACCGACAGGCCGCTGGCTCCGAATTCCGCCCCGAGTGGTGTGGCTTGTCTAGCTATTGACAGCGTAAGGATTATGATGTCGGCTCTCAGTGTCTCGTCGGCTCTGGGTGCTCTGATCGATGTCTACGATCGTTATGCTTTCCCTTTCCAGACATCTTTATTTTAAATAGAGTTTTCGGCTGGGTGCTTTCTGCGACTATTCTCATACCCTCGGGGGGAGCTGAGGCAACTATAGTTTTGGAGTCATGAGAAAATCGGAGAGCCACCAACGGCCGGCCTAGGGATATCGAGATATCCGTGCTCCTATAGGATGATCTCCCTTTGGTGGATTGATGCTCTTCCTCTGTATGTATTTGTTTTCCTTGCATTAGTCTAGATGTCATGACAGGCCCAGGAATGCAATGGCATAAGGAGTAGGGTTGTTAGTAGTGTAGAAATATTGTAAGACGTACTTTTTTTTTATTTTTTTATTTTTTCTCATTTGCTTTTCTTCCTCCGCTCGCCTTCGTCACTCAATCCAATAGTAGCATTATGATAGCCCGTGGCAAGATATATTTGGCCGTACCCAGCTCAGCTGAAAAGAGGACTTCTTAGAAGTAGAACAACTGCCCTGAAGCTCACTCACATTTTTATATAATACCTTGCCAACGTTCATCTTTTCACACTCGGTGTTGTATCAAAAACCCCCCCTCCCCCCAAAATAAGCCCAAGCCGCTTGGATTCGCGTCTAGCTTCTGTTGTTGCAGTGAGCATGACAAGTCCAACCTATAGGATGGATCCGATAGATCAGTCAGTGGTAGCTAAAGAGGAAGAACAACATCAGATGGCTTCGTATCATGATATGACTGCTCAAACAAGGTCAACTGTATGAACCGAATTCCCCGCGGAATCAGATTGGTTGGCTAATTAATACAATGGGACGCATAGGAAATTCAATGCTCACAGTCAGCGGCATTCGCCTTCCCTTACTCACATTTTGCTATGATGTATATCGACCGAAACGGAGAGCTTCAGCTGGAGGCATCAAACTCCATCACCGGTGGTGAAAAGAGCATATTCACAGAGGAGATACAAGATAGATTCTTGAGGTTAGTGAACGGAGAGTGGCAGCCTCATTTGCAGAACTTTCATTCAGGTAAGTGTCACTCGTCAGAAAAAGGATATCAGGGAGGTGTGTGGAGGGGGATGAGTTCGAAGTGATCGGAATCTTACTTCTCGTGCTGCCAGGTACTTTGGGACTTTCGCACTCTTCCCTAGGTCTGCAGTCTTCATGGTATCATCCAAGTCAACCCCGACCAGCCAGCCTCATTCCATGTGAATGGCAGTCACACCAGAACAAACGACACCGACGCAACCTGAGACGCGTTGATTCGGCTATTGGACACGAATGGGAGCCTTCTTCTCCTAGCCCAAGTGTAAAGCGCACAGCAATTCGAGTTGGACAAAGGAGTCTCTTGCGCAGCTATTACGAAAAGGCGTTCGAGTATTTCCAACAGCTCAACTGTCGAGTTATTGCAAAAGCCTTTGTGAAATTAGTTGAGCCCCGCAAACAAGTAAACCACCCATACAATGGCCGCAAAACGACAGCCGGGTCAACGCAACGGATGGACCCGGAGTTGACGAAGCCTAAATGGTGGCCTGCAGGTGTTACCCATAAGGAACCTGACCATCTTCTCAAAGCAGGTGAGCAATATTATGTATGGTCCCCCCCATCGCTGAGAAATTATGTTAACGTGTTGCTGTTCCGTTCAGAGCGAATTCGACTTCTCGTGCATATTCTTTGCGAGTTAAGGGACAGCCATGGGATCACGGCAGACAAACTGAAAGATGCTGGTCAAGACGTACGACGTCAGATCCTACCATCCACACGATTGCAAGTCTTGGATGAGATTTACTATGTCAGAGAAATGGAGGAGCTGTATTTGGATGGCAAAATTAGTATGACCTCCTTTATATTGAGACGGACAACAAATGGAAAATGACTAAATAACTGACTCTTTTACTTACACAGGTGGTGATACTATTGTCCATGTTTCTCATGTTCACATGGATGAGGAGCTACAGGAGCTACAGGAGCAAGTGGATAGCGAGGGTATTCACAACACACTTGTTCCAACGATCACGGTACAAGAGGACGTGCCTCTTCTTCCTGACACCCACTCTGTGAATAGATCAAATGGGCATATACCATTAACATCCGACGACCACCGTCCTCAGTCTATGGGGGGCCATCCCAAATCCAAGCGACCAGCAAACCAGGATTGTTATCTTCCCCTCTCGCCAGCATCTTCTCCATCAGTGAGCCGGAAAAGCTCTTTGGAGAGAAGCCTATCAACCTACTCCTCCGACATAGACCCTTCTATGTTATCATCAAACCACTCCACCAAGAATCTAACAGCTCCCAAAGGGTTCCATTCTGGAGGATCATCCTCTGTGCCAGACTATTTTGCCCATCAGCTTATGGCTCAATCGACAGCCCAGAACCCGCATTCTGGTTTCTGGAATACTTTGCCCAATTTCCATGCGCAATTGGCATTTCCGGGGTATTGATTCTGGTCTCGGATGCTATAAGAAATACTTGCCACATTATTTGCATTATTAATCCGCTTATATATTTCCCCATTTCTTATCCTATTTCTCCGACACTGTCACCATATCTTGGGAAAGATGAGATGTGCTAGGAAGTCTTGATATGTAAATAGGTTTTGAAAGACTAGCTTTCGGGCAACCATACCATTATATATATCCACGGGAGTATAATATATGTACCAGTTGACCTACCAGGTTGATGATAGTCAGGTATCAACCTTTTTTTGTCTGACATGGTCCAGATGCTATTCCCGATGTTAAGGAAGCGGAGACTTCTTCCCCTGTCTAAACTATGTGCTTGATAAATCTTCGTTTATGCACTCGACGGTATGTGAAATGATTTCCCAACCTTCATTAACAGAGAACTAGTACAGAATTCACTCAACACAGCCTCCCCCCCTTTTTTCCCTTTCGAGACAGAACAAACAAGTCCAAAAGCAAAGTAAGGAGAATAAAAGTGACAGGAAGAGATGATGTTTGCCTCAAGCTGTGTCATGTTTTATTTGTTTACCAGTAAAGGGGCGGATTCGCCTCCCAAATTCAATATGAAAATACCCTAATGGATCATACCAAGCTCGACAGTGTGCTCAGCCATTGTGCCTCTGAGGATGACTTGTTGGCTCCATCTGCGGGTCAACTTCATTATATTAATATATACATGGCCAATTCTCTCCCGCAAAGGACCCCACTGTAGCGCTAAGCTTTCGTTAGCTTCCGCAGCCGTCAGAATTCCTGTCCATCCAGTAGTTAGTTAGTTATTTTGCGGCAGAATCCAAGTGAACTCCAAGTGCTGTATCCCAATGCATGGCGTCTCATTCAACATTTCCTCGTCCACTGAAAGCACGCGGGCCTTCGGCACAGTATACTTTATACGGTAAAAGGGAAAGCATGAGGCCACTTCCGGCTATATGTTACGTTCGGCCTCTCCCCATTCACGCACCACAGACATGATTACTCCTTTGCTAATCTTAGCCTTCTCCTAGGGTCAGAATCCTGCTATTAAATTTGCGCATGGAGTGACTATAATCATAGAACACCTTTGGTAAATCTTGCATTGATTTAAAGCAACAAGTACCTACTTTGAGACAGCTTTTCGCTCCTATACACCTGTATATCGGGGACGCATCTCTACCAAGGGTGCCTTAGTAAGGACTGAATATCAGCTAGTTAGTTAGTTACTAGCTACATAATAAGTAGATCACATCTGTGTAAGAGCTTCCTTTTTACAATGCAGGACAGTACGCAAGTTATAGGTAAAGTGCCAAACCTGAACACGAGGCCCATTAAAATGACTGCCAGTGAATTTGTATCATTATTGTATAAGCAGAAATCTATAACTTGGTTTGCCCTAACTACTCTGCATGTATGCTAATGCTCTACTCCTAGGTTAGAAACGAGCTACGCACCTCGGTCACAAAAGTGTTGGCTTGGAGTTCTACAGCAAAGATAACTTGGGTTGGTGCTGAATATATTATAATAGAAAGGTCGCCGTTGTCTAGCTTAATAATGTTTGGTCGGAGATGGGTATCAAGGAAAGATTTGAACTTGTAAAAAGAATTTCAAGATATGAAAAGTATAGATGATTCTGATGGATGTGAAAAGCTATTGGTTTGCTCTTGGCCCGTCAGGATGCTGAGAATTTCTCGATGATAGTAGGATGGTATTAGATTTTAATTGAGGCTCTTATATAGCTTTATATTTTGCCCTCTTAATGATCCCTAGGTATCTGCTTACATGGTACAGAGAATATCCTTGTTCACCCTAAAAAGCTCGTGGAGGTATGTACTAGTCCAGTCAACTGTTACGATGCATGCCAGAGCCCTCTTTTGACAGGTCTGATCCACCAGCAAACTTGAACCTGCTGAGCAAACTGGAGTATATAATAAGAGACCCTGTACAGTTATCTACAGGAACCGTGAATGGGTGATAATTATGAAAGATATAAGCCCAGACGGAGTTTATATACTACCAGTAATTATCCCCAAGGTAAAAGAATCCGGCTGCTTGGCACCAAGAAAGTACCTCGGGCTGTATATACTCTGTACTTCCTAAATATTAGATCCTTGTAACAAGACAATAATAGGTACTTTTGATACATGACTGCCCGATCTCAAGTATCAAATGATATACTCACTAGGTATTAAATATTCTAGTAGTGGTGCAAACTGTAAATACCAAACAAGATTTCTCTATCCAGGGAACATCGTTGGACCCATATCTTTGCAGATCCCGTGGCCAGCCCTTGAATGCTCAGCTCTCACCAATCAAACCGTCCATCGCGTGCACACCCAAAACCTCATCCTTTCAATTGCATACCGCCTCCAGGCCAGGTCTCTTATCCCCCCTCCTCGTGGTCGTCCTCACTCCTTCTGATTGTTGCAAACCCGCCCAGGGTCATGCGCCTCGGACGTTCACGGACTCTCTTCTTTTGTCCCAAGTTCCCACGGTGTAGTGACAGAGATAAGAGGTACCTCGCCTATCCGTTTCATCTGGAACTCGAACCAGAGGTAAGTTCCCCGGTATATGGCTTGATAAGCATTCCATATTTGGGTGCTCTTGAAATTTCTCTTCCCTTTCTTCATTCCTCATAAAAAATAAATTAAAAAAAAAAAAAAAACACAACAAGAAGAGAGAGGAAAACCACCACCACCACCAACGCGTGTTCTGGTGCAAGACCGCTTATCATTCCATTGTTTATCTCCCAACCCGATTGCGGAAGTCGGATATTCCGGAGAGTCATGGCTGTGCTAACATTTGCACGTTTCTTCAGTCGGCCATATCTGCATAACCGTGACGGCCCTACAATATTCTCCTTCCAGCAGAAGCTCGTCATGGAGGAGGGCGGCTCCTATCAACGAAGAAAATCGGACGCGAAAAAGGGCGGTGACTCCCCTGCACTTCAACCCTCCACAGTGGACGATATTGTCGACTCAGACTCAGAGAACTTCCACTCGCATCCTGGAACTCCGACGAGATCTTCGCGCAATTCCTTTTCATACCAGGATGACTGGGAATCATTTCCACCGCTCGACCAGCTCTCAGTTTTTGACCTTTTCGATAACTTTTCCTTGTCGCGGAGACTAGAAAAGCTCCAGCAGTCAATCAACTCACAGAGAGACAAGGTGAAGAGACAACAGGAGAGGTTGAAATCCACTTCGAAACATGCAAGGGAACGCGTCGTGGGAGAGTGGAAACGACGAGTGCCCACTGCTGAAGAGCAGCTGGAAAAATACCGTCATCGGATGAAGCTCGGAGTGGAACGCTTGGGGACACGATGGAACGCAGCCTCTGCGGTTACTCTCCGGGAGAAGATTTCATTTATCGCTGGTGTTCTGAATATCTTCATCAGCGGTTATTTACTGGGGGCGTGCCCCGAGTACTTTTATATCTGGTTCAGCGGGCAGCTCGCATACTTCATGCCGATCCGGTTCTACAGGTACCATAAGATTGGCTACCAGTACTTCCTGGCTGATCTCTGTTATTTTGTCAACATGCTCTGTATGCTTTGCATTTGGGTCTTCCCACACTCTAGGAGGCTTTTTATCAGCACATTTTGTCTGGTATTTGGAAACAATGCTGTCGCTATTGCCATGTGGCGTAACTCCATGGTTTTCCACAGCATGGACAAAGTCGTCAGGTAAGAAACCCTAGCCCTCGGGATTTTCACCCTGCCAGACTAACCCGAAACCCCAGCCTTTTCATCCACATCATGCCTCCGGTTACATTCCATTGTCTTGTTCATTTGACTCCCATGGAAACAATGAAGGAGCGGTTTCCGGCCATCTATCAGATCAAGACCAGCGAATCAGGATCCCCAGACCACTTTTCGCTTCTCTCGATGATGCTGTGGGCAACTGTTCCGTACATGATCTGGCAACTTTCCTACCACTGCTTTATCACCGTCCGTCGCGCAGACAAAATAGCAGCAGGACGTCCGACTAGTTTTACCTGGCTCCGCAGATCTTATGCAAAGACTTGGATAGGTCGGTTTGTTCTGAGTCTCCCTGAATCCCTACAAGCCCCGGCATTTATGATGATTCAATATATCTACGCTCTTTTGACGATAATTCCTTGCCCTCTTTGGTTATGGTCTCGATGGGCTAGTGGTTTATTCTTAACGGGGCTCTTCATCTTGAGCATTCACAACGGCGCGACCTATTACATTGATGTGTTCGGCAAACGCTTCCAGAAGGAACTAGAGGAGTTGAAGAAAGACGTCGCACGTTGGCAGTCTTCTCCCGAGGGAGCAATGAGCCCCACTATCCCTGGACTAGGGACCACCCCTGCTAATGTTGGGGAGAGGGAGTCGGGTAGCTCGACTGCCTCCGCGGCTGGTAGCCCTGACAAGACCGGCATTGAAAATATCCCACTCCTTGACGCTACCGGTGTTGCAACCGCAGTTGAGGGTGACTCGAGTGATAGGCCGGCTTTGCGAAACCGCAGCTAATCCCATTATTTTTTTACTTCTTATATTTTGGAGTTCACCTTGAATTTATGTGTTGGAATGCCCCTTTAATGATACCCAGTCGTTCTTTTGCCTATACACTTGGTCTTATATAGCTCTGTTTCATGCCGATAACATCCCTTGGACGTGCTTGACGGCTGATACTTATTGTCGTGTTTCTGGTCTTGGCTTTCGTTGCTGCAATGCTGCATATTTGGTTTGAGAAACGAATTTGATGATAATCTTACCAACGAATCCTCACAACCAATCCGTCAGCTCCCTAGTCACTTAGAAACCGTCGCCACAATGTAGTTAGAATCTTGGTTATGAGTCACAAAATTTTGGAATTAAATCCACTATAGAGAATCAGCGCGAAAATTGCAAAGAAAAATGAAGCGGGACGAGAACTTTACGCCGTAAGCCGGCCCGATCGGAGCGCAAACGTAAACTCCGAGATCCCGTGAGATCACGTGCAATGCATCTGCTTGCGGACCCTCGCAGGGCGAGAAACGACCCAGGAAAAACACCTCACTACCCACCACTTTATTGCAAGAAAAGATCATTAATTTCGCGAAAAGATCATTCATATTCAGGAGTTCACTTGCTGCTGTTCGGGCCATTCGCTTTGGAGTTGTTGTGTCTGTCTATCGACCTCGCTCGTCTGCTCGAGCAATTTGATCCCTAAGCTTCCGTCATGTCCGTTTCCATGAGGTCCGCTCGGCTTGTGCGCAGCAATCCTATCTTGCGGCCCAACTTGGTCGGTGAGTTTTCTGCTTTCCCCTTGCTATAGTACAAGAATTCGATCGGAGCCTATTTATCTGAATCATGTTTTGTTGATGTTCATTTTCCTTTCAATAGCCGGGTCGCGCTATGCTGGGGCTTTGGGTGCGGCCTCCGCCGCAAGCCTTCGATTAAATGGCAGAGGGTTGCCTTCTCACGTATCAGCTCTCGCTATTTTAGTTTCACACCGTGGGTTTGCTACGGATCATTCGACTTCCACATCCAGTTCGTCAGACCCGCTACCACCTCCCGGCTTCAACGCGGAGCAGGCTAAGAAGCCGCTCCCTGCAGACGTTGCGCAATCGGCGAGTACCAAGGCAAACCAGCAGGCGACCCCCAATTCCGTGGTATCAGCCCCGTCACAGAACAGTGTATTAAGCAAGGGGAAGGCAGGCGAAGTAGGAGTGGCAAAGCCGGCTACGGAGGAGGAGAAGAAGCTTTCTGAGGAGCAGAAAAAGGAGACCAAGAAGTTGACTCTTGGGCAAAAGATTAAGAAGGAAGTTCAGCACTACTGGGATGGCACGAAGCTTCTTGCTACAGAAGTGAGGATTAGCTCTAGGCTAGCATTGAAGATGGCGGGAGGCTATGAGCTCAGCCGCAGGGAACATCGACAGGTTTGTTTTTTATTTCCTCTAGACCAATCTATGGGCCGCTACTAACCGTCTGTTACTTTAGCTGAAACGAACTGTTACGGATCTTGGCCGACTGGTTCCGTTCTCGATGTTCGTCATTATTCCATTTGCCGAGTTGTTGCTGCCCATTGCGCTAAAGCTGTTCCCCAATCTCCTGCCAAGCACCTACGAGGGCCAGAATGCCCGTGAGAAGAAGGCGTTGAACCTGAGATCCACCCGAAAGGAGGTCTCTGCTTTCCTGAAGAATACACTGAAGGAGTCTGGCCTGCCGGTGACTGCAGCGACTGTCAAGAACGAAGAGTTTGCGGACTTTTTCAGGAAGATCAGAACTACTGGAGAAACACCTTCTACAGAGGATGTCATCAAGGTCTGCAAGATTTTCAAGGATGATCTGACCCTGGACAACTTGTCTCGCCCTCAGCTTGTTGGCATTTGCAAGTATATGAACTTGAACTCATTTGGAACCGACGCTATGCTCCGTTACAACATCCGGCATCGCATGCGTCAGATCAAACGTGACGACCGCGCGATCTTCTACGAAGGCGTCGAGTCGCTCTCTGTTCCCGAACTGCAGATGGCCTGTGCTTCGCGTGGTATCCGCACACACGGTGTTTCTCCGGCTCGCCTGCGCGAGGACTTGTCCGTGTGGCTGGACCTTCGTTTGAAGCAGGGTGTTCCTTCGACCCTGCTGGTGCTCAGCAACGCATATGTCTATGCGCAGGCTGGCAAGGAGGCAGAAATGTCCTCCCAAATTGATGCTCTCCGCCTTGTTCTTTCTAGCATCCCCGAGGAGTTGTTCCACGAGATTGAACTTGAGGTGCACAACGCCGAGGGGGCTGCCACCAACAAGCAGCGCCTGGAGGTTATTAAGGAGCAGCAAGAGCTCATCGAGGAGGAGAACGAGCAGAACAGCGAGCACGAGGAGAAGGGCCTGGCAGCTCCCAAGGACACTGAGGATATCGACGACAAGGAAGACACCAAGCTCGAGGCGAAGTATGCCGAGCAGTCCACCGAAGGCACCGAAGCCCAGCAGGACGGAGAGAAAGCCAACCGGGCGCACACTGCTGCGCCAGTGAAAGCCAAGGAAGAAAAGAAATAGACGGGCGGATAATCCTCTGTGCTATTCTCTTTCTTGTCCATCTGCGCGCTGCTTTTGATGTTGACTGTATTTTGATGGATGTGGCAGGCGTTCTTCTTTCGCTTTTTGGCCTTCTCTTCCTCCTCCCCATTCTACCTTTTTTATACTGTGTTAATGTCCATACGATAGAACTTTCTTACCCTCTTTTACCGGCTAAGGTTGGCATCCCTTGTTCGCCAGCATCTTGGCGGAAGATGAGCTGCCTTGTTCATACGCCTGCCAGTCTTCTCTTTTCTTATTTCTTGTCATGTATCAATTCATAGATCTTTGGGAGGAAGCGAGAGCATTAAAACTGATCCTGGGGTGATTGTTGATTTTGTCTTTGTACTGTGGTCATGTTTTCCGCCGATTACACAAACTGAATATACCTCCAGCACTATAAATATAACCCATTTCACTCATCCAGTCTGTATTAGTTTACTAGTTTTGTCTGCCACAACCAACCAGTAAACTCCTCATCGCGAATAGCGAATCAACTTGTTAAACAGGAGTCCAGCATCAAATCATGCGGGGGGGTGCAATTATTTCGCAGTCCCCACCGAAGTTGTATTCCCCATTGCAGATACATCCCTTCACTTGTACCAACATCTCGTCGTCTCAACTCAGCCTCAGCACACATGCCACGCCTGAATCTCACTTCTCGGGTAAGTCGATGCATTTAATTCCTGCTTCTAGACCTAGGCCCGTTCGAGTGCATTCCAACCTTGGCTGTTAGTAAACATACAACTAATCCTGGACCTGTGGTTTCTTTTTTTTTTTTTTTTTTCGTCTCTTTCTGAATAGAATGCGATCGAACGATTGAGAGCGTACACGCCGCCTCCCACCAACTACGATTTGGTTCCGTTGTCGCGACGCGCGGCGGTGCTGGTTTTGCTCTATACAGATGCCAAAGGGGATCTTCGGGTTGTTGCTTACAATGCGAGCGCAGACGTTGAGTTCCTGTACCTACCTATCTTTTCTACATATCTATCTCGTTAATTCAGCCACTGATGGTTAATACTATAGATGCAGGCCAAGCAGCCCTCCCAGGCGGTACGTCAAGATTATTCTCTAGTACAGAAACTAAATAAAACGAACAAAAAAAAAAAAATTAGGAAAATCCGACTCCCTAGAAGAAACCCCCTTCCAAACCGCCCGCCGCGAAGCCAACGAGGAAATCGGCCTCCCCAACATCCACCACCACCTCCCTCGTCCCTTCGCCGTCCAGCACCTCTGCGAGAGCTCCCTGCTTCCCTGGCCCGCACGGAACTCGTCGTGCGGGGGGAAGAGAAATGGTATCGGGGGACATGGACGCAGTGGTATGGATCTCGTTGGAGAAGTAGGTTCTCTCTTAATTAAAGTGCATGTACATGTACATGTATATATACAGACAGTATAGCATAGGGTATGTATAGAATCACATTATACACTGTTAACTGAATGGTGTAATATGATAGTAGAGTAGAATCCGGCTTCTTTTCTTTTTCTTTATCTCTTTCTAGAACTCAAAAGTTAGTCTTCCAGAGGATGGATCTTTGTGTAATAATCTCATGTTTGACATGAACCATGTGGTCCTGGTATTAAAATAAGAAAAAAGAGACGGAACATTCCAACAAAGGAATGAGAGAAGAAAAAGAGAAGAAAGAAAGAAAAGAAGAAGAAAAGATGCTGGCATGAATGCCATGTGACCTATCACTGGTATCCTGCCAGGTTTGAGCCCTAGAGACTCATGTTCTTCTTCGTACCTCAACTCAAGTACCTGCTCTGGTTCATGGGATTGAACTCCTAATGATATTTCTATCCGCAAGTTCCAGATAATAATGACAAATTACTCTGTACCGCAACTAACTATAAATTCAAGTTCGTGTCTCGGGTGAAATCCGGCCGGAAGGATTGCATGAACGACAGCCCAGTCCAACAGCCTCGAATGGCCTCGATTGGTGCTGATGATTATTATGATCTGCTGAGGAGATGTCCAGCTGTCCGGCTGTCCAGCAAGTACCTACGACGTTCATCACGGATACACTCCAGAGTTATTCTAGCAACTTATAACTGTGTATGATAGGACAGCAGATGGAGACGATTACGATATAAATAACTCGGTTAGATCAACAATCCAAGGTCAGCCTGCACAGGCGGTGCAGGACGAGGGGCCTGAAGTCTGACATCCCTTGCTTCAATGTGTCACCTTCATGAAGCTATCCGTGTCCATATTCGTTGAAGTCGTTCGTTTCGAAGTCTTGGGGCTTGAAGAACATACACACCACGAATCTAGGGGTATTTATCTTACGGATTGCGAATAAATAAATAAATAACAATTTGTATACTCATAATCATGATCCTCCCTTGATTATTTCCCTCTTTTTCTTTTCATTCTCTTTCTATCCCCAAGATATGATACGATGCTCTTTGTTAACATCTTACTCTGCATCAACAGTCCGTGGGGTCTTGTGATCTAAAAAGAGAGAGAGAGAGAGAAAGAAAGAAAGAAAAGAATGAAATAAAGGAAGAAAAAGAACATGCGAAACTAAGAAAAGGTCTCCATCTTTAAACTATTACGACTACTTCTACTTCGTCTAATTTATCCCGGCTTGATTCCACTCAGTCACACTGCAGCTTTCGGGCTGAACTTTCGCTTGTTATCGACTTCCTCCCTCGCTTTTCCTCCTTTCTCTTCCATCCCATCTCTTTTCTTTTCGACTTCCCTCCTCTTGGGAATGAGAGGGAACTCTTGTATCTTGAGTACTCACCTTCCCTCCTCAATTATGTTGTCACCCTCGAGTCACGCCCTTGCCAGACAAGCCCCTCCAGTAAGGCCATCCCGGTCTCTCGAGGGTCTGGAGCAAGTCATTCCTCCCAGACCCCCTCTTTCACCTATTCGTCCACTCCTACACTTGGATAAACCGCTCCCGCAGCTCCCGTCCAAACCGCTGCCAGATACCCCATCCCTGACAGGCTCCACGCCGTGGAGCGACGACAGCAGCACCGTCAACAGCTTCGAAGAAGACGACTACGAAGACGACGAGGGACATCGCCGCCAATCCAGCGTGTCAACGGAGAGCTATCCTGTATTTGTCCGCTCCGGCTCGGATGATTTGGCCGACTTTGTCGATCATCCTGCCGTTTCCACTTTCCATCGCGTGGAGCCCGACGAAAAGCGAATAACCTCGTCGTCCTGGGCCATCCACACCCTCCTTGCCGAGAACCGTTACAACAGACCACCGCATTGGGCCTCCAGCAGAGTTGGGCCGAATCACTACTTTCGTGAGAAGAAATGGGATTTCTTTCCCGAGCTGGCAACGCCGCCGTCGACACTTCACCAGAATGCGCCCCACCTGCCCCCCAAACCACGGAAGAAGGATAGCGGGCGATTGAACAACTTAGTGCCCGCCGCCTTTGATTTCTCCTCCAAGCATCGGGGCCGATGGTCCCCCCCCGATAAGGGCAGCCTGCACGATGTCCGCAACTCGATACGTTCCTATGTCCAGCGACGAATCTCTCGCCATTCCGTCGAGAAGGAAAAATCTAAACGGAAACTTCGCCCAGCCACCGCTCCGTCGGAGTGCACCCGCAAATATACTCCTCCTCAACGGACTGCCCCGTCGACTAGTGACCGCTCCGACTCCGGGAGATCCACCGCCCCGCAGGCCCCCCCTCTGCTAGAAGTCGGTGAGAAGACGCTACAGATCATCTCTGTCCCCTCAACAGCCTCTTCGAGCGCAGGAGAATCCGAGAAGCAACCGAACCCCATCATCCCCTTTAACCGCACAAAGCAGCTCGCCGTTCCCATTACCCCGTACCAGAAGTACGGGGCTGCCATCTGGGATAAATCCGGCAAGGAGAAACGCATCAGTTACCGCCAGACACATAAGGTGCGATTCCCAAAATATCGCAAACCAGCCAAAAATGGGTTTGTGTCTTCGGCGACACCGCCTCTGAGCCATCCTGCCCGGTCTCAGTTGCAACAGAGTACACGCGACTGCGTCCGGGCCTTCCAGGATGGAACTAGTCAAGTACTAGTTGCCATTGAAGGGGCGAGGAAGAAGATGATCGGGTCCAAAATTGACAGGAGACGTACACAGTTAAAGTCGCAAATCCGCTTAATTGGGCCCGTCAACCCATATACTACCTACGGAGCTGATCCGTGGGTGTGATAATGTCCTGCAGGTCAAGTTCTCTTTCCTGTTTTGGTTTGTTTTTCTTTTTTTTTTCCCATCTACTGTCCAGGTCGACGCTATTTTCCTTATAACTTTTGTATCCTGGTCTTCTTCACGACCGCCTCTCCTTTTTGTTTTTGTTTTTTTTTTTTAATCATCCATTCCTGCTTTTCCCTTGATTTATTCAAGCGTGCTCGTATTTTTTTTTTTTTGGCTGGTATGCCTATTTGATATCCTTTCTAAGCTTTATGTTCGGTGTTACGGTGGGAGGGCAAGTCCCGTAGAACGGGTCATTGCATTACTGTATTATTGCCAGCGTCTCTAATATATATTTTTGACATCCTTTGAGGCACTGCCCTCGATTCCGTAACTTCGGAGAGTTAAATAAAAAGCGTGGCAATGTCTCCGTCCTTGCTGGTCGCAGGATGATAGTTATGTAGTGTCATCCACGCAGTGGGAGCGACTCAAGTCAGGCAAAGCAACAATAGCTAGGTCCTCAATATATTGAATTACCAATTGCGACTGTGGAGTATAGACTTTCCTGTGCGTTCTAGAATACCTTTTAAGGAACGGGTCAAATAATTCAAGTTCCTTACAGCCCAGTCTCGACCAGGTAAATAAATTCCCTCCTGTCACACAACGCATCAGGAGCTCGGAGCTCGAGCTCTTCACAAACCAGGTAGATGAAATGACTCCCCTGTACTCCCTCTAACAGCAGAAGCAGCAGAAGCAGCAGCAGCAGCAGAAGCAGCAGCAGCAGCAGAAGCAGCAGCAGCAGCAGCTTGGGATGTATCATCCGGCTATGTGCGCATTCCCGGTTGGTTTCCCCGCCATTTTGGCCGTTTCTCCGCATGCAACCACCAACGTCACCTGCTCCTGTTCCTGGCCGGCCCTCGACGGTAACAAGTGAGAACTCCTCGTGTTTCATCCATCCGCCCATCCATCTTCTTCTCTCTCTCTCCCTCTCTCTCTTTTCCCCTTCCCCTGTAATCTCATCTCCCTCGCTCGTTAGATTCATTCCCCCCTTGCTGGCCTCGACTTCTGGACCCGCTCACTATGGGTGGAGACGTGCCCCGACAAGCTCCTAGTTCACTTCCACGCGCCCCCAGTGGCCCCGTTGGCCAGCGTATCAAGTCCATCTACACAGACCGGTTGAACCAGTTTTCTTCTCGAGGACAATATGAGCATCAGAACTTGATTGGGTATGTTCCGTTTAACTATTCCTTCCGGAAAGCCTCACCGCAGCTCAACGTTGTCCTCCGGCCCTTCCGTTCCCCGCATCTGGAAGAACCCTGGAAGGATGACCAGGATGGGTACACCGCTAATACTATGCTAGAAAGCTGTTCGAAGCTGTCAATTCCGACAAAGATCACGTCAAGCTCTCCGTTTACTCCGTCCCGGATCTGCAACGCCCGACCTTCGACGAAGCTACCTCCCATGACTTCCAGCCCACCCATATCGGGGCCTCGTTTGGCCCCAGTTGGTCCACCCACTGGGTCCGGATCAGACTAACTATCCCCCAAGACATGCTCGAGAAAGAGCGCTTGGAGTTCCACTGGGATGCGAACAATGAGGGCCTAGTCTGGTCGGAAGACGGTCGCCCGTTGCAGGGCCTCACTGGAGGTGGTGAACGTGTCGAGTGGATCATCCCTGACGCCTGGCGCGACGGGAAAGAGCATCTCTTCTATATCGAGATGGCTTGCAATGGAATGTTTGGAAATGCCCCGGGAGGGGACTCCATCCAGCCTCCATCACCTGATAAATATTTCACTCTGAATACCGCACGCATCACTGCTGTCAATCTGGAGGCCCGGGCGCTGTTCTATGATTTCTGGATCATCGGAGGTATGTTCTGTCCGACTCTTAACATGCAGCAATGTCAATCAATATACTGGTGTAAGTCTCAGCCAGGCTAATACTCTCGTAGATGCTGCCAGGGAGTTCCCCGGCGATGGCTGGGAGTCCCATGAAGCCAACACGGTGGCTAATTCCATTATTGACACTTTCATTGCCGGCAATGGAAGCAAAGAATCTATCAAAGAAGGGCGCCGGATTGCGCAGAAGTATCTTGGTGGTCAGGTCAATTCCTCAGAAGTGTATGAGACGGATACAGACCCAATTGTGTATGCTATCGGACATTGCCACATTGATACTTGCTGGCTCTGGCCGTGGGCAGAAACTAAGCGCAAAGTTGCTCGCTCATGGTCTAATCAGTGCGACCTTATGGACCGCTACCCAGAGCACCGATTTGCTTGCTCTCAGGCACAGCAGTTCAAGTGGCTTAAGCAATATTACCCGTCTGTCTTTGACCGTGTGAAAGGCTGGGTGAAAAAGGGCCATTTCCAGCCAATTGGTGGTAGTTGGGTTGAGCATGATACGAACATGCCCAGTGGTGAATCCCTGGTGAGACAGTTCCTCTACGGACAAAGGTTCTTCGAAAGCAATTTTGGAGAGCGCTGCACCACTTTCTGGCTCCCAGACACCTTTGGCTACTCCACACAAATCCCCCAGATTTGCCGATTGGCAGGCATGAGTCGCTTCTTCACCCAGAAGCTCAGCTGGAACAACATCAACAATTTCCCCCACACCACCTTCCAATGGGTTGCCCTTGACGGTAGTCAGGTCATGTGCCACATGCCGCCGTCCGAGACCTACACTGCGAGTGCACACTTTGGCGATGTGAAGCGCAGTGTGACCCAGCACAAGTCTTTGGACCAAGACAATACCTCACTCCTGGTGTTTGGAAAGGGTGACGGTGGCGGTGGCCCTACTTTCGGACATTTGGAGAAATTGCGTCGTTGCCGTGGCCTGAGTGATAAGGTGGGATTGCTTCCCCGAGTGAAGATGGGAGAGTCGGTCGACGACTTCTTCAAGAGACTTGAGAAGAAGGCTTCCGACGGTACCAAGTTTCCTACATGGTATGGAGAGCTTTATTTCGAGCTGCACCGCGGTACTTATACCACGCAAGCAAATAACAAGCGCAACAATCGCAGAGCCGAATTCCTCCTGCGGGAGCTCGAGTACCTAGGGACACTTGCGTCATTAAGGCAGCCCGACTATAAGTACCCGAAGGAGCACATTGATGACATGTGGGAAGGTGTGCTTTTGTGCCAATTCCACGACTGTCTTCCGGGCAGTTCTATCGAAATGTGTTACGATGATTCAGACAAACTCTATGCGGAGATCTTTGAGACTGGGCTCAAGGCCAGAAAGGAAGCCCTTCAGGCTCTAGGTTTTGGTGAGGGTGGAGCAGACTATGTGGCCCTTAACACTCTACCATGGGATCGCTCTGAGGTGGTCAAGCTTCCTGCCGGTATAACCGCCTCAAACGGCTCTAAATATGCCGTGATGTGTGGAGGGTCTGGGGTCATTCCTTGTCCCCAAGAGCATACAAATAGAGTTTCGGAAGTGACCGTAAGCGAGGTTCAACCAGGTGTGTTCCGTTTGGAGAATGGCAGACTACGGGTTGATGTCCAGGACGGTGTTATCGTGTCGCTATTTGACCTTGATATTCAACGTGAAATCGTCGCGAAAGATGGCAAAGCCGGCCAGCTAGTGATTTTCGATGACAAGCCACTCTACTGGCAGGCATGGGATGTTGAGGTCTTCCATCTCGAATCAAGAAAGGAGCTGCAGTCAGGCAAGACCAGCATCGCTGAACGCGATCCCTACCGTGCCAGTGTAGTCACCGAAACGAGGATCAGTGAAGACAGCTGGGTCAAAACTACCATCAGTCTAGCTGCTGCTATTGAAAATGAGCCTTCGTACGTTGAATTCGAGAGCGAGGTGGAGTGGAGGGAGACCATGAAGTTCCTGAAGGTCGAGTTCCCTGTCGATATCACTAACACAGAAGCCTCCTATGAGACTCAATACGGTATCATCAAACGTCCCACGCACTACAATACAAGGTATGTCTTTGTATTTTTCATTCCCCCTTATGGAAACCGAAGCTCACTAATTTTACAGCTGGGACATGGCTAAATTCGAAGTCTGCTGCCATAAATGGGCCGATCTCTCGGAAAGCGGCTATGGCGTCTCCATCCTCAACGACTCCAAGTATGGCTTCGCAACCTGCGGAAATCTCATGCGTCTTTCTCTCCTCCGTGCACCTAAGGCTCCGGACGCGCACGCAGACATGGGTCGACACCATATCCGCTATGCAATCCTTCCCCACCTCGGAGCCCTCGACGCCCGTACGGTCCGAGCAGGATACAACTTCAACAAGCCGCTTGCCCTTCAATCTTCTCCCACCAAACAGGAAACCCTCACCTCCACTACAAACTTGTTCCGAAGCATACGCCTGACGGGTTCTCCGTCTCTCATTTTAGACGTGGTCAAACGCGGCGAAGACGACGAAGACGTATCTAGGGATACCCTCCCGCGACGCGCAGGGAAGAGCATTATCCTTCGGATTTACGAGGCTCTGGGTGGCAAGAGCCGCGGAGTCATCTGTACGACGCTCCCGGTGAAGAAGGGTTGGAAGTGTAATGTCCTGGAGGACGACGAGATGGCTCTTGATATTGGCAGCAAGGATAGACACGGCACTGTGGCTATCCCGATTGAGTTGAGGGCTTTTGAGGTTGCAACTTATCGGCTGCAGCTGTAGATATTCCTTTGCTCTCCTGTCTAGTCTAGTCTAGTCTAGTCTAGTTTCTATTTTATTTTCTTTCATGAAATTTGATTTTCTCATTCGTTCATTTTATTTCTGTTCTCTGAGTCCTGAGTGTATGTTGTTATTGTATATCATCGCTCTCTAAACCCAAAGAAACGCAAAGAGTAGGAATGAATGATCTTGTCGAAATGATATCATGGTTAAACACCCGGAGAAAAAAAAAATATATGGAGTGGATATCAGAAGAAGAGAAAAAAAAAAAAGACAACAATAGAACAAAATAAAAAGCATGTTATCAATTGAGTCAAGTCAAGTCAAGTCAAGTCATTCAATGAATCCAAAACAAGGAAGGACCACCGCAACAAATAACAACCCCCGCCCAAATTCTCATTTTTGGTGCGCCTAAGCTCCTAGCGTATCAAAGCGGACAAGAAGCAACAAATGCAGATAACCCCAAGGGGGGGGGGGAAAGACCATCCTAACTAACAACCGCAACTCCTCTGTGCTGTGGAATGAATCGTACAGAATTGGGAACTAAAACTAAAACAGGGTGAAGAAGAGAATAGGCGAGAAGAGAAGAATATGAATGAGTGAGTGAGAGAGAGAGAGAGAGAGAGAGAGAGAGAAAGAAACAGAATTAATCTCTTCCATAACTAATCTTCAATCGTTTGGATGGAGGCTTATCGTCGTCTCCGTCGTCTTCGTTCTTGGTATCCTTGGTAGACTTCTTTTTGTTCTTCGATGACGACGAGCCCCTTACACTGCCCGCGGCGGATGAGGCGTCCCCGTTATTGGGCTTTCCAGTTGACCCGTTATAAGCTGATGTTGGGGTTGGGGCGTGCGAGGGGGTTGTTTGGGCGGAGGAAGGAGGGGGTGAGTCCTGTAGCGAGTGAGTGAGTGCGATTCGCATGTTATGTTTAGATTGCGTTCCTTATCCCGAAGCTCTATGTATCACGGGAAAAAAAAAAAAGGAATAAAAGGGACGTACCCGCATAAAACTCGCCGAACTTCTTGAAAACACGCGGTCGTTATCCGTGACCTGGGCCTTGCGTCGGGAGGCCGTCCCTACGCCCGACGAGAGGGACAAGCCCGCGCCGAGACTCGAGCCGCTTGAGGAGCCCTTGATATACGTGTCAAACCCCTTGATGATATTTCCGGCGGTTGTTTCTTCCAGGTAGGATTGTTCGAAGCGGTAGATTTGTTCTTCGAGTTGAGCCTGTTGCACGGTTTTCATTTAATACCACGCACATTATAGATTTGAACGAAACTCGGGATAGAAGAAGAAGAAAAAAAAAAAAAAAAAAAAAAAGGAATACCACTCACCATGCTTTTGTCCATAAGTCGCTTTTTCTGCAAAGTATCCCGTAGCTCGCGCCGTAGCTTCTCGTAGTAGGGTAATCCGCGATTCACCCGCATCTGCTCCGTGACATCGCCATTGATGCTGCCATTTGCCGTTCCATTCGGGTTCGCTGCGTTGTTCGATGTTGGCCCCGTCCCAGTTCCAGCACCCGCGCCTGTCCCTGACCCTGACCCTGTCGCTGTCGATGCTGGAGTATTTGCGGAGTTGCCCGCAACGGAGGCAGAAGACGGTGCGGGCGGAGCGGATTCAGTCATTTTCCCCCCTTGTGTCCCCTTGGGGTTCTTTCTTTGCCTTCGGGGTTTTGCTTCGCTCGCGACACGGCCAATTAATTAGCGGACTAGTTGGTCTACCCGATAAGCTGCTTGTTGGTAGGAAGCTCCGATCGCGAGTGGGCTGTGTGCAGGTCAAGTTAGTTGAGTTGGAGGTTTGTGACTTGTCAATCTTATCGGCGCAGTTGAAAGTGTTTGTCTTGTTTGCATCCGACCCCATCTCATCTGCAGCTACGGAGTACCTAACTAACTAACTTATCCGTACTTGTCGTCGTCATCCCCATCGTTCATCCCCTTTTTGATTCTCGTTTTGATATAGTTGGTTGTTTCCTAGCTTTGCTACACTTGAACCAATGGAGATGCACCATATGGGAATGGATATGGATCATGGTCATGACCATGGTGATGGTGATATGGATATGGGACAATGCAATATGAATGTGAGATTCCTCGTCTTCGTCTTTGTCTAGCTTGTGATGTGATGATTCTTTGATACATCATCCCCCCCCGATATCCTAAGGGGTATGTATGAGGCGGGTTCTTCGTTTTGTGGATGCTAATACATGGGATTCTAGATGCTCTTTACTTGGTCGACCAAAAACCTGTGTATTATTTTTTCACGATGGCGAATTACCGGTCCTCTGTCTCTTCTCGGTTCCTTGGTGGTCATTGTCATCTTGACTGCGGGATACGAAGGAGTTCGACAAGTTACCCGTCAATATGAAGTGGCGCATGCTCGACGATTAAGTGCGTATTCTTCGACTGCGGTCGGAAGTAAGTTGCCCTCATTTGTTTTGTTCTTTCTATGAACTCTAGACTTTACTCTGTACGGATGTGGGAATTATCTTGGATCCTGAAGTTGGCTGTCCGATCCGACCCTTGCTGAGCTAGAGTTCTCATTGACACCCTATGTAAAAGGCAATGAGATCGGCAACGATGCTATCACAGCCGATGATGCCCTTGGAAACCAAACATACGTCCCCGACACGAGCTCACCGCTACTTGTAGGTAGTGACAACAAGAGGGCTATTGAGCGGAGAGGAAAAATCACCATGGCAGCGCTATATGCGGTCCAGGTGTTTTATAGTTTTTTTATCATGTAGGTCGAAACCTCGTATATCTTGTTCTATTTCCAAGGCTGAGATGCTGAACCATTGGCAGGCTTCTCTTCATGACCTATAATGGTTTCGTTATGCTTGCGGTTGCTGTGGGGGCGTTTGTGGGATATTTGGCTTTTGGGGAGAACATGTCGGCCACCAAATCAGTTGCCTGCCACTGAGAGCGTCCCAGTTTGCATATCTCGTTTCGGTTTTGTTTGCAGAGAGAGGGGTTGGCTGAGAATTCTGGCCCGATTCAGCCACTGCTAGCATTAGGTATGCCTTGTCTTTCGGTAATAGGTCTTTGCATATGAATTCATTTAATCCCCAGTTGCACTTCGCGTACTTGGTTTATCAAGGGACTTCCACATCACTGCCATCGTCTCCAAACCCAAAACTGAATCCACCAGCTTCTGGCTCAGCACCGGCATTCTCTGCATCTGCTTTTCCATGGACGATTTCATCCCATTTTCGCTTCTTGCCCTCGGATTTGTTTTTAAGCTCCTCCAACCCCTGCTCTAGTAACTCTGGGTGGGACTCGCGCATATTTGCCACGAATCGCTCGTAGGGGTTGTCAATGTCTTTGCGGAAACCAGAAACTTGGTCTGCCTTGTTGGACAGGAAATCCAGCGCGGCCGCCAAGTGGGCTCGAGGAATGAAGTTTTGAGTAACAGCAATCGCGGGTTCGATGTTGACGACCAAATGCCACCACCCTGAAGGAACATGAAGGATTTCGCCTTCTTTACATATCCCTTCAACACAGCCTGGTGTACGTCGCGCCTCGGCATGAAAGCCTAGAAGCCACTCCGCGATACTTAACGGTGAAGTCACCTCGCTCTGGTCCTCTGATACGTATACACCGGGCGGAGGGGGAAGCTTCGAGGACGAAGGGAACATAATCCAGTACTTGGAGCCTCGGATGACCGCGTTCCAGGCGCTGGTGGCATTCGGGTCCTTGTGAAACGTACTTCCTGACCGTTCGGGCCCAATGATAAGCCATTGTCTGTCGGGGCGGTCATTCCCCAGGACTGAAAAGAGGTCCTCCCCAAAGCATGGTGGCGGCCAGTATGCTGTTCCAGGTTCCTGGTCCAGGGGACCAACCTTGAGCCCCATCTTGGAGACGAATGCCCTGTCAAAGAGATACAAAGGGCTTTCATCGGAGTTGTATTTTATGTAATCCACATATGTTTTCAAGGGCCAGTCCACCGCCTCCGCGCGAAAAGGAGTGTCTTTGTGCTTCACTAATAGTGTTTCTACCGACCAATTATGATATGCTGGCCACTCCTTCACTGGTTCTGTGAGGATAAAGGGACGGTCGGTCCATTTCTCCTGAAATTCCTCGGGAGAAAGGTTAGGCAAACGAACGATTTGATTCCTAGTGGGAATGTTGGTCACATAGGACTCCAAAGAAATATGCGCGCAATAGAATGGACGATGAAGGGCGTCGGAGAACAAATTCGAACAGTCCACGAAAGAAACTTTAGATGGGGGGAGGTTTAGGTAGGTTGCGCGCCATGTTCCTCTCCAGGCGAAAGAGGCCGGGGGAGACCTGAACTTGACTTTAGTACAAAATTCCACGCACTACGGCTCTCTACTTATCCAGTCTTCTGAAAGCTAAGTCCCTATCCAATCTTACCTGATAAAGAAGGTTTTCCAGAAATCTTCCGCTCGGGTGAAAGCATAAAATGCCTTACATGTTTGCCCTAGCTTCAAGAGACTTGGGCAATCCAGGTACTCCAGTAGGACCAAGACTAGCTCATCGGGCAACAAATTGAATGTCCCAATCACATCTCGAAGGTTCTCAGCGGCAAGTAAGGCATTGCCACTCGGTTTGACTCCTAGGGGATGACCGGGGATTGCATCATGTGCAGGTGAATCATCCACAAAACTCCCGTGGTCGGATAGGGTGGTGATATCCGGCATTTTAGTATGTATAAAAAAACACAACACGCTATGCCGGTAGAGTGTGGCGGTAGAGGGAAGATAATACCTGTCAATCAGATAGAAATTTCTCAGGAAGGATTATATAAAGAGTCCCTGGAATGAGGGATCCCTCTCTCACTCAAAAGAACATGAATAATAGAACTTGAACAAGACTCTCTCTCTCTCCAAACAAGAGAAGAAAAAAAATTGTGAGGCAGAATGTGGGATAAGATGCTACAAAGGGAAGGCGGTGGCAATGAGTTGGGCAGAAACCCGATTCCAAAATTACAGGCGGGCAACGTAATTTTGTATACTAGTGGCGGTAAAAGTGAGTAACAAAAAGACCGTACGAAGCAAAGGGGAAAAAAAAAAAAAATTCCTCCCCCCCAATGGAGAAAGAATAATTCTTTCCCACTACCAAAAAAAGATCCACATTTACTCTCTTCGCTCTTCCATCTTTTTTTTCACCCTCTTCTCATCTCTCACAACTTTTTACACATCATCTACCCTTATACTAGTCCCTGTAACGTCTCTTATTTGGAGACTCGCGGTTCTAGTTATTTCATCCTCTGGTGAAGAAGTCTTTCTTGACTCTGAGATTTTCTGCGACTACACCCCACTGGGCTTCTGTCGCTAAGGAACAAACCCTTCAAGTTCTTACCCAAACCCCCACTGTCTTCATCGATCACAGTACTTGACTGTGGTCATTTCGATACAACTTCGCAATCATGGCTTCCAACGATAAGGGATTGGAGGAAATCCCCGACAGTATGTTTTGTCTTTGAAAATCTTTTCCTCCTATGTGTTTCCCCCACCTGGTGTTATTGTGGCAAGGGTTTTTCTTGCGAGTTGAAGAGAAGAAAAAAAAAAAAAAAAAAAAACAGGAAAAATCTTCGCACCTCCTCACCACAACACAAATGCTCAGAAACTAGGAAATAGCAGATTTGTCTAACGAGATTTTTTTGGGGATTTATAGGTCAGATCGAGTCCAACTACGATGAGGTCACCGACTCTTTCGATTCTATGGACCTGAAGCCCGACCTGCTTCGCGGTATGTAACACTTTTCGGTCTGCTCCAAGTGGAAGATGAGAGATCAGAGATGCTGACAGGCAATTTTTCGCGTTCTAGGTGTCTATGCTTATGGTTTCGAGCGTCCCTCTGCTATCCAGCAGCGTGCTATCATGCCCATCATCAAGGGTAAGTCTCAAGTGGTTATACAAGGCTAAGCCGCAAATTTGGATGTTAACACTACGTTATAGGTAACGATGTCATTGCTCAGGCCCAGTCTGGTACTGGAAAGACCGCTACTTTCTCCATCTCCGCTCTGCAGAAGATCGACCCCAACGTCAAGGCCTGCCAGGGTCTGATCGTTGCTCCTACCCGTGAATTGGCCCAGCAGATCCAGAAGGTCGTTGTCGCCATCGGTGACTTCATGAACATTGAGTGCCACGCCTGTATCGGTGGTACTGCTATCCGTGATGATATGAACGCTCTCCGCAACGGCCCCCAGCTCGTTGTCGGTACCCCCGGCCGTATCCACGATATGATCCAGCGTCGTGTCCTCAAGACCGACCAGATGAAGCTCTTCATCCTCGATGAGGCTGATGAGATGTTGTCTGTAAGTGGAACCATCACCAGCCGAACAAGAAAGAAACATAAATAGAAAAGATCCTAACAAGCCTGCTTAGCGTGGTTTCACCGAGCAAATCTACGACATCTTCCAGCTCCTTCCCCAGTCCACTCAGGTCGTTCTGCTCTCCGCTACCATGCCCCAGGACGTCCTCGAGGTCACCACCAAGTTCATGCGTGACCCCGTCCGTATCCTGGTGAAGAAGCAGGAACTCACCCTGGAAGGTATCAAGCAGTTCTACATTGCTGTCGAGAAGGAGGAGTGGAAGCTCGACACCCTCTCCGATCTCTATGAGACCGTCACCATCACCCAGGCCGTCATCTTCTGCAACACCCGCCGCAAGGTCGACTGGCTTACCGACAAGCTCACCGCCCGTGACTTCACTGTCTCTGCCATGCACGGTGACATGGAGCAGTCCCAGCGTGACGTTATCATGAAGGAGTTCCGCTCTGGATCCTCCCGTGTCCTGATTGCCACTGACCTTCTGGCCCGTGGTATCGATGTCCAGCAGGTCTCTCTGGTTATCAACTACGATCTGCCCGCTAACCGTGAGAACTACATTCACCGTATCGGTCGTGGTGGTCGTTTCGGTCGTAAGGGTGTTGCCATCAACTTCGTCACTGCCGACGATGTCCGTATGATGCGTGAGATTGAACAGTTCTACAGCACCCAGATCGAGGAGATGCCCATGAACGTTGCTGGTAAGTGCACCCGGACCCTAAGACTGTTGCAGGATGCATGCTGACCCATTGCCTTAGACCTCATCTAAATTCCCTAACCTCCGAGCCACCTAATGTCTGTCGATGCGGATAACGAATGCAGTTGCCAATAACGTTCCAAGGGTCAGTTGCGGTGGGAAAAGACTTGTTTTTGACATCGTTGCAGCTTCTCTTGGTAAAGGAGAACCCTTCAAAAAGTGGCTTTCTGCGTCTCCAGCATTTGTTTTTGTGTTATCAGTAGCAGGTGGGGGTTACACTGGTTGTAGCTCCGGTTTGTCTCCATCAACTGCTGTTTCATGATTTCCTTTATTTTCTATGCTTATGGAGATGCGACATGTTTGTGCGATTTATTGCTGTAATTCATGATTCTCTTCTGGAATCATTTTCTTTTTCCAAAGATTCTTTTTCCTTTTTTCCCCTTTTCCTACTGTGTACTCCACTCGCTGTTGTTGGTTAAGGATACTGCGTCCAGATCCCTAACCAAGGTGCCGAGTAAAACAACAAAAAAAAATGTGATTATTCTGCGGGCAATGGGGTGGATGAATACCCACCATACATACGTGATCATGGATTTGGGGTGGTTGTATACCTGCTTTTCAGTATGGAGCACAATAGACAAAGGTAAATGCCATTCCGTTGAGTTCAATGTCAATGTTTTGGGGTGTAGTGTAGCTTTCCCAAGTATCACCCATTTTCCCTTTTCTCTCAGAGGCCCACCATCTCAAAAGTCGCAACCCCCGACCTCTACTCTGTCAACCTTCATCCATTCTTCACCATCCGAAGCAATCACAATGGAACCCCCCAAAAGACAATGGGACCCAAGTGCGCCCGCCATGCTCTGGGCTCACGAAATGCGCCGCGAAAACATCCAACTCGTCAACCAAATCGACCTCCTCCAAGCTGACCTATCCTCTGCTCTAAGTACCATAAACACCTTGAAAGAGACCATTGACGTGCTCACCCTGCAGTTACAGCATTCCCAGCACGAAGCGGATCTCCGACAGAACAGCTTCGAGAAGAAGCTCAGCGAACTGGAAGAAAGCTACCAACGCCAACTTACCTCGGCACTTGGGAGGATCCAAACGCTACAGAACGAGAACTCCCAAGTGAGAGGCAACCTGGATGCCTTTGAGACAAAGTACGCCGCGCAAGCTGCCGAGTGGTCGCGGTTGATGGAAGGGTTGTTGTGTAGCAAGAGAGATACTGCAAGGAGTGGGGCTGGAGGTCATAGTTCGCTGGGATCTCTGGAAAACAACCAAGGCTAGTTGGATATCGGTAGATAGATTCCCCGGTGTTCATTTTTATACTGACTATCAGGCCCCCCCCCCGGGGGGGGGGGGGGGGGGGGGAGCAGGTCTGACGGATATACACGTTCCCGACTCTTTTGCTATGGATGTGCCGGCGGGTTCATTGGACAGGGGAAGTGCGTTCAGTCGGACGCATTCCGGAACTACGTGCGATTCGTGGAGTGGTCGAGAAGGGTTAGGGTTATTTCTGCAAGAAGGCAGCCGGGAACTAGATAGATGTGGTGGTGGTGATCCTGAGATCAGTTTGCGTGGAGCTATGCGCCAGAAAGAACGCACGCTCGTCGAGTATCTCTCGCATGCGGAAGAGATCCGAAGCCAAGTGTCTTTGGAGAAGAGAGAGAAGCTCTTTGTTGAGACGTTTCTGACGGGTCTGGAAAGCTCGGATATACGAGCTCGGATAGAAGAGCAGATGCGCGATGCTGGGCACTGCTGGGCGGCTTTGATGGCCGTTGTGCAGGATATCATACGAGAAAGCCCTCAGAACATTGCGGGACCAAAACAGTCGCCTACGAAGTTGGTTGGCGAAGGAAGCATTGCAACCGCTAGGGGTGAAAATGGGACAGCTACACGCCATGAACCTAAAAGGAGGAGGCGTATATCAATTGTACCGGCGGATGCAGACGATGTCCCTTTCATGGTGTCTATGTCTTGACTGACGGACGGGCTTCGTTCGGGCAAGGTCCGAAATCGGCCCGATCGATAGGTGTACGTGCGCAGCTGGACAAGTCTAGAATGATTCTAATTCCGGTATATACATAGTTATCTTCTATAACCCCCACACATCTACACTGTTCACTAAACCGCTTAGGTTTCACTGTACTCATAGCGACCTTCGCGATCCTTAACCTCGACTTGGATGCGACCCTGTTCAATCTCCTTCCCATCCACCTCAATGGAAGCCGTCATGACGTCTCCAGACTTGACCTCTCCAACACCCTTAGGGGTACCAGTCAAGACCAAATCGCCCTTCTCCAGAGTCATCACGCGCGAGATCTCCGCCAACAGACGAGGAATGCGGTAGAGCATCAGGCCGGTAGAATCAGCCTGACGAGCTTGGGAGCCGACATTCAGACGGAGGAAAGCATTGTGGGGGTCGGGGATCTGGGACTTGAGGATCTCCTGGGAGACAGGCAGGAAGGTGTCGAATCCTTTCGCAATAGTCCACGGGAGACCCTTCTTCTTGGCTTCATCCTGGACGTTACGGGCAGTCATGTCGATAGCGAGAAGATAGCCTAAGAGCGAAAAAAAAAAAAAAAATAAGTAAATAAATGAATAAATAAAGTGAAATTGCAGTAGTAGCTGACTGTGAATCGCATCCAAAGCGCCCTTCTCATCATTCGGGTCCAGATCCCGAACGGTCTTGCCCATCACCAAAGCCAATTCCACCTCATAGTGCAGCTTGGTACCCGCAGGACGCAGGACAGGACCCTCGCCGGGGCAGAGGATCGATGAGGAAGGTTTTAAGAAGAAGAACGGCTGCTTGGGCTTGACGTTGTTGAGTTCTGTGATGTGGTCGCTGCATGACTGGAGTTAGCCGAAAACAAAGCAAGCGGGAAAATGCATCATTATATCACTGTTCATGCCGGCGGAGGAAAGGAGGAGGAGAACACACGCATAGTTTCTGCCAATGCAAATGACCTTGCGGCAATTAGCCTTGATCGAAGCCGCCATTTTCTTTCTCTCGCTCTACTTCTCCTAATATATTTTCTATGTTCGAGGGAAATGAAAGATAGAGATGCAAATTGAGGGGGGGAGAGGGAGGGAAACCCAGATGGAGCCGGTTATGATGGCGGCGGAACTCCGCGCCGAGGAGTGTGGGGATTGTCGAATCTCCGAGCTTCGGAACTCGTTCCTTCCAGCCTTTTTCTTTCTCTCTGTCGAGATTCCAGAACACGAATCATTGCAGTGTGATTGATTGGCAGCCGAAGTTTGCGATATTCTACCTATTGCTGGCTTGACATACTCCAGAGATTAAAACAGAGACACTTTCCGTGGAGATTCACACATCGGACGATTCTCGAATATCCATCCCCATAATCAAGGGCCAGGAATCCGATCCGATCTACACTACAATCCAAACTATACATACCTACAGCCATCACCATGAACGTAGCAGAGATCCTTTCCGACCTGACATCCTTACGGGTTTGTGTATGTCCATTTTTTTTCTGCCCCTTGCAGTCCATTTATTCGTGCACACAAGATGCATACACACAAGACGGTCAACATCGACTCTGGGATAGCTCGAGAGCTAACGAAATCAAGGAATATAACGACGCGCTCAACCTTGTCACGGTGAATGAAAGGCTCTCTTCACCGGGAGCAGTAGGCAAGAATGGGTCTACGAGCTCTACAGAGAACCAACCCCAAGCAGCAGGTTCGAAGGATGATCTCCGTGTTGCGGCGGAGCTCGTTGAACTACACTATGAGATGAAGTCGATACATAAAGATGGAAGGGTAGACGACGAGTTACTCCGCGGGAGGGAGGGAGTGGATCGTGTTCTCCAGGAGCTGGCAGGTCATTCATAGAGCTGAGACTGTCATGAGACCACGGAGGTTTATAAGGCATATTATGAGATGGCTGTACGGAGTAATGACAATATAATTGATTAGAATGAAGATGAACCAACCAACAACCCCTTCTTTATCTTGTGCAAGCCATGATTCATTCGAGGACTAGAGTCGCCAGCACACAGAATCCAGTGGCAATCAATCAATCCACTCTCCCTGCGACCCACTAGGGCTTACCACTAGTAAGACACCAAGGGAGAGAAAAAAAAAAAAAAGAAAGGACCGATCGCGATTTGAACGCGAGACCTACCGGAGATTAACAGATAGATAACTGCAGCCGGTTGCTCTACCCCTGAGCTACCGGTCCTGACGATGTCAAGCATAGGGAGTCAGGTTGTTCTATGTGATGGAGTGTTGGACCATGCAGGTGCTTCCTATTCGGGAAATATTGAAGCTGTGCACGTAGAGCCTCGGTCCGACTCCTGGTCCGAATTCCAGAGCACGACAAAAGCCAAGAACGCAGCCTCGTCACTACCTCAGCGCAGCATCACGCGTTTCGTCACTTCAACGACGTCCAGTTGCCCCCTTCAAGATTTGGAATACGGGCTGGAAAAGATGGCGAACCGTGTGGATGCAAAGCTGCTTAGGCAGACCAAATTCCCCCCGGAATTCAGCCGGAAGGTGGACATGACCAAAGTGAATATCGAGGTCATGAAAAAGTGAGTTGCAGCCGAGGTTTCTTGTCAAAGTACTGGCATTTTTGCTAATCGGTGCTTCTCCCCCGTTGCAGGTGGATCGCGGGAAAGATCTCTGAGATTCTAGGGAATGAGGATGACGTTGTGATTGAGCTTTGCTTCAATCTTTTGGAGGGCTCGCGGTTTGTCTGTCTCACCGTACCACGCTTGGAGCTTTGGTCTAAGCATCTGGCAATCGCTGACAATCGCATGTGAATTGCAGCCCGATATCAAATCTCTTCAGATTCAGCTTACAGGGTTTCTGGATAAGGATACTGGTCGCTTTTGCAAGGAGCTTTGGACTTTGTGTCTTAGCGCGCAAGACAATCCTCAGGGCGTCCCGAAAGAACTCCTGGAAGCAAAGAAGCTAGAGCTCATACAAGAGAAGGTCTGTCTATTTCTTTTAGAGAGATTCTATACACCTTACTAACCGCACCATGCTCCATAGGTCGAAGCAGAGCGAGCAGCCGAAGAAGCCCGCAAGAAAAAAGAGCAGGAACGGGTACGGGAACGAGAGCTGGAAGAAATCAGGCGCAGGGAGCGTTCCGACAGAGGCAGAGGAAGGAGAGGTGGGGGCTATGGAGGGCGTGATTTTGAGCGACGGCGGTCACCACCACCTCCTAGACGACGCAGTCGGGAACGTCATTGGGAGCAATCTTCCAGGCGCGAGTTTGATTCGTACGTTCCCTCCGGCGGCACTCGCAAAGGTCGGCGGCCGCCTTCCCGGTCGGCGAGTCGCTCACGGTCACGGTCAGCATCTTCATCTCGATCACCACCGCGAAGGCACCGCCCTGACCGAAACAGACGACGCCGTTCTGCCAGTGGCTCTGCTTCCCCCGACCGTGGAGATCGCACGAGGCAGAGGAGACGCAGCAGTCCTGATTATGGTGATCGAGCAAGATCCAATTCCCGCAATGATTCATCGCGCTCACGTACTCCCAGAAGAGACCGAAGAAGACCAAGATCCGTTTCTTCTCGCAGCTCATCCCGGTCCCCTGCTCCCAAGCGTCGGCAAAGAAGGGGGGACTCATCTATGTCACGATCGCGATCTCGATCGCGGGGTTCGGATCGAAAGGGCGCTCGACGGAGATCATCGCCTTCTTTTTCAAGAAATGACAGGAAAGAATCCTCGGCTAATGATGCAAAGGGCCGCAAACCCCGTGACGACCGTCGTTTGAGCCGCAGTAGAGATCGTGGTGACAACCGCAGACGCCGACACTCCACTCGAAGTGTAAGTCGCAGTCGCAGTCGCAGTCGCAGTCGGAGTCGGGGACGATCTCCCAGCAAAAGTGCCAGTCCTCGACGTCATGATTCACGCAGCCGCAGCCGCAGCCGCAGTCGCGCAAGGGAAAGGAAGCGACGCCGTTCCATTGAGAGATATGCTCCTGCGGCCCGACGCAGGCGCAACACCTCTTCCGTATCCGTTCATACTGAAAAACGACAGAGAATGGCTGATCAAGACGAGGGCCCTGTAAAGCGAAAGTCGCCTCCTCCAGAAGCTGACCGAGAGAAGAGCAGCGCCGAAGAGGTGGGTGAATGATTTCTGCTCACGGTACTCTAGACAGCACTCTTTATCACTCGCATGTACTACCTACCTACCCAACCTAACGTCGCCCCGGGACACTTCTCTTGAGCAACTAGACTAACACCGAGACACACAGGCACGTCCCAAACCCCCGGCACGCATTCCCAGCTCCGAGCTACGGGAAAGAATTCTCCGCGAGAAACTAGTTGCCATGCGGCGTCGGACCTCAAATGACAAGGTAGGTAAATAATAGTTCGAAGTCTCCGACGTAAGATGGAGCCGATGAAATACAACTATACACCCACCTGGCGTATCTCTATTAGCCAGCACGACATCAAATTAGGCAATATTCGCAATACCTTATGACAAGGAATCTCTGTAACTATTTGCTTTTGTCTTCATAAGGATCTCTCAGCCCCGAAACTCCAGCAGCTGCCGGGGATTCATGCAAGTATTCTGGACCCTCACTTCTCTTTTTTTTTTTTTTTTTCTCTCTCTCTCTCTTAGAATTCCGGAGTAAATTTTTGTAGGCTACATCATACGATACCGTGAGAGCAAGAATCAGTCGGGTTAATTTTCTCAACTTCAAGACTCAGGGATAATTCCCAAGGTAAGCTTACCCCATAAATTATTGTTATGATACTCCTATATACTGTAGCTTGGCGAAAATAGTCTCGTTGTTTGGTAAGTCCCGACTCCAGGAGTCCAGAGTCCAGAGTCCAGACCGCGAAGTACTCCATAGCTAGTTGACTACCTAGTTAGTGAGAGAAGATCGTTAGGGTAACTAGTTAATATCAAGTACGAGCGGAGCCAAACCGGTATGAGTACTCCGTATTTATACTACAATTCTCCGATATTTGACATTTGACATCCGATATCCTTACCCTAACTACCTTGACCTATAGATATGTATGGAATAAGTCCGACTTCACTGTTCAATTTCATTATGATGACCATGGCAACGGAGGACGGAGTACTCTGTACAAATTAAGATGTTCCTTCCTTTTTTTTTTTTTTTTTGTCTTTTTTGACTAAATGTAGGAGAAGGTAGGGTCCGGTCCTTGGCGTAATAATTAATTTGACAGCTTGGGCTCCACTGGCAGATCATGTATTATATTATACTATACTATACTATACTATACTATATTATATTATATTATATTATTATGATTATTATGATTATTATTATTACTACAGAGATGGAGAAAAGGAGAGAAGCTTTCTATTCAACGGTTACACGAGTCCTAGTCCGTAGTCACTTGACATTACAGATATCATAAACACTGTCCTATACTGTACTGTACATACATACATACAAAATTGAACCTATAAAGAATGTACTCCATTATAGGGGAAAGTCCAATAATAAAAAAAGAAAAAGAAATGATGAATCCCGACAGAAAAGAAAAGGGAAAAGAAAAAAAAAAAAATACAAGCAAGGCTTTTTTTGTCTTTCTCCTGCTCTTCTTTTTTTTTTTTTTTTTTTCTCCCCTTTTCTTCCTGTGTATGTGTCTGGGTAAAAAAAAAGCCCTGGATGAAGCTTTGCTCGACATTGCCAATGAATTAGAATTAAAATTAAATATGTACAGTGAAAATACCGAGCTGTGGTGCCATTGCGATCGTCTCGTTAGGTTTGGGTCCCTGGTCGCCGCCGCCCAGCCCTACCTAGTTGGTGGTAGCGCAGTAAGAAACACTAACAGTAGCAGTAGCGGTAACCGTAACCGTCTTTTCGGTAGTCACGGGAGCAGCAGTGATGGTGGTGCCGGGGACTGTGACAGTGATAGGAGTCACAGTCTGAGTGGTAAGAGACTCGGAAATAGTGCCAGTCTCCGTAGCAACAGGGACCGAGACAGTAGTAGGAATCACAGTCTCAGTGGTAAGAGCCTGAGAAACGCTGCTAGTCTCCGTAGCACCAGGGACCGAGGGGACTGAGACAGGGGTAGGAATCACAGTCTGAGTGGTAAGAGACTCGGAAGGAGCGCCAGTCTCCGTAGGACTAGAGCCGGAGGGAGTTCCTGCTGGAACGGAGGTGGTAGAGACACCGGGGACAGAGATGGTGCTAGAGATGACCGTCTCGCTAGTAATAGTGTCGCAGGGAGTGCTAGTCTCGGTAGCACCAGTGGCTGAGGGGACCGAGATGGGGGTAGGAATCACAGTCTCAGTGGTAAGGGACTCGGAAGGAGCTCCAGGAACAGAAACAGTGCTAGGGATCATAGTTCCAGTGGTCAAGGACCCGGAAGGAAATCCAGGAACAGAAACAGTGCTAGGGATCATAGTTCCAGTGGTCAAGGACCCGGAAGGAACTCCAGGAACAGAAACAGTGCTAGGGATCATAGTTCCAGTGGTCAAGGACCCGGAAGGAAATCCAGGAACAGAAACAGTGCTAGGGATCATAGTTCCAGTGGTCAAGGACCCGGAAGGAACTCCAGGAACAGAAACAGTGCCAGGGATCATAGTTCCAGTGGTCAAGGACCCGGAAGGAACTCCAGGAACAGAAACAGTGCCAGGGATCATAGTTCCAGTGGTAAAGGGCCCGGAAGGAAATCCAGGAGCAGAAACAGTGCCAGGGATCATAGTTCCAGTAGTAAAGGGCCCGGAAGGAAATCCAGGAACAGAAACAGTGCTAGGGATCATAGTTCCAGTAGTAAAGGGCCCGGAAGGAAATCCAGGAGCAGAAACAGTGCCAGGGATCACGGTTCCAATGGTAAGGGACCCGGAAAGAGTGCCAGTCACCGTAGGATTGGAGCCGGAGAGAGTTCCTGCAGGAACGGAGGAGATAGAGGCACCGGGGACAGAGGGAGTGACACTAGGAAGGCTAAGGGTGCTGGAAGCAGTTGGGATGTTACCGCCACTGCAGCACTCGCGGCAGCCAGTAAGCCATCCGATGAGAATGATCTGGATAGAGGCGTCGATATCAATACCAGCCGCGCCACCGCAAATAGCAGCCAACTGAGCACGAGCTTCCAGGGAGATAGAAAGCAGACCCTCTCCGGAGAGCAGAAGAGAGATGAGACCGTGGAGCTGAGAGCCGAGCAGAGATTCAACGGTTCCAACAAGGAAGGAGGAGAGATCAGCAATAATATTGGTGCCCAGCGAGACTTCAGCACCAGCAGAGACACCGAACGAAAGCCAGAACACAACCATAGCGTTTAGTTCAACAGTAAGACTGCAGCTGGAGCTAGCAAGCCAAGCAGAAAGAGCAGCACGAGCCTCGTAGCCGAATGAGGTAGCAAGCTCTCCCTTAGCACATCCCTCGAGGATAACCTTGAGATCAGCCTCAATGTCCAACCCGAACTCAGTTTCGAGGAAAGCAGAAAGGGAAGCTTGGGCGCTGGCAACCAGGGCGCCGGACTCTTCAACAAGGCCCAGCACAGCAGCACCAACCGAAAGAGAAACCAAACCACCATGGGGCAGGGTATTGAGGGACACGATATCACCTCCAATGTGACCTTCGCACCACGATAGCACGGTCGCCTGGAGGGTGGCGGAGAGCTGACATTCACTGCCGGACAGCCAGACCTTCAGCGCGGCGAGAATGTCCACAGAGAGGTCAGAGACAACACCACCAGCGGCACAGAATTCAAGACCAGCCTTGACGTTCACATCGAGCTCTCCAATGGCAGCGAGGGAGCTCGAGAGGAGAGTCTGAGCAGAGACGCTAAGAACGCCGAAGGCATTGTCAACCAGAGAGAAAACACCATCCAAGTTCACATAGAGGTCGGCCTCGGCAGCAATGCTAGCGCAGGTGGGAATGAAGACGGAGAGCCCAGAGCAGGCATCCACGGACAAGGTGACTGAATCGTCACCACCACACCAGCTCAGCAGCGAGGTCTTCAGGGACGCATCTAGGTGAATACCAGCACCGGTACGGATCCATGCAGCAAGCTCCTGTCGGTAGCTGAGGTCAATGGATCCAGCAGCACAACCCAAAGCACCGCCATTGAGGGCAGCAGCAGCGTGAGCGCTAATGCCACCGAGGATGTCTACAGGGCTGTGGCCCTTGAGAATATCGGTGATTGTGTTGATCAAGCCCTGGGCGAGGCCGGAGTGGCGAGGGTCTATGCCGGTGGGGATAGCGAGAGTGTAGCTCGCAAGGCCGGCGAGCGCGAGCAGCGTGTTCGACCGCATTGTATCAGGAGGTAAAAGTAAAGAATGTAATGGCCAAAGAACAAGAAGATATTCTCACCAAGGCGCCGCAGGCGAAAAAATGAGTGAATATGGCTTGAAGCCAAGCGACTTAACGATAGAATAGAGTGGTCAAAAGAATGACAGAAATCCAAAGCTCAAGACTCAAGGAAACGATAAACAGACTTGGTAGTTTGTACAGCAAGGTGATCTTCCCTCTGGTTTATATACCCCTGAGAGCTTCTTCCGGTCTGCCTCCTCCTCCAACCAGTCCATAATTGGAGCCGACCCCTAGCGGACTACCTGTGATCACTACACCTGATCAAGGAGTCGGATCTTCAACAAGGCCAACTCTAGTCCCGGGGATCGTCGTCGGGTGGTGATAGACCACGGCATCCAGGGCAAGAGAGAGAAGCCTCCAATCTACTTTTCGATGTGGATACATTCAAAAATCAGCCAAACAGAGCGACCGTATTCAGTATGTACTATTTCAGGCAGCGGAGTTTGCTAGTTAAGGATAGGATGAGTCCCACAATCCCTGGGCTATCCGCATTAGACGGCCTATCTTCATCTTAGCATAGAACTTCCATGAGCAACAAAGAGGCTAGACCATTTTGAAGAAGGCTAAAGGCTTTTAGTTGTTTCAAAATGCGAATGTTTCCTTCCCGAAAATATCAACAACAGTCGAAGCAATAATACTGGTGTGGACGCAGTGAAGTCATAAAAAAAGAGCCTCCACGACAGGAAGGAACAGCTGTGTGTGACTGGATGACAGTTACTCTGTAGGTTCGTGTTTCCTGCATTGCAGGTATTCTGCGACGCCGGAGTGTTCCTGCAGTCTGTAGACCACCCACCATGATGCCTGTAATATGTAAACCAATTAGGAAGACTTCTTGCAGTCTCAATGCGGTATCTATCACAGGAATCCAAGGCCACATTGCTTCAATGCCCTCAAGACAGTCCATGGAGTATTGATCATGTCCTACCTTGTCAGATAGTTAACTATGGTATAGACTTGAGTCAGGTCTGGTTTCAGAATGTCGAAAATTTCTGAGAACGCATGCCCGATGGATCCTGTAGTAGAGGTCAGGTCTAAAAACCCAAAACCCACAAACTCTGAGCAAGAGCTGGCTTGACGTCAGGGAAAGTAGTTGGTCAAGAGCCACCATACGATCCACCAACAAATCGTCACTTTGCTCGTAAATCTACTCGAGATTCCTGTAAAAGGGGTCCCAGGATCAATTCTTCCGCACTTAGGGCGCTTTGAGTTTTGTTTGTTCCTTTTTTCCTTTTGCCTTTTTTCTTTTCTTTTTTTTTTTCTCTTTATATCGTGATTCCATAATGGCCGAAAGATTGGATAGCATCAATCTTACCCCAGAGGATTGAAAAAGGCTAGGAATGTTCTCTGTAGTGGGGACAGATTGAGGTAAAAGCGGACAAGCCCCGAAGTAAGAGCAGTTGCCCTAATGAGGTGATTGGCTCTTAATCAGCTAGGTCTTTCTAGGGTGAAAAAGCCAGAAAGAGGACGAATGAAGAGTACTCTGTACTCCGGGTGGTCTGGGTAGCGGATGATTCGGAAAGCTGGACTGCTAATCACCATGCACAACCAACGCTTACCGACTTTAGTCAGGTACAGCTGCATCTCCTAGCAAGTCTTGACTTTTGAGCAGCGAACTAGTGTGCCTCAGCATGGGGCGGTTCAACCAAGAATCAGTTGTAAGAAAGTGAGACAAAGAAAAGCAAGTTTTGGGAAAGACAGCATCCTCCTCCGCCCAATCCCACGCCGGCTGTGTTGACCTAAACCGATGGCGTACTTCGTATATGCACTTGTTATGCAGTCAAGCCTCGCGCGAAGTTTGTCCCCAAACTTTTAGACGAATATGGCGCAAAAACGAAGAAGATCACTGCTCAGAATAGCCATGCCTGATCCAAATTGAAACCCCTGGATCTTTACTCTGTACAGAGTAGTTCCTCAAGCTCCACTTTCCCGGTCCAACTGATGTCGCAGGCCGGAGACGAGTAAAGGACCGTTATTGACCATTAGTATCACTATCAAGAATTCTGATCGACTCAGGAAGAATGGGAATTTGGAATAGGGTCAAGAAGCCAGGGTGAGAGGCTTCTCATCCGGAAATCTAGTAGCTGTGTTAGCTGGTCTCGACTCTGCCGAATCTCGGACCTTACGATCGATGCCTTGAAAAATTCAGCAGTCGTCGTAAACAAAGATTTGAAGATGACCTACCACCCTAGCCCTTTTGAGGGAGAATTCAATTGATCAATTGCTAAGGTTATTCTCGTGCATGAGCAAGAAGCAAGCACCCAAAAACGCCCCGGCAATTCCCTCAGACCATGTGATGTCAGATGCACCGAGCGTCTCGTTCACGTCGGTTCACCATTGAATTCTATTTTTATTTCTTTTTGGGGCTTTTTTTTCCCCATTTATTGTTGAACGGTGGAGTTCACCCTGGTTGTTTGAGATACATACCTAGATGTCATGTTTACAGAATAATCATCCTGAGAGGACGAACTTTCTCCATAGTTGAGACTACGAGAGGCATGGGTACGTCGGTGTCAATATCTGCAAATCTTGTCCTCTTCCCCCCCTCTTTACGACACTAACATTAGGCAAACCTTAGTGACTATTATTATTTCTCACTGCGATAATAGTGTACAGGGATTCTCACATCCGCAGACACTGCCCGAGGTCATCCAAAGTACGTGACAATGACGATGGCTGAGCACTGGATAGTGGTGGTTCAATTCCTTACTCGTCCTCCAGAAACATAATTGGTTTATGGGGTGTTCGTCCCCCGTCAATTGGGGTTAGGCCTTTAAGAAATTAGCCCAGGCCCCAGAGTCTCCGAATTCTCGCCATACTCTGTGTACGAATTGTCAAGCATTAGGAACAGGAACCCCGAAAGCAGTATACGGGGAAGGTACCAACCCAGTCTATATGAGAAATGGAAAAGGAGCTGTTGGAACTTTGGAAGCAAAACCATCCACTTCTCCCTCATAGATTCCTTCGCCCAAAATAAATGACGCCTGATCCAAAAACGGAGAGGCCTACCGGTGCAGGACGAAGAATTGATATATGTTCTTGGTTCTCCGACACAATCACTGGCCATTGATTCGGAAAATATTGACGTTGGAGTCTGGCAGAAGGGAAAAGAAAACGAAATTATTTCCAAGGATAACTCGGGTCTACTCTCCAGTCTCGTAACATGGTGAAGTTCTTGTGAGCTCACCTCCAGTCAAGCACTCGCGGTCCACAAGCTCAGATTAGCGATAGCCTCTGGTTAGCGGATTACTTCGTTACTCTATCTCATTTAAAATCTAAGGGCAATCAATAGGTATCCCAATTAAAGCCCTATTTCTGATTAAACTCGTTGATTACCAAGTTGATTGTAGTTCATGTAACTAACTACTTCCCATTGGAATGGCCCACCAGCAATGCACCTCATTTGCAAATTCAAAAACAACCACAACTAGAACAAACATATTAGTACCACTTTATTTTATATATAAAATGCCAAAACAGATTTGAGGTGCTCCGGAAACGATCCCAAAATGTTTTGTTGACACAGAATTGATCACCCTGGCAACGTCTCAGTCACGTGACAGGTCACGGCGACCCGTGGTTCCCAGCCTCCCGCAATTGTTTATCACTGTGATTGCTCTTAATTATACAGACAGCAACCACACAGCAAGCAGCCCAAGTACGAGTGTGGCTAGGGGAACCCACGGCACATGCATCGGGGGACACGTCCATGCATTATCTATGAACTTCAATGATGGCCTCCCCGAATTCCCTCTCCACCGCACATGCGAGTGGTCTCTATCAACACCCATCCTCTCGACAAATGTCTCGCGCCTCCATCTCTCGCTCTGGCTCCAGGCGCACCTCCCCAAGTACTCAGAATGCTATTGTCTCTCGAAGTAGCGCTGCATTGATCTCGAGGCAGTATTCAACCGGCGACAGCTCCGACGAAGAAGTTCCCGAACCCAAATTCAGTGCGTCTGTCAAAGCTCTCCTCGACGAGGACGACGTGGGTTCTTCCCCCCATCTCCGCAATAAAAACCTTGAGCATTATCGCCAAAGTGATCGTGTAGGCTCTGCCGCGTCAAGTCATGACAGGCGGTCTCGGACCAACTCCCCCCTCGATCAATCAAACGGAAGCCCGGCTCCGCGAGTGGTTCGCATAGGATCGAATGTAGGGAGTGGCTCGAGGACAAAACGGGAGAGTTCAATTCTAGCAAGCAGGGAACAGGCGGAGCCAGAAGCAAAGAATTACTCGAACGATTTCATTACACCCGCGCCTAGGACACGTAGCGTCCGCATTAATGCGTCGCGTAGTCACACGCGATCTCCAGCTTCCATATCACCGTCCGAGAAGCGGTCAGTCAGCCGAAGTCCTGTGGACGCGCAAGGAAGTGCAGAGCGCTCCGGGGATGAGAGAAAATCAAAATACGATGAGGACTATGCCCCACGAATCGGAACATCTTCTGTGCTTAGAACGCGGAATCTAGAAGATATTGGTGTCCAAAGCTCGTTGCGTGTGAAACGGGTCGGCAGGTTAACAGGGTCTTTCCTAAACGGACCTGCGAGGCGCGGTGTACTACGACGCCAAAGTGAGGAGAACAATGAACCTCCGGACTATCTCTCGGATGCCGCCAAAGACGCTGAGCTAGGCTTAAACGAAGAGAATATTGACTATCGCTACAAAAGCTCTACCAAATCATCGTCTCCTAAAGTATCGTGGGCAGATCCAAACCCGCCGCAGAGGAGTCACGAATATCGATCGGAAGATCTTGGTATTTCGTCCGGCGACGGTCCTTTTTCAAGATCCTCTTCTCCTAAAACATATGCATCACACTCCAAATCCACCCCGGGTTCTTCTTCAGACGCATCTTCAAAGCCCTTGAGCGCAAAAGAACAGCCGGTTTTCAAAGTTCCTCCACCCCCAACACTCCCATCTACCCGTGATCAGGAGAACGAGCCACCGCCGACTTTCAAACGCGTCAAGTCGCAAGGGTTCAACTTGCTGGATAAACCGGAGAAGCTTTCAGTCATTTACGGAGATGAAAAGAAAGAAAGCCAGGAGACACCGGCAGATAACTCTCCCAGGAAAATTTTGTCTACGCGAAGTAGTAATACCCCCCACCGACCTGCTCCTCCTCCTCCGAAGATGTCCGTTCTAGAAACTGCCACCGCATCTCATTCGCGCAAGAAACGTAGTCAAGTCTCCGTCAACCACAAACCATTCACACGTTTGGATTGCATTGGCCGTGGAGGTAGTTCAAGAGTTTACCGCGTTATGGCTGAAAACTATAAGATTTTCGCATTAAAGCGAGTGAATCTTGAAGATGTTGATCCAGTCACCCTGACAGGATACAAGGGAGAAATTGATCTCCTGAAGAAGCTGGAAAATATCGACCGAGTTGTGCGTCTATTCGACTGGGAGTTGAACATGGACAAACACACTCTCAGCGTGCTCATGGAGATTGGAGAATCTGATCTTGAAAAGATCCTCACCTATCGCTTAAACGCTGAGGATGCTGTTTTCGACATCAATTTCACCCGATACTACTGGAAAGAAATGCTAGAGTGTGTCCAGGCTGTTCACAATCACAATATCGTCCACTCCGACCTGAAACCTGCCAACTTCTTACTTGTCCAAGGCAGGCTAAAGTTAATTGACTTCGGTATCGCCAATGCCATTCAAGACAACACAGTTAATGTTCACCGTGAGCAACAGGTTGGAACGCCAAACTACATGTCCCCAGAAGCTCTGATTGACTCGAATGCGTCTCTCGGGCTGCCAGCAAGCGTTGGCAAAATGATGAAACTTGGCAAACCCAGCGATGTTTGGAGCTTGGGCTGTATTCTTTACAAGATGGTTTACGGTCAGCCACCTTTTGCAAAAATTGCTAAGTACTACGAGCGTATCATGGCTATTCCAAATCCCAATGTCAAGATTGATTTCCCAGCCTTCGGGGTGGGAGGAGTTCCTGTCCCTCCGGGGTTAATCCGCACGTTAAAACAGTGCCTCCAACGGGATCAGACTCTGAGGCCAACCGTGAGCGACCTTTTGGGCCAAAGAGATCCGTTCCTGTATCCTGATGCACAGCTAGAAGGCGCCGTCCCCATCACCCAGGACGTATTAGGCAGGATCTTGGTGAATGTCGTCAACCACTGCCGAGTCCGGGGGGTTCCCAATGACGAAGAGCTAGCCGCCTGGCCGGCTGGCTTCTTCGCGAAAATAAAATCGGCATTAGAGGAAAATGCTTGATGATACTCGACTTCTAATCCATTTCCTTTGTCCTTAGTTTTCTTGATATTTTCGATGATCCCATGATCCGACGCTTTGCACCAATACCTCCCACCCGGTTTTCTTTTGTCTGGTACATTTGCTTCGGTTGCCTTCTTGGATTTATCAATCTTTCTTATTCTTTTTGGGTATATTAGGGCCCGGTGTTTATGGGCGCTTTGGGACATTGCATCCAGCTAATAGCAAGCTGCGGAGTCCAGCATGGAGTTTGAGTATCCTTGGATGACATTAATTGATGACTGTTATACCTGCTTGTCTTTCACTTTTCTATGTATATATTTATTCTACCAATTGATGACCTTTTCTTCTTGTTCGACTCTCAACTCAAAGTAACCTCGAGGCTGAAGCTGGGAATTACTCCCAATATTGTTTGTTCTCCTGTTAAAACTTTTGACGTATGTATATATATATATTTTGTTGATCGTGACCTTGGAGATATCGGAGAACTTACCGAACACCTTCCACTTCATTGAATTAAAAACAAAACACACACATAATACTAAGTCCTACGAACAAGTCCAAATACTTTTTTTAGTACCTACTTGGTTTCCCCAACTTCAGTAGTTTTGTCGCTACGGTTAAAAACTCGTTTACTATCAGCACGCACCTACATTTACCTAGTTCATCGGTATATTTCAGCAACACTGGCATATAAAAACAGGCCCACGTAACATGGAAATCGGGGAAAGAAGGAGCGCACGCTATTGCTCATCTTGTTTGTTGAGTCTATAGTATTAAGGGAAATCCCTCCATTTACATCAGAAGCAAGAAACCTCATATCATAAGATACTTTTTAGTTAACATGACTTGACAACAGGTGCACGCCGCAAACGCCATCCGTGAAAATAAACAGGTTGTAAAGAAATAGAGGGAAAGGATTCTAGGACATGAAACGGTATAGGAAGCGTGATATCGAAATGGAATTAGACGAGAAGAACACTATCGAGGGTACATTGATTAGTATCTGACTGATGGCTGGAATTGGAGAGAGAAAGGAAGATTGTGAGGACATACGCATTGACACAGCCATCGTTCTCTGGGGAGTTCGTCACCTGGGCGTATTTACCCCAGGCGACCTTTCCGCCTGCGGTGACGATACCGAGTTCGGAGACGTTCACTTCGATGATCGTTCCCTTGGTGAGGACACCAAGTTGGGTGTAGAGGGGATTCTGGGGGTTTTTCTTGACGGACAAAATGGGTAGTTGGACGGTGACGGCCATCTCAGGGCTGGAGGGAGATTATATTAGTATCATCGCTCGCTCTCTCTGCTTTGGAGATGACTTGAGAGAAACTCACTGTGTGACGTTCGCCTTCTTATAACGCAGACCCATAGGGCTGTAGTGAAGTATTATTAGTGCATGGTCCCACGGATACAACTGCATGTGCAGAATGGAAAGCAAGACTTACCGAATGAACCGTTCGTATTTCACAGGTCGGCGAGTGAAGTCGCTACCAACGAAAGTCGGTTTGGTGATCATACGCTTCCACGACTTCTTGTGTGTCTTCTTTCCAGTGTTGACGACCTTGAACATCTCCTCTTCACTGATTCCCTTAACCTTAGGTAGAGGCACCGCAAACTTGGCGGCCTTCTCGGCTCGTTTATCCTTAATTGCACTGGACAGGGCTTTGGCATTGGTAGCCTGGGAACGGTCGAGCAGATATTGGGGCAGTGGTGTCTTGGAAGGCTCGTCGGGCGCAGATGATTTGACGTTCTTCTCTTCCTGTGCCTTGATGCGCTTCCGCATCTGGATCTTCTCTGCATGGCGCTTCTGCTGGTACAACTTGGCCCTCAGGCCGCGCAGGTTCTGCGCATCCTTTGACTGCTTATGCGACTCACGGGCTTCACGCTTCCGGACACGCTCATCGTGATCCAGTCGCTTACCGTGCTGCTTCTGCCAGCGCTCGATATACCTAAATACAACAAGGAAAGATTAGGTCTGGTGGGATGGTGGGTTCATGGAGGGGGTTGGGAGGGACGAACTCGTTCTGAGGCTGTATAACGAAAAAAAAAAAAATTGTTAGTTATACGGTTCTCAAATGACAAAAATATCATCTGTATAAGGGTAACGTACCATGGTGAAGGGAGGAACTGGTGAGGGTAAAACTGGGTATCGAGGATGATGGTCGACTGTCTCAAAAAGATGTTGATCAAAAAAGTTCGACGGAGCGATAAATCACGTGGTTTGTTATCCGCTGGAATTTCTTCGCCGGCCGCAAATCCCAAGTGAATCGATACCATCGCCCATCAATTCAGTCCAAACAGCCCCCAAAAGACACGAAAAGAGACGGGATTCTCTGTGTCTTTAATCAAAAATGTTTTCCCGCTCTGCGTTAGCAAAGGCTTTTGCCCTTCCGTTGGAACAAACCACACGCCAACCGCTCATCACCACCTTCCGGGCCTCCCTTCATCAAGCAACAACGACAGCATCCAGTACATCCCATCCCGATGTGCCATTAAGCGCTACTCCGCAGACGCAAACATCTGCTCCAGAGAAACAACCCGAGCACTCAACTTCATCCACCTCCGTTCCTCAGACACGCGACCAAGTACCCGCCAACAAACAGCCGGTTAAGCCCACTTTCGACTCGCCGCTGAAAGTCTCCCAATCCCTCCTCGATATGCTGCCACACCTATCAAGCCAACGACCGCACTACATTACCACCCACTTGCATGATAGGCCCTACCTGCTTACCGCTGGTGACCACCTCCGTCTGCCATTCCTCATGCCTAAAGTGAAACCGGGAGATGTTCTTCGATTCAACCGGGCTTCTGTCCTAGGTTCTAGGGATTTTACCTTGAAGGGAGCCCCCTACGTCGATGAGCGACTATTTGAATGCCGTGTCCGAGTCATGGGAGTTGATTCGGAGCCTTTGAGGGTCAAGGAGAAGACCAAGCGCAGACGACGACACGTTCAACATGTCACGAGCAAGCACCGCTATACGCTCTTGAGGGTGATGGATGTGAAGGTGAAGACCGCAGAGGAATTGCTTCAGGAAGGAGCTGTTGTTGTGGATGGCGCAGAAGCTGCTGCTCAGGTCGAGACGAAGGCATAGATGTGTTGAGCGGAGTCTGCTAAGGAGTACTGGGAAAATTGTTAGGCGGAGTATGATGGAACCCGCATTTTCCTTTTGTGACTATTTCCTGGGACTTGTTGAGACCAGTCATGTACAGATAGATAGATCTTGGTGCATGTTATCCATGCATTATACTGTATTCTATAATTGCCATTTCAAATAAAAGATAACAGATGTTGTCGATACTTGCCCGTGTTCTGATTCAATGCAATTAGATAACTATGTAGGGGTATATATATCGAGGGTATCCTGTGGCTACAAAGAGAGGTCAAATTGCTTTGCGAGAATCATTTCGCAATACTACTAGACTACCCTAGGTACTTCCACCCTCCCTGTCGACTTGTGGAATGGGATAGTCTATAGAGTCTCGCCCCTTTCAAAGATATCTTCCTCCGAACTAGAAAGTGACGGGTCTGCGTACATCGCCGCAGCGAGGCTTTGGTAAGCACAGCATTTACGAAGTATGTGATTTGGATAGCTAGGAAGCTCTAAAGAGTAATGGGCCAGAGCCCATTTATTTGAACTTACCAAAGACATCAAAATCACCCAATCATCCCACCAGTATCCGGCTTTTGCAAGATATTGTGACTCAAACCGGAGACCCACGGCAATGGTTGCAGGCACGAGAGTGCAGATGCTGCCCAAGGGTCTAACATTTTCACGAAGACTAGAGAACTATGGGGCGAGATATCTGAGATATTAGCACAGCCTCGTCATATTCGGAAGCGATTTAGACCGGAGATATCTAGGGAACCAGATGAATGACTAACGCGGAGACAGATTCAAGGAAGATCCAAGATCATTGTGAACCATATGTATCCATCTCTCGGGGTGGCTGTCATTGACAGCTGCAAAGCTGAATCAACATCCGATTCCGTGTTGTCGGCTGACGATGGCGCAAGACCTAAATCTTTCTTAACCGCGAATCTGATGAGAATGGAACCATACCGAAGCTCAAATCTACCCACGGAAAACAAATGCTGGGGCAACTTTAGTTATGCTGTGTTGTACTATGTCTTATGCTTGTTTCGTTACATATCAAAAGCAATTGGCGTATATAATTCAATAAATTCGAGACATCAAGGACCCCATTACCAAACCAAAGAATCCAGCCCTAGCTGTGCCCGACAGCTCTCGAGGCTGTTATACTGCCTCTGCTCATATAAATAAAACTCGTCAGTGATGGAGGCCCCGAGCATACGCTGGAACCCGTCTAAGTCTGCGTCCGCATCCATCATCAATCGTTTCGCTTTAGGTGTTTTTCCAAGGTTAGAGTTGAAAATCCCCCCCGCTGATAGTGGAAGGAAGTCCTCGTATGTGATGGGCTCGTATTCTAGAATCTTATCGTCCAGTAATTGCTTCAGTGTCATAGAATATACCTTGCGGGATTCCAAGCTCTTTTCACCCTCAGTGTTCAGTTTAAAGCAGAAGTATGCAAGCTTCTGCTCCCACAGTTCATGCATACTATCGGGGAATTCTTTGAAGTGTTTTGTCAAGATCTCATCGTACTGGGCAAAGTCTGCCTCTTTCTCTGCTGCCTCTGTATTCACACGTGCCAGAATCCGATCATATAGCTGTCGACCTTGTCGTGTGAGGGCATACCCACGCTGCTCAACTTCTCCAAACCGCGCTGTGTGAGATCCCTTAACGAACTGACCGAGCGAATCCTGGAAGTACACTGTCTCCTCCAAAGCTTTAAAGCTCGTTTGGCGTAAGAGAATCGGGCATACTCGACGTGGAGGGCCCTCAATCCGCTCTTTAGCCGGCATACCGTGGTCCTGCATCATTTTCTGTACCAGGTCGATGTCGATTGTTCGCGGAGTTAGATGATTGATATGGCAGCTCGGAAACGAGACAATATCCGCGATCAGCGGGTGCTCAGCTTTAAGAATTTGATACTCTTCCATTGTGACCGTAGCCTGTGAATGCCATCGGAACGTCTCCAACCCCTCTTTGATAAACTCCTCATACATCTTGGTCTGGAGCTGACCTTGCATCTCGGCCTCCTCAATCAAGTGAATCAAACGATCACTGAAGATATTTCTCTGCTTCAAGGCTTCCTTCACCAGATCACGCGTTCTCTCAGTTAGTAACTCCATGCGCAGCACCGTCGTAAACACTCTGAACGGATGCCTCGCTAATGCCTCTCGACTCTTCGGTCGGAAAGCAGTCGCATGCATCGGGAACCCGGCAATGCTCAGATCATAGTACCCCACCGGGAACATGCCCATGACTGCAAACATGCGCCGGATAGTCGCAAGCTCGTGTGCTGTTCCCAGCCGGATAGCGCCGTGTCTTTCCACGCGGTGTCTCGAAGGTAACACATCATCGGGATTAATAACGTTAGGGCCACTGTGCGCCTGACTAGCCCTGACAGCTTCCGCATCTGCTTTCCAAACCAGATCTACTAGATCCCCATAGAGAGGGACTTCGCTCTTGTACATCTCCGAGAGCGCATGGCAGAAACGTGCTCTGAGGGTGTCCTGGCCGTACTCCATATCTGATGGATGCTCGTACTCTGTGGTAGATATTGATCGTGATAGTTAGCAGTATAATAAAATGATATGTATATCTAAAAGGAATCAAAGAGCACAAGTTTCTTCTGCAAAAGCACACAAAAACTAAAAGATAAATACCAACCAAGGGAGTCAGATTATCAATCATGATAAGCCTTTCTTCACATTCAGTCCATGGTCAGCAATTAGTGAGTGAGTGGTTAGTTATGTGATGTGAGTGTCCTGAGCGCCCCGTCCGCGTCGATGCTTATCCGGGTTTCCGGATTCGATCCGTCGGAACACTTCTCTAAAGATAATATAATATTCCCCGCTTGGGGTGTCCAATCATTATTGTTATCATGAAAATTCGTATGGATATTCTCGGGATTTCGGGGGGAGATATGCGGAGTTGGCGTTCTCATCAAGTAGGTGTATAGATTGAACGAGCGGAGTATGTTCAAGTATTTCCCCACAATTTGAAATACGTACACGCTGATGCTAAATCCGAAAGCCCGGAGAATCCCAGATCGTACGAAATTGTCGGGTGGGTAAACGGAACACGGCATCTGTCATTGGCGAGTCAGTGTGTGTGTGTGTGTGTGTGCCAGTGTGGTGAGCTGCTTGGTTAGGGATCTTAATGTGCTAACCAGTAAGTGCGGAGCAGTCATTCTCACGCCCACTGAAGCCGCTAACCGAGGGAAAAGACTCAAAGTAACGATCAGATATACAATCGCGCCAGCTGTAGAAGCTGGCCTGGTCCACTGAGATTAGGTATGGATGAAGGGGAATCTATGCCAGCGACAGCTAAACTTCGCGCTTCACGTCGAAGACCACCACGTGCTTCCCGTGCCTGCGAGACTTGTCGCGTTCGAAAGACCAAGGTATTCCCAGTCATCTTCTCCCATCTCATTCAAGAACATTGTTTTGTCCAATATTTCATCAAGTACCTATCGGACTGATCAGGGATAGTGTGATCAAGCTCAACCATGTTCCTACTGTGCTTGTATGAATATCCTGTCTTCAACCTCAATGAACGCTATTGATAACGGGAAATAGATCATTCTCTCAACTGCACATACAGAAATATAGGCACAAATGAGAGCCTATCTACTATGGAAAAGCGATCAGCTCAAATATGCGAGGTTCAAAGGTATACGCAGCCCATCTTTCTCGGCCTTTTGATGGATTTCACCTCCTAACATCGCCCAAGAGCAAAAGGTCGACCCTCACCCTGGCCTGAGATCAACCATAATTCTCCGCAACATCTACGACGTAGCCACTCTCCAGAGAGACATCCTCGGGATGTACCTGCAAGATCTCGTGTTCCACGATATAGCACAGCTATCAACGCTAGCTCACCTTTAGGCTCTGTAACCAGGCATGATGTTGATGACAGAATTGGTAACCTTTACGCATTCGACTTCACTTTGTCAAGATACTAAGGCAATATTTTTTCTAGACTCTCCAGAGCTATGCGATTCTACGTCTAGGAATGGTCTGAGTGGTGTAAATCTTCACACTAAAGGTACCGAATTTTACGGCACTTCTTCAAACTTCGCATTTCTCGAAAATTTATACGCACGCGCATACAGCCCAGGAATGGCACGCCTTCCCAATGCACCTGAGAATGGTGCGTCGTCCCTAACTACAGCAAAATACCCCATACAAGACTTGACACTGGACCAAAATATCCAAGCTACCCCCAATCCTCCTACGGAGACTCAAGCTGAAAGGTCAAAGTCCGCCACCAACAAAACCCAGTTATCCATTGTCAATTTACTTTACAATCCAAACTATCGCAGCCACTCTCCTCCTCAAATAAGTGGCAAGGCCGACGAAGGCCAAATCAGGAGCGGGCCCCAGAATTCCCCTCGGAATTTTGCTGGTTAGTAGACTTAAACGAGCTCGATGCTGTGCAGCTATGAATTGACGCTCAAGGAAACCCAGATGAGAACAACTTAACATCAGTGATCGGGAAGCTTTCCAATGAAGCCCAGGTTGAGATTGAAAAAATATTCGTTAACAGCTACTTCTCAAATAAACACTACATCCATCCTATGCTGTGCAAGAACTCATTTATGCAGCGCTGCGAGCAGCAGGCTTTTATCCCCGCCAAACGTCTTGCATTTTGCCGCGGATCGAGCGCGTTTTCGGGGCTCTACTTTGCTGTAGTCGCCTTGGGGGCTATAAATGCTAGCCCTAATGAGACAGCACTCTTGGGTTATTATTGCAACTCTTTGCCAGACAGCACAAAGCGCAATAATGTTACCAAGCCCTCACCGTTGGATTTTGCCGACTTTTACTTTGCAATTGCGAAGAAGGCCCTTGGGGACATTTTCGAGAGTTGCTCCTTGGAGAGCGTGCAGGCTCTATTACTCTTGGTCAGTCTGCTATTACTATCTCCTTCAACAATTGTCAAACTTGTTTCAGATTCTCACACGACCATTTATAGAGTGTCTTTTGTCAAAACGCGTTACGACCACATAGCTGCTATATGTATAGTGGGATGGCTGTTAGAACGGCTGTGGCAGTTGGACTCGCATCAGGGATCACCTCTCTGCCGCCTACTGTTCGCCAGGAAGGCATACGAACGTGGTGGTAAGTACTACTGAATCAATTCTTATATATGTTGCTCATATTGTCTAGGTGTATATATTCACATGAAGTGTTCGTGCACCAGTTGTCATAGGGGCTCAGTTTTGTTAACAAAAAGATTAATAGGGAGATGTGCTGCTCGTCAGGTAGACTGGACAGCGTGAAGGAACTTTCTTACTATCAAGTTCCACTTCCGACGATTCAGGTAAGATTCTCAGCCATACCGCATGATATAGGAAAGAGACTGTTATTAATCTGGACAGGGGAGCTATGTAAGTTTTCAGAGCTCGGATCTGGACGGAGATGGTGTTGCTATGGTCCCTGTAATGGTGTCTTTGGCGCGCATTATGTCCGAGGCGTCTCATCTCCTATATCATTCTCCAAAACGCTCTACAAGTGAAATGTCACAAACTGCTATGAAACTCGAAGGCGAATTACTCAAATGGAAATCCGACCTGCCTGGTTTTCTAGACATAGACGCCACTTCACTAAATGATCCTGAATGGGCTTTTAAGCAGAAACTGGTGTTAAGATTGAGTGAGACGACTAAAACAACCCCAAACACACATGAAGCTAACGTGGATAGGATTTTACAACACGCGAATACTTATACATCGCCCTTTTGTCGCTGCATCAACGTCTAGCGCCAATTCACCTATCCTCCTACAACATCTTCATACTTGCCTGGAAGCTGCAAAGGCAACCATACAAATGCAGTATGAAGCCTTTTTGCATAGAACATATATTCGAACATGGTAAGTTGTCCTGTTACACTTGTCGTGCTAACTCAATGTTGACAAAAAAAAAAAAAGGTGGTACAACACGACGTACGCTTTGTATGCTGCCATGATTTTGCTACATGTAGTTCTCTCTGGGTATCCTGGCATTCAGGATGAAGACCTGTTGTCTGGTGTCGAGAAGAGTCTCGACATCTTTGGGTCAATGAACAATATCATAGTCGCACGCCGTTGTTCGGAGATGATACGGGAAGTGCTTGAGCTTGCTAGGCTATGTGCTTCCAGGCGCCGAACCCAGTCGAAGTCGACTGGTCCCACGCTAGCTCCGACGTTAAACCCAGCAATTGGCGTTCAATCCTACGACCCAAGTGCAAACGACACCAGGCCAGATGCGACCAATGTTCCTCCCTCTGGGGTCGATGGCAACTTTTTCTTCTCTCTCTTCAATCTCGATTTTCAACCAGACACCCGGGCCAACATGCTCGCTAACCTGGTTGATCCTACCATTCTGGAGAACTTTGCTTTTGGAAACGGATGGAACGATTTTTCATTCCTGCTTGACCCTTAATGCCTACCATTTATCAATACATCAAGACCACATCAAGCCTACATCAATATGATAGATACCCTTGTATTAACTACAATGGGGCCCCCAAAAGACAGCTGGATCCGATGCTTTGGATATGGGTACCCGACGGTCTGACCTGTAAAACCCGGATAACAATTTAGGAGTGGTACCCCTAGATTATAGCTCCTGAAATGAACCATATAGATAATAATAAGGGCGTAAAGCTGATATCCCTATATTTAGCATAATTTTGAACTTTTGGATATTACAATATCTCAATAAGATATCTAGGCTAGAAATATTGCTCTTCTACGGAGTATATGGGATGGATACATCCAGGCCGAAAAACCTGCGTTGCTACATATATAATTTCCAAGTCGTAGTTCACTACCAGCAGACTTGTTTCCTTTTTTTTTTTTTTTTTTTTTTTTTTTTTGCCATTGATTTATTGAATCAACTTACTACAAGCGAGATAAGATCGCGAGTGTCTAGATGTATATATATATATATATATATAGGCTCAGTATGTTTTTCAACTACCTCTTCAAGTGAGGGAGGGGGTCCTGATACTCCCCCGTTTTAGAGTTAGGTTAGGGCTCCTCAGTACACCGCGAACTAAAGTTATATATATATATATATACATAAACAGTACTCGGTAATTAACCACCCTAAGTTCCTAGGTTTTCACCCGCGTTATCGGAGAGATAGATCAAGGTGATTTCAGAATCAGATTAGATGGCTCATTCGATCAGATAACGTGTTACATATGCCACGTGGATACGTTACCTACCATTTTTATCAATCAGGGTTGCAATTAACTATCGAATTATTCGTTCTTCTGATGCAATAGCTGCGTCTTTCCTGTCTATGCGCGTGATCTGCATTGGCAGCTAGGTAGTTACAATTACCTGGATGCGACCTGTTGATAGGAGGAAATATAAGAAATGTAAACTACTTTTTTTTAAAGAAATCACAGACAGTACAAAATGTTGTAAGAAGTTTGATCATAAATTTATGCTTCTATCCCAATGCCGTCCAGTCTATAAATATCCATCATGAAGTATGTACAGGGAATCATTTCATAGTCCAACAACGATCGTCAAGATCGAAACAAAAAAAAAAAGGTATCAATAAAATGCTTAGAGATGCCAAGCTCCAAATCTAGGGAGAAGAAAAAAGGTCATTAGAGACATCAAGGAAGAAGGAAAGGTAGGGTTAGGGCCGAGGAGAGAAATATTGAGGTAGTAAAATGAGGTTAGAATGGATTACAAGGGCTCCATCGAAGTATCCTGCACGCTGTCCTCGCTCACTGAGGTTGCAGGTGATGCTAGACCAGATATCACGGAAGAGGTTCCACCACCCTGTGCGGTATCTATTTCCAACATGGATTCATCGAGCTGAGAGCGTGATTGAGATATTGTCGGCTTTGAAGAACTGGTCATGAGCTCGTCGATACCGGGTTTGCCAGGCACGTGGTGGTCAAGATTTGTGGCGTTGTCTAAACTGTCTAGCGCGAATGCGAGGAATTCGGCATCTTTCTTGCTCACGCTCAGCGTCCAGCGATATTCGCACAATCGGAGGCGGTAAAACTCAGCCTCCTCCTTGGTCGGTGCGGTAATACGGAGGAGGACACCAAAGGATCCAATCAGTGCAAAATGTGTTCGGGAGGCCGCGGGCCAGAAAGATCTGAGGTGGAGTGGGCGGAGTCTATTGACAAAGTCCATTGCTGAAATCAATCGTGTCTTGGCGGCAGAGCGGCAGATATGAGACAAATATGCGTCGGCAGTTTCGGGGGAGAGAGAGCGGACAATACAGCGGTGAAGGGTGATTTCTGTCGCAAAGTATGACAGATGAAGGGCCCCGTTGCGGGCGGTTTCTTCCGTAACGCTCTCGAAAAGCTCTGTTGCGGACTCCATCTTGAGTGGGGTGGGGAGGCGCCCGAACCAATCTTTCAGACGAATCTGGGCGGGTTTAGCGCGTTCTAGGATCATCCGGGTCCTGTTGTTTCCTGCAGCCTTGAATTCCTCAATCGCCTGGAGGGTGTAGAATCGGTCTAGAATGTCGGAGAGAATTGTGGTCAAAGCGACCATATGGCAGAAAAATAGTGGGCCATGACCAACGGGGGCGTCCTCGGATTGGGATGTTGCCGGGGAGAAAGCGTCGGTGAAATCATCTTCCACGAGGTCCTGAACTGTCCAGTTGGAGGCGACGACATGCGACGGGCGTCCATGTACCATCGCAGACCATTTGTCCTGCATGTAGAGGGCCCATGCTAAGCGCTTCCTCAGCCCCTTCTCCCATCTCTCCATCCTCCAACCCAAGCAGTCCTGGTGCAGGCCAAGTTCGAATGCCGCCGTCACCAGCTGAGCATTTAAGGCGGAAGTAGCGAGGGTTGACTTTTGCATGAGAAGCAGGCCGGCTTGAATGGTCGAAATCGATGCGTGGGGGAGAGATTCAAGGAGGAGTTTCAGGGCAGTGCTCTCAAGACGAGCAGCGTCGGGTCGTCGTGTGGATTGGGGGGCCGGTCCAACATCCACAAACTTCAGGGCCAGCACATAGACGGCGGAGAGAAGAAGTGGTGAAATACCATTTCGAGTCCGATGTGACTGACGGAAGACATCTTCCATCAAGATAGGAAAGGTAGGGTGAATATGATCAAAGAACTTGTCTACTAGAGTGGATCCATAGGGTGCGACCAAACTCTCGATGGAGTCTAATGAGACAGACTGCGGGGGGTCACCGTGGGACAGGGTGTTGATAACCCGCATGAATGTGCCGTCGTCGCTGAGTTTGCGCACCCGGGAAGAGGCTACAGTACCTTCGTCGTTCTGGTCGACTGGGAGATATGCAAGGAGAGCAGGCTCTAGTTCCGTAGTGAGGCCGATATGTTGAGTTGATTGATGCCAATAGGCAGCTGTGTTGATCCGGTTGGGTTGATGACTCAATGGTGAGCGAGTACAGTCAGATTTGGAAACTTGGGGGATGGTGGATAGCCTGTTGTGGAAACCAAGCATTAGTGCCTATCTTGATAAAGCCTGTCCGAGATCGGCTACACCAAGCAGATAGATGGAGAGGGAAAAAAAGGGTACCTTTTAGGAGACTCCGCATCACTCAGGACCGTGTCGTCTAGCTTACGTTTCTTAGAAGGCAGGTCGGCTGTACTGGGGCGACTAGAAGTAGTAGTGGTGGTGGTAGCGGCGGCGGTCATAGATGGTGATAGGGTGAAGGTACAATCCTGGCGATGGAAGTCGCACGAGTAGCACTTATTGACCATTTCGTTCATGGCACAACGGCTCTTTCTGCGCAAACAAGCGTCACAACTCGGCGCATCCCGTAGTGGCGGAACGGAGAGACGAGGTAAAGTACCCAAAGTACCAATGGGAGCGTGGGGGGAGCGAGGTGAGGAGGATCGATGATGATGAGGTTGTTGTTGTTGTTGTTTCTGGAGATTATTCTGGACCAGTGGGCGTAGAAGATGATGGTCTGGAGAAGGAGACTGTTGGAATGAGGCTGCAGACGGACCAGCCGTCGAGGACGACTGGAGGGTGATAACGGCAGCCATTCCGGGATGACGGATAGATAGGGAATATACCTAGGATACCTAGATAGCAGGTATAGCGAAGGATCGAATGGAGAAGATAGATAGGTAAGGAGGAAACAGAAAAATGCCGAAAGATAGGCGGGAATAATCGATATAGGTAATGAAATGACGATAGTACAGAGAACTTGATAGGAATTGGATCACTAGAATTCCGTCGCGTAAAACCAGCAAACAGAGCTGGGTCTCCGGGGATTCTGCCGCCAAGGAGAGAAGCAATCCAAAGCGATCTGGGGTGACTGCAAAATAATACTCTGTATCGGATATCCGTATGCAATGTCCCCAAAAGTTGCCCGTTTAGGTAGAGCTTGGGGCAGGAGGGATTGGCGCCCCAACCAATAGCTGGAGAGCTGATGAAGAGAACCAGGCAAACCGCAGCGGAGAAGCTTATCAGGATGGGAATAATGGATATTGAGAGTAGATAGTTAATAATAATGATATTTGGATGGTTGAGAGTTGGAGTATGTATTATTATTGAAGAGTGAGAAGTCGGTCGGTCCGGGATCGGAGGTAGAAATTACCTACTCTTAGGTAGTAGGGTCTGATTCTGGAGGTATAGATGTGAGGAAAGGAACTTTGAAGAGGATCACCTCCCTATATTATTATTACTAGTTTAAATCTCAGTAGGCTCGAGAAGAGTCATCAGAAAGAGATTAGGGATTATTATTAAAACTGTCGGATTCTTGACGAAATGCCTATTTAATCATCCTTAACATGAGTATAAAGATCATCAAGACAATCTCCGAAAGTGAAAACGATCGATCAACCAGGATCTCTCCTTAGTCGCGCCAGTCGCACGATTTCCTACACGTAACAGATACCCGAACATCCATTCAGGCCAGTTGGTTCCTGTTCAATTGTTCAAAAGGCTGCTGGTCAATTAGATTTCGGCTTTGCCATCACTGCAAGGACCGAGATAAGTCTTTGGTCTTTGATTGGATCTCTGGATTCTCCACTGCCGAAAGAGGCAAGTCGAGAAAACCAGTACGTAATCCCAAGCGGTTTTGTTACCTAACGCTGAGGTAATACCTCTATTCTTCCCGTCTAGAATTCCCCTTAATTACCATTCCATTATTCTAATGTATTACACCTCATACTACCTAAGGTTGTACCTAGGTAGCTATCCGTTCTTCCGTTTTCGGCATTGATTGGAATCTACCTGACAATCTCTTAATAAACTTTGAAAAAAGTATGCACTACCATTAAGTTCCAACAAATCTCTGGTAGCCACAGAGTACTGCTAGGTATAAGAAGATAACATCCAATCAACACCCTCTGATAACATCCAACCCTCTCCAATCACAACACCCAAATTTAAAGCAAATCCAGTCTAGATCGAACCCGGTAACGGGGATCGGCGGGCCTGCAGGATTGGGGCTGTTCCCCACACCTTTTCCAGCCCCATCTTAGATTATTTTGGTCTCCTCAGGGAAAAGAAAAAAAAAACTGGAGATTCCTATTGGTCCCCCCGGGGCTTGGGCAGCACTCCGTCGAACTCCATTGTTTTCCATTATTAATGTAAATCTGCTCCGGGCTTTAAGTGTTCCACCCGGAGGACTCTCGTCCTGGAGATGCCGCGAATTATAGATGAACTCGAGGACAAACAAACGGGCTTGTGGTGGGGGGGAATTGTCTGATTTCGACTCATGTTTGAGCTGATTCAGGAAGGGCGTCTTGTTGCTTGGCATGCTCTCCACACTGCTTTTATACTAGTACTCTGCAAGTCTTATAATAGTTAATAACTAGGTACTTTAATAAGAGTAAATCTTATACAACACCTTATTTGTATCCAATGATCCATATACAGAGTACTAGTAGTATAATAGTGCTACTATAAATCACCAATTCATCCCTCACATAAATACAACCCTGAATGAAACATGCCCTTCCCAAACAAGGTATACTCTTTCTTACCCTACAATAGTTACCTAGGTAGGTACGGAGTACTAGGTTTGCAATCCCTTTTCCACTTTATTCAAATGCAACCAACCATTAGAAGGCAAACCGCACCGCTAAATCGGCAAGTTAATTAAGAGTCTAGACAACCTTTCAACTTGCCAAGGATTACTCCGTATATCCGGCAGGATCCCTTTCCAGGTAGGTCCCTACTACTAGTAGTACGGAGTACGTACTGCACCGGGTGCCGGAAGTAACATGGGATACTGTACACACCCGCTCTCCATGTAACTAACTACTACCTGCGTAGGTACTGTAGACGACTTACTTGATTATGAATAAATATCAGAGCGCAAAATTTCTCCGTACTTCAGCTCATAACTCGGTTTGTACGGAGTATCACTTTGAAAGAGAGAATGTCAAACGATGAATAATTCTCGAATCTTGATTAGTTATGCGGGGGGGGGGGGGTTCCCCTCTCTTACATATGATATGGTCCCTTAGTTAGTTAATATCAACCTCCTTTCTCAGCGCAACTCTGAAGAGATGACAAACCATACAGAGTATAACTAGTTATTGATTGCAGTTAGATACTAGTACTAGGTAGGTGCTTAACTAAACTATACTTACTATCTTTATAGTCAGGTAAGGAAAGAAAATGAAAGACTCGACACTTGATGCTACCTAGTATGGCTGTACTTGGTACTGGTACTAGGTAGTTTATGCAAGGGTTCCTTAAAACCGACATACAAACAAATACCTCAATACTCCTGGGTAGGTAAGTATTACCTAACTAGTAGTAGTAGCGTAGTAATCACATATGCCGCGGGATCCAAGATTCATATGAAAAAGCAACCCTCGAAATCGTGTATAGTACTAGTAGTGCTACTAGGGGTAACACCATGGATATCATGCGCACAGCCACAAGCGCTGCGAGTGAGGGCTTAAGCTCTCCAACCAGAGCATTTCAAGAATATTACGAGGTCTTACTATCTAGGCATCTACTCCGTAGGTATCCATGATGTAGTATTGCACTATATCACATCATACCTACCAGGTAGGTAGGGATCATATCATATGCAGAAGACAGATATCCATTCATCATTCGTATTACTCAATAGGATGCACGATAACCATGCATGTTGCTGCAGTAGTTTGCTGCAATCTCCATGCCATGGTTGAGTTTAGGTTTGCCGGTCAAGTTGGCGGACTGGTACGGAGTACCAGAGTAGATACCAGTAACCAACCCATCACAGCACAAAAACCATAAATGAACTGAGGGGTATTACTGCGAGGTACTTGGGTATATTCTTACTCTTCATCATCATTACTATGATTATTTGAATGGTGAAGTAAAAACTAAGAGGAATTCCGCAAGACGTTTTGATTCAAATCACAGCGCTGTCATTATTCTAGCGCGGATATTTTCGTTTCTCGTATGCATAAAGGGAGGTTACGAACGCCTTGACTCCATGCTATTATGTATATAGGGATTGCACCACCCAACCCCCCCCCCCCCCCCCAAAAAAAAAGAACCCACAAGAAAGAATTAGCAAGGTTACTCGGTGAAATTCCTCAGCTTGGTGAGCTCATCCAAGAGTTCCTGCAAATCCCCATCAGAAATTTTGGTCTGCAGACTGGGAATGAGCGATTTAGCCTCCTCGGCATTATCGCAGCACAGACTCCCTGCTAAAGGTTAGTCTGGGATTCTTTCCAACCAATATGGAACTGCAGTTACAAAAGAACAGAGACACCTGAGAGAGAGAGAAGGCAACCCCCCAAAAAAAACCGCGCTAAAAAGTGATAATAATGGGGAAAAAAAAAAGAAAAAAAAAATATGACAGGACATACCTAACTGGGACCGCTCAAACATCTCCAACTCAGTATGCGAGTTCAACAGCCGTTCGACGGCCTTGATGTTCTCCTCGTCCTTGAACCGAGCAAAAACCTCCAGATAATCTAGCGTCTTGGTGAGGTTCCTACCACAAAAGAAAGTATCATCGTGTAAGCCCTGCGCAATCTTCACCGAGCCCACTTCTGCAGCGGCAACTCACTCTGGCTCCTCGTATTTCTTGCCCCCTCGACGCTTATTCTCCAGCACCTTGTTGATGACCAGCCGGGCTTCCGATAGGGAGAGCGTATGGGTATTCTGGTCCGCTCCAAGTCTGAGAGTCGAGGCGGCTTCGAGCTCGCCTTGGGGGAGGGCGCGCTGGCGGTGCGTGGCGGGGGGTAATTGGACGCTCATTGTGATACCGGAGTGAACCGTAGCGTTTTCAAACGGGTGTTTCTGGTGCGGTCTTGATCAATGGGTTCAACTGACTTGCGGGGGGTTCCTCTGTCGTTTTGAGTATTGCAGTCCGCTATTTGATACACCGCTGGAGGGTGGTTGGATTTCATGCGGGGACCCAGAAAACTCTCATACCTAACTCTGGCGCGACCTTTGAGTGGGCAATTGAAGGCGGTCGTGATCTCACCGCTTCCGTATTTGGATTTAAGTAAACAGATCTACGACGCAGACCTTTTAGTACGGTCATGGGGCATCATGTGAAATTCGTGGCAAGATCTGCGTTTAAAGAAACCAAGGGATGCATAGGATAAAAATATAAGGAATTCAAAGGCTACGAGAAGTCAATATAAGGGTATCAATTGTTAAGTGGACTTTTTCTATTCTAATCCAAAGTGCTACCCCCAACGCCATCCGATGCAAGAATCTCTACTTCGTGGGATATCCTTCAACTCTTCCGAAATGCCACCTCATTCGGCAGACGGAAGCTGGCACAGAACATCTGCTTATTTGGACTCACTAGTCTCACGTTGTGAATGGCGAGTTCCAACTCCGTCTTTCCACTCCCCCCCACACGGTCCTCGGGAGTAATAGTATAGCCGAGTCGTTCAGACATGCGTTTGCAGATATCGATATGATCATCCAGCTCGTTCTCCGAATGGCCCGAGAAGCAGTACACGTGGACCATAGGGAGAGCCTTGGAAGTATACGGAGCAAACAAGTTCTCGTGACCGGCATAAACGCCAGAGAAGGCGTCTAAAAACTCAACGGCAGTTCCAGGCAGGTTCATCACATAATGATCGAAAATTGTCGGACGGTGGAATACCTCTGGAGGCGGCGGTGGCGCTTGCTCCTGGTCATTTGCTGTTCTGCGCGATCGTCGTACTTTGGGATGAATAGTCACGGTTACGGGGTCAGCTTCGAGGAGTGCCTTCGCAGACCATGGGATGAATTTCCTTCCGTCCTGATTAAACGGGGTAACAAAGTCCTGCACTCTGTTTCTTGGCACAGCATCCTGCATTACTTCGAAACCATGCGGGTTGAGGTCATTGGCCCAGACAAAAATCCTCTTTTTCCCCGCGGGAACGGCGAAGGGACCTACGCCAGCCATGACATCGCAAACCATCTCGCCTGGTCGAAACTTATCCACGAGTCTTCGGTGTTCGGTCTCTAAGCGGCTGTTCCAGTACACGCGCGAGAAGTCAAAGTGAAACTCGCAATCCTGCTCGTGCTGAACCACATTCATATCATCATCACCGGCTAACAGCTCAAAAGGGAATGTACGGAACTCGCTGCGCGAGCCCACATCTTCCGTCTTTCTAATTACCGTGCGGATTGTCGGGTTCTTGTCTTTCAGGATCTCCGCAATAAGAAATCGATAGGGTAAGTACTGGTCGCGGAGGTTCAAGTGAGCTATTCAACCAACAATATTAGCACCATAAGTCGAATGTAGAGAGAGAGAGAGAGAGAGAGAGAAACAAGTAAATAGAGAGACCTTACAAATATGGCCGACCTGAGTAAAACCCTGTGGGATCTCATCGAGTAAATCCTCCGGTAGGATGGCAGCAATAATATCGGCTGATGACATTAGTCCACCTCCGCAGGGCAAAGAAACAAGGAAGCAAGAGCACTCGCTCGCTCACCATAGTTCCAATAATCATACTCCAGCGTCAAATCATAAGGCCGAACGCCCACAACACCCGTATTCACCAGCTCACTGATCTTCGGCGACCACGTCGCAGCATCTGCACATACACAAACCATTAGCATAATCTGACCTTGGTCAAACCCACCTCCCATTCTCTATGGACAACCCCTCCCCCTCCCCCTAACAAGCCTAAAAGGGGAAAAAAACAAAAACACATACATACCATCATGCTTTATTCCCTCCCTCAAAAGCAAGCACTTTCTAACTACATCATCCTGCTTTACTTCCCGAATCGCGCTCAGTCGCGGCAACGACAGTAGATCCCGGCTCTTTAGCAGCTCCTTCCGCACATTCGAGATATCAGAGGCCTTGAACACCGTCGCCGCCGAGAGCGGGATGGTTTTCTTGAAGAATGACCGGTCCAAGACCCGCATCGCGCGGTTCACGGGGGGTCGAAACATGGCGGGGAGGTCGCTGCTGAGCGGACTGCTAGTGTCGCGGTCGGCGGTGGCGTCCATGGACATAAATATAGAAGAAAATTTGAACCGAGATTTTATATGAGGGCGAAACTCTCGTGTCTATTTCATTTGCTCGGGTTTGGGGAGTATTTTGCCCTGGATAATTGCTGTCTTGCGTTGTTTCTTGCGTTCAATCTTGTTTTTTTTTTTTTTTTTTTTTTTTAATTTTAACACGTGATGCAGTTGGCTATCCTTGAAGATTAGGCCCAAGTCTCCACACCCAATTATTCAGGTATTGCCTGCTTGGCTATCCCACACGAATCCAAGACTAGACAATAATCAGAAGCCATTCACTTGCAAGTTACAGATTAGGATGTAAATGCGCTCACTGACCATGGCGATTTCAGTAAATCAGGGAGTACTGACCCTGGACCCCGGACAGGCACAGGGATGGGCTGAAAAGGCCACGGGTTTTGAGCCAAAGGCCATGCAGAACTGTGGTCATTCCGCCATTACTGACTACTACTCCATAGTGAGGGGTATAATTAAGCATTTTGGGTGATAATGATGGAGGTTGTAGGTAGGCAGTATAAATGTATATGTTAGAAGTGCGTGGATTTCAACACAGTCTCATATCTCCTCCCTACTGTACTTGGCTATATTACAGCTATAACAAAGCAAGGACATAAAACCTCGCAATAGAACAAATAAGGAAAAAAAAAAAAAAAAAAAAAAAAAAAAAAGCAAATGCTTACCTGGGTATCATACTATTATGTCATGTCATATCAATCAATCATAGCCCAAATCACTTCCCCTTGTACGAACCCCCCATGACACTTCGATTCAACTCCCTCTGCGACTCCAGACTCGCGATCCTTTCATTCAACCTCGCGATCTGCTCATCCCTCTTCCTTAGCGAGACCCGCGATACATCCCGTCCCCGCATAATTCCATGAACCTTCATCCCATGCTGATGAAACAAACCGCGCAGCTCATCCTGCGCCTTCTGCGGCACAACCACAGAATGCTTCTCCAGAATCTGCGAAACCTGCACCGCCAATTCCGATGACGACGCTAGCGGCGATTCCGGAACCTGCTGCGGCACCATATTCTTATAACGACCCGGCGTGGGCGTCAGGAATGGCCCACCCCCAGTAGGATGAGGTGGAGCAAATGACCCCGGCGTAGCAGTCCCACTCGCGTTGTCGTCTCCTTCTCCCTCCTCTGCGTCCAGCCCTCGCCTCCTCTTCCGCGGCGGCGGGATATTCTCCGTCCGTGCCGGGTTTTTTGGCGGACGCCCAAAGTCAGGCTGTCGTAGCGGTCGACTGGGGTCTAGTAGCTTTCCCATCTCCGTTTCGACGGTATCGTCCCATTCAAACTCATCTGCATCTTCAGACATCATGCGTGCTTTTGCGCTTGGAGGTGGGGGAAGAGGACCTGTCTGTGATGTTGCGCGGGGGTTGGTGTCGGGTTTAATAGATCTGTCGTGGCTACTGCGTGCTTCTTTATCTCTTTGGCCGGTTTGAGGTGTTAGGAGGCCGCCTGGGCCTGTCGTCGAGCCCCTGAGTGTCCGCTTCGAGGGTGTTCGCGGCGTAGAGGAAGACTCTGAGTGAGAGTTTGCGAGAACAGTTAGTTTCTCACGGGCTTCAGCGTCGCTCGCCCAGAGAAAGAAGTTACAGCGCCGCGAATAGTCCTGTTGGCAGGTGTAGACTGGAGATTGTGATTAGCGCATTTTCATATCCAGTCCAGTCCATTTCAGTAAGGAAGTTTCCATCTCCTTCAAATATACAAGTGAAATAAATACAGAAAGGGGGAAATTAATACACCATCTTCCATGGTTCACGCCATGGTTCTTGGTCTGTAGCTTGAGCGCTGGTGGTCGCCCAGGGCAGTTACAACGCCAGACGCCATCGAGGAAGAGACCACGCAGCGGTGCAGCAGTGCGAGGGGACCCCATCCCTGCGACTTGGTTTTTATGCTGGGGATATTGTGGCAGTGATGGGTTTGCAGCGATATCTTAATCGCGATCCTGGGACAGGAAAAGCAGAAGATCGAGAAAGTTGGTGGTCGTGATGGAGAGGAACTTACGAGCAATGACCTACCTAGGGAAAGCTGGTCGCTATGGATACCAGCGCCACTGTAGGATGCCCAAAAACTGGGTCGTCCCGCCGGCTCCGGGGCAAGTGTCGTAGTTTAATGTAGTTGAGTGGGTGCTTGAGGTTTGTTGAAGAGAAGATAGTTATTAATACATACTGCCTAAGGTGTATGTTACCGGTGACCTGGAAGCTTCTAGGTATGGGTTACTACTACTACTGCTAGAGTATAAGCACGGAATTTTCTAAAATATATACTGGGATAGGCAAGACAAAGTAGAGTAATTGAAGAGCAGAAAAGGAACGAAAAGCCTGAATTGATCTTTTCTATAGAAATACAACACCGTGCGACCATAGAATAATTAATATGCCCCTCTACTCTAGCTATGCAATGCAATATCTCCAAAACCAGCCATGAAGAAACCAGCAGCAATTAATTATCCCATACCACTTAAAAAAAAAAGTATAGATAGACGTATTGGGTATCATAAGAATATGAATCTCATTCTGCAAGAACCTGGCGCAGCAAAACACCAAAGGACTCGGAAAGTTTAAGAATCTCCGTAACGTCGGGTTTAACAGGTTCGCCAGCTGTCCTCCGCAGCTGGTCTTGTTTCTTGACCCGGCGTCGTCTTTCAGCACCGATCGGATCGAGATCCTCGGCCTCATCCTCGGCCTCAAGATCATCGGAGGGATCGGAGTCCGCGTCGGAAATGGCAAGGTGTTCAAGATCAGCCTACTGATGGTTAGTCTCTTTTAGTCCTAAAACAGTAACCCGTTAGGAATAACAACAATAACAACATACCTCATCCAGACCAAAATCACTTCCCTTGAATGTGGCATTAAAAGGAGAAGAGACAGTTCCCTCGGCTGCCATCTTTTGTCGGGTCTTATTGAGGTGCCACTCCTTGCGGTCCTCGTGCCACTTGATGAGCTTGTTTATCTCTTCAAGAGCTAGGTCTTTGTCGATCTGGCCAACATCCTTGGCTCCATGGAGCAAGGCATTCATATCAAGCTTACCTCCACGGGGACCCTTGCGGAGGAACTCGAGGATATTTTCAATCCATGCCATGAGAGATCCAAACAAACCATTGTCGTGAAGATGCACCTCGTGGATGAACTTGTAAAAGCTTCCTTGATGGCGTTCGCAGAGATCGATAAACGCCTGGACGGTCTGGTTTGGATCAGCGGAGATGTCCTGTCTTTGGCATTTTTCGATCACGGCGATCGCGTCATCAGCAAACTTGGCGAAATCGGTGATGCTGTTGTAGACGTTTGCCGACTTGTAGACGCGCACCAAAGGCTCATAGAAGATGGTGAACAGGTCACGGAATAGTTGTAGAGTGACAGGTTCTTCAATGATACTGAGCATCATGGCCTTGTCTCTTTGCCGTGTGTACAATTTAAGCAGTTGCTTCACATTGGCAAACCAGCGCGCACCCTCTCTCATTTCCTCGTCCACGTGCTCAACAGCGTAGTTCCAGGCGACATAGGCATTGAACACTTTGCCTACTTGCTCTGTGTTCAGCTCGAAAGGCAGATATTCTGAGCGAAGAATGGCGACGACGATGTCTACATCCTCCATGCTCGCCTCTAAGCGTACCTCGTTCTTGACGGCCTCATCTGCATCAGTAAAGGCCTTTAGCTTTTGACAAACAACGGTATCATTAATCTTAGCAGCCATGGCATCGATTGACTTTTGGAAGCCCTTGATACCATCGTGCAGAGTCATGGAAAATATCCGTTGGAGCAGGGAGCGAGATCCAAAAGGTTGTGCAAGGAAGAGGTCCAGGACCCCGGTCATGACAGCGGCGGGGTTGGCGATACGAATCACATTCTTCAACAAGGTATAGGGCACTAGAGAATGAATTCGCTTGGCCTGTGCGAAAAGTTCCGCCGAATTGTCTTCAGCTAAGAAGAGATGGTATAAGGTAGCCGCAACCCTACCAAGAGTTAGCACGGGCCAAAGTCGGTAAAATTATCACGGTGATAGAGATCAACAAAGGACTGATCAACCACATACTCAATACGTAGCCACTCAGCAAACTTCTGATACTGTGGACTCAAATCCTCAATGGTAGCTTTCTCTCGGATCTCGGCAAATAACTTCGTCAAGCCGTCTGATAAACTGGGTTAGCATAAATTTACCCTAAGTGTTGGGGCCTGAACAACTTACTGCTCTCTACAATATCCCGACGGAACTTTTCCATGTAGACGTCCAGCTCTGCTGCACGCTGCCTGGCAATTTCATAAAAGCGCTTCTGCTCTTCTATTCTGATAGAATCGACCTCTTTGCGCCTTTCCATATCTGAATATTCCTCTTCGTTCGGAAGGAGAGGATCAGCAGTCAAGAACTCCTCTAAAGCTCTTGACTCTGCTGCCCTTTTATGTTGCAAGAGGGTGCGGAGGAATGCACGAAGTGAAATGCGCTGCTCCTCCCGGTAAAGTACTGTCTCGCGCAAATTCTCGACGGACACTCTAGGAGATTTGGATTTTCTTCGCATAGAACCGCGGGACTTAGATCGATGGATTTGCGTGTGGTTTCCCGGAGCAAGGTTACGAGATGAGCGTGTCTCATCTACAGCAGGTGCATCTTGGGTAGACACCGATGAAATCGAAGATCCGTCATCATCAACGGACCCGAAGATTGTCGAGGTTGAAGATGACTTGTTTTTCCGTGGAAGAGGTGGTAAGGTCTTGCCTGGGAGTTCAGTCCGCAGTCTCTTCTGAAGCTTCACAAAGTCCCCGAACCGTCGAGCAACAAAGGAGTCTGCCCGTCCTTCCCGTCGCACGCGAATAATGAACTCCTGCCATAATCGTTAGCGGGGTTTCATCGAAGAAAGCATTTTAGGGACATACTGCATGTTGATGGTATCGTACTGTGCGCTTAACTGATGTGACCCGCACAGCAGCAACGTTTACATCCCAGCCATGAATTGCATTCCCCTCGGGCATATTAACAAGTAGTCCTTTGTCATTAGCGCCGCGGTCGACCACCTCCATCTCCGAAAATTGGATCCGCTCTTCATAGCCGGATGCCGTGGGAATGCCCGAGACCATCATGAGTTCGATGAGCTTTTCACATTTCCGAGCCAACTTCCTGCGCTTCGTTTCCTCCAGGCGGTCTTCGGAAGATGACACATTCTTATTCGCAAATGATTCGAGGAACTAGATCTCGAGGTGTCAGTTCTTCGCTTTACCCCTCCCCACGCCAAGTGTCGGATCAACGGGGGGCAACGCACCACCTGCAACTTGTCCTGCCAAAACTCCTTTTCGCGGGCTTGGTCGAGGAAAGGAAAGTTGCGCACATGATGCACGAAGATATACCGAAGGATTGGAAGCTCTGAGTCGATTGGGGCAACTTCGCCGTATTCCGATTTGAAGGGGGCTCCGAACCGATGGAGGGCGGTTGGGGAGTTCAATTCGGCAATTTCGGATTTAACCTGGCGGGCAATGAGCTCGCGCTTGAGGTCTGTGACAAGTCAGGTATTGGAACTGCGAAATCCAGAGCAATAGACAGGGACAGGAAACCAACAGTGCTCTTGCTTTCCCGTGAGGATGTGATTAGAATTCGGGATGGGGTCATCTTGGTGGGCGGCCGACCGGTCGACTCCATTGCTCGCGTGCATGGTGGAGATTTGTTTGGGGAAGAGGAATATGTGTCCAGGAGAGATGGGATCTCCTGGACGGACAGAAGGTTGATCTAATAAAGTAAATTGACTGAAGAAGCAGTCTAGAGAGTCAACTGGTATTATTAGTTCATAACGCAGCCAAGCCGTGCGAGTGAGTGCGGGTCATGGGCCTTTGGATCCGCCCGCAGGATGGGAATCCGTCTGCCTAGCAGGTGGATAGTTCTGGGCACAGCAATGACGTCTCTTTGGGCCAATCCGGGTCCTCCAAGCCCCTGGTATTGTATATATTTTCTTGGAGATTAAAGGGTTCCCTGTTCTGTTGTTCGAATAGGGCTGAGATAAGAATTGGAAAAGAAAGGGATGAAAAGGGATGAGATGGAAGAGAAGAAGGAAAAGGAAAAGAAGGAAATGATGGGTTGACGACGAAGAACTGGGGGGGTTGGCGTCACCTGCGTGGCTACTTGGGATGACACAAGCAAGCAGAGCATGGGTTGACAGCCATCATTCAATCAATCTTCATTATTCCCCCCCCCCCCCAATAATTAAGAGATGATTCTATTATTATTCTGGTCCTTTTTAGACCTCCCTTTTACTCCCTCATCCGAACTGACGCGTTCTGCTGGGCCCTGCAACCCCGCGCTAGACTGGGCAGAAAGAACAAACACCATATGGATCTCCACCACTATCACCACCACCCACGGCTCACACCATGAAGCTATGAACTAACTATTACGATGATAGCTAGCTTTAGTCTAATAATCGTCCTTGGCTACTGGGATTGCGCAGAATTGGCTCCCAGCTGGAAGATAAGTCAAGTGTCCCTCTTACTGCGAGATAAATAAGTGGCTTAACTCTGATTCCCTATTTTAGGAAGGATTGCGCTATCAACATTTCGAGATGAACTCCTTGTTCGACTGCCTTTGTGTTGCTGCAAGCTGCAGGACCTTCCTTTTTTCTTGCTTAGGAATGTAATCATTCTCCCAAAAACATGACGCGATAGTTCCCCTTTGTCTTGACAAGTTTGTCAGGATGACTTGTCTCTCCGTACAATCACGAATCAGTCTCTGAGACACCTTCATGGGTCAGATTTTAGGAAGATGCACCGCCACTCATGGACCAAGACTTTGGTCTGGACTTTATACAACTTTACGGAGTCTGAGGCTCTGCTCCGGGGGTAATTAATTGCGTTCTGAAATCGAGTCTTATAAGATGGCGCTCCAGGATAGGGATCAAAATACATACAGTACAGTATTCTTCTCCCACAGGACAATTCCTTACTCGCTGGGATCAGGCCTAGAAAAATGTTATAAAGAAAGAAAAAAGACAAGGGGAATGAACAAAGATTTACCATAACCAACTGCAGTTCACTAGTCCTAGAATAGGCCTTAATAAGTTTGTCCATTGTGGCTGAGATGCTCTAATAATAAATAGTGGTCGCTCTTTCATCTCCGCCTCCGCCTCCGCCTCCGTATCCTCTTCTCGTTTCAATTTCATCACTCAATCTTATTGTTAGCCAGAATCAGATTGAGTACTGGCGTTTGCAGAGACTATTCGATATGGAGGGATTTTGAACTTGGATGTGCCGTTTATTTCATAGTTGATCGATAGAGGCATACATTCGCCATCATTTCCCCCTGCTGACCGACGACTACACCTGGAGTTCCGCTCCTCACCCAAGGACTGTTGACCTCCAATTAGCCTCCCAAATCCCCTAGATAATAAAGAGCGAGGATGAAAGAATTCGAAGACCGCGAGGACTCGGAGTTCCTTCCAATGGCCCGCCCACGCTCCTCATCAGCCGCCTCCCAGACCTCCGACGACTCCGGATTATCTATTGACTCCGGCCTCTCACAAGAAACAAAGTATAACCTCGGATCGCCGAATACATTTGGGGACCGCGAAGGACCAAGGTATCGCGATGAAGAGGATGGGGAATTAGGCGATAACGAGTCGTTACTACCTTCATCTAAGACTTCCTCCAGTGGTCGCGTGCGTCGGATACTCTGGTTGTTGGCGCTACTTTGCTTGGGCGGTTGGGTGCTGGCGTTCATATTGTTCTTAACAAAGGGGCGCTCGAATCCCCAAACGGCTTCAGATGCGCTGCAGTTGAATGAACCTAGTTCCCACTCGTTGAGCACTAGCTCGGGGAAACCAATTACACTGGAACAGGTGCTCACTGGTCAATGGGCCGCAAGATCGCACGCGATTTCTTGGATTGCTGGTCCTGACGGTGAGGATGGCCTGCTGGTGGAGAGAGGAGAAGATGGAGGGGAAGGTTACCTGCGAGTCAACGACGTCGGTGGCCTGGAAGATGATACGCGGGCTCGAACTCAAACTAGCAGGGTGTTGATGGAAAAGCCCGAGGTAAAGGTCGATGGAAGGATCGTTTGGCCTACCACCACACATCCTAGCCCAGATTTGAAGAAGGTGTTGCTTATGTCGGAGGAGGAAAAGAATTGGAGACATTCCTACACAGGCAAGTATTGGATCTTCGATGTCGAGACCCAGACAGCCCAACCTCTGGACCCCGAGGCTCCTGATGGGCGGGTGCAGCTTGCGATCTGGTCACCAAAGTCCGATGCCATCGTTTTTGTAAGAAACAATAACATGTACCTTCGAAAGCTGTCCTCTAAGAGCGTCATACCGATCACCAAAGATGGTGGTGAGCAGCTTTTTTACGGCGTCCCAGACTGGGTTTACGAAGAGGAAGTCTTCTCAGGAAATAGCGTGACTTGGTGGTCCGGAGATGGGTCAAAGATTGCATTCATGCGCACGAACGAGTCTGCTGTTCCTGAGTTCCCTGTCCAATATTTCTTGTCTAGGCCCTCCGGGAAGACCCCCCCTCCTGGGCTTGAAAATTATCCCGAAGTGAGGGAGATCAAGTATCCCAAAGCCGGTGCGCCGAACCCCACGGTGAATCTTCAATTCTATGACGTTGAGCGGGATGAGGTTTTCTCCGTCCATGTCCCTGACGGCTTTCCGGATGATGACCGCCTTATCATGGAAGTTTTATGGGCAAATGGAGGCAATGTCCTCGTCCGGACGACTAATCGAGAAAGTGATATTGTCAAGATATTTTTGATTGACACTGACGCTAGGGAGAGCAAGCTCGTCAGAGTCGAAGATGTCTCTGAACTTGATGGTGGATGGGTGGAAGCAACTCAGTCTACGAGATTTATTCCTGCTGATCCCGGCAAGGGCCGACCCTACGATGGATATTTGGACACAGTGATCTGTGATGGATACGATCACCTGGCCTTTTTTACTCCCCTTGATAATCCGGAGCCGATTATGCTCACTTCCGGCCAGTGGGAGGTTGTAGACGCCCCTACTGCTGTTGATCTGAACCGTGGCCTAGTATATTTTATTGCGACCAAGGAATCGCCAACACAGCGCCATCTCTACAGGGTCCAACTGGATGGCTCAAATATGCAGCCCTTGACCGACACCTCGAAACCAGGATACTACGAGGTCTCCTTCTCACACGGAACCGGGTATGGTTTGCTCAGCTACCGAGGCCCTTCGATCCCATGGCAAGCGATTATCAGGACTGAAGGTGATAAAATGGTGATGTTGAAGACTGTTGAAGATAATGCTGGTTTGTCCCGTATGGCGGAAGAATACGCTCTTCCAACCGAAATTTACCAGGACGTGACTATTGATGGCTTTACCCTTCAAGTTGTTGAACGGCGCCCACCCCACTTTAACCCAGCTAAAAAGTATCCCGTTCTTTTCTTTCTCTATGGTGGACCTGGGTCGCAGACCGTGAATCGCATATTCACAGTTGATTTTCAATCATACGTTGCGTCAAACCTGGGCTACATAGTCGTGACCGTCGATGCAAGAGGCACAGGCTTTATCGGACGAAAAGCACGCTGCATTGTTCGGGGCGACCTGGGTTACTATGAATCCTATGATCAAATTGCTACTGCCAAAATTTGGGCCAAAAAAGTATACGTGGACGAGACTCGGATGGCTATTTGGGGTTGGAGCTATGGCGGATTTATGACTCTGAAGACCCTCGAACAAGATGCTGGAGAAACGTTTCAATATGGAATGGCCGTAGCTCCCGTCACTGACTGGAGGTTCTACGGTAAGTGCCACTCGATGTAAACTTGGAGCTTACAAAACCCTAACCATGTTATGTTTCTCACAGACTCGGTCTACACGGAGCGTTATATGCACACTCCAGAACACAACCCAAGCGGCTATCACAATTCCTCCATTAACGACATGGCCGCATTGCAACAGAACGTCCGATTCCTGGTGATGCACGGTACCTCCGACGACAATGTACACATCCAAAACACCCTGACCTTGATCGATAAACTGGACCTTGCTGGCGTCCAGAATTATGATCTTCATTTCTACCCCGACTCTGACCACAGTATTTTTTTCCACAACGCCCATGCCATGGTTTACGAACGTATGCTTCTCCCACCTTATTTATCTTATTCCATTCCCCAAACACACAAACACACACACAGAGAGAGAGAGAGAGAGAGAGAGAGAGAGAGAATTGTATACTAATCTATTTGGGAATCAAACAGGCCTTTCGAGCTGGCTCATCAATGCGTTTAACGGCGAATGGCACCGAATCGCCAACCCGATCCCAGATGAATCGATGTGGAACCGCCTAGCGAAACGATTTCTCCCCCGTTCTGGCCCATTGATCTGGGCATAGACCACTTTGGCCTCCTTCTATATATCTCTACTGAGGATAATAGATGTGCAGAGCACATGTATCTCCTTGAAGCAGAACCTCGTGAAGCGTTTTAGGGTTTATTTTATCTATCTTTGATTGTTCAGCCTAGCCTATCCTATTCTATTGATTCGTATTTATTAACGTATTCATTCCACCAGCACCAAAACACGTGTAATTTCACTAAATCTAATTATTTCGACGTGTAGGACATCTAGTTCCAGTATGCCCTGAATATTATAATTAGAGTATGTTGGTAGAGCGCATTTTGACCCTCATTATGTTACCTATTTCTTGATAAACTTCGATCCCTTGCTTCCTGTATTGAAATGCCTTCATTAGGGGGGGGGGGGGGGGGGGGGCTATCTAGTATTTAGATCTAGTTAGACAAGATGGGATGGATCTTCAAGGCATATTATTATTATATTACATTCACCTAGGTCACAACTACTCTTGTAGTCACTATCAGATCTATAACTAACTAGCTAGTAAAGCCAGTCTCTTCATCGGCAATGCCATGAGTGCAACTAGGTAGGCAGCTTGCAGTTGGCTAAACTATTAGTGTAATACTTTTAGATCCTGATATTTATTATTTAGTCCGTTTACAGTTATATTTCCTTGCAAATCAACTTTTGATTGAATCATGGCGGGTAAGAAATTTAATACCTAATTCTTTCCAGTTGGCGGTTAGGTAGATGAAAGATACAGTATAGGTATAGCCCATTTCTACCACATGTATTGGCTAGGAGCAACTCCATTCTTAATCCATTCCAATAGAGTCTCTTCCTGAATACTTGGAATTTCGCGCTTTTTGAAGGCATGGTTAGTTAAACGCGTGAAAATTTGGGGGGTGTCTAGCATTGGTGAGTATGTACGTTATCATACATATATATAATCGTATATGAATCGTTAATATACTTCTGCTTCCACTTCCACATTGGTTCTGGATTTTGTGTCATTTAATCTAATTGGCATTATAGTTTCTGAAAAAAAAAAAAAAAAGAAATAATACGTGCTTATGTGCCATGGAAAAAGAAAATGGATTTTTGACCTGTTCATAGAAGGACCACCCAATAACTAAAAGTTAAAAGACAAGTAGTATAGCACTTTTATATTATTCAGTACATACCCAAAGCTGTCACATGCAAGAAGAAACCCTATCAAAAACAGTAGATAAGACAGTGGGTATATATATGTATGACACAAGGAAAAATCGCTCTGAAGAAATAAAAAAAAGTAAGAAATGACAGACACGAGAGAATTAATTAAATGACCCCAAACACACTTTTATTAAGTATTTCGTTGATGGAAAAAAAAAAAAAGGAAAAAAAAAAAAAAAAAAGAAAAAGACAGGAGTTAGTTTGAGAATCAAAGTGAATGTAGAAAAGGACAACAAGGTTAGGAAGACATAAAAACCTCGAACATCAAGTAGCATGGCTGCCTTCATTCCCACGGAAGATACTCGACTGAAGGAATTCGTCTCTCATGATGGTACTAACGTCGGAATTGCGATACTGCCGAAGGTCCTCACGTTGCAGACCGCGTACCTGGTCTCTGCCCCCGGTCGAAAGCGAAGTAGAGCGAGAACGTCGGCCGGGGCGACTGAGTCTGGGGGATATCCGGCCTGTTGGGGGACGGCTCCCGGAGGTGCCAGGGAAGGGGAGTGTTTGGCGTGGGGCAAATACAGGAAGAGTGGAGCTGGGGAGGGGGAGAAAGGAGCTTGCGTCGGTAGAGGCATTGCTGAAGCTGGAATGGATGGAAAATGGGCGTTGGTTGTTGACGTTTATCATGGGGACGTTGGAGACGGAGCTGAAGAGGGTCGACATACCAGAAGCAGCGGAGGAACGCCACGAGTTGACGGCACTTTGGGGAATAGTAATGACGTCTTCCTCAATGGGGATTGTTTGTTGAATTGCTGTTGCGATATCGGTCGGCTCGTCGAGGGCACCAGGAACACGACTCCCTATTAGTTTTGCAGATTTGCCTATCCAGAGCATTTGCTCGTGTTCACGGAGATAACGATCGCCACTGAAGGACTTTTGCACAATCTTGCGTGTCATCATACCGAGTTTGCGACGGTATTCGCTTTTTTCGTACATGCGTTGGGTGATTTTGGCGACTTCTTCTGGTGTTGGTCTCGAGGTGAGCACGGGTGGCTCCTCTGTATCGTCTGCATATTGACTCCATTCACCAAGAAGAGCTAACATGGAAATCTGAGCTCTTGCAAGTGCCTGGGCATCATTGGGTGCTACAACGGCACTGAAGCGAGAGAAGTCGTCTGGATCGCTGAGTACTCGCAGAGAAGCACCAACGTCAGTGCAGACCACTGGGGCACCAGTTAAAGCGGCTTCTCCGAGAGCGAGTGGTAGACCTTCGGAGAGGGAGGAGTTTAAGAAGAGCCAGGTGTTTTCCAACACTTTCATGGGATCAGCCGAGCCGCGTAGAGTTACCTTGCCTCTTAGACCTTTTGAGGCAATAATCTCCTGACACTCCACGGAGTAGGTTGGAGCTTTGTCAATTGCTCCGTAAATATCTAGGTGATAATCCTCAAACTTCCATTGGTTGATGATGATATCCGCGGCAAGGAGGGCTGTCTTAATGTCCTTGGCATACCAGACATGTGACAACATAGTTACTGTAGGGCGCGGAGACTTGATCTCTTTCACTGGTGAGAACTTTTGCATATCTGTAATGCCGTTGACAACAGGGTCAACTTTACGGCGGAAGATGTTGCGGTGCTCAATTGCTCCTTGACAGGTTCCGATCTCCACTTCCCAACCAGGATTGAAGAAGTCGGCACATGGCAGGATGATATCTGCGTGATAGAGAGTTAGTGCAGATGTGACTCGCATTAAACCAAGTAGTGTATTTCGAACGAACGGAGAAAGCTTGCAAAGCGCAGAAGAGAGACAGAGATTCGTCTCACGCCAACTGATTGCATGATCCCAGATCTGCAAAGTGCAGTTTTTCTTCATTTTGCAAACAACACCGTAGGATGCGCTGACACTGTGGTGTGACGCTTGGAATACACTTGGGATTTTTTCGGGTATCGGAATGGAGAAGATGAAAAGGTAGCGATACCAGAGTTCTAGGGCAACGTCAAGAGTTCCTAAAGTGGGCAATTCAGTATGGAGCCACTCCGAGGAAGGCATAGTATTCGGCATCTCTTGAGTGAGCCAAAGATCTCTCCAGCTTTCCTTGACAACGTCGCTATTCCACACCTGGGTCCAATGACGCGAATCCTGGAAGAATGTATTCAGGTTCACTAAAGCCCTAGTTGCCTGGCGGATTTCAGCCCTAGAAAGGTGAACGCTGCGAGCTCCTTTGACCAGAGCCGTCAAAATTGGGATGAAATTCATCTTGATATCCACATCATTGGCAGATGTAGCGCTTTCAACCTCTGAATCAAGTTTATTCCTGAAGAGTCCATGTGTAGGAGTGAGGAAATCGAGACCCCAGAGAGGAATCACCTTCAAGGAGAGAATGTTTTGCTCAGTTTGATGTTTGGGCACACCAAAGTCATTGGCTGATTCGCATATCATATGCCATTTGATTGACCGAAGGGAATTAATCATATCGCGTCTGCAGGCGGAGACACCGCCACCTTCATTTGGCCAGGTTCCTGTATCTGCAGCCATCACATGGAGAGACTTTTCGGTATCAGAGCCAAAGTCTTTAGACCTAGTGTTGACCACAGCATCACCACCGGGGCCAAAGTTGAACAGATCGCTGACTTTGACTGCCAACGGGGTCCAACTGGAGATATTGTCATCAAGATCTGCACTCGCAGTGATAGTATCGGCACGGAGCTCCAAGTATTTCTTTGCTGCGGCAAGATCACCCCAATCGCGATTGCGCCAATACGGTGCAAGGGTTTTGTCTCGTCGCAACAGCCGATCATCCATCCAACGAACAATGATTCCATCAAAGTCAACTCGCTCCTTCCAAGCTTTCCATATTAAGGAACGTGCCCGAGATGTGGAAACAGGAAAGCGCATTCTTGTCAGGCCGAAAAATCGGGTCAGAATGTTTGAGCTGAGACTATCGCAATAAAATAAAGGGTTGTCATGTACAAAGCTGGTAAACTTGGGCTTTGCGAGCACTGCCAGGTAGTCGTGTTCAATCATCGGAGGTGTGTGTACCTTCTGCCCGTTCAAGGTTGTGAAGATAGTTGGATGGAATTTATGATCATACAACCATCGCGCCTCATAAACATCGGGACCTTGGACAAAAGTGGCTTCTGTAACTTTGGCATGCGGAATCCACCGTTCAATTTTTTCAGGATGCCGCAGAGGAGGAGCGCACCAAGACACAGTGCAGGTAATATGCGAAAGGGCAAATTCTGCGCGAAGCAATTCGTCTCCAAACCGAGGGTTTTTGCGGTAATGATACTTGAAGCGAATGAGATTGCCATCTTTCATGTAAGATCCCGCTTCAACAAGTCCCTTACGGTTGTACTGAACGCTCTGAAGCTGATTCTCCCCACGCACACACCGACGGCCCATTGGAATCTTCGACTCGGCGGGTTTCAACGTGGCTTTCTTCTTTGTTGGAGTACGATAGTCATAATGATATTCGTTCAACACTTCGCCGCCTTTATACTCTTGCCGGATGAGGAGGAGGAGATCTTTAGAGTAGGTGCTGATCCATTTAAGATGCTTTGTTCCTTCCGGCTCGACCTTGGGTTCACCGGCGTAGTAGAGGACTTGAAAACCTCCATCTGGCTGATTATGTCGGAAAGCTGTGAAAGTCCCATCTAGGCTTTGGACTATATACCTGCTTTTCTTGATGTTGATGGTCATTCCCTTTGTTTCATCCCAGAGCTGCTTGACATTGTCTCTACCGTGGAATAAGAAGAACGACAACCCCAGATTTTGCATAATTTTGGCATAGGACCAGACCATACTCAACACGAGCGTAGCTGGTACACGAACGACCGCAGGGTAGCTGCTCATGACGTGATTGTACTCTCGCTGAAATTCGGGATCTGCGACCAAGGCGACGACGACAAATTTGATAGTGGAGCCGATTCCATAATACGCAGAGACCAGAGGTTTTAAAATAAAGTACAAAGCCATATGAATCTGCTTTGGCATGTACGGGATATATGCGGCAGTTTCCGAGTCCTTGAGGGTAGCAGCCTCACCAGTGCCATAGTTGGCGTAATCAAGGATGCTGACCGCAGCGGCGGCTCCTAGATTACTTCGAGCTACGTGAGCTGCTAGATCTTTGGTGTCAAATTGACAGAGACTCCCCTCCAGCCAGTTGTAGTTTTTATCAGAAAGTTGGCAAGGCTGGCCAAGGCAACGATCAAGCAATGCCTTTCTGATACCCTTTGACAGCTTTTCCCAGTGAAAATCGCATTCGAACCCGAGGCATAGTTGACGAAGGAGCTCCTTTTTAGCCCAACGTACGACAAGAGGCGTATCTGGCTCTTCTCGAAGCTGTCGTGCAGTGGTTTCGGTCACTCCTGCGGCGACTAGGGACTCAGCAAGCACTGCATACTCGTGAGGCATCTGCATCATTGATTCCGCAACAGCATGGAGAAGAGTCTCAGCAATAACTTGACAGTTGGCGCTGACATCAATTCGCTGGGTTATTCCTCTCCCCACAGCCAAAGCAATCCTCAATTGACTTGTGGTACTGCAACTAAGAGCTTGGATGCTTGGCCCAAGCGTGCCGGGGGGCACCAATTCGAGAAGCACCTTCCCTTGTTCCCAGGACTTTAGGGCAAGGTCCACAAGTTCCTGTGATCTCGGGAACGCCTCTTCGATTCTAGGTTCTTTCCTCCGTGAAAGAAGGACTTGTTTGACTTCAACTCCAGGATGGGAACCCGGATAAAGTGTTAGGCGAGCCTCGGACGGGATCAAGGTCAGATTCTCGAAGAACGTCTGCAGCTCTTGTTGGCTCCACTCTGGATCTCCCCATGGCGCGGTGTATGCGTGGAATGTCTTTCCAAGTTCCACTGGGGAGTCCACTTCCTTTGGCATTCCCATCTTAGCTGAAAAAAGGGAGAGAAATGCAACTGTCCATGTGGCCACTCCCAAGCTTATGACCTGTGAGTATTCGAAACGTGGTAGGTAAACTTTGAGTGCAATACCAATAGGTAAACCCACAATGGTCCCGATTAAAAGTGGCTTCAGCGCGTGTGGTCCAGTGAAAATCTTGGTGTACTGGTACCAAAGCAAGCCAGTATAGGCTAGAACATAGGAGAAATACATGATCATAGCCTCAACATGCGACTGGAAGGTCCACACCAGTGCTGTAGAGAAGGCAAGGCTCCATACATGCCACATGAGGAATTTGAAAAATGTTCTCCAGTACACCTTCCTTTTAAACTTTGCGTCTCGCTTTTGTGCTTCTCTTATGTCTTTAGCTGTCTTCAAAGCCACCGGTCCATGGCCTCCAACCAGGCCGTGAAGCTCTTGGGCTTTGGTATCGATCAGCACGGCGCCAATGAGGTAGTAAGCGAGCGCGAACCCGACGGCCATGCGGTAAGAAGTTGTTAGGGAGGAGGAAAGGCCAATCAGGTGGTTGCCGCTCAATAGGTCTACCCACTTATCTAGGAGAGCCACGATGAAGTAAATAACACCGCAACCAATCTCTCTGCTTGACTGCCGCCAGTGGATAAAGGCACTGTGTAGCCTTAACCCTTTTTGAGCGCTTCGAAGGGACTCAAGGGCAACCTTTGTTTGGATATTCCAAGAGGAGCTGAAAGGAATTGGCCTGGGTACGTCGGCGTATCTGCAATACCAATCGAAAAGAAAATTGGTCGCATCCCAATCGCGCGCAAGTTCAAGAACAAGAAGACTACTAGTAGTCGGCTTAGAGAAGAACCACCGGTTGTTCTCGTTTAGTATATCCCTAAGTAGTGCCTCTCTTGAAAGCTTCAAGACAGCCGGGTCACTCAGGTTTCCGAAGACCTTTTCATCCCCATCACCGTAGGCCTCTATATACCATTTTCGAATTTCTGCGTCATCTGTTCTCCTCAGATTCTGATACCAAGTGACCCACTTCGATGCAACATCTCGGAGGCCGAAAAGTAGAGACCCGATAAAGACATAGATGACTGAAATATAGATTGCTGAGTCGTGGCCTGTGAATGTAGTCACTATTGGCGAAACGAATAAAATCGGAATGCATGCGAATATCACTTTCCGGCCGGACAGAAAAGAGGACCCAGGGTAACTGAAACTAGCAAGGCAGGCAAAGCCAGAGAAATATGTCGTCAAAGCGACCAGATAGAGGTAGAAGACGATTCCAGCACGTGGACCATCCACTCCAGAGACAACAATAAACCCGATCAGACCGCCGATAATGGTAAATGCGATCCCAGCAATGAGTCTGATGAGTACGAACATGTTCGCTGCCGCAAAAGCCATCGAGATGAGATAGTAGGGCCCGCCACAAGCAATCCACGTACCTATTCCACCAGACAATAACAAAGATATCATTAGAGCGGTGGTAGCACTGTTCTGCTCCTCGTACGTCATAAACGCAGAGAGATAAAGACCACGGCCAATGATTGTGAGGAGGATAATATCAATCAAAGCGGGGACCGCGAATACGCTGAGGAATGTGAACCGTTGATATCCACGCATTGGTTTAGTTTTATTATCCGGGTCAACGTCGATCTGGGCCCCAGCATACGCTGTAGCGAGCTCAGGGGCACCATTGATCCAGTCAGGAAGTGATTCATCATTGTATGTTTTGCGGAAACGATCGGATAGTAATTTCCCAAAAGCACTCGGTGAGATATCAAAATAGGCCTCGCATCGTGATCCCAGAGCGAACGATTCGGCAAAAGCGGCAGCTTGGTCAGGTTGAGCATTAAACAACGGATTTCTGTCGGTCACTTCCTCATAGATCTCGTCGAGGGCGGCCTTTCTCGCAGCACAGAATATTGAAAGTAACAAAACATCGATATAAGCGTCGAGGCGCCCATTTTGAGCTAGCAGGCAAAGAGACCGCGAAATACGCTTCAGGTCTCCTTCACGACGATCCCTTAAGATTTCAGTAAATGCCAATTCTGTTTCATGAAAAAGAGCTAAACAAGGCGAAGGTGATGGATGTCTGGAGCCCTGTTCTCGATACCAGCTGATGCGAGTATTGATGACATCCTCGGGGGAGACGGATCCTTCAAGGTAGGATATTGTACTGATTTGTTTAAGTTGTGCTAAAGAAGGCTCGTCGATTAGCTGCCTCCGGATATAAACGCAGATGGTTTCGGACACATCGCTTTTCACGTCAGTGAGTGACAGGTGCTGCAATAGAAGGAGTCGTTCCTCTGGGCTCAAAGCGTCAACATCCCGCACAAGCCGGCGGGGCAACTCGATATCATCTGCAGTATCTTTCGACCACTTGGCCAAACTAACCTCTGCCTCGAAGCAAACATCCCGTGGACAACCCTTGGCAGATAAAAACGTATGTAGCACGGTTCCTGCCAACCCCTCTGCGTTCCTGGATACAAAAATATCGAATCCTTCAGAATCCATCTGATACACAGCCCAAAATCGTGCATCCATGCTCTTTCGAAACCCCGAGTCTAATCCAAGATGTATGTGGAGAAGGTCGTTGCATGCTAGATTCGACAGTTCCTTGATCAGGACGGCAAGTTGATCTGAGGAATCAGAAAGCACAAGATTGTCGTGGAACTGCCGGAACAGGAGACCCAGATTTTGCACTTTTGGCAGCGGGACAGGATGAAGTAGGCCTAGGGACCGAAGTCGCTGCTGGGACTGGAGAATTTCAGCAAATGAAATCGCTGTAGCCTCAGCACCTAAAGGGAAACAACCAAAGGCATTGTATTCTATTCCGGCCGCCGATATGGAGAGCGGGTTACCCTGCGATCTGGTTTGAGCAACCCACTCCGGGGGGTCGCGAATGGTGTTTGTTAGTTTTTCGGGGGCCTCTTTGGGGCATTCTGACGATGATAGAACATTCTGCAAGGTTGGCAGAAGGGCTGTGAGAGTATCCCATGCGTCCTGACAGGCGAGGTCATTTGCTGGACCACCTTCAACTTGTGAGTTGGACCGCCAGTGATCATGAGCCTTCATAATCTCGGCTTCCTTCAGCCAGCTAAAGGAGGAAAGCGGCTCGGATATCTGTCTATTGAGACTTGCATTCTTTAGTGCCGCTTGGTGGCCGATCCAAGGAATTGCACTGTAGAAATTACACCATTGTAGGGATCTTTGCACAACTGCGTTTGACAAGGAGACACCATCATCGATTGTTTCCCAGGCCACGACAACAAAGTCCCTTGTACAGGCCTCTGAGACGAAGGCTTTGATTGTGGTTTTCATGTTCTTCATCTGGAAGTAGTCTCGCTTCTGACCGGTGGGTATGATACAAGCATTTCTTATAACAAGACCGGAAATTGCATCACTCTGCAGCGCCCTGTGACTGTCGAGAAAGTCTGGAGGCGATGTTTCAAGATAAATGGACAAACCCAAGCCATGAAGGGCTTCAAGAAGTCTACCCCAACATTCAGGAGAGAATTTGCCCTCCCAGTTGGCGAACAGAATGCCCGTATAACCGGAGCCATCGAAGACTTGGCTCAAGACGCTGTCTAGATTGTCTATCGCTGCTATGGTAGAGCTCTGTTGAGGATATATGGTTGTGAGGTCAAGTCTGCCTAGAACCTGTTTTCTCTCGATGGTTGAGACGGCGTCGTTCGTCCCACCTTGAAACGGATCAACTATCAAGAGATCTGACTGGCTCAGAAAGCGTTGCTGATCGTCGCTTAAGGGTGCATCGAAGTGCCCTAAATATACTCCAACGGACGAAGGCTTTTGCTCTGTTAACTGGGCATTTGCTAAGGTGAATTGCCGGCTCGTCAACAATGCAAGCCGATTGAAGACCTTGGCCGGAACCTTGTCCGAGTGTTTTCTTGACTATATGTCGAGCGGAAATTAGTTTAAGACTCAAAGAAAGGCACATGAGAGATTTTCGAAAAAGGAATCAGTGTACCTTATAGTGTTCCAGGCATCTCAGAATCACAACATACGCGAGGTATACAGATCCAATAGAGACACTGCCTATCAAGATCCCGATTAAAACCTAGAAGCTGTGAGTAAAGTCTTGCCTGAGATACAATATAAGCGCAAGCAACGACCACCTAGGCTACTTACAAACTGCCACCAGTGGTCTTTCATCTGATCCCACCCAACGGGCGAGACAGGTAGGATTTTCGTCATCCTGATTAGAAACGAAATCAAAAGACGGCCGTAAGGATCGTAGTAACGAATGACATGTGCGATAAGTATAATCTAGATTAATATAGATGGGCTAAAGAGCGTAAACCCGCGATCAAGAAATAACGAATGCTGCTAGGATATCATTGTGGTTCTGCGGTCAAGATATTAAGAGGGAAGCAAAGGAAGTATACGCACTCAGAGTATATAAAAAGAGGGAGGATGAAGCCAAGCAAACGCCGCGCAAAAATAGATGGTGAGATAAAATAAGGCCAGAGAGAAAAAAAACTGATGATCCAGAGATGTTTTAGGATTTGATCAACCCAAAACGTGAAGCGATCTACTAGGCTTGGGTTGAGAAACAGCACTATAGTATAAGACACTTTAGAGGCCCCTCAGAACCCTTCTTACCCCTTCATAACGAATTGTTGCCTGTGGAAGTCTTTTCTTCCTTTTTTTTTTTTTTTTTTTTCCCTTTCTTTCTGGAAACGCTAGCTGGTGCGTTGAAGGGCGGAAAGTGGCGCCTCCCACAACCCGAACCTGGAGAATAGGGACAAAAATAGAGCGCAGCGTTTTTTGGCCTCGGCTAACACTAAAGTGATTGGGTCTCAGGGTTGTTGAGAGCGTTTCCCTCCAGTAAGCGTTCACCGTAATGGCAGGTAGCGTGGCAGCCATCCCGAATGTCTTGGGCTTTCCATGATCAACTTCCCAAGAAAGTCACAAGCATATTATGAGAGACTCTCATTTGCCATCAATGCCAGGTTACCATAAACTAGGATTATGGCAATGTTGTGGTATCTGCATGGCCGAGTGCATCTTCCCACAAGACCCAGTTGATGAGGGTACGGCCGTCGTTGGCTAGAAATGTCGTGGGTCCCATGGTGTAGAATTCCTATTGGTTTTGGATGTGATTATCCGCTGTATCTTAGTACGACAAGGTACTCTCTTTCTCCTTTTTTTTTTTTTTACCCTTGTCTTTCACCAAGTGGAGGATGAGGGTGGGTGCGAGGGGAAAGAAGAATGGAACCGAACAGAGAAAGAGGTTGATGTGGAGCAGAAACCTCCTAACCCTAACAGGGAAGGTATTGTAATATTGCGTAGTCGACGATGTTGAGAATTACTAGGCAAAGTGACACGACCTCGTATTCTCGAACGGCAGTATGTTACATTACATACAAACAAACAAACGTACCCGGTACTACTTGATGGGATACATTATTGTACCCCCTTCTTAATATTGGATTTGGTTTCCATCTCACAATATCAAACCCTATATCGGCCCTTGGATGGATCGAAAATCTCTCAAAGATCGGTTTGGGAATCCATGAGAGGCAATCTCCTGGCGATCCATCGCTTGGCTTGTTGATTTGGTACCTGAAGCTCTATGGGTCTCAAGGAGATATACTATCATACATACACCCTTTAGTTGCCCTAACAGAGGCCAGACAATAGTAGATATCGCCGTAGCTTTGACCCTTTTCATTTATTCCTGCCCGGGAGTCAATCGGTACCTGGACGCCACTTCTTCACTAGTGTAGAAAACCAGAGAGGATCGAGCCATTGCACCCTAAGTCCGTCCACAATCATCTTCAGCTACGGATCTAGATTTCCCCATTTGAATCAAATCAAACCAAAATCTGTCACGAGGAATGAAGGATATACGAGCTGAGGTAGCCACAGATGTGCAAATTTCCGATCCTTCAGGGAGACCGAATGCCTCCTGGTTCCGTATAAATAGAGGTACATGGGAATCGGATTATTGGCATATCCAACTCATCATTGTTGATCATCATTGATCATCACTGGCTGCCCCTTGTCTTTCCTTTTTTTTTCCCCCTCATTCGTTTCGTTTTTTAGTCCTTCGTTTGTACCTGTCCAGTTCAGACCACAATGACGGTGCCTGCGCTGGCCTGGCAGATTGGTTGCTTCTTCGGGTTTTTAACCTGTACTACTCCCCCTGGTGAATGGCCGGAAACTCCAACAGTTATCTCTTCTGGGCCTCCAACCAGCACTGCAACTAGTATTACTACGAGTGTTGCTACTACTACTACTACTACTACTACTACTAGTAGTAGCATTACCCCCACGGTCACTACCACCCTTACCACCGGTGTTACGAGTACTAGCTCGACGGCCGGGTCCTCGACTTTTACCAGTTCATCTTCTACTAGTACTTCTACCACTACTGTTTCTACTTCTACTTCTGCCGTCTCGACCCCTACCTCGTCCAGCACAATGACATCTCTCAGCTCGACGAGCATTCTTCCATCTGCTACGGGCACAATCGCTGCCAACATCCTGGTGATTGCTCGGGATTCTAGTCAAGCTGGAGTTGCGTCTTCTGGTCTCAATGCATACGGTATTCCGTTCACCACCCTTCTGGTACCCCAGTCGGGTGTTCAGCTTCCCACCCTTAACTCCTCTTCTGGAGGAAACTTTGGAGGGATCGTGGTTGCGGGCGAAGTGAGCTACGACTATGGCAATGACACCTGGTCCAGTGCCTTGACCGACGACCAATGGAACCAGCTGTATGCCTATCAGCTTGCATATGGAGTGCGCATGGTGCAAACCGATGTCTACCCCGGCTCCAAGTTTGGAACCACAGCTGTAACCGACGGCTGCTGCGCTGATGGCGTTGAGCAATTGATCTCCTTTTCTGATGTGAGCGATTTCCCGACTTCGGGGCTGAGAACCGGCGCTGGAGTGACTACAGAAGGGCTTTGGCATTATCCGGCCTCGATCAGCGACAGCAGCACGACCAAAGCAATTGCTACCTTTGCTGCCAATTCCGTGACCAACACCGAATCGACAGCGGCGGTGATCAACAACTTCAACGGACGGCAGCAAATGGCATTCTTCATCTCCTTTGACACCACCTGGAGTGCCACCTCTAATTACCTGCAGCACGCATGGATTACGTGGGTTACCCGGGGCTTGCATGCAGGATATCGCAGAGTCAACCTCAACACCCAGATTGATGACATGATGCTGCAGACAGAAATGTACCAATCCACCACAGACATCTTCCGAATCACTCCTGCCGATATGGACGGGATCAGTAGCTGGCTCCCAACCATCCGCGCCAAGTTGAACCCTGGCAGTAGCTACTTCGTTGAGATCGGCTACAACGGCAACGGAAACATCGAAGCAGGCACGCGAGCCCTCGGTTACGATGTCTGCACTGGCGGGGGGATTGAGTACGACATTCCCGCATCTACTGCGGCCGAGTTTAGGAAGCCTCTTGGTACTGGCTCCAGCGTCTGGCCGACGACTCCCGCTTCGTTTAACTGGTCGAGTACCTGCATGGCCTCGGACAATCTCCTGGCTTGGTTCCAGACCCATGGCAGCGACTACGGCCATCTGTCGCACACGTTCACCCATCTCTCCCAAAACAATGCGACTTACTCCGACATTAGCAAGGAGATCTCGTTCAACCAGGCCTGGCTCCAGCAGGTTGGGATCTCCTCATTCAACCATTTCACTTCCAACGGGATTATCCCCCCCGCCATCACGGGACTGCACAACGGGGACGCGCTCCAGGCCTGGTGGGACAACGGCATCACCAACTGCGTCGGCGACAACACGCGGTCGGCGCTCCTCAACCAGCAGAACCCCATGTGGCCATACTTCACCAACGTGGCTTCGGATGGGTTTAATGGAATGCAGGTGAACCCGCGGTGGTCGACGCGCATCTTCTACAACTGCTACAGCCCAGCCTGCACAGTCCAGGAATGGATTGATACATCCGCGGGCAGCGGCAATTTCGACAACTTACTCGCAACTGAGCGACAGGAGACAATGCGCCACTTCTTTGGTCTGTACCGCGACGGATACATGTTCCACCAGGCCAATCTCCGCAACGCAGACACCACTCCCATCACGGTCAACGGCGAGACGGGGCAGTACTCGATCTTCCAGGCGTGGGTTGAGACCCAGGTCCAGGAATTTGTGAGACTAGTGACCTGGCCCGTCGTCACGGCCACTCACCAGCAGGTTTGTCACCTCTTCTTCTTCTTCTTCTTCTTCCTCCTCCTAGCAAACCATGCAGGGCTAATTCAGGTTTCCCCATAGATGTCCGACTACTTCCTTCAGCGCTACCGACGCGACCAGTGCAACTACTCTCTCAGCTACGTGATCTCCAGTGGCCATATTACCGGAGTGACGCTCTCCGCTAACAGCAACACCTGTGGCGCAACTATCCCTATTACTTTCCCGGATGCGCCTGCTGATTCCCACGGCTTCACCAGTGAGCAGTTGGGCAGTGACCCCGTGACGGTGTGGGCCCAGCTCTCGGGTTCCCCGGTGACATTTACTCTTTCTACTCCTATCGCCTTGTAGTGGATGGATGTGTGTGTGTGTGTGTGTGTAACCCAGCAATCAACATCTGTATTCTTAGTACTCGATAGTGCAATATCTAGTCTAGCATCTAGTTATCGAAACGATGTAATAGGAGATAATCATTATAATAACAAAAGAAAAGAAAACAAAAAAAACAAACAGGAATGACAAATCTCCTCAAATGCAAGTATACGAGACATTGCTGGTGATTTCCGAGCAATCGAACGCAAAGCCAAGTAAAAAAAAAAAGCCTCATCCTCCCAGTTTCAAATCCCACCAGCACTCAAAGAAAGATCATCGTCGTTCAGCGAATGCATTTCTTGGCCTACAGATTTTTGTTTCACTTCATTTTCAAGACCCGAGCCGCGCAATCTCACAAACTCAATTCCTCTGCGGAGTATACGTACTCTACTACGGAGTACTAGATCGTTCATCACCTACCTAACGGAATGGAGGACTCGGTATGGATGACATGCAGTTCAACCTCCAGCCCTCTCTCTCTCTCTCCATCCTGGTCTTCCAAGAAGGGTGCAGAGAGCATCTGACCGTGGAATGCATGTAGGGTTGCATAATTCGCTAGAGGCTTTTGCTGGGTCTAGAACGTCTGGTCCGATTGGAAAGTGAGATAGATGTATGTATATACTTTAGGTATTCCCGTAGTTATACTCTGACCGAGAATGAGGGATATTATGAGTACAAGTATATGGAGAGTCTATTCATGGAGGTACATTCTATACTCATTTTGTGTACATTTTGTGTACATCCATGATACATATATATATATATATATATATATTCTATATGTACGTGTACCTGTACAACAGCATCGCTTAGTATTTCCTTTTGCCTATCACTGTCCCAAGACTAATATAATTCTAATATGTACTATGACGACGTGTGAAGGTGACAAATGCTGCAGGAGAAAGCGGGATTCGGTTAGACAAGCTCAGTGTGACGGTCAGGGTCAGGGAATGTATTGTCAAGGTATCCGAGAAGTACTCTAGTACATAGATAGCGGCTGGGCAAGAGGGGATTTCTTCCCGTTGTACATCTCTCTCCGTCTCAGCCTCAGTAGGTCGGGTCCGGGTCTTCCGTGGTACATACATCTTGGATCTGGGGAACAATGTCTTGTTGAATATTGTGAATATTTTTACTATCAGTACCACGGTAAGAAATGGGGAGAGAGAGAGAAGTATCTGAATTCTTACTCTCCGCTTGGATATGATCAGCCAAGAACAGGTACTTACTACGGAGTAACTAGTTAGTTAATCTAAAGCCCTATGCCAGCATCTCCAGCCGGACGAGTTATGACTACAGTTCTCGTCACGCCCTTAGCCGAAGTCGAGATTCGACTACTCCGTATCTACATGGACTCGGGTAGAATGGTCTAGCGGAAGAATCTAGATTGAATGAAAGATTGGATCACCTTACGAGGCAAAGTTTGTCACGAGGTTGCGGCTCGCCAGGTCGCCAGGTCGCCAGGTGGCTACCAAATTTGACTAGTTGGGACCAGTAATAACCAAATTTCATTACCATATGTGACAATACTAGTGGTAAGTCAGTAATATATTCTGTAAAGCTACGGGATTTAAAATCACCTATCTAGTAGTACTAGTTGTGACTGGTCAGGACCAATTCAAGTAGTAAAATACCACCTGGCGAGACAAGATTTGGTATGGTATACTTTTCATGGTATAATACAGTATATTATTTCTAGTTAAGACTAGTCAAGACTAGTACTTACTTAAGTAAAATATATATCTAGATTAGATTATTATAATTATTTTTAAAAAAGAACTAATCTTATTAATAATTACTAGATATTACTAGTAATAACTAGAATTTTTAATTTTATTAGTATTTACTAGTAATTACTAGAATCTTTAGTTACTACTATCTAGATAATAAGATATAGATTATTAGAAAAGATTAGTATATATTTATTTTTATTAATTATAATTAGAAGTTCTAGTACTACTAGTAATTACTAGTAAAATTAGAAATTCTAGTTATTACTAGTAATATCTAGAAGTTCTAGTATTACTAGCCCTACTAGTAATTACTAATAAAATTAGAAGTTCTAGTTATTACTAGTAATATCTAGAAGTTCTAGTACTACTAGCCCTACTAGTAATAACTAGAACTTCTAATTTTACTAGTAATTACTAGTAGTACTAGAACTTCTAGATATTACTAGTAATAACTAGATATATATTCTACTGTAATATACCATGAAAAGTATACCATACCAAATCTTGTCTCGCCAGGTGGTATTTTACCACTTGAATTAGTCCTGACCAGTCACAACTAGTACTACTAGATAGGTGATTTTGAATCCCGCAGCTTTACAGAATATATTACTGACTTACCACTAGTATTGTCACGTATAGTAATAGAATTTGGTCATTACCAGTCCTACCTGGTCCCAACTAGTCAAATTTGGTAGCCACCTGGCGACCTGGCGACCTGGCGAGCTGTACATTCGTTTGTCACTCCGCGTCAGACTTGAGTACCTGGAGGGGACCGGTACCAGGTCCATACCGGTACTGGAAAACAACGTATTGATGGAAGTGGTAATTTGCATACAGCCCATACCGGGGACAGTACTTCCCAGCCCTAAACCCGAGTCCAGCCCAACACAATTTCACAGCACCTTTGTAGTAGTGATGCATCTTATATCTTAAACCAGCACAATCACGTTCACTAATAATGATAATGATATGATGATTCGGTAACTGCAAGGACTCATTCCACATTAATTCCCTGATTGCCTCCAATGTTTCATTTTGCTCAACTACAACACCCCTGGGCCACAAACGGATGGAATAGCCACAGCGCTAGGAGGAGTTTTTGCCTGCGCCGCCTCCTTTGTACTCTGTTCCGAGAAATATCAAAACACCCTCCAACGCAAGGTCGAACGAAGCCTTCTAGAATCCTACAAATTGATCAGACAGTGCACTCACTCACTCACTCACTCACTCACTCACCCACTCCACATCAAATCCCGCCAAATAAATAAGCGGCAACACATTGGGCCAGTAGGAGAACCACAGCACCCTGCCTGCCTACATTGCGTTGGGGAATCGAACAAAGAATCCAACATCGACTGCGGCAGGCTTCCTTCACCCTCAGTGGTGAAGTCTCAATGGGCCAAGCAACTTGCCCCCTTTCAACATAATTCCAGGCAGACCTCTTAAATGGTTGTGTAACATCTGAACCACTCCCTAATTAATGATGTGAAGCCCTGCTGGTGCTGCTGGCAGTGCTTCCTTACTTCTTACTACCTTTCTCTTCATCTATTATTCTATTTTTACTTCAAACAGTCAACAGTGGATTTGATTCACGTTCTAAACCCTGAACAAATCAAATATCAACTGCGTGCTGCAAGGGTCTCTCTCTCTTCTTCGTATATCCATATCGAACCCTTTTTTTTTTTTTTTTTTTTAATCTTATCACTATTTTGATCTCAGGGTCTCACTCTCCCCACATTCTTTCTCCAGTCTTTCCACACTACCTTTATTTTCTCGTTTTTTTTTTCTCTGTTTTTTCTTGAAATCAAACCACCCCCCCCCCCTGTTTCTATTGATATCATTCGCTTCTATTTTTATTTGTACTCTGTTTCGATGGGACCACCCGAAGAAACCGCACTGAAGGACGGCTCCCCCAAAGGAGGGTGGAAATCCTGGACCACCAAGAAGAAGCTCATTGTCCTTGCCTCTGTACTCGTCTTTATTATCGTCCTTGCCGTCGGTCTTGGAGTCGGTCTTGGTCTTGGTCTTGGTCATGGAAGTGGAGGCGAAGGAGAAGGCGAAGGAAGTGGAGGAAGCAACAACAACACCACCACCACCACCACCAACGGCACCAGCTCCGCCAAATGGCAGCCTGCTGTTGGATCCACGTGGCAAATCCAGCTTCTATACCCGATCAACGATACCTCAGTCGACGTGGAAATCTACGATATCGATCTCTTCGATAATACCAAGTCCGTTATCGATGAGTTACACGGTCTCGGGCGTAAGGTGATCTGCTACTTCTCGGCCGGCACGTACGAGGACTGGCGGCCTGATGCGGACAAATTCCGCCGGGCAGATATCGGAACCGGCCTGGAGGAATGGGCAGGCGAGAACTGGCTGAATATTTCGTCGCAGGGCGTGCGCGAGGTCATGGTCGAGCGGCTGGACCTTGCGCAGAGCAAAGGCTGCGACGGGGTCGACCCGGATAATGTCGACGGGTACGATAACCCGAACGGACTGGGGCTCACACAGGCGGACTCGGTCGATTATATGAATTGGTTGGCCGGGGAGGCTCATGGGCGCAACATGTCGATCGGTCTCAAGAACGCGGGCGCGATCATTTTGCCGGTGATTGCGAACATGCAGTGGAGCGTCAACGAGCAGTGTGCGCAGTACAACGAGTGCGACAACTACGGGGCGTTCCCGGACAATGACAAGCCGGTGTTCCATCTGGAGTATCCCAAGCAAGACGAGAACAATAACCACCTGGTGACGGGGGCGAAGAAAACCAAGGCGTGTGATTTTACCGACTCGACCCGGTTCTCGACTCTGATCAAGAACATGGATCTGGATGAATGGTATCAGACCTGTTGAGCGAATGTAACCTCACGACATGGGAGTTGGGGAATTCTGGCATGGACAGGAGATTTGTATTCAGATTTAGTGTCCCTCCCTACGTAATCAATTTGTACACTACTCTACTACTACCGCAACAGCAACACTCTATAACTAACTAATACGGGAGATTTATTCATAAGCACCATATTCAAAACAAGTCCTGACTAACTGGTGCATACTCCGCAAGATAGATAACCAAGTATAGCGTAATAGTGTCGCAGCGGGAGGCACGACCCCACTACTACTACTACTACTACTACTACTACTACTACTACTACTACTACTACTACTACTACTACTACTACTACTGGTAGTATGTTCCATCTATCTATCTACAAGGTAGAAATCTAGAACTCCCCGGTCTCACCCTCAAACCGGTGCGGTGCACCCACCAGAACCGCAAGGTCCACTACTCCTCGCAAATCCACCCACATGGCACGATCAACAATCGAGATCTGGCTGGTTCATCCAATCCACTAGTGATATAGTTAGTTACTGCCTGCCGGAGTAAGTAAGCTAGGAGATCGGTTCCGCCGTTGCATTGAGATTCGGCTTGTCCTGTTTTACGTAGGGCAGAGTATACTCCGACTCCGTGCTCCGTGCTCCGTACTCTGTACTTTGGATAGTGGATAGACATTCGCTACGTAATTGACCGAGACAGCGGACATGATATGATATATATCTTCCTACCTAGGTACCCCGGGTACTAGTAGTAGAGAGTGGATCTACCGGGCAGTACTATTTATATTTACTTTGTTGTACGTAAGAGAAGTGGCTGTCTCTGTTCTCTGTTCTAAGTAGAGTAGAGTAGAGTAGAGTAGATTAAAGATGAAGTTCTTCTTCTACTGCTTGTGTTCATTAAGTTCGTAACTACTTGCTAAAGATAGTAATCATGTAGTGTGTTTGACATATATCTGTACGACATAAGTTAGGTAGCTATCATGATACGATGCATAGATATTGTTTGGATTGGATTGTTATGATACTAGTACATAGTAGGTGGTATATTACAGAAGACAATACTAGTATCAATACATCAATTAACCCTGTGGATCAAATCGACATATCACAGTTAGACTGAGTTAGTTACTCTGCTAGTACATAGTCCTTCCAGATCCCCGGCCCGAATAAAAAATAACCACTAGTTACGATAGAAGAAAGACGGAGTCGAACAGCGGTGTCACTTTACGAGGTGGCACCAACAGTGAGGCAGAGTCAAGAGAATTGGGTATCCATGTTAAACCCATAATAAGCACCTTGGAAACGATCGGATCGCGAGGGGAAAGATTAGGTTAAATAACGAGGAAAGGTAACGAAGGATCCAGGATGCTCCCGACTCGGTCCACAACTATTCCTATTATTATACATAGTTAGTTATTGTAATGCCCGAGTGGGATCGAATTTTCCAGCTAGCGTTGCGTAGCGAGAGGAGAATGAGATCGCTGGTTCCTCCGACTTTGTTTCTTTTCTTTTCTTTTCTTTTCTTTTCTTTTTTAATTTCTCCAAGGCCAGGATCAGGGGGGGAAAATGATGAACCTCTCAGGTTTCCCTTTTTTCTCTTTCGTGTGAACCATTCCCTCTACAGAGTCCAGAGTCCAGGTCCAGAGTACTCCGTACATACCCCCGGCGGAACTAGGACAACGCGCCCTGTAAGCGAGCGAGCGAGCGAGCGATTTGATTTGTATTCCAATTCTTGGGCAATGTTCCTTGGCGGCAGGACATGCGTTGGCGCCTCGTCTCTCGGGCTGATAGGAAACCTGCGAGTGGGGGATTTGCCAGTCCCTAGCAAGCACACTCTGCTCCATCCAGACTCCAGACTCCAGAGCAATGTGTGTGTGTCCATTCAGCCCAGCCATGTCGGATAGCACGGGTGGCTGAGCTCAAAGTCTTGGGTTAGTAGACCAGCCACGGACCTGAACCTATACCTCCTTCTTCATCCTACACTGCTGCAGGTGCAGGTGTCGTCCGGATTGCCCCTTTGGGATGTTCTGTTGCTGTCAAGCCAAAAAAAAAAAAAAAAAAAAAAAAAAGTCAATCGAGTGAGATCGTCCTCTCCCGTTGTTTTCATTGGTAAAGTGTGGTTTTCTCGAGTCGCTGGTTCGGAAATCCACACACACACACACACACACATATCAAATGAGCGTCTGGTTAAGACTTCCCGGGGTTAAACAGCGGCAGAGCTGAGATCGTTGCTTTGTGTGCGGTGCAGGGTTGTCTCTCGAAATCGTGAGACATTCGGAAGAAAAGCCAGCCATATATCAGACTGTAAGAGTGCAGTGCTGGGGAACTATGGGCGTGTGGTGTGGTATTATCGACTGGCTCCGCATAGGAGAATAAAATATCGTGTTAGAATTACTCCGAATGTAACACGATAGATATGTGATGCCCCAGAGGGAGGTTATTGTTCCGCCTCAAACCTCGTCCCCTCGGCCATTTCCCGAGAATATGTATGTATATCGATCGCATGGACCTCACCTCACTTTCAGCAGAGTACATCTGCTGGCGATTAATAATGCCTCTCGTCCGGTCGGTCATGACGTCCCTTATATCGCCATCTCCCGAGGCTGTCTGCTATCCGGCTCGTTTGCGGATCTATAAATACTCTCTCTCCCTGCAGCTGGGAACCTGTGTCTGGTCTGTATGTCTGACCAGGTACCCAGCCAGGGTCGGATCGGAGCACTCGGTGCATAAATGCGGGTCTACTCCGTATTCGCAATCTAAACTGTGTCGTCATGTCTGGGGCTCTTTCTTCGTACTCGCTCGTAACTAATAGTTAGTTAGTTACCCGATGAATCACCATGGTGGTGATATTCACGTACACCGATCAGGATTCCAGTATGTCCGGAGTAGAGTACATCGCCTAAAAGCTAGTAGAACAATTTGTTGGAAGTGGATAATAGTACCTAGGTTCATCCACCTTAGAATTAGCCACAGCCATCTGTCACCCAGCCATTGTGTAGGTTTTACAGCCCCCTCCTACACAGACAGTACCTAGGTACTTCTCTCTCGAGTCTCTTGTGTCTTTCTTTTCCTCTCTCGTCGAATCATCCTCGCCTAGAGCAGACCAGGTACAGCAACCCAAAGACCAATTAGGCAACCGAACCCAAGAACGAGCATCAGAATCGCCGCACCAGGGGGAGAGAAAACCTAATTTTTGTTTTTTTTTTCTTTTTCTTTTTCTTTCCCCTACATAACTGAATCAACCTGAGTCAAGTTGCTCCAACTGACTAGCTCTAGTTGCGCCTGGTTCTTCCGATTCACGAGGCTACCCTAACTACCTATGTACTACCTACCTACATACATAAGCGCCTACTTACAGAGTAAACTAGTACTAGGCATGAAAACAGGTACGGGCTTTCGATTTACGATGCGATACTTGACTTGACTTGGCGAGAGATACTTATCTGCCCCCCCCCCCCCCCCCCCCCCCCCCCGTGTCCCTGATCGCCGGATGGAGTGGTTCGTTCTTCATTCTAGTAGACTTTGTACCCTACTACTGTGCATGCATTACCGGGTTGGAGTTTGATTCCAGAGTACACAGGTGCCAGCTGAGGCCATTTGACGATAACGAGGCCGACAGGCATTATTATTATGATGACTCTACCTCTCCTGGGTTTGTGAAATCCTTCCCTGGATTGGACGGAGACTCGAGCAATTGGATGATATTCTGTATACGGAGGCACTATACGGCTGGACAACAACTGAACATGCAAAAGTAATGAAAATTACCGCCGGCTATTTTGGTACTTCGCACTTAAGTAGTACTAGTAGTATGTAATTTATACCCGCCATAGCGCCCCACTGTAAAGAGGAGGAGCATTGAGTCGATTTTGGATTCTGACACAAAAACGAAGGGAGAGAAGAAAGAAAAGTAAATGACGGACATGGGAGGTATTTTCCTTCCCTGCTTTGTTTCCTCCCTGTTTCTTTTTTTTTTTTTTCTGTTTCTGTTCATTGGATAAACATTAGGTAAATCGCAAAGCATGGAATGGATGGGACTTCAGATCAAGATCTAAACTATCAAAATCATCTCTACTCTAGATATAGGTATAGTCAACTTCAGACTAAACAAGATGCAGCACCGATATTACATTAGTCGGCTGTACCAAACAGATCATCGATTCATTCGGCCATCAATCTCACAAACTCGTCCCACTTTCCTCCAAAGCTCGCATAGTAGTTGGTGCTCAGATGGGTAATGAAGACTTCATCTGCGACCCGTCGGACTTGTCTGACTAGTTCACGGAGTTTGGACCCTTCCACACTGTCTGGCACAGAGTGGATCACCGCGCACAGCTGGCTACGATTGCTGTTCGGGATCTCCTTGAACAGCTTAGCCCTGTTGCGCGCCTGAAAAGTGTCATAAGTTGCCTCGAAAACCACAGTAGAGTCCGCGCTGGACATGTAGCGAGAGTCTGGAATCGCTCCAGGATTATGAACAATCTGAATGTTGGCAATAATTAGCATTCCACGTAGCCAATGGGCTCACAGTTATCTAAGCCGGCATAGAGGAGTTCAACCAGGGTTGAGGGGTAAAGGATCAATATGATTGTAGGTTCGCACCGTCAGAACAAACAACAAATGAAAATTGTACGGAGCAGCCGATGTCATAGAGATAGGCAGAAAAAAAAAAAAAAAAAAAAAAAAAAACAAAACAAAAAGAGAGACAAAAAAATCGAACCAGATCAAATAGGAAAAACCCTCCTAGAAGGATTCATGTCAAGTACTAGTGCTGATCTTCGCGTGGTAATCGCCATGATACAGAAGTATTACACTTACAAAATTGTCTGGACCCAACCCAGGCGTTTTCTTCACTATCGCGGCAAGCTCTTGCAAATACGCTAAATGGTTAGCATTATATTGCTGTGGTGTTTCGTCGACAAATATTCCCCGGACGGCCAATTTGGGGTTGGAGCTGTTGGCCGGCCATGCCGCGTACGTTTCGATATCTTTGCGCACCAAGGAGAGATTACGCGCTGCATAGCTCGTGTGGATATACCCTAGCAAACGTACGTTTTCATAAGCGGCCAATTTAGGAATTTCCCTAGTGTAATTGCCATCAGGCAGGGCATTTGGACCCGGGCCGTTACCAGGGTTCACGACGATGGTGAAGTTGACATTGGGGTGTGTCGAGATCCTGTAGCGTTCAGCTCCAACTTCGATAAATCACAGATACCCCTAGGCCCACGCTAAATTCCTTGCAGGTGGCTGATGGTGTTCGCATGGGCGCGGATTATCGATTTGATGAACAGGGGGGTGGAACAGGGAGGAGGAGGAGGAGGAGGAGGAGGGAAGGAGAGAGAGTGTTAGGAAAAGGACCTACACATTTTCCAGCTGATCCCACGCACCAGGGATGGGGTACACATAAAGAGGGACAAAAACCTTTGCTTTAGGACCCATGCTATTTTTCTTGTGCAAAGTCACCACAATTACAGAGGGTAGGATGATGGCAAGGAGAGTAACAAAGACAAGAAGCAGGGCCAGAATGAGGTGAGAAGGTCGGCGGGAGAGCCAGCGCCAGCCCCTCACGTGTTTCTCTGGCCCCATCCCGGGCATAAAGGACAAAGGGCGAATGAGTAGTAGTCATAGTAGTAGTAGTAGTAGTAGTAGTAGTAGTAGTAGTGCATCATATTAATATGGCAAAAGAGGACTCCAAAACCCAAAAAAAAAGTGGGCTTTACTAAGGTAAGGAAATAAGTAACCCAGCCCTCTGAGCTCAGTGAATACATATGTAGTAGATCTGTAGGGAGCCAGACATACTTTAGTCGAACCGCGTACACCCAAAATAGAGCGGGTCAGGGTTTGAGCCATGCAGCAAGTCTCCGGTTAATAATGATTAAAATCGAAACAATTCGTTTCTCCCTGACTTAAAGTACCCAAGGAATCTGCTGCAGTCCAGTGGAGAGGCACCTTGAGTGGTTTGATACTGGCCAACGAAGGCGAAATCAATCCGAATGCCTACTTTAACTTCTTGCTTGGGTTCCAGTCTCGAGAAAGCTGACATCCTTAATTAATTATTTTTATTTTATTGATTTATTGATTTTATTTTATTTTTATTTTTTTTGGATCTCGCCATTTTCTTTTTCTTTTTCCCTTTTTTTTTAAAAAAAAAAAAAAAATAAATTCTTGTTTGTTTTCACATTTCTACCCCCCTCTTCCCCGTCTCGCATTCGTTAGCTTTTAAGGATTATGCGCTGTTGTAAATAAGCAAGTCACGAATCACGATATCTTCGCCTGACCTAGCCAGAATCAGGAGCGGTTACATCAAAGAGTCCAGCAGCAGCCCATGTCCTTCGTTGACAAACTTGAGAAAGTATAAAAATTTGTGAACTCCTTTCTTTGGGTATTCAATCTCGAGTCACTCACACTTGTTGTTGAAGTTTGACTGGATAAATTTCTCCCGCTCTTTGGGGTCTCTTGTTGCATTTGACCAAGCGTCTTGTTTGTTTCACATATCCTTTACCAATAATTGCATTTCGTCTTCGAAGGCGTCGATGATGGAGAGTCCTCAACAGTCAGACGCAAGCTCTCCTACGGAACCTTGTTCTCCGACATGCGTAGATACACCGGCAACGCAGTTCTCCGTCTTGTTTGATGGGAGCCTGGATGAGCTACTGCGTAACTTCCCTCTTCGACAGTACATCCTGGTGACTGGAGGCCTCGGGTTTATTGGAAGTCACACAACGTTAGAGCTGCTCAAGGCCAGTTATAACGTAATCGTGATCGACAATCTCAGCAACTCGTTCCATAGCGTTTTCAACCGCATCAAACTGCTGGCGCTGAAGCACCACGAAGAGCAGGGATCACAAATGCCGGCCTTACATTTGCATGCTCACGACTACCGGGATACGAGTGCCTTGCAAAGCCTTCTCGAACAGTACCAGATCCAGTCCAGATGGGGCTCCCCAAAGTCTAAGATTGCTGGGGTCATTCACTTTGCCGCCTATAAGGCAGTTGAAGAAAGTATCCGAAATCCTTTGAAATACTATGCCAACAACGTGAGTGGTCTTATCGATTTTGCCACAACCTTGGGGCATTTTGGTATTAAAACGTTCATATTTTCTTCATCCGCCACCGTGTATGGTACTTTGGCGACTTCTGGTCTCCCACTGAAGGAGGAGCTCTGCGTCCATAAGGAGGAAATTTTCCACGGCTCAGACGGGATTGGTAGAACTGTCTTGCCCGGGTGCACGGGAATTACAAACCCATATGGACGAACAAAATGGATTTGCGAAGCCATTCTTGCGGATCTAGCAGCCTCGGATCCTGAATGGACTATTGTGGCTCTCCGTTATTTTAACCCAATCGGCTGCGACGAATCCGGTCTACTGGGAGAGGATCCAAGACAAACACCAACGAATCTTCTCCCCGTGGTGGTCAAGGTTATGACGGGAGAATACAAGGAGCTCCAAATGTTTGGGACGGATTGGGATACAGAGGATGGTACTGCTGTCCGCGATTTTATCCACGTCACCGACCTGGCTCGAGGCCACATTGCAGCCCTCGACGCAGCCAATGAAGGGAAGCTGATTGAGAACTTCCGCACCTTCAATTTAGGCACCGGAAAAGGCCACTCAGTAATGGAGGTGGTTGACACTATGGAAAACGTGTCTTGCAAACAAATTCCAACTAGGGCTGCTCCTAGGCGCCCGGGTGATGTTGGTTCCTGTGTGGCAGTTGCCACCAGATCTGAACAAGAGCTTCGCTGGAAAACAGAGAAGACCTTGGAGGATGCATGTGACAGTCTGTGTAATTTCTTGAATATCAGCGGTCTGTCAACTTAATGTTGCTATGTTTCAGTCTGTTTCCTTCCTGATATGTGGCGTTTGGTGTTCTGGTTCACCCCTTCCCAACACTCTGGCTTCGCTCTCTTGATTTGATGTTTTTCAAGACCCCATTTTCTTTTGTCTTATTCATTTGCATGATAGAAAGATTGTTTGAGACGCATGTCACAACGCACAGCCTCTGTCAGACACCAGTGTAGTATATCCTGATATATTTGGCTTTGTGAGGATGGGGTAATGATTTGACGGGCTAGTGTCAGAGTGCACCGCGTTGGTATCTCTCATAATGATTAATATAATAAAAAAAGCTTTCTTCACATCATCTCAGATACCTCATTAGTGTAAATCGAGCTCTTCGTATTTGAAGCTAGCTGTGCATGTTGGGCTGGTTTACGTGGATTTCAAGTGAAAAGCTAGCCCACTAGGCAAGAATAGTTATCCACAAGTTAACAATCTGCTGGAGAAGTTAGCACAACACTGACAAATTTATCAGCTTTGTAATGAGAAGGCTCAGTTTTATATAAGATCTTGTATTATTTCACCTACACGGATCCATTTAAACTCAATGAGGATCCACCAAAGCTTACAGCCTGTCAAGTCCCTATGGACATGATGAATTTAGAAGAAGCTTTTTTTGCCCAGAAGCAAGTGTTTGGGCTAAAATCAAGTCTTGGACTCAGTGGGCCTGCATTTTCGTCAACTCGGAGAATCAACCCCTCCTGTAGGCTGCTTTGTGTTGTATATAAAGAAATATCAACGAAGTCATATCTTATCTAGCACAAAATTAGTATGAGGTTCCAATAAATGCTAATTTCAAAAAAGCTGCCCAGGGAAGGCCTGTGAGAACCATGCTGAGCTCCCGAATTATTGTTGAGCATTCAGCAAACACTGAGAAACCAGTACTGCCCATTCAAGTAGGGAAAATAAGACAGGCTAGCAAAATTTCACTTGAGGTTACAAGTGTGATCCCACTACCCATATGTAATGTACAAGAGTTGCAGTAATCGACAACAGCATCTGACGGAGAGCATGACGTTTGAAGGACTTCCTAAACAAGTAAATTTGAACCGTTTTGGTCTTTGACCCGCGATCACTATTTAGCTTGGGCGGTGAATCACGTGATACAACAGGCTCAAAATCTACAAATAACTGCGCCTCAATCCACCCATCATCAAAAGCATGTCTGTGTCGAGGCACGGAAAATGTAAAGAAGTCTGGTCCAGTATTTGAAATTCATGTTATTAGAGAGATATCTACCAAATTACGGCTTATATCCCGCGCGGTCAAAGTAAAGCGTGTCGGGCTCTTCACATCACGTGCTTCAAACCTCCGGCTTGGCATTAAATTCGTCCGCAGATTTCTCGATACTTGCTTAACAACCGCGTTCTTCACTTTCGGTTTTAACATTGCGTTGCTCCACCGTCGAATTGTTGTGGGTGGGTTTAATATTCAAAATTTCTTGTTCTTCCCGACTCGAGATATCACGGCAAAATGATCTGCCAGCGCTGCCGGTCTAGCATCCTGACCCGACTCCAACCTCACACTGTGGTCCGGTCTGCGTCGGGCAGCCTTCCATTTCAACGCAGTCAATTCCGCAGCTACAGCGATGCAAAGCCCACGGTATTGGCTACTCCCTCGCCTCCAACACCTCGCCAGCCCGCTGGCGCCGATATTACCATCCCATCTGCAGCTACCCCTGGCGTGTCGCAACCCTTGAGCACACCCGAAGGGGTTCAGGTCGATGCGAACTCCGCGAAATCTCCCAAGCCAGCCATTGAACGGGCTCCCAGCTCCTGCCCCTCTGGAAGCAAGCTTCAAGGCCTCAACTACTTCAAGAACAAGCCGGATGTCCTCGCTCTGGAAGACTCAGAGTACCCCGAGTGGTTGTGGTCATTGTTGGATGATTCAAAGAAGGAGGCTAAGAAGGGCGGCGTGGATCCGAGCAGTATGTATACCTGCTTCTGGTGGAGGATTCTCGATGACACTGACCATACATTTATTTAGCCCTGAATAAGAAGCAGCGCAAACGTTATGAGAAGAAGATGGCAGCCCGGGCCGCAACGCTGCCCCCTCAAATTCCAGTCCACCATCATGCCACGGATATTACGCCTGCTGCCTACAACCGTGGTGAGGGTGCTCCCAGAGATTCATTACTGGATGCAGCCGAGAGTCTCGAGAAGCGTGGTGAGATCACAAAGAGTGCTAGAGAGGCCCGGAGGAAGGCAATCAGGGAAGCCAATTTCTTGCGTGGTCTCTGATTTGTTTTATTCAACGTACGCATTTGGGCTGCGCAGCTTCGGACACCCTGGCATCACGGTTCCAACATGGCTAACTGTACAATTATGGCTAACCTCGGTGTATAAATACCTGTTGAGATTTCTTCTTTTTCCATGTATTTTACGGGATACTTGTACTTCTTTCTTGTTTTCATTCCCAGAAAAGGCGCTAAATGCAACTTCATTTGAAATGGACCTTTACACTAGTGCTTCGAACATCTTTTTATTTACCTGCGTGGGCCCTTAATTGAGAATCTGGGACAGGTGATTGACGATGATAGGTAGCGCTTCCAGACCTCCTTATTGAGGAATATCCCACTCCTTGTCTTCGCCTTGGCCCTCCACCCATGGCAAACATGCATCCCACAACGTCTTGAGCTCGCCGTTTCCTAATCCTACCAATTGCTGAAAGATTTCCTTATCCGCCGTGTTAAACCAAACCAAGAATGAAACACATATGAAGTCTGCGTATCCCGGCCGATCACCTTCAAAAAACGGACCTGACTTTCCGGGTTTTCCTTGGAGCATCTCCAGTAAAGGCCTCGCGTCTACGGCGATATTCTCCTTCATTTTCTGAATTTCCTGCACGCCCGTGGGACGAACCTCCGAAAGAGGCTTGCCAAAATGCTCCGTCCGCGTCCTCACAAAGTACTCCTTTCCTCGGGCGTCCAGAATATGTGCCACTTTGGGAGCAACGAAGTGATAGACGCTGGAGGTAATGACCAACATCAGCTTATTTACGGCGAGTGCAAGCGCATAGCTAGCGTTCCCAGATGGGAACAAGGGCGGGGAGGGGTATAAATCATCCAGGTGGATGGCAATAGGAAGGGAGTCCATAAGCGCTCCAGATGGGTTGGACGTCACGGACGGATGGCAGATAGCTGGAAGGGTGTGCGTGAATATCGAGGTCCCCTCGGGATAAGGCTTGACGGACAAACTGGCGAGCAGCGGCGCAATATCCGGATAGGAGACGTATGTCTGCGTGTATGGGACACCCTTATAGTTTAAAATCATGCGAGTCTTCATCGTATTTGGCGACCATGCCTTCGCCGGCACTAGTTGAGCAACGGATTTTTAGCAACGAAGAGTCCATAAAGCAAGTCAAAAGGCAATTGGAACATACCGGGAAGACTGGAAAGGATGTCAAAAAAATGGACAGGAGTAGAGTCAGCCATATTCTCAATTCACTACCGAGTGGTCGCAAGTAAGTGAAGGGGGATTATCGACGGACGTTGCTTTTACTTTAGCTACGATTATTTATGAGTTTATATCCCTCACGACCAAGTGGGGGGAACCCATACCGTACCATTGTAGTGGCCTGTCCACAACTTGATTTATCAGCAAGTATGCGTAGTTATTCTTCCATTTAGCTTGGAAGGAATCGGGGGGTCTAACTCTGAATATGAAGCTGAAATTTTATTTCGTATATAAGGCCTTGACTGCATCTTCACTGATAAATCAATCTCCTTCAAGCTCTTCAACATATAACCTACCAAGTACTCCGTACAGGTCGCACTAACTAACTACATACCCCGCAATGGATAATAAGCACAAAAGTACCACCAAGGCTTCGATTGGGATATCACACATTTCGCTTCTTTTTCTCCTTTATTAACGCCCAAGTCAAATGAATCCTCCCACTGACCCTATCCGTTATTCGATCGTTGGAGAGGACGGGTGGCCTCAGGCCGCCAGCCCTCTGCCACTATGCCCAACCAGTGGAGCGAAAACATTCGATTCTCCTGTCGATCGTATCGAGCGGCCTGCGTACCTACCTAGGTATTTTCTCTTCACCCTTAGTCCTTTGTCCTGCTTTCTCTGCAGGTCATTAATGGTATTGTCTTTCTCTATATCAGTTTACGTGGCTTGCTTCTGTAGCTGAATATCCCACACCCCCTTGCTTCTTCTCTTATCCTTCAGCTGCGCCGGTGCTTGAAACCCCGCGCCTCAGCCTCGACCAAGCTCTGCTACTTTATCACAACACCCCTGCGAAAAAGAATTGATCTCAAAGATCCCTTCTTTAGAAATTCTTTACCGATCATCATGGCTACTGTAAACGAGCTCACTGAGCATGCCGCCCATATCTCTTTGAATTCGTCCTCTGAAGCCATCCCAGCTTTCTCGCCCTCTTTCAAGACTCACTTAGACCAAGTATACGGATCACTCACTTCATCCAAACAAAACCTTCTCAAAGATATTCAGCATGAGTCCCCTGATCAGACCTTGAGCGGAGATCCACTCAGCTCCTTAGCGGCGTTTCATGCCTACATGGCCAGTCCTGCGGCCTCCGCGATGCGGCCCGCAAATCCCCCTGATACCTCTGCACCTATTACAGATTATTTCATCTCCTCAAGCCACAATACATATTTGACTGGGAACCAACTGTACAGCAATGCAGCTGCTAGCGCTTATACTCACGTATGTCTCGCCTCTAGGACAAGACCGAAGGATTCATAGTAGTACAATGAACAAGTCACCGCTAATATTAATATAGGTCCTTCTTAGCGGTGGAAGATGTGTGGAAATCGATGTCTGGGATGGAGAACGGGAGTCCGAAGGTGATCACGACGATGACACAAGTAGTAGCGGCGAATCGCGACTGAGTTCGCTGTCTTCCAAAGTGGGGAGCATCATCCACCGTAAGCCAGCGCCTCGTGAAGTATCCTCAGGCCAGACAAACCCTGCTCCCTCAAAACCGAAACTAGGGTGCCCAGAGCCCAGAGTGCTCCATGGTCGCACTCTTACTAGGAGTACAACATTTCGAAAAGTTTGCCATGCAATCCGCGACAGCGCTTTCGTCACGAGCGACCTGCCCGTGATCGTGAGTCTCGAGGTACACGCGTGTCTCGAGCAGCAAGGGGCAATGGTGGAGATCATGGAAGAGACTTTCAAGGATATGCTTATTCAAGTAACTCCGGAAATGGAGGCCATGGAAACCCCTCCCCCGCTCGCGGATCTGAAGCGCAAAATTTTGGTCAAAGTCAAATGGGTCCCAGCGACTTCTGGCGACCAGGATGAGGTAGATGATCATCCTGATGACTTGGAACCGCTCTCACACACTACCTCGGCAAATACAACAGCAAGCGCTCGCCCTAAGAAAAGTTCAAAGATTCTACATGCCCTGAGTAGACATGCAATTTTTACAAAGGGCTTTAGCTTCAAGCAGTTTACCCAACCTGGTATGGACTATATACTCGAGCCAACTCCCCCAAGTCAACATATTTCAAGGCCTTTACTAATTAATTTGGAAAAGAGGCCAAAATACCAGGACATGTATTCTCCTTGTCTGAAAAAGCAGCTCGACAAGATGACGTAAAGTTCGAGAATGCTTTCTTCGAACACAATCGCAAGTTCTTCATGCGTATCTACCCGTCTGGTTTACGAGTCAATTCTTCAAACCTCGATCCCACATTCTTTTGGCGTCGAGGCGCCCAGATAGTAGCCCTGAACTGGCAAAACTCAGACAAGGGAATGATGCTGAACAGGGGAATGTTCGCAGGCGAACACGGCTGGGTCCTCAAACCCCAGGGCTTTCGAAGCACCGAACCAGAGTCCGCCCCCATCCCCCGGAGGAAACTTGACCTTACGATCGAGTTCCTTGCAGGCCAGGACATTGCTCTCCCTCCCGGTGATAAAAGCGAAAAGGGATTCCATCCTTACGTAGCCTGTTATTTACATGTGGAGACACCACAAGACAGCCCAGCAGGCTCTGGAGGGGAGAGCAGCACGGACTCGGAAAAATCCAGCTACAAGCGTGTGATTAAAAGCTCATCGGGTGCCAACCCAGAATTTAATTCGCAGAAGATTCAATTTCCACCGTTGTTGGGAATTGTTGAAGAATTGACGTTTGTCAGGTATGTTTTGTCTTCTCGTGTGAGATAGGCAAGATGGCGTTTGCTAATTGTCCTGTAGGTTTAAGGTCAAAGATGACGAGATCGGCCGCGACTCACTAGCCGCTTGGGCTTGCATACGATTGGACCGACTACGGGAAGGATATCGGGTGATCCGTCTTTGCAAATGTGATGGGTCGGAGTCTGGCGGTCATCTATTGGTCCGGGTCACCAAGAATATCTCCGAGATTTAGGAAAGCTCCATCCATATTCTAGTAGAATCTATAGAATCTTGTCGACAAGGTTATACCTTTCTAGCTAATACAGGATTATATTGGTCCACAAATCTATCCCATATATACATTTTGAATCGCCACTTCTAGAAGAGGCGAGATATGCCCTACCAAATCAGTATCACCCTGTGGAGCCTTCTAAACTATTAAAAGGGTGTGCGTACTACTATGGCAGTAGATGGTCAACTCGGCCAGAGGCCGTGGGCAATTTCCAGCTGTCATCTCAGCTGCGTTAATAGATAAAACTACAGATGGATTGTTTTGGCCATTTAGCCGAGCTGCAGTGCGGGGTAACCCGACCCAAATCCGGGGTAGTGTTCTAAAAAGGAAGGTGCAACCACGAGTAAACTGAACCAACTTTCATGCTTGGAATTGCTGGATCTGCTGGATCAAGTCTGCCTTCCAGCACTCAGCTTGACTCAATCTCCTTCCATTTTTGCGTCTCATGGCCCCAGTCAACCACGATAATAATGGCTGACACCAATCCGGGGAATAATCAGCCGGCGTCTAAATTCACTAGATGTAGGACAGGGTGTCTGCGATGTCGTAAGCGACGTCGCAAGTGTGAGTACTACAGTCCCCTCTGAGAGGCCGATAGCTAATTCTTCTTGTTTGTTTGAATCTCCAGGTGACGAGAAGAAGCCGCGCTGCCAAAACTGCGTCGATAAAAGTTTTGTGTGTAATTATGGGTTACAAGTGACATTTCTTCCCAAGAACTCCATCACAGTGACCCGGGGTGAACTCCACTCACTCAAGTCGGACAGCACCCACTACAGCAGCATTCAGGTGGGATTTCTTTCCCCTTGAAAACTAGTTGACTTGGAATCATATCATGGGTTCTTACTATATCTTTAGTTTGTTAATGAAGAACCGTCGTCAATTGACAATGTCACCTATGTGTCGTCTATCGAAGAATCACCCTCGCCTTTTTCAAGCATCTCTAGTACGGGGTTATCCAATCCGTCCCTTGGAAATGAAAATCCAGAGAAGAACACTGGCAATCTTTCTGCGATATTAGAACACACCACTGAACTCGACCAAAGCGAAAATTATGATGGAAATGACTTTCACCCCGATGCCTCCTCGGCTATGGCTTCGTGGTCGATGGGTAGCAATGATAGCTGTCAAAACAAGTCACCAACCCCCTTTAAATCACCAATCAACCGTGGTACCTTTAGCGACAAAGATGAGTTTGCCGTGCGCAGCTTGTTAGCGCTGGGAACTGGGGCTGAGGCTGGGCCTGAACCTGTCTACGATGCCGTTTCGGGAATTAACACGATACCCTATCTACAAAATATGGACCACAAAGTTGATACACCTCTTGCCAGCAGCGCCCCTAATAAGACAACTGAAGTCTCCTGCCCAGGTGCCCATTCGGGTTTTCTTGATGAAATCGTGGGAGATTCCACTCCCGTGTTGCGTTCTTCCTCAACCCTCGAGACTGGCTTAGTTACCGAAACACAAAGGCTGAAGCTTTTGCAGCACTATCGCTACCACGTTGCTCCTTGGGTAAGTTATCATTTCGATTCCGGATAGGCCAGGAAGAGACTCCCTAATTGACCCTTCTTTTTTGAAGCTTGATATCTGCGACTTGAAGCACGCTTTCGGCATCGCGGCGCTTCAAATGGCAGTTCACTCGGAACGACTCCTTTCTGTTTTGTTGGCTCTTTCGAAAATCTGCATTTACAAAAGATCTCGAGATTTTCAAATGATACATTCCGATGACTTTGGTGGTTCTCATACACCTGAACTTCCTTCTGATCGTCAAAGCCTTGCCTTACATGCGGATTTTACGGAAACCCTGCTTGTGAGGGTCTTTCAAGAGCTGCACTATCTTGTCTCTGACGTCTCTCATGCCTGGAGAAATATCAACGGCAGTGATTATGGACCATTGCAGTCCTTAGTTGATACTGCATATGGCTTGGATATCGATTCCGCTGTCTATTGGATGTTTTTCCGTTTAGGTATGTTGCCATTTCATTAATGGTACGCTGTCGTGAAGTTTGTCCTCTAACGTTACGCCAGACCTAGGAAAGGCTTTAGCCAACAATACCCCAATTCGGATTCAGCTCCCTTCGGTCACTATTCCGAGTCTATCGTTACTCTGCCGCACTGACGATGCCCCTGAAAGAGTTGCGCATTACACTCAGGCCCTGCTCTGGATGTGCGGAAAAGCCCTGATCATTGGTCATCGAGAATCAATCCCCCCACAGCGACATCAACTGACGGATACCTGGCTGAACGTTTTCGAAGAACTTAACCAGTGGCGTCATTCGAGGCCGCAGGAGTTTTACCCAATGGTGGAGCTCAATGGGGAGGATCCCAACCTCAACCCCGGGAGCCAGTTCCCTTTGCTGTTGTTTACAAATGGAGCTGCAGCACTGTGCAATCAATTATATCATACCGCGATGCTGCTGCTACTCGAATGTAAACCACGTACAACCCTCCTCAACAACCCTCATTCGCCGGTCTTATCCTCTCTATGGCACGCTCAGCGTGTCTGTGGCATTGCACTCAACAATGACCGTCGTGAGTGCTGGGACCCCTGTCTACTTGCTTCTTTCTTAGTCGCCGCAAGATACATGACACACGAATCGCAACAACAAGAGATTGTAGAGGGCTTTGACCGCATACAGGAAATTACTGGCTGGGGTATTGGCGAATACCTCACACAACTACGTGAGGAGTGGTCCTTCCTTGAAGGGGGGTCGAATGAACTCCAAGAGATCAGATAACTGGTTATTATTCAACTCGCAACTATCTCTTGATCAATTGGCGCAGAAAACTGCTGGCTGGGGAAATTTGCCGTATCTCGACGAGGATTATAACCCCAGGCGAGCTCTAAATCACGAATCCTCCAGCACGCGCCCCATCCAGTTTCTGCTTCCACATCACGGATGATCTTGATGATCTGCTCGTGCTCCGAGGCATGGCTGAAAAGCCGACCTGCAATCCAGAGCGGCTGAATGGCGTTGTTAAGGCATCCATGATGCTTATTGCTGAGTGAAATGCCACAGATTCGGCGCGCATGCCATAGTAATGACAAATTGTGCGACCGAGTTAATCGAAGGCTCTTGGGCATCATTTTGAGTAGTAGGATGCAAGCTGTATGGTACAACTGGTTCGAGGAGATGGCAGCCCAGTGTACAAAGAGGATTTGTGGGAAGGGCTTGCGGGGGAGAGTCTGGACTGGAAGCAGCTCGCTGGGTCGCTCCGCTAGCCAAGTCTGAAGATCGTTCCAAAGCTGAGTCCAGCGGGAGGAGAATACATCGGTTGTGCATCCGTTCTCCTCTCCGAGCTCCACGAATTTTGTTCGATTTGCCCCTAGCTCTGTAGTTTTCATGCATAGATATACTGCGTAATTTGCATGCATATCGGGAGACCTGGCTTCTTTGAAGAGTCGGTAGGCGTCTTCTTCCTGACACTCTGCAGGAAGCCATTTCGACGGATGTAGGAGCGTGGTTCGAGTTCCGTCTGAGATAAGGGCACCACATAGATCTGAATATCGTGTTAGATGGTTCTTTTTTTTTTTTTTTTTTTTTAAACAGAAGAAAGCTAGCTGGCCACCTACCCATCCTAGCGTAGCACCAGAACACAGCCTGTAACAGACCTTGACTGAATCCGTGGATCCCAAAGGCATCAAACAGCGCGGCACAGCCTTCCAAATGGCGGTGCCAGTCCTGGGCACGGGCCGACATCATCTCCAAACAGCAGAGCAAGACACACGCGGCAACGATCTTGGGATCACAAACTTGAAGAAGCGGACTCAAGAGCCTGGTTGCCTCCTGGTACAGTTCTAGACTATCGCACCAGTCTTGAGTGCCGCTTTTGCGCTCCATCTGCCGCGCCGAGATGGCGAGGATTGCATACGAAAGGGCAGGAAAGGAGTGTGCTAAGGCGGGAAGTTGCTGGCGAAACGTGTAACGCGAGTCAAACATGTCAAGCTAGGAAATGCATCAGTGGATTGCCAAATATTGACTTTTTTTTTTGAACTCATGTTGCTGGGGTATGAATCCCAGGAAAGAGAGAGAGAGAGAACTAACCCAGGGTGCAATCTCCGCGACGTAGTTTTTCAAATACTCGATCCTTCGTCGACTCGATAGAGGCGATGTACGCGCTGATGATGGTGGTGGCGGAACACTCCCTCGTTGAGCAGAATGATAGCTTTGTGACCCCGAAGAAGATCCTGACACGGCCGACCCGCGTGAAGCAGAGCCAGTATCTGCGAGATCCCGCCTGTCGGCTTCGGGGCTACTTGCTCTAGTTGGCGCTGCTGAGTTCGCAAATGTAAACAGGATGCTGCGAAGCTCTTCCTGTGATGCTAGAAAGCCAGGGTCCTGCGAGAAGCCATCCTGGTACCGGCTGTTTGGGGGGGAGTAGAGGGGTTCTCCTGCTCCCGCTGGTCTGGGAGAAGGGTGACTAGGCCCTTGATATCCTGATGGGGGAGGATTCTGGGATTGATTCCAGGCTTTTACGGTTGGGGTTGACTTGTTGTCTGCTGGTGGTTGCGTTGGCTGCCCTGTGTGCTCGGGTTCAGGGGAGGCGTGCGGGGTGGGATCAAGTCGTTGGCGTTTCTGGGGGGGCTCAAGTCCGAACATTTCAGGGTGCAGGGAGGGAGGGAGAGGACAGCTCGACGCCGATCTGAATGATTGTAGTTGATTCTGTTGTCGTTTTTGTTGGGGGGGGGGGGGGGGGCTGTCGTGTTGCTTTGGTGAGATGGGAGTCGTCGTCCTAGAATGGAACGGGGAGGATATCAGATCAGGTGCCGCGTAAATTACCCAATGCGGATGGAGACCGGAGTAAAACGTTAGTGGGCTTCCATGGCTCGTCTTTTGTGGTTCAGGCCAGGGGACAAAGAGGTAAGTAGCATTTGAGGTGACATCATTATGTCCCATTAAGTTCCCATAGCCCTCGGGTGGTTCGCGAAATTTTCCGTATAGAAGGAGGAAAGAGCATCAATGTACCTAACTATGTAGAGACCAACGTTGTCGATCCCTTGCGCCACCAATCCTTTCGCACGTACCCCGGAGTAAGTAGGTTGCGGGGGAGTGGGGGAAAGTATATCTGGGACCTGGGTAGGGATCTGGGGGCAACTAGTGGCTCAACTTACTGGTTTAGTGTCATCTCTAAATCCGGGGTAGCCCTGTGAATAGTAACATTCCAGATGCGGAATTCCCTACCCGCTGTCATATGTTATGTATACCATATAAAAAAATTTCCTCGTTTCCTTGCTCTCCCCCGCTCTTCCCTCACCATCTTTTTTTTAACCTCTACCAACCTCCTCTCCTTTTCTTGCATTATCTAATCGGGCATAAGAAGATAAAAGACAAGATGGTGCAAATTAACATGTTTGGGGCGGGGCATACGCTCCAGGCAGCCATCTGGTGTGCATGCGGCATGGCATTTATTTTGTTCGGTATGAGGGAATTGGACGAGAATCAAATGGCACAGGCCGCAGCACGATGCAGCATGCATAATATATCTAACAGTGGCTAGGTTATGACCAAGGCGTCTTTTCGGGCATTGTCGAGAACGAAAACTTTCTGGGTCATATGAATCATCCCGGGGACAGCTTGATGGGGATAATTGTTTCGATTTATAACCTGGGCTGCTTTAGTGGATGCATTGTGAACTTTCTCATTGCGGACCGGCTTGGACGCCGACGTGCTATGTGGTTTGCCATGGTCTGGGTCATCGTGAGTGGCTCGCTTTTGCTTTTCTTTTGCTGGATCTTGAAAGTCACTTCGGATCCCTTCCTGACTAACTTTGGTGCTCCTTTGTACTGTCTCCAGATTGGCGCAACGCTGCAGGCATCCGCCTATAGTGTACCCCATATCATGGTCGGTCGATTCATCGCGGGTATAGGCACAGGTATCGAGACCTCTACTGTGCCCATGTACCAGGCAGAGCTGTGCGAGGCTTCCAAACGCGGCAAGCTTGTTTGCAGTGAGCCGTTGCTAGTAGGTGTCGGAATTGTCATCAGGTGAGTTTAGTGAAGCCACTTTTCTCCACCAATACCCTATCTTTTACATTGTACCCTAACCCGGATGGCCTAGTTACTTTTTTGACTTCGGGATGAGCTTCGTCGGCGGCCAGATTGCTTGGAGACTCCCGATTGCGTGCCAGATGATTTTTGCCTTTGTCAGTCCCTTACTGAGTATTATCCGCTTTGCAGTCTATGGCTGACTGGCTTTATAGGTTGTCATTGTTCTTGTCTTCGGACTTCCGGAATCTCCTCGCTACTGCTACCAGAAAGGACGAAACGAGGAGGCACTGCAGATCCTGAGCGATGTCTATGGCCGACCAAAAGACGACCCGAAGATTCAGGATGAGCAAAATGACATTCTCGAGGCCCTTGCTATCGAAACCAAGTACGGAGAGTACCAGTGGCGGTATGTCTGATTCTATCCGTAATTTCACCGTTCATTGATTGCTAATCCCGCGACCTAGAAACGTCTTCAAGCACGATGCTGTCTCAACCGGGCACAGAGTGTACGTTGTCTATACATCATCGCCACCTACACCGTTCAATCTCTCCACACTAACATATCAAACCTCATCTAGACTTCTCGCGTATGGAATGCAATTCATGAACCAAGTGGGCGGTATCAACCTCATCGTGTGCGCGCACCTTTTAACCCCCCTGCCTGATGATACCCAACAAACTAACCCCCCCCTTTTACCTTTCCCAGCTACTTCATCCCCACTGTTCTCAAGAACAACGTCGGCCTCAGCCAAAACCTTTCCATGATTATCGGAGGATGCGTCCAAATCATGTTCGTCCTAGGGAGTTTCTTTCCCACCTTCTTCGTTGACCGCGTAGGCCGCCGCGCACCGATGATCTGGGGCTCATTGACACTCGGAATCAGCATGATGATGGTCTCGATCCTGCTCAGTTTCAAAGGCACAGCAAACGAACACCAGACCTCCTCGGCGTCGGTGGCGTTTTTCTTCATCTACATGTTCGCATTCGGTGCATCGGTAAACTGCATCCCCTGGTGCTATGTACCAGAGATCCTCCCCTTACATGCACGAGCCAAGGGCACGGCAATTGGTATATCATCGAACTGGATCTGGGTAAGTCATCATCCTACACAAAAAAATAATGTATGTAGTATTAAAAAAAAAAAAAAAAAAAAAAAAAAAAAACAGAACTTCTTCGTCGTCATGATTACACCCGTGATCATTCACCGTCTCCAATGGAAGGCGTATCTGATTTTCATGGGCACCAATTTCGCCTTCATCCCCCTGGTTTACTTCTGCTATCCTGAAACCGCGAACCTCACGCTCGAGGAAATCGATTACCTGTTTACGCACCCGGAAAAGAGCGCCGTGACGATTTCCAAGGAGTTGCACGAGCAGCGCAAGAAGTTCGGGGATACTCGGCGGCGGCTTGCCCATGACACGATGGCTGTGATGAATGTGAATGACTCGAGTGTTCCCAGTGATGGAAACACAGAGAAGGCACGTGGCGACGAGTATATTGAGCGGGTTTAACTTTCATATCCTGTCACCTTTTAGTCCTATCTATCTATGGTCACTGTGGGAATTTCCGCGAGAGAGGGAGAACAATCACAATAATATGAAATTATTCTACCCAGGTACGGAGTACTCTACTCTGTATATGAAAATTAAACCGTACTCTGGAGATTAGAGTCCCACGAGCATCTTCCCTTCTTCCTCCCCACCAGTCCAGCCCGGAAATCTTCCCCTACTCCATAGGAAAAGGATTCCCACGAATGAAATAGAAATATAGCTAGTGCAAACCTAAAGCTGCACATGTTTCCCAGTGTCCACACGACACTATAATAAATTTTAAAATGTGCATGGCTGGAGGTACGGAGTAGGAACCAGCGGACTCCTTCATTTGGAAAGAGCTCACATCGGCGAAATGTATCCACTTTGATCTATCAGAGTAGAGTGCTAGATACTCCGTACTCATGTTGTTGGCGCGGAATGACTCCTACTACAGCGTACAGAGTAGAGGTTTCCAACAGAGACTCTAAGATGGCGGCTGGATCGGTGTGTGTGTCTGGCGTCGCTGACTAGCGGTGTGCTCGAAGAGTTCGTTTCATCAGTCGAAAACACCCTTTACTTGTCAAATCTCCCGACCAGGAAATAGACGATGATGACACTATGGTTACACATTGTCCCCGTGGCCTAACCACCGAAGGACTTGTTCCCCCACTAGGTATAGAGAGAGAGAGAGAGAGAGAGAGAGAGAGAGAGAGAATAAGTGAGAGGGGGGAAGAGGAGAAAAAAATCCATGAAAAAGTAAATGAAACCCCGGGCAAAATGGGGAAAAGGAAAAAGAATAGAGAGCCAGGTAGGCTAATTATTGGAGGGGAAACAATACACCCTTTCTCTATCAAGAGCTCAAAAATGGACCTGTCACATTTCCAATTTGATGAATAGCAATTCCAGGTTCTTGCTTATCCTAAAAAATTCTCTGCCGTGATTTAGCGTGGGAGGAGAGCGCCCCAGCCCCTTTGCGTCCGTCGAGCGGGAAGAAAGAGCCAATTTGAAGCTCCACAGTTGGTTGTCTGGTGCGGGAATCTCCTCTTGTACGGAGTATTGCATCTGGAAAGGCAAATTAGGGCAGGGATGGATGGCTAGGGTTGGTACCGGAAATGATCGGAAAAAAATATGGCATCCCTGGACTTTCTTTGCGTTCTCACTGCACCAGTGCACCCTCTGAATGCACCTTTGTCTAGGCTAGTTCGAGAAGGGAAGATCAAATTGGATGCCGAGTTCCACAAGCTGGCGTCAGCTCCACATCCTTTATGTATCCAAATTCGTACCAGCGAGAAGTGGGCTCATCTGCGTCAGACTGCCCATGCATCACCCTAAGGTCAAAAGCCAAGGCATGAGAAAAATAGACTGATCGACGCCAGGTGATAATCCCAAGGTACCCCAGACCTTGATAAAGTTCAACTTCTTATATCCACGGCCCAGCTCGAGACCCGTGCTGCATGCAGGTCGTTCAATCGCAAAAATCAAGGGACCACTGCATTGGGGGGTGCTTGAATCCAGCCAGAACAAAAGTGATGGCATACAACGGGTCTATGCAGCTTGTTTCGGAAAGCCTTGTTCTCAATCGACTGGTATATTCGTCCACACACTTGATTGCGGTTATCATCCGTCCGCTTCCAGAGGAAAGTCTGATAACCCTCCATCACAAAAGATGTGATGGCGCTTTGCAGGGGAAAAAATCACACAAGACTTATACCGAAAGAAGGAAAGTCTTTTGGGGGGGGGGGCACCCAGCACAGTCTGGGACCGGCAGGGAGTCCAAAAATTAATTAATAATAATAATAACTATAACTAATATAGAGATAGTTCGTCGCTAGATTCAGATCCGCCCAAAAAGAAGTCCCAGGGATACCATGACCACGATACAGGGGTGACTGACTCCCGAACAGTGGCGGCGCCCCTAAGGAGCATTTCCGCCAGATATCGACCAGAGAGAGCTTCTTCTGCTGGCAGACCACCAATGACCTTGATTAGAGCTAATCTTTGGGGTTTTCCCTTCGAAACCCAGAATGTTCGTGACCGACGAGCAGGAGTGCGGCCAAGAACTTAGCCCAACAAGGAAAGAAAACAGCGCCCATGGGGTATTGTAAATTGTGGATGCACTGATGGCACGTCCTGGGTGTTGGTACTTAGTAAATGCTTCATGAAACCAAAGGAGCCACTAGTAACTGCTAAGCTGGGAGACCATCCATCAGCTCTGGATCAAGATGACCTATACATTGTCAGTCATGATTATCTTTAGGGTTAGATTGATTTCCCTCCCATCTCGCGAAATTTGGATGAATATGGGATAGATCTTTTGCCCTACCAGCTATGCGCACCAGTCACATATGCACTCGATCTAAAAAAACAAAAGAAAAAAGAAAAAAAGAAACAAAAAATTACCGGTGATTGAGTTTCCATAAAACGTTGCAGAAACGGTTCTCAGTTGTGTTTATCCAGCGGTCAACTGTAGGGATTCCACTCATTGCTTTTTACACCTTCTTATGAAAAAGGGGGTGGGGTTTCTGCTGGAGAGGCTTCTTTATTGGTAACTTCTTGAGGTTGATCAAGTCACACAGGTCTCTATCAAATCCCAGCTGACTGACCCACTGGCCCGGTTTTCTCATTAGCCAGACTCTGAGATGCAAGTCATTGACGGGAAGATCCGAGCAAATCCTGCTGCCAACATGACATGTTTGATAACCGGGGAGGGGGGGAGGGAGGGGTGTGGGATTTTGTGATTGTTCTTTGGATGCATTAAATCCCAGTCTAGTTGTGACTCCAATCGATCGATCGAAGCTAAGCTGAAGATCTCCCGGCTCCAATGCAAAGGGTTGTGGTTCCAAATTTGGGCCTCAGATTATTTAACCACCGGTCGAACTATATAAAGAAGGGAGTTTAGTACCCCAAAAGATTAAGCTCAGTGACCAAACCAAAGTTAGAGTCAATTCATTTTCAATTCCCCCCCCCCCCTCCTCCTTTTCCCCCTTTTTCTTTAGGCTGTGTGTAACCATGTTCGATCATCCTGTTCTTGATAAACAAGGCCCTCAGCCAGTGAAGAGGTCCCATACTGTTCGTTCTGTTCGCCACCTCAGTAAGCCAGAGAGCAACGACACCACAATGGCTGTGAGTTCGCTGAGAAAATGCCCCATTTCTGAGCCTCATTGACGAATTAACACCCTATCCCAGATGCCAGGTGTCCGTTGTCCGAACTGCGAATCCCAGGGAAAAGAAACCTGGGTAATCCCCGGGAAATACTGCCATGTGTGCGGAACACCTTGCTGATAGGATCACTTGAGGTAAGTATCAAAGACAATCACTGAACCATGGAATCGGTATCAGCAGTGACATGCTAAGCATGCGTCCAGATTCTTTGAAGGCCTTGACATAAGCCTGGGTCTCAAAGGACGTTCGTTCCCTTCAAGGGGAGAAAAAAAAAACGCTTCCTGGGACAATTTATTCATTTGTTCCTCTTTTGGGCCACAAATAGAGAAGCATCGACTGTGATGGTGATGATGATGATGATGATGGTTATTATTATTATTATTTTTTTCGCTTGGAAGCATCGTCTAGCTTTCTGGTTTATGAGGGAAGCAGCATCGGGAACGGAGTCAACGGAGTACTGTACAATATTGACGGTAAAAAAAAAGGGATTTGGGATTATATTATTATAGACAAGGGACAGGGATTTCTTACCTACTTCATAAATAATGAGAGACAAATATTCCGTGTTCGCAAAAGAAAGAAAAAAACAACATCCCTTCTCTCTCTCTCTCTCTCTCTCTCTCTCTCTCCCCCACCTTTGGACGGTTTGGTTTGAATTGCGACTGCCTAATGGGGAAACAACTGGTGCCTTATATATTGGGCAACACGGCAGCAAAATCCGCTTGTGATGCGTCATTTTCAACACTCTCTCCCCCCGGCTATATTCTCTCCCTTTTTCTCACTTGTAATCTACCTGCTCGTTTGCCTCCAGAGTCATGGTCGACAGCTACCCTATTGGAACTCGCAGCGAATGCGAACAGCTCGTCCGGGGCTGGGGTTTTAGCGTTGTTTTCACTTGGGTAGATGGGAGGTAAGTGAACCTGGTGCTCTTACTCTCTGTACTTTTACCAATTCCTCCTACATGCATGTGCATACCTATGTTTATGCCTCGGCTTCAATATAACCATCCTCACAAGGGGGGGTTTTTTTTTTCTTTGTTTTTTCTTGGAGTGCTGATAAGAGCTGCAGTAATACATACTACCCTCCTCATTCACACTCTGGGTTAACAACACATCTCATCCGTCAAGGGACCTTGACAATCACATACCCTGATGACAACATCAAACTGCACAATGGGGAAAGCAAAAAGGAGACATATGGAGTGGGTATGAGGGTGGATGTGCCAGCTGGCAAACGCCATGAGGTTTGGATTGGTGGTGATGGCTGCGAGTATGTGATTGGGGAATAGGTCATACCTACTGAGGTACGGTACGCACTACATTTTAACCTACGTTCGAAATACCCTCAGTAGCCTAAGGGACTCATACAGAGGAAAGTCTGTCGAATAAATGCTGATTTTTCATGTTTTATTCGTTTCTTCGTGTTGTACACAATTATCGAGAGCATCTATCTGGGTAAGTCTACTCTTCCACCAGTTTGATCGCTTCCCGTGGTATTTCATTAATGGCTAAATCTAAAGTCGAGGCTGTTATATATATATATTAGACGGTGACCGATATTTCACTGGGCAAGCAAGGCACATACCGTTTGTTCCCTTTGTCTCTGTTCTCGGCCAAGTATGCTTCTCTCTCAGAGCTCGACATAGCATCCCATTTTGCGGCATTTTGCCTGCTTGGGAGTTAGACATGATGTGACCAAAAAGAAAAATCACCAGGAAGACACCGTACTTGTTTCGCCAAATATAGTAGAACTTGGCTCCAACGAATAGCGCCAGACTCCACACAGATAACGCGATGAGGACTCTGTTACCAACACGGTAGTATGGTTTATCGTTTTGTCGATATATCTGTATAACCTATTAGCCATTATTGTCCCCCAAAAAAAGTTGGAACCAAGCATAAGTGCCTTTGCTCACATTGTTCGCAATGATGTTTGACGCCTGGACTGTCATATTGTATATGGCGCTGGCTACGGTCCTTGTATGGACCGACCCGGCGTTTCTTGAGGTCATGGCCACAATAACGGCGTGCACATAAGGAGTTCCAATAAGCAAAATATTGAGGACCCAAAGCACCCATGGGCTGGTTCCATTTGGGAGGATCACGAGCGCGATAAGCGGAGCCAAGCACCAGATTTCTGTGACAATACCAATCACAAATCGCTGGTTGAAGCGCTCAGAGATCCAGGTCCAAAAAAGAAGATTGCCAATAAATAGTGCATATGCCGGGATGGTCATGAGATTCGTTTGGAAGGTGTTGAAGCCCAGGGACTTGAGTTGAAGAGTAATGTAGCTGGTTGCTGGGGTCGTTGGAATCATCCAGCTCAAGCCCAGCAAATAGATGGGCCACATATCATAATCCCAGAGAGCATCCCAGAGCATCCCTGGCGTCACTGCTTGTCGATTATGCATTGTTCCTTTGCTGGGGTCGTCACGAATGACACGATTAACGAGAATCTTCTCTTCACGCTCGCTGAACCAACCGTCCTTGCCTCTCAACCAGCCTTTGGTCTGTGTTGGTGATGCAGGCATCCAAGCAGCAGCCAGGATGCCAATAACCCCCGTGATCAAGCCCTCGAAAGCGAAAAGATACCGCCATCCACCGGTTCCATCAGATCTTGTGATATGAAGGAACCCGAAGGCTAAGAAAGCGCCAACGATAGCAGTTCCCTGATAGGATACCCAGAAAAAGCTCAGGCGAATGGGCAACTCCTTAGACTTATACCAAAACGAGAGGAACAAAATCGTGTCTGGAATGCTAAAAACCAAAAAAAAAAGGTGGTTAGTGGTAGATTCCCTTTGGTTTATTTGGAACAGGTAGTTAACAAGGAACTAGAGTACTCACAAACCACCTTCAAACATTCCTAACAAGGCCCTGCAGACATAGTATCCTGTTTTATTCTTCATAAATGACTGACAGGCTGCAATCACACTCCAAGAAACCATCTGGATGGGGATCCATCGGTCTGGCCCGAGCTTTTTCGAGAGAAGCTGAGATGGAAGCTCCGCAAACAAGAAGAGCAAAAAGAAAATTGTCTGTCCAGTGTTGTAGTCATTCGTGTTCATCCCGAGATCCTCCAACATATTGTCAGATAAAGCCTGAACGATATTGCCTCTATCGAGCTGGAGCGCAAAAAAGGTGATACACGCAAAGGTACAGATTCGTAAATCAACCTGCTCGAGGGTTAGTTCGTCTTCCTTCACTAAAATGCATGACCTGATCTGAGTACCTTTCTCACCAGTCGCTTCTCTTCCTCCGGCGACCAGTCGAAGTCGGGGTCCCAACGATGGACACCCTCATATTCGGGGATTGGTTTGTAAAACCGGGGATCTTCGGATGCATCAAAAGTGCATCCATTGTATTCCTTAATCTGCACTCGTGCTTTGAACTCCAATGAAGACGACGATGATCCTGACCCTAGAATAGCGTCCGGGCTTTTCTTGATATCGTCACCGGCAGGGTCCGTGATGGCGTGGATGCTACTGGCATCATTTGCTGCCATATTGTCGATACTATCAGACATCAAGGTGTTGTATTAGATGCTGACCAATATCTTTAGGACCCTGGGCACCAGGGGAATTTAAAGGTCGCCTCCTCTTCTAATCGTCACAGCAAATACTCGTTCCTTTCTTTTCATTCATCATCACGCAATTTGAGCTGCACCTTGGTCAATATCGCTTACAACGCTAGCCACAGGCCCCCGTGTGATTGATGAGCGCATATACCCAATGGTATATAGTGTTTCGCGGAGCTTCATGGATAGGAAGATCTGATCTCCTGGACGGATAAACCTAATCTGCTGCGCGAACAATGGAATACGGACGCCCCCCCAATCATAGCAAGGCCAGAAACACAGCATAGCCAAGTGGAGAGGCAAAATAGACCCTACAAATGCCCATTTCCAGCTCGCTCGCGGGTCCTTGACAGCCAAACAAGCGCGGGTGTCCGAAGCTACTCAGTACCTGTTAGCACGCCAACTGTGCAGTGGTTACGTGATAAGAGACGAGTAATATTGAAGGAGATAGTTCCTAGCCCTCGCTAGCGTCCGTCTGTGTTAGATTTTAACATAGTGAAATGAGCGTGTAGTTCGAGGAGATTCTTGCTCTTTGGTTTGTGGAGGCATGGACAATCCACATCAGATTGGTGAATGATGATCGGGATATTTCCCCATCCTCGCAACATCCAAATGCGCAATGACTGGTGCCCGATCAAGTCCTCTCAAGGGGGCTTGAATTTTGTGGAATTTCAGGACAGATGCTTCGAATTCCAGCATCATCAGCGGACAGACAAACAGACACCTTGTCCTGGTAAGAACCAGATGCAAAAAGCCAACAACCACTCCTGCACAGACTCTCCATAGCTCTAATAGTACCGGTTGATAATGCCAATTATTCAACTTATTCTGTATCTTTCACAAAAAATGGCTTGGATTGAGAGTGGGGGGTGAAGCTTTTCTCGATTTGTGCAGTTTGAGGTTGTTGCGCAACAGGAGACACAATGACGCGATGCTTGGCCCAATCGTGATGGATTCTAGACTTCTCCCTTTCACCTTCCAAGTTCTTCCAACTCATATCGCGAATTAGCAATCTGGATGGATCTGAATTACAGTTCCTTAAAGCCTACCGGGCTGACGTACGCCAATTGGATGACGGCTAACAGGCTGTTTATCGTCGAATCGGGTATGTAGTCGATATCGACAGACTCATTATCCTCTTCTGGCACGCCATCCATGGCGGCCTCTTCATCATATCTGATCTCCGCGTGAAGCTCGCCCAGCATGCGTTCATTGCTCTGGATTGCGAGTGGTCATTTCATTCGCCGCTCAAATGGCTCCAAGATTATTTGACAGAAGAAAACAAGATCAACCATACTCTGCAGATATTGCGCCAGCACAAACCGGATAATCCGATAAGATGATGGAGTATGCCATATATAAGACATCGAAAACACTTTGGGGATGCTGCGTATGTAAATCACGAAAAACGATTGTTGAAACTGAAGAGTTTATACAGACACAATGGCACCCCTCTCTCGCTGAACCTATCTCACTCCGCGCACCACCAAAGTCGCTCCTCAAGACGGAAGGGGGATATAACAAGGAGAACCTAATAGGATACGGAGAGGCTTATAAGCATGATGACGAGATTCAAGGCACTGTAAAACAACCTCCTGCATCCTTTCCCAGCTACCTCCCAGTCTGGGACAATGAAACAGAAAGGTTAGTCTTCGCGTCTCCCCAACTAGTCATCTCTGATCCAGGACTAAGACGGTCAATGTAGATACCCACCACTACAGCCATTCCAGCACTATGATCACGGAAAGGATGCTGATCCGGCATTCCCAGATCTGTTCCTAACAAACACACACACACACACACAGTTGAGATATATATATATATATACTAACGAGAGGAATTGCCTCTAGCCTTCCGAGACCAGGACTTTGCAAACATGGCGCAGGCCTACAACCGTCTCTCTCCCGAATTCCGTCAGCGACTGCATGGTCTGAAAGCCGTCCACTCCGGCGTGGAGCAGCCTCAACAACGGCGGTATTGCTCGTCGTGACCCGATCACAACAGAGCATCCAGTGGTCCGAACCCATCCGGTAAATTATGTACCCCCCGTATCCATAATCAAGGCCTTTCATATATGAATATATATAAACGGGCCTGGAAATTAACATTGTCCGTCTACTACCAGGTCACCAGAGAAAAAAAGACACTCTTCGTGAATCCACAATGTGAGTCCCCTGGCGCGCGCAGGGAGAACCTCAATCAAATGCCTGGTTCTGATTTAACTAACGCTCTCTCTCTCTCTCTCTCTCGGACACAGTCACCCGGTACATCGTCGGATACAAAAAGGAAGAGTCCGACTACCTGCTGAAGTTCCTATACGACCACATTGCTCTGTCCCAGGATCTCCAGGCCCGTGTAAGATGGCTTCCTGGCACCGTTGTCGTCTGGGATGTAAGTTTGGTCTTGTCTTTACTCTTGGTTCGGGACTAAGGTGTCTTTCTTGTCGGCGTAGAATCGTGTGGCTGCACAGAGTGCTCTCGTTGACTGGGCTGATGGCCAACGACGCCCATCTGGCCAGAATCACGCCCCAGGCTGAGCGGCCCTATGAGAACTCCATTTGAGGGTTAGAAGGGGTCTGGGGGAAATGCTCCTCCTTTTTTTTTGATCCTGTCGAATTTGATAATTCCGATCGTAGGGATGGCAGGTGTCCTCCTTTGTGTGGGTTAAATGAACCCAAGTAAATCTGAACTAATACCAACTTACTTGCCTACTACTACCTTACTTAGCAATTGGGCACCATCGGGTACTTAATAATTTCGTAGGGGCAAACCGGATTGATTCCTAGGTTCATTTTGAACTATCCTATCGCTAGCTACCACAAAGACTTCCACTCCTCCCTCATCCGGAGTGCCTTGCAAGCCTCCAGTCATACGCACTGTTAAACCTGCAGCTGCACGCTAATGTGGATGTTTCCACTAAGGATAATCGAAGGGGCCCTGACTGAGTAACCATGAAGAAAAAAACTCCTTCTTGGTCTAGAGGACACGAGGGAAGATGACATAAAAAAAGGCATTCTGAACAATAAGAAAAGGTCATGTCCGAGGGGATGTCGATTCGAATCAGAGAAGTCGAGGATGAATGAAACCAGCCTGGGCGGTCTCCCAGCTATTGTGCAGCAGACGCAGAATCACGGACTATCATGGAGTTCAGATCCCGGCCGGGCTCCGGGGGCGTGACTTTGATTGTCGGGGGATTTTTTCCAGAAGAACATAGACCGTGGCTGCTGTTCGAAGGCGGGGTATCTGTAGCGCTTGCTGGGGTTATGGCTAAATATTGAGGCTGGCGCTCGATAGCTGGCCCGAGGATATCGGTGATTTCAAGCCGCGAGAGGGCTTCAGTCACGTAGTCCACGGGTGTAAGTTCCCGGTCTGGCACGAGGGTGCCGGCGTCTTCGATGTGCTCCCAGGTGACGACTTCATCGTCCGCGCGGGTTATATTTGAAGACGGGTGAGAGGTTGGGGGATTCGTGGTCATGGTGGAAATAATGGAAAGTGAAGGATGTAATACTCGATCGATATAGAATCTCCTTACCCACGGACAAGGGCTGGGCCAGGCGTTGGTTGTCAGCTTGAAGAGAACTAGACAATAGGAGGGTTGGGGGATACTCACGAACGATTATTAGTGTGTGCGATAAATATAGCGGTTGCTCAAGGAGTGACAGCTTGAAGCTCGGGGATGTGCGAGTAAGAAGTGAATGCGCTGAGAAGGAATATTCGGGGTGAAAATTGATCATGGGACATCAGCCCAGCCTCGAGAGCAAGATTACTTACTCAAAGCGGAAGGCACCTGATGTCGCCTGGGCTGGAGGTGAGTCTGTCCTTCCCTGCCTCATAATCATTTCGATCTTTCGAATCGATGCAGAATGCCAACTCTCCATTCTTGGAACAGTCTCGCTGACAGCGGTAGCATGGCGTTGCTTGCCTCAAGAGTGTCGGAGAGAGACGTGAAATCACTCAGAGGAAGTCTCAGTTCTTCCAGAGACAAGGAAGACGCCTTCCCAGGCTCAGGGTGCAGAACTTCCTCGGCATTGCTAATGCTCTGAAAGAAAACTTTCATGGCTCGTTGCGAGGTGATGCTGTGGTCGGAGCAGGAATTGGAATACCGCATATCCGGGTTGAAGACCCATATCTAAACACAAATCAGCAGCATGGATGAGATACCAAGAACAGACAATACTGACCAAAATCCCGTCGCCTCTTCCACTATGAATGACGAATCTCCGGGCACTTTCACGTTCGATGAGCTCCAACAGTTGAGCGGCCACTATCAGCTCCACCGGATGGCTTTCCCAGCTGATAACTTCAGGATTGCTCTCGGTCGATGGAAACCCAGCCGAAAGACTGGTCTTGAATAGTCTCCTCCCTTTGGCCACAGGGTCTTCAACGGCGACTGATGCGTTGCAGTTTTCACACGCTAGTTCTTCTTCTGTCTTCGAAGAGATATCGTCAACATTTTCATTTGAGGCCTGGTACATTCATTCATCAGCGATCTGATATTTATGGAAGAAAAGGGGCGGGAGTTGGAAGTATGGAAAGGGAGAAATAAAGCGATGTCTAGGGCAGGTTCTATTTCTGACAATACGACTCATTTGCATTTGTCTACAAATATACCAATCCTCAAATCGTATCTTAGGCAAACCAGCATGTACCTCGTCGTCATCGCGTCGATGCCATCTCTGTGGCCTAACCCAACGAAGAAACGGCGAGGCGCAATCTTAGTCTCGACACTCGGAAGGAAACCCGAAAGCCATAGCAGTAAAAGACACGGACAAGGCACGAAATCCGTCGAATGAGGATGAGGATAACTGTGCCCTTTCCTATGCTCCCTTGTTGCCATGACCAACGGCCATACCCAACCAAGCCAAAAGACTAAGACCCCATAACTATAGGGCAATTGTATCGAAGACCTGATCACGGAAGAGACAGGGTCTCCTTCTTTTTGCCCATTGGAAGCAATCCAAGTACTGGGGGGGGGGTGGGATACGATTCCTACGAGTCTTCACACCAAAAAAAAAAAAAAAAAAAAGAAAGAAAGAAAGAAAGAAAGAAAGAAATGCAGCGAGTGGGAACATGGCCTGCTTACCTTTTTCAACCCTCTACAGTCCAAATCCGAGACCAAAAAAGTCGCCACATCCACAAGAACAGTACCCGGAGTTGCCAAAACCCGGTTCGACGCCCCGTATCCCTTGATCATGGAATTCTCGTCCTCGGTCAATTGCCGCGCACCGTCTCCGTGGGCAGCAGCACGTTCTTCGCGGGAATCCGGTTTATGACAGTGCCAGAAATCCATCATCTCAGCCCAGTTCCCACTCGGTAAATCTTTCCAGGTCCATTGCGTAGTAGACGGGGCCGGACGCCAAGGCATTCCCAGAATCAGGTTCTCGCATCGTCTGCACCGCAGCTGGGTTGCCGGCGACATATCCGCCGCAGTCCAGGGAACGAAACTATCCAGATGGTCTGCCGCCGCACGCAGCGATTCATCATTCTCATCGATCTGCATGCGGAACGAGAACTCCTGTCTGGGTCCCGGAGCCGCAGCAGCAGCAGCAGCCGCCGCGACATGTGTTGTGGTGCTTCGAGCGTTTTGTCGTCGAGCGGTAAGCAGCCTGCGCGAGGCCTCGGTAACGCGTGCCGGCAGTTTGATTGTGTCCGTTACGTCCGCGAACGGCTCTGGAAGGGCTACAGAGACGGCACGACGAGACTGTAAGAGGGAGATGTCTGGGAGGATGTCAGTGGACTGGGGTTTCGAGGGTACTGAGATATGGAGCGTGACGTGGCGGATGTTAGGTAGGAGTTCGGCATGGAGGTAGAGGGGGGCAGCTCCATTCTGGCTCTCTGGTGGTGCCGACATCGTAATCCACACCATACGTTCTGATATTGACATTGGGGCTCTGTTGAAAGGGTGGGTGGTTGTTGGTTACCTCCACAGCGCAAACATTACAAACAGCCTTGAAACAGGAAATCCAAGCTTGGCACATGACTGCTTTTTAATGCCTCAGGCATCAATATCGCAATATCACGACTGAATGGAACCTGATAAAAGTATTATTGTTAAGAGTTGAGATACCATGTAAATTTGGAGTCGATTTTGAAACAGCCTCTCCCAATGCAACAATACAATGCCCAGCACCACGCCTATACAACACCTTGCATTCACGATCCCCCCCCCCTCCCCGGTCAAGCAATCACAAGTCAATCTCCCAATATCAAACAAACCCTCCCCAGCCATCAAACTCGTCGGCGAACTTTACGGCAGCCTTGAGATAAAACGAATCCGGGTCACCCCATGTATTGGCGAGAACCTTGAGCGCACGCACGGCTTTCACAAAATGTGTTTCGGTGGAATGCTCGCCCTTGACCGCCTTGTGAGTTACATACTTCCAGCCTTTATCCTTGATGTCATAGTTCCGGACAGAGTCCATTTTCATCTCCGGTCGAAGCTGGGCGACATAAATCGAGAGAGTCATCAACCACCACTGTCGCACGAGAGAGACCTGGAACCGAGCCGGGATGAGCGGGAGCAGCACGCGAACGGCATGACTCGCCGTGAGAACATGGACGAAAAAGAAATCATATTTCGCGGCCACCGCGTTGGGAGTCGATAAAGTAGTGGTTAGCAGGGCGACGGCGGCCTCTTGGCTCTCACGGAACTGTTCCTGGGGGTCCTCTTGGATTTCCCATGCGTTCCAGTGGTCCAGAAGGATGGCTTCGGCTTCGCGGAAGAGGGTTTCGATATTGTGATGGCCCGGGGAGGAGAAAAAGCCGTTGAGCCGCTTGTCGGTGCGGACCTTGGAGAGGACTTCGAGGATTGAAGTGGAGTGGTAGGAGGCCTCGGCTTGGGAGTACGAAGGGTCGTCGAGGTATTTATGGGTTGTGCCGTAGCAGACTGCGGTGAGGGTCAGTGCTTCGATTGCAACTTCGCGGCTGGACATTTCGAAGGCGTAGGCCATGTGGATTAGCGGGTGTCCGACTGGATTGAATCATGATGAGGTCAGTTTAACAAGCCAGCTAGCTGGCTAATGTTTTTTTTTTTTTTTTTTTTTTTTTCAAAATTTCCGTTGCAAGGTGTTTAGAGTCAACGTACGGTCAGCCGCGAGAGAATTGAAAAGCGGCTCCTTGCCGGAGAACAAGTAGGTAGCTACGACCTTTTTCCAGTCGTAACAGTAGCGGACAAGCTCGTCTTCGAAAAAGTCGACAAAGGCGCGTTGGTATCTGCGGCGCATTGTTAATGGCGGTGGCGAATATCCACAAGAAGAACAATATAGCTCACTCCCGCTGGCCACAATAATCTCGCCAGTCATATGTACTAATCTCACCAGGAGAGTCGACCCAAGCATCTAGATCCTTTGACTGGCTGTCATACGCGCGATTCAAATCATCCGAATTCGCCCCCAGAAGGAAAGAGGAGCACAAAAGCTAATTCACCCAGTCAGCAACTTGCCCATACATCTCATATAATAAGAGACAAGAAAAAGAAAAAAAGATAACAAACATGTGGTGCATGATTATGAAACTTCCGCTCATTCCAAAGAACCGCATAATTGGCATGGTTTAGCTTAAGCAGGTGCTTCAAAGCTCTCGCGGACTTCCCAGGCGCTGTGTCGATCTCATGAATTTCACAAGATGGGAGGTCAAAGACGACCCTCTCACCCATAGGGAAAATGGTTTTCAGGAAATTGAACATGGTCAATGGTGGTAGCTTTCATAAGCTCGCATGCAGGTCTCTCTAGATTGTCTCTCCGGTGGTGGGTAGGAGAAAGCTTGGCGTTGAGGCGGATTTTGTTGGTACAGAACGTGGATATCAAATGATACAGCAGCTAATGTGGTAGTCATCGGATGTTATGTGTAAGCATCTTAAGCATATTCTGAAGCAGCCGCGTAGGTCAATTCAGCTGAAGGTAAGGAAGGGTGAGGAAGACTGGAGACTGGATGATGGCTCGATGATGATATATATGGTTGGGGAGAAGAGGCACATGACGTAAATTTGCGGGTGTATTGTCCCACCAAGAATCGGTATTATAATACCACACCTGTGTACGAGAATAATTCTCTGTGGAAGGGAAGGGGATGTCAATCGAGCGCAGTTGAAATTTATTAAAATTTATTTTTTCAAGTAAAGAATCAAAATAATATTCCACAGTAAGACAAGGAAGGGACCAACTTAACCCCGGACACCAAGGCGATATATGTATATGTATATACAGACTTCAAGCTCTCTCTATATGCAAAATAAATAACCAGATCCTCAAATGATTTGCCTCTTATATCCTGCTGCGTGCCCCGGGCAAGCGCAGCTCTATCCCCTTATTTGCTATGACTGACAGCCTGCTCAGTCTGCTGCTCCAAGCTATAAGTACTCCTGCCGTCAATCTCCGCCAGGACGTTCTCGTCGAATCTTGGGCCGGTAAAGTTCTTCCGGCCATCAAAGACCCACTGTAAAGCTGAGACGATGAAGATGATACCGAAGGCAGCGACACAGTAGTCTAAGGTAAAGGGTATATCAGTAACGTCACGTTTGACTAGGGGCATGGAAACTTACTCATGCTGCTACCGGTAACGGGAATCCCAGGGGGGAATAGGAAGAGCACTGTAGTGAGTGAAATATACGACAAGGCAATCTGTGCCAAGCTGTGTCAGCGAATATCCTCAATTTCAGCGTTTATATCGGCACATACGATATTAGCGATCCAGCCGAGAGCACTTGGAAGGACAAAAGGTCTTTCAGGCAGCATATTGCGGCCTCGAAGGCAGTTGACTGCAATTGGAATGCCGTATGAAATGTCAAGCATAACGACAGATGATGAAATAATGGCGTTGAATGCACTAGGAGAGGTTAATCTGAGGGTTCGAGGAACGAGGGTTGTCACAGAACTTACCTGGAAGAACCAAGGAAAATGCAGCCAAAGACAATTACCAGGAAGTTGGTCAGGTACAGACCATTCAAGGGGACCTTGAGCTTTGGGTGGATTGTGCTGAAAAATGGCGAAGCGGGAAGGCCACCATCTCTGTGGATAGTCGTCACGTCAGTAACAGCCCTCGGATATGGGGGAGTATATAGGGTATAATCACCTAGCGAAGGCGTAGATCATTCGGCTACTTGTTGTCATAATGGTGATCGTGGCGAATAAGATACAGACAAGTGGGAACCTTCAGAGCCGGGTCAGTTTTGGAGATGATAATAGATGGGGCCCGAAGAAAACTCACATCAGAAGGCAAATGGATCCCGCATTACTGTTGGTTGCGTTCTTGAAGATCTGCAGCAGGGGGGTTGCAGTGGAGCTGATGACAAGGTCGATATCACCAGCAACAAAAAGTAGTACAACCAGGAAGATGAAGCCTGTGGAGATACCAATAACAACACAGCCAATCATAATCCTGGGGCCAACGATAGAGGGGTTGGGGATTTCTAGTCTTGGTCAATGTGGGTAGTCCGGAGCATGGTTTATTCGCCTCGTACCTTCAATCATGTGGGCGACACCATCCTAGAAGCAGTCAGTACCCAACTTCCGAGCAAAATGCAAGGGAAGAGAACTTACAAATCCAGTGAGACCAAGTCCACCTTGCAGCAACTTTGAACGGTTAGGGACGAGTGCACTTCGTTCTAGATCCATATAAACTTACTCCAAGCAACCAAGAAAGACCATCAGGCCCTGGAAGGGGGGGGGATTTGTTAGTTTCGGGCTCAATACAACAAGGATGAAGGGGGAACATACAGCCTGTCTGGTTGATAAAGTCTCCGAACACAAATCTAGTCATGTCAGCACGCTTTCCCTTAAGAGGCCCGAGTGTTTTCCCCCTTACTTTCCGGAACTATAGTTTGGCGATGCGCAAGCGAGCACTGTGATGGAGATAACAACAAATCCGGTGAGCGACCAGATGACTGTGAAATTAGCATTCCTGATCATACTAACAAAATATAAGGTTTCTTACATGCACCCTTGGTCGCCAGGGGAAGTGCGGAGTTCATGAAAGCATTGACGAAGAACCCAGCAATGTTGTAGGCAATGTACAACAAGAACTGATGCCAGCGTTGAAAAACGTATGTCTAGGCGCGTGATATCAGTACTGCGAGCATTTTCGAATGCCATCAATATCCTTACCGGGTGGAGCAATGAAATAATACCGATGATCAGGTTGCTACCAAGCAGTCCACCGGTGGCGGTCAAAGCGAGCTATAGTTAACCCATCAGCGTTGATTGCTATATTTGGCCACTGGGACGCTTCCTCTTACCCAACCAGAAACATTCACCCAGCCAGTGACCCATGACAGAATTGGGATCCAGTTTTCCCACGAGACTAGAGGTGATGTTTAGCGGCAACACGATATACTTCTAATCTCGAGAGACTCACTCGCTAGTCGGGTAATAGAGTGTTAGTCAAGATAAATCCTCTTGCATGATCCAGTAGGATTGAGAACTGCTCACCTGCGACCCAATGATATTGCCCACCAGCTCTATCCAATCATTAGAGATAAACACCAGAGAGTATTCCACGTAGATTAGTACTCACGTAGGATACGCGGACAGAAACTCGGCAAGAGACGCCGCAATGCTCAGGTTACAAATACCAGCCGTCACCAAACCTATTGCGGAAGAAACGAAGTAAGCACGTGCAATTTCTGGTGCAGGGAGAGCAACCTTACCCCAGACAACACTAACCGGGCCTCCAGACGGAAGACTAAGGTTTAAACTGGCGGAGAGGGCAGTCCAGGACTATCGAATAGACTTTATTAGTGATCAGAACCTAATCAAGTGTCTGCTATGCAGCATTTGAGAAAAAAAAAAAAAATTGGAGGGGGGTAGGTAGCTGACATACATTCAGAATGGCAAAGGCTAAGCCCAACATTGATCTGAGCCAGAGACAGCCATTGGTTAGTGAGGGTAATTTCGTGGAATACCGCACAGAATTGGACTTGAGAGAACGTACAGCATCGAGAAATTGCGATTCAGCTCGGCCTTGTGGCCCATGGCCGCCAGCTGGGCGTCATCGTCCCCTTGGATTTGTTTCATCATGGATGTATATACCCGACTCCTGGCAGGGGGGGGGATTCAACGGTGGTACAAATGACAAAGAGAATGAACAAGAAAATGACCAAGGGCGGAGGGATGAAGAGTGAAAGTATTTGGAGAGACGGAAAGAATATTATGAAGGGAACGTTGCCAACGGTTGTGAGTACTCCGTAGTAAGTCCGCGATAGCAGTACGGAGTACTTACGGAGTACTTACGGAGTACCTAGGTTAGGTACTCAGCAAGATGCTCGATCCACTGAAGACTGCGGGGGAACCTGTAATATTCGTAGCCAAGAGCGAGTGAATTGATAAAGACTCTGGAAGTCCAGAGGGAGAAAGATGATTTGTTACAAGGACCGAGCAGAAGGAGCTGGTAACCAGTCATAGAGCGATTGGAGTGGACCGTTTCTTGGGACCCTTTGGGACCATTTTAGCAAACGGAAGCTTATCCTACTAGTTGAATCCTTAGAGCACACAATCACTAATAATCGATTACCACCATCATTCCTTTACTTTGCAGGGAGTAAAAGAAAGAGTAGAAAATCCATAGAACCTGGAAGAACCTGGAAGATCCTGCAAGAACCTGGAAGATCCTTGATAAGAAGAAGTAACAGTAACAGTAAAAGTTACAGTAACAGTAAAGTAACAGTAACAGCAGGTAGCAGTCAGAGGTCCGATGGATCATGATGATGTATTCATATTGTCATTCTTATTACTATATAAGTATTACCCTATAGAGTATATTCAAGATAAGCTGATCCACTTGAGGGGGAAACTGTGAATAATAAGAATGAACAACCCCAACCCCCCTCGGGCGAGATCCGAGTCCACACCGATCTTACTAACTTAGTTAGGTAGTAACTATCCATGGTCTCCTGATATATCTTTATTGAATTATTCTGCTAGAAGCAGAAGATCCGATAAGAAGAGGTCAGATCCTTTTGATACTGTACTACCCCTTGTTACCCGACCCTAACCCTAGGGTTACTTAGCATCTTTTTCCTATGGAAGAGTGAGAGTACTACGACTATATATGTACATCGCCCAAGTACGACAGTATGTACCAATACACAAGAAACCCGCGATCGCAACTTACGAGGAACCGTTCGACGGCCCCAAATGATCCGTACGAATAATATAGTCCTCGTCCCCATTGATCGCCCCATCCTCTCGAGGTCCATCCAGCGATGAATCCGAATCGCCGTGAGCGACGGAAATACCCTTGCCCTTCCACTTCCCGCCGGAACCCGCAGGACTCTTGCCCTTGCCCTTATTATTGGGTACGGACTGGCCGCTGACACTGCGGATACTGGACCCTCCTCCCGGGTTGCCTTTCCCTTTGCTATCAGGGGAAAGTGGCCGATCTCCGTTGGTGACGGGTCCGCCGAGGAAATCATCCCATTCTTCTCCCCGGTTCAGAGCCTCGATGGCATCTCCAATGGTTTGGGGAGATGGTACGTTTGGGGCTCCAGCTTGGTGCCCAGACTCCGGCGTGGGCTTATCCTTATCGGTGGATTCAAACATCTGTCGGATCCGTTCGAAATGCTCAAGCTCTTTGGCACTGCGCGTTGTTAGTTCCCATTACGTAGAACCACCAAATCTCCTCCCTGTGAGAGAGAGAAAGAGAGAGTAAAAGAGATACATACCTAACGCTAGGAACAAGCTCGCCCTGTGCCTCAAAAAAGTCATCCTCCGTAACCATCACCGCCACATCATCTGGGGTAGCCAGGTGATCGAAAAAGTATGCAGTACTGACTGGCCCGCCCGGCAACTGCTTGATCTTCTCATCGACCGCCGTAGCCTTGCGGGTGATGGCTTTGAGCATAGCATCCGAGCACAGAGCATAAAGATCCGCACCGGTATACGTAAGAGGCAGTCGCGTGGACACTCGGCGGAGCGAGACCTCGGGGCTCAAGGCAAACTTGCGCGTCAGCGCCTCCAAGATCGTAGCCTGCTTCTCATGGGTATCGGATACTCCAAGATACAGCATCTTATCAAAACGACCCGGACGAAGGAGAGCCGTGTCCAGCAGGTCGGGACGGTTAGTTGCACCAATCACAAACACACCGCCGCTGTTTTCCTCTCCACCGTTCATTCCGTCCAGCTCGGCAAGCAGCTGGCTGACGATGCGGTCCATCACACCCCCGCTGTCTCCTTGGTTGCCACGCTTAGGGGCGACCGAGTCCAGTTCGTCGAAGAAGACCACGCAGGGCCGAGCATCTCGAGCTCGCTGGAAGACGCGTCGAACGTTCGCTTCGGACTCACCAATGTACATGTTGAGCAGTTCAGGTCCCTTCACGGAGAAGAAATTGAGAGAGAATTCGGTGGCAATTGCCTTGGCCAGCAACGTCTTGCCAGTGCCCGGGGGACCGTAGAACAAGATACCACTTCTCTTCTTCATACCCTTGGCGAACAATTCGGGGCGCTCAAGGGGTAGCTGGATGGTTTCAACAAGGGCATCTTTAACATTGGTCAGTCCACCAACGTCTTCCCAGCTCACATTGGGGATCTTTGGGGCGCCAATGGAGTCGGCAAAGTTCTTTCTTGCAGCGTCCACAGCAGCGTCAAAGTCAGCCTTGGTGACGCCTCGAACGGCTTCGCCGCCAGAAATGAGGATATCTTGAAGGGTCACCTTGGCGCTCGAGGACTGCTTGCTTGCGGTGTCGGCTAATTTCTCTAGACGAGCGGCCCTTGCGATGGATGCTCGTTCAACAACATCCACCAAGTCTCCGGCAACGAGAGCGGCCGTCTTGAGAGCGACAGTTCCCAGATCCACATCCGTCGAGATTTTGATGCTGCGCTCGGAGACGGCATTCCGAAGGATGCCCTCTCGCTCTTTCTCCTCGGGGGCAGTCATCTCAAACTCGTGTGTAAACATGCTGCGAATACCTTCGGGGATTTGTTCCACATCCGTGGTAGTGGCAATGACAACCCTCGCCTCGGCCAAAATCCCCGTCATTGCTGAAACGATTCGGTCTGCGGTCAAAACCTCAATATGCTTGATCAGAAGAGCGGTGCAGTCTGAGCCACAGTGGAAAGCACGCTCCGCTCTGGCTTTCAGATATGCCTCAGTCTTCACATCACCGCCATTGGCACCCCCCTCGGTCAAGATATCGTATGCATCGATCGGGAAGGTATGGAGGCCAATATCGGCACAAGCCCGCGTCGCAAGCGTGGCCTTTCCGATGTGCCTTTGTTGGGACCTCAAGAGAATAACCACGGGCTTCATGCCAAGCTGGATCGCGCGGGTGCTCGTAGCCACTGCCATCAAGTCTCGTACACGTTGCTGGATCGGCGAGATAAAGGACTGGGGCAATTCAGTTGTGACACCATGGATCGTTGGCATATCGACCACCGGCTTTGGAATAGTCCTCGCCCCCAGCCAGTATTCCCAGCCGTTATTCAAGGTGCCTGGAACCCGGCTGACATCACTTCCTGCCTGCACCATCCGCGTAGTGGCCGAGTCGATGATAGCCACGCCGCCCCAGTCAAATTCACTCGGATCGTCCCGGTCAGTGGGCGGGGTGGGAATTACTTGTCCAACACGGAACCAAGCGACAACGCCCCCTGCCTTCTTCGATGCCGCACGATCCGAATCGGCCACGGGGCCTAGCTTGGTTGTTAAATCATCGTCTTGGGCACCATCATGGGCAGCAGCGCCTGCCCCCGCGAAGACAGCTCTACCGAGGCTTTCGTCGATGCTAATTCCCAAAAGGTCGCCGCTCTTCAGGAGGCGTCGTTTGGTCTCAAAGTACTGTTTCAGGCCCGCAAACAAGGCGGGCTGGAGGACGCGGTCCATGGAAAGCGGAGTAGAGACTTTGAGTAAGGTCACCTCTTTGGCCAGTGGGGGGCTGCGAACAGCGGTTTTCACCTGGTGCAGGAGTCCCGGCCTGGATGCTCCGCTGCCGGCTCCCAAATTCATTGGAGATAAACGGACATACTTGGGGTTGTTGAGGTTGTTTAATAGCAGGGGGGGCATAAAGACCGAGGGAGTAAGGCGCATGGGAGGGCGTCCCGATATACTCAGGCGCCGGTCAGCAGACTGGTTGATTGAATATCGAGGCTTTGCGGAAGGAAGACCAGGTAGGCCGTAGATCTTCACAGCACGCCAGTCGCCAGTTTCTTCCTCTTGGTCATTGAAGCTTCCCAGCTTAATTGAGGCAAAAATATTGGACTGGGGTTCCTCTGTAGCTTCAATCCGAACCCAGTCTCCAGAAAAGCAGCCAATTTTTGCCAGGGCACTAATATCTGCAATGATAAATGACTCGATGTCATCATCATCTCTTGGTCTGGGATGGAGGAGTTCGTTTGGCACGCTACGCAAAAGTCCCTCCGCTTTGAAAACTTTTCCGCCCGGCCCCCCCCGGTTGGGACGGAGAGTTGAGGAGGTGAGGGTGGACACTATGGATCCAGGGGTATGAATACCATCTGTGCGTCGGGCCCGCGGGGTAGCCGCGGTCATCCCAGACATGACACCAGAGGCTGGCTGTGGGAGCTCCGGTGCACTGAGAGAAATCATATCGTCCAGAGAGTCATCGGACGAATCGCTCAGATTTCCGACGGATCCTTCAGTGTCCGACTCTTCGGCATTAGATGTAGTTTCCATTTCTGTACTACTCTCGGCCGGTTTGTCCTCCGCCGCCGAATAGAACTGCTCGTTGGAAGTGTCATCCGCCTCGTCCTCAGCCACCTGCTTGAGGAAGCCGGACGCAGTCCTCAAGCTCCGCTGAGCGCGAGTCCCTCGAGGACGCGCTTGAATAAGAACAATCTTGGTAGTGGGTAGCAATAAGCCCTGCGAAACCGGTTCACAGAAGGAAATGTGGGCTGGTGGTGCGGGCGCGTAGGTAATCGGATGCGGAGGTAAGGGAAGAGGTAGCACATCACCGGTATGCACCACCTTCTGGGTCCCCAATGCCTCACGTACCGCAGCGGTAAGCCTCTCTTCGACTTCCGCAGCGGCCCTCTTTGAGGATTTCTTTGGTTCGAGCCCTTTCCCCGCCTTTGCCCAGAGCCCATTCGGTCCGTGAAGGTTTGTAGTAAAGCCGCCACCGAATCTGCTTTGGACATCATCGTGATTCCGAAGAAGGTTCCGTTCGACTGTGACATAAACGGTATCGAGATGCAAGGGAACAATATCCAATACCCGAATCTCGATGATGCGCGGGGTCGGGACAGAATGGCGGGCAGGGTCCAGCTTCCCCAGAGTCCGAATGAGCGGCTGCAAGGAGTCGGCTGAATCCGGGAACACTATTGTAGAATTGGGGAGGGGCGATTCCTTGGAGCGACCGGGAGACTGTGCGCGAACCGGAACAATGGTCCAGGCCAGCTCCTCGACGGCCGAACTGGGACCCGGTAGATACGGGGAAATTGCGACATAGCGGATTCCACTATCTTCATCGGCAGGACCTGGCAAGGTAACAAGGGGTCAGGGTTAGGCAGAGTGAGTGAGAACGGACTGCCATCACTCACCGGTTGTTGACTCAGGCGCTTGAAACAGGTCGTTGGCCAGATCGGCAGAGACGACCCCGACACTTCCGCGCAGGTGATGATCGAGAGAGAGGCGTGCAGATATGGGAGCCTTGTTGCGGAACCGCCTCCGCGCAGCATTCCTTCTTCGTCGCTTTGGCTGGTCCGAGCTTAACTGGTGCCGTTCAATGTCCATGGTGGAAGATGCCGTCGGCAGAATGAGGGGATGGAAGCGTCTACGGGGGATGCGAAAGAGACAAGAGGAGAGAACAACAACAACAACAACAACAGCAACAACAAATTAATAGAGCATATTCCTCAGTAAATGGACAAGGAAGTCATAGAGGGATGGAAGAGGGAAGAATCACCCCAGACGCTGGAGAAGCCGATCACGAATGCTGGAGAAGGTCTTGGGGATGGAGTTGAGGGAGTTGCAGCCTCTCCACCGCCCGTGCTTTTCTGCCTTCCCGAAGCCGAGGTCCAAATGGCCTCCGAACAGGTTTATATCTGTGAGATATGACTGACAATATCTTTTGGCTCATGATGTCCAATTATTCGAGAGAAAGTGATCTGGAAATAAGCCAGAAAACCTATCCGAAAACCGATGGTTGTCTATCTATTTCAGGGAGGAATATGCCTGGGGTTTCCATTACAAGGCCGACATCGGGATGCAATTCAGGGAGTGAACAAGTGAGCAGGAGAGCAGGAGAGAGTTAGAAACATGTCCAATAGAGTAGTTACATCACTACCCAGATAAATGTGTCTCAAGAGGATATCTGAAACCCTGGGGTAAAGCTGTTAACAGTGGGATTGATGTATAGTCAAAGTATACAGAGCACTTCAGTTCGAAGAGAGTGAAACCAGCGGTACCTGTCAAGAGATAGTATCTATATATCTCTAGCATCTTTCCATGTGTAACTATAAACAATAGTAGGTAGCTTGTAATATTCATTTAACAGGCCACCATTCAGGAAGACTTAGGGGACCCTGCCTATTCTTGACTGCATGTTTTGGCTTCGTGAGATCTTGCGAATCACTAACCTCTGGCAAAGCAACAGTTTCTCTATGGGATACTCGGATTCCTATCAGTTCTGTGACGCTGTGGAGGTATGTTTACGTTTACGTCTCTCCGAGTTGGTGCAGTACCTGGACATGGTTCCTCTGTAATGAACCGTTATTCTACTGGCAAGAGTAAGCCTCCATCTCTTTCCCTCTATTGAGCCTCGTTCTCATTTTGTCTCGTGGCTAATTCCACCGGGGGGTTGTTTCATAATTTTAGCGGAGCACCCAAGGGAACTCCCACCATTGTTTCGCGACCAGAATACTGGCAAAGACAATGTCCCTTATACTTCCCTGAAACCGAGGGCCAGACCTATGGAAGCGCCATCGGCCGAACCGCAGCTAGTGTAAATGCATGGACCGGTGGATGGTCAGGTCAAGGTGCACAGCGAATTGTTTGGATCAATGGGCAAGTTCCCCCTTTTCTCCGTATTCTACTCCGTACCGCAACGTAGATATATAATTTGTACGATATTGACTGGAAATGGGTAGGGAATTCGACCCCTGGAGAAGTGCGGGAGTCTCCTCCAAGTATCGTCCAGGAGGACCACATCCCCGGTGGATTTCACTGCTCGGATTTGATCATCAAGAACAGCCAGGTCAACGAGGGAGTGAAGGCGGTTGTGGACTCGACCGTGGCTCAGATTACTGAATGGGTGGAGGAATACTATTCCATAGCTGCAGTCTCGTAATAATGGGTCTGAGTTCAGCCACAGCCAGGGTTTTCCCGCTCGTTTTGGATTTTAAATTTATAGAAAGAAGCGATAAATAACTATTCTGGAGAGTCGTGATCAGACTGAAGAATCAGAGTGTATCCGTGTAACTGCCAAATGGTTTCTTTCACCTCAGTACTATACGGAGTACGGAGTACGGAGTACAGAGAACTCGTACCTAGGCCATTATGCCGACAAGTGGACTTTTTGCATTGACAGATGCAGGATCTCTGACGCATCACAACGCCTCCGGGGGAGGGGGGATATTGAGGCCTTTCTCAGGCTTTTTCAGTCGTTGGAAATAATGAACCAGAGAGATTGAATCATGAACCAGAGGATTCAATCATGAACCAGAGATGCGCTCAAGAAGAGTCTAAACACAACACTTATTAGGATCCTCATGATCTGAGTCGAAAGCGAATCGAGACAGGAACCACAACGCAAGGAACGGCGGCTGCAAGAGGATCAGCCACCAGCGTCTCGGATGATAGGATGGACGTAAGAGGAGGAGGATTTCTGATGGATATCTTTCTTTGAATATCAGCATTCCAGGTCTCAGACCTGGTTCAGTTTTATTACTCTAAAACATGAAGAAGAAGAAGAAGAAGAGAATTAACAGTTCTGGGTGATATTTGTTTCTTCAACCACCTTAGACTCGGACCGAGCTCTGACTTCCTGATGCTTTTCCCCTTTTCTTAGTAATTTGAGCCCACTCACTTTTCTCTCACTCACTCAATCAACTCATCTCATTTCCTCTTCCTCTCTTCTTCATTTCTTCATTTCCTCATTTCCTCTTCCTCTCTTCCTCTCTCTCTCTCCTAACTCGAGGATGGTCTCTCGACTGGAACCTCTGGTAGGATCATAACGCTTTTCGATGGATTGAATCTTTCGTGTGGCTGTTGGGGCAACTTCTTTCCCACCATTTCGAGCTTGTCTCTATTTCTTCACTCGTTTACTGCTGCTACTACTACGACTACGACGACTACGACGACTGCCACTATTCGTTTCTTCACCGCATACATCGCTTGCAATTGAACCTGGAACGCTCGCCCCCCCCCCCCCCCTACCAATTATTTCCTCAACAAATGTCCAGCGGGAACTGGGTGTTAGCTCGTCGTGGCCATGGTCACGGAAAATGCGGACTTTCGATATCCGCCTCAAGCTCCCTTGGGCGAACATGATATCTCAAGTCGTCGCAGGATCCCTGCTCCCCCTCGTCTGGATCCCCTGAGAATCAATCCTCCTTTTCCCCGTCCCTCCACCGCCGACGGGCTCCGTCCCCCGCATTCCCACCGTCCTCCGCTCCCTCGCTCTCCTCGAAGACCTCCTGCATATCCCCCTCGATCGGATTCGGCCTCCCGTTCGGTGTCACCGCGTCTGTGGCTTGACGATGGCTCCCCCATCCAACGACCGACTTATCATATGCCCCCGTTTCCGCCTTACGAACGGGCGACCAAATCCCCCCCGACGGAGGGAGAGATGGAGCGTCTGCCTCGTCAGATGACCCCCCCCGACCAAACCGATCTCCCGATGCCCATGTCTGCATCGCGGTTGAACCACAAGCGCTCCAAAGGTTACCGGCCGCAGGAGCGCCGCGCACACACTCCCAGCCCTCACGGCCTCACTTTACCACGCAATCCTTATAATCATCATACCCGTCCCTCGGATCCATACCGGGAGGATGCCCTCCGTTCCAGCATGAACTCGGCTATGACGTCGCGGTCGAGCATCGAACAGGCCAGTGGGACCGAGCGAAGTAGCGTGCTGACGAAAAGCAGCTCCATCACCGACCTGTCTCCCGATACTCCTGATGGATCGTATGAGAAGGATGAGGGCATGAGTGTTGAAGACGCAATCTCCATGTACCTGGACGGCTTTAGCGATGTAACAGAAGAACCGGCGTCTCCCGATTTGTTGGACGATCCCAAACTGAAGCCATTGAGTCCTCCACTGCCAGCTGACCTCTCTCTGGATGCGAATCCTCCCGATGATCTCCCCATAGAACCCCCGTCCTCGCATGCGGACCCGGCGGACCCAACCCTGCTGAACCAGCAGTCTTTCGGCGAAGAACGGTCGGATGAGAAACCGCCCGAGGAGCTGGTCGAGCCGTCTTCACCAATCCAGCCGCCTCCTAGTCCCCGATCGGTTGACTCCAAGATCATGCTCCCTGGGATCGTGCCGCCGCCGTTGATCGCCAATTCGGAATCCCGGGACTGTTACGGGTTTCGCAAGGCAACCACCTACGTGACCCTGGAGCAATACGAGGCTTGGAACACGTCGTATGCGGACTTTGCCGCAAACCGGAGACTCAAATGGGCCGAACTGCTGAGCGAGAACGGGCTCCCCACCGCACAACCAACCACATTCCCGGCGAAATCGTCCAAAGTCAAGCGCTACGTACGGAAAGGAATTCCGCCCGAGTACCGGGGAGCTGCCTGGTTCTGGTATGCCGGAGGCTATGACCATCTGAACCGGAACCCAGGACTGTATGACCAGTTGGTCAAGCAGGCGATGGAATCCCCCAGTGATGACGATAAAGAACACATCGAACGCGATTTGCACCGCACATTCCCCGACAATATCCACTTCAAGCCGGAACAACCCAGCCAGTCTGGGAACCTGGGAGCTAGCGCTGGAAGCAGCATCCCGGGCCGGGGTTCTGTGATCGTCGAGACCGAAATGATCCGGTCCCTCCGCCGGGTCCTCTACGCGTTTGCCATTCACAATCCCCAGATCGGCTACACCCAGTCGCTCAACTTCATCACGGGGCTGCTGCTGCTGTTCCTGTCGGAAGAAAAGACGTTTTGGATGCTGCACATTGTTACCTCGGTGTACCTCCCGAGCACGCACGAGATCAGTCTCGAGGGGGCCAACATTGATCTGTGGATTCTTATGGTGTTGCTGCGGGACTCTCTCCCGAATGTGTACAACAAGATCGCTGGCTCGGGGCCGGGCAAATCCAAGACTCCGGCGCTTTCGGTTCACTCTCGCTTGCCGGACATCACCCTGGGCCTGACGAACTGGTTGATGTCGGTCTTTATCGGCACGCTGCCTCTGGAAACCACATTGCGCGTTTGGGACGTGTTCTTCTACGAAGGGTCGAAAACCTTCTTCCGGGTTTCCATGGCGATCTTCAAGGCCTGCGAGAAGGATATCCTGGCCGTGTCAGATCCGATGGAGGTGTTCCAGGTGGTTCAGACCGTGCCCAAAAAGCTGCTGGATGCCAATGCGCTCCTGGACGACAGCTTTGTCCGCCGGAATCGCTTTGGACAGGGTCGCATTGAAGAGTTGCGAGCGTCTCGCCGCGCCGCCGTCCGGCAGGAAAAGCTACGGCGATCGCAGGCGATGAGCAAAGGCCAGCTCCACGCTGCAACTGATGAGTGGCCGACCCGATCGAAGACGCCGATCCCGGGGATCGAACGCTCTTTTGCTGATTCATGGCGTCAGATGAGACACCATGCCTTTCGGTAAGCGAACTTCGGGGGGGTTGGAAGGTGTAGTAGTGCCCTGCAGACCCACGATTATTGATACCCAACCACGTTTTTGCTGCTCTTCTTCTCGTTGACTCTCTTTCTGCTCTTCCTTCCCCCTCGATCGTTGTAATGTCTACCTACTACATACCTAATTATCCTAATCGACTCGACCGCATATTGAAGAAAAAAGTGTGAGCTGGCATGGGGTGCATTATTGCTCAAGGGATGGAGCGTCACCATGCTTTGATGATTTTTCTCATGTAGATATATTGCTCTGATCTTGAATTGCTCTGTGGTTCTTTTTTCTTTTCTTTTCTTTTCTTTTTTTTTTTTTTTTTGGGACATCCGATTATATTTTAAAACCACTATAACTGCATTGTACATAAGACATTTGATAGTATTATTTCAATCTTAGGGGATTTAGCATACATTCCTTTTAACGCCAGGTGACAAGAATCCAAACAAGGCAAATCTGTAGGGCTGGAGCTTTTTTTGCCCCAAACCCTGGTTCTCGCCGCGATCATTGGCATCACGATGACACCACGACCCAGTGAACGACATGGAATGCGTTCTTTGACTTTGGCGATGATGGAGATGCGTCAGGGGGAGCCAGAAAGAAAATCTTCACAGCTTGAATGTTTTGAAGTCAAAGTGTTCCCCTCATGCCTGATCTTCATCCCTTACTTCTCTTCTTCTTCTGCTTCTTTTATCCCCTGCAGATTCCACTTCTCTCCTGTCATTTCTCTTTCACACTCTACTCTTTGTATCAACTGGACTTGTGACTTTGGTTTTCAAGGACTGCAACCATGAGCGGACAGGCTGCGGGTTATTACGATCCCAGCCAGAGCTACGGCGATGTTGAGGCCCAGCAGAAGGCCCAGCAGCAGCCCCAGCAGCAGCCCCAGCAGCCTGGCCAGGATTTTAACACCATTCAGCAGGCCAATGATGAATACCAGTCCAATGATGGCGTGGACGGTCAGAGAGGCCCTGAGCCCAAGCCTCCCCAGGAGCCTCCCCCGACCTACAACCAGGCTGTGTATGGGTTCGACGACGCCTTTAAAGTTGAGCAGCCCAAGTTCCACGATCTCTGGGCCGGGCTCTTGGTATGTGTGATGTGTCTATTTTTTTTCTTTTGCCCCTGCCTCAGAAAGGCTAATGATCACCAGTTCATTGCGGTTTTTCTGGGCTATGTCGCGGTCTCGGGAGTAGCCATCCATCGCTACGCCAAGTACTATGGCTTCAATGGGAGCGGGATCTATGACTCGTCCAATACCTTTTCCCTCGACACCAACACCCTTGTGCTGTTCATTTTTGTCCTCTGCGTTGCGCTCGCCTTCTCGTGGGCTTATTTTCTCGCAGCAAGGTACTTCCCTAAGCTTTTCATCTGGGTCACGGGCATCTTGAACATCGTTTTTGCTCTGGCGACCGGGATCTACTACATTGCGAGGAAAGAGTATGGAGGCGGGATTGTGTTTGTGGTCTTTGGGGTGTTTGCTATTATCTGTTTTATCAGTTGGATCCCCCGCATCCCCTTCACGGCGTTTATGCTCGAAATCGCGATTGATGTGTTGCGGCGTTACGGACACATGTTCGTCGTGAGTGCGATTGGGGGTCTGGTGGCCGTGGCCTTCTCAGCGTGGTTCTCCGTGACGCTCGTCTCCATCTATGTGGCCTACGAGCCTGGAGCCAACCCCGCGTGCACCAATGGCGGCGGCGGCGGCGGCTGCAGCACGGCGAGAGTCATCGGGCTGGTCGTGTACGTGACCTTTGCCATGTACTGGTTCAGCGAGTGGGTGAAGAACACCGTCCACACCACCATCGCCGGCGTCTACGGGTCCTGGTACTTCTTCGCCAACACGCCGCGCGGCATGCCCCAGGGAGCCACGCGGGGGGCGTTCCGTCGCGCCACAACCTACTCCTTCGGCAGCATCAGCTTCGGCAGCCTGATCATCGCCGTCATCAACATGCTCCGCCAGGCTTGCTCCGTGGCCCAGCGCCAGGAAGCCGCGCAGGGCAACCTCGTCGGCACCATCATGCTCTGGATCCTCGGCTGCTTCATCTCGCTCCTGGACTGGCTGGTCACCCTGTTCAACCGCTATGCCTTTTGCCACATTGCCCTGTACGGGAAGGCCTACATCCCCGCGGCCAAGGATACGTGGACCATGATGAAAGACCGCGGGGTCGACGCCCTCGTGACGGACTGCCTGATCGGGCCGGTCCTGACCATGGGCTCGGTCTTTGTCTCGTACGTCTGTGCGCTGCTCGCCTATCTGTACCTGCAGTTCACCCGCCCCAGCTACAACAGCGACGGCAGCTTCACACCGGTCATTATGGCGTTTGCCTTTGTCATGGGGCTCCAGATTTGCCAGATCTTCATGACGCCCATCAGCAGCGGCATCGAGACTATCTTCTCCGCCATGGCCTGGGATCCGCAGGTGTTGATTCAGAATCATCCCGAGCTGTACTATCGCATGGTGCATCTGTATCCGCGCGTGCAGCAGGCGATTCATGCGTAGGTTTGTATTGACGATAGTACGATGGTACGATAGTACGATAATACTGGTAGTGGATGTTAACCTCAGGTCATTTATGAAGCTGCTGTATGTACGACACGGTAGCTGCATACAAAAACCTGCTTACTACCGAGGTACCTAGCTTAGTTTCCATGAACTCCATAGCTACATACATAGTCATACCATGAAATGACATGACATGACAAAACAAACCCCATTCTCTTCTCCAATACCCTATAAATGATATCAAGCCATCTACAAGACCCCCAACCCCGCAACAACACCCAGCACCCCAACAACCACCCGCGACAGAACCACCTCAATCCCCACAGCCGCACCCGTGAACTTCTCCCCCTGGCTCTGGTTCGGGCCGTGCTTCCTCGCTGCATCCGCACCCGTAGGCGTTGCTGCCGCGCGCACCGTGGACGAGACCACCACGATCTTGGAGGATACGGAGGGCACCGCGCCAGAAGGCAGGGGGGCCATTGCGGCGTGTGCTGTGTTGGTGTTTTCGGCGTCTGCGGTCCGGGCGACAGTTTCAGTTTCAATCCTAGTCCTGGTCTGGGTTTCACCCTCAGTCGTCCCAGTAACCGTCGGAGATGCACCCGCCATGCTACTACCCATCTTCGCTGGCACCGACTCTGCATCAGCATCTGCATCAGAAACCGGGTCCGTAGGCATAGCCCTCTCACTCTCGCACGCGCAATCCGCCGTCGTACTCGGGACCTGGTACAGGACCTTCTCGGTAGCGTGCGCAAAGACCGGCGCGGCATTCGGCGCGGCCTGCGGGATGAGCAGCCGGTTTGTTTTCTCTTCTTCTTCTTCTTCTTCGCTGGAGGTGGAGTCGGAATCAGGCTTCGTTGCGCGCTTGTGCGTTTGCTGCATCTCGCGATCGCTTTCGTGGTCCTGGTCGTTTTCGTCTGCTTCGCTCCCGAGACGAACCATCGGCGTGCTTCCGCGGCGAGGCGAAACGGGGACGTTTGCGTCGTCGCAGAGATACTTGGGGATGTCTTTTGGGGCTTTGTTTGATTTGATTTGTTAGTTGGCTTTCACGGCTAGCATGCATGTATAGCAGTATAGTAGTATAAACTAGAATGAGATATACATACCGACACCGTTCTTCGAACAGACTTCCTCGGCACTGGGACTGAGCTTCATCTCGCCAATGTCTTTCCCTGCAGAGGCTGCACAGAAGCAGTCCAGTTTATACGAGGACGAGCATTCCGGGAACGAGAGGTCTTCGACGACTGCGGTCTTTGGTTTGTTAGATTTCCTTCCACGTATACATATATATATATAAGTAGAAAGGAGATACGTACAGCACACTGCATGTAACCCAGGCCATTGTCCTGCGCTGCTAGGGCCAGGCCAACCAGATTGAAAGCCGCGAGGGTAGATGGGAGATGCATTTCTTTTACTTCACTGGCTTCCGGAGGGAATCAACTGATCTGTGGAAGAGGAGAGAATCAAGTACCGATCTATGTCCCTTATGTACCCTAGGTATCCGGTGGTGTCAAGAAAGATCAAGAACAACTGGCATGGTTATATATGCTTGTCAACATCCCTATCCCTACATACTTAGATAATTATCACTACTCAGCGAAGATCCGTGATTGATTGCGTGGATGGGTAGGTTGTTGTTGCATGGAATGGACGGTGGAATGTGGTTGATCCATCCATATGGTTTCTCTGTGGGTATGTGATTGAATGATTTTGATGAGTAGACGACAGACAGAAAGAAAGAAAGAAAGAAGAACTGATTGATGGAGCTAGAGAGTTATTTCCATGTCTTGAGCGTGTTGGACTCTGTATAGTAGTAGTACCCAGGTAGTAAGTAGTAGTACCCGTGGACAGAAAATATCAAAGGTACTGGAATGAAACTGGAGAATGCTGCTATTGTAAGGACCTTATTTATTCTCATCAATCCAGATTCAGGTATTGTAGCATACATGCAAGCCAAATCGATTCAAAAGCATGAAATGAAATGTGAGCATCCGTCACTAGAAAATCAATATATAGGCTCTTCGCACTGCATGCAAGCCCAAATGCAATATCATACCACATGAAAGAGCGTAGGAACGAAACAATAACATGGCATGGCATGTCATAGCTGTTCAACGCAGCGGCCAGCGACTGCATCGTGCCTGTGCTCTCGTCGCCCTCTTATGTACGGTACTGTACATATGTACGTGCTAGCTACGCAGCCGTGGCATATTTCCTCGTCCACTCCCGCGCAATCTCCTCGTATCGCTTCCGGTCGTTCCTGTACTGCTCGGCGATCCGCCCCTCCACCGCATCATCTGGCATCGGCTCCTCCAGCAACTGGCGCGCGAACTGTAGCACAGCCGCAAGCTTCGAGCTCGGCTTCCACTCGTCGGCCTTGAGCATCCCCAGACACATGCTGCCTTTGTCGTCGTTTGTCACATTCGGATGGTAGATCTTTGTCACGAAGGATACCGTGGGCGGTTTGAAGGGGTATTCTGTGGGCAGGACGAGTTTAACTTGGAAGATGCCTTTCTATTGTCGATAGTTAGCTTCTTCTTCTTCTTCTTCTTCTTCTTCTCCTATTTCTCTCCATATTTTTGTTTCTGGATTAAACAGAGGGAAATCACTTGAGATAAGCATACCTGAAAAGGAGAATTGTCTGGCCCATCCATAAACACTTTCCATTCATATAGGTTGGATTCGCTCGCAAGTTCCACTGTAATGCCGTCAGGAGGAGACTCCATGAGCTCGGCCAGTTCCTAGGCAAGTTAGCCTTAATGCATCTGCAACCCTTTCCCCCGCAGGGTTAAGATTCGATTCTCACCTTGGTTATTCGTTTCTGACTACCCATTGTCCTAGTCTTGTCTCTCTTGGACTTCTTTATTAGAGGCGGGGAGGGGTAAAAAAAGGTCGAATGTCGAACCAAGGGGGGGGGGGCACAGAGGGAGAGAAGGCAAAAAGATCCAGAACTCAAGGTGTACTCAGGAGAAGAGAAGCTAGGCAACACCAGGGTCCTGAAACCAGGCTAGTTTTAGTCCGCAGCAGAAAGAAAGAGCTTCTTGGGATTTCTTATGTCGATGGATTTGATGATGCACCTGGCGGGGTGGATCCAGGCGGGGCGGAGAAGAAGAAGCTCGTCAAGGCGTCATGTCATGACGGTGACTGTGCACCATTTCTATAATATGATTCTGGGCTTGAATTTATCATGGTTGAATAGATTTACTGCCCTTGGAGATCACCCGGATTTCCACAATTCTTTCCGTACAGCAGAAACAGCCTGGACAATGCATGAGTCCATCGGAAATCTCGTGTTTTAAGTGTACAGGCGCCCTATATCCACGTTCTACTATCTGTCCACTATTGCTCTCTCTGCAGGATGACCGTCAACCCCATAATCCCCAGAAGCACCGTCTTCAGCCATGGATGCTCGCTCAGCATGATCGTCACATATCCCACCATCGGCATATACCCTCGCACGCTACCCACGATGTCCTCCTCGCGGTGCAGGAAGTCCTGGCCGCGCGCATAGAGCTCCGTATCATCGGCGACGTTGTTGTCGCCCTTGGTGAGCAGCATATTGGGTGGGATGGACGAAGACCTGTCAGAAACCATCCTGGGTTAACCATACAACATCCCCACCAACCAAGCTTGTGAGAAGGCCAGGGTAACGCACTCAGTAATCTCCTTCGCGGTCTTGGCCTTCCCTTGAACCTCGGGGAAGGTTCGCACAACGCGATGCACGATCGGAATATCCTTCCCCTTCACATTGTAGACAACGATTTCGCCGATTTCTGCCCGTGGGCTGCGATTCCACAGGAATAGGAGATCGCCTCGTTGGAAAGCCGGTTCCATAGATCCCGACAAGACTGTAGATAATTTGTCACTGTGTTCTGGTTTCCTTTCACAGGCACTCAATCACCTACCCACGACAATCGGAGACGAGGAAGCTGTCACTACCGACAGACCCTTCCAGAGCATAAACGCGGTCGATAGAACGAGCGCGAAATTCAGTACCTGTGCGAGGGATTGTCGAGTATTCGACAGATTGGAAGAGAGAAACGATAACATCGTGGCGAGGGAGTCTTTCAGCTTTTTTGCTGGTCAAGCTGGGAAGGGAGGGAGAGACGAAGGAGCTTCGGAGGTCTTGCGGAGGTGTAAATGATGGAAATGGAGGCAAAAGTCGATTCGCGATCGGGTAGTCGTCAATAGCGAAATATCCAAAGAGGGTAATTCATTCCCTGTGGTGAATTTATATGCTGGTGGTTTTCTGGGGAGAGAAAGAAAAGTGACCTGCGCTGAAAAGGCCATGTGGTGTTTGTTCTTCCCGCTTACTTTCAACCATCTTCATTTCCTCCGCATCTTCGTTCTAAATGATATTCCAGTAACATTCATCTGAAATTTCAAATTGTATTATGGAAAAAAAGAAAGGAAAAATCACTTTCAAACCCTCGCCAATAAATCAATCCAACGCTGTCTAAACACTGCATACAAATATTATACATGGCAGCCGGGCTTAATCTCCTTCCCCCCATTAAGGACTACTCCATCCGCTTCCCAATACTTCTCCTGTCTCCCTCTGTTGAAGATCAGACCGATAATGTCAAATGGATCAAGCAAGGTGGAAATAAACGGACGAGGGTCCTTGTATCCTGGCCCCTCGACTTCCGTCACACCGTCTCGGGCAAGATAGATCTTGTTTGAACGGGGAAGAGACTGCATGGGGTGGAAGATGTTCAGCATCGTGGTGTTGCTGTACATGAAAACCGCCTCGAAGAACCAGAAAAACCATTCGTCTTTGATCAAGGGCGCGACTTTGTCCGGATCAGCCCAGACATGGACTTGCGTCACCGTAAAGTACTCCTCCGTCCGGTAGATGGTGCGCGTGGTGATGAGCATGCAGCTGATATACAACACAGTGAGCACCCGCTTAAGCCTTTTGTTCAAAAGGCCTGCGCGACAGCAGTTGTAGTGAAATCGGACGGCCAAGGAGACGAATCCGGCCATCAGGCAAATCTGCAGAATCAGGGCGGCCTTGAGCAGTGCCTCTCCCACTTCTTTGCGGGATTTCGTCGCATTGGTGTTTGCCACCAGTGCCGCACCGTTGGCTGTCAAGCTCTCAATCACCACCCCCATAGCGACAAAGGTTGAAAAAACTCGTCCTGGGTGGATGGGGGAGAGGTAAGGGATATAGTAGAGGATCCGGCCGAGGATGAAAAAATTGACACCCTCGTAGACAGGCCTGGACTCCAGTCAGACTCTCTCAACTGTCCGCCGCCTAGATGGAGGTGGAAACTTACGGCCCTGCCAACAGAAACACCGTGCTCGAAATGTAGATGGGCACATTATCCCACTGACCGAAAGCGCCAATAGTGCGTAATATGAAGCCAACTGTAAAAAGCAAGGCGGACCAGGGCAGCAGTCCAGTGACCGTCCAGGACTTATACTTGCTGGGGATCAAAATCAGGCGCTGTCCTGTAAGTAAGAAGACAGGGACTCCACTTACTGGCACTGACAAACATGCATGAAGCCAGATGCTGCGAAAAGAATCGCAAATGCAATAGGTGCCCCCTTGTTAGGAGCATAGTACCAGATGCTCCCGTCTTCTGCAGGGAGTTAGTCTATGACTGTGTTCCCTGAACCGCATGAATCGCGCGTCGTGACACAACAATGAAATCAAGGCTTACGGTAAGCGTCTCTTTTATCAAGCATCATGTTCTTGACGATGCCAATAACTCTATCAGGATCAAGTCGGGTGAAACGAAGTAATATCCAAGTATGTGTTTCTGAGCCCACTGCTTCGCGAAGAGGATAAGCTCTATATTATTGATGAATGGCTGAAGATTTCTCGAAGGAATATACACGGAATATATAACTTTCCACTCCAAGATCCCACTCGCAACATCACCGCAGTGATCATCCTCATAGAGTCGAGGTAGCGAAAACGAGATTCCCAATTCGGAAGCTCGTATTTGGGCTCTACGGAACCAGACCCATGGAGCCAGCAACGCTATGAACTAAGGTTCTAGTGACTCAGCTACTCCCGATTTGTACCCTCGTATAAGGCATGCATGTGGCTTGGTTCATTCAAACCGGGCCCAAAAGTCCTCCAAGGCGCTGAAGTGGGCGCTTGAGCCCCAAAATACGAGCGAGGCGCAACCACTCAGATTGCGCCGAACATTGTTCACATAATTATGGTCCAATCAATATCTCCCGATTCAGTTTTCTGCGGGGGGGGGGTGATTGAATGAAGGTTTCTTGGGCTTGCTTGGACTAAACAAATTGGAGAGACTTTTTTTTTTTTTTTTTTTTTTTGCAAAGGGCCGCCGCCATCGAAATGAAAGCCCAAGCCTGCGCCTGCTATAATTTATTTTGCCACAAGGAGTCCTGCTAACACTCCATGCCGCTGAATATCTGGCTTTCTTTCGAAAAGAAAGATCTGATAGGAAATCATCTGTTTGGCTTCTCCTCGTGCCTGGCCCTCGACCAATTTGCAAATAATCATGAGGCTTGTTTGAACTTACTCGACAACTAGTTAGATCTCCATTCTACAGTTTAACCACCCTTGAGACCTCTTCGTAGGATATTCGTCGGCTGTAAAGGAGCTATATAAGTGGCTGTTGCCTGAAACACCAGGCACCAAGTGCACTGGAAGCGTTGCCGGGACAACATGCGCCAAACCCAATATGGCAAACCAACAGCTCGTGATTCCAAATTGAGGCTCTTCCAAATGAACTGCATGAATATATCTCCTGGAAATCGCCCGATCCTTGCATTGTTGGATCGTAGAATTTACAGCCTTCCTGCATCCGATTCCTCAATTTGACGGCCCATAATCGAAGGGCCTGCAGCCATGGCTTCGACAACCCCCCCGCCGTCGTCCCTATTCCAGGTGTATCTCCGCCTACGTCCCCCAATGTCACAGCAGCAAGACGAACAACCCGAGCGCTGCTTGACAGTCGAAAAGTTCGAAGCTGCAGAATCTACCCTGGATGATTCAGGCATAGTCCCAGGCCCAAGCCATATTACTCTGCAACCGCCAAGTGATTCTCGAAAGCGAGCAGTCGAGAGATTTGGATTTACCCGGGTCTTTGACGAGTCAGCGACACAACTTAATGTCTTTCAGCAAACCGGAATGCAATCGCTCGTCAGGGGAGTACTGCTTGAACAGAGAGATGGATTGGTAGCAACGCTAGGGGTGACAGGAAGTGGCAAGGTGCGAGCTGCGCGGTGCCTCGAGGTTGTTCAGCTTACTGATAAATCGTATATAGAGTCATACGATTCTCGGCTCCAAAACACAGAGAGGAATTACCCAGATGAGTCTGGATGTCATTTTTCAATCACTAGCCTCTACCATCAAGCCTCCCGACAACACGATTCCTCCTATACTTTTAGCCTCGGTAGCGGCCTCTGATGCTTCCGAATCCCAAATGTTCACGGCCCAGACCTTCCTTGATGCTGTTTATGGTGAACCCGGTGCCGAGCGTGGCAGAAGTTCTCGGGCCCAGACTCCCATGAGTTCTTCAAGAGCTCACACCCCTATGGCGGTATGCAACCCACCTCCCCGAAACCCATTCCAAGGAGCCCCAAAGTTATTCCCGTCGGGCCCCCGAACCTACTTCCTCCCAAAGGTGTACGGAAAAGAGCCTCACGCAGCCCTGAATGGTCCCGCAGCCTTAGTAGTACCCTGGAGTATTCAATACAATTATATAAAGATAAATGAAGCTAATTCACCCGCTGCAACTTTAAAGGAACCAATGCCGGCTCTGATATTCCCCCGTCGCCATATGCCACAGAGAACCAGCACACTCCCCCGGTCGCCCGATGTTAGCCACCTAACAGTTGAGCTGAACCCTCATTCCGAGTACATCGTCTTGGTGTCCATGTATGAGGTCTATAACGACCGCATTTTCGATCTTTTGTCTCCTGCCATAAACCCAGGGCAAGGCAACGCCGTCTCCCGTCAAGGAGCAAATGCACAGAAAGACCGCAGAAAGGCACTCTATTTCAAGTCCACGGAAGGGTCTCCTGACCGAAAACTTGTAGCAGGCCTACGCAAGATCGCTTGTAGCACATATGAAGAAGCGTTGGCGGTTCTTGAGATCGGCCTTACAGAACGTAAGGTTACCGGAACTGGCGCTAATAGTGTCAGCTCCAGGAGTCATGGATTTTTCTGCCTTGAAGTCAAGAGGAGAATGCGGAACAAGCGAACCGGTGAAGAGATGTGGATTGGAAATACACTCACGGTGGCTGATCTGGCTGGTTTGTTTTCAATCCGTGCGTGCACACACGCCTTTGACGCTCTACTGACAACTATCTAGGCTCTGAACGAGCAAGGACCGCGAAGACTGCCGGATCTACCCTCGTGGAAGCTGGCAAAATTAATGAGAGTTTAATGTACCTTGGACAGTGTCTCCAGATGCAAAGTGACATTCAGGACGGAAATAGGGTACGTATTTATTTTGCCTTTTTTTTTTGGTTACACAAAGACCCTAAATTGACTTGTCCCAGACTGCAATGGTTCCTTATAGGCAGTGCAAGCTCACGGAATTGCTCTTTTCCAACTCTTTCCCATCTTCTAATCAAGTATCGAGTATCAATCGCCATCCACAAAAAGCTATCATGGTCGTTACCGCCGATCCACTAGGTGATTACAATGCCACTTCACAGATTTTACGATACTCCGCCCTAGCTCGCGAAGTTACCGTTCCACGAGCTCCTTCGGTGGACTCAATCCTATCTAGTTCTCTAGGTTCTCGCAAGGGGTCTTCTGGAGGACGCAACTCGCCGCATTTAGGTGCTAATGAAGAACTTGAAAAAGCCCTAGCTGAGATTCAGCGACTGCGCGCAGAGAACGAGAAACTTTCCACGAGGCTCGCAGAGGAGGAGGTTGTGAGAGCCGAACTAGAGACGGCACTGAATATGAGTGAGGAAAGGTGTCTCATGATTGAACAGGAAGTACGTGAGGAATGCTGGGTTGAAATGGATGAGAGAATGGAGCAAGAAAGGAAGAGATGGCAAAGTGCCTGGGATGAACAAGTAAGGAATGGTCTATTCATCATTCCTCCGAACTCATACTGATCTCTATAGACTGGACATAACGACGAGCACATTGACAAGAAGATCGAGCTTATGTCCAAGGGATTCCAGAGTAAGCACCTTATTGCCCCATATGGCTCTGGACGGCTAGGCTAACATTCACTCTTACCAGTTCACGAGGATCCTGGACCTTCTTCGGATGAACGAGTGGAAGAGCTCGAATTCGAAAACGATCAGCTTCGCAGCAAGATCACCTCACTGGAGCGTGAGCTGGCATGTAGGTCTCCGACAAAGCAATCCAGGTCCAAGAACAATACCCTCGGAAAATCTCGCAATGCCAATATCCTGGGCCGTGAAAGCGATATCGAAGTTGCCCTGCGCAAGATGGACCAATTGAAACTGGCCGATAGCATGTTTAATGGTCCTTGCGCTGATTCTCCCGGCAAGAAGCAGAGGAAAATGGCAACTCGCAAATGGGATCTGGCTCCCGAGGATGATCTCCGAACCTTTTAATTCATGTAAATGCTTATGGTGTTTCTAAAGGGGCGTTCTTCTCTTGGGTAGATTGCGAGCCCGTCGGAATCAGGGTGTTGTACTGATAGTTATACTTACTTGTTATTCTTAATAGATACCTACATAATGTGATACCAATATTAATTTATGCAAATTTTACCTCTTTCATGACTATACCAGTTTTTATTTGAATGTGCTTTAAATGCTATAAAGGCCTACCTCTATACAAGTATCCGAGCGCCTGCCTTATCCACAAGATAAGCGGAAGTGATTAGTATATGAAAAAAAAAAAAAAAAAAAAAAAAAAAAAAAAAAGAAAGAAAGAAACAAAAGAAGACTCATATCCGGAACATCTCATCCAGTAACCCACCCACCCAGCTAAAGATCTGCGCCCTCGGACTCGTACGTATCATCGATCTCCTGTTCGGCATCAGGGAGCTGGTGTTCAACTTCACCTTCAGGCTCTTCACATATCTCCCCATCAGGAAGACCCTCCTCTTCCATATTTGTGTCTCCCTCATCTTCACCTTCTTCATCTCCGCCGACTTCGTCATCGTCCTCTCCTTCCATTTCGATATCGTCGCCGTCGCCATCGCCGTCGCCCTCGCCATGGTCGTCGCCATCTTCACCGATAGTCTCGCCTTCCCCCAGATCAACGTCGTGATCACCTTCCCGATCGCCGTCATCGTCCATTTCCATTTCACCCCCTATTTCGTTCGCATCGTCCCCGTCTCCATCTCCGTCCCCGATAGCACTAGCTTGTGCAGACATTTCCGACTCGGGATCCATCGAGCCCCGATCTTGCAAGTTCGGGAAGAGCAATTTGCGATCCCCCGTGAGTTTCGAGAGCTTTTCATCGTCCATCTCACTGAGCTCGCTCTCGTCATCAGCGCTATCATGGAGACTGTTGGGGATATCGCTTTGCTGGGTGGAACCAAACTCCTCCGCGGGCTGTCTTCGGGGGATTTCCATAACTGGTTTCGCGACAGAAGAGGAGGCGGTTGTTCCTGGGCCGGAGGAGGTCGTCGCTGAGTCTGCTTCTGTGGCTGTCGGCGCTCGGGCTGTCGGCGCGCGCGGTGGCACCTTGCGATTGACGATGGTTTCGGCGCGTTTTTGGACGTCTCTTCGGGCTATTCCCTTTGTGCGGCCGCGGGGGGCTGGAGCGTCGGAGGTGGGGGCGGAGGTTGGGGGTGTGGAGATGTCCGCAGCTCCGTCGCTGGTCATGAGGATGTGGTCAACTTTCATTTTCTCTTTGTTCTCTTCGTTGACTTGCTCGATGACCTGAGGCATGTTGATTTCATATAGTCGGGAGTACAGGTCTGCGATGAGGTCTTCGAGCAGGGAAACTTTCATGAGGTTATTGTTGAGCTTCTTCAGCTCGATGGCATCCCGCAGGAGTTCGAGGAGGGATGAACTTTCAGGAGCAAGTTGGGAAAGACCTTCTAGGCGGGCTGTGTTTGCTACGAACTCCTCCCAGCCGATTGGTTTGAAGACGCCCTCCTCATGGCCTTCGCTGATGTGGCCTGCTCTGCGGATGACGCGCGCATAGGTCAGACACAAGTCCTCCCAAAGTTTAGAGTGGTTGATGAAGTCGCCTTGTTTTTTGCGTACACGCCGGAGTAATTGATCGAGGTTCGCCCGATCATCGAGCTGGTCAAGAAGAGCGACGAAGAAGTAGGCATATCGGGTCGTATAGACGAAGTGTCTACCGGGACGCTCGAATTCTGGCCTCCAGACTTGGATTGTCATAGTCTTGGTGAATATTTGCTGCGTAAGCTCTGCTTTAGCTCCCACCGCAGCAGTCTCGTCTTTATCATCGTCGTAAACGATGTGTGCAGCCTGAACGTGGTTAGTGAAGTGTACGGTTAATTAAGATAAGTTAGGTATCCACATACCCTGGCAGCCATGCGGTGGTGCCAGTTTGACTTATCTGCACTCTTCAGGTTTTTGAGCACATCAAGAATGTACTTCTTCCAAGACCCCTTATCCTCAGGAGGTTGGAACTTTCGTGCCCAGGGCGTAGCAAGGAGCGTTTTGCTCGCTTCAGCGGGCTTGGGAACGTTAGCAAGGCCTATATATACCGCACATGCAGAAAATAGCTTACAGTCAAAATATCTCTATGAACAAGTTTATGTATGATGGAAACAAGTTTATAGTGAGGTTCAAAAATCGGATCCGATCGCGAATCTCTCCTTTGGGGCAGGGCATCGATGGTATCAAGCAGCGAGTCCAAGACACTGTCAACGCTAATACGCCTAGCAGTTCCCCTCACAGATTCGTCACAGCTAAACATCTTCCAGAGACATTTGCTCAGCATGTAATGGGTCCTGCACATATCATTAGCGGCCAGACGCGGCAATGGAATAAAGCACGTACATCCAACTCTTAGGTTTGTCGACCATTGCACGCCTAAGCAGATAACTTGCGAGCCTCCAAACAGAATAGACCTTCATTTCCTTGAACGGCTGTCCTTCGTACATCTGTTGGCTTTCCTCATTACTATAATGACGCGTAAACTCCGCGAGACTAAATGCCCCCATTGATAGGGGTTCTCGAGAAGATGAATATAGACGAATTCCGAAATCGGTATAAAGATCCGCTAAAAGGGCCCGGGCTTCCGGTGTTGGGTCGGCGGTTCTAGTCGCCGCCGCAATAGCCATAGCATAGCAGTGAATCGCATTTCGTTGCCAAGTAACGAGCTCCATTCGGTTATTATTGATCTTGTCCGCAGACCAAGTGATATCCTCCTCGAGCTTCGAGTCATAGGTCTGGGCCAGCCGATACCATGTCTCCCATTTGGACGTTCCATGCTCTAAATCTTGCCTGAACCAGGCGATAGCTTCGTCAAGATCAGCGGTTGGCACAGGGTTCAACCGCTTCTGAGAGCGGAATTTTGTCAACGCGGCGTGGCCCAGAAGGAAATACCAGCCGTTTTTTGCGATTACTGCACTCTCATTGGGAACAGGAATGAGTGGAATATCCGAGACACCTCGAATCGCACGGACGAGTTCAGATGGATTTATTGCGGACTTGAAGTAGGCGTTTAGAATGCGTCTGTTAAAAGACAAAGGCGCCGAGGTCTTTGTCGTGCCGATTGCCTGCTGCATCTTGTCAATTGTGGTTTTCAAATCGGATTTCGACAGATCCTTGATATTCATTTTCTTGGCCTGTCTCATGACAAAATCAATCATCGAGACCGCTGTAGAACGATCTAGCTTCTCTGAGGTGCAGCCGTGTTCAGCTAGAAGATTATCGTTAGATGATAATTTGACGCCATGAATGTCATACAAGATTTGGCAGACGTCAATTTCTGTATCTTGCTTCACTTCCAGCGCAAAAAGTTCGGATTTCATCAACTTCAGGAACTGCTTGTGGGATCGCCTGCACATTTTGCGAATGCCGAGAGTATTGTGCACCGAGCGCAAGTAATACATGCGATCCTCCGAAGGGTCCTCGAAAATCTCCTGATTCTGGGAGATTGCCTCTTTCAGAAGTGTATATAGCAGGATCCAGCAACGCACAGTCATTTCACGTAGTTTGTCTTTAAAATTTTCCAATGACTTGGCCAGAGATCCACGCAAATCCGATCCGGAAACTTGGCCGACACGTATGGCGTCCTCATACAGGACAAAACTATGAAGCACTCGAATAAATGAGGCAACCGCGGACATTGAAGACCTTACATGTTCCATGTCGAAACATTCGTAGGCCTTTTCCGGCTCCTGTAATACTGCTGTAACCGTCTTGCTCAACAGGCCGTCAAGTGATTTAAGCCATCTCACGAGGGCAATTTGGCGGTGCTCACTGGGCTCCTCGAGATGTGCTGAGCTGCAAAGTTCTTTGACAATTGTTTCAATACTCCGGAGATAGCATGACACAACTTTTGGGGGGTAGGCAATCTTTCTATACGCGTCCTGGAGCCTGCGCCATAAAAAAAGTCGCAGTGTGGCATCCCCGCGATCTAAGAAAGATTCCATTTCTTGGTGTAGAAGAATTTCCTGGCTATCAGGCTCAGCTCCTACGAACTGAACTGACGAAGGCTCAACAATTGGCTCGATAGTTTCAATAAGCCCAACAGGGTCATCTGACTCCGGGTTGAAGATCTTCATAAAGAAATCCATCGAGTTTAATTTAGATAACTCCTGATCGATAGCCTCTGATGACAATTCGGGCATCATAGCATTGTTGACGAGAGTAATTACTGGATCCTTTAAGGCAACGAAGAGGTTCTTTAGCTCCTGGAGGCAAAGCAAGACGTGCTCACGCTGCACATCGGGGGCCAAGTTGGAGTGAAAGGTTGATGCCCAGACATGACGAAGAGTGATTCTTTGCTGGTTAGTCTGCTCAGGGCTATGGTCAATGAAGTGAGTCAAGGCGGTGCGTGCAAGCATACACCATCTTGCTAAGCGTTCTTGCTGAAAGATCCTAGTTTGCTGGTCGGCTTCGCTGTGAGGGCTATTCATGGGGACGAAAAGATCAAGATGTAGTTCGAATATGGTCTGAATCATCACTAAATCTGCAAAGTTTTCCACAGAATAATTAAATATGTCTGCAGATTGAGTTTGGAGGACCTGATGCTCGAGGTCTTTGATATGCGTGTCCAATTTGATGTAGATGTACTCGTCTTCATGGAGGAGAAATTGCGTCACAATTTCCTTCAGGCCATTAGGCCATTGAAAGGAAACATAAGATGACTCGACAGCCGACCAGTCATTAGAAATCTTGTCTTTCACAGAAACCTTTGCATAGTTTGGCATGAGAAGACACTTAAGCCAACCAAAAGCCACCTCATGAATATGAAATAAATCATCATTGACAGCCCCTAAAAATGTGAACAACTCTTCCTCACCGCTGAAGATCGGTTTCATCTTAAGTTTTCGAGCAGACTTTCTGGAGTGCTCCTGGAAAATAACCAGTCCAGACCTGCCCATCCCTTGAAGATCCTGAAGTGCAGATAAGCTATCACTTTGTGACATTACTTGGGATTTGCCCTCATCCCAGTGTTTCATGACATTCCGGAGATCTTGGATCAGGACACGGTCAGCCTCGTTAGGTGTATGAACTGGGGTATCCGGCGAGTCTTTTCTGTCGTTTTCGACAGCGACCTGTTTTCTCAGCTCATCCAAGGTCCCCAGGCTTTCAACACCTAGCTTAGATAGCAGAGAGCCGACTGTACTAAACACGCCTTCATCGGCTTGGACATAAGGATCCAGCAGGTCTTCATAATATTTGGTTTGATCAAAAGGAATTTCCTCCGCTTGCATCGAAGCTTCGGCAATCGAATCACGCAGACGCGTCCTTCTGCTCTTGGCTCTCGAGCGTTCCGCTTGGTCCTCAGTGACAGCACATGCAGAAGATCGCTTCCGACAGGAGTGGGCGGGCGACTTGGTGTCGATCTCGTCCTGATTTGCGTTGTCTTGCTGGTCTTCAGGTTGAGGGTGCTGTGAAGACTGGACCTCCAGAGACTCCATCAATTGCTTCTCAGCTCGCTGGTCGATAGAAGATTGATCATCAACATGATCCGCGGTCTGCTCAATTTCGTGTGTTTTGGTGGTGGACTGTGTGGCCTCATGTTGGTCCCCTCCCCCAGCCATGGGGGTATCTTCTTGTTGATTCCCTTCTCCTTGGGTTTTCGATGATCGGACATGGGCCTCTATTGGCTGAATCGCTTTCAATTCGGGGCTATTAGCCGGTAAAGCAATGGCGAATGATGTTCCAGGGCCGGCCACAGGAGCATCATCTTCCTCATCATCGAAGATTCGGAGGATAGCTTTGCCGACAGCAGTCCATGTCAAGGATTCGATTTTAATCTCATGACGAGAAGCGCGCAAGGCAAGTGGGTTTTTTGCAGGATCCACCTCCTCCACGTTAGTTGGTAGACGAGGTAAGTAAGGATATGGGTCAATTTGGCGTTTCAGGAATTTGAGAAGAGCCTTCTTGGGCTTTTTGAGTGGTACCACGGATACGGAGAGCCTGTCCTGTAGCGACTGCAACGCCTCGCGCAGCCGATCCTCGGCGAATGCCTCTTCCAGGCCCAACTGCTCTGTGCGCACCTCCAGGCGATTATCATCGTCGGCTAGAACGCTTTCCAGACAGTAACGACTCAGGCGATAGCTATGCAGAGCACCACTGAGCCTTGCGCTCTGTCTCCAGAGGTTCAAGTCAGAATCATCGCGTTCGAGTGCTTCCGCAAAGGCAGTCAGCGCTGCATTGGAACGATCAGCAACCTTGGCAGAAAGGTCGGCAGCTTCGGGAGTCTGAGGGGCGTTTTCCAACACATCACGCAGCGCATCGAGAATATACTGGCCATGGTTCTTGTAAGACAAGTATATCGTTTGCTGGAGAGTACTGGATGTAGAGTCGTTAATATCAAATTCGCTAAGCGTCACAGCTGCAGCCTCGGCCGCTGCATCAGCGGTTACTGTACCAAACTGGAGCTCCGAGATCTGAAGTGCGACTCTCTTGTAGTCGGAGATAGACTCGGGATACTTGAATATTTCCGATGCCAGAAGTGCTTCGTACGCCTCCGCAGCTTGGGAATAAAATTGCGGGCCCTGGGAATGAAGTTTCAAGGCATTTTGGTACAATTTAAGCGCTTCTTCGATTTGAATTTCCTTGGTATCATCAACCTCCTCTTCAATGGCCTCATCGGGCTCAATATTCAATGCGACCCAGGTGGACATGGCGCGGAACTAGTTTTGCATTAAACTTAGGCCGCACAAGCGGCTGCTGACAGGGGTAATAAAGTCGCCAAAGACGGCAACATCTCATACGGGATGGAAACCAGTCCCTATATCGGAGGGAAAGGCGGGACTGAGAATGCATGCGATGATGCGAGGAAGGAAGTCGTAGTATGGAGTAGACATTAAGCCAAGGGCCTCGCGGTCACGAGATCACGCGTTCCGCTCCGGGGGATCGAATTTCCCGAAGTGGGGACGGGCTGGTGCCTCAGGTACCATCCCCGACGGGGCCTGAGGCCTCCGATCGCCGCCATCCTTGACGACGACCACTGGCCATTCTCTCCTGAACAACGTCCTATTGATGAGGCGTGCATTGATTCCCATTCAGATTCGACTCGTTTCTTTTGCTCTGCGCCCCTCTGTTCACCAGTATATCTCCTCTGCGCCCCTGAGTGCGCCATGGTTGCGCCAGCTGTTCCCGAGTATTTGTTTTCCCCTCGTTCTCTGTACTCCTGGAGCTGTGGCCATGGTAGCACTGTGACTGACACCTGAATCTGGCTTTAGGATCTACGAGGAGGATGAGCTATTCGCCGCCGTCGATGCGCGCTCCGAGTCGCTACAGAATCTGAGGGAGCTTGGCCCCCCGGACTTGGTTTACCTGGTCAAGCAGCCCAAGACTGGGTCAACTCGACAGGTACGGTTTCCTTGCGGTTTCGCCCCATTCTCATAGGATGAAATTCCGCAGTTGCTGACGAGCATCTATCTGTCTGGCCCATATAGACCGGGGTTTATCACCATGTCACCGGAATCGATGCCTCCTCCTCCGCTAGCTTGGCGGCCTACGTGAATACGCTCACCTTTTCGCCGCTTGACAAAACAAATAAAGTGGTTTCCGGAGTTTACTGGTTAGATTCCAAATTGGGGGGGGGGGGGTTTGTACTTGCCGGAGATTGACCTATGTGCAGTTGCTACAATGCGTTTTCCCACCTTGATATGCGCGTTGAAGTTAAGATTCCCGGCAGCCTAGAGAGCTATTGCATCGACGAGCGCGGAGACAAGCGGGTTGCGACCGAGGCATTATGGCTCGAGACATTTCTGTGCGGGGTGCTGAGAGCCTATTCATACGCAGACGATGGTAGCGGAGATGCTATCAGGAAGATCGTGGGTGTTCGTCGATTCAATCCGGTCACAAATACAGAGATGGAGCACCGGTTTCTCGACGCTGCTGAGCGGCTGTTCTTCATGGGTACGAGTCGCCTTCCTGCCGCCATTGTGCGTTGGCTAACCAAGTCACCGTAGGGAGACAACTGAGCTCCGACCCCGAAACTCAGGTCCCCAATACCGTCACCAACCACCTCACCTCGGGTTTGCTCAAATACATTCACACCACCGGACGTTATACTTCTGGAATCAACTTGTTCGAGAAACTCCGCACGAAGGATGTAGAGGTCTCGTCTCTACTTGCTAAGGTTCTCAGAATGGCGGATGAAGAGGTCCGGGCCGTGCGACTGATGTTCGATGCCTTGCAAGACGTCCCTATGGACTACGCGTTGCTTGATTGTCAGGCCGATTTCTGCTCCAGCAAGGGCGAAGGCGAAATGGCCTTGGAGTGTGCGAAGCGGGCTGTGACGGCTGCTCCCAGTGAATTTAGCACCTGGGCGCGGCTTGCAGAGGTATATGTGAACCTCGAGCAGTGGGATCTGGCGCTGCTCACCCTCAACTCCTGCCCAATGTTCACGTACCAAGACAAAGACACCCCCCGCATGCCCCAGCCCTCTCGCATCATGCTCCCTATCCTAGCCGAAAGTATGTTGGACGAGATCGATGAAGGTCAACCGCGACAGGGCGACCCACACGACTATGTGCACCCATCGTTGCGGCGACTACACGCAGCCACGTATCAGGGAACATTTTTAAAGGCCTACAACCTGTTGACGAAGATCGCCGCGGCGATTGGTTGGGACCAACTACTCAAGGTCCGCAGCGAGGTCTTCGTCATGGAGGAGGAGTACCGCACTGAACGCCAGCAGTCGACATCCAAGCACTCGATCCACACGATCCCCGAAACCAACGGGGATCACGAGCATGAGAGTGGCCACAGCAGTCAGGACGACAGCTCCGATGAACCAGCCACCAATGGCGATGACGGCCCACAAGGCGGAGATGCAATCGAGCGACCAGAGCAGACCATGGCATCGGAAGCTGCCAAGTCTGGCAGCGAGCCTGTAAGTAGAATGAATCCCTACCTATCTCCGTTGGGGGGGGGAGATGTCGGATTTTATTTCCCCCTATACTAAACGTGATCATCACCCAGTCCGATCCATCGCATTCCTCTTACACACAGTTCCGGAACAAACGCCTGTGCGAGAGATGGCTAGACAACCTGTTCATGGTCCTGTACGAGGATCTGCGCATCTACACCATCTGGCGAACCGAGGTCGCCCAGTACCGGCAGCAAGCCATGGAATACAAGAAGTCAGCCACGGAGTGGGAGATCCTGGGCGAGCTCGCCGAGCGCCTGCACCACTTCGAAGAAGGCATTGAAGCGTACCAGAACTGTCTATCGATCCGGTTCTCGCCCAAGGCCATGCGCGGCCTTCTCAAGCTATACGAGCAACAAAACGACACCCGCAGCATGCTCGGCGCACTGATCCGTCTGATCGCCTGGCAGTACCGCTGGTACTCCGAGGTATTTCTCCCCCTTTTCTCCAAAAAAAACAAAACCCCCCAAGTAACAAAATTAATGAAATTTAGTTCTCCCCCGAACTCCTATTCATGATCCGCAAACTCATCGAAGACGAAGGCGCCGTCAAAGTCCGCAGCATCGTCCAGGCCACGAACCTCCCGCAGACCGTCCTCGACCTCACGCACCAATACTGTCAATTGTGCGCCACATTCCGCAGCAGCGGCAGCGATGGTTAAAAACACCGTGCCCTCATTCTTGTAGCAGGAATAGTGGGTGTATTAATTTTATATTGGAGGGTGTGTGTGTATGCATTTTCTTTTCTTTTCTTTTTTTTTTCATTTCATCTCTCTACTCACTAAACAGAGGGAATGGTGAATGATCTTTTAAATACTGTTTTAGCAAGCCTTGACGGAGCTGGAGAAGTGGGAAGGTACTTGAAGTCGAAGCCAAAAGAAAAGAAAAGAAAAGAAAACAAAAGTGGTACTATTATATTTATTACATTATTATAACTCACTTACTACCTACTACTACTACTACTAACTATGATAGTTATCTACACTAGTAGTAGTAATATGTACGGAGGATCGGAAATTATGAGTTTTTGTCATGCATAGGAAAATCGATGGATAGTTAATCAAGACCTCACCTCCGTGCTCACACAACTCATACACACCAATCAGCAGGTATGGCAAAGATTACAAGACAAGACAAGTACTAACTAACTACCCCGTAGAATAAGTATCGTTAATAATTCCCCTATCCACTAACTATAACTAGTTACTCCGGACCAGACTGATCAACTAAAATACTAGTAGACTTGAATCAAAACCACCCAGAAAACAAAAAGAAAAGAAAGAAAAAGGGACATACATCACACATAACCCATCAGATTCAACCTCACCTGCACGACTTTGATTAGGCAGATCTGTACCGAAAGACGGTATAGCTCAGACCAGGTCATGTAGGTAAGAAAGCGAACTAAGCTGTAGCCTCCGCAGTCGCAGACCCAGGTGCATTTCCACCAGCAGCCTTGACCTTTGTTGCGCTTGTCTTCGCCGACTCTTCAGCCTCGTCAGCATCATCCTCTTCTTCCTCTTCTTCCTCTTCTTCTTCTTCTTCTTCCTCTTCTTCTTCTTCTTCTTCGTCATATTCCTCAGCTGGCCCGTGCCCGTTTGCGCCGTTGGCTTTTACCCCCTCTTCGTCAGCAGCGACTGGGGCGGCTGTCTTTCGTTTCTTTGCGACAGGGGGCCCTAGAGTATCGGAGTGGTTAGCACCATCACATTTCCCCACGGTAAGACGGGAGAGACGGCGGCATCGACTGACCTTGGGGGACTTGTTCTTCCTCTTCCTCGTCGAACTCTTCGTCGGAGATTTCTTCCTCTTCTTCACTGCCTTCGCTTTCACCTAGATCGGTGCTTTCATACCTGGGGGGGGGGGGGGGGGGGTTTGTTAGATTGAACTAGTTCGGATACAGAATGGTAGAGAAAAGTAGGGTTCAATAGAGAGTAGATAGATAGAGAACAACACCCGTAGAGGATAAAAAGATGAAAAAGGGATGATGAAGAGGAGGAGGAGGATGCGCGTCGCAAATTACACCAAGCGCACAAGAAGCGCAAAATCGCGCATAGAGAGGGGATAGAAGAATCCAATCCGAACGAAAAGGGGAGGGAAAAAAGAAAAGAAAAGAAAAGAAAAGAAACTTACTCGTCTTCTTCCTCGCTTTCGTCACTAGGGAGGGCCTGTAGCTCCTCGTCTTCTTCCGCGTCTTGCTTTCTCTTACGGGTGGACATGGTGTCGGGAGGTAGGGATCTTTGGATGTGAAGGGGGGAGAAACGAATCAATGGGGAGAGACGAGGGAGAGAAAGAGAGGAAGAAAGGGAGGGAAAGAGAGAGAGAGATGGAAAGGAAAGGAAAAGAGAAGAGAGAAGAGGGAGGGAGGGAGCGAGATTAAATGGAGGAAGAAGGAGAGGAGGAAGAGGAATCTTCGTGTACGACAACAACTACGACTATATCATAACATGGGGAAGGACGTCGTCTTAAGCATTGAGAGAGTGTCCATAGGAAAATTGGAGGTACTCTTTCAAGACCGCCGCGTGTTCATATCCCCTCAGTGCGTGGCTCTGACGGGACTCTCAATATCGTGGTGATGTCAGACAGCATCTTAGATTCTGAGAAGTATGGATCATTGCGCCAAAAACTCAAAATTCGCCATGCTGGGATCCAGCAGATTCTCATCCAGGCCAAACCCATACGTCCCGACCATATCGTAGATTAAATCGGGCGGAGGGAACCCTTGAGCCATCGCATTCGCGCCCCCTGGCACATCGCTCCCCCCCCGGCGTCGATCGCCCACCGTCCCAGAGTCCAACCGTTCCAGCATCTTGCTCAACCCCCGAGCAATATGGCGCGTGAGGTGTCGCTCGCCCGCGGAGACACAGGTCAACAACGCAATCACCCGCTCCACCAGCCCGCGCACCTGCCGCCGGTCCAGACTGAGATACGCCGAGTTCCAATTGACCGCCACCTTGAGCAGAAACACCGCCGAAAAGGTCACCATCGTATGCGTGAAGATGGGGACCCCGACGATCGCATCGCGAATATCCTGTTCCTCCAGCACCATGTTCAAACACGCCATGGCCGACGAGATCGCAATGTTGGCCGACTCCTTTCGATCCATCGAGAAGACCGGCGTGTTGGTCGGCGAGAGGGCCCGCAGCGAAAGCGAGTTGAGCTGGAATTTCGCAAAGTGATAATGGAGAACCACGCCTTTCGAGGGATACGTCCGGACATAGGGGCTGTCGGCTATTCCCCGCGATTAGACGACAAAAGCACACGGGGGACAGACAAGACGACACGAGAACTTTCCCAACTTACCAGATCGCGGTTGCCATAGCAGTCGCCATTGGTCGACCGCCACATTGTAGACCCGTAACTGACCAAAGTCCTCCTCGGTCAACGCCTGTTCCGTGTCACTGCCAAACATTCGATAGGCCTCGGTGAGGATCATGAATAAAGCCACCTGGGCTATCAGCCGGATGTCGCCCGGAACAACCAGGGCCGACTGAAGGAAGGTTTCGTAGTTCTTAATCGCCAGGTCTTCGTGGATGACGGGCGGCCGACCGTACGCGATGCTGAAATGATGGTCGCAAACGTAGAGTAAATACCAGAGCTGCGCCCGTTCATATTGATCGCCGTGGCCCCGGATCATCTTCTGGTAGCTCTGGTGCAGGCCTAGCTCGGTGGCGATTCGCACAGCATGGCCCGAGAGCTTCCAGCTCAGCTCAGACAGCCAAAAGGCTCCGATACACAGCGCCCGAACATCGTCCAGCGTATGGGCCCGAGTGAGGGACATACTAGAGACAAGCGAAACATACTCGCCATAGCACCGGTTCAGCGTCTCGGTGCGGTTGGGGATATGAAGCGCTGCCACAGTCAGCACGGCCGCTGCCAGCAGGGTCGACGCCCGTCGCACCGAGGTCAAGTCACGGTGGACTAGTATAATGCCGCCCCATAGCAGCTGGTTCATGGTACGACTGAAGTAGGCGAATAACTCCTCGGCCTCGTGGATGGAAAGGAGACCCCGAGAGAGAAAGTCTTCCTCCAGAAGCGTAGATTTGGGTTCTTCAATGTGGTTATTCCGCAGGTCCCGCAGTTTGGTGACCTCGTAGAGACTGCGCATTGGCGCTGGCACCAGTTCTCGGTCCTGGAGATCCGGGTCCTGCGATCCCTCCCTAGTCAACACCAGTCCTGGTTCGTCGGGTTTCCCATCGGGAGGAGAGCTATTGAGGGAGGAGGAGGGTCGGCCTCCAACATGGTAAGTGGCAGGGACGGGAGAGGGGCCATTCTGGCTGTCGCCAACTGAATAAGTTGAGAGGTCCGGTAATGCATTCTGGCGGAGAAGGTGCGAGACGGCCGCTTGGAGCTGTTGGATCGTTGCGGAGGCTTGGGACTTCCAACTACGCGGTGGAGATCAGCAAAAGAGCCCGACAAATAACCCCATATACATATACATATATCAATAATTCAACGTGAACAGTAGCCCACTCACATTCCATCGTCATCAACAAACTTCTGGGAGAAGTCATTAACCACACACTTGATTCCGCTGCGCAGACACTTTGTGCAGCTTGATTCGCCGGTTCGAAATTCACAGCGGATTTTATGACGCTTGCACTCGGCGCCTGCAATAAAACCATGTTTAGTATACGTTTCAACAATCCCTTGGCCCATGGGGGACCCTCACAAGCACGCGCTTTGGAGATTTTGGGCGCAGGAGGCCGGTCTTCTGAAACCAGAGAAGCACGACGGCCAGCATCAATCGAAGAGCGTTTCATCGCAGCGGAGATTCTGGTAATCGGGGAGACTCCGGCATGATGCTGCAAGCAACAGCACAGCGCACAACTTGCGACGACGGAGGATCCGCAAAGAGAGGGAGTCGGGGATAGTCTTCCTGAACTGGGGGTGGATGAATCGGAATGAGGGACCCGAGCCAGAACCCCGCTTGCCGACACGGGGTGAAAGGCAGTACAGAACTCTCCTGTTAATTTGATTAGAAGGATCTCCGAAATCCATCAACGACAGGACAGTATCCCCTCTCTAACCATGTTATTCTCGCTATACAGGCTCCCTCTCTGGCTTCTCGCATCCCACATGATCCCCGGACCAAGTCCGGCCGGGGAGATACTCGGACTGGATGCGACTGTGCTGCTATCAAGATGATGAAGCCTGGTTGACATACAAAAGACCCTGGATCAACCTCTCAAATCTTTCCCCAAGTTACCCACAGCCGATATGCAAATTCTTATCACTGGCGCCGCGGGTTTCATCGGGCAATTGCTCGCCAAAGAGCTTCTCAATGACCCATCCTACACACTTGTCTTGACGGATGTCAACGAACCCACCGTGCCAGCGGGGGTCAAATATCCCCAGAATGCGCGCACAGTCACCGCAGATCTCCTCGCGGGAGCGGATGCCGTCGTGGACCAGTCGCTGGACGCTGTCTATGCCTTCCACGGCATTATGTCGTCTGGTTCAGAGGCCAATTTTGAGCTAGGGATGAAGGTCAACGTGGATGCCACGCGCATTCTGCTGGAGGCCCTTCGCACCACTTGCCCAGGCGTCAGGGTAATTTACTCCTCTAGCCAAGCTGTTTACGGCCAGCCGCTTCCCCCAGTGGTCGACGACAGCGTCATCCCCACGCCGCAGTCGTCCTACGGTGCGGAGAAGATTATCTGTGAGACTCTGATCAATGAATACACCCGGCGGGGCTTCATCAACGGATTCATCCTCCGGTTCCCTACGATTTCCGTCCGTCCCGGTCGTCCCACAGCTGCTGCTTCATCCTTTCTCTCGGGCATGATCCGCGAACCACTGGATGGTAAGGAGTGCGTCATTCCCGTGGAAGATCGGTCCTTCAAATCCTGGCTCTGTTCACCCAAGACCCTTGTCCATAATCTGATCCTGACTCTTTCCTTGTCCGCCGATGCTCTACCCCCGCACATCCGGCAGATCAATGTGCCTGGTATCTGCGTTACCGTCCAGGAAATGATGGATGCCCTGGAAAGGGTCGGAGGCGCGGAAAGCCTGGTGTTCTTGAAGGAGAAAGAGTACCTAGTACGGAGTACCTCCCAAGTTTACAGTCTTCCAAACTTGAAGCTGCCCTTTTCATTATTATAGATTCTCTAAATTTGAGTATAAGATGTAAAAGTTGTTCTTGAATTCGATTCAATTACAATCATCGATTGATGCCTCAGAGTTCAGGCTGATTTCCAAATAAATCCACATGACTTCGCGATTCGCCCAACCGGGAAATACGCGTCGCCTCACGCTTCCATCATTGAAGGGGCCTTTCCATCTACTCCGCAATAGAAATCCAGAGAAGAAGGCCTTGGGGTTTTATTTCTCACACAGCGGTGACCCCGTAGGGGTTCCTTCTGACATATCCCTGATGGGTAAAATCACCACCTGCCCGACAAGACAGAAACATGAGCGAGACTTGCGCGAATCCCCTGCTCCTGGGGTGGATTAAAGAATGGCTGGATCAAGCTCGAGAGCGCAATACCAAAGGGGTCACGGTGTCAGTCTTATGTTCCCTGCACTCATGTCACATCAACTAACTTTCCTTCCCCTTTCTCAAGCTACAAAAAAGCGTACGACTCAATGAAAGCCTGTCCGTTGGTCTTTCAACACCCTGCAGAGGCTCAGCAGCTCAACGGACTTGGTCCTAAACTTTGCGATCGATTAACCGATAAGCTCAAGGAATACTGTGCGGAAAATAGACTTGAGATGCCCGAGGATCCACGTGCGGGTAAGGCCTCCTCTGTCTGCGCGATTGCGCGATTGCGACCCGATTCTAAAGACACCAGCAGCAAGCAACAAGCGAGCCTCCACGGATGGCACCAACGAAAGTCAACCAGCGAAGAAACCTCGAAAGGCTAAGCCTTACGCACCTACGTTCCGGTCTGGCCCGTACGCGTTAATCCTTGCGCTGGGTACTTTGGACGAAAATTCGTCTCAGAGCATGACAAAGGCACAGTTGATTGAAACGGCTCAACCATTTTGTGACAGCTCCTTCACGGCGCCTACGGATCCTACGAAATTTTTTACTGCCTGGAACTCGATGAAGACTTTGCTCCAGAAGGAGCTTGTCTATACGCATGGGCATCCGCTGAAACGGTATGCACTGACGGAGGAGGGATGGGAGGTTGCAAAGGCTATGAAAAAGACTGCACTTCCATCCGGTCAGAATACACTGCCGTTCACAGCCCAGTCGGTAAGTCTCATCGAACCACCAGTCGCAGTCCAGGCAGGGAAACAAAGCTAACTCCGTCAAGACAACGACTACAATTGGCATTGCTTCCTCCCAGAGTAACCGCATGCCGAGCTTTCCGCAACAAAACACGGGCGAAAGTCAAGGACCAGCCCCAGGCGTCTACGAGCGAGCGGGAGAGGATGCGGATAACACCCCTGTCACGCCTATTGCTATTCCCCCAGACAGCTTCACCGTCCAGTTGATTCTCGACACCCGGGAGGTCCGCACGTCTAAAGACCGAGATTACATTTCCAACGAACTAGGCAAGAAAGAGATCACGCCGGAGGTGCGGGCTCTGGAAGTTGGCGATATCATGTGGGTGGCCAAATTCCACGATCCCACATTTTTATCCCAGTATGGCGAAGAAGGCGACGAAGTAATGCTGGATTGGATCGTGGAACGCAAAAGACTCGACGATCTTGTGGGATCGATCAAGGATGGCAGATTCCACGAACAAAAATTCCGTCTTCGCCGTTCCGGTATAAAGAATGTGATCTATCTGATCGAAGAATTCTCAGTGGTCCATGATGCCAACAGTGCCATGGCCGCGAAATATCACGAAATGGTAGCCTCGGCAATTGCGTCGACGCAGGTCGTCAACGGCTACTTTGTCAAAAAAACCAAGAACCTCGACGACACCATCCGTTATCTAGCGCGAATGACATTTCTTTTACGGAAGATGTACAGTCCATCCACCGTCTCTCCTCCCGCCAACACTCTCCGCCTGATCCCTAGCCGCCAGCTCTCATCGCTCTCACGGCCGTATCTAGCCACCATCGAACACCTCCGATCCGAAACCGCCCCGGCCGTGACGTACGGCGTGACATTCTCGACGTTTTGCGCGATCGCGTCCAAATCCGAGGCTCTCACTCTCCGCGACGTCTTTCTCAAGATGCTGATGTGCACCCGCGGCGTCACTGGCGACAAAGCCCTCGAGATACAGCGTCGATGGCCCACGCCACAAGCGTTTATTAAAGCTTTTGAAGCGTTGGATGCCAAGGAGCGAGAGACCATGGTCTCGGATCATGTACAGTCGTATGTGGGACGGAAGAAGATAGCGAAAGTTTTGAGCAAGAAGATATGTGAAATATGGGGGGAGTAACAGCATACCACAAATTATTATTTAATCTTAAAAAAAAAAAAATAATAAATAAAAAATAAAACAGAAAACCTCGGAATCATAACAATTATCATCTGATTATCATTATCATTTTCATAGAAATCATGAAATCGTGAAATCGTGATCATATGTATCATCATTCTCTCTCTCTCCTCCCTCCCCTACCCCTACGAAACCACCCCCCTAACCCTTGTAAGCATCTCTCCATCAACCACCAACGCAAGACTACTACAAACCACCGAAACACTACTCAGCGCCATGGCCAACGCCGCCCAAACCGGACTCAGCCGCCAATGCTCCCGCACCGCGACCATCTCCCCGCCCACCAGCACGCTGCGCTGCCCAGTGACAAGCGGATAAAACACCCCCGCCGCCACGGGCACCAGCGCCAGATTATACAGCACGGCCCAGCAGAAGTTCATGCGGACGCGGGTGACGACGCGGCGGCTGAGCCGGGTGAGCTGCAGGATTGTTTCCAGCGAGGAGTTGAGCAGGATGAAGCTTGCGGAGTGGAGGGCGACGTCGGAGCCCGAGGCCAGGGCGATGCTGACGTCTGCGGTGGATAGCGCGGGCGAGTCGTTGATGCCGTCGCCTACGAAGGCGACGATTTGGCGGGTGGGTTCTGGTTGTGTTTCGGTGCTGCTGCTGCTGCTGCTGCTGCTGCTGGGGGGGTGCTGGATTGATCGGACAAAGTCGGCTTTGCCTGCTGGCAGGACATTGGCCAGCACGTGGGATCGTGGGATGCCCAGCCGGTCGGCGACGGCGTGCGCGGTTGTCTCGTTGTCTCCTGTGCACATGTACACGGATATTTTGCGCTCGTGCAGTTTGGAGATGACGGTTGCCGCGTGCGGACGGATGGAGTCGGAGACTGCGAAGGCGATGGTGGGTGTGAGTTGGGGTAGAGGGGGGGTTCCCTCGGCGGGGGATGGGGGAGGGATCTGGCGCATGCAGAGGATGGCGGTTGATTTGCCTGCGGATTGGTATTGGGATAAGGTGCTGGAGAGGTAGTAGTTGTTGGTGGTCGTCGTGGCCGAGAGAGATTCAAGGAATCGCTGGTTACCGATGGCGGCTTCGTAGTGATGCGTGGTGGATAAAACGAATCGGCCGTGCATTCCCTGGCCGGATTCTTCTTGGATCTCGGAACTCGTGATAGAAGGGAGGAGACCCTGCGCGTGGCTGGCTTCCTTGTCTGTGGTGTTCTTGCAGAACTCGGCAATGGCTCGCGCGATCGGGTGGTTGCTGCTCTCTTCGAGGTGGCGCGCAAGAACCCAGGCGATCTGCCGCTGCTGGGGGTCCGTGATGAATGTTTCGTGATCGGATACCTGGAGGCTTCCGCCTTCTGTTAGGGTCCCCGTTTTGTCGAAGACGATGGCATTGAGCCGGCTGGCTTCTTGGAACGCTTCCCCGCCGCCCTTGACGAGGATTCCGTATCGTGCAGCGAGCCCGCCGCCGACGAAGAGGGCGGTCGGCGCGGCCAGGGCAAGACCGCAAGGGCATGCAACGACGAATACGGCGATTGCGAACTCGAGACTCCAGAAGGTCCAGCCGCCGCGGCGGTTGGCATCGAGGTAATCCGGGGGCAAGGCACCGGATACCCCGAGCGAAACCCAGATGACAAACGTTAAGATGGCGATCAGCGTAATGACAGGAACAAAGTGAGCAACGAGGACATCGGCGACTCGTTCGAGCGGTGCGCGTCGACTCTGGCCCTCGCGGACAACGGCGATGATTTGATCCAGCATGGATGACCCGCCCACCGCGGTAATTTCGAACTCGACGGGCTGTCCGACATTGACGGAACCGGTATAGACCTGGTCCCCGATCGATTTGCTGACCGGGTTCGATTCGCCCGTCAACGAGCTCTCGTCAAATTGATATAGACCAGGACCCGCAATTTTTCCATCGGCGGGAGGGGAGGCGCCATGAGGCACGCGAACGCGGTCCCCGATTTCCAGAAGATCCACGTGAATCCTCTGGATTCGGTCGGATTGGTGCTCGCTGGAGCAGCCGTCGTGCACGACGAGCAGAGCCTCGGAAGGACGCAGCTTTCCAAGTGAGGCGACAGCATCACCCGCTCTGGCTTTGCTGTAGGCCTCCAGGAATCGACCCGCGAGGATGAACAGGGTCAGGAAGACAACGCTATCGAAATAGGTGGTGCTGTGGGGGTTCGAGTGGTTTCGAGCGACCGCATCCGCGACAAGAATCCCCAGCGAGGAGATATAGGCGACCAAGGTCCCGGCCGAGATCAAGAGACTCATGCTTCCAAAGCGGTAGAACCGTCGCAAGATGGGCACGCGACTCCCCCGGCGCCAGAGGGAACGGATCTCCTTTGCAGCGCGCACATGGAAGATATCGGCGCCGTAGAACATGACCGGCGTGGTCATCATCCAGAGAGCCCATTCCATCCGCGACACGCTCCCAGACCACATCGGTTGCTCGAGGTATTGGCGGATATGGTTGTCAGCAGGGACCAGACTCATGAACACGATTCCCAGGAGAAAGGAAGGAATCGCCGCAAGCAACACAAACAGGAAACGGGACAGCAGTCTTCGTCTCTCGTGGATCTGCATTGCTCGGGAGCGGTCCTCGACGCTGGGCGGGTGATACACTGACGCTTGAAACCCGCTGTGTGCACTGCCGATCTTCTCGACAATGCTCCTGACGGTGGTTGACGGCGAGGCGGTGGGTGTGTAGGTAGCCTTCAAAATTGGATTCTTGACAGAGAGGGTTTCATCCACCTCAAGCCCCGGCAACTCCCTCAGGACATGATACACCTTCTCTGGACAGTGGTGGCAAAACATGCCATCCACCCGGACGGATACAGTTCGCTTTCCAGCCACAACCTTGGGGGGGGTGACCTTGACAATGGAGGCGTCATATCCGAGGTCTTCGATTTTCTCGACTATCAGGGGAAGCTTGTTCGGGTCTTCGAACTCGACTTGTGCACTGTGAGACAGTAGATTGACCGTTACATTGGTTACCCAAGACAGATCTCGAAGACCTTGGGTGACGGCCCCCGAGCAGGCGCCGCAAGTCATCCCGCCAATGGCAATATCGGCAATGTACGTCGAGTGTCTTTGCGTATGAGGGGGGTCCGAGGCATTGATGGGGTTGACTTCGTCCAGCGATGCCTCAAACCCAATGTCCTCAATCCGTTCGATCACATCGTCGATCTTAGAGCGCAGGCTGTGATATACCACTGACGCACTATTCGAAAGCAGGGTGACGGTAATCTCGTCCACGAAGTCCAGTTCCTTGACCGCGTCAGTTATTGAATTGACGCATGATGCACAGCTCATTCCCGCGATACTCAGATGCGCTTTAAACTGGGTTTCAACGTTCTTTGGTGGCATCAGTTCGTGTGCACCCGATTCAGACCCTCGCGGCGACAAGAAACTCTTTTGTGGCGCTGGAGGCGGGACAGGCAAATCCACATGCAACCCCGCAGGGGACTGTTGCTGTTCCTCCTTCCGACAGGCATCACAGTTCGCAAGGTGTCGGGTTCTTGAATGCCGTGGGGAGGTATCAGGAAATGCACCGTGGAAGACTATCTCTGTGTCACAGTCCGAGACCACCACTCCGGTTGCATCTGTGGTCGTGACATGATGGACTTCGAAGGCGGCCTGGATGAGGATCCTCGCGATGGAGATAGGGTCTGTTTCTTGGGTATGGACGACATGGACTTCATGGGTGAAAATGGAGACCTCGATATCTGAGAGGCCAGGGATCTCTGAGAGAACATGGGTAATGAAGGCGACACAGGAGGAGCAGTGAACATTGCTCACGAAAAAGGTACTGCGGGAGGAAAGTTCGATTGCATGTGAAACCTGTGCCATGACGGAAGGATGAAGAAAGGACAGGATATGTATTCGAAGAGCAGGTAGGAGAATCTAGAGAGGAATTAAGATGAAGCCAAAGAAGGTGGAAATGGTCCTATGGCAGACAACTGACTAGATTCTTATATCTCCCACCATGATCATCCTCCTCAACCCACGCTACCACACTGATTAGTATTTGTTCATTTGGGGCCTCCAATAAGAGAAAGATAATGAAGTGATTGGAATGCGGGTTTTGTGCGGGAGGGATCCTTGAGGTTTAGAAGATTAACTGCTCCATACACTAAACCGCGCACAAATCGCGCAGACTTGACTCTGGAGGTTTTTTTTTTGGCCCAACTCGCAAGAAAAAAATAAAAATAAAAGAGGAAGAGAAGAATCCTTCTCAATCTGCACATTAATCAGTTCATGAACCAGATCAAGGGTGGAATCAGGAATAACCAAGAAATCGGATTGTCAGGTCCAAGGTACCTATATATATATTGGGTCTGACAATCTGATTGATTCGCAACCAATTCCCCTGATTTATTCAGGATAATATTAATTCATACCCTAGTACTCCGTATTAAGATTATCCTTATTCTAATTCAAATCCGATTTCAAAAGGTCCAGACCGGATTCGAACCCCCGATGTTGGAGGCAGCGCCACGTGACCCAGCCACTGGACCACCTCGAATTTCGGCGGCTTTCGCTCTCTCGCTCTCTCTCTCTCTTTTCCTCTCTCTCGCTTTCTCTGCTTTTCACCATCCAGCAATCGTTCATCGCTTCTAATATTCAAAAAGATCCGTTGGATAATATCTCTGAGATTGGAGCTTGTGCCTTTCTTTCTTTCTTTCTTTCTTTCATCTCTCTCTCTCTCTCCCGTTCCGTGGTCCTCCTCGTACCCCGCGAAAAAGTGAACCTCACCTTGCTTATCTAATCATCTCCTCGATCTCTACTTATACGAATACTTATATCGGACTCAGGTCTGGAAAAGAGACCGGGCTCTTATATCTTGAAGATGATCATATAATCTGTCTGGTTTGGATCTTCGACGTACATTCATCACTCTACTACACCTCAAAACGCAACTCATCTTGACAACTACAACCATCACAATCATACTTCATCATGTCTGCTAGGCCAGCCATGCGCCAGCCTGTCCCCCCCAGAGCAGGCCCGAGGGCCCCTCCTGGGCGACTGGCCAGTCTTAAACCCCCAAATCCAATGGCTATCCGACGCCCTCAGTCAATTTCCCGACCTCAGCCAACCCGGCCAACGACTCACCCCAAGACTACCACTTGCCCTAATCCAGGCTGTCCTGCTCCTCACATTATCGAGGATGAGGGCCAGAAGGTCTGCTCCGGCTGTGGTACCGTTGTGAGTGAGGCCAACATTGTCTCGGAAGTTACCTTTGGTGAGACATCGTCTGGCGCCGCCGTCGTCCAGGGTGCCTTTGTTGGTGAAGATCAAACTCACGTCCGCAGCTACGGCCCCGGATTTCAGCGCGGAGGAGCTATGGAGAGCAGAGAAATTACTGAGCAGAATGGTATGTCCTTTTAAACCCCCCTAATCGCAGACCACACGAATTGACCATACCAGGTAATCGGTACATCACCCAATTGTCCCGTGCTTTGACCATCCCAGAGAGCGCTATGAAGGCTGCTGGACAGGTCTTTAAGCTGGCAGTCGGCCTCAATTTTATCCAAGGTCGTCGAACCAAGACCGTTGCCGCTGTATGTCTGTACATCGCCTGCCGACGCCAGGATGGAAATACAGTAATGCTCATTGATTTTGCCGATGTTCTCATGGTGAGTTTACTTTTACTAGCACCCCCACCCCAAAAAAAAAAAAAAAAAAAAAGCTAACGGCTCCAGATCAACGTTTTCAAATTGGGTCGCACTTATAAGTCCCTCCTAGATGAACTTCGTCTAGGTGGCAACGTCTTCTTAATGAATCCCATCGACCCTGAGAGTTTAATATATAGATTTGCCAAGCAACTGGAATTCGGTTCCTCTACTATGCAAGTGGCCGGGGAAGCCGTCCGCATCGTGCAACGTATGAACCGAGATTGGATGACCACAGGTCGGCGTCCTGCAGGTATCTGTGGTGCGGCTTTGATCCTAGCAGCTCGAATGAACAACTTTCGTCGGACCGTCCGCGAGGTTGTCTATGTGGTGAAAGTGACCGAAATTACCATCAGCCAACGTCTGAACGAGTTCAGCTCCACCGAAAGTGGCGAGCTAACGGTCGATCAATTTCGCTCGGTGCAATTGGAAAATACGCACGATCCACCCTCGTTTACTCGCGCCCGGGAGGGTAGGAAGCCTATACGAAGCGTCAAGACAAAACCGGCCGAGACAGCCGCCGCCATTGAAGCAGAGGCACCGGAATCGAGTGCTCGGTCGTCGAGGCGTGTCGACGCGGACGGATTTGCAATCCCTAGTCTGCCAATTGATCCGGTCTTGATGCTCGCTGATAAGAACAGCCAAGCGGCCGCGCCCGAGAAAGGTCGGCGACGAAAGCTGCCATCGCCAACCCCAGAACAGGTGGCCTCGGAAGACGCCCTGGAGGATGAAATGACGGCCTTCTTGGCCAAGGGCTCCCACATGATCGATAGCATCGAAGGAACGACTAATCCAACGCCCACGAGAGTGGTCTCCGATAGTGCCGAGATCGATGAAGCCGAGTTTGAGTCGGATCCCGAAGTTTCGCACTGCCTGCTGTCGCCCGCCGAAGTGGAGATCAAGGAGCGGATTTGGGTTCATGAAAATCAAGACTATCTCCGCACGCAGCAGGCCAAGGCTTTGAAACGGGCTCTGGCCGAAGCGGACTCGCGTCCGGGCGAGCATAAACCAAGGAAGCGCCGCAAGGGTCGACTCGGGGATGTCGCGTATCTTGAGGGGGATGGCGAAGAGGGGGATGGCAGGAGTACCCGTGCCTCCACTCCGGCCGAGGCGACGCGGCGGATGCTGGAGCGGCGGGGGTTCAGTAAGAAAATCAACTATCGTCTCCTGGAGACGCTTTTTGGCGACGGCGGCGCCGAAGAGGCTGCCAAGGCGAAGGTGGTGGATAGTGGAAGTCGGAGCCGCAGCCAGAGTGTTGCATCTTCCCACCGGAGCGCCAGTATTGAGCCGGAGTCCATGGCAAGACAGCCAAGACTCCTTGGGGCTTCATCAACGAACCCTGTTGGGCCGTCCCCTCTTGTCACTCCGGCATCCAGCTCGGTCAAAGAACCGCCGAGCTCTCACGGAGTTGCCACCGATAAATCCGAGAACCCGCAGCCTAATGAGAGTTTAGGACCAGCAGATGACGCTGAGGAGGAGGAGGAGGAGGAGGAGGGGGAGGAGAATGACAACTACGAGGAAGACGAAGGGGACGACGATGCCGATGGCATTGATGCAGCATTTTCCGGACACTACAATGATTACTATGACGAAGGTAGTGATTACGATAGTGATTAGCATAGATAGATATAGAACAATGGACTTGCAGCAATGCAGGCAAATTCCAAACGTTAGCCTATGTTCATTCTCTTTCTTATTATCTGTCGAGCAACAAACAAGTTACAACAACAACAATACTGCCTGCATGAGTTCGTCTAGGCACCTTGTGTAACTAAGCTGCCTCCCTCCTTAGAACCCATCATCCAACCACCTATTTTTTTTTTTTTTTTCTTCTCACATCCCATACCTTTTTCCAAACCCTTTTCCCCAACTACATAACTATGGCATAGTTTAATTCCCCCGGGTATCAATCAGATCAGCAGTCCAACCGTCCAACAACAAGCTAGTTACGAGCTTGGGCATTTGCATTGCTGAACCCGCATACGGAGGGCGTTCGTTACCTCTGCTCTTATGAATGCCGTGAATGCCATGAATGCTAGCTACATAGCTTGATGGCGCCGACTACCCAGGCAAGGGGGAGCCCTTTCTGGGGGGAGTATACTATGCTTGGTTGGTGGATGGGAACTTTCTGTTGATTCTTGGATGCGTTACTTGTAGTTTATATAGTTATTATATATATATATATATATATAGTTACGTAGGTAGGTAGGTAGTACTCGTACGTAAGGAAGGAAGGAAGGAAGGAAGTAGTAATACATGAGAAAGAAGAGAGGGTTGCTTGTACTTGTGCTTGTGTTTTCTATATCAAAACCAGGAATGCACAACAAGCACGGAGGTAAGATTAAATAAATCAATGCATGCTTCGAGGAGGAGGACTCCGTGCATCGCCTGACTTGGCCCTCCTTTCTTCGCGTCTTGACTAATGTGGTATGTATGGTAACTAGTTATTCTCGGGGTAACCCCCGCCGCCGCCGCGAAGGTTGGTATGGTATGAAGGACGGGGCGACCTGGGAAGGTTTAGATTAGTGAGGGAGGTGGGAGAGAGAGAGAGAGAGAGACTAGGTAGCTGACTCGTAGTAGTAGGTGCTGAGGTTTCTGTATCGGAGAACCATTAATAGAGGAAAGGGGGTCCAGGTTTCCCATAGTTAAATTGCTGGATGTTGTTGCATGTTCACTTTCTTTTGTTTCCTGCTTGGTATTGAGTGTTGTGAAGTAGGGGAATTGGCATATATATATATATATAATATATATATATATATACATATATACACGCTCGTTGGGTTGGATTTACGACTGGTTGGCTGTTCTCTTCAGACAAAGAAAGAAAGAAAGAGAACATGGTCAAGATGGATGTATACGGCCGAGGGCTGAGCCTTCGTCTGGCTATCATGTTCACTTGCCAAATAGCTTTCGTCCTGTTCGGTGCGACGACTCGATATCCCCCGGTTCGAGGTACGCTTGCTGACTTGCACTTCGACCTGTGATCTAGGGTACAACCAGGGCGTGTTTGCGGGCATCATTGGGAATGGAGACTTTCTCCGCGTCGTCGATGACCCCAGCTCTGCCGTTCTGGGGATGATCGTAGGCATATACAACCTTGGTTGCTTGACCGGAACGGTTGTGGCCTTTTTAACGAGTGAAAACCTCGGGTTTCGAAAGTCGATATGGCTTGCCATGGCTTTACTGACGGTTGGTTCTGATTGTTTCCCCCTCACCATCACTTAATACGATGACACCGCTAATGCTTCCAGGTAGGCTGGGGCGATCCCACAAACCTGCTCGTTTTCAAGGACCCAAATGCTGGTGTCGCGATATATCGGCGGCATTGGCACGGGCATCATGACCTCCACAGTGCCCGTGTACCAATCTGAGCTATGCGAGGCTCGGAACCGAGGAATGTATGTGTGCAGCCAGCCTCTGGCCGTGGGGGTTGGCATTGTGATAGCCTATTGGCTTGACTATGGAATGAGCTTTGCCGCGGGATCGATCGACTGGAGACTCCCCATTGCCTGCCAGATGATTTTGATTGTCATTGTGGCCATTCTTGTGCTTGGGTAAGTTCTGGCTCCGGCATGTGTGCTAGTTCTGATATGGACTTGGGGGGGGGAAATCGGCTAACAGGGAGAAAAAAAAAAAAAAAAAAAAAAAAAAAAAACAGACTGCCAGAAAGCCCCCGATGGTTGTGCCGCAAGGGTTGTGCCGAAGAGGCCGTGCAGGTACTCTGTGACTTTTACGACCGGTCCTCCGATGACCCCAAGGTTGTCAATGAAGCCGAGGGCATTTTCAGAGCTATCGAGCTGGATAACATCCGAGGAGAGTACCAATGGTCCCAGTTGTTCAAGAAGGATGAGCTTCAAACTGGTCGACGCGTGCTTCTCGCGTATGGGTTGCAATTCATGAACCAAATGGGAGGGATTAACATCATTGTCGTAAGTCAGCCCCTTGTTCGAGACAATCTGTTCAAGCCCACTAACGATGACGATGATGATGCCCGTGGCTATAGTCGTATGTTACAACAGGTAAACAAGCCACTTGAACTCTGCAACGGCCTGGCTGGACCCTTGACTTACCGAATGCATCTCTAGTCTTGGAGGTCAATGTAGGCCTCGACAAGAAAACCAGCCTGCTCCTTGGTGGAGTGATCCAGATCATGTTTGTCATCGGTAAGACTGGACCACTGTTTCCCACGCCCATGCCTCCTCTCACGATCTCGCGTAGGATCGTTTTACCCGACCTTCTACTCCGATCGACTGGGCCGCAAGAAGCCAATGATGTGGGGATCCTTCGGGCTGTTCATTTGCATGTTGATGATCTCCATTCTTCTTTCATTTAAAGGTTAGTAGTCGCCCCTTGTTCCTTTGGGGGGGGAGGGGCATAGATACTCACTCGACGGACGGACTTTAGGAACGCCTCAGCAATCAGTGGCCGGATGTGCCTCTGTGGCGTTTTTCTTCCTTTTTATGCTCATCTTCGGAGCTTCAATCAACTGCATTCCATGGGTTTATGGACCGGAGCTTCTGCCCATGCATGTGCGGTCAAAAGGGTGAGTAGAAAGAAGTCCAACATTCCACCCCTTGCTGCAACACTACGTTATCTACCAGAAAGAACCAAAAACTAACCCTTCCAAAGCAATGCAATCGGAATCTCCGCAAACTGGCTATGGAATTTCTTCGTGGCCATGATTGGCCCAACCATGATCCATGAACTAGAATGGAAGGGATACCTGATATTCATGTGTTTGAATCTGATATTTATTCCGGTATGTCTCTCTCTCTCTCTCTCAATAAATACATAAATAAAAAAAAACCACAAACTAACATATTTCTTTCCATGCAAGATCATCTACTTTTATTATCCGGAAACAGCCAATCTCAGCCTCGAGGAGATCGATTGCCTCTTTATGGGGAAAGCTCACGACACTGACAATGACAAGGATCACGACCAGCACCAGGAGTCTCCGACGGATACGGATGTGAAGAGTGCAAAATGGGAGGAAGTTGGTTTTCCTATTTAATTATACTACACACTCACTACACTACATTTTTATGTAGTTTACTGTGAGAGACTGTAGTGGTGGTGTATGAGATGGTTGGAAACTCAGACAAGAGAGAGAGAGAAAGAGAGAGAGAGAGAGAGAGAGAGTTGGATTGCACAAGCTACAGATGCAAGATTAGCAATATCGTTGAAGAGGAAGAGGAGCAAGAGGAAGAGAAAGGTAGTAGGGCAATCCCATAGTTAGATAGATACTCTTAATGTTTACTGTTTACTGGACTAGACCTGCTTCCTTTCGTCCCTGAATTAAGGAATAGATAGGTATATCCTACCTACCTCAGTCAAAAATGGTGACGGACTTAACGCGACTTTACTGGGAAAGAAATTCAGAACAATTCCATGACTTTTTTTTTTTTTTCATCTCATCTTCATCTGTCTATCTTGTTTTTTGTTCTTTTTTTTTTGCTTGTTCTGCTTGGAAAGGCGCCATATGGCAGAAGAGATGAAGTACTGACAAATACGAATAAGAAACAAGGCAGGGGGAAGCGAAATAAAAAGGCCCGCCAATAGTGTACAAACCCGGTGGAATCACCATACGCCAGAAACCAAAAACTAGAAACCCACAATCATGAGAGAAAAAAAAAGCAAAAAGAAGAAGAAGAAAAAAAAAAAGAAAATAGAAAGAAAGAAGAAAAAGAAAGTAAGCAAAGACAAGGAAAGAAAAAGAAAAAGAAATCCACAAACATGTTGTCGACCTCTTCGAATTACGAAAGCTGGGAATATCAGCAGAAACATCAAAGTAAGATCAGATCACAAAAAGACGACGAAGAGAGGCGGTTCGGAGGCGACGTATCGGGTCGTCGAGCTTTTGGCGCATTTTATTCTGTTGTTGTTTTTCTTCTTCTTTTCTTTTCTTTCTCGTCGTCGATTTTGGTAAAAATGGAGGGAGGCTCATGCATCGAGGTCCATCACCGTCCCCATTCCTACGCTGTTGTTCAATCCCTGGCCAAATTCGGCACTGGCAGGTTGCGCACAGAGTGTCTGGATCAGGGGGAGCCCGGTTTCGGCTGGGTTGGCCAGAAAAGTTCGATGCTGGCGAGAGTCAGGATTAAGGAGTTTGTCCGACGCATTGAGGATTTCGGTTCCTTCGAAAAGGATTGGGGTTGACTGGAGATTTCGAAGGCAGGCTTCCCAAGATGAGCCCACTAGTTGGCTTTGCGTGAGATCGTCACTGAAGAGGTAGAAAGCGTTCAGGTTTGCAGGACCCATGGCAGTCATTGGCCGGGCAGTCACCAGGTAGGCGTTCAAGGCGCGGTTTTTCATCAGGATTTCGCAATCCACAAGGTAGCGTGAGAATTGTCGGTCAATGTATTTTTTCCAGCCACGGATGGCGGCGGCCAGGTCCGTATCGTCAGTCTGAATGCGTTGCCAGCTGATTCCTAGGAGGCGGGTAGCGTCGTCAACTAGAGGCTGTGCAGGCGCGAGAGGACTGCATCGGGATGCGGCATTGACGGGACGGCAATGGTCATCCTTGTCGATCTGCTGCAGTTGTCGTTCCATGCGGGAAAGCGCGAGATCGTCTAACCCGGGACCGGACGGATCAAGACGCTGGGACTTGCGGCTCGATTCTGAGGCGTGGCGTTGCGACGCGCGAGAGGCCGCGATGGCATTCCCCGCTGCCTCGTCATACCAAGTGCCAGTTTGACTTGCCGCGGAGAGAGCCATTCCCGTACGCGCGTTGCTAAAAACCATGCCGTCGCCGTAGATAGGTTCTTTCCGCGGCACGGGAGCGGGAGTGGTTGCGACTCCGTTGCTGAGAGAGTCTTCAGCGGCAACATCATCACGCGATCTCTTGCGAGAGGGCTTTCCGCCAGTGAAGGGGCTAGGGGTCAAAGCTCCGGAGAAGGAGGTGTTGACGCCAGAGGAGAATGCATTGGGGGGGACCCCATGGGTAGAGAAAGGTCGCGAGGTAGCTCCGGCAGCAACGTCCCGCTTTGGCGGACAAGGGAATTGAAGAAAAGCATGTTCCTGGGGAGGCGAGAGGACCATGGCAGGACCATCACGAAGGGAGCTGAGGAGCATTGGACACATTGTGGGGGACGATGGAGCGTAGGAAGAGCTACGCGGTGGATCCGATCTGTTCAGTTAAGTGAGCTAGATGACAAATAGTTAGAATACCCTATGGATTGCAGAATCCAAGCTGTATGAGTCGTATCGGCGAGGAGAATGACCAGGTAGGTAGGTAGGGAAGCAGGAGAGTAAGGTCACGAGAAGATATTGTGAGAGAAGCAAAGTATGAGGTGAGGTAGAATAGTGAAGGAGGAAAAAAAAAGATGGGGGGAGGGCAGAAAAGCGCGGGGTGGAACTACAGGAGGTTCGGTTGAAGAGAGAGAAAAGTTAAAGAATCAGAGTGCGAGTCAGAGAGAGGAGGAGAGGGAGAAAAAGAGTGAAGAGATGAGAGGCATGTGAGAGGAGAGCGAAGTGAGAATCTCTCGGAGCTGCTGCGGTGGAATTGGATACGCCCTGCGATGCGGAGTGCAGGATTTTGGGTCGTCTTATTACGCAGGCTTACCAGTTGCAGCCCGCTCAATTTACGGTTTCCCCTGCAACGCCCGGCCACTGCATACCGTACCGTACTGTACGGCGTCCAGCCAGATCGACCCAGATCAGCCCGCAAGGAATTGGATACTATTGGTTATCGGAGCATCGCACCGGAACCGATTAGGCAATCTGGCTCCCTGTCTTTTGATTCGCCGTCAGGCTCCTACTGGCAGTCCGCGCGTCGCCCCTTTGCGGATCCCTTCCTCCCGCCACGGTCTCTGCTCATTGGTGTAGCCGAGAAAGACAGACTCCAGACTTTGCTCAGGGCGTGATTCGCCAGCATCGCATCCCGGGCCTCCGCTGCAAGTCAGCGTGGTTGATGCCTGAGGTGTCGACAAAGAAAGACAAGGTGGCTGCTTGATGAGTTGCGACCGTGCAGGGAGAAAGGAAGAAACCCCCAAAGGAAAGAGAAGGAAAAAAAAAAAAAAAAACAAACTCAAATTCTATTTTGGACGAAAGGTGTAACATAAGCTATAGTGACAAAGATGAATAAAGGTAGTATGGAGAATTGCACAAATGGTGGAAGTAATATCTCACACCCGAACCTCGTGCTAGTTTAACATGACAAATGTTCATCGACCCAACCCACAGACAAACACACTGATAAATCCCGTAGGATCAGACACCGTAACCAAGGGTAATAAAAAAAGGAATAGAGAGGGGGGGGGTGGGGGAGGGGGAAGGTGGAAAAAAAAAAAAAAAAAAAAAAAACAGAAAACATCCTTGCCGGAGCGAGGCGGTTGAGCATTTCAGGCCAGGCGGCATTCCCTGCATGTGGCCCTACCTAGACGCACTCGTGGCCCCCTGCTGCCCCAACAGGACGGAAATTATGTGGCAAGTATAAATGGCCGCAGATATTTCATGGACGGCCCAAATATGAAATCGAAAAAAAGGAATGTAAATGCGTACAAACAGGATTGTAATCGTCGAATATTTGGGTGGTTCTCTCCCCCAGTGCCCCTCGACGCAAGCATCCAACATAAGATCCCATTTTCACATGTCCATGAAGTCAGGATACTTACTGGGTACACCCGCCACACAGCTTCATCCTCATGTAGTGCGTCAATTTAAGCGTGACCGGAGGCGGATCCTCCAAGCATGCCCTTCACGTTGGCCACGGAGTCAGGGGCGTAGCTCGGAGCCATGAGGCCAACGAGGAGGAAGAAGCCGAGGAGGACAGCTCCGATGATCACAAAGCGGCGCTGAGAGGGGTGAGTGACGCCATACTCAGCCCAGGCACGGTTGGCCTGACCAGTGTATTCCTTGATCTTGTCGCCACCTAGCTTGTAGTAAACCAGGCCGACCAGAGCGACGGAGTACCCGAAGAACTGGAGGAGGGTGACGGGGGTCTGCCAGATCATCATGGAAGCAGCGACGAGGAGGATATCCTTGAGAACACCGCAGAGGGTCATAACCAGGGAAGAAGTCTTTCCGATCTACAGCCGGATGGTTAGAAAAAGTAGATCTTTGGAAGACGTCGACGACAATACATACCAGGAAGACAACAGAGACATTGAGCAGGAAGGCGACGATAGCGTTAGCCAGCAGGGTCCACACTCCGACGTTGTAGATATGGCCCATGGTGAGGCTGGGAACCTCCAGGAACAAGGCGCAGACACCATTCATAACAGCGCAGACAGGAGCGAAGTAGTAGAGGGAGACGAGAGGGTCCATCTTATACTCGGCCGAGCTGAGCAGACGCTGGACCATGACCAAGCGAGTTGCCTCGAAGATGATACCGCCAATCTGGAAGATGAAACCGATGAAGACGAACTTGATTTCGCCGAAAGAGGCGATGACGACACCAAGCACAATAATACCAACGTTCATCAGGACTTTGAGATTAACCGGAGCCATACCCATTCCCCAGGTAGCGAGGAGAACCGCGACGGGAGTAGTGGCCTGGACAGGTTGTTAGCAAGCACCCGAATTGTCGGCGGATCAACGCTATCGCACCTTGAGCATTTGGATGAACGCAACACTAAGGTACAGGTATGTGACATTGCCGCAAATCAAGCTCAGACTGAAGAAGAGACCGATGGGGACGATAGCACGGAGATAGACGCGGCCGGTCATCTTGACCGTCTTGCGGCCATCCAGCAGGGTGGTAGTGCGGGCAAGAAGCTGGGTCATGAAGGTCGCAAAAGCCAAGTGCCATGTTGTGAGGATAATAGCTGGAATATCATTAGGCTCAGACGTGAATTCAGGGAGACTGGGATAAGCAACGTACGGAAGCCTAGACAGTAAAAATCGCAGTCAGTACTCGGGTTGCGAAACTTGCAGGGGAACGGGCCAAGTTGCACTTACGGAACTGAGCATAATCCAGAATGTGCTTGTTGAACAAGATCACACTAGAACTCAGGGCAATCCAGGTACTGATATTGAGATGCTGTTAGTATCATCGACCCAAGCAGGTCTCCTCCGAGGAATCCAAACTCACGTAACATAAATGGCCGGGTGGAAGGTCGGCTTGGGAGGCTCCGACTTCTCAACAGCAGGGTTGACGGTAGGTAAGGTAGGCTCAGGGCGAGAGACCTCGCCCGAGGTTCTCATCTTCTCTCCTTCCGAGGCCATTGTAAAAGTGCGTGTTTGATCAGATAGAAAGCGTTGAAAATCGAAAGGCCGCGGCCGTAAAAGGCTGCTTTGGTTGAACTGTGCGGAGGCCAGGGGGGAAACGGTATAAAAATAGATGGGGGATCAAAAACGGTAGAAGTACAACAAATCTAGGGTCTAGACGGCGAAACAGAGTCTAACGAGTGTAAGTCCAGAGTTGGTCGACGCGAGAATAAAAGGAGAAAAAGGAAGGGACAAAAAAAGACAGCACGAACAGTTGCTCAGTGGAAGACGGGAGGAGTGGATGAGGAGGAGGAGGGGAGAGAGAGAGAGAGAGAGAGAGAGAGAGACGAAAGATAGTAGCTTATTTGGGGTGAGTGGAAATTTGGAAGAGAAAGAGAAAAGCCAGCAGCAACGAGTGAGACAGCCAGAGTCGAGATTCTGGTCCAAGTCGAAGGAAAGTGGACGCGGCACGGAGAAGTGGGTGGGGATAGTTTTTTAGCAGGAAAAAGTTGGGTTATTGCACAAATAGGACAATAATAATAATAATAATAATAATAATAACAAGAATAACAATAACAACAACAATAATAATAATAAAAGAAAAAAAAAAATAAAAGAAGAGGGAAAACCAAGAGATGGTAAGCTGAGGATGATGAATTGATGATATGCCCTGAGAACGGAAGAACTGAATTTGAAACGTCTCTGGAGGTACCGGAGATGGAGTCCAGGTATACAGGTACTATTGCTGCAAGCATACGTCGTCCTCTCTTTAGTACCACAACTAGCCTGTACGACTACTACCAGGTATCATAAAAATAGATAGAGGTGGTGGGGAGGAACAACCCGGAACCAGAAATATGCCCTAAAGGTACTGGATTCAGTATGAAGTACGGAGTACGGAGGACCAGAATAATAATTAATATATAGATTTTCAACTCCGTGATGCTTGGGGAGGAGGAAGTGGAACTTGGAACTTGACAGGTTGATGTCGGGTGTTTTGGTACAGTACCGTTTCATACTGTTATTTTCCTATCTCTCTACTACTAGTAATAGGAGTACTATAACACTTGTACTCGTATTGTAAAAACAGAACGTGTGCTATCTACATCTCACTCCCAGTTCTTGATCTTTCTACTCCGTATCCCCTTCGTGCTTCGAAGATTTGTCCCAATTTCTCAAATGGACCACTCACCTGGGGCGAGGCAAAATGGCCATCACTTCTCGTGGCGAGCCTGGCGATTCCAATTACCCACCACCGTGCGCAAACCAAGCTCTCGCTCTAGCTCTATCGCCCCTTTTTTTACTCGCTTTTTTTAATAGCATCAGGAGGCTTGGCTCTAGACCCTTTTTTTAAATTGCTTTTTTTTTGGGTCTCTATTGTTATCTAGAATATATTCTAATTTTTTTTTAAAAAAAAAAAAAAATTTTTTACCTGGAAAAGGAAAAGAAGTGTGGGAAAAAAAAAAAAAAGAAAAAAAAAGGTATCATTGCACAACTCTTTTCCCTGAAACAAGACAGGTTGAATCAAATCGTATCAGGTTGAAAAGAATATTCTGCAACCTCAAGCGTTGATCAAAATTAACACCAACTTGTTTGGAACTCCATGCATTACGCAAGCAGGCGACGAGCCAAGTACTCCTAGTGCTTACTTAGCCGCGTTCAGCGGCCACTTGTCCATAGCGTCGCCGCCAAAGTCCCTTGCCGAGTGGAGAATGCAGCGATCTGAGTACCCACGCCATTAATGGTTCTTTGCAATTAAAGATCCTATATGGTATTGACCAGCACCTACGGAGTACCGCTTTATCGTGTTTAGAGTGCTTTACCAGAATACCGCTGAGAAAAGGATTCTCTCCCGAATAGGTATCAACCGGCTCCTACGTACCTACCTGAGGTATGGGAGTATCTTGATATCCCTGAAAACTGTGGGCACCTGAAAGAACCCCGATATTCGAAAGAAAAAAAGGGAAGCTTTTCTCTACGCTCCCTATTGGCTAGAAATTACCCTGATCAGCCCTCGACAGATGAAAATGAAGTCATTCCCAGTTGATGAACGTTATCATTTCAGTTTCGGGAATGAAGATCTCCCCTCCAAGGCTATCTTTCTCTTCTGAGACAGTCAATCAGTGGGATTGTGCTTGGCCTTGTTTTTTTTGTTTCCCCCACATCCAACCCAATCCGTGCTGACGGCGGCGTCGTCCCTGGTCAAGAATCAAAAAACACTGGTGGATTAAATCAGTTCGGGGAGGGGAAGGGGAAGGGGAAGATGATCTCAAGGTATAATGGATATCGATCGACCGTTCCCTTGAGAGGAGGTATACGTAACTGCTCCGTACTCCGGTACAGCTTCATGTGCTTCGTGCAGGGTCTTACTTGCTACTCCATTCTATAGAGGTCCTCCGTAGTTCCGACAGATATTTTCCCTTTTCCCGATAGATCCTCCAAAGGATGATCAGAGAGCAAGATAAATAATACCTAATTCAATAACGTGCCGCAAGCTTCGTTACGCCACCCGTCCACTCTTGTTACACAATTGATGCGGTCAGTTAAAAAAAAAACTACCGAGCAGTGAGAAAGGACAGATCTCCTGGACTCCTCTCTCCTGACTTCTTCCAGACGTTCTTCAAACCCGACGGGGACGGACACCCTTCCGAGACAAATATCTCAATGCCGCTAGCGACACAAGAATATCTGGGGTGGTTGTTGACCGACTCTTACAGAGTACAAAAGCGATCCTCCCAATGCGCGGATCCAGCAATTTCAATACACCAGTCGAGGGCAGCCCCTGGAACATTCCTGGCCTCCAGCCACCATGCTTGCTTGTCAAGCAGTCCCAGCGTGGAGATCCTCTGCATCCAGATAGGATGATAAGCATTCAGGAAAGGGCCAATTGCAATCGGCTACTCGGGAGGATTAACTGAGTGGGTAGACCACGATCTCATCTCGGAAATGACCACCTACACAGTAATCAGTATGGAGTTCAGAGCGCAGAGTTAGAACGGTGTAAGTTTCCAGTAGAGGGAGAGTTTGCGTGTCCAGTGTCCAGATCCAACAAGAAAGCAATGATGGCGCAGATGAACCAGAAACTTCGCAGTCTGGTTGGCTACTTTAAAATGAAGGTAATTAGAGCAAAATATAAAATAATATATCATCCAGATTCCACTATCAAAGACCCATCGAGCACGACTCCAGTCTTCAGAACGTTTAAATTCGGGGGGTCTTTGTTCAGGTTCTTTCCCCCTTTTTTTTTCTTTTTTTTTTCTTTTTTTTTTCTATTTTATTTTTTTGACTTCTCTCCTATCCAGGGCTCGACCGCAAAACCACTTGGGACCTGCTGGGGAGACCGTGCCTGTTTCTGGTAATTTAATTTAATCCAAATAACTTTGTTGTTAGTTAACTAGTGAGTGATTTGTGTGTAGTAATATCAAAACTCCTCGGTAAAATAATTAAATTATTTTATTTATTATTATTTTATCCTGGAATATTTTTTTTATTCTAGGTCTAAACTTGAAACAGAGACTCCCCACAGCAAAGCCCTCCAGCTTCGTCACGTTTTTGTTTTACCGGCCGCCTGCACCTTAAGGTATACATTTCTGCCCACCTTGGCCTCACCGTCTTCCGTCTCTCTCTCTCTCTTCTCTCTCCCGTCCCATCATTCCTCTTTCTTCCCGCCCCCCCCCCCCTCCCTTCTTTTAAACCTCTGCAGTCTCCTGCAGCTTCATTTTCTTCTATGCTTAGCCTCGCCCGCAAGACTCTAAACCGCGTTCCTAGCTTCCAGGATATTCTTCAAGGCAGAATGACCCACCCCGACATGTAAGGAGCTCTCCCGCAACCCCTCCATCTCAGGGGGTTCCTCAGCCCGTACTGACCCATTGCTCGCAACAGCTCAGTCGACGTTCTCGTCATTGGCGCTGGCCCTACTGGTCTGGGTGCCGCGAAGCGTCTGAACCAGATTGTACGTTTCCTCGCTCGATCGCGCAAAGATAACTGACTGATTGACTGGTGCCGGCAGGATGGTCCCTCCTGGCTGCTCGTTGACAGCAACGAGATCCCCGGTGGTCTTGCCTCGACCGATGTCACCCCCGAAGGTTTCGTATGTGAACCCTGCTTAGCTCCTCTTGCCCGTTTTGCGCTGCATCAGACCCCCCCGCCAGCTAACACAATGGCCAGCTTTACGACGTCGGTGGGCACGTTATCTTCTCTCACTACAAGTACTTCGATGACTGCATCGACGAAGCTCTTCCCAAGGACGACGACTGGTACACACACCAACGTATCTCCTATGTCCGTTGCCAGGGCCAATGGGTTCCCTACCCCTTCCAGAACAACATCTCCATGCTGCCCAAGGAGGAGCAGGTTCGCTGTATCGATGGCATGATCGATGCTGCTCTCGAGGCTCGCGTGGCAAACACCAAGCCCAAGGACTTCGACGAGTGGATTGTGCGTATGATGGGAACTGGTATTGCGGATCTCTTCATGCGCCCTTACAACTACAAGGTCTGGGCTGTACCTACCACCAAGGTGAGTCGCCATCGGGAAAGCACATGCCACCTAGATGGTTTCCCATGCTGATTTGTGGGCAATTTAGATGCAATGCGCGTGGCTCGGCGAGCGTGTGGCCGCCCCCAACCTCAAGGCTGTGACGACCAACGTCATTCTTAACAAGACCGCTGGTAACTGGGGTCCTAACGCCACCTTCCGTTTCCCCGCTCGTGACGGTACCGGTGGTATCTGGATTGCTGTTGCCAACACCCTCCCCAAGGAGAAGACCCGCTTCGGTGAGAAGGGCAAGGTTGTCAAGGTCAATCCCAGAAACAAGACTGTCGTCCTGGGCGATGGCACCACCGTTGGTTACAACAAGCTCGTCTCCACCATGGCCGTTGATTTCCTCGCTGAGCAGATCGGCGACCAGGAGTTGATTGGCCTCACCAAGGAGCTTTTCTACTCTTCCACTCATGTTATCGGTGTTGGTATCCGTGGCAGCCGCCCCGAGAGAATCGGCGACAAGTGCTGGGTAAGTTATGCTCTCTCTCTCTCTCTCTCCAGTAACCTTGAATCTGACGTGTTTCCATAGCTCTACTTCCCCGAGGACAACTGCCCCTTCTACCGTGCCACCATCTTCTCCAACTACTCCCCTTACAACCAGCCTGAGGCCTCTAAGAAGCTCCCCACCATGCAGCTCGCCGATGGCTCCAAGCCCAAGAACGCCGATGCTCAGGAGGGCCCTTACTGGTCCATCATGCTGGAGGTTTCTGAGTCTTCCATGAAGCCTGTCAACCACGAGACTCTCCTCGCCGATTGTATCCAGGGTCTCGTCAACACCGAGATGCTCAAGCCTACCGATGAGATTGTCTCCACCTACCACCGCCGCTTCGACCACGGATACCCTACACCATCCCTGGAGCGTGAGGGTGCTCTGACCCAGATCCTGCCCAAGCTGCAGGCGATGGACATCTGGTCCCGTGGTCGCTTCGGTAGCTGGCGCTACGAGGTTGGCAACCAGGACCACTCTTTCATGCTCGGTGTCGAGGCTGTGGACAACATTGTCAACGGCTCTGTCGAGCTGACCCTCAACTACCCTGACTTCGTCAACGGCAGACAGAACACTGAAAGACGTCTGGTTGACGGTGCGCAGGCTTTCGCCAAGAACAAGGCCCAGTAAAAGCCGGGACTTTTTCTCCGAGCCTTGATGGTTTATTATTATTATTATTATTATTATTATTATTATAGAACTATGTCCAAATTCTTTTTTTTTTTTTTTTTTAATATTGAAATGACTCAAGGGGGCAAAAGATTTTAGATCCAAAGATTTACGGACAACGGGAGCCTTTCTTTCTTTTCTTTCTGTCTTCTTTTATGTGACTACCATTTTATTCCAGCTTTGCCTTTTTCTTTTAGCTATTTTCTGAAGCGATCTCTGGGGATGTTTGGCATTTTGCTGGTGTGAATCATTAGCTGATGAAGGCTTCTTTCCCCCCCCCCCTTCTGCTAGAATTTCTACAAATCTATACACTTTCGGTCTTTGTCTGGTTCTGCGTCTCCCCAGGATTGTCAGTGACTTTAGTGATAAGAGTAGTAAATGGTGGCAGTAAAATAGGAATATGATATGATACCATCCAAGGCTCACATTAGTAGTTAGTTAACGATGTTGGATTGCAATGTCATCAGCATAATTATAAACCAGTCTTACACCTATCTCCTACTAGTGAATTGTAATAGTAACACTGCTAGTATATTAAAGGTCATTTTCACTTGTGAAACAGGTAATTATCGGGATTATCAAGTTGGTCTGTTGGTCTGCCAGTTCAGCTGTTCATTTCTTCATACCCAAGTACAAGCTGATCTGCGATAGTTAGTATACTGTATATGTATCTACCTAGGTAGTATGTATAAAGAAAGTCAATTTAAGGTATCATGTTCTGAAAGTAGTGATTCCCCACCAGCATCTTTCCATTGTCTACCTCACTGATACCGATTCTCGCCATCTTTTCATCACACAATCAGTATGGAGTAGTTAGCATTCTGTTCTGACACACCTCACCTAGAATTGTACGGTTGGAAAACCTCCATTGCCCGTGATTATCATCCAGTCGCTGCTGTTGGAAGCACAGACAGTCAATACGGTTCTGGTGTCAGGGAGCGAGTCAAGGAGTCGTGATTTGACACCACACTCCGGAGTACACACGCTTTCTTCGCCCGGGAGTGTGTGCCTACTCGAACACGCATGCTTATCCTAAAGGGGACCCCAAGTAGCGAGACCGGACGATATGTATACTTAGTAACACTTGATTGATGTGCTTTTCACTTCCAATTTACCCCCCCCCCCCCTAACTGCTGTTCTAGTCCTAAACCTACCTCCCAGGATTTTGTTATACTATAATATAAATATCTATATGTAATATGTAATATGTATAATATGTATATACATGCAGGCTTTGTATTATATCACCAAAAACATTATAAAAGGCATTTAGGTATAGCTTCTTTTGCCTACTCTGGATAAAACATATCACTAGAAGACATAACTAGTACATATACTCTATAGAACAATAACAGTATCCTACCTAAGCCCCTCTTAAGGGTCCTAAGAAAGTGTTGTTAAGTAGCCTAATCACGTGGACTTTATAATAAAAACCAGCGCACACTGTGATGAATTCCCTTTCTGTCTTTCTTTCTTTCTTTCCATGCCAGGTTTTTTTTTTCTCTCTTAATCCTCCCTCTATTAGAGGGTACAAGGTTGAGAGAATGGGTGGTGTGTTCTATGCTCCCTCTAAAGCTATGACGATTGGACGAATTCTACGACGATTTGAATATTGAGATACATTCCATGACTGCGGTTACTTCAAACTCGAGAATGAGCGTGGAACTTGGCCTACACTAGTGACGGAGGGACATCTATCTGTCGCTGATGCACGAAGTTGAGTTACCTGCAGACGCAGTTTATTTGATGAGATAGGCATAACCGACCAGTACGGCCTCACCCAGGAGACTAGTGAAAGCGATGTACTCCACACTCGAAACCAATATCCTCGGCTTGGACTTATTCTGGAAACAAAAAGCCCGATATGATAACCGTGCCGCATGTCGATTTTTGTCTGCCATCAAAAAGAAAAGAAAAGATTTCCGTCTTATTTCAGATTCCCCTTATTCAAAGCCAAGGACAGAATCTATAGACCTTGATCGAGTTCCTCCATCAAAGTGTTGACGTAGTTCTGGAAAAGCGCAGCATCCCTCGCAACGGGGTGCACTGGGGGCTGCTCTGGCTGAGGGTCCTTATGATCTGTCATTATGTGATATCATGGGGGAACGGGGAATTATATACCTGTGCCATGGCTGCAGCTACTATGCCTCCTTGCACCGGAGGATTTGCCTCTTGATTCGGATACATGCTGTATGCTTCAGCGGGAGTGACATCTGCATATTGAAGCTGAAGTGGCTGCGAGATATGATACACGTTGTTTCCGTACCCCGTCGCGTAATTTGCCTAGAGCCAAAAGACTCATGCGTGAGATACTCGATCTGAAATATGTCGGCTCAAGGGACGACATACATCTACAACTTGATAACCAGCTATTGCGTCCTGGCCCGGCAAGTATGGTACGGTATTCTGTGCAGGTTGGATTCTCTGCGCGGGGTTGTTTCTGGAGGCTGCCTGGTTGATTCTTCTGACAGCTCTACTTCTAGCGGCCTTCGTTTGTTAGCTTCTCCCTTGTCTCTTGCTGTTATTGCCATAGAAACGACTGTGCTCACTCTTTCAGGCAAGTGTCTAACACGGCGTATGGGTCTCTGAGGGGTTCTGGGAAGGTCAACGTCGGGGGCCGGGCCAGGATTTGCCGACGCCTCAGCTGAGTCCGCCTGGGGAGCTGTGCGAGAAGGCTCCTCGAAGGGGCCCTCGACCTTGCTGTGATCCCTTTTCATAGCTGCCTGCGCAGTCAGCACTTGAAGGTTGTATCGGATACTTGAAATGGAGCTGAGGAAGATTTCGAGGGATCGGATTACTGGAAACGTTGGTGGATAATGCAGTCTAAACCAGGCGATTCGGTTCGTTTCGCGGGAAGACACGACCAGGATGGAGCTCTCTAGAGTGAAAACGATGTGTTACCCATGGTGAACGAGCAGAGTAAGTAATTGTGACTGGGGCGAGTTACCGAATTCCTCTATCTCTTCTCGATGTTGAGGACACCAGCTGAGAAGAACCACGTTTGAGGAAAAGAGATCTTTAAGAGCGGCCCCAAGCGCGATTATTTTAGGCTCAGAGGATGCCGGGGAGAACACGAGAGGTGAAAATGGGTTGTTGAGATGGTTCAACCCCCTCGGCCATTTCTGGTCGCTGGGAGCGAGAACCGGCCGAAGGGCTAGGGCAAGTGAATGATTGAGCTGCCTGCCCGTGCTGACTTCTATGGATTGTCTACGGGAAGCTCGCTCTGGAGATTTCTGCATCGATACCATGTGAGACTCGACAGCGGCCTGGGGGTCATTCTCGGAGCTCGAGGCTAATGGGATTCGAGGAAGGTCATCAGTGGAACGAGAGAGACGCTCATGTTGGGATTGCAAGTTGGAGGCCATAGAACTTGAAGACCTGGTGAGTGCAGGGGAACTGGGATCCATGCCAATGACCGTTCGATGTGTCTGTGTCTCGGGTGCCCTGTCATCATCAGATGTTTCGCAAGGTGAATCTGCACAATCGGACTCGGAGGGAAAATCAGGCAGAGAGCTGTCCGAGTTCGTAAAGATACCATCGTCACCATCGTCATAGCCCTCTTCCCCCTCCTCTCCATCGTGGCTGTCGATGGAATCGTTGTCGTTGTGGAACCACGCCGAAAGCTCTACAGATCTCGAAATGACCCGGCCGAGATGGTAGTAGAGGTCATCTTCCGTCAGGGCGATGGAAGTAGATTGAGGGCGGAGGAGCATGATTATGTAGCTTAGACGACTTGTGCTACTTGGAAATAGATTGGAATTAGAGATTTCTACCGGTTGAGACTCTTTATAGATGGCAGGGCTCCCGATGGAGAAAGTACCATGGAAGTTACCGAAATAGGAAAGTGGATAGAAGTCGCTGGTGGTGATCTTTTTTTTTCCCTCAATTATTGTCCTGGAATAATACCACCACAGCTACAGTATCATGCGTATACAGTTACCGCATCCAAAATTACAGAGATTTCTTTCCAGAGAAATGGATCTCATGAAGGCTGTGGAGAGGCCCAGTCAAGATGTGACGAATGCCTCTGCCTAACTAAGAATAACCACAGAAATCCACCCAGCAGATTCAGACACCATTGGATCCTGGTAGGTAACGAAGAGGTTGAATTTCCAGTTTGGAATAGTAGTAATTCGTAGCTCGTTTCTGATGACGATAATTCCTAGAATACGAAGAGAGAGAGAGAGAGAGACAGATACTAATTATAACCGAAAAAAAAGGGCTGGAGTTTCTCTCTCTTCTTCTCCCTCCGCTTTCTCTTTTCCTTTCCTCCTCTTCTTCTTCTTCCCTCCTTCTTCACTCTCTGTCTGGACTTCATCTCTCCTTCATTCGCTTTGACTCTTTCGTTCTCTTTTCTTTTCATCACCATCATCCTCGTCATCATCTTTGCCTTCCCCCCCCTGTCCTGAACTGGATCATGCATTGTCCGCTTCATCTCCGACCGCCGCCATAGTCCGTCGGCCTCTCCCCCCCCTCCTCCTACCCCCCCCTGTCCTGTCCTGTCCTGTCTTGTCTGGTCCTGTCAATCAATCCTGGAGGCGTAGTATTTTCCGTCCTCCCTTCCTTTCTCTATCGTCTTGCCGTCTCTACCTTCTCCGTGTATTGTCTCGAGTCAACGTCGCGTCGTGGCCTGACTTGTACCTGAAACGATATCTGTTCCGTTGCTCCCTCGCCCACACTCTCCTCCCCGTTCCTTGTCTCCCTCCCCTTGTTATCCCAGTTCAGCCCCTGAGCTGGTTCTCTGAACCCTTATTCTTGAAAGGCTCCCTTGTTCGCACCCATCATGGATGGGGACCTCAGTCTTTCCCAGTCGTTGGGTGGTCTGCGTATAGCGAACCCAGATGATGCGTCACTACATTCGTCCGAGGATGCCACGACTCCCGCGGCGAGTGCTGCTCCTACACCCTCGGTCGTACCGGATTCGAAATACGAACATACAGTCTCCGACTTACCACCGAGTAGTTCGGTATCGCCATTCACTCCCGCAGACGATCGCGACTCCGTCTACCCGTCGTATCGCCCTGATGTACAGCCGCAACCTACCTCGCATTATACCTCCCCCTTTACGTCTCAACCGCAACATCCGGCCCCATCGACTTCCTCGCGCCCCGTATCGGCCTTATTTGCAAATGGCGCTGCCTCAGCAGCCGCTGTTCGAGAAGGATCATATCGCATCCGAACGGATTCCGCCGCCTCGTCTGCCTCCGAAAGCATAGCACGCACCGAGCGTGGCGGTTCCGCAGCACTCCAGGCTGGCGTTCCAATCCGTGATAATAGCCACAGTGATCGCTCTTATAAAACAGCGCAGATCCCACCTGCAAATGGGGTGGCGGTAATGCGTCAACCATCTAGAGCGCGCGCCGCGGCTCCTCCGCAGCTTTCCGGAGCCCCGTATGGAATGGAAAACGGCCCGATGACAAGTAGTGAAGAATGGCAGGACCGTGGCGCTGCCGTTGCAGTTAGACAGGAGATTGATGCGAATGGGAAGCCGGTCGCGCGATACATCAAGAAAGGGGTCCGGGATTTCTCCTTTGGTCACACCCTCGGTGAAGGCTCTTATAGTACCGTCGTACTTGGCACAGACCGACAAACGCTCAAAGAATACGCAATTAAGATCCTCGATAAACGTCACATTATCAAGGAGAAAAAGGTAAAGTATGTAAATATTGAAAAGGACACACTTAATCGGCTCACCGACCACCCCGGGATTGTTCGGCTGTATTATACCTTCCAGGATGAGCGCTCGCTCTACTTCGTCCTGGATCTTTGCAAAGGGGGCGAGCTCCTCGGGGTCCTGAAGCGAATGACCACCTTTGATGAGGAGTGCACGAGGTTTTACGGTGCTCAGATATTGGATACCATTGACTACATGCACAAATGTGGAGTGATCCATCGTGATCTCAAACCGGAGAATGTTCTCCTGGATAGCCAGATGTATGTTAAAATTACCGACTTTGGCACCGCGAAGATCCTCAAGAGTCAACCATCGAATTCAAACCAAGGCGGAATCCCGTCGCTGGATGCCGATATGCCCGAGGAAGAAAGGGCCAGCTCCTTTGTGGGTACCGCAGAGTATGTCAGCCCCGAACTATTAACGGACAAGAATGCGTGCAAAGCGAGTGATCTTTGGGCGTTTGGCTGCATAATTTATCAGCTTATAGCTGGTCGACCGCCATTCAAAGCCGGGAACGAGTACCAAACGTTCCAAAAGATCGTGGCGCTCGACTACGAGTTCCCTGTTGGCTTTCCTAGTATCGCCCGTGACCTCGTTGAGCGCCTGCTCGTTCTTGATCCGGCCCGTCGCCTTCCTATCGAACATATCAAGAACCACGAATTCTTTCATGGAGTATCCTGGGGCGCAGAGTTGTGGAAGCAAAAGGCACCGCGCCTGAAAGCTTACTCCCCGCCGCCTCGGGAACCCATCAAACTCAACGGTGGTTCTAGTGGGGAGAGCTTTCCTCCGAGCATTAGTACCGCACCATCAAACAACGCTTCTTCTCGAGTGGTGCCTAGGCTGGTCACTGAAGTGCCCGCACCCAGCCAACTTGATATTGAGTGGTCCCCTGTTCTGACAAAAACCAACGAACGAATCCTGAAAATGGGCAACCTGGTCGTTGTGTCCTCCCCGCCCCCTCACAGTCCCGTGTCCAAGAATGGAAGTGAATATGAAGCACCCAAAAAATTCTCGCGGTTCTTTGGGGGTAGTACGACTAAAAAGCGGCAGCGGTTAGTCATGGTCACTTCTTCTGGGCGCATCATCATGGCTGCTGCTGGGGGAGACGAAAAGAAGGCGAAACTGGAGATTTCTCTGCTTGCTCCAGGGACACATTACCGCAGTTCCACGGATGCAAAAGGGTCGTCGTGTTGGATTGTGGATACGGTATGATATTGCTCTCCTTCCCTCTTAACCTCTTGCGCTAACAATAGATTATTAAAAAAAAAAAAGCGTGACAAACATTTTGTCTTTGAAGACCCGAAACCCTCTTCGAACAACCTGGGTGCAACTGCTTTATCAGCGCAGGAATGGCTGGATACTTTAGATAGAGCACGGGAGATGGCACTGGCCCTTCAAAGCAGTGGGCCATATTCGGCTGACGAGGCATTCCGTGACATTTCGTCTGGATTATCGAGCCACGCCAATACTCTCGACCAAAGCTCAGACACTGTACACGACGGATCCTCCGGACGAGCTACTTTGGTTAAACACCATGCGAACGATTCCGATTCTATCAAGGGAAAGAAGCGTTTTAGTAGACGGCATTCAAAGAACGGCCTGGCTGCAGTGTTTTAAACAGCCATTCGCCAACAGACATCCTATTATCCCCCAACTTCTACTTGATCTCATCTTCTCTTCTTCTTTACCATCATCTTCTCTTCTTCTTCTTCTTCTTTTTTTTTTTTTTTCCAGCGGGATATTCACTGCGCAGGACCGCAATGTTTCAACTTTCATCAATTTATTTGGAATATATTCTATTCCCCATTTGTTGTCTGCCTGATTGCTTTCCTGATATCATCTCGCGTGTGTGTAAAAGGGGGTTTGTCCCCCCTAACACAATATACAATATTTCCTTTTGTTTCTCAGATTCCCAGCTAGTCTCAAATATTGCCTTGGATTGATTACTTTTTTTTTTTTTTTTTTGATATCGGTGGGGCACGAGTCGATCAATGTTTCCTTTGTCTGTTTGCATTTGGAAGAATTTCCTTTGTGATGCGATTTAGTCTTCAGCCCTAGTTTTGCATCTTGCAATCATGAGCGATTTCTCTTCTCTTCTCTTCTTCTTCTTCGTCTTTTTTTTTTTTTTTTGGTTGAGATTGTTGCATTTAGATGGGAAGGAGTATACATATATCCCTCATCTGACCAATTTGGCTTTTGCTTTACTCTTCTTCATCCCTACTACTGTTTCCCCCTCTATCCCAGATATATAAGTCTTTTTGCTCTCCATCTTTATTTAAATATGATAAGAGGCTCCGCTCTTGATTATATCTTGTATTATCTTTACCTTTACTTTAGCTAGTGCCAGCCACTGAAAAAAGAATGTTTGCCAACCTGTTGTAGGACTAGCAGCGATGATGATTTGAGGCCTTCTCTCTCTCTCTCTCTTTATATCAGTATGGATGGGTGTGCTTTTGACATATCCTGTTGTATTTTTAAGAAATATAGAAGGTAGGAATGGAATGAGTTTGGGTGAAGTTATTAAATTTGCATTGGTCATGTCTACATTAAGGGGGTATTAGAATATCACCGGACAAATGGTGCTATACATCCATCCATATATATATATAGATTATTATATATATAATAAAAGTTTGTGTGCCAGAACAACAAAAGTGGATATCAATTAGATAAAAAGCCAATCAACCTGGGAGTCATCCAGTTCCTGTATCCAGTCAAAGTCATCATCATCATCATCATCATCATCATTATTGTCGTCGTCGTTAAAATTATCATTATGAAGGCTGAGACGCGTCGCCGTGGAGGCAGTCGAGAAGCAACTCGCAGTGGCATTGTCCGGGCCGCTGATGTCACGGTCCGGCGGATCCACGGGGAACTTGGATCCCCCCCCGCGTCTCAGGTCGCGCTTGCGCCACATCAGAGTTAGGACCCAGGCGGCGTTGCGGATGTTGACGCTGGTGATGAGGAAGTAGAGGGTGCGGAGGGATTCAAGGAGGAAAGGGCGTTGGGCGGGGTCTCTACATTCGGCACCGGCGATGAAGGAGGGCCAGATGAGGCATTTGAAGTGAGGGTCGGAGACGGGGATCAGAGAGATCTGGTGGATCAGGAGGGCGGCGACCTCGGCATGGTCTGGGGGCAGACCAAGGGTCGTGGAGATGGTGGAGCCGGGACGGGGGCGGGAGAGGACCCGGGTAGCGTAGAGGTAGACGGAAGCTTTGTAGATGGTGGCGAGGGCGATCCGCATGGAGAGGTCGGGGAGGTAAAGGTAGCTCTGGAGCGATTCGGCCCAGGCAACGGGGTCAAAGGCTTGAATGTGCAGGGTGATTTTGTCGGGACATTGGAGTGGATTTGAGCCTTCGGGGACATGTGGGGAGGAGTTGGCATCCGGTTCGAGATCAAAGAAGGCATGGACCAAGAGGATAGCTTCAAGCAGGTAGGCGGGACACCCTACCCATGACGTTTCTTCGAGACGTTTTAGAACCGGCAAGCCCATTGCGGAAGAGTAAAACGGCTTCGAGAGCGAACCGGGTCGAGCCAGCGTAGAGCCCATTAGTTGGATTCTGGAGAAGAATATGAGTAAAAAAAAAAAAAAAAAAAAAAAATTCCATAAATCGGGGCGGCAACTGAGGAGAGAGAAACATACAGAAGACATCCATCAGTAGCAAAATCGTCCACCCAGTTCATCATTCTTCGTGCCTGGCTTGTCGGGTCGTGTTCGCGATTCTGGATGATTTTTTTTGGCCCCCTCCAGATGGAATTTCCACGCTGCATGCCCGGATTCGATGGCGTCCATAAGGGCAAAGACCATAATTGCCGCCAGTGTCATGTTGTCATTTCGCATGACGGGATCGCAAATATCCTGCGATAGCTGATGGAGCGCACGTTGCTTGAGACCGAGGAAATGTTCATATGATCTTGTTGATGGGCGTCGGACCAGGGAGCTAATCTCAGTTGGTGGAGCCTCTTCGGGAGGTGAGGGTATTCCACTGGTCGATAACCTGTCCGCGGACCACGGCATGGGGGAAAACTCCCCGTTTACGAGGATAGCATGGTGAAGGGCTCCCGTGGCGGCGAGGGAGTAAGAGATGACAGGCGAATCACTGACTAAGGGGATAAGATCTCGGAACGGATTCCTCACGTCTGAGTATAAAGCGAGATACCTTGTGACGTTGTGATTGACTGCCAAAGGAAAAAAAGAGTTAGATAAGATAATTGCACCAGGCAAGACCCATCAGCAACATACAATGATCAATATAAAACCTGGACATGCGACTGCAGTCCTTGAACAGCGGATCCGTCAGGACCCAAGGTATCGGAACACGATTCACAGCCACAGGAGCCCCTTGGTGGCGATCGGCGCATTCCGCTTCTGTCTCCACCTGTGGTGGTGGTGGGAGACTCGATGGATGCAGAAGTTCCGCATTCTCGGGAAAGTTGGCGGAAGTGGACAAATTATCCTGTGTCTCGGTATCCTTCTGAACGTCGTCGAAACTGAGACCTATCATCTTGCCCCGACTGGCGACCCCCCCTTTGACCCAAACGAGAGGTTTCTGATACCCCAGACATTCTTTCCCCGCACCCCGACACTTCCGACACGTGGGGAGTGCATTGTCGCAGATGATGCGGCGGCGACGGCAGGTATAGCAACCTTTTGGTCATGGCGTTGGATTAGGATAGGACAACCGAGCGAAAACGTCTCGACCAGAGTATCCGAGCATGACACCACCACTCCCCATCCTGGGGCGAGAGCAGGGAAGTGAGAGGAGAGCGGAGATGGAGGGAGGTTAGTAGATAGAAAGAATACAGATAAGCACAGTCAGGAGAGGGGGGGAAACCCCAATGAAACCCCAATGCAAAGAAAGCCAAAGTGAGGAAGAATTGAGGAAAAGCGACTATAATCATGAGCCCGCGGAGAGACGAAATTGGCGATCCCCCTTTGGGGAAAAGCAAAAGCCTCCGGGGGAAAAGCGGTGTATTTCTATTGGATTGTATACATTTTCGTCTTCTCTGCATCCCTCTTTCTGGGTGAAATACGGAGTACCTTAGGGAGGTAGGATCCACGATGATGAAATATCCGAAATCCCCTGGAAGCGTGGCGTAGTGGCAGATGGTTTTCACCGCCTTCCAAAGGAGGACTAGTGGGTCAGCTGTCCCCATTGGTCACGTGTTGATTGTTGATAAGGAACTCTTTTTATCGCGGGATATTACAATACAATACAGTACAATACAATACAATACAATACACATTCTCACTGTACCCAGTACATGCCGAAAACAAGCCCAAAGCATACCTATATCCCGTGATTCTTGTCTCTCAACCACAACAAATCATCTTCAGATCAATAAATCCTCCAGAGTCCGCCACAACTCAAGCCATGATCACATCTCCTAGACCCTGCATCCTTTGGGTGTGTATGTGTTTGTGTGTGTATTTGTTTCACCTTCCCAACCTTCCCTGATAATGTCTTGCTGCCGACTTTGCGAATATTTTCCGTATTTACTGTGACTAACCTTTCTTATAGTTCTGGTCTGTCGCTTTTGTGGATTTGTCCCCTCCGCTCCCTATTCCTCTGTTATCTCCCCTCGCTGGTGGAGGCCCTCTGTTTCCAGATCTCTCTCCCTGTGTGTGTTGCGCGGTCGAATGACGCACACAACACACTCTTTGGTGTTTGGCCACCGCACACTCTCTTACCATGCCAACCAAGTCGCCCATTTCCGTTCTACCTTCAGAAATGGTCTCTCAAGCCCAAGTCCTCGATCGCTCTATGCCCGCGCAAGGCGCTCCCTCGACAGTATCGCGTCACTCCCAGACCAGTCGGCGACACCGTTCTAGTCGCTCTCATCATGGTGGACCAGTCCACCAGCCTCAGAATGATTTCCCCATTTTCACACATACTGGCGATGTCGAGATCGTGATTCGCGCCGGCGGTCGGGAAAATCGATATCTCCTACACCGGCTTATCCTCACACAATGCTCGGGGTTCTTTGAGGCTAGCACTCGGGAAGAGTGGCCACAACAACCTCTCTCCAGTCGGCCCTCTAACAATCTGGATTCAACTGCTTTGTCGAGGATCAGTGGGGATACTTCATCACTTTCCAATGGATCAACTCTGGCTCAATCCGAGGTCGGTGCCGCTCAATCTTCGTCCGAGAAGAAACGGTGGCGATACGAGTTGGACTGGGAAAACAAAGCAGAGGATGAAGAGCCAATTCTGGTGCAAAAGGTTGGTATTCCCCCCCCCCCCCCCCCCCCAGACCATGGCTTACACAATTGTTGGGGCATTCTA